CTGGAGAAGCTGACGCAACTCTTCGCAGGAATGCTCCGTATCATTTGGGATTACGCTCCATTACTTTTCCAATTGCCACAGGTAACACTGCAATTCTCAAAGGGCCCGAATTCTCACCACGTTGTTACTGGGCATTTTCGGACGTATTTCGGGAAGCTGGTCTCCCTGATGGTGTTCTCAATACCATCTTCCATCGACCGTCTGATGCTGCGGCCGTGACTGAGCAATTGATCAGTCATCCAGCTGTTAAGAAAATCAACTTTACTGGCAGCTCAAAGGTCGGGAGTATCATCTCCTCTAGTGCGGGCAAGCATCTGAAGCCCGTTTTGATGGAACTTGGAGGCAAGGCCAACGCGATTGTCTTGAAAGACGCCGACTTGCAGAATGCTGCCGTACAGTGCACGTTGGGTGCCTTTCTCAATGTAAGTTGACATCTGCTTCATGAGAGAAATCAGAAGCTCTTCCTGACGGTTGTTCTCTCCACAAATAGGCCGGACAGATTTGCATGTCTACAGAGCGTATTCTCGTTCATGCTTCCGTCGCCAACGAATTCAAAGGGGTCCTGCAACAAACAATCAAACGGATGTTCGGTACGGCTGAAACCACGCCTGTCTTGGTCACAGCTGCCTCGGCAGACAGAAATCGCCGCTTGGTCGATAGTGCACTTTCACAAGGTGCACAGGCCCTCTACGGCAATACGGACTTGGCAGGAGACCTGAAGACGAAGATGACACCGGTGGTCTTGACAAACATAGACGAGAGTATGGACCTATATGGCACCGAATCATTCGGCCCCAGCGTCTCGCTCTATACCTTTGAGACAGAAGAGGAGGCTTTGGAGCTGGCAAACGATACTGAATATGGCTTGTCAGCCTCGATCTACACTGAAGATCTACGCGCAGGGTTTCGCATGGCGGAAGGTATAGAATCTGGTGCTGTCCACATCAACTCGATGACCGTACATGACGAGTTTGCATTACCTCACGGCGGTGTCAAGAAGAGTGGTTTTGGCAGATTCAACGGCTACCAGGGACTGGAGGAGTTCCTCTACTATAAGACGGTTACGTGGATGGAGTGATTCTTCTTTGGTCATTCGAGCTTTTAAAGTACCATTCGCCAGATAGTGAACCGAACAATTTCTCGTCGATACCATCAATATCGATCACTGGTCTAATCTAGTGATATAAATAGATCTACAACTTTGGAGTTGAACGCACCACCTTTCGTGCGTACGAGTGCTCCATGCCTGGTACAAGATGGTCAATTGCCGCAGTATTCACATAGTCTGGGTGTGCGTCACGCATCAGATCTGTCATGCCGCAAAGCCGCATTGCAGTCTCGATCTCGTCCTTGATGACTGACATGCGAGTTAGCAAGGAGGCAATTTCAGGTTGAAGAGATTCGATACTTACTTTCGACAGCGTGCTCGATGCCCTCGGCTCCGTAGTGTAGAGCATACATGAAGGGTCTTCCGATTCCGACTGCGGATGCTCCCAAGCAGATGGCTTTGACAATATCTGAACCTCTGCGAAAACCACCGTCAACAAGTACTTCCATCTTGCCCAGGACTTCTGGACAGTTCTTGTGTAACTCGAGCAAAGTGAGTATTCCTGGCGGAGCGGTATCTGCTGCCCTCCCACCGTGATTGCTCAGAACAATCCCGTCACATCCCATCTGCATTGCAATGACTGCATCCGAAGCACACTGTATCCCCTTGACCACGATGGGCAGGTCAGTTATGCTTCGTAACCATCGCAAGTCTTCCCAGCTGAAAGTTGAGTCGATGAAAGAACTCGCTTGCCGTGCAAAGCCCCCCCCTTTCCTATCCTTCTGCCCGGCAGGCCCTTCAGGTTTGATTCGCTCGTCTGCCTCGCGCTTGGACACCACCGGCAAGTCCACAGTGACAAAGATCGCTTTGATTTTCTTGGTCTTCGTGGCATTTTGTATCGCTTGTTGCGATTTATGTCTTTCCTTGTCGACGTAGAGCTGGAAGAAGGCATGCTTGGGAGTCACCTCCAGGATTTCTTCATGGAGGAAAGAAGTTGGAGTAGATATGCAGTGTATGATTCCTGATGAAGCTGCTCCTCTGGCCATGGCAAGTTCTCCTTCGGGTCCTCCATGCTTTGCTCCTCCCATAGGAGCGATGTAGATTGGCAAATCCAGGTCACAGCCGAAAAGTCGCGTCTTTGTCCTTGCTGTGCGAACATTTCTCAGGACCTTTGGCCGAAGCATTATACTTCTGAGGAGAGATAGATTTGCTTCACGGGTGATGCTGTCGTTCGAAGCACCGCTGATTACGGCCCATGACTTCTCACTGAGATTCCTCTGAGCGATCGCCTCGAAGTCAAACAGATTGATGACATCTCCAAGCGACGATTCTTCAACAGCCGCAGTGTGAGGTTCGCCATCCGACAAGTTTGCACTCCATTCATCATTGATGCTGCTTTCATCGAGAATCCCCACATGACAATCCAATGTCAAGGATTTCTGGATAAGGCTGGGACCATGAATTTGGTTGTATTCTTTGGAAGCGTCTCGGCCACCATAACGATAGATGACTACAACATAAGATCAGTTGGAACACTATGCTAATAGAACACACCCGAAATCTGACCTTCTGAGCCTCCTGGATGCAGAGGAGCAAACCTTGTCATGTCATATACCTTGCCATTGACGACAATCCAGACATCCTCTGGATTGCGATGCTGCACAATTTCGGACACCTGTACCTTGCTCGACATGTTTTCCCTGGAACAACTGTGATGTTCGCCCAAGGCAACTTGTTGTCCGACATATCATCCGCTCCTGATCCCGCTTGTTACGTGCTCCCCCATTCCCGACTGTTGTGGTCGGATGCGCGGTCGGAACGTTTCCGCCGTTCCGCCAACGATGCTCCGAAGCCTAAACACTTGTGCCACCTTAAGCATAGGTATGAAATGATTGTTAGGTATCCTTCAGGTCCTTGTCTTGTGTGTTTATTGAGTATATCCAGTATTCTCGTATCGTGCTTTTGCAATATTGTCTGTTATCTCTTCTCCCACAACCAAGAATTCCCCCTAACACAGAACCATCATGGCGGCTCCAGCGAGATATACAACCACCCCTTCTTATTCTTCCAATGTTCTTTTCCGAGGGAGCGAAGAATATGAGCGCTGTAGACGCAATAACCCTACGGCAGCCACTCCAGAACGTTACCCACGCGAGATACACATCGTAACTTCTCCAGAAGAGGTCAGCATCGCATTAAAGCGTGCCGTTGACCTGAATACAAATGTCGGCATTCGTTCTTCTGGTCACATTATGAACATGGGTAATCTGATCCAAGATGGCATCCTCATCGACACCGTCAATCTGAATCGCCATGTTGAGTACAACCCTAAGACTCACGAAATCTGCTTTGGACCAGCTGTTCGAACTGAAGAGCTATCCAAGAAGCTTGCCGAGATCAAGAGGTTTTTCCCACACGGTCATGCACCAACAGTGGGTGCTGCTGGGTTCCTTCTTGCCGGCGGACAGGGATGGTTCTTGCGAGGCTGGGGTGCAACCAACCAGACCTGGATCAACAAGATGGAGATTGTGGTCCCGGACGGCCGAACAGTCATTGCAAGTCCAACCGAAAATGAAGATCTCTGGTGGGCCGCTAGAGGCAGTGGACTGGGATTTTTCGGCGTGGTCACTCGCTTTTGGTGCAGAACGATGCCGGTCTCGACCATGTGGGAAAGAATTTTCAAGTTCGAGCTTGGAGATAAGTACGAAGAATTGATGACATGGGCGATTGAACGAGGTCGTGATACTCCCAAATATGGAACCGATCTGAATCTGACCATCGACTATCCCGAAAAGTACGATCCAAGTTACACGACAGATGAAATTCCAGCTGGGGCAAAGCTTGTCCTGACCTTAAATTTGCTCTGCTATGCCGACACACTTCGCGAGGCAAAGACCTTGCTGGGTGCTTATGATAAAATTCCCTCCGGAGTTCGTCAACAGCTCGTCGAGATGAGACCTGTTGAGAAGAGAACCTTCCAAGAAGTCTTCGACCGGAAACGAGGGTTCTTGGGCAACGATAAGACTCAGCGATGGCAAATCAACAGCATCATGAACGACCCGAAAGTTCCTTTGCCCAAGGTAAGTGCTGGGTTTGAAGATGAATCCGTCAGCGCTGACATTGTGTCTAGCTACTAGCCGCCATAAAGCCTGCATTGACTGAGTTCCCTACGCGGACGACGTCCGTATTCATGTGTCATTGCGATATCACGCCAGATGAGGAGGACTGTGCTTTGAGTCTGGTGCAAGACCTATACATCTCGACCATAACAGGCTGGACCGACCCCAACTTAGAGCCTGAGATCATGCAACCCATGCGTGAGAAGTATTTCCAAGCATGGCCTGTGAGCGTTGGACAGTACATCACAGAAATCGATGTGAACAATGATGATGCCAATGTAAGTTTCTTGACCCGTTACCCCTTCTTTAAGCCAACTAACTTTTCCTTCTCCTTCTAGATGAAGGTACTCTCCGATACAGCGTTGGCAAAGTTCTTGAAAATAAGAGAGAAATGGGATCCCAAGGGCCTATTCCCAAACTACAAGACATTCATCAGGGCTCATGATAAGATGAATGCCCTTGCTGCCAAAACTCAAAAGGCACATCTTTAGAATAGGGCAAGCACAGCTCAGAGAGCATCTTAAGAAACATCACTTTTACACAAATTTATTGCTAGGACTTAGGCATTGCCAAGTGGTTTTGAGTGATAGATGCCCACTCTTCGGAACAGGGTGGATTCAATCGTCAAGGATTCTACTCATGTGAGATAGAAAATTTGACAGGATCCAGGAAAGCTGTGTGATCCGCTTGTGGCAAGCTTATATTGATCATCAATGCCATGCCGCGCCTCTATCGTTAATCTTATGTACGCATGTATCAAATTTTCCACGTTGAGGACTCGTTTCTGTTGCCACCGTAAAGTCTTCTCTTCAACGAAATGAGCCAAGTGCATCTTAAGCAAGGTCCAAGACAACTCGGCCAGACAAATGACCAGCTTTGAGTTGTTCGAATGTCTAACAATAACATGGTCAGTAACCAAATCCTGTAGGAGTGTGAGAGAACCAGGTCCTGGACATACCTTGGTCATATCATTCATGCCTCGAACCTCGACGTGGATCTTCACTGCACCTCTGGCGGCAAAGTCCAAACACTCGACGGCGTCTCTTTTGGATCCCAAGAGACTTCCTACCACGCTGAGTTCCTTGTCGATTAGTTTCCCGGGGCTCAGTCCCTCGATGTTTTTGCGTGGTCCTCCTGGCAATCCTACACATACCATTGTGCCACCGAATCTGAGCATGTCGGGCCCTTGCGCATATGCGGTATTGTTTCCTGTGCAAATCACGACGGCGTGAGCGCCCTCTCCACCTGTGATTCGGTAAACTTCTTCAGAAGCAGATTTTCCCTTAAGTTTTGTGAGGTCGATGAACTTTTCTGCGCCGCATTCTTTCGCAAACGACTCCTTGTCACCCACGTCTATACCAATCACTCGAAGAGCGAATGCGTTCTTGGCTAATTGGACCGCTATATGTCCTAACCCGCCACCTGCACCGGATACCACGATCCATTGCCCGCCCCTGGTATTGGCTTTACGGAGGGCCGCGTACGTGGTCACGCCCGCGCACAGCATCGGAGCTGCCAGTTCCGGCGATAAACCCTCCGGTATGGGGGTGAGGTAGGATGCCTGTGCGACGACGTACTGCTGGAACGTGCCCGGGTGGTACCAGCCCGAGATGTTCTGGTTGGGACACAGGCCATCCCGACCGTCAAGGCAGGGACCGCAAGAGCCACAGACATTGGCGACTCGTTTAACTCCGACGCAAGCTCCTATTTTGACCGTTCCTTCAGTACCGGGTCCCAGGATGACCACCGTGCCGACACCTTCATGGCCACCGACCTGGCCGGCAGGCACGCAAGGTATAGGCCAAGCATCTATCATGATCTCGAGGTCACTGGCGCAGACCCCGGACTTGGTCCTGTGTACAGATTTACAGTCAGCAAGGAGAACACTTGTTTGTGGGGACTAATTGTTGCTCGATGCACCAGAAGCCACCGGACTTGGGTCCGGCAATACACGTACAGTCTCACTAGCACCTCTCCCGGCCCAGGTTTGGGTGTTTCGAGCTCGACGACTTTCGTACTGATTTCACCAGGTCTGTCGAAGACCACAGCCTTGTAAGTGGCTGGAATATCCATTGGGAGGCTTGCTTCGGACCGGTCTCCCATGGTCGCGTCGTCAACGAACTCGTTAACCTTTGACTCAATACAGAAGACACGGGAAGAAAATAGCATTAAAAAGATAAGCGAAATACAAATACTTGATAAGATCTACCTGGGTAATCAAGATACCAGCCTCAGACTTGCATACTTTCGTATCTTCAATCTACGGAACTCGGAACCCATTCCATACCGGGCATTTGTCGGATCATACTCCGTGCCGTCTCATGTACATTATCAGTCTATCACAACCAATACCAACATACAGTAGACCATTCGGAAGGCCTTATCTATCACTTGCCGCGGAATGTTCCCTGGTGTTTTCCTATATACAATGCACCTTGATATATAGTACAATGGATAACCCACCTTGTTCAGAGTTCATCTGGTGTCCACTCTTGTTAGAAACGTGCGGCATCATCAACCATGGATCCCAACAAGTCTGAACAAAAGTCCGAGACTCTCGTCTCCCCTCACATGGAGATTGACTTGGAACACATCAGTGGAAAAGCCGGCACCCTCGTCGTCGCACCTGGATTTGGCGACCATCCAAAGGAACACTTGGGAGAGGAAACTATCTCCCAACTCAAAACCACTGCGGATGGTCGGTTCATCTTGATCCCTCAGCCACCTGACGACCCAGAGCATGTTTTGAATGTGAGTTGCTCTTTCCTTACTGGTTATTCGACTGGATAACTAACATCCATAACTAGTGGTCATGGAGAAAGAAACACCTGATTTTGTTTGTTCTCTGTACGTCAACCTATTTCCTTTTTCACGGCATTGCGAGCAAATCATACTTACAAAAACCCTTCAAAAAAGTCTATAGTACCCTCATGACAGACATGACATCGGCATGGGCCATTCCTCTTGTGATTTCACAGTCCGAATACTGGGGTATCAGCACTACCAACGCGGGAAGAAACATCTCTGGCAACGTTTTTGTATGTTGTCACCACCCGTTTTGTCGCAGTGGCTCCTCTGATGTTGGTAACTGACGTTGACAAATTCACTGCTAGATGATAGGAGCAGGTGGTCTTGCAGCCGTCCCGCTGACTCGATGGGTCGGGCGTCTCCCAATCTTGTTCTGGGCCATTTCCATAGCATTCATCCTGAACATCGCCGCCTCTGCAACTCCAGGTTGGATGTCATATCTCGTGATACGCTGTATGCAAGGGTTCGTCATCACCTCGCCTCAGGTTGTTGGCTTGAGCATGATTCATGACATGTTCTTCTTTCATGGTACGTACGACTGACTACCACCTACCTACCTTGCTTCGTCCCTTTTTGTCCCTATAGAAGAGGGCAGAAACTGAAGTACCTTGCTTGGTTGCAGAACACGCTCGTAAAATCGGCATCTGGGCATTCTCAATCATCTTCTCACCAGTTATCGGTCCTTTGATATCTGGAGTCATTGTCAACTACGCCAGTTGGAGGACCTCGTCATGGGTCAACACAGGCCTTTTGGCGATTGGTGTTATCCTGATTGTTCTCTTTGGTCAAGAAACAGCCCATGGAGACGAACAAACTCATGTTTCTTCTTCAAAGAGCAGCCCAAGTATGACAGAAAGACTCGTCGCAAGAGCAAAATTGCTCACTGGCATCACCGGATATCAAGCTTACCACAACGGTGTCAAGCATACTATTCAGGATATGTGCATAGTTGCGACTCGACCACACTTTTTGTGTGTTTGTGGTGAGTTTCTTTTTCCTTTTGTATTAAAACGCCTTGACAAGAGTCTGCGACAGACAAATCATACCTAACTAATACTGCCTGCAGTTTATTACCTCCTCAGTTTCATGTGGAGCATCGGGATCAACGTCACACTCACATTGTTCTTCGTACCACCGCCTCCGGTAGGGTATGGCTACAGCACGCTTACCGTGTCTCTGTTTTATTTCTCGCCCATTGTAAGTTTATATCTCTGAACTTCTGGATCGAAACAGAAGGAAAATAAATTGACACTACCTGACTCTGTGTAGATTGGAATGTTCCTTGGTGAACTCTTTGGTCATTGGTTCAATGATTTCATCTTTACCAGACACATCAAACGCTCGCGTGGCGTGTACGAGCCCGAGGTGAGACTTTGGATGGTATGGATTTCTGTCGTTTTGTTGATTGGGTCATTGGTACTGTATGGGTACGCTTTGGCGGACAAGATGCCATGGATAGGGCCCGTCATGGCTTATGGGATTTATGGGTTTGGTCTCGTCACTCAGACCGTGGCCATTACAGGTATGTCTTGCCTTTCCCTTGTCAATTTATCCATCCAGCCACTTTATTTGTAAAGGCAAATCGGGGATTGACCCTTTCGTCAGCATACGCAAGTGATGTATTCCCAGATCACACCGTCGAAGCTTCTTCAATCATCAACGCTTTCAGAGTCTGGGGAGGTTTTATTGTCAACTACTTTTTGGTCAATTGGGCAGAATCAGATGGTCCTGTGGTGTCTTTCGGAGCTCAAGCAGGTATTGTCGGAGGTGCTTTTCTTCTCATCATCACTGTTCAAGTATTTGGGTCTAGGTGGAGAGGGGCTTTTCCTTCGCCAAAGAAACAGACATGAGGAGTTGACCTGATTTCAATCTTCGAGTACGCTAGTCGAGTAGACAAAACGGTTATTGAAAGGTTGCCATTGTTTTTGGCGGAAGACCGAGAGAGATTCATGGGGGTCAAGTACAAGGGCTCTGCAGGTCGGTATCACGTCAACAATGGTGTTTGTTGAAGGTGAAATAAACTTACCATGGACTTGCATGCTCCCTCTTCACAAAACACTTGACGACATGTTCATATTGATTGCTCGGAGGAATCAGGGATCAAGGCACTGAGATATCTGCGGATGATCTGTATATACGGGTTCAATGCCTTTGCTGCTGAGCATATGTCACAAGCTAAATGGTTTTTCACTCCGACGATGACTCCCATACTCTCTCGCCCTCGAACCAAGTGCCCATGACGATAGCCCCCTGGAATTCAGCTCGACTCAAATCTCTGTCGACCATGATAAAGTTTGCCTTTTTCCCAACCTCTATACTACCCGATATGTCATCCCTACCAGTGGCTTCTGCACCGGATAAAGTCAGCATCCTCACAATTGCCTCGGCGGCGGCAGTCCTGGTGGCGGCACCGTCTTCGTCTTTGAGTGAATCTGGCATGGCACTCATGACATTCTCCAAAATGGCAGCACAAGGTGTCATTGGTGAAGGGTCTTCGTTGAAATAATCACTTCCGATCGTGACGTGAGCACCGCTCTTGATCATCTTTGCAAAGTCCCACGTCGCTAGACCGTCCGGGGCGGCGATATCTGGAATGGGAAATAACAGTGACGGCGACATTTCTGCGGTCACGTTAAGTTTCTGGAATCTCGGGTAATCATCTGGTGTGTTTCGTAAGAAAAAGTCAGTCTTGTTGAATACTAGAGATTGATATCAATCATTAGCTGTGTACGAGGTGAGCACTCACCATCGTGAACGCCGTTACAATGAGCAACTTCGTGTTTGGGTCCGTTTGGGTTGGCTTTCCTCAACTCTTCGTAAACGTCAAGTGCCCTACGCGCGCTGCCTTGGCCGGTACAATGTATCTTGCACGTCATGCCCCTTGCGTCGAATCTGGTGATGAGATCTGCCAGATCATCAATCAGGATCTTACTCTCGTCGACCTCTCCCGAATCCGTGAGTCCACAGTGAGTGAAATACGGGGCCATCGGAATGCCGTCGAGCATGAACTTTATAAAGTTGGTCTGGATGTGTCGCGATTGATACTTTTCCGCATCCTCCAGAGTCTTTTCGATCATGTCTTCCGGTTCCTCGGCGAGCCAGATGGGTCGATAGGCGATGTGAGTCTGGACGTCCATTTTCAGCTCGCCGGCGTCGTCGAGTTCCTTCAGGCCCGTCAGTGCCAGGCTGTTGGCGGACGCTTCCTGGACGCTGGTGACCCCGGCGCGCTGCAGCACCTGAATGGAACTCAGGAGGCACCTCTTCGCGTGCGACCTGGTGGGTTTCGGAATGGTGAAGAGCGCCTTCTCCATGCCCCTCTCGGCCACCTCCCCCGTGAGTTGGCCGTCCGGCCGGCGGAGGTACCTGAACATTTTCTCTCCGTTGGGCTCGCCGGATTCGGCGTCGTACCCCGCCCGCTTCAGTGCCGCCGTGTTCATGAACATCGAGTGGCCGACCCCTCCGCGGAGGGCCACGGGCGTGTCCGGAAACTCGGAATCCAGGGACGAACGATCAAAGTCGTCAATCTTGAAGAGATCGCCGATCAGCCAGTCGCCGTACTCGTGGGGGCACTGGCACTGACACCCGGGAGACTTGAGCCTCGCAGCCACGTTCTCATTCGTCACGTCGTGGCCGGGTTTGACGCTGGACAAGTTCGAAAGCCCGGCCATCAAGAGATGGGCATGGGCGTCGTGGATTCCGGGCATGACAAACCGGGATCTGAGGTCAAACGTTGGGAGGCCGTCACGACGGGCCAATTCCAGAATTTCGGTGTTGGACCCCACGGCCACAAAAGTGCCATTTGGGGAGACAATGAAAGCTTCAGCATGAGGCTGAGACTCTGCGACGGTATAGACGTTGCCCGAGTGGTAGGCAACCGCTGCCGAAGAAGAAGACATATTGGTCGAGAATTGGGAGGGTGGGTGCTGAGACTGACCTCTTTTCCGGTTGTGTGGCAGGTCGTCTCGTACGCATGAATCAAGCCCCAGTCGAGGTGCTTTTCGGCTAGATACTAAGATAGGCGATCAAGATCTCGACCCTGGCCACGAAGAAATGTTGTTATGTACCGGGGGATTGGGTAAAAACAAGAAGCCAAAGATACCTAGTGAATGTATTGAGGCTGAAGTTCTTGTGGGAGCATGGGCTTTTCCACGTGGCGGAACTGCATAGACACGAGTATTCGGAATGCTATCTCAAAGATGGGGACGTACTTCGCTTGTCTCGACGAGGATCGTATCAAATGTATTTGCGCGTTCGGAACCTCCGCATGTTTGCCGAGTGATCAAGAGGTCTGGGCGTCTGGCAGCCTTGTTACATGTGCCACACAATTTGTAATTTTGTGTGCTTTACGACAACTGCTATACGATCTGATACCATGTGGCCGTCTTGGATCATCATGAAGCATGTTTTGCATCCGTAGATTGGTAACGTGGAAGAGTTTTTCTAGTCGTGTCCTTCTGTCCAGGATGCTACAGGATAGCTGCTGGGAGGAAACATGTTTCTTGCTGTAAAAGCGTGAGTGGATACAATGCAAAGTCCAGGATATACACCTGCTGTCAAGAGTCATAAGAGAAAAGTGCCGCGATGTGAGGCTGGTAAATGCCGGGTTCAGCTGTACGTTGTTCTGTTAGGAGGGAGAGGACACAGATAGGGGTGGGTCGACGCCGGAAGATCCGCTTTGCTTCCGACCGAGACGATAAAAAGGGTAGTCAGACCCCACAGTACAGTATACGGGTCGAATACACACACGGTCGAGAATCAGCGAGCTTCATGACCATGCGACCTGAACACCCTCCTGGAACTATCCCGCTGCTTGAGCGTAAGTAGCCCAAATTCTCAGGTACAGGTTGGTCAGAAACTAAGACCGGGATACTAGGGCAAGCCGCAAGCGAGGCGTTGAAGGTCGTCCTCGTTCCTCATCCTTCGAATGACCCAAATGATCCGCTGGTAAGCATTCAGGCACGTGAGGCCATGGTGTTTGAGTAACAGAGTTGGAACAGAATTGGAACAACTGGCGGAAAGCCTTCAACTATCTCCTTGTCCTTGCAGCGACCTTGGCAAGCTTCACAGGGTATGATGACCATGCTCGGTTGAGTACATTGGTTGACCAAGAATTGACAGCATCATGATCCAACCAGTGCTTTGGCCACAGATGGTAGAAGACATGAAAATGCCCATCACGGCCTTTCAGCATGGGCAGTCCGCAAACTTGGCCGGGTTGGCCACTGGATGTGCGCTTTTCGTGCCCCTGACCATCAAGTACGGTCGACGGTCAACATACATTGCATCTGTCGCCGTCATGGCAGCTGGATGCTGGTGGACAGCAAGACGGACCAGTTATGCTGAGGTGATTCTGACCTCCATCATCATCGGCTGGGCTGGGGCAATCAATGAAACAGTGGTCCAGATGACAGTGAGGCCTATTCCCCTTTTTTAAGAATCACATTTGACGTAGTGTACTTACTCGAATCTCTCTAGATTGCGGATCTATATTTCATCCACCAAAGAGGCAGAGCCAATGCATTCTACCAATTGGCCGTTGTAGCTGGCGGCTTCCTCACCCCAGTTGCCGCTGGTGCTCAGGCTACGGCTCACGGATGGCGATGGTGTTACTATACCCTCGGCATAACCCAGACCATCCTCGCAATCGTCTTCCTCTTTGGCTACGAGGAGACAAAATACAACCGCGTCTCCAATGGCTTACCTGACCTGCAATCGTCAGTACAGCTGGATGGAGTGAAGACTTCCCTCGACCAGGATCAAGATCTCAAAGAGGGCCAGACAGATGTGCAGTCCGAACCTGGCCTCGCTGTTTCTATAACAGAAGCAGAGATACCAGCCCCGAACACATATTGGCAACGTATGCGCTTCGTCACCACCACTCCAGAATCGTTGTGGAGGCTTTTCATCGCCCCAGTATCGGTCCTCTTCCTCCCACACGTCTTGTTCACCGCAATCCAGTACTCTTCCTCAATCTGCTGGCTGGTGCTATATTCAGCCACGAGTCCTATCATCTTTTCAGCTCCGCCCTATCTATTCACGGCCTCTGGACTCGGGAATCTGTTGTTAGGTCCCTTGGTAGGAACTATCATCGGCAGCGCCTATGCAGGCATTCTCTCGGATCGACTTGTTGTTTGGCTTGCCAAAAGAAATCACGGAGTATTTGAACCTGAAATGCGACTTCATCTCCTCCTACCGGTCTACTTCGCCATGGGTGGTGGTCTCATCATATTCGGGGTGACTGCAGCTCACGTAAGTGATTTGTTTTGGTTTGCGACAAGTGGTGATATGGTAGCTAACTGTGGTCAAGGGCCTGCACTGGATCTATCCAAGTATCGGTGGTGCTTTGTTCGGTTTTGGCTTCAGCGCCATGGGAGATATTACCTTCACCATGGTCATAGACATATACTATGAGGTACATTTCAACAACCCCTTTTCCCCTGATGTGTCTGACCTTGACTGACTGTGTATAGCTTACCGCTGAGGCATTCGTGGGCGTCACCTTTGTAAGGAACGCGATCAGCATCGCCATGCCGTTCACAGTTAGTCCGTGGTTAAAGAACATGGGAATGGCAAATATGTTCATCGTTGTCGGATGCCTCTGCTTTGGAATTGGGATGGCGTATGTGCCTTTGCTGATATACGGGAAGAGGATTCGTACTGCTTTAGGTCCACGTTATTACAAATTGGTGGAGAAGCGGCGGTTCTATTGAGATCTGAGGTCAAGTTTCAAGATATTTGCCTTTCATAAACGAGCAGTACTGACACTTGGTCGCGAGTAATTGAATGAAGCAATTCTTGGAAATTGTTGGGAGAGACACGAGGGAACGACTGTCCTCGGATTAGTTGCCAAAAGTGGAAGCGGCCTTTCCATCCAGCGCCTTTTCATCCTTGAATACTTTGTCCACTCCGTCTCTCTCTCTTCCTCCTACTCAAAGATGAGGGATTCAAAGTGGCTGTAGTTCAGCTTCCCACTTTCTTCTCACTCCTCTGATGCTCCGGGTACGCTTTGTGTTTGCCTCTTCGTTTGGGCCACGCTTTACGCCTCAGCCAGACCCAAATACTGAGTAGCATTCACTCAAATCCCTCATTCTGTTCTCCTTCCCAGTGACACAGTCACCCCCAATCAACGACCGACTTCTATACCGACTTCTTGTCGTTACCGTCGTCAAGCTTGTGAGGCGTTGCCGACCTTACAGCGGCCGTGTGCTCCTCCTATCCAAGCGAATCTGCATCAAATATGGTCGGCTTGTTAGCCTGTCCGAGGAATCTGCCATGCGCTTCATTTCTAAGCACACGTCGATCCCGGTACCCAAGGTGATTTGCGCATTCACTCACCATGACCAGACATACATCGTGATGCAAAGAATCCAAGGTTACATGCTCGGTAGCGGATGGGTGCATCGCGGCCCGGAGTCGCAGAGGTCACTCCTTTCGCAGCTCAAAGACATGATTCGAGAAATGCGGAGCATTCCACCTTCACCAGGCCAAGGAATTGCAAATGTTGATGGTGGGAAGCTCTACGATTGTCGCCTGCCAGGTTCCTCCTTACGTTTCGGGCCATTCCTCTGTGTTGCCGATTTTCACAGCCATCTACGGCAGGGCATTCGCTTCCATCCGGGACATGAGCCCGAGGTCAATAAGCTCGTTGATCTCCACAATGGGCAATGGCCCTTGGTCTTCACGCATGGTGATCTAAGTAGTCTCAATATACTGGTGCGAGGAGACCAGATTGTTGGGATCGTTGACTGGGAAACTTCCGGATGGTTTCCAGCTTACTGGGAAAACACTACTGCTTGTCAGGTCAACCCTCAGAACTCTTTCTGGCGTAATGAGGTCAATCGATTCTTGGATCCGCTGCCGTTAGAACTGTCAATGGAGCATATCCGTCAAAAATACTTTGGTGACTTCTAGGAAGGTAAGTCTCCGATAGCATCGGCTCGCTCCTTTCAAATAAGTCATCCAGGAATGCCATTGAGAAGTTGAAGACTACCATGCAGAGTTCCGACGTTGCAAATTTTCCAAGAAGGATGTTCAAATAGATGTGCGGATCAGACGTGATGTTATGAGCTCTAGGCGGACCCTGGTCAAGGATAGCTATGGAGAGGAGTGGGCACAGGGGGCACAGAGGATCTGATTCTGACATCTGTCCCGGCGTCGGCATGTGAAAATCTCGTATGATATACACAGAATGAATCAAACTACTCATTTCTCTCCTCTACCTTCCTCTACTTCGGCCTCCTCAAATCCTCCATATCCTCCAACGTCTGAACATGCACCATCTTCGGCTTAACGACCCCCCAGACCTGGCCATCTTCATCTCCATCTCGATCTGCACCCTTCCCGGCAACCACGCTGACTTCCTCCATTGCCACCTCTCCTTCATCACGCCCACTCTCTTTTGACTCCTTTCTCCTCGCCTTCCTTTCCTCCCACCACTCCAGGCCCTTGTTGACACAGGCAGCAAACACGACAAGCAACGAACTCACCACCGGCCCCCACTGTCCAATGGCCATGTTCGCCTCATTGACGGGATATCCACCACTCAAGAGGGCCAACTCGTTCAAGACGATATTCGCCACCATCAACGGCAAACACAGCACGTCAATGGCAAAACTCAACACCAACCAAGGCAACAACATGCTCGCCCAGCGGAACTTGACCCAACACCATCGTATGCGCCGAATGTAGCCCAGAAAGACAAAATAACCGCCGTACCACGACTCCATGCTGGCCTTGTACACGACCTTCGTCAACTCCCCCGCCTGCTTCCCGGGGACGTCGCGCAGCAGATACTTCATGACCAGCCTCGTGCACAGAACACTGGGCGTATGTTCCGACGCACTGTCTACGCTCAAGGCCGCGTATGCCGCGAACTGTATGGGTCCGACCAGGATGTAGCTCAGCGAGGTGTACTTTCCGTGCAGGACCTGACTCGGCACGGCCACGATCTCGCTCGTCTGTCTCAGGGGTTTCGTGATCCCGAAGCATTTGTAGGTGCAATCGAAGTCGGACCCTTGCAGTTGGAGGATCTGGGTCAACAACAGCCTCCCGGTCCCGGTGCCATTGCCGTTGGACCAGCACGCCCTCTCGCCCGCGTCGACGGGGGTGTCAAACAACAGCGCCCTCCCGAAAATCAACCCCACCCCGACCAACGCACCCCACAGGAGCATCACCACCCTCGCCCGGCTGCTCCTCAGCGTACTGCTCCAGTGCATCATCCCGATGTAGCCCAACGCGCCCGTGGACAGGACGGCCCACACGGCGAGGATGTCCAGGTCGAACACGCCGGTGCGACTCCGCACCAGGGTCATCATGTGGATCGCCGCCGTGCCCGCGTACGTCAGTGCGCTGACCAACGCGCCGATGATGAGCCATTCTCGACTCCGTCCGAAGATGGCGGCGACGAGGGTCACGTAGTAGAGAAACCGTGGAAGCACCCCGTAATTGCCCGAGATCGAGTAGACGCAGTTGATCGTCGTCACGTTGTCGTAGTGGTGCCCCGACATTATCGGCGTTGACGTCGACATCGATGAAGGTGTTTGCGTGAAATACACTACTGGATGGCGTCTTTTTCTTCAGTTTGAGTCGGCAGGCTCTTGTATCCAAGGCCAAAGGTGCACCGTGTGCGATTGCAATCGGTCAAGCGCATCTCGCGCATTGATTCAATCTTTGGCGACTGCGATCGGTACACTGGTTTTGTCCTTTCGTGAGATGGAAGGAAAGAAAAAGAGAAAGAAGATCCAAAGACTGCGCCTCAATTTACATGGCCGAAACCTTGAGTTAACACTTTATCATCACGAAAAGCTTGGGGAATGTTGGAAAAGCGGGATGAATACGAGGTGGATGCAACGCCGTGCACATGGGGGCCAAAACCAATGACATGGACACGTGAAGCACACGTGACGAGTCTGATTGACTGTATTACCTAATTAACCCGGAGCCGCCCTGAAATAGTAGCAGTGATATGGAGTACATATCCGTACCTATCTTTTGACCACAAGGTAGTCCTTTTGAGGGATGAAATGTCCTCGGTTGACACAATCACGACTGCTTCACATTGCCGAGGATAGCCTGGGACCACCATACCCTAAACGCCCAGGGATCATTGTCCAAAATTCTCACCGTGACAAGTACAGGACACTTGATGTATGCTAGAAGGCGGGATTTGACCGGGTATCGAGGCATAGTCTACACACTCACACACAAGGTACACCAGTACGTCGCTAACCAAGTACTATATCCTTCCATTCTGGCCCAGGTTCGAGAGCCCTTGACAGACTCTCGGCCAGTACCCGTCCCAAACCTTCCCGGTAGTAGATGCCAGCTCGTTTCGACACCAACATGACATTGTAAACGCCGTAATTTCGCCCCGCCAAAATGTCCTCGACATCATCAGGCAATGTGCCTTCCCAAATTGTAAGTTCGTCATCAGTAAACCGGCCGACTTTGGACATGATCAAAAATTCAAAACTTCGACCGGCTCGATTCATCCAAATAAGGTCGAGATCGATGGTGCCGCACCACAATCCGTTCTTGTCTGCTATCCCAACTCGAATGAGACCAGGATCCGCGGGTGCCGGCCTCACCGTTGACAATGCACTGGGACCAGTAAGTCGCTTTCTCAAAGGCGAAATGACCGACTTGTGGATGAGGGCGGGAGAGGTGAGTGTGAAATGGGCAGTGACAGTCCGGAAATGTAGCAGTGGGAATGTCTTGCTCATATTATGGCTCGACATGGGTTGTTCATTACCAGCTCTTTCGATCGGAGGAGGTGTTCGCTCGAATCCTTGTCTGGGAAAAGTGTGAATGCCATCATCTCGATCAGCATGCCATTCGATCCATGACCGTGCAGGTTCCGTATACTTCCACTGTATTTCCCCCACCCATCCTGCCCAAGACCAACTGGGGAACCCTGGCCGTCGAAGCAGTCTCTTATTAGATTCCCACGTTAATGATGAATCCATCATGGTTTCCAGGGCACCATAGTATATTTTGGCGCCGATTCGTTTTTCCAGCACCAGTTGAACCCCTTCAAAGGCATTCAGGATGTCTGCTGGGTTCGTGAGCTCCCGACGTGTATATAACTCGACTGCTGATGTAAATTGTACAAAAGGTCTGTCTCGGAAGATCCGTGTTGGCATATCGATCGAGTCCAGTGACCAGCCGTTGCCTTTGGGCATTTCTATATCTTCGCAGAATGTCGTCCGTCGACACTGGTAGTATATTCGTCCGTTCACAAACAACAGGCAACGTCTCGACAACATTCTCTCTTGGAATGTCCAGGCCCGAGAATCCCACTGTGAGGTCGATATGTAATCTACAGGGGTCAGTAACAGACGCAAAACAAAGGAGGAGAGACCCTTACCCTCTGCAAGATGCGACACCATCAGGCGTAGGCCAGGTTTGACTTCCTCAATATTCTGGTGGAAAGTTCGAGATTCCTTCCTCACGCCTGGTAAGCCTGCATTGGCGTCTTTCCCCGACCCAGCAACGACCGTCACAGTAGCTCGTGCATAGACCCAGTCATCGTGGTACTGAAACCCGTCATCATGTAAGAGCGCTAGACTGTCGGTCCAGAGATATCTCTCTCCAAGCATCTTGGTGAGTTTGATGGTGTCCTTGATTGTTCGAGGGAGTTTTTCTTTTTCTAGTGCTCCGGGCTGTGACAACTTTGGGAGATTTTTGGATGTGGTGAAAAGTTGCATGAAATTCTTGCCCCATAGGTAACTCAGGGCCACGTATCTTGAGGACTGAGGTACCGCAACGATACACATGTTATTCACATCAATGGCTCGAAAGACATTCTTCGGTTGTCCTAATAGATCGGGATGCACCAAGGATTCTTCACACTCCTCTCCGTGAGTGGTCTCGCAGACGTGGAGCCATCTTCGCAGGACCTCCGCGTCCAGAAGGTCCGGAGATGTTATTCGACGCCCAAAAAACTCCCGGCTTGGTGCATCGTCGGCCAAAAGCACAATGTAGCCGTCCTTGAAGGCTTGGGGGTCGCTATATATCAACAAGCGACGTGTTTTTGGTCTAAAGATATGTTCTCCAGGTCTGTCCGGATCTGGCCCTGTATCTTCCTGCCCGTCTACCACCCAGCGTGCATAACATACGGGGTCGTCATCTGCATGTAAACTTGGAGTTCTCTGGTCGAAGGGTCGATCTGCTATGGCTAAAATCAGCCGACAAAAGGGACAGTGTGTTTTTCTTCGTATCTGCGATAGTCTTCCTAGATATCTGAATTTGTGCTGTTTTTCATACTCGGTGTCTCCCGGTTGTACACAAAAAGATTCCACTCGGAGGTCCAGCCGCAGGCAGGTATCGCAGAGGTAGGATTCTTCAGGGGGTGTTCGAAGCTCCTGCACGTACGGTCAGTCTCCAGGAACTTGTTTGAAGTCTGCAAACGGTAGGAAATATGCATACCCCGGATCTCACCCATGGGCTCAATCGTCCGAGGGTTCTGAACTTTTTTGTAAGACTTATAATGGTGGCATTAGTGCTAGGCCCGTCCACAGGCACCGAACTCGACATCTGCGTGCATGGTGTTGTTAATACCACACGATTTGAGAAACCTCGTGGAAATGGCTTACGGATATATCATTAGTCGTAGATTGGGAAGTGGGAGTCGAGGATAAATTATTGTTGCTACCTCGAATTCGTGGAGATGTCGATGTCGATGCGGAGGAAGATGTCAGTGATGGGGACGATGCCTGCACCTGGACCTGGACCTGGCGCCGGCGTTGGCGTTGGCGCTGGCGCTGGCCCGCAACGGGAGGCACGAGCCTAGAGAATTGGAACGTCATGATTCTTCGGGCTTCATGGGGGTGCGTAACAAGAGTACAATGGGTTTGTCACAAGCAGACACTGTTCTCGATGTAGGCTCGATTATGTACAAGGCATCACACACATGAAAAGCAATCGCTTCCCATTTTTGCCTCCTTATTACCGAATAATTAATATTATCTCATCCAACCAAACCCCTGGCTCACTTCAATCCTACTCGCTGCTGGTTTGTGGCGATGATGTTCGTCAGAAGGATCATTGGAGCTGAACTGTGGCTGGTGTGAAACAGAAGCGAACTGGCCTAGAACAGGCTTTGGCATGCCTGTTGCTGGCCTAATGAATCTTTTTCCTTACAAGGCTGATGAGGCGAGTTCAGGCTTACAAAAGGGTCTTTGGGCGCAGCTACGGAGTAGATATATCACGCTTACAATTCAGCCCGCTAACCGAAGTTCTTGTCTTTGCGAACCATTTCACCATGAGAAGGCAGCTCGTGAGCTGCTGACATGAAATGTGTGACAGTGGCCGTATGCCGCCAGCTGCTCAGTCAGATATGTAGACCGATGAGCTTCCCATTCTTCGAAGTGCCTTTAGACAATTTTTCCTTTCCGTACTTATCAATAGATCGTATTGTCTGGTACTCGTGCTCGTACTCGGACTGGCGGGGTAAAAAGTCAAGATCTATCTAGATATGCGGCATGCAGGATGAGATCAACGATGAAGAATGACGAGACTTGGATCAAAATAAAACCACAAAATAAAGCATAGATCATTTCCCTCTTGCTCCGTATTTGTACAGGTAATGAATGAGTCGACAATCACTGTATCTCTTGCACCTACCAGTACGAGTACTCGTGCTTTGTTATCTCTCGGTCCACGCCGAAGAAGCGTTACATGGAGGTTGAATTGTGGGTGAAGAAACAAGCCCACCTCGGTAAATTGCGTCATGCGTGGGATGAGTTGTGAATTGCCATGAATCAATCCAGCCTACTACCTTACTTACTGCATGGTACTCAATCCCTCCTTCATCTTCATCACGCTCAATCTTCCACTACAGGAAAACAAGATTCGTTCGATTCTTTTCATCAACAACAAATCTTCATAGATTGAGGTTTTTCGCCTGGACACTGTCTCTCAACCAACCTTATCGCCAGATCCGCGCCCGACTTATTAAATTCAACAGGCACCAGCCCCTCGAATCCCGCATACACACACACCGACCGATCAACATGCCTCTCTTCAACGTAAGCCATACGCAGCTCTGCGCAAGTATCATCAAAAACTGACCGTTGTGTCGCCTTCCACAGGTCACTCTGAAAGAAAACGCTTCCCCCGAGGAATTGACCAAGGCCAAGGACAAGGCCAAGGCGGACGGCGGCTCGATCAAGCATGAGTTCACTCTGATCAAGGGCTTCACGTACGCTTTAGACTTCTTTGAACAGTCTCACTAGCATTTATAGATACTGACCATGACTGTGTAAAAATAGTGTCGAGTTCCCTGATGACAAAGTCGGTGTCCTCCAGACCAACGAACACATCCACGTCGAACAAGACGGCGAAGTCAAGACACAATAGGGGGGTGCGGACGACTCTTGCTTTCAAACACTCGTCCTTTTTATGATCTTGCAACGATAAGACATCAAGGAAATGATGCTAGGAAATGATTGATACATGAACTCAGACATGCGAAATTGAGGGAGCGAAGAAACGTGGAGCTAGGACTGGAGCTGGGAAACACATGGGCAAAGGCGTCTTGTGTCTTGCTCTTGCACATCCGAGTCATTTTTCTCTAGAAACTACAGCACAAATCTCCAGACGGGGAAACTAGGCGCGCTCTATTCCAAAGAAGATCATCTCTAAACGATTTCCCACACCTTTCCTCTCTACTTAGAAATCCGTAGTTCTTCCATTGTAGCTCCATTCCCCTGACGCGCCCCATCTCAAAGGTTCGTTCTTGGGCCCTCCAACCTCTCCGGTCTTTGGGTTGACGTCCCCTTCAAACTCGGGCTGCGCACCGCGAACGATGTTGGGGTGCAATTCCTCACCGTCGCCCCTCGCGTCGATCTTGGTGCGGTCAAACTGCTCTTTGATGAAGTTGGACATGCTGTCCCCGAGATCCTTTTGTCTGCTCGCCGACTCAGCCTGGATCTTGTCCACCCTCTCTTCCACTTTCGTCTGTGCATGGGCCGCCTCCGCGGGTCCGGAATGAGGTGACTGATTGATCTTGGGCGGTGGCGTACGTGGCGTCGAGAACGCTCCCGTCGATGAACGTTGCAGGGCTTCAAAAATCTCTTGCTCTTCCTTGGGCAATCTCGGTGGCGCAGGTCCGCCACCGAAACTGTTGAACGGAGATGGAGGAGCAGACTTGGAAGATGAAGAGTCGCCTTTTCTCGAGGTAACGGAAGTGCCGAAGGACCGTGATGGCCGCAGTGACCGTATAGGAGAAGATGTGAAGAGGTAGGCTCGAGGAGCAAAAGTGATCACCCCCCGAAGTGATGAGGTGCTGCTGGGAGACTTCATAGTTGCGACTCTGGAATCGAAGCGGTTGTGTGCCAGGTATGAGGTGGTTGTGGTTTGTATCACAATATTCAACTGATGAGGGACGGTTCAAAGAAAACAGGTGAAATTTGTGACCGGAGGGGACAAGATAGCAGAAAGTGGCAGTTTAGCAGTCGACAAGTACCTAGGTGAATAGCCCAAAAACCAAAAGTTCTTTGATTGACCTCTCCGACCTCGTCGGTTGTTCTTCGGGGCCGTTGTGTTTGTGGCGATTTCGGCTTCAGCCTCGTGTGGTTCCCTGTCTCATCATCATCATCATCATCATCATCAAAAAAAAGACTCCCCCTGAATCCCCTAGAAATTCTACAAGCAGCATTTTTACGATTGTGCGCACTCAGTTTTGGGAATCTCTACCTAGAATTCAAGACCGGAAAATGTCCCTAGGTACAAAATGATCTCTCGTATGTCCGTCTCAGTATCAAAGTCAGAATTCTCCTCTCTCTCTCCGCGCAGTGTGCATACTCTTCAGTTTACAGGTAAAGTGAAAATACAGCAACTTTTTGGATTCTCGAGAAAAAGTCATCATCATTCTTTCTGTCACCTTGTTACGATATACGATTGCGGACTTGATAGTGCTCGTGTACCTGGTAGTGAACAAGAAAAGAAGGGAGAAAGGGGGAAAAGAAGATTGGTATTTATATACCAGATGAGTCATACGTACGGAGTAGTAACTGCTTGTCCGTAACCTTACACGGCCCAAAGTTCACCTGAAGCCTGGTTACTCGGTGCAAATGTCTGAAAATCACAAAATTAGGAGTTTAACGTATCCTGCACCAACAAGACCCCAGCTGGAAACTCCATATGACAGCGCAGCCTAAGCCCTGAGGGCATTCTGGTAGGAAAATGGAATACATCATACTCAGTCTATCACCTTTCGGTTGACAAAAAAATCAAGCCATTAAAATGAGGTCTCTGGCGCGATGTACCTTTCGCGCCATACAGAGAAATGAAGTAAACATAGAAAAACTTTCAGCGCGGCTCCTTCAAAATCGAGTAGCCACGGTCAACCCCATCAACGCCGTATCTCTCAGGTTTTGCTGCTACACTTTGGGCATTGAGGGTTCCCAATGTCCGCGAGCCAAGCACCACTGTTGAATTCGGCATACGCTTCACTGATCTGACCTCCAGGAGTAATTGTGAACATGTCCATGCCCTTGACTTCGTATTGACCAGACCCGATGCCTTGAGCGACCCATCGCCACGCAATCTTGGTGCATGAGAAGAAAATGTCGAGAGTATTCAGGACTGGAATGGGAGGTTGAGATCCTTGTCCAATAATAAAGGCTTCCTTGTTGGGGAACGTGACACCGCTGACCTGTAAAACAGCCAGCCAGTCAGTCACCTCATGAGAATATGTCAAGAAGTCGGGGCACCCACATTTTTGTTGGCGAGGAAGTTGATGGATCCACTGGTGTCCGTGAATGTTGATGCTAGGAGAGCATTTGCCTTGGAGCTGAAGTCCGGTGCTTGCGGGGCAGTCAGAAGAGATGCAAAGGTATTGACGATGTAAGTGGCCTCGGCTGGGCTGATGCAGGTCCCCGTTGGCATAGGGTTGCCTAAGCAGGCGCAGGCGCTGCTGTACTGGGCCGGGTTGGTACAAGCAGATGCATAGCTGGGCACAGTAGGCGTTGGGTTGGGGCTCGTGAAAGCAGAACAATCAGACTGTCGAACCGCAAGGGGTGGTCCTGCGGTGGTTCCAGTGATGGCTCTGTACGTGGTTAAATGCTTGGCCACAACTCAGAGAGCTCCTTTCATACCTAGCACAATTGTCGGCCTTGCATGTATTTCTGTGGTCCAGGAACGGGGTGGCACTGGCCAATGCCAGAAGGCTGGTGACGGTGAAGAGCAAACCCTGCATATTTATTGCTTTCTGGTTCTCGAGGATGTAATTTGACAGTTCAAGGTAGGCACACAGCAGGACAATTGGCAGGCAACCTCGAGCGAGATGTAGGGTTATATAGGTACGGTCAGGATGATAAAGGGGTAACGACAGAAGTCCGCCGTCCATATTTCACCGACCTTACATATAAACAACTCAACTGGAATTCTTCCACAAGTGGTATCGATGGTCCTTGAGTGTATAATTAGTACCCGGAAAGTCGATGGATCGACCCAGATCTCCGGACCATATTGACGGGCTCGTGTAACGCTTCTGTCATCGAATTTTATCAGGAGGCACAATAGATGCCCTTGCAAGGCTGTGGCTGTCTCAGCCAGCCCCTTGCTAAAGACAGGTTCTCCCTGGCAGGGCGGAACACCGAGTCTAGCTTCATTTCGCAGATGAGTGGCAGCATATGACGGACCGCAGAGAAATTTGTGGCTTGAGACATGTCAATAGGACACCGGTTGTGTTTCAAATGAGAGGTCGAACTCATAAAACATTCTCAACCCCTTGCACACAGCAGCATCAACATTGAGGAAATGCAATTTTAGAATCCTGGATCTCAATCAGCGGTGAGATCTCTTTCATATTCGTCAAGATTGTATTTATCGCATTGTGAAATGGAAAACCAAGAGCAGGAGAAAAGTCAACTTAGGAGGAACGAGGAGTATCGTAACCCTGCAAAAAGGAGTACAATATTCTGGTCGCATCTAATCTAATCAATGACGATGATACATCAACCTCCATCTTATCGCCGATATCGTTGTTCTCCGCAAAGAATTTTCTTGCCGCAGTTGTTGGTTTGTGACTCTTGCCCCAGAGAATCGGTGGATGGTTTCGTCTGCACGCCCTATGCACTCACTCGCATGAGTCAAAGTCTTGCCCTACTCATTCTCTTCATATTTAACCTGAGGTCGCACTGTCATTGAGTCTCAAGACCTTGTAAACAATATGGCTTTCGCAGTCGGCAAACGAGCTGCCTGGTCGCGGTTATCGCAACTCCCGTATCGAACCTCTGTCCGTCGTTACGCTGCCAGTCCCGCTGCAGTCCCTACCTCCTCTACAATGCCTGTCTTGGACCACAGTCAAGCCCAGCGCGAAGTTTCATTGCCCAATGCTGACCCTCCGGCGGACTCAGCTACCGCTGCCTTTCTCAACCAATCCGCCCCTTTTATGGTCCCGACCTATGTGCGGCCCCCGCCTATGATGGTACAAGGAGAAGGCTGTATATTATATGACAATGAAAATAGACAATACCTTGATTTCACGGCTGGAATAGCAGTCAACTCGTTGGGTCATTCTGACCCCGAGATCAGCAGAATTATCGCCCATCAAGCACAACAGTTAATTCATGCTTCCAATTTATACCACAACCCATGGACGCCAACCTTGTCCAAGCTTCTCATCGAGGAGACAAAGAAGCAATCTCCCGGTTCACCTTTCACCCAGGCCTTCATATCAAACTCGGGCTCCGAGGCCAATGAAGCAGCAATCAAATTTGCCAGAAAGGTGACTTACGCGAAGGATCCGGCAACCAAGCAAAGGGATATTGTTTCCTTCCACGGATCATTCCACGGCCGCACATACGGGTCTCTGTCGGCAACACCAAACCCAAAGTATCAGTCTCCATTTGGCCCTATGGTACCTGGTTTCCGTTATGGCACCTACAATGATGTCGCTGCGGTCAAAGATCTGGTCACTGAGAATACTGCCGGAGTGATCGTGGAGCCAATTCAGGGCGAGGGAGGAATCAATGTGGCAACCCCAGAGTTCCTCCAGGCACTACGCAAGAGATGTGATGAAGTGGGAGCTGTCTTGATCTTCGACGAGATCCAGTGTGGACTCTCTCGGACTGGAGATCTCTGGGCATACACGGCTTCAGGAGTGCATCCCGACATCCTGACAACCGCGAAAGCACTTGGCAACGGAATTCCCATTGGGGCCACTCTGGTGTCGGGCAAGACTGTTGCACCTTTCATCAAGACCGGTGACCATGGCACAACCTTTGGGGGCAACCCATTCGCTTGTCGGGTGGCTCATCACGTCTTTGGCCGCCTGGCAAAGCCACAGTTGCAGGAGGAAGTCAGGGTCAAGTCTACATTGTTTTTCAGCGCTTTCGAGTCAATGAAGGAGAAGTTCCCAAGGGTCATTTCCGAGGTCAGAGGCCGTGGTCTGATTGTCGGGTATCAATTGAGCGACTCTGCCAAAGCAAAAGCTGCGGACGTCATCACCGCCGCGCGAGAAAGAGGACTACTCATCATCACAGCCGGAGATGGTGTTCTTCGGATTGTCCCTCCCTTGGTCATTTCTCACGAGGAGATCAATCGGGGTCTTTCAATCTTGGAGGAGGCCATTACTGTGGTCTACGAAAAGCCTGATCATGTCGAGGGCACTGAAGGGCAACAAGAGATGGCAAGTAGATGAAGGGCCTGAAAGTCCTTTTTTGAGGCTCTTCGGGTGTTTCTTGAGCTGTCTGACTTCTCATTTACTCTCTCCTGCAGGCACAATCATGCCGTGGACCCCACGATAGTCGGGACGTTGCGCAGGAGCCCATTTTCCAGCCAAGATAGCGTTCTCGTCGACCAATTTGAAAACTTCGACTTTGAGAGGTCGACAGCACTTGATCATGTCTTTCTCGCTGTCGCTACCAAAACCCCACAGGGACAAATCCCCGCCGGGACACGTGGACAAGGCCATCAACAGATCCTGCTCGGCGAAGAACTCTATATAGTCGCCTGGCTGAGCTGGACAGGGGTTCATAAAATACCGTCCCTTGTCGTCCAACCCGGTCACCTGGAACAGATTGATGACGTCGTGGACATCTGACTCATTGAGACCGAAAGGTATCACGGCCCTCGTCAGGTTGGAATGGCAGTGGAAGTCGTACGAGGCATCCGGTCCAGATAGCAGGGTGTTGATGTAAGGGTCGCAACGTGTCCCCAGTAAGTCGTGGACTCGACCACCGGTCTCATCCCTGCCGTACCAGGACAACGAGTCGGCGATGATTGTAGACAGAGGACGCATATATGGCAGACATGACCACAATCGATCGTACGTCGTGACGTGAGAAGAATGCAATTGTTTCGTTCGAGATGCCCAGAATCTTTCGCGAGGGTTTGCCGCGTTCCAGATGTTTAAATCACCTTGGGAAAAATAGCACACCATAAGCATTCCTGTTGCTGGGATTTTTCAGAAGGACAGAATAACTAGATACTTACCAACTTGTGGTCCTTCGGGAGTACTGATTCTGACTATACTTTTGGCTGGTGCTTTCCACGCACGTCCCGATCGAATGGGCAACGTGAATGACTCGACCAATTCCCTCTGCCCTTTTTGAATAGAAGTGTACAATTCTTGATCTACCGTCAAGGGTGAGCCAGCCGTGGGTAGATATGCCGGTTGTGGAGTCGGTAGAGGTTTTCTCGCCAGGAGACGTTCTTCGTCTGATGACATTTGGACTGCCATTCTTATGGTGTTCCTGGGGAGGGAAGAAAAGAAGCAGACAACAGAATGTCGTCTTCTTGTTGTACTTATTTCATATCCTACAAACTCTGATATGTAAACTGTTTCATATGATTACTTACGAAGGATGGAGGGACATGACGGACAAGTCCGAGCATGGGAACAATTCTGAATATGTCAAGTAGGTCCGAGACGGATGTGGGCATATATAACAAGATGTCGTAAGAAGAATCAGTGGTGGAAGATTGATTTATCTGTAGTAAATGAAAGGTTGAAGAGTAGCTACCTGATACACGTGTGGGTTGTGACTTTGAAGTTTCGGACGAGTACGGAGTACAACCTACGAATCTTTTGTTTAACACAATGGGACGTGTTGCTGGAGGAGGAGGAGGAGCCCATGGTACAACCGCCTCCAGGTTCAACGTGCTCATCATAAAAAAGACAAAGTACAGGATTGATCAATGGCTGAGGTGCACAGGTTGATAAAACAGGAGAGACACTTGAGGAAGAAGAAGGACGAGAGGAGAGGGATGACAGAGGGAGAGAGAGAGAGAGCTTCAGCGGCTCTCACGGTCATGGCGTGTCTTCTTCCCCTAGAGGATCTACTCCTTTACTGGTGCTTCCGTATATATGAGTCACTTCATACTCTACAAGGGTTTACAAGGTTATGGCTTGATCTCAATCTCATCTCGACTTGACTGTTGGCGGATAATGTCTAGTGCATTAGCCGCTCTGAACTATCTGATACGAGTATTAGAAGTGAGCAGCAGAATCAAGAACCATTGTAGTTGTTTAAAGATCGTTTTCACATTCACGGCAAAATCATGTATTACCAACTCAAGCAGATATTCGAGGACTTGGCTGGTGGAATGCCAGGTATAGAGAGACAGCAGTGTAGGTATCTGTCCTTTGACCGTGGGTACCTGAGTGGTGGTAGCATAGGCCTGTAGCCGACGATTGTGGGGGGTTTCAATTCCGAAGTCTTTGGGTGTGACATTCCTAAGCATTCCGCAGCTGCGTGGGCCCTTTTTCTCTGAGGATCGATTAGTACTCCGTAGAGAGTAATGCAAGGCACAGGCCCCTCGATTTCTGGCTACTGCTACGGAGTAAGAAAAGAGCGTCTAGGCCGTTGCAGGGATCAGATCCAAAATCCAACTCCCGCTTCCGCCCAATTTTTAGAAAGTGGCGCTAAATCAATCGTCTGCCCGCATATCAATTTTCCACTACTGTCTGTAATACAGTACATACTCCATAACTGCGTTCGCTACATACGAGAGAGAGAAGGAGAGAGCACAGGTCGGCAAGCAGCAGATTACAACACTCGATTTATGAGTCAAGTCTGTGCATAAATTCTGGTCTCTTTTCCTCTTTCTTTTCGCCTACATTCCCATTACCATAATCATCACATCACGAACCATGGCGGAAGGGATCAAGGCCACTTTTGCACAATGCAAGAAGGAAAACAGACCTGCCCTCGTGGGATACTTCACCGCAGGTTACCCGACCAAGGAGGAATGTCCTGATATCATGTTGGGCCTACAGGCCGGTGGTGTTGGTGAGTTGTGCTGTGCTCGCGAAAACTCCATGGGCGACCTTTCAAATCATGTCCTGACCAGATTGAAACTCTAGATGTCATCGAACTCGGTCTTCCTTTCACGGATCCCATCGCCGATGGACCCACGATCCAAAAGTCGAATACGGTCGCCCTGGCCAATGGTGTCACGGTCACTTCTTGCCTCGAGTTTGTGAGGGAAGCCAGGAGAAGAGGCCTCAAGATCCCTGTGCTGTTCATGGGCTACTACAACCCCCTCCTGCGGTACGGAGAGGATCGCATGCTGAAAGACTGCAAGGAAGCCGGCGTGAATGGTTTCATCATGGTCGACTTGCCTCCCGAGGAAGCCGTCCGGTTCAGAAACAACTGCAAAACCGTGGGACTTTCATACGTGCCTCTGATCGCCCCCGCCACGTCGGAGAAGCGCATGCAGTTGCTCTGTAAGATTGCCGACTCCTTCATATACGTGGTCTCGAGGATGGGCGTCACCGGCGCCACGGGGACACTAAACACCAAACTTCCAGAGCTGCTGGCACGGGTACATCAATACTCCGGCGGTGTCCCCGCCGCGGTCGGCTTCGGCGTCAGCACCAGAGACCACTTTTTGAGTGTGTCCAAAATAGCCGAGGGTGTGGTCATCGGCAGTCAGATCGTGTTGGAGCTCGGAAAGGCAAAGGAAGGCGAACGTGCAAACGCCGTCCGGGAATACTGCTCACAAATCACCGGCCGCAAGGTGGGCGAGTTCAACAGCACCAATGGATTAACGAGGGAAGTTGGAATCGTCGAGACCATGGACGCTGCAAAGGAACCGAACGCGACCACAAACGGCCTCAACGGTCATCAGGTCCAGGTCGACAAGGTCATTACGGACGCAGATGTTCCTTCGGAGCCAGGTCTAGCAGATCAGCTCGATGCTCTCAATTCAGCTACCAATGGAAAGACCCCAAACCCCGATGCTATTCCTGCTCAGTTTGGCCAGTTCGGCGGTCAGTTCGTCCCAGAATCGCTGATGGACTGCTTGGCGGAACTTGAAGACGGTTTCGAAAAGGCACGAAACGACCCTGAGTTCTGGAAGGAGTTCAGATCATACTACCCATACATGGGACGACCGTCATCACTACACCTGGCGAACCGACTGACGGAGAAGGTGGGTGGAGCACAGATCTACCTCAAACGAGAAGACCTGAATCACACTGGAAGTCACAAGATCAACAATGCTCTCGGCCAGATTTTGCTGGCGCGGAGATTGGGCAAGACTAGAATCATTGCAGAAACAGGTGCTGGTCAGCACGGTGTCGCCACTGCTACTGTCTGCGCCAAATTTGGTCTTGAATGCGTTGTCTACATGGGTGCCGAAGACGTACGCCGACAAGCCCTCAATGTCTTCCGTATGAAACTTCTGGGTGCAAAGGTTGTTGCCGTCGAAGCTGGATCCCGGACGCTGCGAGACGCCGTCAACGAAGCGCTACGCGCCTGGGTTGTTGACCTCGACTCGACGCATTATATTATCGGTTCGGCCATTGGTCCACACCCCTTCCCAACGATTGTGCGAACATTCCAGAGCGTCATTGGTCAAGAAACCAAAGAGCAGATGCAAGAGCTTACTGGCAGACTGCCCGACGCCGTCATTGCTTGTGTCGGTGGTGGTTCGAATGCCGTGGGTATGTTCTACCCGTTCAGCAAAGATCCCTCTGTCAAGTTGGTCGGGGTCGAGGCTGGTGGTGAGGGTGTCGAGACGGGCAAGCACTCGGCCACACTTTCCGGTGGGTCGGTTGGCGTGCTGCACGGTGTGAGGACGTACGTCCTGCAGAATGAACACGGTCAGATCTCGGACACGCACTCGATCAGTGCTGGTCTGGATTATCCTGGTGTTGGACCGGAACTGTCGAGTTGGAAAGAAGCCAGCCGAGCCAAGTTCATCAACGCCACGGATCCTCAGGCTTTGATCGGTTTCCGCACGTTGAGTGAGACCGAAGGTATCATCCCCGCGTTGGAGTCGAGTCACGCCGTTTACGGGGCGATGGAGGTCGCCAAGACGATGAAGAAGGACGAGACGCTTGTGATTTGTTTGAGTGGCCGTGGTGACAAGGATGTTCAAGAAGTTGCGGATGAATTACCTAGACTTGGACCTGGCATCGGTTGGGATTTGAGATTCTAAAAATCGACTCATATCGATCTGAGCGAGTTCTTATCGTCGCCAACGGGGTTTTCCATTAATTCCTTTTCCTTTATACCTGATTTGGGTACAAAAGACTGTAGAAGAAGGAGAAAGGAAAAAGACACTGTTAGTATACACACGGAGTACGATTAATAGTGTCAATGTTCCATGTGTTTTGTGTCCATGTGTTTTGTGTCCATGTGTTTTGTGTCCATGTGTTTTGTGTCCATGTGTTTTGTGTCCATGTGTTTTGTGTCCATGTGTATGCGTGTGAATCTGTTTCTTGAGGCTCAGGGGTAAGTGATTGTAGGGATGTGTACACGGTCCATGTTTCGTATTCTACATATTACTTTGCGGGAATGTGGGAGATCGTGTCGGCCCCCAAATACTAGATAGAGAGACCCATGGCCCCTTGAGGGATATGATGGCTTGGATATGTTTAGGGGGTCCTTGACCTGGACCTTGACATAATTCAAAGTCTTCAAAAAAACAGAAACTCATCTTCATCAAATATGATCATGACCTGTTGCAATACTTTATCCATCTGATGTCCCTCTGATTATTCCTTCAATGGACGAAAATAAACAAACATCTAATCCCGAACGCAATTCCTTGGGAAGTCCCAAGGAAGTCTGACCCAAGGTGTCTGCGTACCTACCTAGGGAGTTATCAATCCTCACATCCGTCCATCCATCCTTGTCCTAGGCACTCTCCTTCTTTTTCTTTATGGTCATGACGACCACGGCGGAACCACCTTCGACCCAATCCCTCCCTCTCCCCTCGGGCACCTCCTCCAACAGTTCCACGGACTCCCTGAACACTTTGTCCACCAGGTCCTCCACCTCTCCACGTTCGAGTTGTTCCTTGTGGGCCTCGCGCCACCTGGTCACGGGACTCGCCGTGCCCAACATGGCCCGGGACTGTTCAAAGGTGGCTCGGCGGCTCATCAGGAATTTCCCGTCCGGTCCGATGTGACCCCCGTCGTTGAAAACCTGCCTGGAGAATTCCGACTTTTGGAAAGCACCCAGCAGGGCCCGGCCCTGGTCGTCCAGGTTCTCATCGGCAGGGTATTCGCTCCAGGGCAGGGGGAGGTCGGCGTACAGCCCCCTCGTGAGTCTGTTTCCTTCCATCTCGTAAGGCTTGAGGACGACGTCTTCAAAGTCTTGCCACAGCTGCTGAAGTTTGGCCGCGTTGGGCGTGGTACGTTCGTCGACATAGTACCCCTTTGTGCACCACATGATGATGCTCCCACCCGGTCGGAGGATCTTGGACGCTTCGACGTAAAAGTCGGGAAAGTCGAACCAGTGGGCCGAGGTGCCCGCGGTGATCAAGTCGACCGTGTTGTGCGTGGTCCCGTCGGAGGAAAACCGTTTGAGCGCGTCGATCGAGCTGATCGAGTCGGAGGCGCAGACGACAAACGTGGTGGGTTCCCCCGAGGCCGTGACGCAGGGGACGGTGCGCGCGGTCTCGATCATGGACCGACCCGGGTCGGCACCCACGGCGTGTCGAAAGCGAGGCGCCAGGGACCGAGTGGCGGTCCCAGGGCCACACCCGAGATCCAAGAGGACGTCGAGTCGACCCCCACTCGACGTGTGTCTGTCGATGACGAGTGAGATCAGCTCGTCCGGGTAGCCTCGTCGGTTTTTGGCGTACGACTGTGCGGACGTGGCCGTGTAGTTGCGGAACGTCGGGTCCGCTTGGTTCTTTGTGGTCGCCATTTGTTGATGAGAGTTGAAGTTGGTGGTGGTGGTGGTGGTGATGGTGGTGATGATAATGAGATAATCTTTCCGGAGAACAAGTTTATGGTGTTCTTTGGTTGAAAAATCACTGATGATCGTACAAGGGTGTACCGAGTTCCTTACTGTACGGTCGTTATATCGTTGCTTTTTACTTGACAGAGTGTCCAGTACACACAATGCGAGTACTTACTTCTTGGTGGGAAAAACCAGTCGGGAACTTGAATATGCCGAAAGTCGCAATGTTGTTCTCTCTTTGAGCACCTTGGACTTCTTGTACGGAAAGATGTCTCGAATTTGAAGCAATCGGAAATGTGTTTCAAGATTAGGCAGGAAGATTGAAGACCCCCCAAGAAAAGGTCCGAGATAGTCCGTTGACACCGTGTTGGTTGTTACCAAGAGGGTATCTAGATATATATGTCAAAATGCGCTCCGTATCCGTATAAACACACGTACGCAACTCTCTCTCTCTCTCTCTCCCTCGCAAGGTTGTACCTTTTTCGTATAGGTCGATGGTCGTACAGATTTCACTAAAGGCCACTTTGGATCTGTGACTTTTTTGCCCACGTATGTACTCACTCGTAAGGAGTGTTTTGTTTTGGGTCAAAAAGAATGAAATCAAAGTCTTATTCCAGACAGGCAGAACACAAGGAGCAGCGAGTGAGTCATCAAGAGAGATGAAAAGGACCTAATGTGGACCTGGTATTGGATGCATGGATGCAAAACCACCCTTACTGGTCGGTATGAGTAACGGCTGTCCTCTACAAATATAACTCCATAGGCAAGTAGAAAGGACTGAGTCATCCATAGCCCGCTTCATCGGGGTTTCTTACTGCACAGCCGATGCTCTACATACTGCAAGGAACTCGACGTACTCGGATTCGAAGTCCAAGCTTTTGATCAAGCTTTGTCCCAAACAAAGAGTCTCAACTATATATCCATCTCGAGTTCACATACTCCGTACACATGCAGGGGCTAATACTCTAGTAGCTGGTATTCAATACGATTGGAGTTCTCTTGACAGGGTGTCCTCTCCATCATACTGAACTAGGCTGAGTGAGTCCTACATACCGGGCTCTCCGAGTGATAGACTATTGGGAAGTGCATCCTGTGCTCATGTCGAAGGTAGAAAATTCCAAGCATAAAAATCTGTCCAAAATCAGGGACAGTGCAGTTTGGCATTATGATATCTCTCTGTCTGTTCACAAAATAAAAAAAGTGAAACGATTGTTGGAAAAAAACAAGAACACGCTTGTACGCTGACAGACACACACACACACACTTGGTAAAGGAATGTTTTTCCTGTTGCCCAAGAAAAAAAATGACCGTGGTTTGCTTCTCATGCCAGCTGTGAAGCCTCAAATTTTTCAAGAAATCCTCGACCCGAGTGAACTTTGTCTACCACTGCCCTTAGGTACTGGTAACAAGGACATTCTCTTCCCCTTGCCACTCATGGCTAAAACACTGCTGGGTCTGGTAATGGTCCGTTTCGACAACGGACTGGAATTCGGTTCCGTAATCTGATCCTCTTCTTCCATATCATTGAACCTCTCATAGTCGTCCACACTGGGAAGTGTTGGTTCGCGGTTCTCACTTTGGTTCTCAATTCTTGGATCATGGCTGAATGACCGTGAAGATACGCCGGTAGATCGTCCATAGCTCCTGTTGAGGGACGACGGAGGTCGTGCCAGTGGAACTCCGCTCATTGTCGGTTTATGCTGGCTGTGCACGGCGAGTGACGATGGTGACCTTATCGTGCCCACTACCGGGGCGCTTGGATTCCGTCCTCGATGGTACGGAACAGGATCCATCAATCCACTTGTCCGCGCCGGCGAAGGATCAGCTACCCGCTCGGCGAAAGACTTGAACTGTTGACTTTGCCTCCTTGCCATGGTAGGTAGGGTAGAGGGCGATGCCGAAGTCTCTCTACTGAGAGGACTCCTCAGAGGAACGGCGGTGGTTGATGATATCGACCGAGGCGTGTATCTCCGTGTCGTCAATGGAGTGGTCGTGGTAGATGAACGATATGAAGGCGCCAAGGTACTGTCATCCGACTTTACAACAGCCGACCATCTCGGTTTATTTGACGCTGATATCTGCCTTGATTGCAGGGCTGGAACAACAGGTGGATTGTATGCTCCCTGACGATAAACCGATGGTGGTCCCGGCATAGGTGACACTCCACGTTTGATGGCACTGCTCCCCGCATGCGACAAAGGCGTTGTCGGCCGTCTTGTCTGTGGAAGCAACGACGAGCGCCGATTGGATAGCGTGTGCGGCGGCGGTCTGCTCGATGATGGTGTCCGTGACTTGGTATATCCATTTAATCCATACTTCGGAGTAGAGGATTGGCTTGACTGTGGTGGGAGATCAATGGATGACGGAGGAGAGCTTCCTGGAGTCCCTGCAAATGTTGTGCTCGACAAGGACCGATCAGCCGAAACAATACTAGAGATCGACTCTCGGAGTTTCGAGTTTTGTCGAGTATTAAACGGTTCCAATAACGTCTCCAGATCTTCCATCGTATCGGTCAGGTCTCTCATTCTTGAGGACAAGTCTTTGTGAAGACGAAGAATCTCTCCATTAACAGTTAAGCGGTCCTTAAGGCCCTTCTGGATAATAGCAAGTACCCTATTGATGGCTGGGCCGTAGTGCATCTTCTTAGCCTCAAAACTTTCAATCCTCTTTGCCAAAGCAGCAGGGTTGATGGCCTGGTAGTTTTCGTGTATGGCTTCTTGCACTTTCAGTATGCTCCGTTCAACAGACTCACACATTTTCTGTGCTTGTCGGCCAGCATTACGGAACACAATCACCCAGCGATCCTCGCTCAATTCTCGGCGGAGATTGTCGGCTTCTTTGGACAACTCGATCCAATTTCTCTCCAATCGATCACGTTTATCGTCAAGCTCACGGCAAGCATTGGGGAATATCTTCTCGGCACGAGTCTGAAACATCGACATGCGCATGGGTAGAAAATCAAGGGACGCCCTGAGCGGTTGCATTCGTGCAAAAAGAGCCAGCAGATTCGAATCATCTTGAGGGTTCTCAATAATCGGAGACCCCAACGGAGATGATTCGAAAGGGGGGAGGCTGAAACGGGAATTAGGAGTGCTCTTCTTTTGAGATGGCTCGTCGATGAAGCTTTCCAACTCGTTCAGATCGATATTCTGGCCGGGGCCCGCTTGAGTCTGGGTCGTGTACGCCGCATGCCGTTTCTCTTCCATTTCGAACACCAATTGGCTCAGGCTGTCCATTTCTGCGCCAACATCCCCCAAGACTTTCGCCCATAATTCTTCCCACTCCATGGCAAGTTCAACCTGCCCATGTATTTTTTTCAGTTGTTTTCGCACATTGCCCCATCCTTCCAGCGTCACCTCCATTTGCTCCACGACCCCTTGCAACTCCTCAGTCTTTGCATCGGCGATGTCGGGTCGTGTCTGTAACTCCTCGATGGAAATAACATAGACGTTGATGAGATCTTCAAAAGTATTGACAATCTTGTCCGTTTCATCTAACCCCAATCTTCCAGCTGCTGCAGCCCACTCCACGTCCTCCTCGGCATCAAGATTATCCAACACTTTCAGGGCCTTCTTGATCCACGATTGTATTTGTTCCGCGGCGCCTGTCAGTGCCTTGACGGCCTTGCGGGCTGTTGGCAGTGTCGTCACCGTGGCGGCCAGAGATTCGGCTTGAGGTAGATTGATCGCGGTCAGACTTGCGAGTTGACTGCTAAAGGACGCTCTCGAGAAGGAAAAGACCGAGTTGCTTCGAGATAGGCTGTCAGGAATGACAAAGGAGCCGGCATCGCTATTGGGGCCGGAAGAGGCGGAGGATGAATGGTGAGAAGGAGGTACATCGTTGGTGGGAGCCGGCACGAGTAATTGATGGAGGTCAAGGTCGCTCTGGGTTTCCACCATCGACGGGCGACGCAGAGGAGATGTCATGCCCGACAGAGTGTGTAGGATCTAATTCTGCTCAGTCGACTGAAATTTCTGGCCAGGTGACCCGGAGCGGGCACAGCAGCGTGGCCGGTGTTGTTGTTGGTCATAAGCGAGCATTCACTGAATCAACCAGGGGATTCCGAACGTGATGACGGCGGAGTCGAGGGTATTTTGGTGGTAGGAGGTCGTATATGATGTGAAGGCAACAATAGTGAGTGATACTAGATAGACAATTGCATCGAGATGCGATGGGTTAGAGGCGCAGGCGAGCGAGTAGACGAAACAAGAGTCGGAATGGCAGCGAGTTGTTAGAGGATCAACTGGGGGTGGATTGTTTGGTAAGATTGCCAGAACTAAACCGCAGCGAACGAGGTGCCGAGTTTTTGGGGGGGAAGCGACGCGCCTCGGGCCTTGTTTCTTCAGTACGAATAGAAGAAGTACGGGCTCCTTTTAGGCTGCTACTTAACTGGGACTTGGCTGTATCTAGGCACCTCTAGGTAAGGCTAGACACTCACTCGCTCCCCTGCACGCCCTGGCTTCCTCCACTAGCTTGGACCAAATGGCCAGGGCCACTCACGTCCAAGTTTCAGCCTCATTAGCCCTTCTTTCATGCAGCCTGACATCAATTCCACGCAGCCCGAACGCGGTTCCTGGCGAAAGTTGACGGAGTAATCGGCACAACAAACAAAAGTCGCGTTGTTTGGTCACTCATCGTCCTCCATCCTCGTACATATAAAATCATGGCTAGCACTCGTGGCACCTGACAATCGAAATGTTGTGGATCGGAGAATGCTGTTTTTCTGCGATTGGAATCACTACCCACACTTCTATTACGGAGCAAACCATGGCGGACAACCGTCCCTGGTTTGTATGCAGGTCCAAGATGCAATCAGCCATTTTGCAGGGCCGGGTGGTGTTTAACCCGGAAATCCGTCTAATTAATCCAGCATATTTCAGCGTCCTACGCTCTTCTGTGCAACCGCATGTGTACCACCATCCTTCTCTTTCTCCATACACCTGAATCGACAGTTAAACGCTTGCAAAGGAAAAAACAACATGGTTACAGAATAATTGCACTCTTTTGTGGTCGAAATCGAGAACCGCCGCTTCGTAGCAGAGAGATATGGGAAGCGTCATGAGAAGATGAGAATTTTTAGATCACTTCTTCTCGTTCCCAGCCTTTGGATTTGATATGTTCGATGCCTTTGCCAGGATGTGGCTTTGAAGGATCCTTGTATTCCGAGACAAACGGGTTGGGATCTTCAGCTTGGTTGAGGTTGCCCAAGGTGTGGTGGATTTCTCGGTGCTTTGCCTCGTCGGCTCGGATGTAATAGAGGAGAGACTTCATGTCCCTCTTGCCTTCTGGCATGTTCCAATACTTGACGGCGATCTCTGGTGCTTCGAGCTTCTCCCAGCCGGGTAATTTGCCACTTTCCAGATCTTCAATGGCAAAGCTGTAAGTCTTTGTCGCCTCCTCCTCTAGATAACCCACGAAACGGTGACAGGTCTTGGGCGAGAGAAGATATGCGAGGAAGAAACCGTTGCTGAAAACTCCCTGGGCTCCGAGAATCATGAGTTTCATGAACCAGCCGGGCTCAGCCATCTTGAGGAACGTGAGCAAATGCATCCGCTCATTGTATGCATCTTCAAGCATCGTCTCGATCCTGTCAACTTGATGAGTCTGGAGTTTGGCAACAGGGGGGCATTCTTATGTGGTTCGTACCATCCATTATCTCTCTTCATTCTCCTAAGACTTCGGAAGTGTCGGAGCATCCCTGCCATCATCCCAGGCACTCCGGCAACTGTCTCGAGAAAGATGAATCGAATCAACCACTTCCGCTCGTTCATGACATATGGCTTGTTTGGATCATGACGGTAGCCAGTGGCAATATCTGTCCCCCATCGAAGAAGGCGAACCGTGTTGTACGCTATTGTATCGGAAAATGTCTTTGGCTCACGATGATCGACCTGGATGGCCTTTAGTTGTTCATCAGTAGCTGTTGGGTGAGGCCATGATGCAGGACTATGCAACATTAGTTAACCAGCTTTGACAGAAGCGGTCATACACATACGTTTGTTTGATATTTGGTAGATCCCTTGGTGGAGGGAAGAAATCTAGTTGAGCTTTGTGAGAAACCGAGAAATTCCGTCGCGATGATGCGTTGAATGGATTCAAGGCGACGTAACTGGTTCTCAGACCAGCTGTTGTGGCTGTCGAGGAAAAGCCCTTGCTAGCTGCCCTTGAGATATGGGCAGTCAGTGTGGGGTTGAACAATGCTCTTGAGGAGGCCATGATCAGTCAAGGAGCAATGAATAATGTGTGTGTACAGTGTCTGGGGTGTTGGCCAATATGAACCTTTCAGTATGGTCTTTGCTCAGCAGAAACAATAGATGGCATTTGAAGGCACAAGGCATTATTATATGAATTTAAAGCAGTCCGGAATAGGCCAGCAGGCACACAAAGCGTCAACTCAAGTCCCATGCCCCTCGTGTGCACTTTGCGACATTTTCGATCAGGAATGGAGGCTTCGGGGTCTGATCTTTCTCGAATAGAGATCGTGCCATATGCCACGGAACACATTGCCAACGGAAACTAGACTGAATTGATGCCCCGTTGTGGAGGAAGAAGGGGTCCTTTTGATTACAATATTGGCCGACATAGGCCGCGTTGCCCACTGATAAGCCCGCTCTTCCGCGTTCCAGGCACTGTTTTTAGGCTCCGACCCCTGTATGACGGTCCTTCTAAGCACAACCAACTCCTGACTCACCGTCCATTCGCTACTTCCAAATTCGATTTCTGGCTGCATAGGATCATGCTCTCTGTACTCGTACTACACTGAAGCAGCAGGCTCATAATCCAAGCTGCGTACTTAGCAGGGCAGGAGTAGGTGTCTCTGGTCCAAAACATCAACAAGAACCGTGGAGAAGCTCGATCTCGCCTCCCTATTCATCTCCCAGAAAACGAAAGGTTACCTAAGTTTGGTGTCATTCGGGGACTGCTTGGTGCCACGTACTCGGGACACATTTCTCAGCGGCGCCGGAACAAAACGGGTGGAGGAAGGCTGCACCAACCTACAAACTCGGGGTTTGCCCAATGTGACGCAAGAAACAGGTCAGCCTCAGCGAATCTTCGGCAATATTCGGAGCATTCAGCGTGAATGACCTTGGAAAATTGTCACAAGTCACAACTTCGATCCAATTTTCGAATCTGACTCTTCTCGATGCTATTATTGTCGTTATTTCCCTCATATCTTTTTCATACCGGCGACTGTCAATGCAAAAGTACGGGGTTCCGCTATGGGAATTGGCGCAGACTGTGCGCTAGAGAAGAGATGCCAATGAAATTCTAGCAAGAGTTTGAGAACCCAGTGAAAGGAAACAGATCCATCTTTGACTCTCCCTTAAACGAGGACTTGAACCTTCCCATGTCAGGGCTGACAATTATAGTCATGACAAGAATGTCCCGTTGCTGCAAAGAGAAATCCATTTGGCCTAGACCGACTGTATCAATTGAATGACTCGGCTCGAGGAGACCGAATACTACGCAACATAGGTATGCAACTGCAGAGTTGTTTTCGACGGGACCATGTCATGCGTCGAAAGATTTCTCACCACTCTTGGACTCGATCTCATTGACCTCGACTTTCACAACGTGGGCAGATCGAGGGCCATCATTGAGCGCGGCTTTCAACTTCTTCAGAGCGTCTTCAGATCCTTGGGCTTCTCCTGTTACCTGGATTGTGTCAATAAGGACATGCATGGCTAGGTGATGCTACAACATACCCGGCCATCGGAAGTGTTCTTTACAAACCCCGTCAATCCATAACTCGTGGCTTTGCGTTGGGTAAAGTCCCTAGACATCATGGTCAATCTGTGCCTCGATTGATACAAATATTCGATACGGAGTAGCTACTTACCGGAATCCTACTCCCTGAACAGTGCCTGATACCTTGAATGAGATTCGTTTCGACATTCTGAGCATTAAGGAGGTATTTGTGATTGTATGATGCGCTTCTGTGATGTAGGAATTTGCATCTTCTCATTTACTCTGGCTTCATCATATTGGCGCGGGGCATGTCAAAGTGATGAATTTGATGACATTATGTGAAGTATGACGCCACAAGCCCAGTGCAAAATTCCTGCCCGTATTAATCCCCGTACGAACCGTACTGTATGCGGAGCTTTAACGAACGCGTTGTATGGTGCCGAGTCCGGCAAATGTCAACAATCATCGGATGCCTGTGCAGTCTCTGTACGTACAGCAGTCAAACTGTCACCTATACCAAAGCTTCACATGGTCTGAGATTGAAGCTCATATCTGTTTGTTGATATCACATCACCGAGTATGCAATGAAAAAGACCTCCGTAGTCTCTGTACCGACTCTGTGGTTTGAAGTTTCGCCTGTGACTGCCGTTGACCCCTGGATCTCTCGCCTCTGGCCAATGGCACCAAAGTCCAATTTCATCTCGCTTCCATCTTCCATCTGCCTCGATCAACTTGTCTGTGCTCCGAGACACTTTCTACCTGTGGCCCTCGTTACCTCGTTACCTCGTTACCAGTGCTCCCATTCTTTTATCCATGTCTGGCTCGTCAGCTTCTTCGTCTTCCGCCGCATATTAGTTCAAAAACACTTATCATAGATACCTCGACCGCCGGTGCGTCGATGTAATCACAACGATCCCTCCCTATATCCTACGTGACCACAGCGTTTTTATTTTCTTCCTCGGCTGCACCGTCATGAGCGTCATGAGCGTCATGAGCACCAACGTCGAATCTCCCTCAGCCGATGTGGCTTCTCCTTCGCCGACTCTTTCCCCAACTCTACTACCTACGCCAGACACGGCCAGCTTGCGATCTTGTTCGGGTATCTCTTCCATCTCCAGCATATCGTCCTCATCGGGTGCTTCCACCGCATCCAAGGCTGCTTCTCGAAGGCGCGGATATGTCAGACCACAAGGGGCTCAATTCGCCGACTCTGCCAAAAACCGAGAAAGTGTCATGAGTTTAGGGAGCATTGCCCATCTACAATACTACTTTGCCCGGACTGGTTTGTTGGACGGGAAAGGCGGGCAGTTGGCCAAAAAGAAACAGAATGGAGAATATGATATTCCCAAGTCCTCTCTGGGCGGAGATCAGACTGTGGTTGACTCGCCTATTGATGATGAAGCACAAGCCCTGTGGGAAGCTGCCCAAGAAGAGGGTGCGGATGTGATGCTGCCTCCTACGGTTTCAACCTATAGTCACCGACCGAACAATGTTGCCCCTCCACCTGATCAGAAAACCATGAAAAGAGAATTGGTCGAGGCTCTTGAGAATGCATTACAAGCAGTCGAATCCTGTGAACGCACGGCGATGGAGAAGCTCGATGACCAGACCCAAGGGTTTCATGAGATACAGGGTCTGCATGTGCTTGATACCACAACCCAAGCCATTCGTGCCGCCAGAGTATACTACACACTTCACCCCAACCCGCAAAGACTTAACTCGATCCGATCGGACCAAGAATTACGGAAAGATTTGCATTCTGTCCTGGATGTCTTGAAGAAGTGTGCCTCACGCAACTTCTCCGGTGGCTTTAGAGAAGACGAGCGATTGGCTGTACTGGTCTGGGTCAGCGATGTTGGCATGATGATTGATAAGGAAGCCAAATTGGAAGAGGCCGACAAGAAGGAACGAAGGGACTGGCATTGGATGGATGACGGCAAGTGGATCAACAAGGACCGAGAACGGGATATCAATTTCCTGAATTTTCTCTTGAAAGGACAATGTCAGAATCCCGCAGATGGGAAACTCGACAACGATCCCGACTACTTTCGACACCTCGCTGACGGGAGATATCTTGTTCAAATCCACAACGCTGCTGTCCATCGATCTAAGAAGCATTTCGACTACATCAAGTCTTTTCATGAAGACATAGCAAAGCCATATCGACGAGCCGACAACCTACGCTACTGGATGAAGGCGGCCGAGCTGAGATGGGAACTACGACTCAGGTTGGACGTCATGGCAGTAGCGAATCAGGTCGACACCGATGGGACCTGGACAGCATTCGAGGAAGTGGTCCGACAGTGGTGCAATGGAGTTCGTGCCGAACTGACTAGAGATTGGAACGGTGAAGAGGAACGAAAACTTCATGCCCGTGCAAGAAGTCTTGCAATGGCGAGCCCCCTGTCGAGTCCGGCAAGACGAAATTCCCCAGCTCCTCCACTTCCCAGTCCGTCAAGAAGGATGATGATTGCCGGTCCACTGGGAAGCCCATCCAAGCGGGCAAAGGCCATAACACCTCCTGACAGTCCTAGCCCGACATCAGCCCCAGCTTCGTGTGATGAGGAAGCCTAAGTCCAGCTTGGATTTTGAGAGAAAAAGGAAATGCCCACGGCTCATTGTGGGCAAGACACTGCTTTGACAAGCGTTCCAGCCATATAACGATACCCACGCAGCATCTTATTTACCTTTACAACACTAATCTTGAGAGGCGGCGCGGGAGAACACCCTTAGTACAGAAAAGGCGGCAAGACTTTGAGACAAGAAGTAAGGATGTCTTGACTGTAAAATGGTGGTTCAAGTCCAAGTATAATATTCTAAATTCACCTACAGAGTATTGAGTATTTCATTGAGATACCAACTCGGCTTTTCAACCCTTTAATCAAAGCACGAAGCATCCATTATGAAGAGAGATAGTAGCTTTGTGAAGGTATAGAAACTGATATGATATGCCTTTTGAAATATGAATCGTTTCTTGAGTTGTTGTTGTCTCGTATTCTGGATGGTTTCTGGGTGACTGGTGTACAATGACTGCATCCCATCGGTTAACATATGGACGTTAGAGTAAGAGTGGTTTGGAGATCAGCAAGGAGGGGTAAGGGTATTTCGAGAAGACATTCATCGTTGTGAGGACCGGGGGCTTGTACCAATGATATTCAAACTCATGGTCTGGTCTTTCCGTCGGAAAGATTGATCGACATGACTTTTTGCGGGTGGATAAATTCGCTACGAGTACGGAGTACGGAGTACTTCTCGTTAATACCTCTTACTCCCCCATTGATTGATGTATTCGTACTCCTTGCGGCTTATCTTTTCCCCGCAGTTTTGTTCCCGTACCGATGGGTCGGAGTTATGGGGGGGGGGAGTCGATCTCATGGGAGACCATACGGAGTATATACGAGGGGGGATATTCGCAATCTCAATCGCAATCGCCACCCATCATTCACTCTTGACTACTACTACTACTGTTCTACTTCAGTACGAACCGGAAGTCGATAAAGAGAACAAGTATAGAGATCTTCGTCGTCGTCACCATCATCACCATCATCATCATGGCACCTGCTCTGGACGTCTACGACTCGTCCTCCAAGGAGAACCGTACCGTTGGAGCCCTCGGCAAGACGGTTTCGGGTAAGAACCTCAAGATCAGGGCCCCCCCTCAGTACGAGTCTCTAGAGGAAGAGAGGTTGTACCGTAAACAACATCTGGCGGCGGCTTTCAGAGTCTTTGCCGACCGTGGTTTCGACGAAGGTGTGGCGGGTCACATCAGTGTCCGTGATCCCATATTGACCGATCATTTTTGTGAGTTTTGAGAAACCTTTTTTTTCTTCTTCATAATATACAAATACGAGATTTGATTCTTCTGATCAACGATATATATATATATATAACCTCAGGGTTAAATCCTTTGTCGATGCACTTTTCACAAATTTGTGTTTCGGATTTGATCTTGGTGAATGAAGATGGTCAAGTCGTCATGGGTGATGAACCTGTACGTCCTCTCTTTCCCGACACCTACCACTCACACCCACTCCCACCTCACCATCCCTGTCCGGCGACCTATACGACAAAGACATATTCACCCCCTCGTCGTTCCTGTCTTTAGATCAACGCCGCGGCTTTCGCCATTCACTCGGAGATCCACAAGGCCAGACCCGACGTCCACGCCGCGTGCCACGCCCACAGCGTCTACGGCAAGGCCTTTTCGGTCTTTGGTCGCCACCTGGACATGATGACCCAGGACGCCCTACGGTTCTACAAGTCCCACGGGGTCTACGACAACTTCGGCGGGGTCGTGTTGGACCGGGAGGAAGGGAGGCGCATCGCGGCCGCCCTGGGGGACGGCAAGGCGGTCATCCTCCAGAACCACGGCCTCTTGACCTGCGCAAAGACGGTCGACGCCGCCGCCTTTTGGTTCATCAGCCTCGACAAGACCTGCCACGCCCAGTTGTTGGCCGACGCCGCCAGTGCCGGGTCGGGCCACCGGAAGAAGCTCATCAGTGACGACGAGGCCGAGTTCAGCTACTCCCAGGTCGGGACCGACGAAAAAGGTTGGTTGGCCTTTCAGGGTTATTACGACGAACAGCTGGCCAAGACGAAAGGGGCCTTCTTGAAGTAACGACCTCGGAACTAAGTAGACATCGGCACTTGCACGACAGGCGACGGAGAACGGATGCAAACGACCAGCCAATCGAACGGGAGATGAATCAAATTCGAATCGGAACAGTGGTACATACCTTGTGCTGGTTACATATCATTTTACTAGGGACACAAGTTACCACGTTATGACTGTCTATATTTCTCAAATAGTATGGATATCCATGTTGCTAATCAATAACATCGTGTCCACACCCAAAGTACCCCACAGAGTAACAAGCCAAGGTACTGTAGATATCTACTCAAGCTAGCCACGGTAGCTAATTGTAAAAATAACACCGAAACTCCTCATCTCACAATGGGTATCATGCTCTCTGTACGGAGTACATTTCCACGACAAACAAAAATCCCCTTGTGGTACACCTCAAGTCAATTATGACTATGGATGCGTGGTTCCCTTAGAACCAATTCCCGTCTTGTTCCCTCCCGCTTTACCATCCTTCCTATTCTTCAAATTCAGTCTCGTCGTATCCACCAGGGACGGAAATGCCGCTGCAAAATTTGAACCGACTGACCAGTTCTCGAGTCGTCGTATGTGTCGCTCAAAGACCGGGTTCATGACAGGCTCGGCCTTTTCAGAGGTTGATAGCAGACAGTCCACATCATCGTAAGGCCAGTTCACATTCAAATCACACGTGAATGGAATAAACCAGTTCTCAAACGGGTAGTCGTGGTAATTCATAACCAATCTTTCCCGCATACGTGGCCAAGGGAGGTGGTCGATCCACGCTGGATGAGGTGTAAACAGTTGTACTGGGATAGGTCGCATCCATTCGGGCATCTGTTCGTAGTTTTCCTGTGTTGGATTGATTTCCCACCGCATCAGGATGAACATCAAAAAGAGCGTCCCTACTCGCTCGGGCAACTCGGAGATGTTGGGGAATTTAGAGATGATATCTGCCATCAATTGCGAGACTGGATCAACCCGGTGGTCACCCGATGGATTGAGCAGTGAGGTCACAGAGGGATGAGGGTTGAGGACTGCGTCAGGACTTGAATTGTCGCGTTGACGGGCTTGGAGGAAATTGAGGAGGAGTCCATCGAGAGGGCATGTGGGTGCCACGTTCTTCGGAAGTGTCGTCCAAGGTGTCTGGATTTGGCTCTCGGAAACGACAGAAACTGGACCTGGATATGCAGCAGAGGTACGGCGTGATGGCGAACTTGTCTGTTGCATTGCTGGATTCGAGGTTCTTTGGCCCAAGCTATCCAGCAGAAAATTGAAAGACAGACGCTCTCCAGATTCATTTAGCTCGAGTCCGCGCTGGAGATTATCGCGCTGGTGAGTGAGAGCATCTCGCGATGCTGGCCATACCCGGTTGTTATCACTGCCTTGCTCTTCTTGCGTAAAAGGCGATGGGTATGCAGAATTGTCCATCTGGCCATGAGACATGTTAGGAGACGTCGTGAATTGCCGGCCACCTTGCTGACCGTTCAAGTAGGGATCCGAGGCTGGCATGTTGTTATGATGAAACGCATCGGGTTGCTGACCTAGCGCAGTCTGTACATTGTGTTGTGCCGCCGTTGCAAGGTCTGCGTGAAACTTGTCAATAAAGTCCAGTCTTTTGGTATCAGGGCAATCACTACCTGTCAGTCCTTGGGCTCCAACGATAGGTTGGATAATAGACATGACCGAGGCGAGCCGCCTTCTGATCTCATCGTTCTCGGCCTGTATCGCATCCTTCTGTCGGATGACCGCCTGTAACTCTTGGTAAGGCTGCTGTGATGTCAACTCTTGTATCCTATGCTCGAGAGTCTCAATCTGCTGCTTCGTCCGTTCTCTTATCGCCCTCTGTGCCTCACGGTCGTTTGCGCGCTTTTTGGCGAGTTGTTCGGGGGTGAGGCTTGCCACACCTCGCGAACCAGCAGAGGGTGCCTTTCTCTTCCGGCCTACCTGAGGCGGTGAGGGAGGGAAACCATTGCCGTTGCCTGCTGGCGAAGATGTGCTTGAGGTATTCAAGTCATGCTGCATGATTACTGACTCGCTAGGCTGACTGTAGACGGTTGGGCTGGCAATGCCGGGACCACTGACGAGGCGAGCCGATTCAAATTTTGGCGCTGTTGCTGCCTTCATGAATCAGAGAAATCAGTCACGTGACTACACTAGACTAGATTCGTCAGCCTGGCGCAGCCTCGCACCCTGTCCTACTAATCGTGGTAGCGGTACCCTTGAATTCAAGTAAAGAACTTTTTGCTCTGGACACCAGCACTACCCGAGGCTGAGTACCTAAATAATAACCAATTGATACCGCCTTGTGGCACTCTGCATTCTGATCAAGTCAACAAAACCCTTCTCCCGGAAAAAATCACTCTACTGGCCGCCCTAGTCGTATCTCTCATGCTGCCGAAGCCAGATGACCCATTCTCAAATGACATGAGCGTTCTCGCCCCTAGATCGTAAAGTATGACTCCAGAAGAGTTGTCCATGGTTGATGCAGTCGCTCAAAAGCATCGAGTTTCCTCACCTTATCCCTCGGCATAGCTGAGCACCAGTCTCGTATACCAGGATTTTTCCCGATCAACCACTTAGCCAGTGTTCAGACCCTACGCCTTCGGATTCGACAACCACAATGTGGGGGTAAGACACTGGTGATAGATCAATAGCCTTCGTAGGGGGTTCTTTGTTGAAAATTGCTTGGGCGCTATCCTCCATACCGAAGTAATCGGTGTCTTTCAGACCACACTGCTCCAAGTCCTTCCGAATAGCATCGACCTCTGCGAAAGTGGGTAACTGCCACTCCTGGAGCAATTCGGCATCTTCCCACACATCGTTGGACAATGCAGTCTCCTCACAGATGGCATACTGAATGCGTTGTCCCATTTCCATGCAAAGCTGCTTGTTGCGACTGCGTTCAAGGAGCCTGCCATTCAGTTTGAGAAAGCGGCGTAGCTCACATCGCTGCTCAGAGGTCAGATTGCTATGGAACTCGTATTCAATGAATTCCAAGTCATTATTGCGTAAGATGAAGTCCCCCCGCGCCATCTCCTTTGTAATGTCCAAGTTCTTTTCGATCTCTTCGTCGTGACCAGGAAGACAACAATGCCAGCTGAGAATGTTTGTGAAATTGACCCTGCTCCTACAGAAAAACTGGTCAGAGATGTAGAGTCGTTGCACGGATGGCGGCACAGCTTGAATAAACTCTGATGCGAGCCACTGTGACTCTAGGTGGATGTGCATTTCGAGCACCTTCAGCGCCGACATTCGTTGCAGAGCGAGCTTGAAGTTCATGATGAAATTACCGTGCGCTGGGATTTCATAGACACCACCATGAATGCAGACGCGCAATTCTCGGAGCTTTTTGCTCCTCCGACCCAAAGTACCAAAGATCATGCTTGCTTCGCCCAGGAAATTGATCCTTCCGGATGTTTGGTAGTAGCTGTCGGGAACGGTGTAGGTGAATTTCTCCAATGTTTCGGCTACTTTCTCAATGATACCGTACGCCGACAAGACACCATTGGCGCACAAGTTGACTTCCTTCAGTGCCGGAGCGCTTTCCTTGAGTGGGTAGCCGAGAACTCCGAGGGTTGGACGCATTTCACCATGAAGAATTGATCGCGCATCAGCTCCTATGCGGAGTCGTCGGAGACGTTGCTTGTTCTTAAGTACATGTGTCTGGGTCACGGGCAGGTTGAAATGGTCAATGACCAAGACTTCGAGGTCTGAGAGCCATTGCAGACTATTGATTACAGCAATTCTGCGTTGCCATTCTTGACCTTCGATCAAAAGCTTTCGTCTGCTAGTCTTGCTCGTAGAAGTATCGTGCTTACCACATCTCTCATCTCTCCAACTTGTCTTTTCCCCGTAGCAATCGGCACCCACGCCGAGGATCTTGAGCTCCTGGAGACCAGTAAGATCGTGCTGAAGGAGTTTTGCCAGACGCGAGAAGATTGTTGGCGAACCATCATGCGGTAGCTCAATGGTCAGGCTTTGAAGTTTGGGGATTGCTGGAGTGTTGTAGACAACCCAGTCCAAGAACGGACCGACTTGCTTGTGATGTACAATTCGAGTGCGAGGCAACCAGTCGCTTGTAGTACTGGTCTCGAGGTACAACTGCTTACAGATAAGAGGCAATGCTTCGTAGCCTGTGATTGGAAGATTTTCAAGAGACTTTGCGCAGGAGTTGCCTATATCCTCATCGATGAGCTGGAATATGCGGTCACGAATCTCTTGAGGAGCACCAAGAAGGTGAGTAGGAGGATAGGACAAGGTGTATGGGCACACTTTTGAAGGAAGTGTACGATAGATCGGAGAATGTGTGGAATCTGTATGACTTATCAGACTAGCGTATACTTATATACCCAGCACATCTTACTGATGACACCTCCATCACGGCCATAATGTGACAAATGCGACATGTTGGAAAGAATTTGGCGTTTCTTTGTTGTTTAGCAAGCAGAGAACAATGTAAGGATGAATGCGAAAGGTGTTCAAGAAGATGATAAGGTATGAAAGGACAGGAGAAGAAATGAAGCAGTGGTAAATCAAAGAAGAGATGAGAAATGGACTGTCAGTCTCAAATGTAACAGATCCAGAAGTAGGAGGGTGCTCGAAGGTCGCCAGATCACCTCTCCTCGCTTATTGCCGGACCTCACCAACATCACTTTGAATCAGACTATTGACAGTCCAGTGAAGATTTTCTATTGTTCATTGTTTTCACATTGGCACCAGGCAGCGTGCATGCCAACACAGCCTGCACATTGGCATGTGAAGTATATGTGACGGGAAGTTGCCATGCCAAACAGCAAGACTGGAGACTAACACGGTCTGTTCTGACCCTGACATCCATGGAACTGTAGTCTGCAGCCACTGCGCTGGACTTGATTGCGTCCTGGACAAGGCTCTGCCCATGCAAACGCGAGAAAAGGTCCATTGGTAATTATGTCAAGAGCGCGTTCGACACATGGTGGTAATGATCCTGGTCCAGATGGCGGATTCACTATAGCTCAGTATGTATATCCAAGTTACCCAGGAAGTCAGGTCGGCTCTCAACAAAAGAGTCAGTCCGGATTGCGAGTAGATGACTAGGGACGATCGTCCTCCAGCACCACAGACAGATATTGCAGTGAATGCATGAGGATATACTCATCCTTGAGATGCAGCGTAGTCTCTTATCAGAAGTCAACAATTGTCGGTGGGCACTAATGAGAAAGTAGACGTGGTAGACGTTTCCTGGAATGAGGACTCGTTCTCGCTGCATTTCCTCTCCACAGCCCTCTAACCATTTCTGGTTAGAAAATCATGCCGCCATGAGAAATTTGTTTGGCTGCGGTCGAAGATAATTGCTTTGCGCAGAGCTTCGTATGAGGCTCGTTCTACAACTAGACTGACACAACGTGGAGAGGTCCGGAGGTGATGAGGAAGTGCCTGAGCTTCAGAAATGCAAGGCGGCTGAATTATGCCCGCGCCTTCAGCACCTCTTCACCCTGTCTGACTTCATCCCCGGATACAGGCCGTCTCGACTTTAGAGCCATTGATTCCAAATGGCAGCAAAGATGGGCAGAGCAAGCCCAAGGGCAGCGTCCGAGGAGGAAGTCTCACAAATATTATGTCCTCCCTATGTTTGCCTATCCTTCAGGCTCGCTGCATATGGGCCATCTTCGAGTCTATACAATCTCAGATGTAATCGCACGATATCGACGGATGCGAGGTGATCATGTTTTACACCCCACGGGCTGGGATGCCTTTGGTTTACCGGCTGAGAATGCTGCAATTGAGCGTGGGGTCGATCCTGCAGTGTGGACTGAACAGAACATAACAAAGATGAAACAACAGCTCAAGAGCATGAATACCAGCTTCGATTGGGATGCGGTATGTCAAGAATCTAGGACCATGTACATAGTGCTGATTGCTCTGTTGGTAGGAAATATCTACATGTTCGCCTCAGTTCTACAAGCACACGCAGCGTATATTCTTGAAGCTGTTTCACCGTGGTTTAGCATACCAAGCTGAGGCTCTTGTCAACTATGATCCAGTGGATAAAACCGTCCTTGCAAATGAACAGGTTGACAGCAACGGGCGATCGTGGAGATCTGGGGCACTTGTGCAGCAAGTCAAGCTTCGCCAGTGGTTCTTCCGCATTACTGAATTCAAAGAAGCCTTGCTGCAAGACCTTGAATACCTGTCTGAGGGCGGTAAATGGCCCGAAAGAGTCGTCTCACAACAACGTAATTGGCTTGGCCGTTCTACTGGAGCTCGCATCCAATTCGAACTCAAGAATGAAGCTGGTGTATCGACTTCAGCTCGTGTGTTTACCACACGCCCCGATACGTTGTACGGAGTGAAATATCTCGCCTTGTCCATGAGCCATCCTCTCGTACAGCAACTGGCTGCCCAGAATGCCGAACTGCAGCGATTCTTAGACAAGAGAGCTTCCTTTCCACCGGACACGAAAGAAGGCTTTGAGTTGCCATTGAAAGCGATCCATCCCTTGTCCCAAGAAAACCTACCGGTATTCACCGCGCCATATGTTTTAGAAGACTATGGGGAGGGTGCTGTTATGGGTGTGCCTGCCCATGATACAAGGGATCTCAGCTTTTGGAAGTTACATCGACCTTCGGATCCCATCCCAGTAGTTGTGGCGCGATCGAATGGTGAGGTGGAAACGCTTTATACTCTTCCTCATGACCTCTCCGAGGCCTTCACCAACCACGGTACATTGACGTCGGCCTGTGGCCCTTATGCCGGGATGGAAAGTCAAGCTGCAGGCATAAAGATCGTTGGCGACCTGCAGGAGCGCAACCTCGCGGAACCGTTCGAAACATGGAAACTCCGCGACTGGCTTGTAAGTCGACAAAGGTACTGGGGCACCCCTATACCTATCGTCCATTGCCCCAGTTGCGGCATCGTTCCTGTACCGGAGGAAGATCTTCCTGTGGTACTTCCACCCTTGGTGTCGTCTGTCAAAGGCCAGCCAGGCAATCCTCTTGACAAGATTGAAGAATGGGTCAATTGTGTGTGCCCCAAATGCCAAAAGCCAGCTCGGCGAGAGACAGATACCATGGATACTTTCGTTGACTCTTCTTGGTATTTCATACGTTTTCCTGATCCTCAAAATGAACATGAGCTTTGTTCCCAAAATTCAGCACGCAACACGCTACCCGTTGACACGTATATTGGCGGTGTTGAGCATGCGATTCTCCATCTACTCTATGCTCGCTTTGTCTACAAGTTCCTTTGCCAGGAAGGTCTGATGACGCAAGAACGTGGAAGACAAGAGCCTTTTCAACGACTCGTAGCTCAGGGCATGGTACATGGAAAAACCTTTTCGGATCCAGAAACTGGTCGATTCCTCCTTCCGGGAGAACTTGCAGTTGATGGGGATCTTATTGTCATGAAAACGACGGGAAAAGTCCCCAATGTCACCTTTGAGAAGATGTCGAAGAGTAAACATAATGGCGTCGATCCAACAGCTGCTATCGAGAAGTACGGAGCCGACACCTTGCGAGCCCATATCCTTTTTGCGGCTCCTGTCAGTGAAGTGCTGCAATGGGACGAAGAGAAGATCATCGGCATCCAGAGATGGCTTGGTCGTGTCAAACGTCTCGTTAAAGATCTTTCTGTACGGGATTTCTCCTCGAGTCTTATCGGTGCAAACGATGCATTCGACGTGAGCAAGTTGGTAAACAGCGATGCTGACATCCTGCTCCTTGCGCTGAGTACAAGTCGTAATATTCAGAATACCTTTGAAAAGGATGTTTACAGTCTGAACACCGCCATCTCTGACCTTACCAAACTCACAAATAAACTGCATGAAGTTGGGATTCAGAACTTGACCCCACAAGTCGCAGAGCATGTGATGCGCGCGCTTCTGAGATTGATGGCACCAATCACGCCAGCATTCGCAGAAGAGTGCTGGGAAGAACTTACGAAGAAAGACTCTATGGGAAGTATATTTGACGTTATTTGGACCAGTGATGTTATCAGTCCAGAACAAGAGTCTGCCCTCAAAGCGCGCCAACGACTGATCACCTGTGCTGTTCAGGTGAACGGGAAACTTCGATTTACGACAGAGATTCCTTCTCGCCGGCCTGATCAATCCGCGGCTATAGGAAAGGAAGAACGTGAAACAGAGATCCTCGAGACAATTCTTGCTACGGATGAAGGCCGCCTTTGGCTGACGGAGAAGAATGATTGGGAGAGGAGAAAGCGGGTGATTCTTGTCGGCAATGGCAAAGTATTGAACGTGGTATTTTGAGGGACGTGGCCTCTGTTCATGTGTACAATGAGAAGCCGACTTGGCTTATTAAAAGCCCCCTTTACCATAACACAAGTATATATTCTATGTAAGAGACCCCTTCGCAACAGGGACTGCGTAGTGGCTCTGATGAGACGGGCAATGCGGACAGAGTCTCTGGTCAAACGGATGAAATCTTTAGACAAAGCTTCAATGCACGGATCTTTGAGTAACCACCTCGTATGGTAGGTAACCGCCCCTTTGTACCAGGATTGTCTCACTCTTATGGCCTCGTTCCTCAGCCTCGTCTCACCCAGCCTTGTCGCTCAACCCAGCCGAGGTTTATCCGCACCTGCGAAAATATGTTTCGACCCCCGGATTGTTGTCGGGCATTCGAGAGAGACATATCACTTAGTTATCACCGGTCGTCAGGCAGTCATGAGAGCTTCGCTTAGACCTTCTGGTCCTTTTCGATGGGGCCATACACCTCGGACAAGGTCCATGGCTGTGCAGATCCGGTCCTTTGCTGATGTGGCGGATGCGACCAGGTATGAATCCCAATGCTCTGCAGCATGTCTTATGTGACACAATCTGAACCGTTACAGACTGTATGATGTCGTTGTTATCGGCGGAGGCCACGCTGGCACCGAAGCCAGTGCGGCCGCTGCGCGATCTGGCGCCCGAACAGCGCTCGTCACCCCCTCACTATCCAACCTGGGCGTATGCTCCTGCAATCCGAGTCTTGGTGGCATCGGTAAAGGGACCATGTTGCGAGAGATTGACGCCTTAGACGGCGTGGCTGGGCGAGTAGTGGACAAAGCCGGGATACAATTTCGCATCCTGAACAAAAGGAAAGGCCCCGCGGTTTGGGGTCCTCGAGCGCAAATTGACCGGGACCTCTACAAGCGATATATGCGCGAAGAGATGTTGTCAACGCCAAATTTAAGTGTGCTCGAAGGAAAGGTCGCGGATATCATTGTCTCTCAGGACGAGCTGGATCCAAAGGATGCCATCTCCAAAGGACGCATCACCGGCGTGCGTTTAGAAGATGGCCAAGTCATTCCCGCATCACATGTGGTCATCACCACTGGGACATTCCTCGGAGGAGAAATTCACATCGGTCTGGAGGCCTACCCTTCCGGAAGGATGGGGGAGGCTGCCACGTTTGGATTGAGCAAATCGCTACGGAGTGCGGGTTTCACTCTAGGACGGCTTAAAACAGGAACTCCACCACGATTGGATCGAGACACCATTGATTTCAATGCATTGGAGGTACAGCCTGGTGATTCCCCCCCTGTACCATTTTCTTATCTCAGCAAGACTGTCCAAATAGGCGATGAAGGCCAATTGAGCTGCTGGACAACCTACACGAACGAAGCGTCACACGACATCATCCGCGCCAATCTTGACAAATCTATACACATCCGAGAGACGGTCAAAGGACCCCGGTATTGTCCTTCTCTTGAATCGAAGATCATTCGCTTCGGCCATAAGCCCAGGCACATGATCTGGCTAGAACCGGAAGGCTTGGAGCCAAACAAGATAATCTATCCCAACGGTATTAGCATGACTGTACCAGCTGATGCACAGTATGCTATGTTGAGGACTATTCAGGGCTTAGAAAGTGTCAAAATGCTTCAGCCCGGATACGGTGTGGAGTATGACTACATTGATCCCAGGAATCTCTTCCCGACACTCGAAACGAAATTGATCAAGGGCTTATTCCTCGCTGGACAAATCAATGGCACTACAGGGTATGAGGAGGCGGCGGCGCAAGGTATCATCGCAGGAATCAACGCCGGTCGCGCATCTCAGGGCAAGAGCTCGTTCACATTGTCACGGTCCGAGGCATTCATCGGCATCCTCATCGATGATTTGATCACCAAAGGAGTCAGCGAACCGTATCGTATGTTCACTGCCAGAAGTGAATATAGGATGAGTTGTCGCTCAGACAACGCAGACCTTCGATTGACGGAGAAGGGACGAGAGGCAGGAGTTGTCAGCGACAAACGTTGGACACATTTCAGCAGTCTCCGAGACCAGATGGCTGAGCTGCAGAAGGGACTTGAAGGAGCTCTATATTCAAGCCAGCAATGGCAGAAACTCGGTATCCAGTCACGCACTGATTCGACCAAGAAGAGCGCGTTCGATTTGCTCCGCTCCCCAGGCGTCACCATTGACCTGCTGTCTAGTCGCATCGATAGCCTCACGTCGGCCACCAATTATGAAGACGATGTCAAGACGCGAGTACACCTTGAAAGCATCTACGCACCATACATCGGTTACCAGCAACGGGCAGCCGTAGCATTTGAACGAGATGAGTCGTTGGAGCTGCCCCTGGACATCGATTACGACCAAATTCATGGTCTTAGTATGGGCGAACGAGAGGTGCTTAAGCTTGTCAGGCCTTCGAGTGTCGGAATGGCGCGAAGGACCGAAGGTGTTACTCCCGCTGGAGCGCTGCGATTGCTGAAGCATGCGAGAAGAGCAGGTTCTTCGCGCCCGAGTCTATCCAAATCTCCTTCTCCTGTCGGTGAGGAATTGCTCATAACAGAAAGAGCCGAGGCAGAAGGTGCTATTGGTGCTGTGTGACAATTTACGAATTGATCGATGTACAATAGTTTTGGGCAGAAAAATACGCCCTGAGAATTGATGATGCATAGCGTATGGCGTTGAATAGGTCGATGTCAACCAATTTTGTCCCAACAAGATATCCCTCATTATGTACGAAGAATCAGAAAACATTCTCAAGCGACATTCGGTCTCTGCACTTCTTTGACGTGCTCATCTGATTATCAGCGCACGACGGACCAAAAACACTTCTGATGACAGTCTATCTCGATACTTATTGTCGACGGAGTTCTGCGTCAACATGAGGCGCACAAGATGGTCTGACAGAGTCTCGAATCGGACGAGTTATGGCCGCAATTGCCTCGGCCTTTCGCTCCCACATGGCTTCAGATCCCTTCTTTGCAGAGGACATGGGGTTAGTTAAATCAAGAACACTGGATCTACAGAGTGCGGAGTAGACAGGCGACGAGGCTTGAACTATTTTCAGGCAGGAGAACGATCTCTCTACAAGTAGAATAATAATGTAATGAGCTTTGCAATGAAGAAGCAATGTATACCAATGAGAGGCGATCGATGGGGAGCTTGATAGGGAGCAGCCACTGCGACTGAACAGTGTGGACGGTACATGACTCGGCTCTTTACGTTTAGCTGGCATGGCAGCGGACATCCAAGGGTCTCGAAGAAGTTGATTGGGTGTGTGGATGGAAGATGTTCGCGTGGCAGAAGCAACATGGGTTCTAGGTGCTGGTGATAGCGCAATCGAATGGGCCTCCTGTAGCTAGCTGAACCTGCGCATTGTGATGATCTGAAAGAAAAATTCATGGGAACTTGCTATCTATGGGTCGGTCGCCTCCGGGCCAATGGCCAGTCCACGATACGCGCTCTAGCGTAGGTGGATCGTATAGAAGTGGGACGTCGGGTCTTGGGACTGTATCTGAGGGATGAGAGGGAGACAGAGAGCAAGGAAAGGGGAGCTGTCCGACAAACCAGGCGATTGCCGACTGCAGCATCTCGAAATTCTCTTTGGCCCTCTAGGCGCTGGCTGGTCCTTGAGGAGGCGACTTTGCTTCTCGCCGTCGTCCGCCAGCCTTGCGATAAGATTGGTGTTGGCATCACTCCACAGGGCACATCTCGGCCCACACCATTGCGATATGAATGATCCATCTTGCCCTGTGCGCTAGCGGAGGGGGCCACGAGCCGACAAACTACTGAATTTCAATCTCGAGAGCTGGTATTTGTGAAGAGTATATGAACAAAGACATCCCCGGCGAGATCTGGTACCTGTCAAGCAGTCAAGCAGACACACCTGTACCTCGCACTATATCTAAACCACCTTACCCAGCTAATTCGCCCACCGGTCGCACGGTCAACATTCAACATGGGTGAAGCAGACCGAATTGGGCCCGACATGAGCCCTAAAAAGACCATGGCCGACCGACTGAACGGCGTGCGAAAGACCTTCTTCACCAAGCAAGGTCTCGTCGGCAGCTATGACTATGCGTTCCTTTTCCGACCGAACATTCCCTTCATGAAGAAGGCTCGTCGGGCGTCACCATTCTTCGGCCTGAATGACAAGATGCCCGTTGTGCTGGCTTTGCTGCTCGGCTTTCAACATGCCTTGGCCATGTTGGCGGGTATCATCACACCTCCTTTGATCATGTCTGGTTCAGGCGGTGTCAATCTCGACAGCGACTGGCAGCAATACCTCGTTTCGACCTCTCTGATTGTTTGCGGTATTCTCTCGAGTATCCAGATCACTCGTTTCCACATCTGGAAGACTCCCTATTATATTGGTACCGGATTGATTTCGGTCGTTGGTACGTGGGAAGCCGCAATGAAAATCAAGTGTTAGGAGAACGCAACATCTAATTACTTACAGGTACCTCCTTTGCCATTATCCCTGTCGCTACCGGCGCCTTCGCCCAGATGTATGACAACGGTTTCTGCCCCGTCGCCGAGGATGGCACGAAGCTGGCCTGTCCCGACGCATATGGCGCCTTGATCGGGACCTGCGCCGTATGTGCGTTGACCGAAATCGCCCTCTCCTTCCTCCCACCAAAGGTGCTCAAGAAGATCTTCCCCCCCATCGTCACTGGCCCCACCGTCATGCTCATTGGTGTTTCGCTGATTGAAAGCGGCTTCCAAAATTGGGCTGGCGGCTCTGGCGGGTGTGCATCTCGACCGGAAGATGGCTTTTTCAGACTCTGCCCAGATATTACCGCTCCTCACGCACTGCCCTGGGGAAGCGCCGAATTCATCGGTCTGGGATTCCTCGTTTTCCTCACCATCATTCTCTGCGAACGCTTCGGATCCCCAATCATGAAGTCCACCAGTGTGATTATCGGTCTCCTGACCGGCTGCATTGTCGCGGCTGCTTGTGGCTACTTTGATCGGTCGGGCATTGACTCGGCGCCCGTTGCCTCGTTCATCTGGGTCAAGACATTCAAGCTGTCCGTGTATGGACCTTTGGTGCTTCCCATCATGACGGTCTTTATCATCTGTGCGTGCGAGGCCATCGGTGACGTTACCGCAACCTGTGATGTTTCCCGACTGGACGTTGAGGGGAATGAATTCGAAACCAGAATCCAAGGTGGCGTGTTGGCCGACGGCCTGAACGGCTGTCTGGCTGCGTTGATGACCATCACTCCCATGTCGACTTTTGCGCAGAACAACGGTGTCATTGCGCTTACGCGATGCGCCAACCGTCGGGCTGGCTATTGCGCTTGCTGTGAGTGTTTATTTTTCTCTTCTGAGCCAAAACGCGTGCTGACAAGATCTTCACACAGTTTTCCTGATCATCATGGGTCTGTTTGCCAAATTCTCCGCCTCACTGGTAGCCATCCCATCTTCGGTCCTAGGTGGCATGACGACCTTCCTGTTCTGCGCCGTCGCGGTCAGCGGTATGGCCATCGTCAGTCGGGTGCCCTTTAACCGTCGCACGAGGTTCATCTTGACGGCAGGTCTGGCCGTCGGATACGGTGCGACTCTTGTCCCGACGTGGTTCGCCTACGTCTTTACCTACGAGGGCAACAACCGTGCCTTGAGGGGTTTCTATGACGCCATTGTATTGGTCATGGAGACCGGGTTCGCCGTCACCGCTTTCGTGACGATGATTTTGAACTTGATGCTCCCTCACGAGATCGAGGATACCGACGAGGCCGTCGAAGGGGATGAGGCCTCGTCAGCCACACAACCACTACCGCAAGGCAAGAGATCTCTCACCAGCAGTAGTTTGAACGATGGTGATGAGATTACAAAGGTCGAGATGCCTCCGAAAGAGGCTGTGTAGGAATGTTTAATGGATGTTGTTACGATGGGGCAAGTGAATTGTTGGTATTGTGTTTTTGGAAAGTACTCTTAGAACGCTTAGAGCTTGCATCGATACCCAGGATAATGGAAAAGTTATGTGCATGGCCTTATATTATGTTATCGGTTGTCAAACAGTGAATGTTCCTCGTATACATGTCTGACTTCTGAAGAAGGACTTCTGGGTTGTTTCTTTCCTCTTTTGTTTCTTCTATCAAGTCAAGGCATCAAGGCATTCAAGGCATTCAAGACATTCAATGTGCTCATGGTGTTGTTTGAAATACAGGATGAGGATCATTAGTATTTCAGGAACATCATCATAAGACTGTGTATATCTCTACTAGGTATAGAGTACGAAGCAAGCACCGCCCTATCTTCCCTATACCTCCCATGTTATGTTCCTACCTTTCGCAGCGGGGGAAGAACGATTCGTCAAATTGTACAGTATTGAGAGAAAATAGTTGGGACCACTGATTCGTACCCATTCCATAAAGCTGGCCACTCCTGGCTCCTTCGTCCCTGGTCACATCGTTTCATTCTTCCGCTCCCCTTCAATCTACTCAAGCGACAGTTATCCCAAACCAATCAGCCGGAAGTCCGCGCCTCCCTCCTTTTTTGATAATGGCCATGGGGACTACAGTTTCTCGGTCGTTTAGTGGTCGAAGAAGGCAGTAGGATAATGAAGGCTGAAAGCACTCCTTCGTCAATCGTATGCACACGCGTCTTGATCAGGAATCATTCTAGACTACCGACGGCGCCACCGTCGAACCAAGCATGCTTCTACGCACAGACAACCATGAGGAGTTCACATGCCTTGCATACTTCTCGGTCCAAGTGCCGACAATTAGCCTCTGATTTTTAGCCTGATATGTTTTCTTGCAAGGTTGCAAGCCATCATTTGCCGGTGCGCGGTCCAGACGGTTGATCCTCTCTTTAGCCTCATTTCCACACTGCACAGGACTAGGCGAGCCACAGTCTGGGGAAGACGCACCCTAGAGTCCACTTTCCCCGGCATACACAAGTGGTTCAAAGATCCATTTCGCGCAAACATCAACTCTTCTCCAGATCTGAAATCGTGGGGTTGAGATCAAATGAGCCTCGTCAGGCCTCCCACCCCGGATACATCTTTCTAAAAGAAATCTCGTATCTGTTGCAAACTGATGAGCTCATAGGAATATCAAGACTGGAGCCAAATGGCTAAAAAGTCTCCCCCTTAAAAAGGAACTTAGCAGTCTTGGTGGCATGGATCATGGCTGATGCCATGCCCGGTGAGTGGCCGAAAGAATACAAGATCGAAGTTCATTCCTCTTGGTATGTCTGGGCGTTGATTTGATCGCTTCCTTGGCTGAACTGATACTATACGCTATTTGGTAGCCACACGGACGCATTGTCCAGTAACGTGCCATCACGGCAGATGCAGCATCCAAACTTGCCAGTGGTCATTGTAGCATCCTTCCAAACCGTTGTTACATTTCATTCGGCTCAAAGGAGGATATTTCAGGAAGGAGCGCGCTGGCAAGCCGGGACAAAGAAATCAAGCCTGGTTTCTTGTTTGCTTGATGCTCCACAATGGCGGTCCTCGACTTCCGTCAACTGGCCATCCTTGACAACCTTGAAGCACCTGTTGTGCTCAGTCCTTCCGCTATTCAGCCGGTATCGTGGATTGTGGCCACGAGGGGAGGTGCAGGTTGAGATGTCCGTATCGTGAGCCAGAGTTTTCCGGCAAAATGCACTTTTCGAGCCTGGATATAAAGAGCCTTGATAGTCTCAATGTTTTCGAGGAGGCGATCAAGCTCCAGTACGCTCGCATTGAATCCTCCACCTTGTCCGAGCTGCTTCTGACATAATGACTTCGAAGATAAAGGCTGGTGCTACGCGCCAAACTGAGGTGGCTATCGCACAAGCCGAAGCACCAGAACTTGAACGTGTCAATTGGCGTAGCGATCCCGGTCTGAGAAAGCTCTACTTTTATGCTGGCATCATCTGTGTCGCATCTGCAACCACCGGCTACGATGGGTAAGTACCACTCCGGCGCCTAGAGGTCCATGTCCAAAGCATACTGACACAGATAGGTCCATGTTGAATAACATTCGGATTCTGCCACAATGGACAGATTATTTCCATGACCCCCAAGGCTCCAACCTAGGCATCTTGACCGCCCTTTACAGCATTGGCTCGATTGCCAGTCTGCCAGTTGTGTAAGTGATAGTATGACGCATGAAACTGCAATGTTGATTGACTGGGCAAACTGACACTGTCCTTCCAGACCGTTCATTTCAGACCACTGGGGTAGAAAAATGCCCATCATTATGGGGTGCATCATTATGATCATCGCAGCTGCGATCCAGGGTGCCTCGCAGAACTTGGCCATGTTCAAAGGTGGTCGTTTTCTCATGGGGTTCGGCAACAGCATGGCTCAACTGTCATCTCCACTCTTGCTCACTGAGCTATGCCATCCTCAACATCGTGGTCGTGTGACAGCCGTATACAACTGTCTCTGGAATCTAGGAGCCATCGTCAACACATGGCTCTCGTTCGGCACCAAGCGTATCCCAACCGAATGGTCCTGGCGAATTCCCACCATCGTTCAAGGTGCTCCATCCGTGATCCAAATCATCTTCATCTGGTGGATTCCCGAGTCCCCTAGATGGCTGATATCGAAGGATCGCGGGGACGAGGCACTTGCCGTGCTCGCCAAATACCACGCCAATGGCAACGCTCAACATCCTACCGTCCAGTTTGAATATGCCGAGATCAGAGAGACTCTTCGTCTCGAATTCCTAGCAAAGAAATCATCCACTTACCTTGACTTTCTCAAGACCAAGGGTAACCGGTACAGACTTATCTTGATCATCTCCCTAGGTCTGTTTTCCCAGTGGTCAGGAAACGGCTTGGTGTCTTACTACTCGGCCAACATTTACAAATCCATCGGCATTACTAGCTCAGATGCGCAGCTCGGTCTGAATGGCGGCTTGACCATCTGGTCCCTCATTGTATCCACAACTTGTGCCTTGCTTTGCGACCGCGTAGGTCGACGGCCACTCTTTTTAGCGGCCACTACTGGCATGTTGTTGTGCTTCATTGCCTGGACAATATGTGCGGCCAAGTATCAAGACAGTGGCAACAAAGCGGCCGGTAAAGCCGTTGTGGTTTTCATCTGGCTGCACGGTACGACATACGCTCTCGCCTGGTCTGGATTGTTGGTCGGATACACGGTGGAAATCATGCCTTTCAAGATCCGCGCCAAAGGCCTCATGGTGATGAACTTTTGGGTCCAAGTCGCGCTGGTCATCAACCAATATGTCAACCCTCTGGGTTTCGAGCACTTGCAGCCAAACTGGAAGCTGTACACGATCTACACGGTGAGTCTGATTGATGTTCATTGATTATATTAAGTCCCCACACTAATTGCATGTCGTGTTGTAGTGCTGGATCGCATTCGAGTTGGTCTTTGTCTATTTCCTCTATGTTGAGACGCGTGGGCCGACGCTTGAGGAGATTGCAAAGATCTTTGATGGCGAAGAGGCCGAAGTAGCTCAGGTAGATATTGACAAGGCGCGTCTGGGCAGTGTCAGTGAGAAGGCTAGCACGACTGTGGAACATCGAAACGTTGTCTAGTTGATGACTGTGAGGATACCAAGGGGGGAAAGAATGCTAGTGGAACCATAACAAGTCCTGTACTCCGTCCAGAAGTATTGTACTCCGTACTCCGTACATGCTACGAATACAGGGTACAGGGGGACAAGGAGGACTGGATCAAAGTAAATCCGCCATCCGAAGACTACTACGGATCATTACGGTCTATTCTCTGTCTGGTGATTTGTTTTTCCGTTCCCGTTGGTGCCCGTGTTTTTCTTCCCACTTTCCGCCGAGCCCCGTCAATCCGTCGGCAGCAGAAACTGGGAAATTCAACCACAGAAAAGCGATGATGAGCATTTATTATTAACGGACCATGAAATTGAAAGGTTTGCACGCTCCAATTTCGCTTCAAAGGTCCATGTAACAATAACAACACAACATTCCATCTTCCTTTGTCTGTACACTACGATTCCTACACGCGTCGTCTGCCCAAGAAGTCGTTTGTTTTCAACTGCTCCGTATCATCATCATCTGCCGGTCATTCATCAGACAACAACGTCACACCACCACCAACCACCAACCACCATCGCTAATGCACATGTCCTTGTGCCTTTCCTGATCACGGCGAACACCGATTCTGGGGGGGCTTGCACGAGCGCTTTTTACTGCTCGTATCGTCTCCAGACCTTTCCCCCGAGTTTATCTTTGTTATCTTGCTGGAGAGTGGAAAAAAAGAGCTTTCCTGAGCCATGATCAAGCAGTGTGCCTGCTCCCTGCGATAACACTCACCAATACAACAACCTTTCCCCCTCTAGAGGGCCGAAATTTCAACAATGGCCTTCAACTTCAACTGGTCGCCCTTATCGACCGACGCTGGCTTCCTCCCTCGAGCCCAGGAGCTGCTCACGAACGCCCTGAATCGAGCCGACCCAAAACCTGCCATCATCGTCGACGATATCGTGGTGAACGAGTTGAACCTGGGAGATGTTCCGCCGGAGCTGGAGATTCTGGAGATCGGTGACCTGGCCGAGGACAGGTTTAGAGGCACCTTCAAGATGATGTACAAGGGAAATGCATACCTCACACTCAAGACCAAAGTGCAGGCCAATCCGTTGAACACGTATCTACGCACCCGGTCGGCGTTTGCTTCACCACAGCCCTTGGCTGCGGATACTGGCCTCACGATTCCCCTTCAGATCACACTGTCGGAATTTCGCTTGTCGGGCTTCATTATTCTGGTCTTTTCTCGACAAAAAGGGCTGACTCTAGTTTTTCGAAACGACCCTCTCGAATCCCTCCGCGTCTCGTCTACATTTGATTCGATCCCATTCGTGGCCAACTTTCTGCAAAAGGAAATCGAAACACAACTGCGGGGCCTGCTAATGGATGAATTGCCCGCCATCATTCATAGACTATCGTTGCGATTATGGGTACCCGAACAACAAGCCCAGGAGGAACGAGAGCTGGGTACGCTACAGCCAACAAAAGATGAGCTGGTGGTCGATCCTCTGGCCAGCCCTCCTCAAGACCCTGTCGATAGCACCGGCGCGGTCTTGACCCCTGCTGAAGTCGCATCTTTGTCTCTTGATTCATCCGTCGAGACGCAATCTTTGTTTTCGAGGAAGAATCTAATCAGACTTGCAACGTTAACTGATTCGCATCGGACTTTGTCTCTTTTCACTCCTTCTATCCGAGACGCGGTCTTCAGAGCATGGACCGGTCCTTTGGAACGTGGCGAAATGTCGCCGTCTCACCCTCATACAAGATCTCCTACGCCAGCTTTGTCGAGATCGCATTCGTACGCTGGAAGTCTAAGTACGGCGACCACCTATACTTTCGACAGCACGCATACACGATCGACTTTGCAGACTCTGAACTCTGCTAGTCATGGATTGGGTATGGGCGGTGGACGACACGGACAAGGACATCGACGCCGGAGAAAGAAGAGGGTGGTAGATTTGCGCGCGCACCCAGAAACAGGAGAACCTGAGAGTGTTACCGAGTCCGGCAGCTCAACTGTCGATACCGAGAGTGTTTCCGAAAGCACCTCAGCCACAGCACCTTCGGTGTTTTCTGCACCAGCCGCCACCACCTCGTTTGATTCTACAAAGGGGTTGGGTCTTATCACGCCACCAACCAGTCCCGCCATTGCGAAGAAGCCCGGTCTCCCGGCGAATCTACAACATCAAAGGAGCAGCAATACTGGTACGCGGAGCGTCAGTGAAGGCATGCCAGGACCTGCTGTGCCTGAACACATTGACCAACATCCACTAGTAGATTCGGAAGGTGCATCATCAAAATCATTCGATCCCCATGCCACGATTCGTGTGCGTAATACTAATAGGAGAATCATTCCTACTGTGGCAACAGCCAATGCTGAAGACGACGATGAAACTCCACGGGCATCATTGTATATTCCTCCACAAGAGAAGAGACAAATTCCACCTCCACTTCCATTCCAACAACAACAACAAAGTTCAGCCGCATCTCCCACTACTACTACTACCACCGCCACCTCGGGTTCAGCCACTGAAAAATCCGGCCTTCATGAAGGGGGAGGGTCAGGCGGACCTTCTTTGACACCGCTACCTAATTTCCTTCAATTCGTGGCCGATCCAAGTAACGCAGGCAGCATCGCCGAGCGAGCGTGGATGATGAAAATGGCCGCGGAATTGGCCAGAAGGTACGAAGACGAAAGACTCAAGGGTAGTTTCGGACCCATGTCTCCGAGAGACGAAGAGAGACCACCACCCCCTGCTTATGCGAGGTGATTTCCTTTTTTTTGGTTATATTGTCTCTCGTCGTCACTCTATCTTCTAGTGCCGAGGGGATGAATGTGGTACTCCTTCAAGTGATGTATCAAAAAAAGTCTTTGGTTTTTTGTCCCCTCGTGGGTGATGATGATACGATATGAAATGGTAATGTCTATGTGTGTTTTGTGTGTGTGTACTCTGTAATAGAAAGAAAGAGAATGAAGCGTTGTCAAGAGCCTTTTTTTTTCTTCTTTCTTTTTCGTCCTCTTTTCCGCCTCACTCTCTCTCACTTGTTGATGGAGGGTTGTTGGGGACGGAGTATGGTCTATGTAGCGTTACTCTCATACTTTTGCAAGGTTGTTTGAAGCAATACATGTCGCTGCAGGCGATGGAGTTGGCCCATTTTGTCATGATTACATACCCTGTACATACTGTACAGACACAGACACGTCCTTTGGTTAATCCCATATTTCTACACATCCTTCTTACCGTTCATCTACTTGTCCAGTTCTCCTTGTCGGTGAGACATGAGAAAAAGCAACTCGGTCGATCGGCACTGTGGAAGAAGAAGCCTTTTCACAATCTGCGTCGGTGTCGTGAGTTTTTCAGGCCATCTCGGTTTGTGTCAGAATTGAAACTTCCATGACAGAAGAATGCACCAGTGGTTGCAACTTCGTAGCACTGTTGATTGTCATTTAAATGTCTTTGTACAATTCATGTCCATGATACTCATACAACAACAACACTCTTTTGGGAGTCTCCAAGACTCTCTCCATGATTCATTCCTTTCCACGCGCTTCGTGTGCATGTGTGCGTGTGTGCGTCGTGTGTGCCTCATGCACACTCTCAAAACTCCATTTCTCCCTCAAATCTCACCACATTCCACACCCCTTTTTCCATCCCTTCATCATTCCCTCCCTCCCTCCCTCCCTTTCCCCTGTCTCTCAACCATCCCTCCCTGCCTCCCTCCCTCCCCCCTGCCTCCCTCTACTCCTCCTCACTCACTTCCTCTTCCTCTTCCTCCTTCTTCTCCTCCTCCTCCTCCCCTTCTTCACAGAGGGCCTTCTTCTTCACCACCCCACCCAACTGTTGAGCGGCGACCCGCTTGTTCTTCCTCGGAGACGTGGCCGACACCGACGCCGACGCCGAGACTTGTTGTTGAGTGGCCGCCGCCTCTTGGACGACGACCATCATGTCGGCCCTGCCCTCGGCGGCGTCGACCTGAGCCTGTTTCCACCTCAACACCTGCTCGTGGTCCGACGCCGCCTGCTTGGCCTTCTCGACGTCGACGTCGTTGGTCTGTTTCCAGACGTCGACCTCCGTCTCCAACTGGCCGACCTTGTTGGCGAGGTCGACGTTGGCGGCCCCCAACCGGGCGACCTGGCCGGCAAGGTCCTCGTTGGCCGACCTGAGGCCCTTGACCTCCTTGCTCAGGGCGGCCTTGTCGGTCGCGAGGTCGCGGATCGTCCTCAACATTCCGGCCCGCTCCTTGCCCGCCGCCGTGGCCGAGCCGTTGAAGACGATGGACGACGACAACGACGACGACGACGACCCATCACCATCATTGGCATTGGCCTTGTTGGCCTGGGCCTGGGCCTCGGCTCGAACCTTTGTGATTGACTCCTTCAACATTTCATTCTCCCGAGTCAATGCCCAGACCGCTTCGTTGGCCTGTTGATGATGATGGGCGACCTGTGCCAAAGCCGCGTCCCTCTCTTGCGTGGCCGCGTCCCTCTCTCCAATGGCCACCTGGCGTGCATGATCGCAACGCCCCAACGTCTCCTTGGTCGCTTCGTATGCGAATTGCAACTCGGCGAACCATTGCTGCCATCTCTGCAGCTCTTCGACATTGGTGGTGGTCACATCGGTGGCCACGGCGGCGACGGCGGCAGGTTGTTGAACCTCAACAACAAGGTCCGTTTGAGTTCCGGCCTCTTGTTGTTGAGGCTCGGTCTTTTCGGCTGGTGCTGGTGCTGGTGCTGGTGCTGCTGGTGCAGCGACCCCCGTTTCTTCCTCCAATCGAGTTTTCAAAAGTCGGTTCTCGATCAAGATGGCGTCTCGCTCATTCTGGAGCTCTCGAGACCGGCGTTCGATGGACAACTTTTCGTGTCCGATGGACAAGACTTCTTTTCGAAGTCTGCCCATCTCCGCCTCCATCTTGCGTCGAGAGAACACCGACATTCTGCTCTCCTTCACCACTGGAGCAGCAGTGGCAGCACCAGCAGCAGCGGCCTTCTTTTCGTCCTCGAGGGTGGCAATTCGAGAACGTTCTTGAACAAGGTCGTCTTTTGCCTTGTCAAGTTCGACCTTCAACAACTTGAGGGCGGCGCTCTCATCTTCCCGTCCTTGTCGTTGTTGTAGGTCAGCAGTTTGCTGCTGACCGGCGGTGATGGACACAGCCGTGGTGGTGGCCTCCGCCACATCGTCAATGCCCCGGGAAGAAGAAAAAGAAGCAGCAGCTTCCAAGGTACCTGAGGATTCATCAGGGAAGCCTACCACTCCTTCTCCTCCAGGCCCTTTCAAGGTACACATGGATTCATCAAGGAAGGGTCCTCCTCCAAGAGCTTCTTCCCAGGTCTCTGCGGATTCATCAGGGAAGGCCCCAGGAGGAGGTACATTGACGAAGGAGCGAGGGTCAACAACAAGAATTTCGGTGAGAGTCGTCGAGGAGGAGGGTAGACAGTAAATCAAAAAGCATTGTGCCGAAGAGGAAATCTGGTCGAAGCAGTCCTTGACGTCGATACAGATGGCGGCCCAAGTGTCGTAGATACACACCTGGGCGAGCCGCTCACAGTCCAACGTCAACCAGACACCAAAACCAACCGTGGCGGCGAGAGTGACGACCGCGTACAACCAGGACACTGCCCGCTCAAAATCCTCTTGCCAGATGTCGAGCCAGTCCCACAAGAACAGGCCGACTCTGGCCTCGAAACCCATGTAGGCCTGGACCCATTCGACGATGATGTCGTCATTCTTGCGGCAGGCGTCGATGAATCCGAACAAGAGCACCGAGCTCAAAAAGGTCAAAAAGGTTCGGAGGTACATTTTTGTCGGACTAGTGTTTGGAGGAAAATGGTAGTTCGCGTGTAAGGTAGGTATCTGTTTCTCAAAAAAAAAACCCCGGTGTAAGAGAGGAAGTACTGACCAGCAGTACGGGTGGTGGTATTCGTAGTGGTAGCAGTAGTATCAGTAGAGAAGATGAAGGTTTCTTTTTTTGACACAGTCAGGTCTCAGGAGTAAGAAAAAGAGGTTCTCTCGAAACGATCAACGATCAACGTTTCAGCAAGTCAAGAGTGTCTTTGCAAGCGTCAAGTTTGGTGTGTTCGATGTTGTTGGATAGGAGAGAAAGCAGGAAGCATAGGTAGAAAGATGGAAAGGAAACAATTGTTGCCGTGTGGCCTCGCAAAAATTCACTGTCCATTGAAAGAATATTGAATAGTAGGAGGTGCCTGGGTGAGGCAGTGAAGGTGAATAGGCAGGTCATTGACAACAACAACAACAACAATAATAATCGTAGGTTCAATCGTGTCTATTTCTCCTACTCACCTGAGGTAGAGTGAATAGAACAACAATACCTTTCGTGCTGCAGTGATCTTACCGCCTGCCGAGTTCGAGTTCGAGGTGGCTTTGTCACACAATCAATGAAACAGAGTCGATTCTTTCCATCTCATTCACTTCACAGAGGTTTCATTGTTCTTTTGTTCTTTTCAAGCGCCATCAATAAAAGTACAAAAGGTTGTGTACAGTATTATGAGTCGATTATGAACAGAATCAAACAAAGGTCGCTAGCTTTGTTTGTCCCCCAACAAGGGTTCGCGCTCCCCCTTTCCATGCTTGTTTTTGCGTCGCCGCCGCTTTTTCTTCTTTGCGGCCTCACCTTGCCCGTTGGCTTCATTTCCACCTAGGAGGCTCACACGGGAATTCTCATCTAAGATAGCCGACGTGTGACCTTTGTTGGTCCCACTGTTGTCTTCCTCCTCGTTCGACTCGCTGCTGGACGTTGTCTCGAGGACGACTTTGCGGAAGCCGTTGGCATCGACAATGTTTTCTGTGATGCTGCCACTTCGAGCAGGTCCTTTCGATCTGTAGATGGGACTCCTCGATCGTGATCTGGAATCAGGCAGGCTACATATCGTGCTGTGGCTGTCAGTGGTTTTTGCTGGAGGTCGAGACTCTGACTGGCCATGATGATCATGGGCCGCATCATCCCCTTGCCCCGAGAGGCTAGGACTGAGTGGAAGATCGGCTTGAATACCCTTTGTGCGACTGGCTGGTCGGGCGTTTGGTGATTCAGGAATGGTGCCGTACCCCTGCTTGAGAGCCTGCACTCCGTCACTAGCATCTTTGCCTCCTGACTTCACAACACCCTCGCCAATTCCTCCTTGATATTCCGAAGCGGATTCTGAAACTCGTCGAGAAATTGTCTGTCGACCATCAGGAACATCTTGTTTGACGATAGTCTCTGTGCCGGGTTTAATTTTGACGGTAGTATACTTCGTCATCCTAGGCCTGCTCGCAAGGTTTGATGGTCCTAGATGACCTAGATGTTTGAGTTGTTCCCTGAGTGCCTCGTCTGTGCCTGCCCTGATTAATCTCTGGCCAGATTTTGACTCGCCTGGCAGGCTGTTGCCTGCACTCGATCGACGCCGAGCATTATTCAAGAGCTTGGCCACTTGCGCATTATCGCCAGTCTTGGTTTTCTGTATTTCGGCACTTTCAAGCGTCTCGCCCTCACCGATATCTATCAGATCAGTTGTGGTGCCGTTGGCGGTGTGTTGTTCGGGAACCAAGTAGGCCCTTGGGATTCGCCGGGTAGGGGCGGGCATTGCCCGTCGGATGGCTTTGTGTACGTCAATAAAGACATCAGACTCATCAACGATTTCTTCTCCAATCAACTCCTCAATTACATCCTCCAGTGTGACCACACCAAGCGCACCATGGTCGTCCCCAGGATATTCCGAAACAAGGACCATGTGCGATTTCCCTTCCTGGAAGAAATTCACAATATCTAAGCAACTTGTATCTGGCCTTGTCTCGGGCAAAGTCGCCAATGCAAAGTCTCGAACAGGTTTCGCGTCTTCGGGATCGTACGTGATCAGCATCTTGACCAACAACATGCCAATAAAATTTGAATCGTTGTCTGGGTGGTGGATAGGAATTCGTGAATATCCTCGTGATAGGATATCGTCCATCGTAGGTTCGTCCAGGACATCGTCGAGAGACAAAGTGAAGACATCTTCCATTGGAGTCATGATGCTCCCGACAGACTTCTCCTTCAAATCGAGGACGGCACTGATGATTGTGACTTCATCGGCATTAAGTTGTTGCCCAGGTTCTCCCAAACTACGGTGCAAAGAAACCAATGTCTTCAAGCCTGTCTTTTTGTACACAGTCCCATGATCTTCTCCCAGCAGATAATCGAGTAACTTCGCCGTTGGCCATGCGACAGGAGCGAGGAGGTACATGAGGAGAATAACGAAAGGAGCCATCCAGGAACCGATTGGTAGTCCGTATCGAACGCATACCGACTGGGGAACAATCTCGCCAAAAATGACTGCATCAAGTCAGTAATAATATAGGATGGTCCTCCGACACAGACATACCGATGAGAACGGTCGATCCTAACACAGCCGGCCATCCACCGCCCAGGGAACGATCGAGTACGATAGGGAGCGTTTCATTCGTAATGACATTACTCAGGAGTAATGTGACCAGCACCCAGTGTTTCCCTTTCTGCAATAGACTCAACACTTTGGCAGCATGTTTCTTTTCAGCGCCTTCCCCTGAATCCCGAATAACTCGAAGGTAGATTTCATCCTGCAATTCCGTTAGCTGGCCCGTGTCTGGCAAGAGATGAAGTTGTTATCTCACCTGTCCCATGAGGGCAATGGTCAAACCGGCAAATGCTCCTCCAAGTAAAACTAACGCTGCAGCGACACTCAGGTATATCCATAATGTAGGGTCCTCAGGAACTTTCCCTTCGTCCTCTTCCGCCGCAAAAAACAGGTAGGAAGCGTGTATTGGCGCAGCTCGAACGATTGGGAGCTGGGAAAGCGAGAGGACGAGGATTTTGGCTAGACCCAAGATCGCAGGCCTCGTAGCCAAGTAGGAGTTGGTGTTTCGTGCCTCCATAACGTACAACTCAGGCAGGCAATGCTTATTGAGCCATGAGGGAGGTGTGTGAGGGGTCAAGGCCCAAGGAAGTGAGGGAAAAAGCTCTCGGATCTGCAGAGATGAAAAGACTCTGCGGAAGGTTAAGGAATATTGGACAAAGAAAATAGAAGCATAACAACAATGCTTGTCCTAGGTCGTGTACGGAGTAAGCGAGGCTTGAACGACGACGCAATCAATGATTTGGAGATGATGATGAAACCATGTGAAGTTCACCCGGAAGAACAAGATGAGGTGAGTGATTGGCCGTTGCAGCTCTTCGCTCAGTTTGAGGACCTCTCCGCTTTTCGGAATATAGATATTCCGTGCGCCCACGAGGCTGGACTTCACGTGATGCAAATCTCGGTGATGGTTAGCGTCATTCGGTGCCCGGATGCATGCGCTTATCCTCGGCCTTCACCAACTCCCTTCAAATACCCCAGCGATGCCCTTCCCGTTGGTACCAAAGTCTTTCTCGTCGACAGCAGATTGGAAATCCATCGACATTCGAGATGATAGTCTCTCGGAGGGTTCCCTCTATACTGAGATCATTTAGTCCTGTTTCACAAAGGCGTCACGCCAGCCAAACTGCGACGGGGGCCAGGTTAAACAAGCCAATAGAGTACAAGAAGAGTCCGATCCTACATCAGTCACAGAACAGCGCCAGATCTGCCTTTGGTTTATCACAAGATGCACAAGTTGATTGGCAAAACTTGCACGGCGCCATCAACACTTCTTTACACCATGCTCTGAAAACGGACGAAAGTGTTTTGTTATTCGGTGAAGACGTAGCGTTTGGTGGTGTTTTCAGGTGCTCGAAAGGCCTTACAGACGAATTTGGGACGAGTCGGGTCTTCAACACTCCTTTGTCTGAGCAAGGAATTGTAGGCTTCGCGATTGGCTGTGCCGCGGAAGGCATGAAACCTGTCGCCGAAATTCAGTTTGCGGACTACGTCTTCCCTGCCTTCGACCAACTTGTCAACGAAGCCGCGAAATTCCGCTATCGAGAAGGAGGAACGGGTGGTCACTGTGGCGGCCTTGTTGTCCGCATGCCATGCGGGAGTGTCGGTCACGGAGGTCTTTACCATTCTCAAAGTCCTGAGGCGTTGTTCACGCATGTTCCGGGCCTTAGAGTTGTCATGCCGAGATCACCATCACAAGCCAAGGGTTTGCTGAACTCTTCAATTCTCCATTCAAACGATCCTGTTATATTCATGGAACCCAAAATTCTCTACCGAGCCGCGGAAGAGTTTGTGCCGCGCGAATCATATACCCTACCACTGGATAAGGCCGATGTGCTCAAGAAGGGTAAAGATCTAACCGTAATCTCATACGGTCAACCCCTGTACCTCTGTTCTGCGGCTATTGAGGCGCTTGAGAAGGATATCAAAGGTCTAAGCATCGAATTGATCGACCTGAGAGCAATATACCCATGGGACAGAGCCACGATCATGGAGAGCGTCAACAAGACCGGTCGTGCAGTGGTTGTGCATGAGAGCATGTACAACGCTGGTGTAGGAGCAGAAGTCGCTGCTAGCATTCAAGAGGGAGCCTTTCTTCGACTAGAAGCTCCGGTGGCCAGAGTCACTGGCTGGAGCATCCATGCCGGTCTGATTTACGAGAAGTTTAACATGCCAGATATTACGAGTAAGCATTGTAAAATGCTCCCTTCCGTGATTGCGCTGACTAGTCTACAGGAATATATGACACTATGAAAAAGACACTGGAATACTGAGCGTCTGATAGATTACGATCCAGCGGTGGAAACTCCTCTACAGGGTCAAGTTGGCTCAATCGGTATCGACATACTACTTGTGCATAATCCTCGATGAGGATAAGAGCACAAAGCGGGACAGGTCGGACTATGATCGATCCTAAACATATTGAGGACTTTGACGGTGGCAGACAGCACCCCGGTTTACTCTTCCACAATGCCGCAGATCCAATGTCGAGGCAACATTGCTGCCATCTGTAATTTCGACTTCCAAGGAGAAATTTATCTATCCTGGAGCTTGTTGCTCTGCATCGATCTAGCGTCTCGCTACGGAAAGAATCAAGAAGTGTTTACGGGGCCATACATTAGTATGCAGGCAAGACCTTATATGGGGTGCAAGGCCCGACAAGAGGTTCTCGACGTGTATATATCTTCATCTAGACCCAATCTTGCATATATTGAGGCTCAGTATTCCTCCTTGAATACCATAACCTTGGGTGTTTCTCGACTTGTCTTCTCATCAAGTTCATAATAGGCGCGGAACAAACCGCCGCAGTTGAAATCGAATACTGATCTCCCTCTCTTCTTCGTTGATGAGCAAGCACTCGAGCTTTTGATGGTAGGGTAGTCTTGCTCCACCAAGAACTCCTTTGAGACGGGGCCATCATCGATCTCGATGCCAATGATACCGCCCTGGCCTTCACCACTATGACCCCATCGGTCACCGGCCGACTGTTGCAGTTCGCCACCAGGCCCGGCAACTGCACTGACGGCACGTGCCAGGGATGTTCTGGAGGAAAATCTGCACATGGAGGCAGCGGTGCGAGTAGCGTTCGTGCGTAAGAACGAATCACCGTTGCCAGTACCACTCATTGCAACAGCCCTGCGACGTTTCCGTAAGGTCGAGCGCCTGGGATCGAGGATGGGCGGAGAGTGGTGTGGAGTCACCGGACTGTAGGTTGGAGGATTGATCACAGGTTGGTACTCTTGATGGGCCTGGAACAGGGTAAGACACGAACCGAGTATACCGGCGATCGGTGGCAATATCTGGCTGGTTTCGGACTCGAGGTTCTGCTCTCGTCTTGCTTGCACCATGGCCGAGGTCTTCTCTGGGACTTCCTCCTCCCAAGTTTCCGCCCAGAAGCCAGAACCTATCGTTGGCGTGTCCCCGATTCTCCCTACCTTCTTGTTTGTCAATCCGCCGGTCGACGTGGCCACGGCCAGGTTCCCCCAGGAATCGAGACACACCGCGCCGACGGTGCCTTGACTAGGGTATTCATCAACACCATCATCACCGTCCCCTTCTTCCTCGGTGGCCGCAAACCGGTCTACGGATGCCAGAAGATCGTCATAGGTATAGCCGGTGTTCTGCTTTTGGAGACCGCGACGGTGCTCTTCCCATCGCCTTTTCGTCCAGAACCATCGGTCTGGTTTCTTCTCGAGTCCTCTCTCCTCCCACCCCCATTCCTCAACATCTCGGCCACTGAGATGGCAGTGCATCGTGCTCGTGCCGCCCATACCCCCGTCTCCATCTGCCGCCATCAATACTTCCCTGGCGAGAAGGATGGGATGCCTCGTGTTTCGTACCAGACTGACGGCGGCTCCACGCTTTATCTGTCCTGCAGGAGGACCACTTGGATCAAGTGAACAGACCATCGCACTGGCTTCCATTTCAACAGTGCCTTGTTCGGTGAAGACCGAACCCCGGCCACAGTTGAAGAGCGGGTCGTCCTCAAACCACGTCGCAGCAGCACAGGCCGCATCCAGTGCTGAGGCTCCTGAATCCAGCAGCTTTCGCGCGTCAGTCAGGTATCTCCAAAGTGACGCTTCATATCGAGCCCAGAGCTCGGGGGAAAGACTGGCCCGAGATATCGCACCCGCTCCGCCATGAAGAATGACTGTTGGTTGAAAGGAGCCAAGTGCATGATGTTTTTCAGTGATATGAGAATGCATTATCGTTTCGCGTAAATTCGAATTGGGGGCTGATGATGATGAGTGGTCAGGGATACTGTGATACTGCGCAATCTCAGCCTGTCATCACGCCATCGGCCGCTTGAATCACCAAGGATGTTATTTGTATCACTGAGTGACTACCAACGAATGCAACACTGATCCAAAGCCTCACCGGATCACAATCAACGAGTCCAAAAATAGATGAAATGCTAACAGCAGGTGATGAAGTGAAAGACTCACTTCAGGAGTACCAGATATACTTGAACCATGTGTCAAATCGGCAGCCAATTGGAGTCTTTATCGACAACCCCAGAATCATCGACGACGTGGGGGAAATTCAAGCCACCACCATCTTCCGTACGTGCCGCTAATGTTTTTCTTTATCCAATAGCTTAGCTCCAGAATCTGGCGCCTTATCTGGAGGAATGGCCACGACTGACTTGACCCGGCCGAGTCGATCATCAACAGCTTCTTCTGTCTCGGATAGCGCGTCGCAAGGGATCCGGCAGAAAGAATCTTCGCACCATGTCAACAAGCCGGAAGAAATGAGAGAATCACCACCACCTCCCGAGTCAAGACCGTCGAAAAGTCCCATACACCGAATCAATGCTCCTGGAAGTGTACAAGCTTTGGCGGTCGACGATGATGTCCTTTTTGCAGGTCTCCAAGGTGGCAACATCACGGCCTGGTCATTGGAGACGTATGAACTTCTCGCGACCGTCCCAGCACACAAAGAGAGTGTCTTGAACCTTTCTCTCTGTGAGGATAGATCGTTGTTGTTTTCCACCGGCGCAGACTCGGTCGTCAATGTATGGTCGACTCAGACCCTTCAACGGCTCTACTCACTTTATTCTCCCTTTGAGATCGGCGACATCTTCTGCGTGGTCCATTCCACCCCGAAACAGACTTTGTTTTGGGGTGCTCAAAATGCCAGCATACAGTGGCACAGAATCAGCACGGACGCCAGCAGCATGTCTCCGACGCTCACTTTTGCCCCCGGATCTCGCAAACATCGCTTCTTCGACTCGTTGGGCCCGGGCGGGACATCCAATGTCATCTCGGACGAAGAAGGGTTTTCTACAACGAGTCTGGACAACCAGGGCGGCCGCGTCTTGACTGTCCCAAACCACAACTACCTCCCGTACGCCCACAAGAGCTACATATACTGCATGCTCCTGGTCAAAGGGTTATTGAATTACGGTCGATGTGAAGAAGTCCTCGTGACCGGTGCCGGAGATGGGACCATCAAAATTTGGTCCATCGACTCGTTATCCACAGACGGTCTTGTCCAGCTCACGAAATTCAAAAACACCGGCTCCAACGTCCTCAGCCTGTCCTTCCGAGGCTCATTTCTCTACGCTGGCCTTTCCGACGGTACGGCCAATGTTTACAATCTTGCTTCGAACCAACTAGTCCAAAGACTCAGTATCGGCCATGGCGACATAAGTCAAATATCAGTCAACTCTGACAGTATCCTTTGCGGTACAAGTCACGGACGAATCAAGGTTTGTTTTGATGTCCCGAGATGCGAGAGTGGACTTGTTCGACAGAACACTGGCTGACTTTATTTTTGTTCGTCAGCGATACAATGATCATTTCATGGAGACGGAATGCTGGGCTGCCGCCGACGGCAAAATCCTCGCAATGAGTCAAACCAAAACCTCTGGACACGACATTTTAATCACAGGTGGCAATGACGGTTCCATATCATTCTGGGACGCCGACGGTCATTCTCACACCTCGATAGCATCTTCAGTCCGAAGCAATGGTGAGTGAGAAGACTATTTCAATGTCAAATGAGACACCCACACGGATATCCGGCAGGACCTTGACTGACATTTTGACCCGACACGATTCTTAGATGAGTTGGTGAATGCTTTACGCGAATTCGTCAGTTTTCGTACCGTCGCTTCGAACCCTACCTGTGTGCGAGATTGTCACGACGCCATTACTTTTCTTCGAAAGCAATGCAACGCCTTTGGTGCCACCACCGATTTGGTCTCTCCACAAGAAGGTGTCAATCCGATTCTGGTCGCCAAATTCACCGCATCCCGACCTTCGTCGTCGACCAAAACAAAACCCAAAACGGTCCTGTTCTACGGTCATTACGACGTTGTCGACGCCGAGGTGGGAAGTTGGACCGGTGGTGACCCATTCAGTCTACAACCTCTGAACGGGTACCTATACGGCCGTGGAGTGACCGACAACAAAGGTCCGATCTTGGCCGCCATTTACGCCGTCGCCGACCTGGTTCAGCAAGACACCTTGTCGTGCAACGTGACTTTTCTACTCGAGGGTGACGAAGAAGCCGGATCCCGCGGGTTCCGGGACGCCGTGGGTCGTATGAAGTCGTCCTCGATCGTTGGGGACGACGTCGACTTTATCCTGCTGTCCAACAGTTACTGGTTGGACGACCATATCCCCTGTTTGACTTTTGGCATGAGAGGTGTCATTCACGCCACGGTCACCGTTTCTTCCAACCGGCCCGACCTGCACTCCGGCATGGACGGTAAATCTGTCCAACATGAACCCTTGAAGGATCTCACCGTCCTCCTGGCCAGTCTCATCGGGTCTACGGGGACCAAAATAACCATCCCCAACTTTTACGACAGTGTCGATGAGCTGTCGGACCTCGAGTTCCGGTCCTACACAAACATCACAAGTTCGTTGTTACAAGGTCACCCGGAGATCAAAAACGAAAGGTCCTTTTCGCAGTCACTGATGCAGAGATGGAGATATCCAAACTTGACGATCCACCAGATCGAGGTCCCGGAGACCAAGACGGCGGTGACGATCAGTGGATTGGCCAACGCCACGTTGTCTATCCGCATCGTACCGTCACAAACTGCCGAACGGATCGCGACCGGTTTGACAGAATACCTGGAGGATCAATTTGCCAAACTACAAAGTTCAAATCGGTTAAAGGTCGAAATCACTTCCAAGGCTGACCCTTGGTTGGGTGACGTCAACAGTGAATTGTATCATTCATTGAAAGAAGCCGTGGTTGAAGTTTGGAATCCTGCTACAGATTCATCACATCGTTCTTTCCCGTCGGACAACAGAAATACCACATCATCATCAACAGCAGCAACATCCAACGATACTATTTCTGACCTCGGATCTACCACCACAGCTGCCACGTCAGGGTCAACATCAACATCATCGTCGTCGACAACAACAATACAACCGGGGTCACAACGTTCGTCGCACCGTCGAGCGTCGTCCCTGGCCAGCGCTGGGACATTCACCTCCACCAACCTGCCACGCCAACCTCTGTTCATTCGGGAAGGTGGGTCGATCCCCGCCATCAGCTTCTTGGAAGGGGAATTCGACGCCCCCGCGGCCATGTTCCCGATGGGCCAGGCGAGCGACAACGCCCACCTGGACAATGAGCGGATGAGGGTGGAGAACCTCTGGAAGGGCCGCGACGTGTTGAAGCGGGTCTTTTCGAGGTTGTGAGACAAGACGAAGAGAAACAACACCGACAATAGCGAGAACAAGAAATACAACAGTAATATCAAAACAAGTGCAAAAAATGAGGAAACTCTAGAGAGAGAGAGAGAGAGAGAGAGAGAGAGAGAGAGACACTTGGCAAAGTACTGTACTCGGATCAAGGACCAAGGTAGACAAGTGACAAGACAAGGTAGAAAATCTCGGATACTACTCCCTTTAAAAGTGGAACAATCAAATGTGTACCCCGTGAGTATTTGGGTATTTATTGAATCTGTAAATAGTATACCAAAAATCAAAGTCGACGGTCGATGAGGTAGTCTTCTTCTTGATGATTTTCTCCTTTTCTTTTTGGGAAATCATTTTATCTATATACTCGAGTACCCCGGTACTCTTCTCAGATAGTATCCAAGTTTCATCATCCATCTTCTGGGTCAAGTAGGTACTCCATATCTGTCCACCTTGATCGAGATTGTGGTCTTGTATCTTTGACCTTGCAAATGTCCATGTTCATATCAATCCTGATGACACTTCCCAGAAGAAAGAAGAATTCCCATTTCCAAAAGCCCAAAAACACCGTCGCTATGCTGAAAAATATGCCCAGTGTCATATGAACACACAGACACACCCCCAAAAAATGCTTTGCCTTGCATCGAGAAATGGGTACATTACATTTCTCATGCACGACTCGAAATTGCAGGCATACCATGGCTTTTCCATAATGAGTCGCTTTCGTTTTTTCTTCTCGTCTTCTGTGGTGCAAAATCCAACATTGTCCCCGTTGATTAATGTCGATATTGTACCAAGCATTAATAAAACAATCCACGGATGACTTGTTCAATTCAACAAACCTCCACCGTTCAAATTGATGCCACCAAAAGTCCATTTCCCAGCCGCCCAGATCCAGGCTCCGAGTTTTGGTTTCTCGCCCGACTTTACGTCGTTTGCGAGTTGCACGACGCCGGCAAAGGTACTCTGGCTTAAAGTGCTACTGCTCTTGTGCGTATCTCGGGGGGGAGGGGCCACTCGTCCCACGGGGCTCGTCACCCCGTTCAAAGCGTCGACCGCGTCGATGGCCGGACCTTGGTCGAAAAAGTCGACCAGCGTGAACGTCGGGACCCGACCGTACTGCGAGTTACACGTCGACAAGGCCTGTCCGAGACTGCCGGCGGTGTTGGTGCTCGCTGCGTTGGTCACGTTGATCTTGTCCACGTCCGGGGTCTCGATGTCAAAGGCCCCCGTGGAGTACAGAAAGTGGTTGACAAAGGGCATACGGTTGCTCGAGATGGCGGACTGTACGTTGTTCTGCACCGCGGTGGGCCGGTTCGGCGCGCACGTGAAATCGCTCGGGTTCGTGTTGTCGAAAGGGTTCTCGAAGATGAAGGTGAACTCGTCCATCATGTAACTCGTCGTGGCGTTCAGTTCCGGGTCGGTGAGGTTCCAACTCGCCACGAAAGTCATGAGCCTCTTCCCGCCCGCGATGATGTCTTGCAGCGTCGGCCACGTCTCTGGAGGGGTGGTGATGGACGACGGCACGTACGCTTGGTCGACGAGGTCGGCGTCCAGGAACTCGGCGTGGAGTTGGGAGGGTCGGGCGTTGTCCGAGTTGACCAGCAACACCGTCACGACTTCGTTCGGGTGGTTGTCGAGCCAGGTCTTGATCGTCTTGAGCCAGTCCGACAAGAGTCCCGCGTCGAGCAGGTCACAGGACGAGTGGCACAGGTGCCATTGCGAGTTTGTCATGTGTACCTGGGCGGTCACCAAACGGACCCCGGCGGACAGTTGCACGGTCGTGTTGTAGTATTGATTTCCCGAGACAGAGAAGCCTGTCGAGGCATCCCGAACGAAGGGGGAGTCGTGGGCACCGAGGTGGACGACCGAGTTGTATGGTTTCGAGCAGAGATCTGGGGAGTTGTTGCAGGCTTCTGCGCGTGAGGAAAGGCTGTGAGAGGAGGATATGGAGGCCGCGGAGGTGGAGGAGGTGAGGCTGAGAAGGAACAGGAGGCACGTCGACAGTAGAGACCGTGTATGCATTTTTCCAAAGTTCAATACGAGGGGCGTATGTATTAATCCAACTCTTGTGATGTCTTGCTCGTCCCCTGGTGGGAGGAGGGTCGATGGAAGTAAATAGCAAAGCAAATGGAACAATTGCACAAGTGAATAGAGTAAATCGCTTTGGAAAAAAAGTATCAAAGCACAAGACAACCAACGACCACAGAGTAGTAGGGAGATATGTCAAGAATGAAGAGACCAGCTCCAGATGATTCGAAGAAACAAGAAGACAAAAGGCACCATGCACTGTCAGATCCATCAAAGGCCCTGTGAGTGTCTTGGTGCTGAAACTATTTAGAAACTCCAGGCCGCGCGGACGGAACCGACGCAGGCTGAGAACGAGGCGTAGTTTTTTGGTTTTGCCCATTCATCTTTACTATTCGTAGGTCTGTGATCGGACCTCCGCGTGGAGAGAAAAGACACCAATAAGACCCTGGAATCGGCGGATCTTCAGGCCTGAAACACCAGCATGGGCCATTCTCGACCCCGTAGCAAATGGTTGGATCTTACGAGTACAAAAGGCTTGGACAGTGACTTGTTGCCCAGAGCACTGCCTCAATTCACCACATCAACGAACCCGCTCTGACTTCGTAATCCTTTTCCATTTCAGTCCCAACTGTCCGAGTTGGGATGTTGAAATAGTACATGACTGTACGGAGGAGATTACTGCATACATACATATGCGCACGCATACCTACAGTATCTGATGATGTAGTGTTTATACTCTGATACTCTGAGAAAATCTGGGGAAGAGATTCGATTTCGCTAGCTCGGGACACACACGAACCATTCTGGATTCATTCTTGATTCAATCTTGTAATTGTTCAATTGGATCATCTGCTGATTTTTGCTTTTAATACATCTTTTCTGTACTGTACCAGATCCAGCGTATTGGTCCAAGATGCATACAATATATACGGAGTACTGTATCTCAACACAAGAAAAAGAGCCAAAATGACACCAAAAGTACCATCCTCTCCTCTTCTGGCTCCCAACCACAACCTCATCCTTTCCGCGTCATCCTCTTCTCCTGCTTCTTTCTCTGCTTCTCATTCTCTCGCTCCAAGAACTTGCGCTGTTCCTCAGCAGTCATACCCTTCAGCTTACGATCCCGCTCCTCCTTCTTGAGCTTGTCGGCGGTTCGAAGTCGCTCCTCTTCCGCTTCCTTATCGCTAATCTTCTTCAACTTGCTCTTCTCCTCTTCACGGATGGCGTTGATTTTGCGCGTCACCTCTGGTCTCAGTTTGGCAGAGTTGACCAAGAAATCTGGCAGTCTCAAGAATGCTTGGAAGATGGGCAATGTTGAAAGATAGTCGCCATTGGAAGGTAGTCTCAAACACAGGTTCAGTCGCTTTCGGGGAGTGGTTTCGTTGAGGTTCGTGGGCTTGTCGGTAGGTTGATCGGTGATGATGAGGTACTCGAAGAGGTCTCCGGCCTTTTCCACGGCATCAATCAGATCTTTGGTAAGCATCAAGTCCGTGACCTCACCAGTCTCGCTCATGACGGTCGCCCAGTTGGGGAGCTTGGGATTGTCCTTGGTGAAGGTGAGAGACAGGTCGTAGCGCTCGTCGCGCAGTTTGCGCATGGCCATTTTGTTCACAATGGCGAATACGAAGGCGTCGTAGTTTGAATTGCCCACGGCCTTGGCCTTGCCTGCTTCTTCAGATCCAGGTACAGCTGGCGGGACAAACTCCTTCTCTTTGCCGCTGAAAGTGTACAATACGGCCTCCATCCGTTCTGGCTTGGGCTTGACCGATTCCGCAACCATGCCGGCAATTTCCTCCGCGATCATCATCATCGGGTTCATCCGTCTCTTCAAGAAGATCGTGGCATCCATGAAGGCGACATTCTGTCGTCCCGTAGCATAGGTCTGGTATTCCCAAGCCGCCTTTTCCTTGAGCATGTCCTCCGTGACGTTGTCGCCTGGCAGATTCGCACTCGCGTTCAAGAGGCTGTCCCCTTGGACGCCCTCGGCATAAGGGGTCATCTTGGGTACCTGGCCGAAGCCGACCAGGGCAAATTCTCTCTCCAAAACAGGCGCATGTGCGGCCATCCATTTCTTTGCCTTTTTCGAGTTGCGGCGAGTACCCCAAAAGTGGACCAGCAGAGCGAGGAGGATGATAGGGATCAAGACACCTTCCATCATAAAGTCGGACAGCTGCGTCCTCTCCCACACTCGGTACCATTTTGTGTAGACCACAGGAGTGCCCTGGGCTCCGGTGGGCACTGCGGCCTGAGCATCGGCTGGAGAGGCGGGGATTGATGCGGGTGTCGGCTCGGGTGCAGCTGCAAAGTCTGCAAAGTCTACATCACATCACACAGTGTCAGTGTATGATATAGCGAGATTGAGCGGCGATGGAAGGAGGCTGAACACACCAGAGTCCTCGGCCACGATGGGAGCCTGTGATGGCTTTCCGCCAGCCAGGTTCTTGATAAAATCCATGATCGCGCAACCGGGGAGGTCAGTCTAGATGCAACTGAATGATCCAGAACTGGGGGAAAAGAGTAGTCACTGACTTTGAAAGGACAGAAATGCAACGCAAGCAAAAAGAGCTCTATCGCTGCCTCCCCACAATCTCTCACACTAATTTAGCCAAGATCCCCGGGCAACGTCTAAGCATCATCTAATCTAATCAGTGTCCAGGTAGAGGCCAGTATATGGTACTACGGAGTATCAGGCACTCCTCGTACTTCTACCATGCGCCCCGAAGTACAAGGCAGGTCTCTTGTATTTATGCAATGCTATCAATTTCCTCATCGATGACCCTACTTTATGATAATCTGCTGCCCTAAATAGAAGCTTCGCCTTTCACACCACCCTGTTGTCCCACCATCCAGGCGCCACGCTTCCCACCAAGATTCCTCCCTGATCCATACTGACCCTCTTTCGACCAGAATACCTGAGATCACAACTTCTTTCTTACTGCCCTCTTGTGACTCTCTCTAGGTTGATGGCCGCACTGACAAAAGCCAAATGACTGAATGCCTGGGGTGTGTTTCCCAACTGTTCGCCGCTAATTGCAATCTCCTCACTCAACATGCCGACGTGGTTCCTAAAATTCCTGCAAGTGAGTCAATATATACCGTACCTTCAAACAAGGACACGGGTAAGTGGACGACACGACAGTCCTCTGGAGGGTTGCAAGGATTGGCAGTGCTTAGGTCCACCCATACACCCACACCTGGGGAATCTGGAGCAACTTACGTAACCGTTTCGAACATTCCATTTGCGATCTCAAGGTACTTCTTGTTGTACTTTCCTGCTCGAACGAGCGCTTCAATGAGCCATATGTACACATGACAAAGGTACCCTCACGGCCACCGACACCTGGACACCGTCAGATCCGTAAAATTAACTCAATGGCAGCGAAGCTATGATCTCGGGATTGCGACACCTACCGTCATCAGTCTGCTCATGATCGTAGCGAAACACAAATCCGGCCGAAGTGAGACCCCCCTTTTCAGGAGTTCGAAGAACTCTGTCCAAAGTTCCCACGAACTGGGGGTCATTGGGCGACATGAAGAACACCAGCGGCGCAACCAAGACGGCCGAGTCGAGTATAGTGTTGGACTCGTAACTCTGCACGAAGCAATTCATATCATAGTTGAAACCTTTCTCCATGACCTGTTCGTAGATTTGGTCTCGAGTGCTAAACCACTTCTCGCGGTTTGGGCAGGGAAAATTGCGCTTGTCGACGAGTCTCAGAGCGCGGTCCACAGCAACCCATAACATCATCTTTGAGTAGACGAAATGTTGCTTCTTGCCGCGAACTTCCCAGATCGACATGTCAGGCTCATTCCAAATCTCACAGACGAAGTCGGTCAGGAAGCGAATATCTAGCCATTGCGCATATGAAATTGGCTTGCCATGCTTGTTGTACAAATAGATACTGTCCATCAATTCGCCATAGATATCAAGTTGGACATGATCAGTCGCGGCGTTGCCGATTCGAACTGGGGTGCTGTCTTTGTAACCGGAGAGGTGGTCGAGTTCCAGCTCGGGCAGGGATGTTTCGCCGTCAATGGTGAACATCAGAGGCAGGTGATGGATGCTAGTGCCGCCAGAGGACTCCTGTTGTCTGCGCCACTCGGCAATGCGGGCGAAGATAAAGTTGATATACGCTTCTGCTTCGTCAGGAAATCCCATCTTGAGGAACACGTATATGGTGAAGCTGGAATCGCGAACCCAGGAATAGCGGTAATCCCAATTACGTGGCCCACCGATGGCTTCTGGTAGAGAGAATGTAGGTGCGGCGACGATAGCGCCCGTCGGATCGAAGGTTAGTAATTTGAGAATAAGCATGCTGCGCTCTACCTCCTGTTGAAAGCGTCCGCGATACGAACAAGATCTTATCCAGCTCGTCCAGAATTTGAAGGTGTCTTGCTCGAGACCCATGATCAGATCACGAGTAAGATGCGGCTTGACGTGACTATTGCACATAATCATGAATATTTGCTGCCCTTCTTGAATGTCGAAAGTGGCACGGAGTTTGTCTTCGACGCCTTTGTGGTTTTTGGCTGATTGAAACATGATCGGATCCGTCTTCAAAGGGCGGTCTCTAGTACAGTACGCAACATAGAATTCTGGGACGTCAACGGAGGCCTCGTCTCCCTCTGAGATCCAGGTTAGAGACTGATGATATGTGCCATCTTCTGCTTTGACATCGGAGCCGTGCATGAATCCGGCGGTTGAGGCATAGCCCGGTCGTGGTCGAAGCTCGATATCAATCGACATATGGCCCCGGACACATTCAAGTTTACGCACCAGCGTCGAACCACTCCATTTCTCGCGCAGGATCTTGTTGTATTTCGAAAGGGCGAAGAAATCCGTGAGATCCACCACCCCTTCCTCATCAATCCACTTTGTCTGGAGGATGTTTGTAGCAGCCCGGTAGTTTTGCTTGCACACTGTGCTGTTCCGTGGCCCGATGCTCCAATGACCTCCACCGCCTTTGCTTGTGTCAAGAAGTCTGCCGAAAATTGAGGGAGAATCGAACTGAGGCCAGCACATGAAGTCGATACTGCCGTTTTTTCCTACCAGGGCACATGTTCGCATATCACCAATAAGGCCATAGTCTTCGATCTGAAGAGTACTGCCCTCCACAAGCATTTCACCCATATTGTATTCAGGTAGGGAAAGGGCGAGAGGTCAGAGATTGTTAGCCCCCAAAAAATAAACCTGTAAGTCTGCAACAAGAGTAGAGGGATTGACTGAAGGAGAGAGCTTCGGCCGGACGACGAGAGATGGAACAGAAATAAAGAAAACCCCCCGAGACGCACAGTTCGTATTCCTGCGAGGTCACACAATCACGAGGCCTTACGAATCCAGGTAAAGGCGCGATGACTAAGAAAGCGAGTCGAGGGAGCGGCAGTTCGAGCAGAGACTTTCTCGTTTTGTTTTATGTCCACCATTCAGACGTACTGCAGCTTGTCGAGTATTTTTCCAGAAAGAATGAAGTCATCGTCATCTTAGCGGGTCTTGTTTGAATCTCTCAAGTTTAAGCGACGCGATGATCATGATGGTGTTGACGATCCACGCACGTGACTGTCATTTTCGGAAGCACTTGACTCCGAAGTCACAGCTTTCTTGATCGTTTCTTCTCTTCTACACAACACATGGACCTGAGACATCTATGACAGAGGATGGAATGACATGCTGCATCGCTACTTGTCTTGAGTGCAGCAGTGACAAGGGCACCCTTCGTGGACCGCCTAAGGTGTCACCAGACTTGGACCGGTGAGTGCAACCCCTGATAGTACGCAGCATGTCTCTCGGGGTACACCACAATGCCAACATGCGATCAAGGCTGCATTGGGTATATCAGGGCGTGACTTGACAGGCTATGTATCCGGTGTGCATTCTTGATCCACATCAATCTCTACTTGTCCATCCAATAAACGAATCAGTTCCATGGCCAAAGTCAAGCCATCAAATGCAATTGAAACTTCCGAACAAAAGCAAAATCAGCCTCATGCTCGGTCAGGCTAAGAATGAGCCTCAGCTTTGCTTGTAAAGGGTCGGGCTTGAAACATTGCCAGACGTCCCGAACATTAGCCACAATTCTCAACACCCCTTTTCGCCTTGGCATCTCGGTCACTCCTCCAGTCAGCACTTCTACCGACATGACTCCCATCGAATAGGCGATGGTTTGTACTACCTCAACCCTCGTCGTCCACTCACATGCAGCTTCCGAAGCCAGCAACCCCAGCAAGCCTTGCTTCAATGCGTTTCCCCTGGAGGGTGCAATACGAGATCTAGGACCAAGCAGGATGCTGAGGTAGCGCTAGGCAGTGTCCTTGCATTACATTTAGCTCTTGGGCAGCCGGTCCTACATTTAGTTGCTTGATCAGCCATCCTCTGCTCGTTCCGATCCTCAGTGTACAAGCCTTTGCTAAGATTTTCGCGATGTCTCCCGCGACTTCACTCCAAATGCTTCGGTATGCATTGGTGCCTTTGTTTCTGGGTCTTGCAGGTGCGCAGACGTCCTATGAGTCAATCTACACTCTCGACGCCTTCTCACAGCAGCAAAGCTGTGTACAAAGCTGCTTCGTTGGAGGATATGCCAATATCGAATGCTACTCGGACGTTCTTGGATCAGCCTTGGGTTGCCCAAACTCGCCATGCAGTAAAACCTTCGCCGCAGTCGATGAGTGCTATTGTCGTGGAGATTTACAGACAGCTGCTTATGACTTTCTTTCCAGCTGCATTGACGAAACTTGCAGCGTGGGGGATAATGCTGTGAATCTTGCGAATGCTGCTAGCATTTACTATGGTTACTGTACACAGAGAGGGTTCACCGCCATCCCAGCGCAGAATACTGCAGCAACCACAACAAGCCCTTCAAACGGCGAATCAACAGTCACGCAACCGAACTCCAGAGCAGGTACCACATCTTCTCCTCTGGCGACTGGCTCAACAGGGTCATCGTCTTCCACCCCCTCTTCATCCTCATCCTCGTCCGGCACAAGTCCCTTGACCATTGCACTGGCAGTCGTGGGATCAGTAGCTGGTATTGCCATCCTTGTCGCTGCGTTTGCGTTCTGGAAGATCAGGCAGAGAAGGAACGGACCATACCAGGGTCCCGTTAGCCTTACACCATGGCTAGACAATCCCTCTTCTCAAAAGATGCGCTTTGATGGCACAACAACGGAGATTGATGTCTATCCGAACGAATCTGCATCTCAAGTTGGTGTTCCCACAAACATGGGACCATCATACCCGCATTACCCAGTTCCACCGAGTGCCATCTCGTCAAACCGTCCTGGATACAATCAGTCGGCGGTTGGTCCTGGTTTCAACTATCATCGATATTGAGCGGCCACTCTGACAGGAATGAATGAGTCGAGAAATGAACGATTCTGATATACTCATGATGACTTATGATACTGGGTAGGATTGCAGAAGTCCTGGAGAAGTATGCATGTTGTCACCAGGGTCATGTACAATTAGAATAGGCTCGTGCGATTTAGATCATATCAGGGTGCCTCTGTTTGTGTGTCTCGAAAGCAAATATCTTCATCTATGAGATTGTGTTCTTGGAGCTCGCTCGCAAGGAGTCCTGTGACTTTGCGCTCCACTCAACGACCTCCGACGTTTCAACGCTTGCACTCGCCATAGTTTGGACTGATATTTCACGCGGGTGCCAAAGCAACGCCGAGACTCGTAGAGATGTGAAAGGTCGTTGAGTGGTAATCTGCAGTGCTCTCGCTTCTTCTCACACTCGGCCAGGGAAGAGCGTTCTAGCCCGGTCTCCTACGCCCTTTCGTTTGGCGAATCTTTCAAGGGATATCCGTACTCCGGCCCAGATACTTCGGTGCCAAGCTCTGTGGCTTGAGACAATTTCGTGCTTCCGACCTCCTTGCTTGTCTTTTTGTTACCCAACCTGGCTCTTGGGTCGCAATTGGACCTCAGGTAGCGAGCGCCATGTGTGACAAGGTCGCAATGATGCGCTCCCCTTTGGCCAACTTGTGGAACCCCTGAAGGGTGCAGCGGCTTCGCCCAAGATGCCACTGGTTTCAAGCAGCAGGGTGAGAGTATGGGGTCCACCATGATCACATTGAAAAGAAAGAGGCAGCATTTGTTTAGTCTACAGCTGGACAAGGCTCTCCCTGTTGTAGACTCATACTGATCGTTGCTTTCAGCTCTAAAATTCGAACTCATGGCTGAGCAAGATCACGATGCAAGCGGTACAGTTCCGGGAGACGAGGCTGACAACAGTCTCGACACCCGAGGACTGTGTCTGCTATCGCTAGACGGAGGAGGGGTCAGAGGGCTTTCTACCCTGTATATTCTGCGTGCTTTGATGCAGAGGCTCAACGATGAGCGACGAGAAGCGAAGTTGGATCGTGTGAAACCCTGTGAAATTTTCGACCTTATCGGCGGCACGAGCACAGGAGGGTGAGTTGATTGTTACCTGACCGCTTGTTTTTCAGTCTTCTCTAATAATCACCACATCAGTCTTATTGCCATCATGCTTGGGCGCCTTGAGATGGAAGTTGATGAATGCATCGAAGCATATAAAGAGCTCATGAAGACCGTCTTTGAGAAGAAGAAGAATCGCCTAGCCATTGGCATCTTCGGGCAGATCAAATCACGCTTTTCCTCAAAAGCACTAGAGAAGGCAATCAAAGCTGTGGTCAAGAAACGAGGAATCCCAGTCGATGAGTCTTTTTGTATCAAGACCGAGGACGAGGAGTCACGGAAGTGTAGAGTGTGAGTGATTCACACTTTTAGCTTTCGAGAAGATCATGAGAAGAGCTAAGTCTAGCTCGTCAGTTTTGTCTGTTGTAAGGCTCAAGAAACAAATTACATCGCCCACTTGAGAAGTTATCCTCTCAAAGGTGTACATGAAGAACCGGCCACAATATGGGAAGCAGCTCTGGCAACTTCAGCAGCGACAAGCTTTTTCGATCCCGTACAAATCAGCGATCGTCTATATGTCGATGGAGCGACTGGTGCCAACAACCCGGCAAATGAGGTCGAAAAGGAGGCAAATGACATCTGGTGCGAGGTCACTGGCAAACTCGAGCCGCTGGTCAAATGTTTCATCTCGGTCGGCACAGGCAACGGAGGCATCAATCCTATCAGTGACCAAGCATGGAAATTTTTGACTGAGAACCTCAAGAGGGTGGCCACCGACGCCCGCGAAACCGAGGAGGCGGTTTCAAGTCGCTGGAGAGGGCACTGGAACAGGCGCTACTTTCGCTTCAACGTGCATCAAGGACTGCAAGAGGTCGGGTTGGCCGAGTACAAGCAGGGAGGGCTGATTAACGCGGCAACGGCCGCGTATCTAGAAAGCCAGGATACAAAACCTCGGCTGCTTGCCTGTGTCACAAATCTCCGGGGCAAGAAATGTAGGCTACACCGGACCTGATATTCTCAAGTGATCAGTATTTTCGTACTAACCCGTCCACACTTGTTGTGCAGATCCTCCAAATAAAGCATTTCAAGTCGAACGAGCACAATCTCAGGAGATGGAAGATAGGACAACGAGTCCGCCGACGGGAGCCAGAATTATTACTGCGACCGAGATATGTGAGCAAGCATCTTTCCCTTGTAGGGGAGTTGTCGAACAAGCAATCTAATCTCTCATCCAGCTGAATTGCTCGAGCGAGCTAATATGAATCTGAAAAGACCCCGGGATGTCATGACTCATACGGAGCTCATCAACGCGTACAATGATTTCGTACAGGTCCTCCAGGCCAAGCGTGAACGGTCGTCGCCTCCGGTCAAACCGAAGGAGGTCACCTATCTATACAACAAACTGATGTCCACGTGTCTCGCGCTCAGCCATTTTCTTAACTTCACTCCAGCACAGCGTATGGCGTACATCAACGACGCGGATAAATTTGCAAAACGGGCCTTGGAGTATGCTATCAAATCAGGGAACAATGACAGGGTCATCCAGATGGAGTTCTATCTCGCATGTGTTAAGGCGAGAGACATTCAGTTGAGAAGGGAGTCCGCGGAGTTCGAGAGGCCGACGCTCTCAGAGCGAGAAGATGCGGCGGAAGCTGTGTCAGTGGTTTGGGCATTGTTGCGGAGTGTTGAGAACCTGGACTTGACGGTGTATGATGCAATGGCTAAAGAGACACTGAATCAACTGAGATGAAGCATAGCAGACAGACTTGTGGTTGTGCGTTGACAGACTGAGACGACTCGCCACCACGCGGAGAGGCAATAGTGAGCGGCGTTACTCAACTCACCATAAGAGTACTGATTCTCACATATATCGGAGACCATTTCGTGTGCTGAAATTATCATCATCAATGACAAGGCTGAGAAGCACGGAGTGAGGACTCTCTACCAATATTATAGCGACAATGGTGTCTATGCGCTGACGTAGATTGCTTAGATGGCTTACCTCATCAAACCCCCCACCGTACAACACCAAACTGAGATGCAACTGTCACCAATTAATTCGCAATCATGAACGTCGCAAGCTGGACAAACTGCCCTCGTGCTTGCCATCTTTCTTTCTCAGACATCAATCTAATCAAGCACAGTGATATTCTAAATGCAGTGAAAGTCCTTCCTTAACCATCCTCGAACACAGGAAACGTCCCAGTGTGCATGGGTCTGGCACAATGCCTTCCGCGTCTCCATCGCCGATGAAACGGCCCTCACTGAACGAACGCACCTCATCCACCCAGTCTTTGTCCTCCTCTGGCAAACAAGCCACAGCTCACAAAGTCCACCGTCCGCAGAAGGTCAACAGACATTCTAGAAATGTATCTCACGGGAAAGGTCTGAGCAAGCTGGGTCGGAATCACTCGACCGCAGCCATTGCGACCGATCACCACCACCACCGCAAAAAGTCCAGTGGTACAACACCTCCTCACAGTCCCAGGACTCCTCTGGTGAAGCGAAATAGCTCTCATGTGACTTTACCGAAGAACCAATCCCATGCAAACCTTCGAAAGAACCAGTCGGCAAACGCATTGGCGCGCAACAGTTCACACCCCGCCTTGAAGAAGATTGGTCTGGCGCCAGCACCCAAGCAGAAGAGCAAGAAAGATGGAGTTTTCCAGCTGGGGGATCATTCCTCGGAAGAAGAGGAGGCCGAATGGGAAGATTCCAATACTCAGTCACCGGAAATGACTAGGAACAATTCCAAGACATCCACACCTTTGAAAGTCGGTACTCCTGATGACGAAGAAGTCACAGACCACGACATGGAAACGAGTATGGCTGGTCGTGGGCAGAGAACTTCATCTCCGCCTGCTCCTTCGTTACGGACGAACAATAGATCTGCGCCGAATCTGAGAAAAGAGTCTAACATGTCCCCTCCTCAGCTGGCTCCTGATCCTGCTCTCCTCCACCAACAGCCCCGCGCATCTCGCGCTCCACCGGCAATGTCAACAGTATCTGCTCTCGCAGGACCCAGTCAGCTATTACGGAGTGAATCGTCGAAGTCCTTTACTCATATCACTCATGGTGAAGCGGCCTCGATACATGCCACTCCAGGCATGTCTGTGTCCGGACAGGCCGCAGCATCGTCATCTGTCGATGGCGGCGTGTCGCACTTCCTTTCTGAAAGTGTAACTCCCTCGCGTCAACAGGTCATCGACGAATCTGACGACGGCTCTCCCTCGACGTTCATGGACCACTACAAACCACAACCCTCAGAATCCCCCGAAAAGACACGCACACTTCACAAAATCCGACTCCCGTCCCACCCATCAAGGACCCAGCAAAAGCTTGAACTGCAACGAAGAGAAATTATGCGTGCCGGGGCTGCGACTCCGACGACACCACCTGCACATGGCATAGGCCTCAGCATCGGCTCATCAACCTCGTTGCACAGCCGGACAAGCTCCAGAAATCGAAACAGATCTTTAGCTGGCGGGCGAAGTCTGGCGGGAGACCTCAAAGCCATCCGCAAGGATTATGAGAATGCCGTCAAACAGATCACCGTGGTCAGGAAGTTTCGAAGTCCAATCATAGAAAGTATGCACCGACTGAAAGAAGACAATGCTGTTCCGGCAGAGCTGGGCCAGGGTTCGTCTGCCATTCCCACCTCGAAGAGTAGGCCAGCCAGCCGGCGTGGCCCTAGCACCACAACTATCAACGGTCGAAGTTTCGAGGACAAGAAGCCTGCATTGGTGTCTCGGAACAGCCATCGTCCCAGTCATAGCGGAAGAGTCCACTTCCAGCGACAAAGTAGTCATGAGAACATGGGAGTGACACCTTCTCAAGTTAGTCCGGATGATGTTCAGGATGATGAGGGCGGACTCAGCCCAGAAGAGGCCTTGATACGACGCATCTGGGAAAGTCGAGAGGTCTATGAAGCTGGCGATGTGATGCCACCTTCTCGTTGAGCAGGATTGACAAGATTGTTCACTGCATAATATCCGTTTGTTTTTGATGATGAATGATTACTATTGACACCATGTTGTATGGCTTTGCGTTCAAGCGAGATGCACTTTTGGGGGCTTGGTACAGAGTAGTTTCATGGGGGACACTGAACTACGGTTTTGAATGAGTGGGCTGTAAAGCAGAGACAAAGGTCACAACGGAATAATAGGTAGATAGATCAGCGAGACATGCTACAATACTGTATATTGACCTTAACCTGAGTCCTCGTACTTCCTATCCCTATCTTATGTTTGATTGAATTGGACATTACCGAAGAGTACTAGGTTAGACCTTGTGTGACAATGTCGACCTTAATCTGACTGTCCCGAATAGGTACGTATCACAGCCCTGGCTCGATGCTCCTTTGAGGTCGACTACCGTATGTGGATAGTCAAAATCCACAGCACGCATGCTCGGTTCTAGCTGATATCGTAGCACCTACAATAGGTAAATTCTTAGTGTCATTTACTAGGTGGACCAAGAGGTTGGGATACGAATAGTGAAACAACTCGTAGGTAGTCATTGTACTTTTGTTCCATCTTTTCCGAGGGCGAACATGCCGTGATTCGTCGGTTCGTCTCGTCAACCCGCTAAGAAAAGAACTCCATATCCATCATCACATCGCCAGCTTTCGCCGAGCCGTCATGCGAATTATCACCGTTAGATTTGTTTTTTTGTTTCTTTTTTTCAAAGTCTTCTCATCGGAATAAAGCTAAGCTAAGCTTTGCAAGGTAAGAGTTCGGGTTGCAATACTCCTCGAAGATATCAGGCATCCTCTGTTGGGTACGGAGTCAAAAACCGGGCCTCATTTTTGCATTTTTGCCACGGACTTGACTTGAGTTTACTCTGACGGGACTGGATTGGATTGGACTGGACATGAACCCTTTTTAAAATCCCTTAGTCTCTCTTTCTCTCTTTCTTACACCCTCTCTCCATCTGGATCAAAACGACGAGGCTTCCCGGCTTATATCTTCTTCAATATTCTTCTTTCATCTTTATACAATCTACGGATTTTCCAATCTCAGACCTACAATAAATCCCTTTTATTTCTTGCAGAGATACAACAGCTACATCAACCATTACCACTGTCATCAAGTTGACATTTCCTTGAACTTCTTATTAACCCCTTCCCGATAGAAAGAGATGTCTTCATCCATCTCGCCTTCTACTCCATCCTCCTCATACCCACCTCTCCCACCAAGCCGGATAACACGGAACTACTCCGAAGACGAGGAGAACAACATCACCGAGACATCATCTCCAACAGACGACGACAATGACCACGACCAAGACCAAGACAAGAATGACATCCGATTCTCCACGGCCACGAGCAGTTCTTCCTGTCCTCCTCCTTCTCCTTCCCCTGCGTACGAACAACCCATGACCTTTTCCACCGTGATCGACAAGGACCACGACACCATCAACCGCCTCGCGGGACGCTTGAGAAGATCCGGAACCGCTTCTCCCGAACGAGCACGACTGTTGCGAGAAGTCACTTGGCGACTCGTCCGTCACGACGTCTCCGAGGACCTCGTCATGAGGCCCGCGTTCGTGGCCCAGTTGGGTCAACAAGGTCAAGAAATGGCCGAGCACGACCGGCAGGACCACGACCGTGCCAAAAATGAGCTGCTTGCTCTGTTCGAGGTTGGACCCGACCGCCCCGATTTCGTCTCTGTTCTGGATCGCTTGTTTGCCGAACTGCTCGAGCACATGCGAGTCGAGAGCGGCGAACAGATCCCGGCCTTGGAACGAATGCTCGACCCTCTCGAGAGTCAGAGGTTGGGGAAAGAGTACATCCGGACCCAAATCTTGACGCCGGACTTGGAATTGACGATGGACGACAACGACAGAGGTCTCAAAGTCAAAGTTTGGAAGGACGTCGAGGACTACGCGAGGACGGATTTATCGACGTTTAAGAAGATTTATGCCAGAGTATGTCAACAACAAAATAAGACACGACGGGCGGGTCATGAAAAGGGAAAATTATAAGTTTAATGGTTGGCATGTCATTACCAAGGCTTAGAGCCCACATGTCGATAATGGCAAGCCTCGTCCTCGTCACTGCTTTATTACTACCAATCAGGAATCAATTGGTTGCTTTTCGAACTGTCTTCGTTCAACACCTTCCTCGCCGCCTCTCTCCCACAGACCGGCAACCTCTCGACTTCCTGTTCCCTCCCCTTTTCGGCCGTCTTGAACGTGTCGGGGATGAGCTTCGGATCGATCAGGCCCACCTGCACCAACACCGAGGCCTGGTCCCAGTGGACGTGTTCGTGGACCAACTTGCCGCCCCTCATGCACACCACGCTCACCAGCACGACCTCTACCTTTTTCTCCGTGGGCGGGACGCCGGGCAATATCCACGGTATCTCGGTCGTGTGCGTGAACCTGACAAACATCTCGTCCACGACCCGGTCGACTCCCACGGTCCGACTGAGCAACCTCATCGACAGGTCGGACGGGTTGTTGTCCATGAAGAATTCTTCGTAGAAGCGGTGGAGTTCTTCGTGCCCGACCCCTCCCGTCATGGTGGGGACGTGGTTCACGTGCGGCCGCTGGGGTTGAGCCACCATGGTGGCCACGGTCTTATCCGTGTCCCGGTCCGCGAACTCGAGCCGCGTGTGGTGGTCCCAGAGCGCCTCGAGGTCGGGCCCGCCCATGTCAAAGGCCTCGCGGAGCAGCCCCAGCGTGCGCGTCCACGAGAGCGAGGCGGCGACCCGGTCGAACTCGTCGAGGTCGTGCTCGGCGAACCCGGGGCGAGTGTTGGGGTAGCGGTACGACGGGTGACGGGTGCCGAACTTTTGTGAACCGGCCAGGTGGACCAGCACGCCGAGCGTCGGCGGGAAGTTGGTCGTCGACCGTGGCATGTAGGGGGGGTAGTATGCGACGACGGCCACCAGTTTGGGCATGGGTTTCATGCAAGCTTCGAGGACGTGAGCTGCCGCGTCGCCGTATGCTGTAGCGTATTCCCAAAATGACAAACGTTAGTTGGGTGATCTCTCCATCCAGCACACACACGATGACAGACATGGAAAGGCCGACGACGAGCGCGACGTCGTAGAAAGTACATAGACGTATACCTTGTTCCGTCAAAGCTCTGGGTTACGTACCTACGATGGCATATTTCTCGCCCAGTTCGAGGGGATCCTGCAGATGCTGCAGTGCAGCCGTGTAGTTGGCCTTGTTCCCGTCGTAGGCGAGGTAACTCAGCTGGAACCCTTCCTGTTGGAAGTGTGAGATGACGGTCGGGTCGAAGTCGTCCGTGTCGCTGGTCAAGACGATCCGAGGCACCGTCGTGTTCCAACTGAGGTGGACGGCTCGGCTTCCGCCGCCCCTGATCCGTCGACGGACATGTTCCTTGAGTCGACCGGAGTCGCCGGGCACCGTGTCGATGTCGATGATTGGTTTGCCGCCTAATTCGACTCGGACCATTTTTCGGTGGGGTCTGTTGTGAAGGAGTGAACCTAGATAAACGTGTCGAGTGTAGTTGTCTGTATGGTGGTGATGGGTGTCTGGAGATGTTATGAGGTGAGAATCTCGGGAGTGCAGATTAAGAAGACAATGCCATGGGGATCGAGATCAAAAGATCAACCCTCACTCACACAGAGAGAGAGGTGTATTGCGTAAGATGTCTTATTCTCTCCCTATCTCTCTCTCTCTCTCTCTCTCGTGGGCAGATCCTGATAACTCTTACGCAAGACCAGGTTTTTTCTGGTCTTGGTTCGTGGAGATCTTCAGACGGTTCACTTTTAGGATCGTACTTGTCTGTAGCTGATTGGATGCCCTTACGGATGAAATGTCCTCGACGGATCAAGTGTTGAAGCAATTGTGGTGCATTCGGTAAGAACCTATGACGTTGTTGGTGACCTTTTAAAAGTCTGGGCTTGTCGCTTACCTAAGGATGGCATATTAGAGGCTTCGGAAAGGGCTGGCCGACGAGGCTGAACGAGGCTTTGGACTTGACTAAATGAAGCGTGACACGCCGGGTTCGAATCCCATTGCGAACGACACGACATTTCATCCGAGTCCCGACGACGGGACCTCATATTCCTCGAATCCTCCTCAAAATGCCTAAGGTTGTATCCACATGGCTATGTGGTGGATGGCCAAATTCACTAGACAAAAGAGCAAAAACACATGAATAAAAGGCAATTTCCTTCAAAGTATATCGCTGTTGACTATATGCTAAAGATCGGTTGGCTATTGACTCTCTTTTCCGTAATATGAAGCCCAAGACGATGCGTCCTGCGAGCCTCGAAAGGCCCCAAAAACGTGTCCATGTGTAGCCAGGAGAGGGAGAAGGAACTCGACGGGATTCAGGTCAACCCTCGCCTCCCGCATCGTAGCACCGAATTCCAATACCAAAATATAAGGCATGACACTTAAAGCTCATCCTTGCGACCGGATCCTTCATACCATTTGGGTGCAAACTTTTTCCTCGCAACATACCCCTCCACGGGATATGGTGTGTGTCCAACCATCAAACCAAGAAGCTCATATGCCAGATCCGCTGCCGCCCACGCCGTAGACTCCCCAGAGTCATCGTATGGCGGTGCCACCTCGACAACATCTGCACCGACGATGTTCAACTGATGCAAACCCCGCAACATGGCTTTGAGTTCTCTCGTGGTCCAGCCTCCCGGCTCTGGACATCCTGTCCCCGGAGCGAGGCCTGGTTCTGTTGCGAGACAAAGCGAACATTCGATTAGTAATAAGCACAGAAAAGTGACGTGAGCAAGTTCGTCGGGACTCACCAAGCACATCAATATCAATGCTGACGTAGACCAGTCTATCGCCTACTACCTCTCTGATGCGGTTCACCACGCCGTCAATGCCGACAATGTCGAGGTCTACATGGTACATACCACGGTTGTCAGTAGAAGCCACTTGAACTTTTCAGTACTCCATGGTTGCCTGTACATACCTTCGGTCTCGATATACTGGAAATTCTGCTTGGCGTCTTCAGCATAGTCGCCGTAGTCGTTGCCGAAAATGCGTGTTCGTAACCCGGCATGGATGTTGCCCTCGTTGGCAATGAGACCCTCATTATGAGCAATCCAGAACTACACCGGGTGATCAGCACGATATGACGCCGATTTCATCTCTCAAGGTGATACCGACCATGGACCCATGATTGTAATTCGACTGTTCTGAAGCCCACGCTCCTGCCAACGAAGATGGATTCCAACTATCAGGCTCATTAGGTCAAAACAAATAATAAGCTCCTTCTGATCCGAGATGACATACGTGTCGAGGTGAGAGTCAAAGTGCAGAACGCTGATCGGACCGTAGATCTCGTGAAGAGCCCTCAGAGCAGGTAGCGCCACGGAATGGTCCCCACCCAGCGTCACCAGTCGTGGATGGTAGATTCCATCCTTGCCCAGATTCTTGGGAGTGGCCGTCTTTGGTTGCGTCTTGGCTGGTCGCCGGAGGAGGTCTCGATATGCTTCCGTCATCTGCTCGAATGCCACGGCGTTGTCACTGGTTTGTTGTTTTCAACTGGTCAGAATTCAAGCTAGACGGTAGCAGTGTGGTTCCTTTCCGCGTCCATCGTGGTGGTAATACCTCGCGAGGGCGACTTACAACGGTGTGACAGGAATGTCCCCGCAATCAATAATCGTCGCCCAATTTTGATATGGATTCAGACCTTGGGCATGGTTGAACCCTCGAGCTGGGATTTGACGCTGACTTGCTCCACGGATGGCTTTGGGTCCAAATCGTGCACCTTTGGGATCATCAGATTATTCTGTCAGGGATCATGGACTTGCAATGTATGAAAACTATCTTGGACCACATAGCGGCACACACCTGGACGATAGGCGACCGATGTATCGAAGGGAACCCCGATTATTGCGAGATCGAATTCTGCATCCTGCTCGATAAGACACAGGCTGTGAGGCAAGTGAGCAAAGGTCTGGATCCCCTGGAAACTGTATCCTCCCTTCCACCGTGTGGTCCTATCCGTGTCATTATTGAGCCCTGCCTCTCGATGAGACTTGTCGGCCCCTAGCACAGTTTGCGACCATGTCAAGGCGAAGAAGAAGATGAGAGTCGTGTAAGCAAGCATTCTGGGCGGAGCTCCCGAGGAACAGATTAATGAAGAGGCCGTCTCACGATTTTCACACAGGGGGTTCGATCAAGTATCAAAGATCAAGAGAATCATGTTGGGAACTGGTCATGGTCGGCGGGTGACTGAGATATATCCATCCTCCACACTTCTTCACCACTGCCAATTGCTAGTACAGTAGGTGTCTCCGATGATAAGGGAGGATATAGCTGACACAGTAAACTCATCGTGGCACGTGTAGAGCGTACATATCCGATCCATCTACCAGCGGTCGAGTACTATGGCTTCATGCACGCTCGTTTCCGTTCCGCCAAGTACGGACAAGTCCCGCCGACAAGGTCAATGTCACGTGGAAGACACCCCTATTCCCACGGTTCATCTCTTTTGATTTAAAAACAGACCTGCTTTATCACACTCTGTTTCTCTTTTGCTCCTCAGAAGACAGCCAGTGCTATTTCCACCAAAATGTTGCAACATTCTGTTGTTCGTTTGAATACATGCTGTCGTGGTAATGCCTTTCATCTGCTTGCCCTAGATTCTGTCACAGTCAAGACCACCCTTTCTGTGGGCTCATGCTTTACAATCGATAAGACCAGATCCTCCGCATTCCACTAACATTAGCGTTGTTGTCGCGAACTCCCTGTTATTAGCCAGCGAAATATGAGGTATTCAATTGTCTCGTCCACCTTACATTCCAACAACAACAACTCACACAACTCCCCATATCATTTTCTATTTATGTCAGTGTCTGGTCTTTCTCAGATCATGTGTTTCTGCCTGTCTTTATTGAACATGAAAAATGCTTCTCAGCAAATCTTGAATTAACTAGTCGTCATCAGACTTGTGTCGTCTGTCTTTGTTTAACCCTGCAACATCAACAAAAGAACTTTGGAGACCTGGCGCAGCATTACTGACACTTCTAGCGTTTGATTTCTCTCACCATGGGCGCAGGTTCTGCAGAGCGAGACATAGATTCAATGCCAGACGGCCACAAACCTGACCTCCAACGGACGGGTCGAAGGATACATAAGGCCTGTCAGTCTCTGCCTCTTTCATTTCGTGACCATAGTTGATCTTCTTGTCCTTTGAGTTGACTTACTATATCACAGCAACCAGAAACCCACGAAGTCCAGCTGACAGACCTGGAGGGCGTGTTCGCAGAAGCTCTAGACTGCAAAGCGGACTACCAACAGTATCACTACAAGTCACTGATAAACGAAGAGGCATAGGGGTGCCACCTGCACAAAAGAAGCGAAGTACTACATCATCTTCATCATCACTCCCACCGCGGACAGGAGACTTCCAAGGCAGTAAGTCAGACTAAGTCTATCGATGTGTCAATAACACTCAGGCGTGCTAATATATACAGCATAGCCAAACGAGCACATTGCGAAGAGGAAGAACTCGGCACGTCCCTACAGGACGATATTCGGAAGCAGAACCCACCAAAACATACCAAGGGAGCGATTAGATCTTCGAGGCAGGACCAGTATATTCAACATTGGCTGGACAATATCCACATTCCACGCAAATCTTCGACGAGTCTGCACGGAACGGTGATAGATATGCCCCGCAAAGCACCCTCATCCATCCCGACTGACATCGAGTCAACAGCGGAAGAGTCGGGAACAAAGACCACCGCTTCTGTTGATGCGCTTGCACTACACTATCGCAATATCGTGATCGGGAAAGTGCCGCCTCCAAAAGGGTTGGAGGGCAGAGCAAGGCAGATAATATCAGGCGTGCCAACTTCGGGTGACATCGACCACACAGCGCTGGAGAATCTGCGGCAGTTGCTGATAAGAGAAGAAGGTGAAAACGAGAGTATGCTCGTTACGCTGCTCCTTCCATCGCTTCAGGTTTTGGGCATAGGGGCAACACTCGACCCGAAGTTGCGAGCTCGACCGAACCAATTGTGGTTCAACTGCGTACCGATTCCACTTCTCAAGGAATTCGAACCGCTGTCGTCGTCCCTTCCGTCACTTTCCAGGCCCAAACCTGATGTTACCTTCGGATTCTCCCTCGAGGCCTTCACGTTGACCCAGCAATTCACCCTAGGATCCGTGTGCGACAAGAACAATCCCAAGCAAAATTACGCCATCCCCGACGGAAAGACGGTATTCCCCTTCTTGACATTCGAATTCAAAGCAGAAGCAAACCGTGGAACTCACTTCAGCGCCAAGAAGCAGGCTGCAAATTCTGGGGCCATCGCCTTGAATGGGAATCTTCGTCTGATGGAGCAGTGCGGTCTTGGTCTGAGGGTGTTCGAGCGGGGAGAACCTCACTATTTCTCAATCACGATCGAATTTGCTTCCGCCCGGGTCAACTTGCACTGGGTGGAGGTACCGGCCAAGAGAGGAGGTCCGTACCGTTTCCACGTAAACACACTGGAAATTTATCCACTGATCCATGTTGAGGGCCTCCTGGCACTATTCCGTGCGGTCAGGAATATTCTCGAATGGGCCGTCAAGACGAGACTACCAAAGCTCTGCGCGGCACTGGACGCATACCACTAAAGAAAGTTCTTCCCCACGAGGATCGATGCAAAGCTACACTCGTGAAGGGAACGGATTTGGCGGGCATTGACAACACAAAACTCCTTTGAAGGAGAAGGTAAGACAACTTTGATCAAGTTTCCAGACTCGGCCAGAAGACGCAGGCGTTCAGAGCTCTGTCGCCCTTTGTTTTTCTCCGGAAGAAATCAAAATGGATAAACTGATCCACACAACTTTGTTTGTGATGGGTGCGTGACTTTTGGTCTGGACATTGTCGGTCAAACGATTTGCTTTTGATGGGTTTCCGAAACTAGTGGTTATGATGGGCAATGTTTGAATTGATTGATTGTGATGTTGTGTCTGGTCTTGTTCTGTTGTGTTTTTTTTGATAGATGAATAGATTTCATGTTGCAGTATATGGTATATATGTACAAGATTTACACGTAATCTTTGATTACTCTTTGTGATTATTACCAAAATTATTTTTGCACGTCTCAATTTTCCAACGTTTTGTGCTTGAATCAATCTAGACTCCTCTTGTCGTTGCTTACTACCTACTTATAGGCTAGGTAGGTATCATTCCTTGAAACCCTTGACAAACAATTCCACAATACGGAGTACAAGTCGAGATTTAACCTACCTAGAAGAAAATTCTTTGTTTTTGGAACAAGAACATCCTCGCTTCGGCCGCTAGTGAGTACCTCGGGTGAACAAGTAGGTAAATGTCGATCCCAATGGCACACCAATCAACAAACGGTGTTCCCCCTTGCGCGGTGTCGACCACTGGGCACAGGGAGAGGGGTTGACTCGGCGACATGTACACAGGCGGTGTCTCGCTATGGTGTCTCGAGCAATGAACGGGCAGTATGGGCTCCGTGGGGGGCTGTTTCCTTGGTGACGGTAAATGGGGAATGGGAATGATCATGTTAACAAGGAAAAAGGGGTCAGGGTGTGAAGAATCACCTCCAGGAGGGAAAAGAACGACAGCTTCCCGTCTTTCTTTCATCACAGGGCCACCTAAGTATGGTTGAGGCTTCAGGAAGGGGGCACAAGGCCGTTGTCCTTGAAGCGGCATTCCTAAGTCTGAAGGATTAGTGTAGTCAAGTCTCGTGTGTTTTATGTGATTGTTCCCGTCCCAGCTTCAAAAGACCATCAATGCTCAGCAAATCTTGGTGAAGACTCGTTCATCCAGGGAAATACATAGCACAGCTATAATCAAGCCTTCACTCCTTGTGAAGATATCCAGGTATCATTTTATGATGCCTAGGTAGCAAGCTGGGCAGTACCTAGGTATTGTTTGTTGGCGTGGGATGAAATGAAATGTTCAATTGCTGAACTTTCTTTGGTGTTGTTGGCTTGCCGTCGGATTTTCATTGATCCGATGGAGCATCACGTGCAACTAAAACGAACTAAAACGGCGAGAGAGTCTCTCATCCTCTACACGTGATTGTCAAATCCGAAGTAGAATAGCGTGTAATCATGATGTATTGTCATTTCATCTGTAACGAACAACTGAGCAAGATCCATCTAGCAAGCTTCGAGTTTTGACATGCATCCTTCGGCTCCTCCACCACCCAGGCTACTACGGACAGGCAAGATGTCTATCACGGGTTCGCGTAGGTGTGATTCTCTCCAATGCAGGTAGGTCTTAACCGAATGAGTCGTAGGTGAGGCAAAATGGAGCTTCACCGCAGCGGAATCATGACACCACCACTTCTCTGGAACTACAAAACTCCGCCCGGCTGCACATTCAGGGAAGCTCCTCTCTTACTCTTCCTCGAACACGCATCCTCAATTCGTTGTATCCTTGAACAGACACTGATCTTTCGTTTTAATCGGCTGTCTGCTAACCTTCGCTCCGCTCTACGGTCGTCGAGATCTGAATTTGATATTGAGGCGAACAGCAGGATAAGGAAGCTGAAAAGCCATCCCCGACCATGCAACGAACACTCGCTCTCGCGGCTCTGGCTGCAGTGGCCTTTGCCAACCCCATGCCTCAGGGCGTCACCTCTGCCATCGCTCCAGAGGCGTCTGCTCCGGCTGGATGTCAGTCAACATGGCCCGGTACCTTTGAGATCACCGTTGTGAACGTCACTTCTTCAGGCAAGAGAGACCTCGAGAAGGTAAGCCAATTCTTAGTGGCTGGTGCCTTTGGGCTCTTATTGATGAATTTTAGCGTCAAAAGGATGGTGTCCTCACACTCACACTCGCCGATGGCGTTCTCAAAGACCAGGCTGGCCGCACTGGCTACATCGCCTCAAATTACCAGTTCCAGTTCGACGACCCTCCTCAGAACGGTGCCATCTACACCAAAGGCTTCTCCGTCTGCTCGAACTACAGTCTCGCACTGGGAGGAGATGCATTGTGGTATCAATGCCTCAGTGGTAGCTTCTACAACTTGTACAACAAGAACTGGGCCAACACCTGCAACGCCATCTACATCTACGCCATGTCTGGTTCCTCTGCTCCTGCCACGCAGGCCGCCGATGGACAGCCTCAGGCCACTCCCGCCCCCGCTCCTCCTGTCTCTCAAGTCTCCGATGGACAGCCCCAGGCGACCACCGGCGTTCCTGTCACTCAGATCTCAGATGGTCAGCCACAGGCAACCACCGGTGCACCAGTCTCACAGATCTCCGATGGCCAGCCCCAGGCACCTACTGGTGCACCGGTTAGCCAGATCTCTGACGGTCAACCTCAGGCCCCCACTGGTGCTCCCGTTTCCCAAATCTCTGATGGTCAGCCCCAGGCTCCCACTGGCGCCCCTGTCAGCCAGATCTCAGATGGACAGCCACAGGCACCAACTGGTGCTCCTGTGAGCCAGATTTCTGACGGCCAGCCTCAGGCTCCTACTGGCGCACCTGTCAGCCAGATCTCTGATGGTCAACCACAAGCTCCTACCGGTGCCCCTGTCTCTCAGATTTCCGACGGACAGCCACAAGCTCCAACTGGTGCTCCCGTCTCTCAGATCTCGGATGGTCAGCCCCAGGCCCCCACAGGAGCTCCTGTCTCCCAGATCTCAGACGGTCAACCTCAGGCACCAACCGGAGCACCAGTCAGCCAAATCTCCGATGGCCAGCCTCAAGCTCCTACCGGGGCTCCCGTATCTCAGATTTCAGATGGTCAACCACAAGCTCCTACCGGGGCTCCAGTGTCCCAGATCTCTGACGGGCAGCCTCAAGCTCCCACCGGAGCCCCTGTCTCACAAATCTCTGATGGACAACCTCAAGCACCTACCGCTACTGTGGAGGCGGCCTCCAACACTGGTGCTGCTCCTGCCACATACACCGGCGCTGCCAACCGTGAAGGTCTCTCTGGCAGCCTTGCCGTTGTCGCCGGTCTCGCTGGTGCCATGGCCCTCCTATGATCTAGCTCCTAACTACGTCATACGAGACACATCTACACACACCCACACATTCTTTTTTCCGATCAAGACGAAGACACACACACAACCTACCCTTACGCTCATTTAATGAATCATGTTGGGAAAATGAAAAACCCGAATTTGCTGTAATGCATGCATAGCGCCTGCATATATTGGATGGACAAACAGACTAAGCCAAAGTTGCTTTTTAATTTGGGGGAGGGAGGGATGGGGACGCATCGGTTGGAAAATTGCATCGGTGTAATTATTTTGCGGCTCAGATATTCAGTGCTTTTTGAAGAGCTCACTGTCTTTGCCGGCCCCCGTGCCAATGGAGACCAGGATGATCTGGCCCATGGATGGACTTAATAGCTAATGACATGTCTTCCTCGTCATCATCCCCCCCTCAAAAGCGAATTTCTTTACATTTGTCCGTAAAACGTACAGTGATCACGGAATGTTTTTCATCTCGCCAGGCCACGCCCCCTACGATGATCAACACACTAAGTCTTTGGACGGCCAGTCTGGGGTAACTAATTGTCCTTTTTTTGTTTAACGGAGTAAGGTGGTGGGAGCTTTGGGCATTGGCCTCATCATTGGCATTTCCTCCGGGCTCCGTCGACTTGTTTTCCCCCCCCCTCCTCCCCCCCGCATTTTTTCGGTCCCCCCTCCATGGTGCGATTTGGTTGTCCTTGGCGTAGACGCCGGACTCATGCACGAGAACGAAACCAAAAGGGCATTACGAGAACAAGCGTCAACTCGGCAACACAAGACCCAAGTAGTACGTTACTGTACGGGGAGTAAGATCCTCCCCAAAGAATGCTTTCTCTTTGCCATTCGACAAGTGTGACGACAAGGACATTCGACGTGATTGAACCTTAAACTAATAATGGGAAAAGAATAAGGGTCTCGATATCGACAACACATGACAACGTTTTTTTTTTGGCTTTATTGAATCGGACTTCGGACTTTTCTTTCTCTGTGAATGAGATGCGAACGAAGATCATTATTTCATTCCATGGCCAGATTTGTCTTTTGTCTTCTCTCGAGAAAGTCTACAAGGGGGAACCCGGCAGAATATCCGCGAAACTCTCCGGTTCACCTTGCCTTGTACCCGTACGAGTACTTACTAGTGAGAAATTCAAAAATACCCTCGAAAAGAGCCTTGGAGACGTATCGGGGCCCGGTCCATGCCAAAAAGTCGAGTCAAAGCTGTCAAAAAGACTTGAAAGATCTGGAACATGGCAAGACGGAAACGGCTTTTTTGAACGAATGTGGCGCTTGCAGTCCGCCCGGCGGCCCCAACTTCTTCTATGCGTCATTGAAAGATGGTCATGGCGCAAGGTGTGTCTGTCCGGAGTACAATACGAGCCTCGTGCCAAAATCGATTTGGGGGGAGGGTGCTCCGAGCACAAGCCAACAAGTTGTCCGGTCGATGCGGCTGATCTCAAAAAGGTACTTGTATTTGCCCATTTGACTTGTCCCGGTCGCAAAACAGCATCGAGCCCGAAAGAAGAAAAAAGTTCACATTGTGATGGGGGGCGTGTGACAAAGTCCTTTGAGCATTTTTTTTTTAGCGTCGACGCCTTCTTTACAAGCACTGCGCCGAGTGGGAAAAGCTTTTCCAACTAGAATACTCCGTACAAAGCTGAAGCGAGTGCGGAGAGAAGAAAGACGAGAACGAGACCGAGGTCGGGTTTTTACATCTAGCACTCGCAGGGAGTAGCTTGACCATCATCATTAATAGGCTGTTGCTACTCCTGCGTCAACACCCAGGGTACCAGCCTACTCTCGTCTACAGTACCAGGACACTAATAACCTCGGACGACATCGACAATCTTTCGACGGGTACTTCTAATCAACTTACAGTAACGGATTTATGCGTAAAACTCGGTACCCCGGAAACCGACCACAATTTTCCTTGCACGTGATGGTGATGTTTTGTACACCGGTGACGGTGAGACTCCGGGCAAGAGCCAGTTATACTCCTCCAGAGGTGTTCCCACATGTCTTTTTCAAAGAGGAGTGTGCATACTGAGACATGTGTACGAATAAAGTGTGGACACTTGACGGAGTACAGTAGGGTGAACTCGCAAGTGCGTGAGATGTTAGTTCGCCTCTAGTATGTACAGCAACTCCAGTTGTGCTCTGGCTCGTGATAATCACGAGAGATGACGTCTATTTGGGTGGTTGGTCGGATCGTCGGATTGGTTCGGCTACTCGTACTGGTCAAGGGTTGGTCAAAAAGGAATACGAACGGGAAGGCAAAGAAGAAGGTCATAGGTTGATGGCATTTGAATCGTAGTTTTTAGTAACTCCGACTCCGCGTTGAGATGGACCTTCCCGTGAGGCCTAAAAACATGCACTACTGCAACGTCAGCTGCTGTCGACGGGCAAGCCTCTTTTCTCTCTTTTGTTGAGAAAGACAGATTGTGCGTGCGTGTGTGTGTGTGTGTGTGTGTGTGTGAGAGAGAGAGAGAGCGCGAGAGAGAAGCAGAGTCGAGCCGAACAAACGCAATCGACCCCTCTTTTCCTTTGAAAGGGTAAACATGGATCCTCTTTCTGTGACACTACGAGTAGTCGACTACACTTTGCCATGTACAGAGTACAACGACGACGACGACGACACACACGCTTCCAGAGTGGTCCGAAAGCCCCATCTTGATCCCCCCCTCCCCCCCTCCTCACTCCATGGATCATCCTCTCTGCATCTACAAGTAGACTCTTACCCTACTCGTTATGATCCTGGTAAACCGTGGACCGGGGGTGACCCTGGTCCCTCAGACTAAGATCGATGTGCCACAAATTCCCAGCTTTGTGGCTAGTGATTTCCTTCCCCTTCCACCACTCACCACTCACCACTCAACCACTCCTCGCAGTAACAGTACTCCTTACGTCGTGTACAGTACAATTGAATACTTTACGCGATTTTACTCCGTTGCCGGGTAACAGAATACAACCACTGGTGGAAAAGAAAAATGTCACGATCCGATCGTTTCGATGTTTCCTCCCGCGTTCCCGTTTACTGTACCGAGTAAATATCTCGGAGAATAATAGTAGGGCCATCTGACTTGGACCCTACAATCGGTCGTGGTGGTACTTATTACTCGTGCCACTACTGCTACAATACCACCACGTACATCCGTCCACCTCCGCCTCTTTTTCGTCTCTTTCGTTCTCTCTTGTGAGACACTTGTTCGAGCCGTGACTTCCTACTCGTACGGTCAATTGAACTTGCACTTTGCAGATGGGAAGTCTATGCTTTTTTTTTTACACTCCCGTGACAGACCGGTCGGTCCTAACGAAATAAGTGACGGGGGGGAGAGGATGACCCAATAATGGGTTGTTGAACGGACGATTTAATTATTTTTCTTTGTTCATTTTATTGATTTCCCTTATCTCTAGTATGTAGATGGAGGTATTTTTCGTGTCAGTTGATGGGCGGGGCACGGTCCCAACTCCGGATGGATGATGACGGGATGGGTTGTATGGTGACGATGATGGATGAATGAGTGAAACGAAATGATGATGCGTAGGTGGCCACAAAACCCACCGAGTGACTTTTTTTGGTGACCTGTCCGACTGAAACCAACTCAACTCGCACAAAGGTGAGGGACGTATGCCATGGGAATGTCAACCACCAAACCATCGTTTAAGGGTAGGTCAAGGTCTGCAAATCTGTACTGTAAAGAGATAGAGAGAGAGAGAGAGAGAGGGAGAGGGACCAAAAATTCCCCGCTTTTTCTCTCATCCCGTCATGAGCTTCCCGGACTCGTAAAGCTGCATCGAGAGACTTTTTTCTCCCTTGGTTGCATGCTTTAACCGACCTTGCATGATGCATGTTTCACCTTTCTCGACCTGTTGGAATGGGTTGTGTGGAGAGACCCGACTGAGAAAGAGAGGGATGGTCTGTGCTGGGACGATCTTCCCAGCCCGCCTCTTGGTCTTGTCCCTTGTAAGCTTGTTGACCGTATGTAGAAGAAGAGGGTACGAACCACACCTTATTTTTGGTTTCAAATGACGAGACTTTCTTTCACAGAAATTACACGTCGAACGGTATTTGGAAACGATACGAACGTGCACTGCAAGTTGGTACCTCGGTCGAGTCCTCATCCCTCCTCCACCTTTCATGTGACAGACAACATGGCAAGTTGGATGCTTACGAGTAGAACCGCTTGGATCAACCCATACCGAGTATGTCTTTGATTAAAGCGGCCAGTGGCTTATGATGCTTTACATGTTGCGGTAACTCAAACAGTAGGTTAAAACAAGGTACCTTAGCTCATCACCGCGAGTCACTCCTCGCACGGGGCGATGGCCACCTAGGTATTTCCCCCCCCCCAAAAAAGAAAGGGTTGCTTAATTCGATTCCGTTTCAAGAATGATTGAAAACCCCTCCCAACTGTACAACCACCGCAACACGTCAGAGGACACTCAACTCCTCAGTACATACCGAGCCATTCTTTGAAGGTCTGCAGCTCAATGTTCCTTGCCTAGCGGAGATTCCAGTCAGAACATCATTCATTCTCGGTGGTCTTTTTTTTTGATCTCGGTGGGTGAACGTCATGAGAGAAACTTACATGCACCACGGTCGGTCGGTCCCCTGGACAACTCGCAAGTGATTCTTCTCCGTGCGAAGACAACGAAGTCAGCATGTACCTGGAAGCGTTCCGGTCTTGGCTCAGCGGCAAGGGGTCGACGCCGACCGCGGTGGTCGGATCGAACTCATTGTACGTGAACAAGATCCTCTTGGCCTCGACGAGCTCATCCCGTGTGATGTGGTATTTGCTTTCGACAAACTCCTGTGTCGGTGGAGTGACGTTGAACAGACCCATACAGGTGTTCGGGTCGGATTCCGTTTGGACGGAGGTCGGTACGTAGATTGTTCCATTCGGGATCTCGTTCACGCTCAGTGGGAAGTACTTGCAGAGGAGATAGTTGAAAGAATCCAGCTGCAGCGTGGGATTCACGGACTCGTCGTTTCCCCACGGGACGCAAGGATACAGCGAAGGGGGGAACCACATGTTGAGACTCGCATTGATGACTTTCACAGGGTCATCCAGGAGGAGCGTTTGGTTGACCAGCTTCTCGACGTTGGCACCTGTCGGGTTTCCAATCGGACTGACGAACCCCAGTTGCGGGATCTGGTATTGCACCGTGTTGATGACACCCATGACCTCTTGTAGCTCGGCCGTCGTGTTGGGTATCGAGCACAATCCGAAATCTCTGGCGAGACTCTTCGTATCATTTGCTTTCCGTCACCACGTCAGCAAAAGAGACTTTTTTTCTCTCTTGGGATCGGGGGCCTCATCATACCGGCCTGCACGCGCTGTCCCAGTACGTCAAAGGCGTGTTTCATCTTACCGGCCGCCGTGGCAGACAAATCCCAGTAGACCTGGTTCAGCTGAAGACATGTTAGCAGCATCACGCGAGGACTGCATCGCGCCTGGGGCCTACGTATTTGAACCAATTGTACCGTTGCGGATTCTGGTTGTTGGCTCCGATGCTTCGTAGTGGCGCAGCAAAGGGCAACGCACCGTAGAAGATGTCGGGATGATTCATCTTCAACACGGTGGTGAGAAAGCCTCCATACGAACCACCCATCACGAGCACTTTGCTCTCCTTTGTCCCTTCCGTCGTGTTCTTGATGTGGCCAATGAAGTTGACGGCGTCCAGCATGACATTCTCCAGTGTCAGACTCTGGAACTGTCGGACGGGATCCGGGTCCTTGGAAGGATAGCTCAGACCAAAAAAACGATGTTCGAGTGTGATGACCAGAGCTCCAAGTTCAGCTGCCCACTCAGGTAGGATGGTCCATTCCTGTTTTGATTGTCAGTTTCAGGACAGGAGCATGGATGTCTCGGACCAAACCATGCATGCGAAGAGGCTTGTCTCTGCCTGTTGGTAGTACAAGATCGGACCGCCAGGTTTGAAATGAGCCGCCACTACTTGATACTGCTGTTGGAACGTCGCTCTGTTGCTTGAGTTTTCGTGGTCAACAAGTTGGTCGAAGAAGTGAGTTGGTGTTGTACAATTGGGACTGGCGGTGGTGGTCGCACTGACCCCTTGGAGCAGTGAGGGTGTGCTGCAAAGTGCAGCCAAGAATAGAACCAGCCGATGCAGTTTGAGGTTCATGTTGGGGATATTGAAAACAACAGGCAGAGAGAGCTTGTCGAGTTTTTTCGTCGTTGGAGATTGGCTTGAAGCTTCTCTGTTTTGCAAAGGAGGACGATCTCGACCCTTTATATACAACCAAGTATGCCAATATCGATAACATCATTCTTTGCTGTCGATCAAACTCGCCGGAGTGTATACCTAAGAAGGAAACGATGAAGAATACTAATACGTCGGTGTTGGTATTGGACCCCAGAGTACTGCAAGAGAAAGCCTCGTGAAATTGACCGAGTAAAGATCCTCGCTGACCCATGGTGGCCTTGTGTAGAATTATTAGATCTTCATCACCATGGCAATTTTAGGCTAGGGTACAGAGGGCGGTGTACCGGTATACACTGTTGGGGGATCTTCCGTCCTCCGATGGAGGAGTGAATCACGAAAGTACGGACACATACTCTGTACAATCACCGACATTGTGGGCCGTCCATGGGTACAAAGCCTAAGAAGCCTTCATGTCCCTGTGACTTTGTGGGAAAAGGGGCCGAACACCACGATCTGAAGATGGTGTTTGTGTCTATCAATACAGGTACTGAGGTCAAGGTTACCGCGAAAATTTCCTAGTTTGGCATGGTCGAGTTGAAGGGATCCCCACCATCACCACAATCATCAATGATATATATACTTGATACATAGCAATCTCACCGATGGGTTAAGGGATCATTGGTACTGACTGGTCCGAATAATCACTAAAGTGCCCCAATTTATGCCACATGGACCAGGTGTAAGGTCTCGTAGACTGTCGTTGAGGGCGGAGCGAGGCCGGAGTCGGTACAAGGAAGTTAGTTGCTCTGGTCGATCCAACGGTGAGGTAATAAAATGGAAGGTAGTCGGACTCGAAGCGACATCACTACGTCGAGGATTGCCACCAAAAAAAGAGGGTGAATCTCGTTGGCATACTATATGCCAGGTGTGCACAATCATCACTTTCACTCAAGATGAGAACAACCTCACATCACCACCAAAAACAAACACTCCTGACATTGACTGTGTTGTGACCGTGAGCACATTGTTCCTGCCTTACTTCCGTAGACGACATTCAGAGGTGTCTTCCTTGGAAAGGGGACCAACCAGGTAGCACCTTTTACAGATGAAGAAAGTGATTTGCCAGCAGCACTCTGTGCGGGACGAAGCATCATTCCATTGCTGCATTTGAGCGGAGGTCGAAAGCTTTGGTAGAAGCTTGTTGTAACTTGCAGCGTCCGTGATACGGGGATTTCCCTCACCACATGGCCAGAAAGCATAGGTTGACGCATAATAGAAGAAAGCAATTAGCTTGGACTTGATCAGGTCGCCCTCTGCTGCTGGAACCCCCCCGTCTTTGTTACGGATCGTGGTAGATAGTTGAAAAAGGGCCCCGTTGCTCTCCGTAGGAAAAGCTTCGGCTTCCTCCAAGGCTCCGGACTTGGTTGATTCTCAATATGGCGGCAGGCATGAATCACTCCCTTCCTTACGCATTTGCATGGGCCTCGACCTTCCCTTGAATCCACCGGCGAAACGTTGTCGGTTCGACGGTCTTTGCCAACCAACCTAGATCGGCTCCGTAATCTGTCTCGGAGATGAACCCAAACATTGTCCGCAGATCCGGTGTGAGCCAGATTATCAGTCGCGCCAACCAGCCGTATGTGACACCCACGGGTTGTCCCGTCTCTCGTCGAAAGATGTCGTCGACCTCTTGGAAACTCAACTCGTCGCTCGCGATGCTAACGGCCGTGTTTCGAAGTCCCGCTGCGTCAGGCCGTAGTAGCGCTTCGACGGCCCACCTTCCCAGATCTTTGGCCACCACAATCTGCAAACGCTTCCCGCGCATGACATCTCGCCAGCCCGTCATGCACAACCGACCAGGAAATCCCCAAGTGGTATTCTCCGCGAACCACACAGGTCGGAGGACAGTAAATCCTGTCCTATTACTAGCCTTTGTCTTGGTCGTTGCCGTCGTCGCCAGGAGGAGGTGCTTTTCAACGTGGAATTTGTCGGCAAATGTCTTGCAATACGACGGATCGCGGTCGCTCTTGTCCTTCCCGCCCCGATCCACGGAAGAATAGACAAAGTACAGCACGCCGGCGTCGACCGAAGCGTCGATGAAGGCGCGGGCATCATCGAGCTCGGTCGGTCCGTGTGCTTGGGCCATGAAGACCGCCGTTTGTTTCAAGTCCACGCCGCGACTCTGAAGCTCTCCGATGATGGAATCTGGTTGCCCAAGCGACCCTGTGACGAGATTGACGCCACGTTCGGCGAGACGATGAGCCGTGGCCCCTGTGGAATCTCGAGTGATGACGTGGATGTTTCCGGGACTTACTGGCGTCGTCTCGTCTGCGAGCAACGCATCCACCACGGCGCCTCCTTGACGCCCTGTCCCACCTGCTACCAGAAATGTCTGCGGGATTGCCATACTTGGGCTACTCTTAACTCGGAACGGAACTTTGGGAAAGTGGATGATGTACTCGTGCAAGTGTTCATTGTGTGGTAGTTATATGGCCGAATCCATCTTGAGTCACCAGTCAACCCCTTGAGAAGATGAGCTGTATGTCTCGAGCGCCGCTCGAATGTCTCTGTCATCATGCGGAACGGTTTCCCTCGATCGGCACCGAGAAGACTGGACAGTCTTATCAGCTGAATAATCACTATCAAGAACTGGACATTTGTCATACGTGGTATAAAGCGTGCGAGTGGCTTAGAATTGGAACAGTCCGCAGAATGCTTGTGGAGTCGCTCGATAGGCAAAGTCAAGTACGATCATTCAGGAGTTCCTTTGTGGAGGAAAAGACATGACACAATCTAGCAGAGATGCATTGAGAAGACGACCATGATTTCAACCCTATCAAGGCCCAAAGAGAGCTCTGCCCCGGCCTTTATTACGGGTGCAGCTACCAATTGTGGCCTTATGATGAACCGTCAGAACAGCCTGAGCGTGATATGAAATCATTCCAGATGGTCATCCTCAGTTCCTTGAACGGCAGAGCTCTGCCAGACACCTGATACTCATCAGCTAAATCTTCAGTTACCTTGCATATTCTGAGCAGGCTGTGCTTGAAGACCACACGAAAATTGACCAGCTTCTCTTCTGGTGCATTCAGTGGGAATCTCACAGCCCATAAGCCCACGTCTGCAAGGAGTTTGTACTAAACATGTCTTCGATCATGATCTCATCGAAGTTGCCTTCCAATTCAGCGTCCTCTGCTGTCAATTCGAAATGGAACGTATGGTCTCCTTCGGAAAAGGAAACGTCCGTCACAAAGGGAAACCTATTTATGTCATTTAAATCAGGAGGATTTGATTGAGTTCCCTGTGACCGTGAACCTTGGTCATTCGTGGTTGGGCCGACGGTCGTGGACGACTGGTGGGAAGGTACATTGCGCGTACTAGATTGATCCACCAGAGGATCTTCCGACGAAGCCAGACGAAGCCGTGCTCGAGCAACGATTGCATCAAACATGCGCAATGACCATCTGACGCTATCCCAATGCTTTGAGCTCGCTCTCAGAAAGGCTAACCCGCTGTGGATGCTCGTTAGACTCAATTGCCGTTGTACTTGGCTTATCTTGGGGCCTAAGACGTGCTCGATGTGCATCGCAATGATGGCAGAAGCACATGTGGTTCTGCAGAAAATGACATTAGTGACGGCTCGGCTTCGAAAGTAAAGAAACAAGAAAGTCGGGAGGGAGATTGACAGACATTGAAAATGGACAAAACTCGATCAGGTCATACAGCATGACACGACGAAGGATTGAGTCAAGTTCCAACATGGCATTTTGTTGTTTCTGTGCAGCTTGCCCCTGAAAATCATCTTGCTGGTCGCCCGGCGGCAAGCTCGAAACATCTCGGTAAAAGAGACATTCAAATCGGTACGCTAGGGCTCGGAGCACGAGGATCCATATGTTATCACGCGACCACTGGAGGACAGTCTCGGTTCGAAGCTCAAGAGGCAGGCCTTCTCGCCATCGTACCATGCATGCTTCGATCTCGTCGCACGAGTTTCTCATTGGGGTTATGTCTGGACGTCGGAAGCATTCGACGTATCGGGCAGCTGTGAATTATGGGAATCAGCGTCACAGTCTCGAACGCACGAAAAAAAGATGGGCATACAAATTCGAGCCAATCGTGAGTAGTGCACGAGGAATGATTTTTCGAGCGAGGATATCGGTGCCAGCCCGAATTGAGTCAGTTGGTCGTCGGACTCGTCCTCCCAGTCCTCCTCAGTAACGTCAGGCATGTCGAGAAATCGATCGTCCAATGCACGGATGTTCAAGCGTCCAGCCATCACCATGATGATATCTCGGGAGTACATGACCCAGAAGATTCTCGAGAACAGTCTCCTCCTCCCCGGATCGAGCTGATGCACAATCTGCTTGCGGTGGAGTCCCATCTGCGTGGCGATCCTGACGGCGTTGCTCAACCAGTATCGGAGATCTTTGTCCAGCCCGAATGCGAAATATTGGGACGTCAGGATCAAAGATCCTTGGAGTATACACGTCTGCGATCTTTCGCCGCCTAGATCGTAGAGCAATTGGGCCTTGAAGAACAGCGACTTTTGAGCTTCAGAACGGTCGGCATAACCTAGGTCGGCAAGTAGCTCGGAAGAAGCGTACGGGACAACGCTCGCGAAGATACATTGTAGTAAGAAAGTTGAGCATCTTCCTCCTGACAGCTGCTTCATGAACGATAGCCGATCCAAAACAGGAAGATACGGGTACAATCGCTGGAACCAGAGCCGCACTAACTTCTCACTGTATTCTCAGCGGGTTAGAGAGAACGATCCGGTGAGCACACAAAGATGGAATGTGATGCTTACCATGTTGGCAAAAGTGGAAGGTCGTAAGCACCCACACTTTGTAGGTATTCCACCGACTTAATGTCAGGGGCGTTGCCAGGGCCTGGCCTGGCACCCTTTTTAGATTCACGCAACAAGAGTCGCACGAACCTACGCGGCTTCTGATGGCTCAACGCCTGACCAAGAATCGTGGTCGGATCGACGCCACCGTGATACGTGAAGACTTCTCTCCCCTGCTGCGACACCGACGATTCAGTGTCCGGGTCAGCAGCGTCGTCGTCTTCGGCGCGAGCGATCCGTAGGCATGTCTCTAATTGACTATCTTCTTCCGTCACGCCTTCACCGTCAGCAAACTGTCGGAAGCTGGTCGCCGATGTGCTGATTGTCGGCGCACTGCATGTGGCAGAATTGGATGGGCTGTGGTCGCCAGGCAGGATGAAGCTTGAAGCGGCATGATTCGAAGCAACACGATTCGCCGTTGTCAGTGGCCGTTGTTGCACATCAGTACTGCTCTCCGGTCTCTTGCGGGACTTGCGTCTCCTTCCTCACAAAATCAGAGTCCAGCAGAGAGCCAGGCGAGGGAGGGTATCATGACTTACGCCGAAGATCGGTCCGGCAACGGGACCCATTCACAGGCCACAACACGTCCATGCTGGATACATCGTGAGCAAGGTAGTCCGGTGAAGCTCGCGTTGCACTTGACCTTGCGCTCGTGACAAGGAATACAAGCTCGAGGTCTTCTGATTTCGCTGGTACTTCGGTCATACGGACCGTTGATGGAAGCCATACCGAGAGACCGACGTGTCGACGGCGCCGCCCAGATCGCGGGCAGTGGCCTCTCAAGATGAGCTTCACCCTGCGATTCTCGTCGGTGGCAGCCTCATTTTCTCGAGGAAGTCATCCAGTTGGGGCTGTCAAAGTCGGCGCCGAGTCCGTTTCTCGGCTGCAAGTCGTGATGGGTGGGTCGGCTCTCTCGGCTGACAAATATCTCGTAATGGCGGAATATCCCATAACAAGTCGGCGCCGAATGGAAAGTCAGGGTCTACAAGGTCAAAATTGCCTGAACGCCGTGGACTAGGGCATCCTTTGTGCAGGGAAATCCCTTTTTGAGAGTCTTTGTGTCAACCAGTCTGCAAAAGCTTGCTGTCTCAGTGCCTCGGTGAGGAGCCAACCCCATGCGAAGTAGTTGTCTCCGGGCAGATGAGCACACCTCATTTGTAATTGCTATAGAAATCTGGATGTCGCTGTACTGCCTCAGGCAGGCTGAAGCCCTTTTGGACGTCAGCTAAGACGCCGTCGCTTGCTCTCTTCAGAACTGGCAGCAATTTATACACGGCTTGTAGTTGTGCCTTGGGTATCACGACGACCGCTCCATCTTCCTCATCCGCACAAAGGATGTCACCAGGGTTGACAGTGACATCGCCCACCTTTAAGGAGATGTCGTATGCCCACGGCTTTGCCTCCAGTGACGGTGGTGCAGCAGATACACCCGTGGACCATGCTTGGAATGAACCTTCTTCACAGACCTCCCGGCAGGACTTCAAGTCTCGTATTCTTCCATCAGCCACTACACCGAGGATTCCACGCTTCTGAAGTCTGGTGACCATTATGTCCCCCAGTATGGCGGAGATGTGCTCCTTTGGCTGCTGTATCAGGACGACAGCTCCTGGAGGCGGACAGTCCGTCCAGTTCTTTCCCTGGGGAATATTGGAGGCCTGTGGCAGTGGAGGGACAAAGCTTGACGCATCGCTCCACGACTTGGGCACCAAGACAACAGTGCTGACCGGAGCCACAATCCGGTGTGGCTTGCGTGACAGACCTTGTAACGGAGCTATACACTTGATATCAGCTCCTTCCAAGGCTGTCAGAGAGGTCCAACTTTACCTAGATCTACCAGAAATCCTGCAGCAGGGACATTCAATTTCAGGAGTGCATCTGATATCTAAGGCCGATCAGCTTGATGGACAAAAGAGGGACAACCTCCTATGCTGTGCGACGTTCACCTACGTCACAAGCAGAATAGTCTCGCTGAAGGGTGGCACAGATAGACTGCACACTTAAATTCTGGGACGAAGCCATCTTGGTCGGATTGAACATCAAGCTTTCCCCTGAAAAGGGAGGATCGTATAATGAGTACCTTGTCTTGTTTATATGTCTCTGACGAATTTGGGCGATGATTGCGCCAATCCCTGTATACTTAAGGGGACAGTACATTGAGAGGGGTACATCCACCCAGTGATATTCTTCGAAGGTCGCCCCACGACCATGGAGTATTTGCTACAACTCTCCATGTACACTTCAACAGACTTCGAATTAGAGCAGCACAGTTAGAATTGGCTCGCTATACTTTGCAAAGGCTGCTAGATCTTGTAGAATTATCACAATGATAGCTTTGGCCGAGTTCACGGGTATGGGCATACGTTCCAACTACCCTATGTATAGCACTATTCATGGTCACTTCACCACCTCAGTATTCAAATCCTCTGGCCATCGAGGTTGGTCGACTCCATTTCCACGGGTTCCGACATTATAGCGAAGTGTGACGGTCCCAGGTGGAAATTGCAGGACGGGTTTGGGAACGCGCAGCTTCAAGCCTCCCAGTGCGCCCGAGGATCGAACCTCAAAGAAGTTGAGATCAAACAAACCTTCTCGCTGGAACATCTTCATGTATCGTGGCAGCGTGAAATTCATGTTGTGGTGGTTTCGAAATACCTCGCGGCCATTGCGATTCCAAACCTCTTCCCAGACGTCCTGAGGGTACTCCCCAATTCGTTCAGCGAGCCAACGATTATAGTAATTCAAGGCGGTATCGACAAGGTAGGAGCCCCCGTCTTTTGCTTGGAGCACGAGGGCTTGGAGGACCGCGCAACAGCCTGCGACGCCCGTACAATAGTCCGAATTAGGTAGCACTGGGGTGACAGCCTCATCGTTGCCCATGGCTCGTCCGAACCCCATCGAAACCCCAGAACATGCGTCGCTAATCGGCTGCCAGCCACTGCGATGAGACCATGGCCCGACCCAGCCGTAGCAATTCTCACGCACGTAGATAAATCCTCGGCCTCGTTCTTTGCCGATATTGAAGATATCTTCATATCCAACACCATGCTTATCAAGGACGTAAGGTCTATAGCCATTGACAACCACATCTGCCTCCCAAAGAAGCTCTTTGAGCTTGAACTTATCCTCAGGCTCTCGCAGGTCAAGATGGCAATTCCACTTACCCCAATTCAAGTCGGGATGCAAGCCAGAGAAGTCAGCAATGTGTGGTCCGGTGACTCGCATCACGCTTGCTCCGAGCTCAGCAAGACTGCGCCCGATTGAGGGTCCGGCAACAATCCTTGTGAAGTCGACGATCTTTAATCCCGCTAGTGGACGTTCGACCGATGTGCTTTCCACACTTCTCCACCATCCAGACCGCAATGCAGGGTCCAGATACGGGTGTATCTGGTACAGACCGATGTGCTCCGTGGCTTTGCCTTGCTCAGTGTTGGCGTACTCTCCGGTAGTCCAACAGACTGTGGCCGCTTGCTTAGCACCTTCATTCAACTGTTGATCCCATTCAATCGCATCTTTTTCTGCTATCTTGTCGAAAAAGGGCTCCCACGATGACTCCACAGTGTCGAGATCCGGGATGTCTCGCGGGAGACCGATTGCTCGAAGTGATGGATCTGGATTCAAGCTGGCATGTAAATGGAAACAGCGACCACCACGAGCTTTGTAGATGTTTGTTACCGACTTGCGGTAATTTGAAGATACCTGCTCATGCAAGTCCCAGCTTGGAAAATACTTCGAATGAGCTTTGTTGAGTTCGCGAAGTTCCGTTGGCTGGATAGGGCCGTTCTCATCTTTGGGGCTGACTTCGCAAATGATGGCGGACATCAGGAACAACTGTGCATGATCGGTGTTTATGTGGACTTCCTGAGGCGCAATGCCATACTTCTCGACAAGCAAATGATTGATGAGAATGGCCTCCAGGCCCTTGAGCGAAGCAATGCTTTCTGCAAGGCGCCAGTTGATCGCCATACGGGGTTCATCGTGACCGCTAAACTTTACCAGATCCAAGTATTTGTGACATTGAGCAGGAAGGTCCTTGTGGCCAGGATGATTTAGAATCATGTCCTTTAGCGCCCGCTTGGACTCAGCAGGAACAGAGTAATCCCGCGATATTGAGCCCATGTTCGAGCTAGGTCTCGTGTGTGGGTTATGACTGCCTGTATCATGTGAAATGACAGACTCTGTTGGGTCGTTGCGGATATATGTTCGACGGACACTGTCTTATGCCGAGGCAACGATGATTGGGGGCTATCGTTGAGGCTAGTCTAATGACTGAGCAAGACCGGCGCCGACCGTTGAATGTGTTTGAGTCTCTCTAACTCTGCAATCATGTGAATCAGTGCTTCACAGTGTGAGATAAGTCGGCGCCGACGTACAAACACAAACCATGCTCAAGTGGAGACCTTTATGATTCTAGGCTCTGGCAGATAGATACCTGCTGAGCCTCCCTCAGTTGTGAGAACATGGTGCATACAGAATCAAGCAATGAGTCTCAATTGAGATCAGGCCGATTGGGCCGAGACCCCTTCTTGGGAGCCGACCAGCTCAAGTTGGTGACCCACTACTACAGAATCTGGGGTTCACAGCCAGGGGAAGCAGGAGACTCTTGGTCAGGATGCAAATGTCTTACCACCCAAAGCTCATGGGTGCTCTCTCCATTCCGCTGTCTATAAGTACTCGAGTGCTCCGTCTGATGAGCTTGGGCTCTCGACCCAGGAGGTACTTAGTCAACTATCACTATGAGCTACATCAACGGCAAGAAGGATGGCGTAAAGCCAGAGCACGATGAAAGCATTGCAACTAACACCACCATCACGGCCCAGGAGCATTCGATGCTAAGCAAGGACATCACTGCCAGCGTTACCCCTTTCCTAGTGTTCTTCTCCGTGTGGACTGCTCTATCCGGATGGATGCTCAACTTCGACGTTGGCTATACCGGAACCGTGTACCAAATGCAGGCATTCAACAAGGCGTATGGTCATTGTGAGACTATCCCATCGAATGCGACCCCAGGTGCTCCCCCAGATGCCCCTGGCATGGTCGAGTATTGCAGCCTTTCTGCCACTGCTCAAAGCGTGGGTGGCTCTGTCTACATGCTCTTCATGGGCTTGGGTGCTGCCATCTCCGGCATCACAGGTCACTACCTCGGCCGCCGAGGTGCCCTTCAGCTGGGTTGCTTGATTATCATTGTCGGCGCTTCAGGCATGCTTGGGACCGCGGAGAATTACACGGCCTATGTCGTCTGTAAATGCATCGGCGCAGTCGGTATGGGCCAACTCCAGACACTGGGACCCATGTACGGCGTCGAAGTCACTCCACCCAGCAGGCGTGGATCCCTGGTCGCCCTGTTCGCCGCAGGTCAGTGTGTGGGACAACTCGCCGTTGCCGCAGTTTGCCTAGGTTCCTCCTCGTTCTTGAGCAATTGGTCCTGGAAGACGCCTATCCTATGCCAGATTCCGACTGCGCTGGTGTACAGTGTTGTGCTTTTCCTCTTCCCAGAGTCGCCTCGATGGCTTCTGCTCCGGAACAAGGAAGAGGCGGCACGAAAGTCCTTTGGCCGTTACTACCACAAAGCTCCCGACTCTATTGAAGTGGTAACCCAGGTCAAAGAAGTGCAATCGGCAATCGAAGTGGAGAGAATCATTTCATCGACCACCAAATGGACCGAGATCTTCCACCGTAGCAACCTTCGTCGTACGCTCATTGCCACAACTATCCCCACAGCAGGATCGCTCTCCGGTGGCTTTGCTATTTTCACCTACGCCGCCATCTTTCTCTCCGGAGTCGGCATCAGTGACCCATTCCTCATCAATGTTATCATCAACGCTTGCATTGTTGCTGGCGCTGTGGTTGGGCCTTTTGCCGTTGATTTCTTGGGTCGCCGCAGAACTATGTTGACAGGCTTCGGATGCATGTCCATCTGTATGCTCATCTTTGCCGTCGTCAGTTCAGCTTTGGGAGCTGGCAACGACACAGCCAAAAAAGCCGTAGTTGCATTCCTCTGCATCTGGTCCTTTTTCTTTGGGGGATTCATTGCGCCGACGATGTGGACTGCCTCTGCAGAAATGCACTCAATTCGTTTGCGGACTTATGGCCAGGCGTTTGCCATTACAGTCAACAACGTCTTCCAATTCGGCTGCAACTTTTGGACCCCATACATGATCAACCCGGCCTACGGCAACTGGGGAACGAATGTGGGCTACTTTTACTTTGCCGTGGAGGTGGCCATCTTCGTCACCATCTTCCTGATTGTGCCCGAGAATGCTCGGCTCACACTGGAGCAAGTTGATGACTTTTTCCAACGGGATGGAAAAGCCTGGCACACCTCCCTGGCGAAGAACAAGGTTATCGCAAAACAAGAAACGTCTCAATCTATTGCTACTATTGCTACATAGTACTTCTCGTGCAGGGCCTTCACAGGCTCTTGTGTCAATACTTGATCAATACGCAATATGTGGGCTTGCTCGCTGCGCTTCGGATATGATAGCTCCACTACCAGGGGCTGTGGCTTAGTCGGCTTTGTGAAGGCCAGCCCATACACATAATGGAGGTAGATTTCTAGATCTGCCGAAACTTCATCTGTCACCGACCGAGCCTTGTGGTCTTCAAACCTATTGAAATGTACGTGTGCTATAGTATCGGAATTAATAATATATTCTTGAGCGGTAGTCAATGAACAGGACTCTGCAACTCCGGCAATCTACCTACCAAGTTCAAAATACATGTCGCTGGGACTGTCGGAGACATGGCAGCAATTTCAATCTACGAAAGGTTGGACTGATTGGATCGTCGTCTAGACTGGGTATGTTGCATTTGCTTGTAGTCTGTCTGGATGGTAGTTTCGGCGCCGAAGAATACGAGGGTCGTGTGCTTGGTCGGCTGCATTCGCATTCTGCCCCCCAATAATCAATTGAACACACAACCGTCCCGTCTTCGAACGTGGATTCATGTTCTAGACGCAGCGAAAGATATTGTGTGGTTTATCCAAACTTTGCTCAAAACCGGCCTTGAGGACTTTTTGCAACTCGCGAGGACAAAACCTGAGTCTGATTTTGCCGTTCGATCACGAGTTACACACACGTACATACAGGACTCAGGATAATCGACCTTTGTTTCGATCTGATCAGATCTACCGTCATACATAACAAATGTCTCGTCAATACCAATTCGATCCCAACTTTACCAACGCTGTTGTCAATGCAACAGGCCCCAAAAGCGATGCGAGGCTGCGAAAAATTGTAGCGAGCTTGACAAGGCACCTGCATGACTTCTGTCGAGAAAACCTAATCACGGCCGACGACTTTCGGAAAGCAATTGAATTGGTAGGTTGCTCACTCACTCATCTTTACAAATCTTTTGCCACAGGCACCCATGTTGCTCACGGGCTCCCCCCCCCCCTTCAAAGGGCCAGCTTCTTCTTCCTATATGCCGTTTGCCTGGGAATCTGCGCTAAAGATTGGATTCTGGTTCGTACAGCTGAACTGGTCGGGGCGAATGTCAGATGACAAGCGAAACGAGGGAAATCTACTAGCCAATGTCCTGGGCCTTGAAGCACTGGTGGACGAAATCAGCCATGTTGTCGCGGACGATGGAGCCACGGAGCCTACGGTGCTAGGACCCTTCTGGCGCGAGAACGCCCCGAGACGCTCGATGGGTGACAGTATCGTCTCCGGTATCGAAGCCGGTGACTTCACTTTCATGTCCGGCCGCGTTCTCGACGCCAGCACGGGCGAGCCGGTGGAAAAGGCCGTGATCGATATCTGGGAGACGGCGCCCAACGGCAAATACGAACAACAAGACCCCTACCAAGTGGACATGAACTTGAGGGGTCTCTTCACCACCGGGAAGGACGGTACGTACAGCTTCTACTGTCTTCGACCGACCACGTACTCGATCCCCGTCGACGGGCCGGCCGGGCTCCTGTTGCAGCTCTTGGATCGTCACACCATGAGGCCGGCGCATATCCATTTCATGATCCAGGCACCAGGCTACAAGACGATAATCACAGAGCTTTTCGATAGACGGGACAAGCACGTATTTGACGACAGCGTTTTCGCCGTCAGGAACAGCCTGGTTGTTGATTTCCTGCCTCTCGAGGATAACCCCAAGGCTCAATTTCAACTCCAATACGACTTCAAGTTGGCCAAAGCATGAGTAGAGAAGGGCCCTATAGGAATGCACAGAGACCAATATGAACAACAACGCCCTACTGAATGGAAGTGGAGGGTCTTTTTGCGTCGATGAATTTGGTCTGGAGGGTTCTCTGAAGACCACGATGCCAGTCTTTGGAAAGTGTTGTTGGAAGAAGGGTGATGCTGTCCAACGATAATGCCTCCGGCCAAAGTTCCCAGGGATAACATAAAATACCTACTATACTGTAGTAATATTATGATGCCTTTTCGCCTTGTGGGTAACGAAACCGCTTTCCGATGCCGACAAAGAGGTATCTAACATTTCCAAATGCTTGTCCCGTGTGAACATTGGAGGACAAGACTTTTAGGAATCCGTACTCCGGCGCCGATGCGCCCACATGCTAGCAAGCCTCCATTTTGTCATCACAAGTTGTCGGCGCCGACCTGTCGCGACGTTCAATAAAGTATTGCCAGGTCAGTTTTAACTCCAGACTTCTGCCCTGGCCCACTTTCTCCGCGTAGGAACTTGCGTCAAATGGAATTCCGCGGCTTAGAAAGACGTTCTCCGCTTACATGCAGATGAGGATCAATTGATATACAGGCAGAGGTCAGATTGGTATCGTCCTCTTCTGGACATTGTGCAGTGCTAGGAGGTGATAGAGGACGGTGATAGTCAGACCTGCTTAGAAAGGTTTTGCTCCAAACATAATGCAACGCGAAGCATTGTCCAACATTGAGGTCCTGATCGTCGGTGCTGGCTTAGGAGGTTTGGTAGCAGCAATTGAATGCTACAGGCAAGGCCACTCCCCCAGAGTGGTGGAAAGCAGGAACGAGGCTGAGGGGGTTGGTGAGTGTGTGGTTCTTCAAAGTTGCGAGACCTCGAATCCAGGATTGACCGTCTCACCCTCCCAACGCAGGAGACTTTCTCGGCATCGGACCATCCGCCATCAATCATTTTCAGAAATGGCCTCCAATGGCTGAAACTTACAGAAATATCATCTACAAACCAGACATGATCATGTACACGTACGATGGAACCTTGATTGGGGGCCCACTCAGGCTCTCTGAAGCTTCACATTGGCGACCAGTTCCAGTGAGCCGACCCAAACTGGCCAGAGCATTATATGATCACGCCCTTTCGCTAGGCATACCGATCATGTTTGGGAAGCGGATAGCGGAGTATGGAGAGTCTGAAGACAAGGCCTACGCGATTGACGACCGGGGAGAGCGTTTCGACGCGGATGTCGTGGTTGCCGCTGACGGGATCGGAACGAAGGCAGGAAAGATTGTCCCGGGGAAAGCAAAGGCCGTGAGTAGTGGATGGTCAGTGTATCGCGTTTCTTACCCCACGATGATCCTCCAGGAAGATCCTGTCCTTTCGAAATACTATTCCTTCCATACAGAGGATCAACCGGACTACTGCGACGTGTTCATGAGCCCCAAGGGTCAAGTTATCATCTTGGTATCTCGCGACCTCACCACATGGCTTTTTACTCATGAGGTGAGAATAAATCCATGATACAGGGTACCTAGTCCAAGCTAACCGGGTGCAAAAGGACAAAGGCGAGGCAGAGGAAACGTGGACGACGCGTAAGGATTCTTCACTTGCCCTGCAATGTCTCCAGGAGACTGGACTCGAATGGGACGAGAGGATACCGGCAATCATGAAAAGAACTCCACCTGGCACCATTGTCGACTACAAAATCACCTGGCGAGACCCCAATCCTACGTGGACGTCACCGGGTGGAAGGGTGATAAAAATCGGTGACGCGGCGCACGCATTCATCCCAAATTCGACCAACGGCGCAACACAAGCCATGGAGGATGGAATTTCTCTGGCGGCCTGTTTGAAACTCTCCGGCAAGAATAACATCACTCTGGCTACCAGGGTTCATACGAAGTTGAGGTACAAACAGCTTTCTCCTATCGATTTTCTTTGGCAATCACTGAGCGTTTTACTAACCCCGCTTTCTCTAGGTTTGAAAGAAGTTCATGTGCCCAGAAACAAGGCTTTAGGAACAAGGAAAAATGGGAAAAGGACTTTGACCTGATACGGAAAGACCCTCTCGCCGCGGCCAAGTCGGTAGGTCGCTGGACCAGCGAACACAACCCCGAGCAATACGTATACGACAAGTGGCAGGCGGCAGTCAATCACATTGTCAGCGGAGCACCCTTCCAAAATACAAATTTACCACCAGGGTACGAGTACGAACCCTGGACGATGGATTCGTTGAACCTGCTGGCGGGAATGAATAATGGTGAGATTCCAGCCGATCCAGGGGACTGGGACTGAGAAAAGCTATGCATATACGTGAAATCGAAAGAGCAGAGTAGCTTTGATCTGCCTAAATCCTTTATTGGCGCCGTGGACATTTCAAGAGAAATTTCTCGGGCCCGACTGCGTTCTGAAATTCTTCCGAGATAAGATTTCTGTCGAAGAACCTGATAATAATCGAAAAAAACCACGATATTTAGATTTCCTAATTAGTACTAGAAATATGACTGATCCTGAAGAAAACGCCCTTCTCTGCAGATTTACCTTCCACCAGTTGCACTCAGGGCGTGTCTGTAACTCGACAACAATAACCTCGAACTCAGAGGTACTCCTTGCACGGTAGTGACTCTTTCTAGGCTCGCGCTGCGAGCCTTGCAACGCTTCTGCAGCCTCTATAGACGTTCTTGTTCACTTGTACTGTAGCCTTCTGTCTATAGTCATCGATTAATCGCCCTTACTGCCTGACACTCGTACGGGCCTTCATAGGGCATCAAGATTAATTCCGTGACTAGAACTTCGCAAAACCTGATTAATTGGATGCATGTCTATTTACTTGTTGCTCTACTCCGCAGGAAAGGCAGAGGCACTCACTCACATCTTTATGCGTACTCATATGACATCAGCCAATCGTAGCACCCTTGGTAGGAGCCCCTGCTTTTCTCGCTACAAATAGGCAGACTAGACTGACTATACCTTGATTCTAGAACCATTGTCGGTACACGCGAGCTTCACCTTTTCAGCAAAGGAAGCTAGCTTCCTCTTTGAACGAGATTCGAAAACGAGACTCAATTTGTTTTTTTATTCAAAAAAAAAACAAACTCGGTGGGGGCCAGTGAAGCTTGAAGCTCCGCTTAGGTCAAGTACTTGAAGACCTACTAATTAACTGAGTACATGCAGATAGCCACGTTGAAGGGGAATTTCCGAATGTCAACGACAAATACTTGAGTTCTCTCATGCAGATACCTAGGTAGGTTGCTAGCAACAGGAGACACTGTACGAATGTGGTAGCCCATCACAAGTTAGAGAATGAGTGTTTTGGTCTTAACAGTTACTAGTAGTATTCGAATTCGGCAGTGCCAATCTGTACTTGGTCCCTAGTTTTGTCCAACTTTTGAGGGAGGAATTTCTTGAATGTGCTGGCGAAGTAGTGCCATATTGATGAGAAAAAAACATTTGACAACCTATACTATTCGCACGACGGGCTTATGGAAGTACTTCAAGAACTGGCTAATGCACCAGAATCAGGGAAGAATTTGACCTAGGCACCTGACGCTTGAAGTATCTGCGGCATTTCTGTACATCTCTGTAGCGTTTTACCCCGATTACTGGTATTTATTTCTATTGCCTAGTCCGGGCACCAAAACGCTTGGAATGAGCAGTGCGTAATATCTCTCGAGACGATCCAGGGGATTGATACTTTTGTATCTAGTTAATTCTCGCCTCTTCGTCCATGATGCCATGGAAGAAGATGTTGCGAGTATGTACCCCATTGATACAATAACAAGATACATACCGAACAAGCCACGTTTGCTTAGACAGTAGTCTTACTGTCTCTAAATAACCCACCCCAGTCTCCAAGTAGGTTGGCCTCCTGTTCTGTATTTCTCCCAAGATTTCCGCCGACTTGAGTGCACGTGTCTCTTGACCCAGATGACTTGAGGTCAGTCAAGTTGTCAGATTTTCGGTCGACTATCACCGCAGTACCCTTGAGTGATTGTTCAACCACCTTTCTTGATGCCTCCTGTAGTTGCCTTTCCCAGATTGTCAGCAGCCATCTTGCCATCGATCAAATTCTTGGACAGCTTCAATGTGACCTTGGACCGTTCCATGTCCACCACCTTTCTCATGCGGTCGATGTCTCCGTGCAAGCCCTCAGAGAGCTTGACATTTGCCGCAGTGTAAGGCTTTTCAATCAAGTATGTGTCCGAAATGAGCATGACGTTGCCAACCCAGCGCGCCGGATGTGTTCTCGAGAGCGCATCAAAAAGGGCCTGGTCTGTAGGTGTAGTTCCCTTTGGTCCCAACCGGGCTTGAGCAGTCTGTTGCGCAGAGATGTTTCTTGCCAAGCGAGCCTGTACGGCATTGGTATCGATCGTGTTAAGAGCAGGGTTAGTTATCTCGGTAGGCTGCTGAGGAAGAGAAAGGACCTGGAAGCCGGTGATCTGTGAGATTGGAAGAAATCGATACGATCCTGTAGGGGCCACGAGAGAGGTCGATGTAGTACCGTTTGAAGGAACTGAAGTCGTATTGAGGACGAGCAGGCTGGTCAAAGGGTCGGCCGTGTAGACAGTGCCCTCGACGGATACCTGACTCGGTGCACCGGTCGTCACACGTATTCTGCAGCAGAGTGAGTGAAGGGTCCATTCTCATGGCGATATTATTCTTACCTGCTTCCGATGACTTGTTGCAGGGCGATGTCCAGAGGCACAGGGGACGCAGCCGGTTGCACAGGCTCACCTTTCGGCAAGGCGACCGGTACTCTTGCTCCTGCATTCTGGCGCTTCGAGTCTGTCGCCATTCTCAGGAAAATGACACAGACTCCAAGTGTATAGCGTCTCTTCTCAAAAGCATCAAGCAAGCCGTCGGCGGCGGCTAAGGTGGAGGTGTGGAGAAGGAGAGGAAGGACAGTGTCAAGTATGGCGCGAAGAGACAGTGACAGCCAGACTAACTTGAAGCCGAGCAGTCACGATGGTCTATAGCTTCGATCGAACGCCAATCCACACTGATACGCCAGGCGCCAGAACGACAGCGCTGTGTGAGAATGAAGCGCAAGGCGAGCCGATGGGAGGCGCGAAGTCAAATTATTTGGATGAAGTCGAGTCGAGCGCAGGACAATTTCCCTAAATTCCAGTGGTCTTTTCCTGATCGAGCGTGTCGCACAAGGTTCTCGCCGAATCTCCTTCTCCGCACCTTCTACGGAGGGCCATTTAGACATTTCGTACCAAACACCCTGAGGTCAGGCACTCAAACGGCTCAACAGGAAACAATCGATTATTCTAGTTGGAACGAGTATCATTGTCTTGTTTCAAAGCATAGAAGACCTTTTGATCATCCACACCATGCATACATACTCCCCAAAAATTCTGCACCGAAAACTTTTCAATGCAATTTCTAGCTATTGTGTGGGCAGTGAGAGGTTACATGCCCGACCAGTCAGTCATGGTTCAAAACTATAACCGGCACCATCTTTCAACCATGAATGTTTGTCCAAGCCCGTCACCTTTTCACCAAAGCCTGTTTGTCCCATCATCCGAGACAAAAGACAAATGGTTGACATGATTGTTTATGCGTTATAGGTAGAGGCGGAGACATTTCCACCACGGCCAGTCCAGTTGACGTGAGTGTAAGCGCCGACCTTGAACTTGTCGTTGGCATACTCTGGCTTGATCTGGAAAGTGTGGGCACCAAAGTAGTCACGCTGAGCCTGGAGAAGGTTGGCAGGCAAGTCCTTGGTGCGGTAACCATCGAAGAAGGCCAAGGCGGTGCTGAATGCAGGCATGGGAATGCCAGATTGAACAGCAAAGGCAATAACGTCTCTCCAGCCAGGCTGAGCAGTGTGAATAGCCTTGTTGAAGAAGTCGTTGAAGAGCAAGTTCTCGAGATCAGGGTTTTGGCGGTAGGCTGAGGTGATGTCCTTCAAGAAGACGGATCGAATGATACAACCACCACGCCACATAAGGGCGATGGATGGCTTGTTGAGTTTCCAGCCGTATTGCTTAGCCGCCTGTACCTCTGGTTAACAATGAAAAGTTCTCTCGTATCCAAGGGATACTCACAGTCTGCATCAACATGAAACCCTGGGCATAAGAGATAATCTTTGAAGCGTACAAGCCTTGCTCGAGGTTCTTGAGGAAAGTGGCCTTGTCTCCAGTGAATTTGGGGGTTGGTCCCGAGAGAAGCTTGGAGGCACGGGTACGCTCATCCTTGATGGAACTCAAGCAACGGGCAAAGACAGCTTCACCGATGAGAGTCACGGGCATACCGAGGTCGAGGGCGTTGATGGCGGTCCATTTACCGGTACCTTTCTGACCAGCAGCATCAAGAATCTTCTCAACGAGAGGCTTGCCGTCGTCGTCGTTGAAACGGAGGACATCGCGAGTGATCTCGATCAGGAAAGAATCCAAGACGCCCTTGTTCCACTCCGCAAAGACGTCACCCATCTCCGCGTAGCTCATACCCAGGCCACGCTTCATGATGTCGTAGGCCTGAAAATGTCAGCACCGGAGGCAGTATGGAAGTGGCCGGAATATATCTCTTACCTCGCAGATCAACTGCATGTCACCATATTCAATACCATTGTGGACCATCTTGACGTAGTGGCCAGCACCTTCGTCACCGACCCAGTCGCAGCATGGTTCACCATCGGACTTGGCAGCAATGCTCTGGAAAATATCCTTGATGTATGGCCATGCTTCTTCATTTCCACCAGGCATCAGGGATGGACCGTAACGAGCACCCTCTTCACCACCAGAGACACCAGTACCGACGAAGCGGATTCCTTTCTCGGCGAGGTACTTGGTTCGGCGGTTGCTGTCGGGGTAGTGGGAGTTTCCACCATCGATGATGATATCGCCGGCGTCGATGTGGGGGAGGAGCTTCTCAATGAAGTCGTCGACAGCAGGACCAGCCATGACCAAGAGCATCATACGACGAGGCTTCTTGAGCTTAGCACAGAACTCCTCAATAGAGTGAGCTCCAACGATGGATTTGCCTGTCATGGTCGCCATTAGCCCCCGCCAAAAAAGACCGGGGAAAAAGTGCCGCTTACCTTTGGCCTCATTCTCCAGGAAGCGATCGACCTTGGAGACAGTTCGGTTGAAGGCAACGACAGTGAAACCGTGATCAGCTGCGTTCAGAATCAAGTTCTGACCCATGACCGCAAGGCCGATGAGACCGAAATCACCACTGGGCTCGGACTGCGCAGGACCGACCTTGAGGCCGGCCAATCGCGCACTAAGTCAGCATCGTGATTGTCAATCGGGAGATACATTCCAGGAACATGAGCAGCAAAGCAGCAAGGTCAATTTGAGCGTAGCTTGCTAGATTCAATAGCCCTTGGGGGTAGAGGAGAGCGGACTTACACTGGACCAGACATTGTAGCTGTTGAGATGGTGGTGGAAGATGGTAGTGTAAATGGTTGAACAGTGTAAGAGGTTTGAGTAGGGAGTAAGAGGTCGAGTCTCTGTCTAATGCACCGAAAAAGACGAGAGTCACGAATGTAGAAGAGAAGCAGAGACGAAAGGCCGCGACACAGGGGAATATGAGAGAAATATGTTGATTAGAGATGATTTACCACAACGCAGGTTCAACGCAGGCAATATCCCGACCCCACCACGAAGCAACAAACGCTTTGGAGGGGCAGACGTCGCCCATTGGGTCAGAGTCGCCCTGGGTCGGCCAACTACGGTAACCGGCCCATCCTTATGAAATCTCTACTTCTCGACCACTCATCAAGGCACCACCACTATCTCAAAGAAGTAGAGGGACGGAGCTCATGGACCGCTGAGCTATCAGCCTGACCAGCTATGATAGGTAGTACGCCCATGTGCTCGAGGTCTCTGTGAATAACGGAGGTTGCGGTGACTCAGCATGCCGGGGTGAGACTTCATTAATGACGCTTTTGCTACCTCCGGGCGGACATCCGCCTGGGGCGCCCTCTCCGACAGTCCCGAATTCAGCCGCCAATGTGTTGGGTTACCTACGACAACGTTGAGCTATGGTTTAATCGATGATTGAACTTGTCGGTAATAGACTTCACGATACACCGTCGTATCATGAGATGAGGTGATATTGTTCATCTCATGCGGTGTATCGCATCAATTTGAGTATCATCATGCTCAGTTCTACAGTACTCGGCCATTAATGATCGCGTCGGCTTAAGAAAAATTTCTCCTGCCAAGACACAGCTTCTAGTAACAGGCTAATTTGATAACGGACTAGTTGTTCTCGGTATAGTTTCCTTTCATGGCCCGGCTTAGATTTGTTTTTGTCTATCGACATTTGTACATAGACCTGAGGCTGCGGTCGTCATTGTCTTCGAGATTCCACGGAGTACGTCTTGTTGTAGCTGAAGAACACCCCAACTGCCCTACTACTACTATCGCTGCCACCCCAGTCCAACCCTCTGATTAGTCCGAACTCTTCAAGGAAATTAGAACAAGGCACTGTTTTCCTTTGGAGGGTATCATCCTCTCCGAGGCACTCGGTACGTCAAGGCACCAGTAACCTCTGCCAGACCAAACATTCATCATGTCATATCCTCCGCCTCCAGGCTCAGGTTACCAACCTTCTCCTCCTGCCTCATTACCTCCCCGACCACCGCAGTCAACGTTCAATCCTGCCCCAGCCTTCAAGCCGGCGACGACCACCTCCTCCAAACCTGCTTTCACAGCATTCGCCCCGCGATCCGTGGCAACGAGCAGCTTGCGCACAAGCAGCCCAGCTCCGTACTCAGCCCCCCAATATCCGCAGCAGTCACCGTATGACAATTCGTACTCTGGCGCCCCTCAGATCCGCAACCCCTTCGTTCCTCCTGCAGATGCCTCTTCGGCGGCGAGCGGCTTCCCGCCGGGCTACGACCCCGATTATGAGGCACAAATTCAACAGTGGCAGAGCGCTTATGTGAACAAAGATGGCACTACCCCGTCTACTTCACTACCAAAACCGGCCACTACACAAAGCCTGCCCACCAAACCAGACACCGCCAAAAAAGAGGATACTCCGAAGACTGTCCAACGCTCAGGAGGAGGCTCTTCATGGACGGATCAAACTTTGCTCGAGTGGGACCCAGCACACTTTCGTATCTTCGTGGGCAATCTTGCAGGCGAGGTAACTGACGAGTCACTACTCAAGGCTTTCTCTCAATATCCTTCCGTTCAGAAAGCAAGAGTCATTCGCGAAAAACGCACTACAAAGTCCAAAGGTTACGGCTTTGTAAGTTTTTCAGACGGAGATGATTACTTTCGTGCTGCCAGAGACATGAACGGCAAGTACGTGGGAAGTCATCCAATCGTGGTCAAGAAGGCGGTCACAGATGTGCGTCCTACACAAAAACAGAATAAGGGCAAGGGAGGAGCTGGCGGGCATGGCAAGGTTCAACATGGTGGTGTGAACAAGAAGCAGCCGAAGACGAAGGGAGGATTAAAGGTTTTGGGCTGATGTCAACCCGAGTGTTGAACACTTGTTCGTCGTGGATCTAGTTCAACTCCTGTTCTTGCAGGTCGGCAGCGAAACTACAATTCTTGCCTCCTGAGGACATGCTGAGGATCGCATCACTCTGGAATATCGGATATATTTCACTCATCGACCGTCGGGATGGCACAAATCTTACACTGTCGAACAAGCCTCTGATTTCCAACATCGAGACTCAAAGTCAAGGCCACCTTTCACGAATCCGAGTTCACCGGTTTTGGTCTCTATGCGCGAGGAAAGTAGTCGGTCATAAGAACCATTCTAGACTCCCTAACTTGGGCAATCCTGTATGTGGAGACCTTGATGCATTGACGGCACCCGATATGTCCAATCTCGCAGACTTTGTGTGGCCGCTCGTTCGGAGACAATCCAACTCGGATGATAACTCACTGATTCGGGTCTTTTTTGGCGAGCACAATTTCAACTACTTCTACGGATGGGCAATTCCAATGAAGCAAGAAAGAGTGCTCGTGATATCATGCTTCATCAACGAGTCTACGTCTTGGCAAAGATAAAGGCGTGGGAATTTCTTTTGTCTGGCTGAGGAACAAAGGATTCTCCTTTCGTTGGACCAGGGCAAAGGCTGTTGATGTTGCTCGGTTTTGGGGGGGGGCTCGGGCATGAAGGGATCCATATGAGGATGCAAGCAAAGACCCTCGATGTCAAAATTACGTGGCTCGACGCTAACGAGTCAATGTTTCCAGTCTCGCGTCACTCTACTTTACATTGTTGTTTATGAATCGTATTGCCTGCATGATGACTTTCCTCTTGTTCAAAGGTCTGCCTGCGGATCCCAAATAGGTACTTGGGTATCTTTGCCCGTTGCCTGATCGGGCGGCGGGCTTCTTTTTTTCGAACAACATGATCGGCACTGTTGATAACACAGATACTTTTACCCCACGAGATTTTCTGTGCCTCGAGTGCACGCGATATAATACATGTAAACCCCGGACTGTCGGTTGGGCCACGAGGGTCCATACACAAATCACCACAACAATCTAGACCTCCGGGATGTCTCTAAAATAAAGCGAAACCTATAAAACCTGTTCCTCTCTCTCCATCTCTTGTCGCCCTAGAAACCTTCATACGGTAGATCCTCTGTGTACTACAAATCAACATCGCAAAAACAAAAGCGTCTGTACTTGTCCAAACAGACGAACATGTATGTACCATTCTGGCGTGAAGGGAGGGTGATTCTACAACTCACAACTCTCCGGAGTCAGGGGGGGAAAAGTCAGAGTTGGTTTTTTGGTTCTCCCTTTTCGGCTGTGAACGAGAGAAAGAAGAAGAAAATGATACTATTATGGGTTCAACTCAACAGATGTATATTCTTTCCAAAGCCTGATTCCTCTATATTATATTGTAGAACCCCACCCCCTCAAAACCATCGAATCAAATGATCAAAAGTTATGCCCTCACCGCCCACAAGAAAACGTGAAAAGGACAGAGGTGGTCACACAAGGTCGACGATTAGTAGTTCCGTATCAAGTTCCAACAACCTAGAGCACTCCTGATTCGTGGTCCGCCTGTAACTCCTTTTTTTTGGTATCAAGTCCCGACTCTTGCAGTCGATATCGTCGAACGACCTTGGTATCACCGTGTACGCATGCGCCCGCGCCCGCCCCGTCATGCCTCCTTGACGCCGTTTGTGGCGGGAGGAGAAGTAGACGTCGGAGACGGGTGAGAATCGTGACTGACGGCGACACCGCCACCGTTCGCGGCCGCCAAGGCATGCTTGTCCGAGGACATGCTGGCCAAGGTGTTGGAAACCCCGGTGGCGGTGCGGTCGAGGTCGGAAGGGAGGGCGTGGGCCACGTTGGGCCTGGAGGTCCTCTTGGCCGGGGTCATCATCTGGACCTCGAGGTCGTCAAAGTCTTGACCCGGGTTGGCGGTGGTCCAGTCAAAGGCTTCCAGCAGGTAGAAGAAGGCCGCCGCGACCATGGACCCCAACAGCGGTCCGACCCAATAAATCCAATGGTACCCCGGGAAACTGTGGGTGACGACGTCGGGACCGAAAGCTCGAGCAGGGTTGATCCCCGCGCCGGTGTAATAGATGCCTGTTTGGCGACGATGTTAGCTCTTTGCGTTGCCCACTCGGATCCTTCGCCACCTCACCGACGGTCGATTTGGTGGGTGGGAATAGGGGTGAGTTCCTTGCCAGGTGGTGGACTTACTGAGCATGTGGCCGATGAAAAGGGCAATACCGATACCGAGAGGTGCAAGAAACGTGGCCTTGCTCTTCACCGCCGCCAACATGATGACGGCAAACACGAGTTGCATGGTGGTAAACATCTCAATGAACAATCCTCGGGTGATGGAACAACCGCCTCCCAGTCGGACGTTGACCGCCATGGGTCCAGGGAGCGTGGCTGACACCGCTGCCGCGGCCGAGATGCCTCCCAGCATCTGAGCAACAAACACAACCGCAGCCCTCATTTTGGGGACCGCTCCGACGAGGACCAAGGTGAGAGTGACCTGTAGAATATAGGACAAACAAGTTAGCTGCTGCCCAGGACTCGACGGATCCAAGTGCTTGGTCTTCCTCTCTCTCCCTCTTTCTATTTACTTTGTGTTCTGGGGTTTTCTTTGTCGGAAAGAAACAAGAGGAAATACATACTGCAGGATTGAACATTCCTCCGCTAACACGATAGAACAACCACACATTGATGGCCACAGAGCAACCGAACCCAAGAGCAATGAAGAAGATGGTCAGGAGATCCGGGGGAGTGTCCTGTCCTCCGGTCGGAGGAGGAGTATGGGCCACTTGAGCAATGGCAAAGGAAAAGAAGAGGAACAAGAATGTCCCTGCGAGTTCGGCAATGAACGCAGTCATGTGGTTTCGATGCACGTCGGGCAAGAAACCCATGGTCGCTCCGGTGTGACCGAGACGGAACTTCTTGAGAGCCATGGTGATGATGTGGACGACGTTGTGGATGACCGGCGAAGGAGGTCTTGTATATACACTGAACAGTGTCGATGTCGAAACACTGCACGGGGTGGTATGCAACGACTTGTGGTAGAACGGAGGAAGGTGTTGGCGTGAGGAAAAGAAACACAAGAGACTCTTCTCTCTCTCTGCTTCTGGGGGGAGGGCCTGCACACGTAAATAACTTTATACTCGAGACCTCAGGTCGGCGCCATCACGAATCACGAACCACTGACCACCACCAGCATCGCCTGAATACGGCCATGGGCCGTTCCCAAGGAGGGGAGGGGTCTCGTCGAATTCGCTAAGGCGTACCGATGCGTCGAAAGCTGATAGAGCGCGAGTACTAATCCGCTGATAGGTGTTCCTGGACGTGGACGTAAGGACATACTCTTTTCGAAAGGACCGTGCCCGTGCCCCCCTTGGTGGGACTCCAGCTTTTGGGAAAACAAGACGAAGGTGGTTCGACCCATCGATTCACCGGTAGACCACTGACTTTCCTTGGTAGTCAGTCGTTCAAACGCCGTTCCCTCAATGGTTCGCATGTATTGACCTGCCCTTGTCCAGCTGGACCGAATGAGGATATATCGCTCACAATAGTGTGCGCTCCCATTCTGCGTTCCTACTTCGAGACTTCAAGGAGAATTTTTTTCTCCCGGCGCGCGACGGAAGTACAAACGCCTCCACACGTTCATGTGAGATACACTTTGCAATGATCAAGGATCATACAAAATCTTACGCCGCTTTCGTACACCCATCAACCCAAAAAACCATATACGTAGGTTGTATTGTTTCGAGCAAACGATAGTGCGAGACCCCCAATGATGATCACCCGCGGCTATTAGATGCTGGCCCTTGCACACTTCAGTAACGAGTAGGTCTCACATGGTTCGTGCTTCAATATGATGAGGTTTGGGCTCTCGATATGCACGGACCCTGGGGGACGCCGCACATGTCAGATCTTTTGTCAAACCTCTCGTATTCTTTCAACTTCAAGTTGCGCTTGCTGATGGTGGTGGTGGTGGTGATGAGAAATCGTAGGCCTCAAAAGAATCACCAATTGACGTAAATAACGCCCAGGATGGAGTGCGCAGTAGTCGGAAACTGTATGCACCACTTACTGCACCGTGACAGGATACACTCCGGTGTTGTTTCAGGCTGTTTTTCTTGTTGGCTGAATATTTCCATGAGACATGAGATTCTCTTACATGTGAATAAGAACGTGGTGTAATCAGATCGGATGACTACAGACATGGAACTTATCCGAATCCACTTAAAGACGTTTTTTTTTAAAAAAAAAAAGCAAAGTCAAGAAAAACCGTCGTTTCGACGAGTCGGAAACGTCTCGCTTAATGACAGGTATCCTTGCAAGCTGAAAGCGTGGCGAAGTCAACAAAACGTCGAAAGCTTATTAGCATCTTCCTCGTCTTTTGTGTCTCTCCATGAGTCCCAACTTCATCTCGTCGCGTTTGTCAATTTCTGCACTGGCCTGGTGTTGCCTGTCGGATTCTAAAGGTCTGCTCTCTGGATCCACCACAACAGCACCTTTCGAGATATCGTCCGGGTCTAATTTCACTTCAGCTGTCGTGGTGTCGTCGGCAGTACCGTCCCCACCCACTCCACAGTCATTGGCGTTGATACCATTCTTTATATTTGCCTCAGTCTCGTATTCCTTTTCTCGTGGGTTCACAACTTTTAATCTGACCCCGTCCCCACCGAGTGTCGAGTACACGCGCAAGCCGACTACGCAGACAGCATTCCATTGTTCCTCGGGACCTTCGCCACCGTCGTCGGACTTTTCAACCACGTCGATGACTGGCGGTGGAGATCCTGGCATGGGACCAGGGCGCGATGGGCGACGGCGACGACGCACGCTTCTGTAACGGCCCCGTTGATGAGATGATGAAGAAGACTCGTCGGACGACGAGGATGAGTCGGGAGACATGTCAATATCTGTGTTCCAATCGAATGGAGGGAATGAGTCTGCATCGGAGAGTTCGTCGATGTTATCGCGGTTGAAATCCCGGATGACGATGTATGTTTCCCTGGTGCTATTGTGAGGGCTTTCTTCACCGACGCCACTACCAGTACCGATCATCGCAGCAGTTGTGTCAATTGTATCACTGCGGCGCGGATATGAATTTGGCATCTGGTGCGCACTGTGAGTTCGTGGTCTATGTGCCATGGATCGTGTACCGCGGCTCAAGCGTTCGGGCGCTGCCGATGCAATTGGTATCGTGGTCGTTGTTGGCTTTGGAGTTTCGGCAGCAGTCTGCTCTCGATCTGTCTGGGTCGAAGCGCAGACTGATCTCTCGCCACTGTTCTCAAGCTCAGGGGGTTTCGCTCTATCCGATTCAGCGGGCGCAGATCCTTGCTTATTGGCTTGGTCTTCCTCGTCTGCACGTTTGAGAACATCTGCCAGTGGCTCAACAATGGACTTGACCGATGAGTTCGTGAGATCCTGCTTTTCCTGGATCATCTCCAGCCCACTGACTGGTTCGAGGACCTCATCTGTTTTGTCAGCTTTCCTTACGATATTGGTGCCTTCGCCAATGCCAATAACCTCAACGTGTTGAGATTCGCCCCGTGCATCTGCCGCACTGATATCTTTCTGTGGACGTTCAGACTTCTGTTCGTCGATGATGATGGACTGATCAGCACTCTGGGCATCCGCGATGTTTCGGCTCGTAGGTCTTTCCGACTCTTCCATGGTACCGTTGGCATTTTGCCTTCTCGCTTTCCTTCGCCTGTCTCTTTCTACTAGTTCCTTGTCTCTCCTGTGCCGCTCCTTCTGCCTTCTCCAGTCTTTCTCTGCCAGTTTCTTCATCCTCTGCTTCAGTTTCTCTCTGTCCGTTACTCTCCGTGCCTTCTCCCTCCTCTTTCTTTCCGCCTTTTCCAACTCCGTTTCAACATGAACACCCTTGGCATGAGCCAAATCATACGACAGACCCATCTGGATCAATTTTTCCCTCCTCGTTGCTGCATAGACAGGCAAGACATCCTCCAGATGGTCTTTGTCTGTGTTTCTTGTTGCAGTGATTCGCATGAGGACCGAATACGTCCCCTTCTCCAACTCGATGTCGGTGCTGACAGACCTCGCCATGGCATAGTTGCCGTTGCTTCTCACGATATAGTCATTTTCGTCTTCCTTGTCATCTGCTTCTAATCGAAATTGCAGGTCGAACCCGTACCCGCCTTCGAGGCCGCCGAAATATGTGTCGTCAAGTTGTCCGAGGACAATCACAACTGGCGCTTTCTCCTCGAGGGTCAGACTAAACTTGGTGCTGTGGTACTCGGAGCTCCAACTGACATTGACACTCGCCCAACACTGCGTGACATTCCACTCAGAGCCGAATATTCGTGTCCGGTCGAAGTGCTGATATTTCTTGAGCAGGTCATCATAGCTGATCCAAAACACTCCGTCGTTACCAAATTTGTGGTCAAGGAGCGCCATCCATTCTGCGTCCCATTCGGAAGACCCATCACTCCATTTACCCGTCCATTCTTTCTTGCCCCACGGGTTGCGCAGCTTGAGCAGGCGTTCTCCTTTCACTTCCCGTGCATCCATAATAGAGTATGCATGTCCTTCTGATATCCCCTCGCGTTCGCGTGACACCACACTGGTGTCCAGCCAGTTCGAGTAAAAGCCTGTAGCGCAGCCAAACAGGAACTGTTTACCGACTTGCATGAGCTCGTCTCGCCAGAAAGCCTCACGGTCAAGGATGTCTGTACTGTAGACCTCCGTCGTCACACCCCCCGTTAGGTCCTCAATGGCCTCTCCAGTGAACCCGCCGTCAATGCTTGCGAAGTCACCGTGCGCCTTGGCGTATGCCTTTTCAAGCAGAGGAAGCCACGTCTCGTTCTCGTCACTGCATTGGGCGAAGTACAATGCTCGCGAGCCCGTCTGGTGGGCTTTCCGGTACTCCTCCGCAGAGTCGACTCGATTGATATCGTCCCAAACATCCCGTTCCTCGTGAGCTTCGTCGTAGTCTGGTGCGCGGAGGTATAGTTTATCATCGACAATGGTGTGTTGCCACTCGCCGTCTGTAAAACAAAAGGGTCAGCTATCCTAGTAAACTACTTACGAGGACTGAAACCCTCAGTGTAAGTAGGTCAGCCTTACCTCGGAAGAAAACGAATCCATACACGCCAACCTGCATATCATGCTTCACACAGACTTTGTCAATCAGACCGTCCATGTTACCCAGGCCGCAGAGTGCCGCCATGAGGTAACAATCTCCATCTCGGCCCTGGCGCACGTCACCTGCTGTTGGACCATTGATGTAGAACTGTGGATTGTCGAAGATGTCCTAAGTATCGCCCATGTCAGTAATACTCCTATTGAGTGCAGGGAGCGAGGCTGATATGTACAGTGACTCTTTTGACGCCCTTTGGTTTCATCGAGTCTCCAGGATTGCTCAAACCATCGAGACAATTCCGCTGCCCAGACTTCAAGTCCCATTCGATGTCGAAATGCGGATCACGATACTTTTGGTTCAGCCGTCTACATTCTCGAATGATCCGGTCGACGTCATGCTCGCACTCCCTACGCGCCTCCTCGTATGACTTTGCAGCCCGTTGGCCCGACACAACACCGAGGGGCCGCTTGGCAGCTTTTTCGCGAGCGTACGGGTTGTCAGGAAGGACTGTGAACACCTTTCCGGGGTATTTGGTGTTGAGTTTGTCCCAAAACTGGCGCACGGTTTCTTGAGGCGATTGTCGTCGTATCTTCCGGCGGGGTTTGGCTGGTGGTGCCACAGCAATCTCAGGAGGTGGCGGCCCATAGTAACGACCTCCAACTAGGTCTCTCCGGTCATCCATGAGACTCATCTGGCTCACGATATGGAAAGTTCGAATGGCTAGATTGAGTCTGATATCTTGATTGGAGTTTCGATGTCGTACTGAACGTAGAGTAACGTTGTCAAGTTAACATGATTCAAAGAGTATTTGCGCAAAGTACCGGTAACCTGCTCAAGGACTCGTCGTTACAGGCACAAATGCATGATTCCGACGCAAACGTCGAGGAGAAATGGAGGAATTGAACCATCTCACATCTCAGGCTGAAGAGGCGCATACGAATCGCTCGTGCATGTCGTGTGTTGCCAGCCTAGACCTGAGCCACAGGATTTCTGGCCGGTGTAATTTTGGCGAAACAAGTTCGACCGTTTCGAACTCCCAAAATCCTTGTGATACCAAGATTAGTGACCGGCCAGCGAATCAAATGCTGGTTGGTGTGTTGTCCTGGGCGGAATGATTTGCGGCTGAGTCGATTTGTTCGGCTTGGGAACTTTTGTACTCACTAAGCCCCTGGTCGAATCTGTCACCTCTGCCTAGGCTCCAAGAACTTTGAACAAATCATACTAGACAGCACAGAGTGCAGCTTGAAACGGATCAATACAAGAAACCAGTCAACTGAATAACTGTCTGGAAATTTTGATTGTGCGGTGCGTGCCACGACGTAAGGGCTCGAATCGCAGCTAAGAGCGGCATTTCAATTCAAGGCGAATCACCGTCGCAGATTAGTTTGCGTCCTATACGAATATCGTCAGAGATAATGATCCAGTGCGTTGGCAAAGGGTTCAATTTGATGGAAAGGGCACATATGATTTTATTCAACGTAGATAGATATAAATATATATTTTCTTGCAAGGTTGCAGTTATATCACTAGCACCAATTCAGTACCACGAAAAGAAGGCATCGTCTTTCTGCATCGACAGAACAGTTTCACGTTTCTTACCCACACAAAGCGAGACATTTGTGTGCAACATCACCTGGACAAGCCATTTTGCAAGGGATTGATACATTCAGAAACCCTTCTTCTCGAATACTTCGGAAGAGATACCGTTCTCGTCGTCGGGAACAATGACGAGGTTGTCGGAGCGGAAGGGGTCGACCTTGACTTTTCTGAACTTGCGTGCAGACACTTTGTTTTCAAACAACACATCGAGTTCGGCATATGTGAGGCCCTGCAGAGGCACCAGTCAGCACATGCAGTACAGTATAATTGACTTGAGAACTTACCTTTGGTTCTGGAAGGCGGAAATATGTCCAGACCAGTCCTAATGCATTGAGACCTCCCCAGAAGAAGCAAGTCTTTCCGCGCCATGCCCACTCGGTCGGATTCATCATACGGGGCTGAAGAGTACCCACAATGATGCCCATGATATTGTAGACGTTTCGCGACAGGACAACGGTCTTGATACGAAGTCGGGTGGACGGCAGCTCGGCCACGAGTGAGTAACACACAGGGCCCACGGTGAAGTCGTAGACAAAGGTCAGAATGAGAATCAAGGCACCAGACGCCCAGCCGACCGAAGTGGATAGAGACGGCACACCTAGGCCACCAATGATCATGAGAATGATGAACATGCCAATCTGACCCCAGATATATAAAGTGCGACGGCCAAAATGTGGCATCAAGAACCAGGAGAGTACTGTGCCACAGAAGCCCATCGCGCTTTGACCAACGCCGAGGGAATAAGCGTCTGTTGCATCAAGGCCAGCTTGTTCCATGAAGTATGTGCCCCAGCCGATCATGGGGGAGCCGGATGTTTGTTGGATGAGCCAGGTAACACAAGTCACCTCGGTACGGCGGAGATCGTTGCCCTTGAAGCAATCAAGGTAAGTAGTACCGGCTGTCTGTTGAATTTCAAGCTCGTTGGTGTGAATCATCATGGCTAGAGTATCTTCCACATTAAATCCGGTATTCTTCTTGGAGGTCAGTTTCAACAAAGCTCTACGAGCTTCGTCGAGCTTTCCGTGGCGGACCAACCACCATGGTGACTCGGGGGCAAAGAATGCAGCAGCCGCGATGGGAAGTGGCCTGATGAGCATGTTAGTGACGAAGCAAACTATTTTTCTGTGAGTGCCCTACCAGATCCATTGTATGGCATATGGAACACGGTAAGCCCATTCAGTTGTGTTATCGACAAATCCTTTCAGGATACCAGCGGCGATGAGCTGACCGATAACCCAGCAAAGGTTCACGTATGTTGTCAGATAGGGTCGAAGTGGTACTGGAGTAACTTCGGCCGCGTATGTGGTGGTAAGAGTCTGGCTATTTTCGAGTCAGTAACGAGTATGAAATTAAGGAGAAGGGCTTCGACTTACAAAACACCCCAGGGGAGGCCAGAGAGAATGTAGCCTGCAAGCAGCATGTGGATGTCCACAGCAAAAAAGGTAATGAAGATACAGCCCGCGATGAAAATCAGGGCGCCAATCATGGTCCAGCGGTATCCAATTCTTTCAGAAATGATGCCGTTCAGGAATAGACCAATGATCTGAGCAGCGGCGGTACCATTCGAGAGAGCGGATTGCCAGGTAGCAGACAGCTGGTATGTCGGAGCTCCATCCTTGGTGCCTGCGAACGAGCCATATTTCTTGTTGAAAGCAGGATTGCCGAAGAAATTGCCTAGTAGATAGGTATCGTAGCCTTCCATGATAACGGCAAGCGAAAGAGCGAAGGAGAACATGATGGCTTTTGGATAGAGTTTACAGCCTTCGCGGAAGCCCATCTTGTGTTCGAACTCAACAGCATTCTTCGCATCAGCGGTGAGCTCTGCCAGATTTGGGACAGCGACAGACATCTTGCGAAGAGTGTCATCCTTCTGGTTGAAGACAGCCTCTCCCTGCGTGGCCCCAGCAACTGCAGCTGGGACGATGGATGACCTTCGTCGCGTAGTGTCATATGTGGGTGCTCCCAGATTGTTTGCATAGTGAGATACGCTCATATGGCGGCCGGCGCGGCCGCCTCCGCTTTCTTCGTCGTGGCTGTAACTCATGGTGCTTGATCGAACCAGTAATTGTCGAAGACCTTAGTGAAGGCGCAAGCCACCAACAAACAAGCTTGACTCCGCGTGGATTGTGTCGTGTGGTGAAGGAGGACACAGATGCAGGGCAGACGCTCGGGTAAGGGGGTACGAGCATGAATATATAACTACTGCTTATCCCTTAGCAACCCACTGTATGCTTGAACACAGCTCATGACGCAGAGTAATTCTAGCGACGAAAGTCATGCCGTTCTGCCAGCGAGGCCAATCAGCCTTGTCCAATCGCCCAAAGATGTATAACCTGACTAGCGCGATCAGAAGTATAAGTTCCAATCACGACAGAAGCTAAAGTCACACAGTAGCCAAGAGTGTCGAAGTCTGTCGTATTGCGTTGAGCCACCGACGAGGTGCTCGGTTACTCCAGACTAGAGCACAGTGGCCCTCTTGATGGTCGTCAAATGTTGTACAAGGGAAAAAGACAAAGGAGCTTGGTTTGGCGCCACCCAACCCGGAAAGAAGGTAAAGCAGCCGAAGCAAGACTGTCGTTGGCTGGCGAGATTCTCGGTGAAAGAACCGGAGCAGTCGTGAGAGCCGGAAAGAGAGCTTTGATACCAGGGGTGTCGCTTGATAAGTCGGAGTTTTCGCTTGTCACCATGAAGCTTTCCCTCTTGGGTGTTGTCACAGTGCTTGAGGCACCACTTAAGCAACGAGGTTTGGCGACAAGATGTTTCCACCCTGGACACTAAGCTGCTGATCGAACTTTTTCGCTGGAGTTCCGTAGGCTGTAAACCCCGCACATAGTGTAGCCTCCCCCGACTCGGCCCCAGCTTTGCGAGAGCTGTCAGGCCTAGAACTACTCCGCTTGTAGTTTGGCCGTGCGCTGAAATTTGTCCTCCAGGACGTCTTTGGACTTGTCGTCGAGACGCTTCTCGTATCTTTCTCTGTACGAGTACACCCCCTCTTTGTCGATCAAGCGTCATCACTTTTGCCAGGATGCTGCACGTTAAGATCGCAGCGGATCTTGCTCTTCGAGATCCAAGTGTTGGCCCCATGAATTTGAATATCAAGTTTGGCGAAATCTCTCACCATGAATGTATGCGCGGAGAAATTGTACCTACCTCAGTATTCGTATGCACGGTGAAGAATAATCAATCTGAGGCGCATTTTAGGTTTAGGTTCCTTTTCAACACAAGCCATGTGCTCCAGCCTTGAATAACGCCGCTGAGGGAGACATTGTCCGTGAGCTTTTGGGTGTTTTTTTCATGGCAGCAAACGTCAATAACTTTGTGGTGTACGGTATCTGCAGCTTACTCTTTCGTTGGGTGTTAGTTGCATTTGCTGGACAGTCTATCCTCATAGTGAATCGTAGTTCTCAGTGGTGATCTCCCTATCCACAATGGGTTATGCAACGGGGTCTTGAGAGCCAAGGTGAACTTGACTTGGTGTGTTGCGTGTGTGGCGCACTTCGGTAAGCTGGGCGGTCGCATGACCTACGAACAGCATCGCAGCGCATCAAGACAAATTGGTTGATGCGCACTTTGCCCGGCCCGTGCTGCCCGCAAACTATTCAAGGTCTTAAGTTCAGATGTTGGTATCATCCATCGAAGTTTGGGTTTCTGCGACACTTTGTCATACCACTCTTTTGGTGTTGGAAATCGGGTTCACAAGACATAGGCTTTTTCCTGGAAATAGACTAGACAGTTGATTGAGTTGTCCAGGGATTTATGGCAGGCAACCCTTACGCTAAGCTATCGATTGAGCTTGCTAAGCCTCGGCTCTGCCATTCGTCTTCTCATCATGGAACAATCGGAGCAGACGCACCAGGCATGCGGCTCCGGTACCTTGACATTAGGGAGGTTGGGCTAGCTCGAGCCGATGACGATACATGATTTTGTGCAAAAGATACAGAACTCTTCTCCGTCAAAAACGTATGGAGAAGGCGCGTCCTGTGTGTACTGCTTTCATTACTCGAACAAAACACGTTCAGTGTGGTGACCCTTCCCCAGTAAAATTGTGGATTGACGGATAGGACTGAAATGAAACCTTAGTGTTAGCTTGTAACGAGTGTTCAAAGGGCACCGAGTATGGAGTAAAAATGGACGGAAGTCTCTAGTTAAGCAGTAGTTGACAGATAGAGGAATCCATGAGGCTGTTTCTAGAACCTCAAATGTGTGGCCGATTCTGGAACAACATTTCTCCGTCAAAGGGACGAAAATTTCACCGAGAATTTCACCGAGCACTTCACCGAGCACTCCTTGCTCCATCTACGATGAGCATGCAGCCAACGAGTAGAGGGAGCCATAGCAATTCTATTCTCTGTCTAAGTTGCTCTGAGATTTCGAAAAATCATATGCTTGCCCGATAGGGGTCCCGTCGTTGAGATTGGATATCATCACTTCAATGTTCCACACAGGCTCTTCATGGCTATGCACACTTCGTCAATGTTCAGGTGATAGGTCGTTCAGCCATCTCGAAGTGTTTGATCTCCTTCACATACATTGGTATCATCCTCTTCATCTGCACTGTCTGCACGTTTCTCATCACATGTGACTGTCTCAGGCGAATGGTCTGGTCTGCAGGTGTTATGTCCAATTTCTTCGTGTCAGATGTCAGTATCTTCATGCAGTCTGGCCATCGATCTCTAATTTCGACATTGCATCTTCTGCGGTCTTGCCGACTTCAACTTGTTCCTTGCCTTCTCCAGCAACCGTGCCATCTGGGTTGGCCTGGACATTTCCTGCCCCGGGATAGCGTGTTCCTTTGTTCTTGGGTTGCTTCTTCTTCTTTACAGGTTCCGGCGGAGGATAAGCTTTCTTCTCAATTTCCTGCCACTCTGCAGACGCTTCATAATCAGCTTGAATCGGAGCCAGGAGCTCGTTCAAGGCCGCAGTTACACCAGCCTTGAGTAACTGAGGAGTTAGTTTATCGGCTTTGTAGTCCGCCCTCAATGTCTCCATGTCGTGATAAACAAGTGGCTCCCCCTCTCCCTCTCTTCGTTCACATACAAATCGACCTTTGTGATGTGGGTCTTGCAAGGCACTGAATGGGAGCAATACATATTCGACGAAGGAGATGATACCGTTGCCTTCTACTTCACCAGCTGCCGCAAAAGCCTTCTTTAACTTCTTCTTGACGAGTTCTGGGCCGTCAAGAACATCAATCTTGGAGTCAGGGTCAGATGCTGACATCTTGCCTCCGGTCAAACCAGGCACCATGGGATTCATGAGATGGGCCCGTTCTTTGTACCCTATCCGCGGTAATGTTTCCTGAGCGAGAGCAAAGATCTTGCGCTGGTCGACTCCACCAAACTGAGCATCGACTTTCAGATGTTCTTCGTCGAGTGCCTGCATGAGAGGGTAGATCAGTCCTGACAGTGGTGCATTCGCACTCTGTTTGACGACTTCAGCGCCCGCTCTCTTCGCATCATGCTCACTGACCACACTACTCAGTCGAAATATGTCCATGGTGTAATCAGAGCCCAATTGGTAGGATGAGCCAAGGACAAACTCTAGCTTTTCTAGACTCACTCCGACGGCCTTGAGAAGGGAGGATATGACGAACTTGTAGTACTCGGCGCGGTACTTGACCAGCTCGATAGGTGCTTTGAGGTTGTCGAGGAAACCATGTATATCGGCCAGAAGAATCTTGACGTGACATCCTGCTCTCAGAAAGTGCGCAATCTTCATCATGGGGACAAAGTAACCACAATGAGGTCTGCCTGTGGTGGCTGATCCCCAGTAGAGGACAAGCGGTCTTTGCTGTTTGATGATGATATCTTCCAGAATATCTCGATGTAGTACCTCCGCCAACTGGTCGGTCACCAGAGAGAGTTTCTCTTCTGGCGACAGTTCTCTGCCCGCCATGATTGGCAAATTCGATTGAGGAGGAGGGGATGTGGTGGGAGAGGGAGGAGTCTTTTTGAGAAGACAGATCACTTCTAAGGAGGCTTGGAAGCCCAGGTGCGAAGGCTTTGCTGGGTGTGCGAATCGTGTAGAGGGTGTGCACCTGTTGTGAGTCAATCAATGGAGGCACCTGAGGCTCTACAAAAAAATGGAGGGTCCCTGTACTCGCCCCTAATTATTACTCAGAGTCCCTAATAGATCAATAATGTTCCCCGCGCTCGTTGGCTGCGTTGCTTGGCTTCAGGAACAGAATCGCCCCGCCAATCACAAAGACGCGTGAAGAACGCCTCTCTAAATAGAAAAGGTAAACAACCCTTTTGCAGCAACACAGTGCGTCTTCACATTGATCTCGCACTCTTCTGTGGCACTGCAGTCCTTTTCTCAAGTGCAATGACCAGCGCATACTAACATACAGGTCTTCGATATTTACTGCCTCCGAGTCTTGCACACCCAACCTGAGACCCCTCGACATCCCACGACCCCTTTCTCGCAAACCCAGTCCCGCCTTCCTCGGTCACACACTTGGATATTTTTATGAGGAAGTAGTAGTTCTGTCGCACGATGGAAAACTACCAGAAGATAGAGAAAATTGGTGAAGGTAAAAATTTACCACTTTGCTCGCTCACACGCGATCTGATCGAACCAATGCTCACGTCTGTCACACCAGGAACATACGGTGTCGTCTACAAAGCCCGTGATCTGTCCAATGGCGGCCGCATCGTCGCTCTCAAGAAAATCCGCCTGGAAGCAGAAGATGAGGGTGTACCTAGCACTGCCATCCGTGAAATCTCCCTGCTCAAAGAGATGAACGACCCGAACATTGTGCGTCTTTTCAACATTGTCCATGCGGATGGTCACAAACTCTACCTCGTCTTCGAATTCCTCGACTGCGATCTCAAGAAGTATATGGAAGCATTGCCTGTGTCGGATGGTGGCCGGGGCAAAGCCCTTCCGGAGGGGTCAACAATGGACATGCAGAGATTGGGTTTGGGGAAAGATATGGTCAAGAAATTCATGGCACAACTCGTCGAGGGAGTACGATACTGTCATAGCCATCGTATCTTACATCGAGATCTTAAGCCTCAAAACTTGTTGATTGATCGTGAGGGCAATCTCAAGTTGGCTGATTTTGGCCTGGCTCGTGCTTTTGGTGTTCCCCTGAGAACATACACTCATGAGGTAATGTGCTTGACAAGCCCTTATCGAGGACAATGCTGACAACCTTCACCTAGGTCGTTACCCTTTGGTATCGTGCTCCCGAAATCCTCTTGGGTGGTCGCCAGTATTCTACTGGTGTCGATATGTGGTCTGTGGGCGCCATCTTCGCTGAGATGTGTACTCGAAAGCCACTCTTCCCAGGCGATTCTGAAATCGACGAGATCTTCAAAATCTTCAAGTAATATTTTCGCTTTTGGTTTGCATCTCTCAATGCTGATTTTGTAACTAGGCTACTTGGAACCCCCGACGAAAACACCTGGCCCGGTGTCACGTCGTTCCCTGACTTCAAGACCTCGTTTCCTAAATGGCGACGAGAAGCCACCAGCAAACTCGTGCCAAACCTCGAACCCGCAGGTCTCGAGCTCCTAGATGCCATGCTCGAATACGACCCCGCCCACCGAATTTCCGCCAAAGCAGCTTGCAACCATCCATATTTCGCAGCTGGGTCTGCTGCCTACTCTCAACGTACCAACGGTGTCTCTCGACTGAATGGCTTCCATTAAGGGATGGCAAATGAGCAATGAGAGATGACAATCAAACGTGAGATAGGACATTTGTGGCGTTAAGGGAAGAAGTGCATGGGAAGGAAGAATCTATGCATTTCGGTCTGCTTGAGTTTGGTTACAGCAAGGGCAATGACTTTACACAGGTGAAAAGGTGTTATGACCATGGCATTTTCCTTTTGTGTGGGAAGCCATGCTTCCAGTGCGATGAGGTGAGCTGACCCGGCGAAGCCTTTTCTTCTTTTTGCAATTGTATGTATAAGACTCGTTTGGGCCTCTTACCCTGTAAAGCTTCTATCAAACAATAGAGAATTAAAAAATCGTCAAAGTTACTAGACTTGTGCCATGGAATTGAATGTTTGTGACTCGAAAAACGTTCATGACTTGCTTGCTATTGAAGGATAGAATTGGTATGTTTATTCGTCAAACGAAACTTCGTTACAGTGCTTCGTGCGTTGTACCATGGTCACCCCTAGTAAAACACTCAGTTTAGGCATATATATATATATATGTGTGTGTGTGTGTGTGTGTGATACACACATAGGTACGGAAGTGCTTTGAGCTAGACAGGTATATCAGGTAAGGGCACTACGGAGTATGACGACCTAGGTTACCGGACGGAGCTAGGCGCGCTGTGTGACTTTTGACGCCTCGCAAGTCAGAGTTGTGCTGCTTCTCTTCCCTTTTCATCGACCTCGTGCACACTCGACCGTCCACCGACACCCGGATTGGCGTTGCGCAGACTCACGACGCTCACACTGTCCCCCCTCCGCGGCTGCTTGCCCCGGTACTCGCTCACGGCGAGCATGTTCAACCTGTCCTCCTCTCGGTCCAGCTTGCGGAAGTTGAACCAGAAACAGACACCGCCGACGGCGGCCAAGACCGCGACGAGCCCATAATTCCACACCAGCAGCGGGTCGGCGGACAGGGACACCAAGGCCTGGGCGATGGCGGAGCTGAAGGCGTTCATGAGCAGGTTGATGGCCATGACGAAGGATCGCATGTTGGTTGGGGCCTTGGTGAAGGCGTACTCGAGGCTCGTGATGCTGGCCATGATCTCGGAGAAGCCGATGAAGACGTAGGGCAAGGTCTGCACCCAGACGTTGATGGGCGCCGGGCCGGGGCAGTCAGGGTCCGAGGCGTGGGTGCCGCACGGGGAGAGGCGGTAGATCTGCAAAGGAAGAACACGGGACGTAAGTTATGTGTGGGATACTGGATGGACGGTACGAGAGGTAGAAAAGGTCTCGCGCGGGGCCAGAAAACCGAGGATACAAACTCACATAAACTTGAATGACGCACGACGCAATCATGGCGACTGATGCGAGTGCGAATCCCAAAGCGATTCTCTTGATCGGGGTGAAATTGATCTTTGCCTTGCGGAGAGCAGGGTAAACGACAAAATCCATCAACGGCACGAAGATGACGATGGAGATCGGGTTGAGGTTCTGGATAATGTCGTTGGGGACGCCGTTGAGTTCCATCACGGCAGCTTGAGATGTCAAGTTTCCGGTCTACCACCACGGTTCGTTCTTGTCAGCGAGCTGCATGCAGCCTTCTCGTTTGTCACAGAGAGGAAGAGTACGATTGTGCCAACTGACCATTTGTCCATATGCCAACCAGTATAGTGGAAGGTATAAAAATACCGTGCATGCCTTCAGTCCTCGGCGCACTTCGTCAACCCAAGCATCGTCAAACGTCATCCAGCTGGGTCGTTGGTCGACGGGGATGTTGGACGGTTTGGCGCGGTCCCAGAACTCGGGCGAGGACAAGTTCTTGTACGTGCGGACGGGATTGATGCTCCAGGTTCCCTTGGCTGCGTACTTCCAGAGCTGGAAGAACTTGGCGAAGACGGAGCCGGTGGGTGGGAGGAGGACGTAGTGCTTCTTGCACACAGCCAGGACGATCGGGGCGAACACGAAGAGGACGGTCGGGAGCATGAACGATAGCCAGAAGCCGACGTATTTTTCACAGTATACCATGCCTGATGATTGATGTTAGTCTATCTCAGATATACCGGAGAAGCCCGGAGCGCGGGCAGGCGGGTGTGCTGTGCCATACCGATTTGGCCAACCAGAGAGCCAATGTTGATGCACATGTAAAAGTACAGGAAGATACGGGATGTTGTGACTGAGGGATCCACGATGACTCGCTCACCCGAGGGCAGCACTTTGACCTTCTTTTTGTTGTCCGTTTGTTGTTCGGCCAGCAGTGGTGCGATGTTCGACTTGAAGCCGCCGGTTCCAATACCAAGGATGATCAGGCCGATGATGAAAGCAGCGAGCGCAGAGCCGTTGTGTTTGATGACGCTGGGAGCGGCGGAGGCGGTTAGAATAACATGGCCCACGATGGCGCAGACAATGGCCAAGTGGATGGTCTTGTAGCGACCCCAGTGCGCATCGGCTAGATAGCCACCCAGCTTTGAAAGATAGTCAGTATTCCAGATCTGTGCCGTGACTAGGGATGCCAAAACGAACCAAAGGCATCACATATGCCCAGAATTCATTAAACATCTTGAGACCAGTAGAGGCTCGCTGGCCCATACCCAGTGCGCCAGACTGACCCGAGAAGCCCGCGCCTGTGGACGAGCCCGCTGGGAGAGGCTGCTGGATGAAGTTCACAACTATGAGAACGACAATTCAGTAATCATTCCCTGATACGAGACCGCGATCCGGCGATGATCACTTACAGACGATGGTCGTGCCATAGTAGGAGAACCGTTCGCACAGTTCTACGAAAGCAACTGTAAAGGCTGTCCATGGAATCTTGCCTGATACTCGACGGAGTGTCCTGAGATCTTCCTCTGTGACCTCGTCATCGTAGTAGTCTGCAGAGTGAGACTGGGTCGACACCCTAGTGGCCTCGATCGAACCACGACCAAGCTTTTTCTCATTCACGGTGCCAGCAAGTGGAGCATCAGCCACAGCTGCTTGGGCGATAATGGGGGCTTCGAGGTTTGCAATGTTGCTCATGGTGGCGGCACACTCTGGGACAGATCTCCTAGAGCTGCAATCTGAGATGAGTTGCCATCCCGAGGAACTCGACAGAACCCAAGTTCTTATAACCTCACTGTAGTTCGCCATTACAATGGTCCGCCTCGCGTGACCACCACGGAGAAGCTCCTACAAAGGGAAGGTGTCGTTGGACTCTTATCGCGGGGAGCTTTTGATATTGCAACAGTAATGTAGCCCAAGCACTTGGCAAGAGTAGTTGTCTTTGGTGTCTTATCGTAAAGAGGTCGTGGATGCTCCAGCAAGAATGCACCCCAAGCACTTGGCAGATGCGGAACGGCGTTCGAGAAGTCTTGGTCAGGCTAGGCGAGGACAACCAAGATTGCACAAAACAAGAGGAAATCAGGCCCAAGCACTTTTGCGCCGAAAAGCCATTGAGCTTGACAAAAAAAAGGGCGTGGACAGAAGAATACGTGTTCTTCGTATACGCTCCCACTATTCAAGCTTACCTCGTATGGAGATGTCCAATCATGTACTGCTGGTCTGCCTACCTGAGGCAGACAACATAGCTATCCGTGTGCGATAGTTGGTGTGCTGGTCTTTGAACATACCTACCTCTGTCTTGATTGTTGGATGTCCTATCAATTGTTTTTCACTATTGTCGCCCAGTCGCAACACGACAGATTGCTCCATGCCATGTATCTCGAGTTCGGCTACAGCGATTCGTTGATATGCACCAGATATGGGTACGTAATTGACGTTGCGTTACATTGAGGAGTCTTGAGGTTGGTGGACGGAAAATCGCATGTTACCAGGATCGTCGCCGCCAAGATGATTGAAATACTATGGACTAACGGCACGCGCCTCACCCCCGATCGGGAAACAGGATGATGCCGCCCTTGCTCACCCCGAAATCACCGGGGAATTTATTAATTAGGCGGCACAAGTTGTACGGAGTACGCCAGAGCCACTCCATACTGGAGACCATCTTATCTACTACGCCCGACAGCTTTCGTGGTCTTTTGATTTCCAACATCCCATCCAACGATGATATTGCGGGGCGTTGATGAAGTCGGCTTGTCAAAGAAGCCACAGCGACCTGCAGTGTCTTTATGATGCCCAACAGAGATCTGTCTTTGCTACCCGTAGATTTCTGGCCTTCCACAAGGCAGATACTCAGCTCACGGTAAGGCGTACACGTCCTCCGTATTCGCATTCAGATACGAAAGCCACGCACAATCCGCGAATGAGAGTGAATGCAATTCACACCATCCTCTGAACATTTGTTGATAGCCTCTTCGTTGGCCCTTACCTACACCACAAGAGGGCGTTTCGAGGCGCTTTTTCGTCTACTAGCGACTTCAGCTAACAATCTGCCTTGGGCATGCATGTCAAACAACTTCTATATAGCTAGGTAGGCTCTCATGAGAATCAGCCGCTCATGTCGAGTTACCCAGAAGAGCATGTATAGCTGGAGAACACAACGTCTTTGCATTCAACAACAGCTCGATTGCCAAATTCCCCACCGCTCAAAATGTCCGTGCAAGGTATGGATTTCCTTCATCTTTTACCAATATAATCGCCATGATCTAGGTTAACGCTTCCTCAGTCAACACCAATCCATACCTCCACCACGTGGCAAAAGGCGCCTCATCCGCCCTGGCTGTTCTCTTTTTCCTGTCCTCCATCTTGCACGTCCATCAAAGCAGGCAAGTCTGACAGTCGACCGCGCACCAACACCTAGCTCTTCCAGAACTAACTAACGCTGTGTGATATGTACAGCAAGTACAAGTCATGGAGTTACACCCTATTTTTGCCTTTTGCAGCCGCCCTGATGGTTGGCGGGTTCATCTGTCGTGAAATTTCGGCATGCAATGGTTCTGACCAAGTCAGCGCTGTCGAGGGACTCTTTTATACTGCGACGTAAGTGTAATTGTCGTGTTCCAGCCCGGAATCAACTGAAGACGATTCAAACAGTTACATCTTCGTCATTCCACTCTATGCAGTGAGCAATCCATTTCCCTCTCTCTTCCCCTCTGACAAAGCATTTAGTTCATTCTTCACTTCGACTGTAAAACATCCCACCCCTCACCAACGCTCGTCCCTCGAATCCACCCGCAGCTGTATCTCATACTTATTTCCATCTTCACTTCTGCCATCATCACTTGCACCGCGCAGGGCTGCGCCACTTACTTCTCCCCCGACGGTCGCTCGGCAGCCGAGCTTACTGCCGGGCTACGCCTCATCAAAGCATCCCTCTTTCTTCAGCTATCTCTCAACATACTTCTGATCATAACTCTTAAGGTCTGGCTTATAAGGATGTGGATCCGACGCCGTCGGTTGGATCACCAAACATTTAGCCCAACTCATGCTATGGTCAAAGTAGTTGGCTTGGTCTTCTTCCTGCTCGGTCTGATCGTCCTGACGAATGTCTTCCGCACGGTCCAAATCTACGCGAAGCCAAATTCACGACTCTGGACGACCGAAGGGTGGTTTTGGGGCTTTGTAGTCGCAGAGTTGGTGCTCTACAGTGCGACTTGGCACTTGATGCATCCAGGGCGAGTCATGGTCCGGCGAGAGTAGGGGCCAGGAGCCTCTGTCGTAAAGGCATCGATTTCTCCCTCGGGTCGGTGATACTCCATCTCAGGAGGATTTTCAGTGACTATAAGTGACAAATGCGAGTTTTTTTTCTTGGGGTTTTTTTATTTGAATCCTTAATTCTGTCAACTCCATGTCATCAGGGAAATTGACACCAAGTCAAAGTGACTTACCTTGGTCCATAGACTTGCCTCTCCGCTCCTAAACCTCTCAATATTGAGACTTCTTTTGCCGAACTCCGCCAGATGTAAATCAGGGGCATGAACCCCGATCGTGTCGTGCGGTGATATTTCTGTATACTCGGCGGATCACGCCGTCACTTCCATACTGCATGTGGGACGAGCAGTTCCCATGTTTGAACGGTTTGGTATGCGAAAAGAGATCATGCCTGTCACTTGCCGGGCCGCCTTCATCCGCGTGACTTGCTCATCGCTTTTGAGGGGGTGAGTTACTTAGAGTTCAAGGCACGAGTGGGAGAAACGAGTCTGCCACCAGGCTAAATCGGTTAAACCGGCATAAGATGGCAGCCGGGCAAAGCACTAACTTCAAAGCTTTCATCAGTGAGGACAATGAACCGCTGTACGGGATATCGGAGGAATCCCCCCCTCTTATTGTCCAGGGATGGTCACCTCATTACATGGAAACAAGCCTTCTTTATACCTAGATAGGTAGGTACCTAGCTTCGTGATGGCCGGCTCCGGGGTACAGTCCACAGCCATCATCCCGACGGGAGTAACCTCGCTCCAGCCAATGTGGGGATGAAGAATACACGATCGGGCATCAAAAAGCGAGGAGGAGCATGATGGGTATACTGAGGTGTCATGATCTACAGGTCGGTATGTATGTGGGAATTTCGGTCTACCTTCATGTCCCATAACACGAACAGGAGATCTGCCGTTGCTCCGTTCATCCTCGATATTTACCTCTTAAACATAGAACAATGGCCATAATGTCTCACGTTCTGCGCCGTCTATGTCTCCTCGCTCTCAGTGCTGCCATCATAGCTGTCCAGGCACAGGGCACTTCAGGTGGCCTCACTGTGACCACAGAGACCGGCACATATGTCGGTCTGATCAACGGCACCACCCCCAACGTCCGTCAATTCCTCAATGTGCCATTTGCGCTTCCTCCCACCGGGCAACGTCGATGGCTCCCACCGGTGAAAGTCACATCCAACTCTTCGAGACTCGTTGATGCTACTTCGTTCCCTCCATCCTGTCCCCAGTATCTCTCAGCGGTTCCGTCTGTGTGGAACGAGATAGTCCCACAGTTCGTCATTCCAGCTGGGCCATATCCACCAAATGCTGGGGCAATGCCGCCAACAACGGCCGAAGATTGTTTGTCCCTGGCTATCTGGGCACCGACGGGAAATGGTTCCAATTTGCCGGTCATCATGTTCATGACGGGAGGCAAGTGGTTCGAAGATCCCTCTGTCAAATCTCTGCTGACTGGAGAGTAGGAGGTTTTAACAATGGCGGAATCAATATCCAGTATCAGCTCCCACACCATTGGGTGCAGAGAACGCAAGCTCATATTGTTGTGACCATCAAGTGCGTATCCACGATCTGTAGCCTGTTCATGTCGGGGCTTACCATCTGTAGCTATCGCGTCGGCATAATGGGGTTCCCGAATGCTGGAGGTCTTGAGTCTCAGAACCTTGGAATACTTGACCAGCGCATGGCGTAAGACATTTCCTCCCGCTGTTTCGACAGTAACTGACGCCACCAGCCTTGAGTGGGTTCGTGATAATATCGAGGCTTTTGGGGGTGATCCATCTAAGATCACGCTTTGGGTAAGATATTGCTCCCGACGTCGATTCCTACTGACACAAAGCAAGGGTCAATCTGCAGGTGCTATGTCGGTCGATTTCCACAACTTTGCCTTCCACGATGACCCGATAGCAAAAGGGCTCTTCATGGAGTCAGGCACTGCGTTATTGCAAGGTACTTCTACTGACTCCAAGCACTCAAACTTCACGTTTGTGGCATCTCACCTCGGCTGTGGAGGTCTCAACGCGTCTGCAGAAATCCAATGTATGCGTGATGTGCCTGTTGAAAAGATCGTCAATTTCGTTGGACGTCGCGGCGATAACGGAACCATGCCAGCTCTTGATTTTGGCCCTGTCGCAGATGCAAAGGTCATCTTCTCGAACTACACACAACGGTATAAGCAAGGTCTGGTGGCCAATGTTCCGGCAATTGTGGGAAACGCAGCGGACGAAGGTGAAGGCTTGACACCTTACACCAATGTTACCGCAGGACCAAATGAGACTCTTGCTTTACAGACAACCATCGGTGGATTCATCTGCCCTTCCCACAACACGTCCGAATACAGAACGCAGAACAAGCTGCTGACATACCGATATCAATATGCTGGCAACTTCTCCAACATCTCGCCGCGACCATGGATGGGCGCTTACCATGACACCGACCTTCCGATGCTTTTTGGGACATACAACGACTTCCGCGGTGCCGGCCCTGGGTTTGAAGGTCGTGTGAGCCAAAAGCTACAAGACTTGGTCCTTGCGTTCATGAAAGATCCGGTAGCAGGGCCGAAGGGTATGGGATGGTCAGATTACACAAGCGGCCAAATGTTGCGGTTTGCAGCAGATGGTGTGGTAGCGAAGAATGTCAGCGTGCAGACTGTCGATGGTGTCTGTACAGGACAAGGAAGCTATGATCCAACTCCATGATAGGTAGATTGGAAAAATATGCACTTGATGCAACTTATTGCACGTCTCTAGCTCTACACGAAATAGATAGCAGATATGTACGGATTCGAAAAGGCATCGAAGCGGCCGTGAAGCCATTCAGGGCTGGCTTATGTAATGCCGGTATGAGCTTGGCGCAGGCTGGCTCGTTGTTGCGCGTTCTCCATTGCGCTGCGGATTCTTGAACTCGCGGACAAACAAGTCTACAACACTCATTTCCTGCCTACCTTGCTTCTCTCCATTCCAATCTCTAGTTCTTGTCTTCAAAAGTTCTCAAGATGGGTTCCGATCCTCAATTTGCGAAATATCCTGATCTTACCCTCGCCCAACACATCTTCACCCTTGCAAACACTCCCCAATCGGCTCAGCCAACGTCATTACCTTACCTTCAAAATGCAATCAAAGAGCACAAGATGGCGCCTCTATACCGGCATCTGGCCCATCCTGCGGAAGGAGTGCTGAATACCGTCGGAGAGGGCTCGGCTCAGACAGCAATTCCGCCTCAGAAAGCTCCAAGTCGGAGAGCCTCGTTAGTGTCAAGCAATCTACTGCCATCTAAGAGACCTGTACCGTCGGGCATATTACCATGGGACGAGGCACTCTACGAAGAGTTGAAAGCTGATAACGAGAGGGAGCTGGAAGGGTTCCAGAAGGAAGAGGAGGAGGCTGAAGAGAAGGCTGGCGAGACAGAGGTGCAGGCAGCAAGAAGCAAGCGAGCTGAGTTTTGGGCTCGAGTTGGTGACAAGGTATATCCCCGAAATGGATTTGAGGTCTAGGATAAACGGTCTAACATGATACAGGACAAAGCTATCACCGCTTATGAGACGGTGTTCGACAAGACCGGCCCCCTCGGAACCAAGATCGATATTGTCCTTGCCATGATTCGAATAGGTCTTTTCTTCAACGACAAAGCCTTTGTCAAGAAGCAGGTCGACCGTGCCAGCATCCTGGTCGAAAGTGGTGGTGACTGGGATCGAAGAAACCGATTGAAGGCCTACAAGGGTCTGCATCTCCTGACCGTCCGGTCCTACAACCTTGCGGCTCCTCTTCTCCTCGACAGTCTTTCCACCTTTACTAGCTACGAACTCTGTAGCTATTCCTCCCTCGTGGTCTACGCTGTGCTGGCTGGTGCATTGTCGCTGAAGCGCGTGGATTTCAAGGCCAAGGTGGTTGATGCACCCGAAATCAAGGCCATACTAGGTTCAGGCGACGAGAAACCGGATGAAGAAATGAAGGATGTCTCTGCTTCTACAGCAGAACGGGCAGCTGGAATTGTCAATGTGGCAGCACTGGGGTCCAGTTCGGCAGTTGAGCAGCAGACCGAATCTCCTGTGGATGTTTCGTCTTTGGCACGCCTGGTAAACAGTCTGTACGGTGGCGATTATCGGTCTTTCTTCCTTTCTCTAGCTACGGTCGAGGAGAATTTCCTGACCCAAGACCGATACCTGTACGAGCATCGGGCATGGTTCGTGCGCGAAATGCGTCTCCGAGGTTACCAGCAACTGCTCCAGTCCTACCGAGTGGTCGGCCTGACCACCATGGCGCAGGCGTTTGGTGTCAGCGTCGATTTCTTAGACCGAGATTTGGCCAAGTTCATCGCCGCTGGTCGAGTCAGTTGTACCATTGACAGGGTGCAGGGTACCATTGAGACTACTCGGCCGGATGATAAGAATAAGCAATATGCGGATGTTGTGAAGCAAGGTGATGCTTTAATCACAAAACTTCAAAAGTATGGCCAGGCTGTGAGGTTACGTGGGAGTGAAAGGGCCTAGTCCGTGACAGGAACTAAAAGGCACATGCTATTTGATACAAAATACATAGAAGAAGCATGAGCAGCGCAAGGCGTTTAGGCTACAAGGACTATGGCTGTATCATATGGTGATTTGGCGAGAACCAGAGGTGTCTTAGGTACCACTCGGTAGAGACCAGGTACCAAGATACTTTGCTCGCTGTTGTACCTACGAGCATAGGAAATAATACCAGCCGCAAAGTATTGCTCGAGGTGATCGGGGCAATTATGCTGTATCTTACATTTTGTTCTGCGTCTTGTGCCTAATCAATCTCGTCATCTTGCAGGCATGAAGAGCGAGTACCGATGCCTGGAATCCAATGAATTGCTCGGCTGTTGAGGCTTGTCCAACCCCCACACTTGACGATAAGATACGCCTAGAGTCCAGGTAAGGAAATCGACCAGGGGGAAGAGGGGGAGTGTTGTTTGTTTTTCTTGAAAGGTGCATTAATCACCATCATTGCAAAATGTCTTCATCATCGACCTTGCATCTGTAGCATCTTATTTTCTTTTGATGCGTCAATAAATCCTCTGATATGGGTCGCGTGCTTTGGAAGAAAAGGCACAACCGCAGATGACCAGACACTGACACACTAACACAGACACAGACACAGGCCCAGGGCAGTTTTCCGATAACGCCCTTCGTGCTTCTCTCCATCCTCGTTCCCGCCCTCCGACTCTCCCCACAAGACACCAGCAGAGCCATTCTCTCCAGAAAAATGAACCCACTGACACTACATACAAGTATCACGAGCCCTTCCGTCCTCCTCATGCGTGCCCAAGGATTTTCTTCAGAACTCGCCAGGGCGTGCAGGACACTCTCGACTTCTTCCTCGTCCTCTTCTTCCATACCCGGCCCATCTTCGTCCTCGCGACGTGGCCGTCTTTCCTCTGGTAAGAAAAGCAAATACCCTTGTACATGGTGGTCTGCTCATACCTTGTGACTCATTCGTATCTTTGCTTTTGCTCCGCATGACATAAAGCAGTTTCAACACGACGACTGTGAGTTCGAACCCAACGCTGATACCACGGTGCACAGCTTCTCCTTCATACCTTGGATACCGAACGTTTCCTCCATCTCGCCGTACCATGTCGTCCACACCTAGCCGACGCAGTCTGAACATAGACAACATCAACCCTCATGTGAAGGCGGCACAGTATGCCGTGCGAGGAGAACTTGCTATCAAGTCAGAAGAGTACAGACACAAGCTAAGATACACCGACCCGCCTACTCCTCCCGAGGAACCTCTCCCATTCGACTCTGTCATCTCTGCCAACATCGGGAACCCTCAACAGCTCGATCAGCAACCCATTACATTCTTCAGAGAGGTCCTTGCTCTGGTCGAGCACCCCAAGCTCCTGGAGAATGAAGAGGCTCTCAAGACACATTTCGGATACAAGCAAGATGCTATCAACCGTGCCCGGTGGCTGTTGAAGGAGGTTGGTTCGGTCGGTGCATATTCGCAGTCCATGGGTGCTCCTGGTATAAGACAATCGGTCGCGAATTTCATTGAGCAACGCGATGGCTTTCCAGCCGAGAAGAACGACATCTACCTGACCGCTGGTGCCTCTTCCGGAGTACACTCGTTGTTGACGGTCCTCTGTGCCAGTCCCTCCACCGGTGTCATGATCCCCATTCCACAGTATCCCTTGTACACTGCCACTCTGGCTCTACATGATGCCCGTGCTGTCCCATACTATCTGGATGAGCAGCATGGTTGGGACACGAACATGGCTGTCATCAGGGAATCTTACGAAAAGGCCGTTGCCGAGGGCACAGATGTTCGTGCCATCGTGGTCATCAACCCAGGCAATCCAACTGGTGCTTCGTTGTCTGAATGGGATGTTGAGGATGTCATCAAATTTGCCGCGGAGAAAAATCTGGTCATCTTTGCAGATGAGGTTTACCAAACGAATGTTTTCATTGGAAAGTTTCACTCTTTCAAGCGTGCCCTGAGGATCTTGCAGCAAAAGGAGCCAGGACTTTATGACCATGTCGAGCTTGCTTCCTTGAACTCTGTCTCGAAAGGTATGGTTGGTGAATGTGGACATCGTGCTGGTTATTTCGAGCTTGTTGGTTGGGACCAAGAAGTACAAGCCCAGATCTACAAGTTGATCAGTATCATGCTTTGCCCTCCAGTCATTGGACAGTGTCTGCTCGATTTGGTGGTAAACCCACCAAAGAAGGGTGATCCCAGCTTCCACCAATATCATGAAGAATATCATGCCATCAAGCATGGTTTGCAACAAAGGGCCACCGCCTTGTATGATGCCTTTGAGAGGATGGAGGGCGTCGAAGTTGGTGAACCCCAGGTATGTTGTCTTTTTTTGAAAGGTGTATTACAATTCAAACTAACATGTCTAGGGCTCCATGTACCTATTCCCAACGGTCCGGCTTCCTGAAAAGGCCATTCAAGCAGCGAAAGACGCGGGCAAGAACCCCGACGACTTTTATTGTTTGCGTTTACTCGACGCTACCGGTATTTGTGTCGTTCCAGGATCTGGTTTCGGTCAGAAGCCTGGCACCCTCCACTTCCGGACCACCTTCTTGGCTCCCGGTACGGACTGGATTACTCGGTGGACAAAGTTTCACCATGAGTTTATGGACAAATATAGATAAGCATACGCCCGTGTGCGAGTTCTTGTGTTGACGTCAAGTTTGACTGCCTTGCAGTGATCCCATCGAGTCCGACGCCGAAGAAGAAGAAGGAGTCGGGTTGAATTGAACTAAACAAAGATATCGATATAGAACCTCGAGGGTTCTCTCGATTCAGCTTGATTTACTGAACAGAAATGTCTATAGGACCCAGGGCTTGTGTGATATTTCATGTGGCAATTCCAGGCATGGATTTAAAGGCAAGATTCGGTAATCTTGAGAGGCTTGAAGACTCAACATGGAGATGACGAGGAATCTTGAAGTGTGCAAAGGACAGTTGATAGTGTTTGAGGAAGATTATTTCACTCGACCATGGTCGACGTTGATATACATGCGAGTATTATGGCATCGACCGTTGTTTATATTTCTTCCTGCCCTGCCATATTTTGCGGCTATATGGGAACAAAAAGCAGATTGTATCAATTTTATATCTCTCATTTTGTGCTTCTTGAGCAAGTCGTAGGTAATCGTGGTGTGTGTTGTATAACCTTGTGACTGGATTCATGAGTTTTGAGGCCATGCCACTTACAAGGGACACGGGGTACCTACTTTGGGAAAGACAAGGCTGTGAACCCCTTTCGGGAAAGAGATTTAGCTAAACTTGGAACACTTGGTACGGATGGAGTTGGCGTTGGGTAGTCTCCGGTCTTTTGTCTCGGAGTTGACCAAGACAATGTTGTCTTTATTGTACGAGTACCGAGTCAAGTATCTAGCCCGACAATACAGGGATGAAGAGGTCGCGGAACAATGATGGACCGATGCTTTCGATCCGGATCTTGGGGGATGAGAAAAACTCTCCGCAAAAGCTTACTTGAGCGAAGTCTCTGGATGAGCCTTGTAGGTGCGGTTATATTTCCTTATTTTGACATCTTCGGACAATACTGTCGCTGTTCTCTCTAACGACGATGGATGAGATGCCTTTTGATACTGAGTGTTTTGGGGTGTTGGACGAGTTGATGGTGACATTCCGGGCTTCCCCACTTCGGACGAACAGCCTGGCAAACGACAAAATTCGGCCGAATCATGGGACCTTCACGGTTTGAACTCTCTACTTAATACTCCATATATCTATTCGCACGTTAATCTCAAGCGGAAAGATTTCTCGAAATGGGTTCGGTCTGATTACTGTTCTCTTAGACAAGTGGTAGTTTTGTGGTTGGCTTATGCAATTACTGGGATCTATGGAGACCATGGCTTATGTTTAAACTGGGTACCTACCGTTGATCGGATGTGGATCACCTTTACCGAATCTCGATTGGCCCGTCACAGACTGTGATAGCACTCATGAGACCAAAGGAGACCCTCTGGAGTCTATTCTTTGCGAGTGCCTTGAGGACTACACAGCACAGTGCATCACAAGGCGGGCGACGAACGGAGAGGACAGGCGAAAGCGACGGACACGAAAACACGGACACGGACAGAAAGACTGAAACCGTCACGTACGACATGATCAGACTAGAAAGAAGGCAAGTAGGTAGGTACTACTTTTGGTAAGGTGTCATATCATGTCATGGCCAAGGTAAACCGAGGACCTGAATGAGATACGTACGAGACCCGTGGTAGCCGGCCAACGAGAGGGACATATAAAGAACATGGGTCATCCCCAAGTAACTCTCCATGACAACAATTTGACTACAGAGACAAAAGCAGGCACACCAAACCCCAAGACGATAACAGCACCTCGCGATTAATTTATGATGGTTCAAATACCTTCAATCCCAGCCCCGGCAGAGGCCAAACCACCTACCCCGGAAGGATTGAATGCCGACCCCGAATTCGTTCCCATGATGGCGGATTGCTACACCATGTTCGACAAGTTTTGGGCTTTGGACATGGCCGAGTACAAAGCGGCATGGTTGTCCGCCCCGGGGGCGCTGCGTCCCGAGGTGCCTGGTTTGGATCAGATCGACGTCCGTCTCGATCGCGCACCGGTCTCTGACGGCACCCTCCTTGAAATCCAAATCTACTCCCCCAAGGACGCCGACGACAAGATCCTCCCTTTGATGTACGTCGTGCACGGAGGTGGTTGGACCATCGGTTCCCACAGTGTCGAGGAAGGTGTGAACAGAAACGTCTGTGTGAGGAACCAAATGAGAGTGATCAGCGTGGATTACCGAATGTATGGTTGTTTTTTCTTCTGTTTTCCCTTCCTCTCCCACCTTTTCTTTCTCTCTCGCGTATCATAATTGTGTGTGTGTGTGTGTGTGTGTGTGTGTGTGTACGGCTTATCACCTTGACTGCCCACGAGATCCCGATAGCTAACTTGTTTTATTTTTAGGGCACCCGAATTTCGATTCCCCTATGCGGTCAATGATTCATGGGATGTTCTTGTTTGGGTATGTTTGCCCAGGAGATCAGGAAACACCAGAGGAACTTCATTTCCAAAGAGACACTCGGGACTGATTGTGAATGGCTGACTTGACCATTTCTGTTTTCCATAATAGTGTCAAAAGAATGCTGAAAAGCTCAAGATCGACCCGAATCGTATAATTCTTGGTGGAAGCTCTGCCGGTGGGAACTTGGTAAGTGTCACAACCGGTCCAGCCGTGTTTCCTATGATTATCGGAAAGCGACGGATGCTAATCTTAGGGCTCATATTCGTCACAGGCTGCCATCATGGCACAACGTGCACGAGACGAAGGGTTCAAGGGTATCATCGGTCAGGTCCTAAATATCCCTGCAACTTGCCATCCCGACCTCTTCCCGAAAGAAAAGTACAACCACACTAGCTGGAAAGAAAATTTTCACGCTCCGATCGTCGACTATCCCAAGTTGATCTGGTACTGGGGTATGTTTGTTGTCGCCCTGTGATTTAACCTTGAAAAGGGTGTTTCGGGACCTGAGACTGATGGGCCAAAAAAAAATCAGATCAATATCTTCCCAATGTGACGAGAGATGTCAGGCATAGTCCGTTACTTGCGGACTCATTCAAGGGTCTCCCGCCGGCATTGATACAGGTCGCTGGTAAGTCCCACTTTACGCGCGAATTCAGCATCGACAAAAAAGACAAAAAGACACTTGAGCATAGGAGTTTTGTATTAACACACAAGTCCCATTCCACAGGGATGGATACTCTTCGAGACGATGGCCTGGCCTATGGTGAAGCTTTGAAAGATGCCGGCGTTGACACGACTGTTGAATTGTACCCTGGCGTTCCGCATGGATTTTCATTCATTCCACAATTGTCCAAGACGGCAGAATACGAGGATAATATTATTGATTGGATTTCGAAACGAGTGTAACCCTCTCTTTTGGGTTACAAGTTACAAATTAGGAGGAGGAGGAGGAGGATGAGTGTCGAGACGGGAAACAAAGAATAAATTTCACCTCTTCGCCACGAGTGACATTCAGCCTTGCCTGTCGTTTGAGCTCTACGGTGAGCGAGTGTTTCCGTTTCTCACTTGTCTAGTTGAGTAACAAGGTAGGTGACTACAGCCATCCAACCATTTAGTACCTTGGCTACTTAGAGATGGTAATGCTCCTTTTCCCCTACCATCATGATGGGGTTTTAAGGTGTACAAGTCCTCCTTTACCCTTGGTGTGGTTTTCTTTTTGCTTTTTGTCTGTGTGAAGAAGCAAAACACCTTGACCGCGTGAATAAAGGAGGGAGGATCTCAACAGAGCTTACATACTGTACAGTATGTGTCGCCCCCGGATGCCCTTCAACGAGATGGGGGAAAAAAGAGGAGTGGCGAGTTTAAAGCAAGCATCCTTTGGCTGGAGGAACGAGAGGGAGAAAGCTCCCTCCATAGATCGGGAAAACCACCCTCACAAGGAAGAACTCTGGGACTACTCTACTGCTACTATTCTATGGCCCCCTCGCCGTTATTTCGGGCCGGTTGTCTGTCCTTTGCCAATATCCTGGTCCTCCTCCTCTCTTTCTTTCGATCAAAGAACTCACTGCCCTTTTTCGATGTGTTTTGTATGTGGAGATTGGGAATGGGAACCTCAAAGATGGAAAAACCTTTTGTCTTTGCTTTATTTTTTTGTGTTTGGTTTTGGTTTTTTTTTTCCCTCCTGGCACATCCGTCCTCACTTCTCTTTGTCGTGATTGGGGTTTGAGTCAAGGTAACAAGAGACCTCAAACATCTGAGTTGTAGACCAGTGTAAGACATTCAACAAAAAATGGGTTCTGAAGCTCCTGTTTGTTCAAGGTATCTAAAAGGCACTCTATTTAAACAGAAAAGGATGACCACCAAGGCACGGGAATCTTTTCGTATCATGACTCACGAGCCATGGCTTTTGAAAAAATGTCCCCTCCACACTCCGTTTCCAGGGTCATTCCAACTTTGATCCAGAACGTGTCAAAAAAGATGGCTCTCCCTCCCTCCACGACACTTTCGGCACCATTGGCTCTTCTGGCGCAGGTCTCCAGCAGCAGCAGCAGCAACAACAACAACGACCCCGGCGGCTACCGCTGCTGGTTCTGCGGCCACCTCAACCCCTCACACGGCGGCGTCCGTGTCTGTGCACTATGTCGAGGATTGGCAGTTCCCGGTCAAAGGTGGCAGGCGAACATCGAAACGAAAGTCATGACTTTTGATCCACATGCCACAACGTTCAACAGTGTCCATGCTTCCTTACTTTTTTCCTCGATCAAAGCCTTGGACGACCAGGACAAGGCCGCCATCAAGGTCGGCGTCCGATCGTCTTGCACTACCGATGGTGAGTACCCTGCAGTCATGATCGCCAAGACCCCGGGATATGGGAAGCTTTTCACTGTCTGTGGACCGAAGAGGAACGCTGCGAGGCAGAGAGCCCCAATGCTGAATACGGAGCGCTTGCACGATGGCATCGGCGCCGACCACGTATTCTGGGAAAGCTTGAATCAAGTACTGGACCTGGACACCCACTTTCCGGTAAGACAAGAAAGTCCATTCCAATTTTCTTGACCCAGATTTGATATTGACCATGGTTAGCAATGGCGGCAGCATGTCTGAAGACTGAGGAAAGCCGGTCGATGCGAATGCGGGACCTCGACGTTGGTCTTCTGACCAGAAAAACACGCCACGACATGATTATCTTGGGAGGAAATGAACCACAAAGACACGACGGGGCGGCACAGGTCTTTTGTTTGGAATCCCCATCGACGCTATCGATGCGGTGGCCACCTTGGCTTCTCTTGGGATGCCTTTCTTCAGGATGGACCGGGGAGGGGGGGGTCTGAGGGATTTGTCAGGATCACTCGTGGTGGTACAGGAGGCACTTTGGGTCGTGTTTGGAACTGGACTCATGGTAACATCGAAGATCCTCATTCATCTGGTCTCTAGCTAGGAATAGAAGCTGAAATTGATGGAGTGATAAACGTAATGAGTCTTTTCATTTCCTTTTTCAAGGCCTAGACGATATAGACCTACCCTTTTTATCGAATTAGCGTTTGGCCTTTGAAATGTGTTGTGAGCGCTCATGGTGGGTATGTTGTGGATTTGGCCCTTGCGAAACGCGTAATTCTCGAATAGAACAACATGCAAATAAATAAATACCACGCTAGGGCACCGACGGAACAAACGAGCTGCGGAGGAGGGGCCTTCAGAAATAGGTTTCTTCGATCCTTCAAACTAAAAGCACATTCACCACTCGTATTAATTCGAGTCATCTATTCCTCAACTGGCGGGACGTGTGCATCTTCCGCCCATGGGTCTTTTCTCTTGTATCCCTCCAGAAGAGCCTCTTGTTCCGCTCTCAAACCCGTTATTTTGCAGGATAGCGGCATGCCCCAGTCTTTCGCAGAAAAACCGCCTTGGACAGGCCGGCATTTGCAAAAGGGGGGTTTCGACTAGCCCTTTCCGATACCTAGATGGTCATGGTCGCAATAGCCAAAAGCCTTCGCCGCCGGGAATATCTTCTTTTCAATGAGCTCCGGCGGATCAAATTCTGGCATGAGCTCCTCCCACACCGGGCCAAGTAACTCGTGCATGTAGCTGTCCCCTTGCTTCCAAAGTAGCTGCTGCTCCATCCACCAAGGATAGTATCCCGCCCGTTCCCAGTCGACGATACCTTGTATTTTTCCGTCCTTGGCAATGATATTGGAGAGGTTGAGGTCCCCATGCGTGAGGACGTAGGGCTCGCAACTTGGAAAACTGGCCTTGAGCTCCTGGAACTTCTCCTCGATGACGACAGGGTCCACAGTCTTGTGAATTTTCGACAGTCCCATGCGGAGGTCAGGTCCAAGGTTGTCCAACCATTCGTCGGCCGAGTATCCAATCTTGAAACAGTTGCCGGGTTGATTGCTCAAGCATTCGGCGAGAAAAACATCGTCGAGCTGACTGCCGTCGACCTTTTGAGGCCGAGGTGCGGTGAACTGTCTTAATTGTCTGAGAAAGTCAACGATCTGACGGCTGTAGCCGGCCTTCTCTTCCTGGGACAGGGTAGGCCAAAACCCCCTGAGGGGGTTGCCTGGAACCCGAGACTCCAAGGTAAATTGTATGGGATCCGTTGGCTTGCCCAAGCGACGTATTTCTTGCGGGATAGGGATGTTCAAGCCCCGTTGCTCGTGGAGAAACTTCAGAGTGATGTAATTGTTCCCAAGAAAGCGATCGCGTGGCTGGTCCCGGAGGATCCATTGGGTCCCAATTGTCCAGATCGCACTGTTGTCGCGAGTGTGGATTATCCTGACCCGGGATCCGTAAGAAGATTCTTGCTGGTTACGCGTGTTCCATCCGCAGTTGCAGCAGAGCTCGTCTCTGTCAGGGCCCAGGGAAACCGTGTAGTCATCCGCGCGCACGAGTGTCTTGAACTTAAGTGTAGGATCGGTGTAGTCCAAGTCGTCAGGGGCTTCATTTCCAGTCCCGAGGGTTTTCATGGTGAAGAAGGATCAAGCTGTTTGGTTGGATTGTAGGAATCCCTGGATCAACCGAGATGGATCTTTGAGATTGATAATTCAGATACCAAACTCGAAGAGACTTGAATAATTCTTATAATCGAACCAAGACAAAGAGAAAGATTGGCCGTCCATGGCTTACGGAGGGGATGTTCTGCAAACAGCATACGTTGGACAGCGATGCCCTTTGTTATCGAAGATTCATGATGGCGGGTTGGTGGATGTTCGACAGAATGGAGACGGCGTATTTGGGCATGGTATGTGGAATGTGAATTAGTCTGACGGCTCGTTGGTATGTGACATATGCGGGCCTTCTTCACCCAGAACCCGCAGTCGAGACTTACCAAAGTGGATGGTTGCGTACATCCTGCTGTGAGAGCCTCGACCAGAATTGCTCGGACAATGAGCTGCATGTGCAATTGGGTTTTTGTTCATGTGTGCATCAGGTAGGTAGTGAGTCTCGCTCTTGCCACCCAAGCTCTTCATCCACCAGAGCACGCATTCTTTGATCATGCACCATGGCACATTGGTCCAATAGCTTTCGTACGGTCAATAAACTCAACGGCGTACGACGCTGCGTTTGTAGTAAGAGGCGGACGACATCGTGGTTTCCCCACTGCAGGGCATGATACAAGACCACATAGTCAATACAAGGAATGTTTCCAGGTATCAAAGCCCCATGCATAGATTGGCGATCTTCAACAGTCATCACCCATCCAGAGACTCCATTCTCAATCAGTCGTTTGACCAACTTTTCGTTGCGCTGGATCAAGGCAAATTTGAGAGGTGCATGCGAGACCATCGCTTCTCTGAGCCTTGGACACTTTGCTCTCACCAGCTCTGATATTGCATTACGTGGCCAACGGAGAGCGAGAACCTTCAAATTGCGTTCAGTCATGTCAAAATCCTCCACGCCGTGATCAAGGAAGAGTTTGACTGTATCGACCCGACCCTGTGTGATGGCGTTGTGCAGATGTGCCGAAACGAGGCCCCGTATCGCAATGAGAGCCGGGTAGTATTGCAGAAGAACTCGAATGAAGTCATGATCGAGGTAGAGCTCTTCATGACTCAGCAGGCTCATCAATTGCGGAGGCATGGTATGAGTATGCTTCAGAAGGCAGTCCAAGATCCTGTGGTCCTGTGTTTGAAGTGCAGCTTCCCAGGTTGTACGCTTCTTGAGTAATGCGCTAAATAGTTCACCACCACGCTCTGCGAGCGGTGCGACAATACCAAGTTGTCGTTGGCACATCGCCGTATACAGACATCCCTCATACTGAGATAGGGACCTCCAAAAAGCGCCATGCTTCAGAAGGATGTCGACGACGTCCTCTAACCCTTCTCTAACAGCGAATTCCAGCAGTGTCTCTCCCGTCATCAGGTTTGTGGCATTAGGGTCAGCGCCGTGTTGTAGCAAAAGCCCAACGAGCCCTTCACGATTGTGCCATAAATACATAGCAAGTTCCAATGGTGTATCTCCTGTCTCTGGATGGTGGAGGTTGGGAAAAGCTCCATGGTTCCGCAGAAGCCTAACAATAGCATCTGTGCTATAGTACTGCACAGCAGTATATTCCAGAAGCCTGTCTCCTATTTTTGGGTTTATGTGATCGCGTTCTCCGCCCATTTTCAGCAAAAACTTGGCGATTGCCTCATTCCCATTGATCAAAGCATAGTCCAGGGGCGACCAACCTGTGTTTAGCGGGTAAGAACTGAGATCGGCGTCATGTTCTAAGAGGATGTGAACAAGAACATCTTCTTGGAGCCATGTACCCACTCCCATGAGCGTCTCTCCCAAGTCTGGATTGGTGAGACTATGATCAGGGCCATGTTCCAGTGGAATTCCTGTCATATGGTCCTTCCCATCGCCAGAATCGATTTTCATTTCCAGGCTATGGGTATTGGGATCAGCGCCATTGTCCGGAAGTGACATCGTAGCAATTTTGTTCCTACTCGTCGTGGCTTGCAACGGTGTAGGGCGTTTTCTCTGTTTCATATTGGTTCGTTGGAGACAGATCTCTCTTGGAGCATATTTTACGGCAACTTTGTCGTCGGCGAATATGAGCTGTTTGTGTCTTTCATAACTGCCTTCAGCAGTTTTCCGGATTCGAAATCCTACCACTGCAACTGCATTCAGATTCAGATTGTTCGCCCGGCAAGGAAGAAGAGCAATCATATCTTCATCTTTGTCAATAGGGACGAGGCGGAGTCTCATGTGGATGCCTTCGCTATCGATACTAGCAGCCCCTCCCCAAGCCTTTGACGATGACATTTGGCGGCTAGTGGCTGCATCTTGGAAGTAACGCGGATGAGAAGCCATGATGCCAGAGTGACCTTTATCTGTAGAGTAAGCAGACCATGCGAAGATGCTGTAGTCAGTCGATACTTTGATAATCTCCTCTTGTAGTCTAACGAACGCACGTTCACCCTCCCCATAGAGCAGGGGCATATTGATGTCGAATAGGCCTAACAGACAATAGGCAATATCTTCTGTCCGCGTAGTTTGTCTTTGAGACGCCCATGATAGTCTGGTCGCAATGCTCTGCTCATCTAGGTTGCCTCCGTGAAGGATAATCTTGGGTATGCCGGTGACCTTGCTAATGACCGAAGACAGGGTCGATTTGGTGCCTATTTGTGCCCAACTCTGATCCAAAAATATTACAATTGATGGAGCAATCAGCTCTTGTAGAGTCCAGCCCCTTCTGAACCATTGGCTCCAATAAAATCCCGACTGATCAAGGCCTTGTATCGGTTTGAATATAACGTCGGCAAGGTATGCGTAGCATGCTGCTGCATTTTGATACCATCGATACATTGAATTGATCGATTCAGATAGCTCGGCACTGCTTTGCTTGTTGATGCAACAGGTATCGATCCATACGTATTCAAAACCGTCCTCTTTAGCACGGAGACATGTCTTACGCAGCTTCTCGAATCCATTCTTGCTCTTAAAATTGACTGGACGATCGGTGGTAGTTAAATCCTGGAATGTCACCTCCTCCTCTGCCCAGGTGTGGGAGAGTATCGCATACCATAGTTCGCCTTCATCGTAAAATTCCTCAAGGGTGTACTTCGTGGTGTGAAGCAGTCGCATGGCTCGGATGTTGTCGTCGCATTGATATGTTGATAATCCAGGGTAATGATGTGCGGGTGGTCGTCACAATGGCGGTGGCATTACAGAGATTCAGTTTCGAGGATGGACAGAAGCGGTACGTGCTGTCTGAGGTGATGGAACAAGGAGAAAATGAACAAGGCTGAAGATGATTGTGAGGGGTACAAATAATGTGGCTTAGATACCTGAAGAAGAGGTTCTTTTGACGCAATACAAATGCACCACTCAGCTTTCGACTAATTTCTAGCTAGTGAGGCTCTTTGGCTGCGGATAAGGCGAAGGAAGCAGCCACTACCAAAGTCCCACGAGCCGTGTGCCGTTGTCAGGCCTGGATGATGCATGAACGTTTCAGCCTAGTAATGATCTAGAACGTATCAATCGAACGATAGGCAGAGCAGCTTGTTGTGAGTTGTTTATCCATTGAACGTCCAATGGTGCTACTTCTTCATCGTTGATGCAATAATAATCCGTGGACGAAAGTCTGTCAGAAGAAGTCCTGTAAGGGCTCTGTGACCTATGCGCAAGATTCGTTTGTAGCATGCTGAACTTGTTGTATTAATCAATCTTGTTTCGTAGACGCCTTTTTTGGTAGATTTGCAAAAATTGCTATTGCTGTACTGAAAGGAGTGAAAGCAAAGCCTTTTGGTTTGGTGAGGCCCAAGTCGTCCACGTTTCACTGCGTCGAGCACATGTGGGACTCGAGTCCAAATTATGCCTTTCGCAAATTGTCGTGTTGAGTGCCTGTCGGAAGGAGCCAGTTTTGGTGTCCGTACAAGAAGTTCCGCAAAGACCACTGCCTTCATACCCTGGAATAGCTGAAGGACAGAGCCGATCGTATGGTGCAGTCCACCACTGCCATTCAGACTCGAAGACATTTTCAGTAGGGGATAAGGTGCTCTCATCTCCAACTAACGTTCTAGCAACATGAGGGCTTTGAGGCGTGAGAGTTGACAAGACCGATGTTCGGCTGACCGTGACCGCCTGCTCAGTTTTTGTCACTGTACAAGACGATGATGTTGTGCCGTCCCAGGCACAAGGTATCAGCGTGGAGACCCAAGCAAAAGTCCGGAAGGTGTATTCTTTGGAGCATCTTCCCCGAATGCATGCCGTAGAGGGAGAACATGTCGACACGAGCTGATGCTGTGCCGTGACGGTTATCGGCTGAACGGATTTTGTGGGATCATGGCAAGGTGTAAAGACAGTCAGGACTTTCGCGTAACCAAGATTGAAGAGCCAGGTCAAGAGAATGAAACTGACGCGTAGAATCATAGCGGAAGGGTGCTGGATGACTGAGACTGAAACTTGCCATGTAACTCACATACTTGTCCCCAAAAACAAGGAGGATGAGATATGTCGGGCGCAAGGCTGGACTTCTTGTATCATCTTTTCCATCCTCCTGTTTGGGACCGGGCAAAAGTTAGCAGTGTGCCATGGGCAAAATCAGGCGATCAGCAATTTGCCATGAGTTCGTCGACAGGATTTCACCCTTGATGACAGTCGAGCGGGTGACAAAACTGTCACACGAGCCATGTGGGCATTCTAGACCAGATCGATATTGAGGCCAGCCTGAAACCCCCTGCAGGGAAAAAAGACAGGGCTGTACGAGTAGCCATTGACCATCCACGGGGAAATTGATCACCTTGAAAGGAAACGGCGCAAGTCTGGGGCATCCTTGCGGATGATCATAACGATAGGCTCGCATCGAAGCGCACTTTGTGTACGGAGTAAATTGGTCATCCCTGTATCGCCGGACTCGGTAGGGGATAGAGAAAGAACCAATTCTTTTTTTCTTTTAGAAAAGACTGGCCCCCTTGGTAACCTAATCTCGCTATGAACAGATGACGGGCGGGAAGGAAGGACTTGAACATGCTTGTTGGATGGGACGTTGCCGCCCTGGAGGCGTGCGTACACTGTGAATGGTCTGTCAGATGTCAGCAAACCCTGAGCTGACGCACATACTATTGTACGGCGACACTTTTTTGTGACTTCTGACACACCCTGCTCGCAACTCCCAGTACCTCCGTATTTGAGTGCCTCAGTCCCTACCTACCTGGGTACCTATCTTACCTAAGGTAGCAGTGAGGAGTTGTCGCCCAAGTCCAGATCCCCAACCCGCACAGTGTCCCGAATGAATTATTAATAGCGGAGAAAAACGCCTGAGAGGCCAAAGTTGGGGGGGAACAAATTACTTCTTTCTCCCCACAGCGGCGCTTTCACCGGCGTCGCTCCCGGGATCGCCGTCCAGCTTACGGAGCACAACGTACTCCGTACATTGAAAAGAAAAATGGCCAAAAGTCGATGACCCATCATAATCCAATCAACCACCTCTCAATTCTAAACAACCGCATAGACATAACCTCCCCAGGCATTCAAGAGTCGGAATTTTGATTGTATCTTGAAACTGGGACACCATACGGGCCGAGGCCACAACGACAAACACCACCAGCCTTCTATCACCCTGGCCTTGTCTACAGAATGTCCGACTCCGAACTCATCCATGGCCTCGAGGTTGCCAAACATGCGTCCCGCGATTCTTGTTGGGTCGTGGTCAACGGCCACGTCTACGACGTGACAGAGTACCTCGATAAACATCCTGGCGGGTCCCAGATCCTGCTTCAGTACGGCGGCAAGGACGCCACGTCAATATACGAGCCTAACCACCCCAAGGGGACCATCGAAAAGGGACTCCCCAAGGACAAGCACCTGGGGCCCGTGGACCCGGCGACGGTGGCCACTCCCCAGAAGCCCCAAGTCACACGAGACCTGGACAAGACGGCACGCATCCCACTCTCACACTGCGTGAACCTCGACGACATCGAAAAGGCCGCGGAGAGGATCATCTCTCACTCCGCATGGGTGTACTTCCGCTCGGGCGCCGACGACCTCCGCGCGCTGGCCAACAACCGCGACGACTGGAAGAAGGTGTCGCTCCGGCCTCGGGTCATGCGCAACGTGCGGCGCGTCGACATGCGGCGCACGATGCTCGGCACGCGGTACAGGCTGCCCTTCTTCATCGCGCCCGCCGCGCGCGCCCGGCTCGTCCACGAGGACGGCGAGCTGTGCATCGCCCGCGGCGCCGCCAGGGCCGGCATCCCCTACTGCCCCAGCACGTACTCGACCGTGCCGCACGACGAGCTCGCCCGGGGCCACGCGGCCACGGCGGCCGAGGTGGGCGACGACACCAGCGAGCTCTGGTTCCAGCTGTACGTGGCCCACGAGAAACCCCGGACCCTGGAGCTGATCAAGACGGCCCGGGACAACGGGTACAAGGCGCTCGTCATCACCGTCGACTCGCCCGTGGTGGGCAAGCGCGAGGACGACGAACGGTACCGCGCCGAGCTCGCCACCGCGTCGGGAGACGACACCGTCCTGACCGAGTGGTACCGACCACAGACGTCCGAGGACGGTCCGCCGCTGCGAGGCCACCACTCGTCCACGCTCAACTGGGACGACCTGCCCTGGATCCGGGAGGCCTGGGGCCCACACAACGGCCCCGTCGTGCTCAAGGGCATCCAGTGCGCCGAGGACGCCGCGCTCGCCTACGACCACGGCGTCGACGCCATCTACCTCAGCAACCACGGCGGCCGGCAGTGCGACGACGCCCCCAGCTCCATCCGGACCCTCCTCGAGATCCGCCGCTTCTACCCGCACCTCCTGGGCAAGATGGACATTTTCCTCGACGGTTGGGTGAGGAGGGGCACCGACATCATCAAGGCCTTGTGTCTGGGTGCCACGGCCGTGTCCCTGGGTAGACCGTTCATGTACGCCACCGCCTATGGTGACGAAGGTGTGATGAAGGTCATTCAGTGTAAGCATTTACTAAACTATCTTTCCCTTCCTCCAAACCCCCCCCGGAACCCCTTCTACTTGTACCCCGGGGGCCACTAAAATCAGCTGACCGATTATAAACAGTACTCAGTGAAGAAATCGAGACAACCATGAGAAACATGGGCGTGACAAGCCTGGACCAGTTGAATCCTTCATACGTCAACACCAAAATCCTGGAAAGGGAATTACCCGACGACCTGCGATTCGAGGCAGAATGGCCTGCCTTCAAACCAAAGTTGTAGATTTCCAAGAGCCGATTATGTTCCATCTGCCCGACCACGAATCTAGATTATTTGAAAGAGATTATATAGAACATTCGAGGTCTGAGCAAACTATCGTGTAGATCGACGACGATATAAGGCCGATATGACTGGAAGAAAGGAATTGAATTTGGACGTGTCATGATATAAACATTTATTCTGTACATCTATGGGCGCTGAATCTCTGCTCAAGCAAGGATACACCATATGCACCATCTAACGCTAATCGCTAAACATATGATCCAATCCAACGTTGAAAGGCATGGATCATGCCTGTCTCCTCTCTTGGTCTTGCATGAGCGGCACCGAATCCGAATTTGTCGCTTCGTTGTTTCCGCTACGCTCATTCGGTCTATCTTCGTCGTCAAAAGGTGATTCTTCTTCCCGATCCTCATCCCTTTTCCGCAGTTTTTCACGTTCCTCGTCCCGCATCTTTTTGACCTTCAGATAATTGTAGCATGCAATACTGCATATAGTAACAACCAGACCACTAATGTTCACAACTGACAGTTCATCATGGAACACTATTCCAGCAGCACTAATAGTGACCACTTCCTTGAAGATACCACAAATACTGAGTGTGACGACGCTCGTTCGCTGGAGCAATGTAAATTCACTCGCAATCATGCAGAAGGCCAGGCAACCAGGGACGAAGAGAAGAAGCATAGCTTTGAGTACGCCTTGGGAGCTAATAAGCATTTCGATGCCTGTGATAACCGCTGCAGGAGTCTCGGAGATGCAGGCGATGATCGTCAACGAAACGAACATTATAGGGGCCAAGAAGAAGAGGGTTGCAAAAGGGTTCGAAGTCGCCGGGTGTCGTAGGAGCAGGATCTGAGTCAATGCCCATCTGAAGCCAGAGAAAAAAGACGCTGATATTGCCAGAGCAAATCCAAGAGCGTGGAAGGCTGTCTCCCCCGCGACCATCATGAGAACACCAAGCGTCATGGTGAGAATAATCAAGATCAGTTTGACTGATGGTTTCTCCAGTCGAAAGAGAAAGGCAAACATGAGGACGAAAATCAACACCGACGATTTACACATGGTGTAAAAGGTAAGGGTGATGTATCGCAGGGAGGTATTGCCTAGACCAATGTCAAGAGAGGTGGTCGTCCCAGTAGGAATAAGGCGGGTAAAATAAAACAGAGGCGTGACCAGTGGCTTCTGGGGTTGAGAGTCGTCTCGTGTGGTTGTCAGGCGCGGCAAAGATGGCCGCAAGGAAGGAAATATGAGGAGGATAGTCGATGCTAGACAAAATTGAACCAACATGTGTAGAGAGGTTGCGAATAGTGGGAAGTGGAAGTCGATGTGATCGGCGGAGAACATCATCTTGTTGTACTAGGTAGTAGTCATTAGTCGCCAGTTGCTCAGGCCCAGGCATGTATGGACTCACGATAGATATGGCCAGAGAAAAGAAATACCACATGAGAATGAGTCCCCCGTTGGCCAGTAGCCGGCGTACAACCGTCTTGTCTGCATCGTTGATTTCATCCTTGGAGCTAGTTGCCATGCCTGCTGTGCCTGCGATACGGGAATCTAAACCATCACGCCTCCTCTTTTTGCCCAAATACTTCCTCCTTTCGTGTTTATTTAAGCCACTCTCTTCATCATCGTCCAGTTCGAGATCGGAGTCTAGAGCTCCCAGTTCGTGTTCTTCGGATTCCGACATGGATGATCCTGCCTCATCATCTGAGCCGCCGCTCTTGCTTTCGGAAACGGAACCAGTACCTCGACGTCTGTATTTGCGACGCGGATTGATGAAAGGTGAGTTGTCTTCACCGGAAACGGGTGGCGCGACAGAAGAAGGCCTTTGAACGTGATCCCGATAGGGAGTCGCTGCCATGTGGAAAGGCACGAAATGAGTCCGGTCAGGACATGGAGTTTCGAGAGTCAAGGTCCAGTACCGGCAATATGAGAAGACTCGCAGATGAAGGAGCAACTGTGTTATAATCTAGAAATTGAAGGAACGAAGTGCTGATCTTACTGTACAGTTGATTTGCAGAGACAGGGGCATGTCAGCGATCAAGTTGTCGTGCCATTGCGGCTTAACAATAGTGACACTTGCGCTAATGGTGTCAATGCTCAAACATGTTCGGCGGCACGTGTAGCTGGTTAGGTAAGCCTCAAGGGTTCTGCACCGTACTCGTACTCGTATCCGTACAGTATTTCACATTTCGATGTTGTCGTTAGACTCATCTCGATGTTCGAGATTCTGCCTTGGGGGCCATAGTTACCTGCTTGCTATACCTCTTACAACGAATCGGTCGTTTCAAAACTACGTCGCCAAGGACATGACTAACCAGATCATCCATTCTCTTTCGATTGTGATATGCCCTCCGTAGTTTCTTACGGATGACCTCTACGGTAACAGATCTTTGCTTTCTGCGTAAACAGAATGTCTATCCATCAAGTCTTGTCCCTTTATCTCCTCACCTTTCATGTCCAAGCAGCTGTGTTCAGTACTCACATCCAGGATAACCGGGACGCTCTTATTCGGCTTCACTCCCGTCAAACAGTACCTTGGTCTACGCATCATGTCCAATTTCAGAGGACTCGCCCATCCACAAAACAGATGCAACGTCCACTCAATACCGAGGATGGTCATTCAGCCTTCCACGATCACAATGCAGAGATTTGGGTACGCTTGTTGCTTCATAATGCTCTTTGGGTCTTGACGTGGCTGGAGCAGTACTAAAACAAATAGGACAATTTCTGGTTGGCGCCATACGTTGTGCCTGCAGCTTTAGGAAGCCCTCCACAACCTTGTCGGCTGCTAATCGATCTTGCCTGGGACACTTTGTTCGTGCCTTCGGCTGATTGTACAGGCGCCTGTGATGATCCTTACGTGTCGAGGCTCCGTTTCAATTCGACTCGTTCCTCCACCTATTCGGCTCAAGGGTCGGCCGCCAGCTTCATCTATGGAACAGATAGATTCACAGGCGAGGTGGCGACTGAGAGCCTTCGAATCGCTGGGCTAGAAGTCGACAATCAATATTTCGTTAACGTCGAGCGTGCAGACACCCTGGGATTCTTAGACTTATATTTTGGTTATGAGGGCGTGTTGGGGCTAGCACCCCTTTGGAATCAATCAGATACATCAGATCTTCCCTTGACTGCCCTCTCACCTTGGCATATGATGGTCAACAGATCCATACTGGACGCAAATCTTTTTGCCCTTGAGCTGCCAGGCGGTCTACTCGACATGGAGCACCCCAACAGGTCTGGAGAGCTCAGTTTCGGTGGTATCAACCAGAAGTATGCCTCAAGCAAATTTTTGAGTCTTCCTCTGTCCAACTATTCAGATCAAGTCTGGGCTGTCGAAGCACAATCAATAACCTGGGAGAATAAGACACATCCTCTCCGTGAAGATTTCACGAATCTTACTCTCGCAGGATTTGACACGACTGCATGGTACCTTGCGCTTCCTGGAAATTGGTCCAAGAGTATCTACGACTCAGTGAAGCACGAGTGTGATCCCATCACTTGCTATGTGGACTGCGATCTGCGGCAAGATATGCCTAACATGACATTCGGACTTGGTGGCCAACGAATCACGTTGACCCCTCTCGAATATACGAGCGAGCTGCTGGGAAAAGACAAAGAGAGACTATGTACTTTTGATGTTGTTGATACCGAACGTTTCGGCTTCCCTGTGGATGCCATCGTGTTGGGCAGAGCATTCATGGAAACCTTTTACATGTAAGCCGACTGAAGGCAGCAGAAACAATGAACTGATAGTGCCTAGGGTTTTCGACTTGGACGATATGGAAGTAAGATGTGAGTAGTGGTGAGTCTGGCCAGAGTTTCGTTCACTACTAACATGTCTAGTGACGACGAAAATTGAAGAACAGCGTGATAACACTATCCATGTCGTCTGAGAAAAGTAAATGGACAGGACATGTATTTGGTTCCGTCTCAATGAATATGCCAACACAACAGACCATAATTCCTATGGAGCAAATATGATGGCTTGGACAACCCTCGGGATTTTGGCTCCTGTGTTATATGTAGTCCCATTCGAAGCCGATGGACCAATCGGATGGGAAACGTATTCCTTTCTTGGAGTCGTGCCATCAAGTCACAACTATGAATAAGCCGCAATGTGTCCTTGCAACTCAGTTTGTTCCGAAGCCTCGCATATGTCGGCTTTTGAAATATATCAGGGGTTCGGACAGATCCGGGCGGCTTCTTCAGCAGACGCTCCAAGATTTTCAGCACGATACATGTGAAAGCCGGGAAAACATTTCATGGGGCATCATTGGTACGACGAGTACGAATTGTTGGATTTTGCGGAGAAGACCAACATTGGACTGAATCTTTCCGCCGGAGAATCCATCGGTATCACTTCGCTTCTTTTACCTGCATTTGCCACGGACAAATCAGCGACAGGCAACCCGGTCGCCGGTCGCCGGTCCCTGGCCCGACATTGGATGCATTGAATCTGCAGAGCCTTGTCGACTGTTGCATTGAATTTCTCGGCGAGGCTGGGCGTACGACATTGTCTGTTACTAGTGGCCTGAAGCTGGCGTCTACGTTCAGCTACGAGAAAGAGATCTCCGCGACATACGCCCTCCCACACCGGGGTCCTATTAACGAGCACCCCAGGCTGGTCGGCTTCACAAGCAATTCAGCTGGGTGGGTCGTCTTCTTGTGGAAGACAAGCATACCGACTACTCCCAATTGGACCTCAACGTCGCATCTTTCGAGCTCTAGGCTTGCTTGTACTCCTCCGTGGATAGTAGATTGACACCTGTATGTCATCTGCACAGATTGGAGCCCACTACACCCTCCTCCTCATGCAATTCTGTGTACGAATGATCCCTGCGTCACGAAAACTAAACGGCTCGGCAGACCAAGCCTCCAGAAGCCTCGCCAACAAAAAGACAAGTCGACAGCCGTAGAGCTGTGCCGATCCTGGGGCATGGGGCATAGGCGGCTATTGAAAACTCGACATGGCTTTTCTCGTAGCAACATTCTCCCGACAAGAAGCTAGAGCGAAGGGTATATCAACCTTCGTTCTTGCTGTTCCACTGTCCACCTCAACCCCGGGTTTCCCATACTCTTCAATATACTCCTCTTGATACCACTAATATGGGTGCTGGAAAGAAGCCGGTCAACATTTTCAAGTTGAATCGGGGTGATGATCCGAAGGAGGTGCTCAATTGGAGACTATGGTTTGCTGTATTCTCCTTCGGCATCATGGGCGCTGCTAGAGGTATCGACGAAGGTCTCATTTCTGGGTATTGCCCCCCTGCTTTAATGCCGCATGAGTAACGCTGACATATACAGAACCTTCAATACCAAGCAGTTCCAAAACTCCCTCCACTTGAATGATCTCGACGATAAGACTTATGCCGACATCAAGGGGAATGTCTCTGCCATGGTACAAATTGGTTCTGTTGCTGGTGCCCTTCTGGCCTTTCTTGTCGCTGATCGAATCGGTCGACTCTGGGCCACACGTCAACTCTGCATAGTCTGGATCCTCGGCATTGTCATTTTCTTGACAAACAACGGTCGCCTGGGTCAAGTCTACGCCGGCAGATTTATTGCAGGTATCGGCGTGAGTATATCTATCCCGCCCGTCAAGAGACCTTTATGATCACGGTCTTCTCATACCAAGCTTGAATTGCTACGTCTTCGATCTTCAAAGCTTCTCGTGTCCGGGCTGATAGATCATGTTGCTGATTGCTCTCAAACACATACAGATCGGAGAAACCACCGTCATTGCCCCCGTTTATATCGCGGAAATTTCACCCAAGGCTGTGCGAGGTCTCTGCACGTGCGTCTTCGCTGGCTCCGTGTACCTAGGCATTATGCTTGCATATTTCACTACCTGGGGTAGCTCTCTCCACATCAACCAGAACACATCCACGGCGTGGGTTGTTCCCACGACACTTCACATCATGTTTGCCGGCATCATCCTGATCCTTTCGTTCTTCAACTACGAATCACCTCGCTACCTCGTCAAGCGTGGCAACGTTGAACACGCCATCAGGAACCTCGCTCGCGTGCGCAATCTGCCCGCCGAGCATGAGGTGATTGTCCACGAGATCCGCGACATTCAGCACCAACTCGACGAAGAGAAGGAAGCCACCATGGGCCAAGGATTTTTGGGCATGCTTCGCGAAATTTTCTGTATGCCCAACAACGCTTTCCGTCTCTACCTTGGTCTCGGCGTTCAGCTCCTTTCACAATGGTCCGGTGCGGGTAGTATCACGATCTACGCCGCGGATTTCTTTGCCCTTCTCGGGACCAAAGGCCAGAACGAGAAACTCTTCGCTACCGCCATTTTCGGTGTGGTCAAATTTGTCGCGGCCATCATGTGTGCTCTGTTCTTGGTCGATGTGATTGGCCGGAAGCGAGCTTTGATAATCGGTATCAGCCTCCAGGCCATTTCGATGGCATATGTTGCTTCGTTCCTCACGGCTGTTCCGGATCTTGAGGATGAGGGTTTCACATTCACCCCGTCCCAAAAGCATGCTAGCATTGGCGCTATCGTCATGATCTATCTTTCTGGCTTTGGATGTAAGTCCTTCAACTTTCCCTTGACCTCTTATACGACTCAGCATAAAGGATACTTTCGTCAATTTTACTGCCTCTATCTTTCTAATTAATTCTAACTTTTTTTTCTCAATGAAAAGGGGCGATGGGATGGAATTCCATGCAATATCTGGTAAGTTTCTTGTGCTGAAACCCTTGAAATTGGATCTGAATGCTTATCAACAATGTGTTTGGACAGATCAACGCCGAAATTTACCCACTTCGTATTCGAGCCTTTTGCAGTTCTCTGGTCATGTGCTTCCATTTTGTCAATCAATACGGTAACAGCAAGGCGGTCCCATCGATGCTCCTGGACACCAGCGACGGTGGTATGACTGCGAAAGGCACGTTTTGGTTCTTCTTCGCCATTACCGCCTTGGGAGGCGTATGGGTGTGGTTCACTATCCCCGAGACGGCCGGCTTGTCACTCGAGGCTATGGATGGCTTGTTCAGTCTGCCTTGGTACAAGATTGGTACACATGGAAGGAAGCAGGCCGATATGCAGACACAGTTGGACCGGGAGCGGGAGATTACGGAAAAGCACGAAGAAACCCAAGTTGAGAACCTCGGAGAATCAGAGAAGAGGGTCTAGAAGATGCAAACGGTGTATGAGAAATTTCAGTCTCAGACTGTTTTGTGCGTCCATGGTAGAGGAGGACAATCGGGGTGATACTGTGTTTGTGTTGCTGTGAAGGCACCCCACCATGGTCGCAAGGTACATTAGGCACTGTGGAAAGCCGAGGATTCTCTCAAACTATCTACAGTCCCAGAATGTATGTTCTGTGAGAATTCAAATACACCAGTTCTATGCAACAGTGACTTGGACTTCTAATATACGGAATAAGGAAAGAATAGATTGTTGATTCCTAGCATTAGTCATCCTCTGGTTTGATCCACGGATACGAATACGAATACCAATCACTTGATGACCTCGTTGATAAAATTGAGAACGACTACGACCACGACTACGACTTACCTTTGTGTTTTGTCTAGCAATCCCGAACAAGCCTTGGTACATGCCCAGGTAAGACAGGCAGTTAATCTCGTGTACCATTGTATCAGAGGGGGGGGGAGAAACAAGGCTGGTCAATGCATTTTTGTGGTTGTGATTGTGTGTTGTCGATGCCAGGACAAAGTGATGCGTCATCACTTTTTGTATCTAGGCCAAGTTTGGTATCTTACCGTACATACGGAAGTACAGTACCTAGGTAGATAGGTAGATAGGTAGCCACAGCAAATGGATCAACTCTCTAACCCTGGGGGCGGTGAATGAGTGGACATGACTTTGTTTCTTTTTTTTTTTGACGATGAATGTACATGTGGGATAGTCGAGATAGTCATAATAGCTACAGAGTAGACTTGACGTCCTCCTACTGGAATGTCGTAGTAGTAGTACTAGTATCGCATCAGAAGAGTGGATTTCCAGCCTGTATTTTATAATTGCGCCATCGTTGACTCTGCGAAACTTGCTCTGTTCGGATGAACGTTGTATCCGATGTGCACCTTGGTTGAATTGTAGATGGACAATGTAGATGGAATGGGCTTACGCTGTATGTACCTGGTAAGCAAGAAGGACCATGCATGAAATTTGAACATCTGAATCGAGGTGCCTGCATATACCTGTGATCATTCTTCTCTCTAGCCTCGTCATTCAGTTGTACAGAGAACTTCCTACTCATTCCTTCTGATCAAAGCAATAATTACCATGTGAAAGATTCCATCATGAATGTATGTGCCCCTCTATGAGTACCACCTGTGTTCTTGCTTCACAGTCTCATGTTTCACCCTCCCTCCCTTTTCGTGCTCTCAATTGCTGTTCTGAACAGGCGGTCTACTCTTACTACTCTCAGGTACTTGGCTGATCTGTCAAGTCCTGTACCATTATTCTCTTTGCTTATCTTTTCCCATCCCTCCATCATCCGGAGGCTAAAATCCAGTGCGTGTCCAATGTAATTGTCGCATCCACTTCTCTAGCTCTTGTGCCATTCGACTGCGGGAACCCATTATGCCGTCCGTATTGGTGGCTACAATTCTCTGGCGTTCCCGAGCTTCTAGCCCGCACCCGATATACGGAACCCCCTGTCAAGGATCCCAAGTCTCTCTTCTTTTTTTTCCCCTGGTCGGCGATTGCGATATCTATTGATACTACTTCCGTATCGTGGCTGACAACATCAATTTCGGTTTTTAATACCTTTCTTCCCTTCCCGCCATCCGCCTCTCATTGTCTCTACTACGAGTACAAACACTTACTACTCTTTTGAAAAGTCGTCGATACCTTTTTTCTTCCCTCGTCTTTGCGCACAAATCTATGGCGTCATGTCATTAACATCTGGCACTTTTACCCCGGAGTGGCGAATCGTGTATCGCCTTTACGATCGCTGACTCGAGTCGACTCCAGCCATTCAACAGCACTACTTACTACCTACCTGAGGCACGAAGATCATCCTCGTCATCACCAAAGAGGTGACGACTCGTTATCAGTCTATTCAGACTGTGTCGAGCAGTCTCCTTGGGCAGAAGCGCATCCTACCATTTTGTTCTTTTGATTTACTGGAGACGGCACTAAGGATATATATTGTATCCAACCGGAATCAATATCCTTGAAGGAAAATCGCCCAACACAGCGCGATACTACGAAATACTATTTCCTACCAGGCATTCAAAAAGAACCTCGAAAATGGCATACTCTCATCGATCGTCCCTCCCAACACCACTGACCCCATCCATGCCTTTGTCCGGGTCGATAGCCGAACAACATATTGAATCTCTACCCATCACACCTCCCGACATCTCCGAGGCGTTCTATAACAACGAAGAAGACAGTTTTATTGCTGACAGCAAAACCGTCAAGAAGGCTCTACATGTCCTGGCCACCGAGAGACTCGCCTTGTCCCACCTCGAAGACCTCTACAGCAGTTCCGCCCAACTCCAGACCTTTCTGTTACAGGCCATCCGTCAAATCATCCAGTCCGAGACTCGTCACGGCAAGACCATCTTCACAGGGGTGGGCAAGTCGGGCCACATCGCTAAGAAACTGGTCGCCACGTTCGTCTCCTTGGGCATCCACGCCGTCTTCTTGCACCCCATAGAGGCACTCCACGGTGACCTGGGGGTCGTCCGGCCCAGCGACACAATCATCATGGTCACCTTCTCGGGAAAGACCCCCGAACTCCTATCACTCCTCCCTCACATCGACCCTTCGATACCCCTGATCGTCATGTCCGGCCACTTGACCGAACAAACCTGCCCGATCCTCTGCCACCCGGCGCGCGTGAACTCGAAAAACATCCTGGTGCCGACTGTGATCCACGAATCCGAAACCGCATCTTTCGGCGTGTCGGCACCCACGACATCCACGACCATCACGTTGGCCATCGGCGACAGCCTCGCTCTGGCCGTGGCCGACGACCTACACTCTGCGGCCGGGCTGCAGACTCCCGCCATTTTCGCCGCCAACCACCCCGGAGGTGCCATAGGTCAAGCACAACTCGACTTCTCGGGCCAGCAGCCTACCACTACCACTACCGCCGGCGGCGGCGGCGTCAGCAGCAACGACCACGGGGTCGCGCGGACAACCGCAGTACGACCCGAGCCGCTCATGTCCGACATCGCCACGATGGTCTCACACATCCCCATCGCCACGCCCCGGGGTGGTGGTGGTGGTCCGGCCGACGATGACAACAAACTTTTGTGTTTTGACGTGCTCCTGGCCGCCGTCCGGTCACCTCGGGGGTTCGTGAGGACCTCGCCTCACCACATGATCGGGCCCCGCCGGATACAGAACCTGCCCGCCGGGGGATCCGGGGTCGCCGTCGCCGACCTGGCCGACCGCCTCGGTCCCGTCGTGATCGAGAAGACGGACTGGATTTCCGTCCTGGGTTCGACCACGATGGACGAGTGTCGACGGTGGATCCACCAGATGCGAGACGAGGGCACCGGCAGGGGCCGGGAGTTCCTGCGGAGGGGCACCCTGTTGGGCGTCGTGGACCAGAACAACGAAGTGACGGGCATCGTGGAGATTGAAGAAATGATGGGAGATCATTTTTGATTTCTATCTTGAACCTGAGGACCCAAGCCTAAAACCACTGGAATTGTGCACACACCATTCCATCTTATATTTTCGCGGGCGGACGTTTCTTTTTTTTTGGTGTGTGTCTCTTTTTTTCTCTCCAACCATCATGACGACTTTTTTCCGATACGACGAGACATTTGGATATGGATAGATTTTAGGTAGATCTAATACTCACGAGAAGGAGTATCAAAACATAGACAGGTTCTCAATTCGGAGACAGAAGAAGAGAGAAAACCAAAGTTGTTGGGGTATCTTATTGGACTCGGACTTCAAGGCTTGATGAATCAGATAGTAACGACCATTACACAAATCACGAATACCAGTCGTCAACATCATCGTCGTCGTCATCATCATCATCATCATCTTCTTCTCCACCTTCACCTTCGCGATCTTCCTGAACCTGTACCTGCGTAGGTTTGTCAACCACCTGGCCATCCTCTCCTCCATTCACACCGTCCGTCTCCTCTGGTGGGACGGTGGTCGAGGGAACTTCTTGTCCCGTATCGGCACCAGTCTGTTGTGACTGCGCCGCTTGTCTCAATGCGTCCCTCTTCTCTCTCAACTTGCGCACACGCTCTTCCATCTCCTCCATGACCTCAAACTCTTCCTCCAACCTTCGCTCCTCGTCTTCTTTCTCGTCGTCCGCCGCTGATTCCAACCTCCGTTGTTTGTCTTCGTCGGATTGTCGCCTGAGCTGTTCCGCCGTCACGGGCGCCGCCGTGATCGTGGCCGAGGAATAGTCCGGTACTCTTGCCGGAGCTGCCGACTCTGCCGCTGCGAGAGGTGCCACTTCCCTTTCAAAGGCCGCCCATTCATCCTCGTCTACGTCCGCCGTGGAATCGTTGCCGGTTGTGGTGGTGGCGGCGGCGGGTGGTTCTGTCTTTGTTGGTGGAGGTACAGGAACTGATGTTGATACTTCAGGTTGTCGTAATTGTTGCAACTCTTCAGGCTTCGTCGTCACCTCTTTGGTCGTAGATTTCTTCTGGACAGTTCCGTTTGTGGAGGTCACAGTCGCAGTCGCAGTCGAACTGGTAGGTTCTGAAACTAGACTTTCCGGCCTTGATTTGGCCTTTTTCCTGGTCTCGACCTCGGCATCGTCTCGTTCATCTTGTGGCTCGTCGTCCACATCTTCGATTTTTCGTTTCGTTCCTTTTGTACCACTACTCTTCTCTTGCCCTTGGGACGACGCCGTCTGTGCCTGCGCTTGAGCGTGGGCGTGTGCGTTTTTTCGGTGGTTCGCAGACTTGAGGTGTCCTTCCCACAATGCCTCGGACTTGACATTCATGTTACATATCGAACATATCAACATGCCGGACTTTGTGTACGTGAGATGTGGGTGTGTGATGCGGCGAGATTGCCGCTCGGCAGCGAGAAGGGCGCGAACATCAGCCATTCTGTGGGTGTAAATGTCCCACTGGTGTGTGTGTGTGTCTGAGAGAGAGAGATCGATGGTCGGAAGGAGGGGGGGGAGAGAAGAGAAAGGAAAAAGGGAGACCACAAAGAACCTCTACTTAGGTTGATCAATACACGTGCATGTGGAAGTGGTCCATTGATCTGAAACGGTTTTAATATCTGAAGCGAGATCTTGCAGGCCTGTCGATTGCTACTGTTGTGCTTGTTTTCAAGGAATGACGACGATCACGTGTGCCAGTTTTTCCCAGGCGGAGCCCAGCCTTGCGATTCCCTCCTCGCGCAGCCTTGTAATCTGGAAGACCTGACATCAACACTCGTCATAGAGCGGCGCCATAAAGATTCCCCAAATATTCCAAAATCGACGCCATTTTTACCCCATTTAGACCTGGCTCTTCCACTTGGCAGATGAGGAGGCGTTGGACTCATTTCCCGCATCTCAAGCGGCCCTTTCGCCTTTCCTCGTCGTGATTTCCAAAACAAGGCTTTCTGGCCACTTCTACCAGTCCACTCTCTCACTACAGACACAACCAAGGAAAAGACCTCGACTTTTACTTGCATCGTTAGTCGATTAGTCTTCTCAAACTCAAGAAACCCGCGACTGGCGCCGGTTGGCGCATCCATACATCACTTGGTCTCGTGAACAATCTCCCCCGCGACTTGTTGTAGATCGCGACTAGAAAAAAGACCCGTGATTTGTGACGAGATCTCCACTCGCTGCGCGTCCTGTAGACACAACTTGCACGATATCATATTACGAGAGTGTCCTTTCAATCATGGCCGGTGAGTCAATTGGTCATCCCATCGGGGCTGCGCTTGTTGCGCAGTCTCGCCCTCGAGAAAACCCCCTCACTGACGATGGCAACCAGATGAACCCAGGCGATCAGGTCGCGCCACCAAAGGGCAATACACCAAAGACCGCGATATCCAAGAAGATGCCCCGAAGAAAAAGGGCAAGACAAAGGGATCCAAAGCCAAAGCTGTCGAAGAGGAGGAACCTGCAGAGAAGATCCGATGTATTTGCGGAACATACGAAGAGGAAGAAGATGTCCCTCGAGCTATGATCTGTTGTGACAAATGCGAAGTGTGGCAACACAACAGCTGTATGGGACTTGCAGAAGACTACGAGGCCGATACGTACTTCTGCGAGCAATGCAAGCCTAGCGATCACAAGGACCTTCTCGCTGCCATGGCACGGGGAGAAAAGCCTTGGGAAGAAGTTCTGAGGAAATTTGAAGAGAAAAGCAGGAAGAAAGGCAAAAAGGGCCGTAAATCTGGCGCCGGCCGGACCAGTGAGGTCGCGTCGGTGGCTAGTCAAGAAGTGAAGGACCAGACACCTCAGCCGTCTTCGACTGGACAGAAGCGCAAGCTCGAAGACTCTCCCATTGTGCCCGAAGTCAAAGTAAGTCACGTTCAGAGCTACCGTAAGCCAGTTCTAACCCACCAACAGAACAAGAAAGCCAGAGGTACGCCTGTCGCGGACACTAACGGTGCCAAATCTGCGACACCAGCGCCCAAGCCAAGCGAGACTCCCTCAAGACGAGTTTCCAAGACCGAGTATCCCGTCCCCAACGACGTCAAGGAGCTTGACAACGTCAGAAAGCAAGCTGCAACAACCTTGATCAAGTTGGTAGAGCAACAGATCAAAGAAGCCACAAAGCAAGGCGAATACACCCTGCCGAGCGGGTCAAGCGCACAAAACGTCGCGAACAGTATGGGTCTTAGACTCGAAGCTGCCCTGTATCACATCCACGTAGGTGGTAGTGGTGAGCCTAATGAAGCATACAAGGCTCAGCTGCGCTCGATCCCGTTCAATGTCAAGAAGAATCACGCCCTTGCAGTACAATTGCTCAATGGCGAGATCAGCCCCGAAGAACTTGCTGGCATGGATCCAAAAGACATGGCCAGCGAGGAACAAAAGAAGAAAGATGCAGCTACCATGAAGGAGCTGGAGAAACAACATACCATCGTTGAGGAACAAGGCCCTCGGATTAGACGTACACATAAGGGCGAGGAGTATGTCGATGAATCAAGACAGGTGGCTGCCGAATCTGAATCGTCCAATGCCCCTGCTCGCCGACCCAGTGCTATGGAGCCAGCAGATGGCGAAGCCCAGAGTCCAGATGTCAAGAGTCCTTCGGCAATTGCGGAAAACGCAGGTGCTAGCAAGGATCGACCTAAACCAACAGTTGATACTAAGCAGCGTCAACCATCAGCCAACTTCGACATCGACAAAGTATGGTCTAATGTACAAGGCTCTCCTGAAACCGATGGTCAGCGATTTGGCGAGCTGCCTCAGCAGTCACCTGGTGCGACTGTGCGAGAGCCTGTAGGCCCAGGCGCAAAAGCTGATGCTGACATCGATGCGCTTCTCAAAGATGAGGAGGCCGAATCGCCGCCTTATTCTCCACAAGAGGCTTCTGGTGGTGTCGACGGCGCGGTGTGGCGAGGCAACATTAACGGTGGTAATCTCGGCCGTTTCCGCGCCATTGCAAAGCATGCAGCAGGTGCAACGCCTGATAGTGATACCTTACGGATGACATACGATGATATCCTACCTGCGGACATCACAATCGGTGGTCGCATCCAACCTAACAAGGCCGACGAATACCTTTGCGGCCTTGAATACAGCAACACATCAGATCTTGTCATCGTTTATATGCCCGAGCCTCAGAATTCACACGATCAATCAGAGTTTGACAAATTGTTCCGTTACTTCAAAACGAAAGAACGATTCGGTGTGTGTGTCCAGCACAAGACGCCAGCTATCAAGGATATCTACCTCATCCCACTCAATAAGGGTCAAGAACTACCCACATTCGTGAAGAAACTCGAGACCGATTTCCCTGACCCGACACAGGAACGTATGTTGCTTATCCCGATCGTTATTAAGAATAGCGAGTTGCCCCATATGAAGGGAGTGAACCACGATGGGTCCGTTGACAGTCCCTTGACAAGAGGTCCTGCAGTCGCGCAGACCCCCATTACGCCACACGAGGGCAGTTTCGAGCCACAGCCGGCTGCTGCTGCTACGTACAGTCAATCACCTGCTCCAGCTGGCCAGTATGGTGCGAACGGGGCGTCGACCCAATCATTCGTGCCACAAGCAGCACCGTACCCAGGATATGGACAGCAACAGCAACCGCCGCCACAACTACCACAGTCACCCGCCATGGCTACCGCACAGAAGATCCTCGGTCCAATGGCGGTGAGTCCAGCTGTCGTTCAGCTATGTGCTCAAGCTCCCAATGCGGGAGAGATGGAATTTAAGATTATCAAGGAATGCATCGAACGGAATCCCGAAGCGGCAAATCGGCTAGACGTCCTTACGACAATGTTGCAGGAAACTAGTGTGGCAGCTGGTGGCTCAGGCGGGTCGATTTAAAGGGCACTACGCACGTTTTAGCTTGTATTCAAAATCGATGAGAGTGTATGCGTGTGAGAACTGCCACTTGGTCGAACCCTCTAAATGACTACCTAGGTGGTCTGTTCCTGGATCATTAAATGTCATGCAACTTGGGAAGACGCATCTACGAATAAAGTAGAAGAGTGATGGAAAGGAGTTGGATACGTGCGAGAGAGAGAGAGAGAGACTTGTATCGGGATTTTGTGTGTGTGTGCGTCGATATATACCCCCTCCCGCTTCGGTCTTGCGATGGAGAGAGCTCTGTCATGTGGTGCTTTTTTTGTTGTTGCTATTACGGCTTGGGGAGGGCGCAACGGGGAGGTTGAAACAAAGGAGGGAAATGATCTCATGCGGTTTTGAACGGCATTGTGTATATTGGTAGGAGGGTTAGTAGTGTGTGTATGTCTATGAGTTTCAATTCTTCCGTGCTGTTGTGAAATAGAGTGACGGGTGGTCTTTGATTTTTTACCCACTTCGTAGGTACGGAGTACCTAGGTACTTATTGGTAGGCCAAACCAATCCTCATTTTTTTTGTCAAAAGAAAAAAGGAAGAAAGAAAGAAAAAGGGGGTGGAGGGAGTGGCATGCCATACCTTACTCTCACCGTACAATCACACCCAAGCACGCAAGGTTCACACGAGGGGACAAGGGACGAAATGGTGGAAACGTCGGACGTTACAATGGAAATGACTTTTTCCAGTAGAAAGAGTAGTGGTACGGAGTGTATCCTGGGCGTTGCGTCGGTTTTCACGTTTGTTGGGTGTTGACTTCTCGAGTGAAGAAAAGAAGAAGAAGAAGAAGAAGAAGAAGAAGAAAGAACAGTAATTTGAAGCCAAGGGGGAGTTTACAACATGTCACGTTGTACTGAATATGGTTTCTTTGCTCCGTACTAGGTAGGTAAAATTATAAAGCTGGATTTGATTTCTGTTACCGTACATACTTGCTCGACGCATACTCTGCTGTGCTACTGAAAAGAGGCAAGGCGTCAGTCGTCACGTCGTCTCACGTCTCGAGAAAAGTCTTGACGAGCTCGTCCCTCCGTGACTGTTCGATCGTGTAGAACCTGACGTCGCGCAATATACTGTCTGGCAATTCGTCGATGCTGGTAGAAGACCCACGTTGGTGTCGTTCGAGACTGGCCTTGTCGACCGCGCTCTTGAGCAGACCAACAAGGTCCCTTTTTCGGTCGCCGTCGCTGGTCTTGAGCTTGGCCACGAGTTCGCGGTACATCTTTTCGCGATCCTTGTCTTGTAACCCGGCGTCGCGCATCTCGGGTTCCCTTTTGAACTTCCGCTTGAACTCGGGCCAGTACAGTTTCGGGGTCGCGTGGCCGTTCAGGAAGCGCAGGTAATCGACGCGGGCGTCCCGCGGCTTCTTCGTGGACGCCTCGGTCCTTTTGCGCTCCTGGATCTCGGCGATGCGGTCTTTCGACCACGATCCGAAAGCGTCGCGGCGGGAGGCGGTGTTGGGCAACGCCACCCACCGGTCGTCTTCGACTATGTTCATGTCGTCGATCAGTTTCTCAAACGTCGAGTACGGCGAAATGCCACTGTCGTCGAGGAGGGAGCGGAAGAGGGCGGTCTTGTCGACGTCCGTAAGGGGCAGACCTTCGTCTTCTTCGTCATCTCCCTCGGCTTCATCCTCGTACCCGGCGGCGGCGGCGACGTCAGGGTTGGAGTATGCATCGTCGTCGGCAGGGAAGTCATCTTCCATGGCGGCAAGTTGCCATGCTATGTCATCCTCGTTGAATTCTACAGGCCCTGAGGGCGGTGGTGTCGCGGACAGCCGTGGACGCTTTGCGTGGTTCCCGTCCTGGTCCTCGGCCTCGTCGTCGGTCACTTCGACTTCTTCGTACGAGTCGCTGTCGTAATCTTCCGGTGGTGCTGTCGGCGCCCGTCCTGACTTGGATTGTGTCTGGTCCGGACTCGTCGAACGCGGTTTGGACGACGATTCTTGCGTCTGTGTATCCCGAGGCTCAGCAGGCTGCTCTTCAGTTCTCTTTTTGGCTTCCCATTCATTCTTGTCCATTTCAATCACCGCCATCATTACGTCCTGCGGAAACTTCCACAGACTTTGCTTTGTTTCTGTATTGTGGACGAACCGTCTACCCAGTTTCGTTTTCACGACGACCCATGGAAAGCAGTCGGGTATCGGTGCTTTCGATTTTGGCCTGTCTCCCTGGTTCCCTCGTCGGCGGGAATGATCCTGGTAACTCTTCCCACCGGTGAAGTGACCTGGGCCTTGTGGGTTGTTCCTTTGAAATTCTTCCATGACCTGCATGGACGCGCGCATGACATGATCGGGCTCAGAGGCACCATAGTCGATCTGTAAGGGTTCATCAGATGGTGCCGTAGGGCGTGTATAGGTCGATTGTTTCGTCTCTGCATTAAAGTAGTAGGTATGTCCCGTCGGGGCTTTGTGTTCGGTCCAGCCTGGTGGAAGAGGGGATTCTGCTGGCGCAGGAGCGGCAGCACGGTATGTAGTTTTGAGCATGTTGACCGTTCACAGTAGGTAGTCAAGGCTCTGACAGATTATGTTCTACTCGTACTGTAGACTGCGAGGGCCATAGAACAAAAAAAGGTTGGAGCAAGTGGTGGTGATGAGCCTAAACCAGAAGAATAATATCCGTACCTGCAGCCTCGTCAAAAGAAGTGGCCAGCCTTGCGAAGTCCATGGACAAATCCCATTGGCTCAGAGCATATGGACGCGTGAGGCTTCCGTGCCTGCTACTCCCTCGTCCTCCGCATCATAAGTTCATACAGTTGCCAGCCCATTTTCGATCTTTCGCTTAGATTCACCAGAGCGCAACTCGGTACCTTTCTCTCTGCCTTTAGCATATCAAGCTATATCACAATGGCTCGCAGATACGATTCACGGGTAAGATTTGATACAGAACTTCGGAGCAGCTTTGAGCAATTCTAACCAACCATTCGTCTACATAGACAACAATCTTCTCCCCCGAAGGACGATTATACCAAGTCGAGTATGCACTCGAAGCCATTTCGCACGCAGGCACGGCGCTAGGGATATTAGCAAAGGATGGAATTGTCCTCGCAGCTGAACGCAAAGTGACGAGCAAATTGCTTGAGCAGGACACATCTGCGGAGAAACTGTACATCTTGAATGAGTACGTCTCATCATGGCGATGAAGCTCATAAAGGGGAGGACAACTTTTTTGCTGACTCAAAGGCCTTTAATTTAGCAACATGATCTGTGCCGTAGCAGGCATGACTGCCGATGCAAATATCCTGATCAACTACGCTCGACAGGCTGCGCAACGCCATCTCCTGACCTACAATGAAGACATCCCCTGCGAACAGCTCGTACGACGGCTGTGTGACCTCAAACAAGGCTATACACAGCATGGTGGTCTGCGGCCGTTCGGCGTCTCTTTCATCTACGCCGGATGGGACCCTCAACGTCAATTCCAGTTGTACCAGAGCAACCCATCGGGAAACTACGGTGGATGGAAGGCCACGAGTGTAGGAGCCAACAACGCCAGCGCACAGTCGCTATTGAAGCAAGACTACAAGGAAGAATGTGATTTGAAAGAAGCGTGTGGGATGGCGGTCAAGGTACTCAGCAAGACCATGGATTCGACAAAGTTGAGCAGTGAGAAGAGTGAGTTTTGCACGATGACAACGATATCGTTTTGATAGATGAAGAGGAAAAGCTGACTGTTTGGCCCAGTTGAATTTGCAACCGTTGGAAAGACGGCGGACGGCAAGATCTACCACCATCTGTGGTCTGGCGACGAAATCATGACTCTCTTGAAAGAGCACGGCCTTGCTAAGGAGGAGGAACCCGAGACCGGCTAGAGTCAAGTCTTGGTTCCGAGGAGGAAACCCTAAGCATGACTCTTGTTGTTGACTGAGAGGGTTCAACAAGCAGTTTTCATGTGCGAGCTGTACAATTTTAGACAGGGAGAGAGAAAAACAACAATGGCATAGCACCGGCGTTCACGGCTGCGAGGCGAGGGAAGGGCAACCACAAATGAGTCGCCGCAATGAATTATTGGTATTGGTGTGCTCACGACTGTTCTTCGATCTTGATCTCGAGAGAGAAATTCTTTTCCTTCCTCTACGAATTACACTGCCTATTTTTTTCCCCCTCAAATTCTGTCTCTTTCGTCTTATTTTCCCGGCTTCAACGCTGGTGATGATATACGCTCTGTCGAACTAATTCTTGGTTTAGAGAATAGTGACATTGTCACCCTGTCGATTTTCTCGTTCATATCTAGCTGGGCCTCTCGTCTTCATCTTCATATCCTTCATTTCTTGTACTGATTCCTCTACTCGTCCCGTTTCGTTTAGCCAGCCAATCTACATGAGCCAAGAGAAGAAACGACGATAAACACGACGGACCACCGTTCTGGTCTTTCCGACTTCACTGTCTTCGGCTTCCCTCTGCAGCATCAAATACCTTTCCTCTTCTTGCAAGATCCTCTGTCGATCGCTCTGCAGGTCAACCTGGTGAGGTTTCAAGATCTTTGTGTTGTGGTACCACTTCCAAGCCAGGTACATGATGATGTACACGGGGAAGCCGATGTAGCCGGTGATGAAGGTCTTGTAGTCAAAGTCGCCGTAGCTTTCCGAGGGGATGAAGACGGTGAAATTCTTGATGAGACAAAAGAGGAGGGTGAAGCCCAAAGCGACGCAAGACCCGCCGATTCCAAATGGTGCGGTGTACGCCAGTGTCTCGTCCCGGACCCCTTGTGCCCGGCGAGCCTGAATGAAGCGGATGTGCGTGATCAGGATCGAGACCCACGAGAGCATTCCGAAAATGCTGACGACGTTGACAAAGTAGAGAAAAACCTGTTGGCTGTTTCCCGAGACGTTGAGGAAGGCGAGGCAAGAAACGAGAGTCCCGATGACGAGGTTCCAAACAGGCACCCCTCGCTGGTTGGTGTAGCCACAGAACTTCGGAGCCTGCCCGGTCTTTGCGAGGCCATACAGCGTGCGCGAGGAGATGTAGAGATCCGTGTTTGCCGTGGACAGGACGAACAGGAGGACCGCCCCGTTGATGATGGCGGGCAACACCTCGATGCCGCTGATGGTGATGGCCACGACAAAGGGGGAGGCGCTGGCCCCGGTCGAGGCCTTGTTGGCGAACGCCAACTCCTTGGAATTGTACGGGACCACCATCCCCAATAGAAGGATGGACAAACAATAGAAAACGACGATTCTCCAAAACGTGAGCTTGATGGCCCGCGGGATGGTGTGACTGGGTCGTTCTGCCTCTCCCGCCGTCACACCCACCAGTTCAGTCCCGAGATAGGCAAAGGCTGCGTTGACAAAGATGGAGGCAAATGCGACAAATTTCCCTTTGCCTCCGCCGATTCCTGGATAGTTGGCAAATGCCCCGGGGTCTTTCCAGTATCTGAATCCGGTTCGGTCGTGGTTGGGACCACCGCCCAATGCGAGAATGAGGCTGATGAGGATGATACCGACAAAGGTAATGACCTTGACGCTGCTGAGCCAGAATTCGATCTCACCAAAATACGAAATGCCGATGTAATTGATGGCCAGGATCAGTATCATGAAAATGGCAATCCACACCCCCGGGTTCACCTTGTCGCCGGGAACCCACTCTTGAAGGACAATGGCAGCTGCGGTAAGCTGGTTGGGGGCAGCAAGGAGGTACTTGAACAAGTAATTCCAGCCTGATCATGTGTATATGTCAGTGTCAGTGTCGATCAGCAGGATATTCTTGAAACAGGACCGACTGACCTAGGCTGAAGCCGAGAGCTGGATCAACGAACCGAGCTGCGTAACCTGAAAAGCCAACACCGGTAGGGAGGTAAGTTGCGATCTCTCCGACCGCCGTCATTGTCACATAGACATTGAGTCCAATGGTGCAGTAGGCCAGGAAGAGAGACGCAGGTCCGGCTTTCGCAAGTGCAGCACCCCTGATATAAACACGGGTCAGCAAAAGTTGCAGTGTGACACTTGCGGAGGTGCGACGAGGCTTACGTTCCAATGATGAGGCCTGTACCGATTGACCCTCCGAGGGCAATCATGGAAATATGTCTGGCCTTCAATCCTCGATGCAGGTTACCGGCGGCCGGCTGTTGGGGAGGTTTCATGGCCTCAACATCCCCCTCGAGGACGGAATTTATTGGATTGAGGGTGATAGCATCAGTGTCTTTGGTGTAGTCTCCTGCCGAGGTGGACAATTCTTTCGCCATGGTATACTTACTCTACGAGGCACACTGGAGAGTGCGGTGGTCTGTAGTGTCAGGGTATTCGAGACTCTGACGACAGGACCTCAGGGGTGAAGCGAGCAATATAAGTAGTACGTATGGATCCATCCCGATTGCACCTGGTTGTTCGAGATAACGACGTGCTCTGGCACGGCACAAGACCTTTGAGGATTATCAGTTCATCCGTTGAGCATGATCCTGCCGGACTTTGGTCGTCTAGATTGAAGAAGTGGAGTAGCTCGCCGTGTTGTTCCTTTCTGGGAACTGTACTGGCCTGATACGAGCGATGAGGATGGGCTGTAGTTGCCTCAGCCATCTGACCGGGACGACTGGTATGTCAGGCTACAGGGCTATATCTGAAAAAAGAGGTCGGTTATCGAGGGTGAGTGCTATTGGCAGAGATTGTTCGATCTGCTTCGGGATACATTGCAGATTTCGGAACTTGAAAAACTTCTCCACTTTTCCTCGAATGGAGAAGTTCATGCTTAGTACGTGAATGAGATGCGTACATGACCTTGGGGGATCTGTGTGTCATGGAATGCAATATATCCCGAAAGGGCGTGGTGGGCATGGCAGTCTGTAAGCATAAAGGTCTTTCTAGTCCAAGTAGATGTATATAATATCAATGGCCTTGTAGGTTTTTGGATTTTGCCGTAGGTCAAAGTATTCGAAGAAACAGCCAAAATGATCATCGACTCGGAAATGGGACTTGGTGACAGAGGCGCGATCAGAAGCAATGCTGAACTTTCACTCGCGGCACAAGAGCATTGTTTCACGTTCGGTGCCGAATTCCTTCCAGATGTCATTACTCGTGCTGAAGGCATGTACTTGTGGACGGCATCAGGTCGAAAGGTCATGGATTGGACTTCTGGGCAAATGTCCTGTCTGCTCGGCCATGGCCATCCTGAGATCGTCAAGACTGTCACCGAGAGCGCCAGAAGTTTAGATCACCTTTACAGCGGAATGATCTCGCCTCCGGTCATCGACTTAGCTGCAGCTCTTACCAGTCAGCTCCCGCGGGGCCTGGACAAAGCAATGTTCCTCAGTACCGGAGGAGAAAGTAACGAGTGTGCCATTCGACTGGCCAAGCTGTACACTGGCAAGTTTGAAATGGTGGGATTAGCAGCCAGTTGGCATGGTTCTACCTCGGGAGCACAGGGTGTGCAATACAACGCAGGCAGGAGGAATTGCGGACCGCTGGTGAGTCGAAACCTGATGAAAGCGTCACAAGAGTTGACGATGATTCCAGATGCCCGGAATGCACATGCTACCTTCACCAGACGCCTATCGATCAATCTTCCGCCACGCTGATGGATCCCACGACTGGAAAACGGAGCTCGACTACGGCTGGTCAATGATCGACAAAGCCTCCTGTGGTGCTCTCGCTGCTGTCATCGTGGAGCCGGTGCAATCGAGTGGTGGTATGATTACCCTGCCTCCCGGTTACATGAGGGCAATGAAAGGACACTGTGAGAGACGCAATATGCTTCTCATCGTCGACGAGGCGCAGACGGCTATGGCCCGCAGTGGTGATCTGTTTGCCATCAACCATGTGGACAATGGTGGAGTGGTGCCGGATATCTTGACCATGAGTAAGACCTTGGGGAATGGATTGCCGCTCTCTGCTGTTGTGACGAGTAATCCCATAGCCCAACATGCGAGGGAGAACGGCTTCATGTTTTACACCACACATGCCAATGACCCATTGCCGGCAGCAGTGGGCTTGAAGACGTTACAGCTTGTTCTCAAAGACGATGGTGCGCTGTTGAACCATGCTCGGAAAATGGGTGCTAAGCTTCACGCTGGCTTGAACGACATTATGTCTCGGTACGCGTGTATTGGGTACATCCGCGGACGCTGCTTGATGTTGGGTATCGAGATTGTGAAGGACAGAAGAAAAGGTACGCAGGCAGATATCGAAGTTGGCAAGCGGATCTCTTCCAAGGCCATGGAATTGGGCCTCTCGGCGATGATTTCAGCAAAGAGTTACTTCTCTGGTTGCATACGAATTGCCCCTCCGATCATCATCTCGGATGAGGAGATGGAATGGGGACTTAGAACATTTGAGAAGGCTTTGGAGTTGACTGAGGGATCAGGAAGAATAGTTACAGATTAAGCTTACTAAGTAGTCAATCAGGTCAATTATGACTGCCACCTGAGGGTTCAACACCAGTCTGTCGCGGAGAAAGGGAGATTTACGGTAGTAGAGGTGAGAGAGATCACAAGACTTTCAGAGTAGCCTCGTCGTCAAACTAGCTCTCGGTTATCGCATTGATAATTCTTATCATGCTCTGTTGTGAATCGTATGTACATCTTCGGAAGACAGGCGAGAGGTGCACGGATCATCACCCACCAACATAGGAATTGGTACCTGTTACCCGTATCTTATCCCGCCTTCGGGATACATTGCTGAGTTCGATTGCCCAAAGAACGAGGTCTCCACCGGGCTAACTACATATGTATCTTTAGCCACCGACCTAGTATCCGGCCCAGACTTCTGGAATTTTATATCTCTTCAAGCTTCTTCATGGTTCGCTTCCTGGTCATGCCATGCTCTAAATCATCCTCCAGCCTCGGGCGAAGACGATAAAAGTGGAAACCATGTTTGAGGTTTGAAAGGTGTCCGCACCTGATATGACTACGGACGGTCGGCTGGCGGCAAATAAATGTTGCAATACTGCAAGACATGCCGAAGACATTTACAGGCTGCAGGACATGCCGAAACAGAAAGATCAAGTGTCCTTCCGAACGCCCAGAGTGCTCTCGATGTAACAAAGCTGGGCTAGAATGTCCTGGATACGGACCCATCATAATCTGGCTTCCGCCCAACCAAGAGATTTCCAAGGCGCAAGGCATGGGAGGAATGCCACCTCCTGAGCTGACCTGGGCTGATCAAGACGTTTATGATGGTCATTGCCTGGATCAGTTCATCTCGGAATTGTCCAATATCGCCGTCACACAGTTCGAGCGCTCGCAGTCACAGAGTGCCGTTCAAGGACCATTTGCAGTTCTTTCGTTTCCACGCACAAATTTACAACCTGCAAGGCTCTTTCCTTCGAGCCCTACGCTCAGTCTGGACCTGCAGCCGAGCTGGCTCCAGGATCAGGAAAGCCAAGCACTCTTCCAGCATTATGTCTCGGTCATAGCCTCTCGGATGATGCCTTATCACGACACTCGAAATCCATGGAAGACGACATATCCCTCAATGGCGCTGAACGAAGATTCCTTGACTTACCTCGCTGTGAGGCATGCGATTCTCAGCCAAGCAGCGGCACATCTCCAGCATATAGGTCACCGCACCAAGGATATGAGCGTTCTAGCAAAGGGCCACTATGCCCTCAGCCTACGGTCTTTGTCTACGTACCTGAGCCAGAATTCAGAGTATGAGTACGGCGCGGTTCTCGCCAGTATGCTGTCTCTTATCATGGCAGAGGTAAGTGTGTCTCAACGCGTCTCGGGGGGATTCACCACTAAGAAAGGGCGTGTACAGATTTACGGAGGCAATTCGTTTGGGTGGAGGTATCATTTGCAAAATGCCTGGCATCTGGCCACTAAATACCTTCCACAGAAGCCCTGGCTGTTTTCAGAGACGGCCTGGTTGACGACCCAGAGCCTCTGTATGTTGAAGTTAAGAATGGATCTCGAACTGTGGTTGAGGAGCCCAATCAACGTAAACGACCGTGACGGAAATCATTCGGAAGATTCGGTCGAACAGCCGAAAGACCTCCTTGTCTTGCAAGATTTGCTGGCCTCAGTATCTAGTCGACCTGACGTTGGCTTTACGATTGGCGTATCTCCACGAACGGTCCAAGGACTGAGCAAAGCAGTGAGGCTGATCCGTCAAGCCAACAGCTATGGACTCACATCATCATGTCGGTCCGAGGTTGACGCACTTACAGACACGTTGATTGACCTGGAAACAATGTACGCACAAGATCCAGCCGACCTTCGAGCCTTGCACGAGAGAGTCTTCATCTTGGGCATCGTAATCTTCCTACGACGCGAGACGATCGATCCTTCTCCGAGGGCGCTTCTTCGATACACTTCTACCCTATTTGACTGTATGCAAGCCATAGACGGGCTTTTCTGCCTTGAGCAGCCCAAGGACCGAATACGCCGAGACAGCTCCCATGTGTCGGTGTGGCCTGTATTTTTTGCTGCCGTGGAATGCTTCCGGCCGCAGGAGATGAGGCTTGCGCAAATTTGGTTGGACAAGTTGGGCAAATGCGGGATTGGGAATCGGGAGGATGTGTCCAAAGTGGTCCATGGAGTATGGAGGGAGCGTAGACGTCGGTGCCACGCTCCAAAGGCTGCACCGATTGCTTTTCATGGCGAAAATGACGAACACGAAGCTTCTATGGATGAGAGTGACGGGATGGGGGACATCATTGTCCCTTGGCGAGAAGTCATGTCGCCTATGGGTATGGATATTCTGCTCGTGTAGATGTGGTTACCCTAAGAAGATGACCTTGGAAGTATTTGCTGATGAGTCTGCGTCCTTTTCCAAAGAGTAAATCATGCACTCGCAAGGGTATGCAACTCATGTCCCAAAAGTCACTTGGTGCTCTCCATCATGCCTCTCAATTTTTCATTTCTCATCGCAACAGGGTCTTAGAGAGTCCATTTCCCTCATCCGAGATGTAGCTTAGCTGCTAGTAGGTAGTCAGTACGCGTACACTCCCTCGCTCCTCTAGTACTTGGGGGGGGATTTGTCTGGGGTGTGCCGTCGTTTCCCACCCCCCGCTTGCCATTCAGGCTGGCCAACCATTCCCCACAAAGCGTCGGCGCCTCCACCACCACATTTCAACATCTTTTCGGCAGACGATATCGGTTGCTAAGTACTTGGTACACACGCAGAACAAGCTCCTTGAAAGCCCCTTCTACTGCGAGTAGCGAGTACAACAAGCCTCGGTGTGTCTCTGGGACTGACTTCGCGCCGTCACCTCGGCTAGGCTACCTGGTGCTTGAGCTTGAGCTTGAGCTTGATTTTGGTAGCGACGATCCTAGTTTTCAGAGGAGATTTTTTTGGCGCCCCAAACCTACCTAGAAAACTATCATTTCTCGACCTAAATCTTTCGGCAGTTCTAACCTCATCGTGATGCGACACTTTGTCCTCGTCACCGCGGGCCTTTCTTGAAAGCCAGGTAGGTGGGGTGGCAAACGGTTTAAAACCGACTTGCGGTGAAAAAGACATCTTTTTCCTGTCTCAAGGTAAATAAGTAGTATAGCTGATTGTGGTAGCTCTGGTCTACTGCTTCCACTCGAGCAAAGCACAAAGTATCCCATAAGGAAGTATCCGTCAAAGAGGGAAATAATAACACAGACGAAATGCGTATTCGACAATTTGCAGCAACGTTGGCCAGTTGTTTGTGGTTCTCGTCGTCACTCTCACAAGCAGCGACAACGACGACGACAACAACCTTCGAGCAGCAGTGTTCCCAACTTTCGTCTCAGCTTCTTGGACTGGAAAATGCGACGGTTTGGTTCACGGAATACGTGGCGGGCGGGACCAACTTGACTTTCCCCCAGAACAACGTCACCTGTGCCCGGCCCAGTCAAGTGGTCGACGTCGACCTGTGTCGAGTCGCTTTGTATGTGGCGACCTCGAACCGTTCGGGTATCAGCATGGAGGCGTGGCTGCCCATGAATTGGACGGGCCGGTTCCTGAGCACGGGCAACGGGGGCATCAGCGGTTGCATCCAGTACGAGGACATGGCCTACACCGTCGGTCTGGGTTTCGCCACGGTCGGTGCGAACAACGGCCACAATGGCACGGGAGGTCACGCGTTCCTCGACAACCCGGACGTCGTGACCGACTTTGGCTGGAGGTCCATCCACACCAACGTCGTCGTCGGCAAGCAAATCACCAACACCTTCTACAACCGCACCTACACCAAGTCTTACTACCTGGGATGCTCGACGGGGGGCCGCCAAGGGTTCAAGTCCGCCCAGGCGTTCCCCGATGACTTTGACGGGGTCGTGGCAGGGTCACCGGCCATCAGGTTCAACGCGTTGACTTCTTGGTCCGGGAATTTCTACCCCATCATCCGCGACGCCGGCGCTCAGGGTTTCCCCGCGAACACGACCTGGGAGGCCATCGACGCCGCGATCCTGGCTCAATGCGACACCGCCGCCCTGGGTGACGCACCGGACGGCTTTCTCGAGGACCCGGAACTGTGTCATTTCCGACCGGAGGCCTTGGTTTGCCCGACGCTGAGCTCCAACGTCACCTCCTGCATAAGCGGTGCCCAAGCCAACGCCATCCGGGCCATTTTCTCCCCCCTGTACGGCGTCAACGGCTCCTTCGTCTACCCGGAGATGCAGATCGGTCCGACCATCCTCGAAACCGTCTTCGCCATCTACTCCCCCGCCCAGTTCGCCTACACGGTCGACTGGTTCAAGTACGCCGTCTACAACGACCCGAGCTACGACACCGACAATTTGACCCCCGAGGATTGGGCGTACGCCATATCCCTCAACGCCGGAGACACCAACACCTTCGACGGGGACCTGTCGGCCTTCCGGGGCAAAGGTGGGAAACTCCTCACCTACCACGGCCAGGCCGACCCCATCATCTCCTCGGCCAACTCCCCCACCTACTACGACCACGTGTCCCGCACGATGAACCTCCCCTCGGCGTCCCTCGACGACTTTTACCGCTTCTTCCGCATCTCGGGAATGGGCCACTGCGGAGGGGGCCCCGGGGCCACGTTCATCGGCAACCTCGGCGCCGCCGTGGCCAGTTTGGATCCGGACCAGAACGTCCTGACGGCCATGGTGCGTTGGGTCGAGCAGGGCACCGCACCCGACACCATCCTAGGCACCAAGTTTGTCAACGACACGGTCAGTCTCGGGGTGGACTTCCGTCGGGCCCACTGTAGATACCCCTTTAGGAACGTCTACGTGGGTGGGAATGCCACTGATGCCTGGAAGGATCCGGCCAATTGGGAATGTCAGTGAGCCAATAGATAGTACTCGTCGGGTTCACCTAAAGTACCTAGTAACACCCAGTAAATAATAACAAGTATCATTGTAATTCGTCCGTACTTGAGACCGGAGACGTACACAAGGCAAACGATGTCACAGTGTCCACAAGGCACAAAGGTATTAATCATCATCACTGCCTTTCCCCCCAATTGGGGGCCAACACAGGGAGTCACGAATATCGGAAATGCTCGGGATTGTTGATGATGATGATGATGATATCTCGCCGGTTAGCCAGAATAGTAAAAAAGATGTTCGGGAGGGCGTGACCTGGGGGGGCCGAGAAAGATGCCCCCGGTGTGTGTGTGTGTTGGTGAGTGATGCCTGGAAGTACGTTTGCTGGAGGGGTCCAGTGAGACATGTAGGGCAAAGGCAGGATCCCAAGTTTTGATGGTGTGTGTGTGTGAACTACCATGTACAGGACATTACAATAGGTGGGTAATGTTGTGATGATGATGATGGTGGTGGTGGTGACTGTGACCGTGATGTATCACCCCTTTCCAGTCAGAAGGGATTCACATAGCTCTAGTAAACAATAACAAATATGTTAGGCCACCATAGGAACACATTTAGCTACCTACCAGGTAAAGTAAGCATGTGTGCGTGCGTGTGTGTGTATGTCCTCAAATGTCTCATAAATTCCCTTCAGTACAGGCATGTCCATCAACGACAACGGGTGATTTACTCATAAACAAGAAGCGAGGATTCTACGAGAGGAAGTAGGACAAAACGTGCGGATGAAGTTGTAGATTTTGATTAGTGTCTACACCAGATGTACACGACAAGGGTTCTCGTAGGTCCTTGGTATATACTAGGTATGCAACCTGCCTAAATTGAACAATGACTCTTGTGCACTGTTGGTTTTTTATGCAGGGATGAAAAATCATTCCCATCCCAGTTTCCCTGATCAGCAGCGCCCCCCCCCTCCTCATCACACCAAAAGAAAAGGAGGGGCAGCTTCGTGAGGTGTGTGTGTGTGTGTGTGTGTGTGTGTGTGTGTGTGTGTGTGGGAAAAGGCTGCAGCTGACACTTCATACCAAAAAAGAAAAAGCGCGCAATTACGGAGTACCATAAACTCGTACTGTACGTGTGTGTGTGTGTGTGGGTGGGAAGAAAAGACCAAAGTTCCTATTTAACTGCACTTGACCATGTAAGGAGTAAAGTGCTTTTGGCCCCCCCGTTCGGCCGTCATTCTGCCAAATTCCCAAGGACTGGCGCCACAATTCCTGCCAAAAATTCCATCCTGGATACCTGGGCCAAGGAACGACATAAGACGAGGTTAACAGTACAGTAAATACACCAAAGAGTAGGTGAGCTGTTGACTGTGCTGTGTGCTGCCTTGACACACCCTCCTGAGTGCTCAGCCTGACCCTGGCCCTGACCGAATAATTCCCTTCCAAAAACCTCCTCAAATTTGCCTCAATTGCTTGCACTGTCGCGTTGTCATCAAAACATTCGAATCTCCATATCTGCAGAAAGCGCCTGCCTTGAGGCACCCACGACAAACTAGTTTTGGAGCATTTTGTTTTTTTTTCTTTGGTAGATGATGAGAACCAAAAAACCAGAGCAGAGCATGGCAAAACCCAATGACAAATGTCGATGGACAATCCCAACACGTATTCCCACAATCAATCAAGTAGACAAAATCCACACGAGTGCCACCTCGCAATATTTTTTTTTGTCTTGCATGGAGTTGTGTTGTCTGTACCATGGACATGCGAGCCTGAAGCTCGGCTGGATTGTTGCAAGTCGAGCTCCCCTTTCGTAGTTTCAGTTCACTGCTGGACCATCCAGATGATGACGATGTGTCGTTCATCAGAGCTCAATTGGGCTGATACATGTCGACCATAATTCCTTTCTGGTACACGTCTTTGTTGATGTCATTGTTGATACAAGATGTTGTTGATCATTACTCCGTAATTTCCATTAAAAATCCCGATAGATGGAAAACCCCGTTCGGCTCCCGTTCCTTTCACCGCTTGTACCGTCTCGAAGGCTCGGCGATGATGACGATGGGTTGTTCGTCGTATCCTCGTCGACGTCTCTTCTCTTCTTCGTCACGTTCGTACAGGCTACCCTTACTTCCGTGGTAGCTGACTGGTCTCTCTCTGCGGACATAGTGATATCGTTCTTCGCCTCGGTCATCACGGTACACTCGTTCGCGACGATCCCGACGGCTGGAGTTGGGGATGACCTCGACCACGTCATAGTCTCGTGTCCGTCGGTCCCGGACGGGCTCTTCGTAGAAGTGCTCCTTGGCTTTGGGGGCGGCCTTGGGGATTTCGACCCTTTCGTGTTTCTCGGTGGTCTTGGAAGAGTTGACAATGACGGGCTTCTTGGCCTTGGTCAAGGTCATGCCACGGCCCCAAGCCTTGACAAGTTCCTTGATCACTGCGCACTCAGCCGGGACTTCGACTTCAACAGTGTCGCCGTTAGATCGGTCGATCTTGGAGAATGGTTTGCCTCCCTTGGAGTACAGGTAGCTTGCGACGTCTCTGGCATAGCTCCGGCCTCGGTCACAGAGATCAAGGTCTCTTTGGTAGCTGGCATATGGGTCGGCACAGAGGTTGCACTTGGAAGCATGCTTGGTAAAGCGGTACATGACAAAATACTCATCGTCGCGTGGTGGGCGCGAGGAGTTGACCTCCGTGGCGAAGCCGACCACGCGTTGAGCGGTTGCACCCTTGGCCATGGCGTTCACTGGTGTCGACGGTGACCTGGATATGGGGGTGGATGTGCTGGAATAGCTCAAGGTTGGTGTGGAAGGGGGAGGGGTCTGTGGCCTTGTTGGGGTACGGGTGATGGTAATGTATTGGTACTGGGGAGTCAAGTCATCCAACGTATGCGACCTCTTGGGATAGTAATAGTAGGTGGTGGTTCGTTGAGGCGACAGCGTGACGAGTTGATGAGTTCTTGGGGAAGGATGGACTGGCAGCCTTGTTGACTGCAATAGCACTGGGCAACGAGAGTAGTAAGGACACAACAAATCTTCAGTTAGGTTGGATCAAGTGTAGTATCAGTGGTTGGTATGAGTATAGAAGAGAAGAATCAAATGGGATGAAGAGAGGAGGATGCCATGCAGTTTATAGCCTCGAGGTATGAACAAGGCCAATGGTAGGACACATCAGTGCATTGAGAATATGATGACTGGAGGGACCTTTTGCCAGGCACTTTTGAGTGGAAGCCTGGACACCACTTTACTCGAATAGGAAAAGAATGGACCAATTCGCCAGGCTGCCGTGAGGGTCTCTTTCTACTGGTATCAGGTGCTCAACGGTCCTTCAGCGGCCGGCGTGAGTCATGATTGGACTCAACATCAAGGATCCAGGGCACTGCCTTGGTGCCACCCTGGTGTATACGAACCATGACGGAGGAGGGTGGCCGAGGGGTCGACACAATACTCGTGCCGACCGGGGGGCCGTGAGATAAATTCGGTGCTGGAATGTGATGATGGTGTTTCGAAACAGCGGGCGGGAAGATAGAGGGGGAGGGAGAAGCTCTGCCCCTGGTAGCGTGGTAGACGAATGGCCCTACAGTACAGTACTCCGTACTGTCCCTCCCCCCTCAAAGTGGTGGCAGTGTCTTCAGCTTTCCTATCTAGATATAGCTTAGCGGGCCAAGCCGTCGTTGCCTGCGCCCCAATCACTTTCTGGGCGCTAAACTTCAGTGAGACAAGCGCCAAATGGCAGGGCAGGCGGGTGAAGAAACACACGTCTGTTCGATTCACCGGTTACAAAGAACACCAATCTAAAACATGCACGATGATGCACGCAATTGTCCACACAGTTGAACGCCTGTTTGTCTGCTATCCCTACATTCTCACTCGTGATTCCGTAATTTCATATTGAGTTCGACGCAGCCACCACTGAAAGAACACAAGATATGGAATCCTCAACAGTCGCACAGAGTTGGAGTGACCGCGTCTTCTACGGAGTACAGTTTTCATATACAAATCACCTTACAGATACTGATACGGAGTACGGAGGATGGAGTATGGAGTATGGTAGGTACCAGGATACTCGGCACCCATGGACACCATGTCTTGTCTGGACTGAACCGGAACTAGGCCGGGTCGGACCATAGTTTGTAGGTACTGTACACACAAACATCCCTGCAATTGCACCGCCTCCACCAGTGTGGCCTCTACAGTACACAGTACTCGGTCGACTCCTCTCTGAGTCGAACTCTGGTTCTTCTGCGGAGACTAGTTGCTTCTATCGATATCGTCTATCGTCTCTGATAGGTGAGAAAAGGTCGACAAAAGTCCCTTGTCGCAATCTACACCACACCATCCTAGCCCACCTGAATCGCCTTAATCGCCCGAGCCTCCGACCTTACCTCGTATCCTTCCGGCATCCTGTGACTGCTGCATGGATGAAATGTGTCATGCGTCAGTACACGCCCGCTCATGCAAGGGAATACTGTGTCCGACTTACAGTCGGGTTCCACCTCCCGACCCATCGAGGGTTCCGGACACCTGTTCCTCTCTTGGCTGACCACCTAGCGCCTGCATATCCGAGCCGACTTCGCCGTGTAACTTCACCAGGCTGGATGACGAAGCAAAGGTCGTCAGCTCGTGAACCTCGAACCTCCTGGCGGGTTGGCCCAGCTCGTCCCTCATCGAGATAATTAATGACGGTTGATGACCACGCGCACATCGCATTCCTCCGTTCCCCCGCGAGAATCCTCGCCCGGCGGTGAAAATGTCGCACCGCAGCCTCGTCCAGACAAACACCTGTGAGCCTCAACGTTGCCCGTTTCCAGTGTGAGAATAGAGCGCATTACAATTACTGCTACACAAAAGGTATACACAAACATACAAACCCCCTTCCCCCCAATCTCGTACATCTATTCATTCACCGTCACAACGACTTTGCCCCGTGCCCGATGTGTCTTGAGTCGCTCGAACGCCTTGGGAACGTCCTCCATGCGCAACACTGAATCTTGGACAGCCCGGACTTTACCTTGACTCATCCACTCTCCAATACCCTCCAGGTCCTTCCTGCTGCCTTGGACCGAGAGGAACTGAATCTTCCGTCTTCCTCCACCCAAGAAAGACGGCCATAGCATTCTCTTTGCAATGTCAAAGACTGCGCCCAATGATATTTCGCTGCCAACTTGAACGTACTTGGCTCTATGATTGGTGAAGTGGTGGCAGTTCCAGTACAATTCCGGTGATGTGCCGACATTGTCCACCACCAAGTCGAATTTGTGTCCAGACTCAGCAGTGCTTTTCTTGAGAGCATCGACGATGTTCTGAGACTGATAGTCAATCACTTCATCTGCACCAAGTCCTTGACAGAACTCGGCATTCCTTCCAGAACATATTGTCGCAACATAACAACCGACGGCTTTCGCGAATTGAATGCCCCTAAAAGCTGCCTATCAGTGCTAATTCGGATTCCTGAAAGAGGGCAAAAAACCCGAAGGTTGTTCTTGTGCAGTCTTTCAATACGAAGAGGGCTTACCAAACGCCTGTTCCCCCACTACCCCCGTTGATCAGGACCCTATCTCCAGCTTTAACATTTGGAATGATGCATTCATAGGCGGTCAACCCGGCGGTACCGACGGAGGCGGCATCCTGGATAGATACGCCTTCTGGGAGCTTCGCTAGTTGCCCAGTCTGTGCGACCGTATAGTCTTCCAGGGTGCCGAACGAGGTTGAAATCGGTAAACGCCCGAAAACGAGGTGTCCTACCGGGAAGTCTGAGGCGGCTCCTGCAGCGGGTTTTATCACTCGCCCTGCAAAATCTAGACCTGGGCAAAATGGCCTCTTGACCGCTATGCGCCCGACCACGGGTAGCTCAACCAGCTTGTAATCGACGGGGTTCAGGGATGCCGCGAGAACTTGGACGAGGACTTTATTCCTGCCCAGGGCTTTGTCGTTGTGAGGCGGCAAGGGTGCCGAGCTATTCAATTTGAGGTTTTTTTCTACGCCTCCATGGGTCGTGGACAACTGCCACGCCCGCATTGTTGAGGGTATCGAGGGTGGTGACTGCGATGTCATTTCGGCCTGATTATGTCGTCACTTGCTTGAACGTGATGAAGAAGAATCTCACTTCTGATTTTGATGTATTCCTGTTTGTGTCGATGTTGGATGATTGTTAAGTTTGCCGACTCTCTAGATCATGTAGCAGAATAGACAGCTCAAATTCACTTCAATCATGCACGACGCGCTGAGGGAATAAAATTAACATTCATCATGTGCCTGGGACGAGAACTCTTCGCCTGGGCATCTGGGCATGGGGGTAAATGAAGTACCTGATAGGGGATTAGAAGTCGCGAGACACGATGGTGACATGACTTCTGGACTGCGCTCGGGGGATGTCGTCACCCATAGCACTCAATCACTGCCCTTATCAACTCCCAACAGATGCTATTTCCAATATTGGTACGGAGCACGGAGCAAATATCTGTTAGGGGCCAGTCAGAAACCAAATGGAAGTCTTCATGCGTGCAGCATTGCTCTTCACTGTACGTAGTACTTGGGGGCATCTAGAAGCGATCGCTTGACTGGAGGACTGCCTAAGTGAAATCTCTCCCCTCACTGCCAGCTTCACTGCCCAGGTGCTCAGAGAACACGCCCCCAGAATAATTGTCCCGGTGAGGCGACGCTGATTGGGGCGTCATTCTCCAGTCAACTCCCGCATCACGAACGCGACTCTCTTTTTCACAGTCTTCCATCTTCCGGAACCACGGCATCACTCTCAACCAGACCATCGTGAGCTCGCAAGGAGATGGCACGAAGTATCAATGGTCGCGATCAGTCTGGCGATGATCCGGCTTCCTCGTTCGCAGGCCCCGCCAACTCGCAGTTCGATGCATCATCCTTTAACTTCCCTATCGACACCCAGCTGGCTGCCATGAATCCAAATTATGGCATGTCGACCTATCCACGAGATCTGGACGATCCTACTGCATCACTGGCTCACTCTGGCGCAGCACAGCTGAATAGCCTTGCGACACCTTCCAACGGCGCAGATGCCTCCATGGCCCCCCCTCAGACACCCAACCAAGCGTCCTTCATGTCTACGCGCAAGAGCGTCGACGGTCTGTCTGATGCAATGCAAATTCCTCTGACTGGGGACAAGAGAAAGCGGTCAAAGACATCACGCGCATGCGATGAATGTAGAAGAAAGAAGGTATGCTCTCTGACCCTCTCACACGCAGCTGCCGAGACTGACTCAACAAGGTTCGATGCGATGCGCCGACTGAAGCTGATGGCACACCCAAAACCTGTACAAACTGTCAGAAAACTGGAGTGACCTGTGAATTCGAACGCAAGCCTATGAAGCGTGGACCGTCCAAAGGGTAGGATTGGTACAAGATCTTGGTGTCTTTCTGCTGACCGTTATTGCAGTTACATCAAAGAATTGGCGGAACGCGTTCAGCAAGTCGAACACGTACAGAAGCAAGCGCTGCGGCAGTCTGTCGACGGGACTTCTAATTTTGCTGGTTACGCTGAAGCTTTTTCACCTGACGAAGCCACTACCAGACGCAACTTTTCTTTTCCAGATCCACGCAGCCCTTTCGCGCCGGCTGATTTTCAGCGCGACCGAATTCCTAGTACTGGTGCCTGGGGCAATGTCGCTCCGAGCTTACGATCTCGAGACACAGGAAGTCTAGCAATCGCACCCGATCAGCCTCTTCCTGAAAGTGTCTCCAGTCAAGAAGCCGTCAAAATGGTGGCGGAAAGCGTCAAGCCCTTTTGGTCCGAGATCGACTCACCTCCTCCGCCAAAACGAGCGCGTCTTGACGATACTTATGCGAAACTCGAAAAGTTCGACATCAGTGAAAAACACTTGAACAACTACTACACGCATGTGCATCCACACTTTGCGCTTCTTCCGCAAGCCAACTCTGTTATAGAGTTGGTTTCCAACTCTGTCCCGGCCATGCAACACGCCTTCGCTCTCTCCATTGAGCTGTTAGATAGCAGCCACAATGAGTCTGCCGTCAATGGCAACCAGCGTGATCAGCCGTCTGCGCCCTCTCATAGACGCGATCTCCCAACCACAGCTTTCGACACCTTTCATGATTTGACAATATTCGTGGTATCTGTGGCGCAGGACGCAGCCTCTAATACCCTCCCTGACAATCTTACTTCTCTTTGGACGCTTCTTCTCCTGGCGGCAGCATGCGACAGTGATGTTAACCAAATCACCGGCCCAAAGGCAACGAAAAACGATCTTCTCGCTTCAAGTCTGCGGGTCATCCATCATCTCAAGCCAAGAGTTACACATATCGTCACTGATGAAATGGACGCAGACCAAATCGATGAGATTGTGAAACAAGCCTTCAGCTGTCAATGTTTGATGTCCAAGTTACATGATCTAAGCTCAGGATCGTACGCCAGACCGCTGACTCCATTAGAACTGCAAGATAAGGAGGCCATGGTAGGACCTGCTGATACAGCCAAGATGCCTGCTGAAGCAGGGTTCCTTGCTCAATCTTCCAACATCATTACCATGGTCACTTGTTTACTTCACCTGGACTCGTACAGCTTTTCAGGATCACAAGCGAAGCGCATTCTTACCTTTGGTCTGTTCGAAAACACACTGAAGAGTTCTCCTACGCTCAGTCTCGACTCTCCTTTTGTGCGCCAAGTCAAACTGCTGCTCGAATTGCTCACAGCACGGTACCCAGATACTGAGTTCAGTCCCATGATCGTCCTCCTGAAGGCTACACAACTCGCCGACTTCCTCACAACCGAGGCTGCGACATACCCACACTTCAGTCCTTTCGATATGCACTGTTGGTCTCTTGCAACCATCACATTCTGTGAACTCGCTATGCATGCCAAATCAGACGTGTATACCAAGCCAGCCCTGGAGAATATGCTTCGCTTGAAATCGGCTCTTCAACAAAAGTCAGAGTTCTTTCATAAACAATATGGCTATGCATTCTTCTGGTCTCCGGAAAAGAGTGTCGCAGATGAATATCGAATGTCTCACTGGGCAGACTGCTTGGTTAACATGATCGACGATGTCACAGCGAGATCATCGACATTGGGAGAAGGCGCGAACGATGATACACTAGTCTTGCCAAATTTCTCTCTGCTGTTGATGCAGGGTTGGTTCCGTGCACTGTATCACTACCGATGGAAGGATTAGTCGACGCTGCGATTATCTGGAATATGCCATGGATCCAGGCATGAGGAGTAATCAGAACTTACATCGCCATCACGAGATGACAGAGGAGAAATGAATTACGAATGGTCAACGACATGAGGACAGAGCTTGTGGTCCTGGAACTGTGGAGATGTCTTCTCTACGAGACGCCAGAAGACGAATATGTTTGGAGGGGGAGAATGATTCGCAAAACGATAACCCTCCCACTCAGCTTTTGACTCTCGCAGCTACGAGCAGCCACCAGCTTGAACGAAGGGAGTTTGTACACTAAGGCTGAGACTTGCTGGCTGGCCACCTTGATGTTAGAGTTTAGCGCAGAACATGAGCTCAATTGTATGTAACACTCTCGACCAAGGTCGATGACAAGAATCATGAAAGGCTGCCAGTTCTTCATCATCAACGAAATGCTCCAACCTAGACATGTAGTGCAGATCAAAAGTACCCTGTATTGTTTCCATGTTCTCCAAATCTGATCTCGAACTGCGGCGAAAATTTCCCCACACAGGAACATCTGCTTCTTGTACTCCGTCAAAACGATTTTATTCCAAGAGTAGCTGGTGATGATCCTTGATGTTCCGTAGCTCACCGGTACTGAGACTGTACCCAACATCTCCCCGTCTGCTTGCGTACATACGGAAACAACGCAAACCTCAGCAGTTGCCGCAAAAGGTCACATCATCAGCCAACCGTCCCGTCCGCAGCGAATTCTTGAATCTATCGACGCTATATTCTCAGCAAACATTATGGGTTCAAAGAATTTTGCTCGGGGAGGCAACAAAGGTGGCGGAGGAGGTCGCCACGGTAAGAAGAGAGATTTGGGCCGAACGGAATGGGCGTAAGTTTCTATGGCAAACCACTCCATTTTTTGCCCGACATTGCAGGACTGACTCGCTAAGAAAAACAAAAGGAGACAAACGACAGCGTAACGAAGACGAACAAGCCTCGAAGCGACAGCGGGTTGACGATGGCAAACCCGAGTTACCGATCTATGCGACCAAGTTCAGCGACGAAGTCCTGGCTGCGGAAGAGAGAAGACCCAAGAAGAAGGTAGCAGTCCTCATCGGCTATGCAGGCACAGGTTACAGGGGAATGCAATTGTGAGACACTTTTTGTTTGGGTTTTGAACATCATGACGAGGTGAACATACTGACCACCACTGGTTAGTACCTATGACCACAAAACCATCGAGGGTGACCTCTTCAAAGCATTCGTCGCTGCGGGGGCCGTTTCGAAAGCCAATGCCGACGATCCCAAAAAGTCCTCGTTTGTGCGATGTGCGCGAACTGACAAGGGTGTCCATGCCGCAGGCAATGTCATTTCTTTGAAGTTGATCGTCGAAGACGAAGACATCGTCCAAAAAATCAATGACAATCTGGTTCCACAGATACGAGTTTGGGGCTTTGAAAGGACAATCAACAGTTTCAGCGCATACCAGATGGTCGACTCGCGGATATACGAGTATCTTATTCCTACGCACAGTTTCCTACCCCCTCATCCCAGTAGTTTTCTGGGGAGAGCACTCGAAGAGTGGGCCCAGAAGAAAGACGATCTAGAAAAGTACAGGGAAAGACAGGAGGAAGTCGCTGGCTATTGGGAAAAGGTCGATAAGGAGATCATTGAGCCAATACTGGCCGAGTACGATGATGATATTAGGAGTATTCTCCAAAAGGCGCTTTGGATGAAGTCTGGCAACCCTGATGCGACAGCAAGCGAGGAGCAGGGACTTATCGACCTTGAAGACGTCTACCACGAAAGCGAGGGCAGTGAAGCTTCCCAAAATGATTTGGGGAAATCTGATGAGAATGGGACATCATCCGAACAAGCAGTCAAAGGTGCCGTTGTCGACAAGTCACAAGGAGAGAACGAACAAAACAACAGGGCAAACGGCACGACTGCTGATGAAGTGACCGAGGAAGCTGAAGCAGTAGATGGAGATGGTCAGGCCAAAGCCACTGGCAAACCATCGCGGAGCGCAACTTTGCAAGAAGCCATGAAACGCCTTCGTCAAGCCTACATAACGGCCAAAAGAGCCTATCGAATCCCCAAAACCCGTCTCGACCGGATCCAAGATGCCCTGAATTACTACCAAGGCACTCGCAACTATCACAATTTCACCGTTCAGAAAACGTACGACGACGCATCAGCGAAGCGAGTCATCAAGTCCTTCGTCGTGAACCCCGAGCCAATTCTCATCAACGGCACCGAATGGCTCAGTATGAAAGTCCACGGTCAGAGTTTCATGATGCACCAGATCCGCAAGATGGTGGCGATGGTTGCGCTGGTCGTGCGATGTGGTTGTGACCCAGATCGGATCAAAGACAGCCTGGGCCAAGATAACATCTCGATCCCCAAGGCGCCCAGTCTGGGCCTTTTGCTGGAAAGGCCCGTCTTCGATTCCTACAACAAACGGGCCACGAGTGAGATGTCCAAGGAAGCGATCGACTTTGACAAGTACAAGACCGAGATGGACGCGTTCAAGCAGAAACAGATTTATGAGCGCATGTACGAGGATGAGGAGAATATGAACGTCTTTGGAAATTTCTTCAACCACGTTGACAATTTCCCCATCGAGACGTTCCTTTTCGTCACGTCTGGTGGAATCGAGGCAACAAAAGTGCCTGTCCGACATGATGAGAAGATCGACAAGGAAGAACAAGCACTCGTCGAGGCCGACGTGGATGGCAATGGAGATAGTGATGTGGATGAAAACGTCAGGGATAATCATGGTGATGAAGGATGATTTACTACGTTGAAGTTGCTGAATAGCGTCGCCTTTCTTGAGCAATGAATTGATGGTATCAGAATATGAGGCCATACTACCCACCACACCTTTTCCAGATTTCAGCACAATCGTTTGCCGTATCGAACTTGACTGACTAGCTGAGCTGAACCACTACAACGATTCGAACCCAACCAGAGTTCCTTTTTCCTCCCCGAGCCCCTCAAGGCACTTCGATGACTGTGGCGGCCAATACGATTTTCTGGTTCAGAAAAGAAGCAAAAGTCAGTTTCAATGATTTCTTTTTTTCTTTTTTCTTTCTTTCAGGGGTTTCCTGGAGTTATCGTTGGAAGGGGTTTGAAAAAGGGGGGGGAACTCACAGCCATTTTTGCCTCCGTCTCGTATCTCTCGACGTGATACTTGTTCGAATCTTCGAGGTATTGATTGAAATCGGGGGTACCAGGGACGTCAGTGTTGTCAGCCAGGATCAGAGTTCCTTTACGGAGAACTCTCAAGTTTTCGCACTCTTTGAGGTCCGGTAGGTATGCTTCTTGCCTGCAAATTACGCAAAAGGAGAGGTTAAAAAGTTGGAATGATGACGATGGGTCTTTTGGTGAGGTACGGTGAGGTCAGGACAGCGTCCAAGTGACTCACCAATGATCAAAGAACATGACGTCCACGGTGTCGATTTGTCCCTCGGTTTTGATTTTGCGAATGGTCTCCGCCGCCGGTCCGTCGAGGACGGTGACGACGTCGTCGAGGCCGGCGAGGGCGATGAGGTCTCTCGCGACCGACGCAATGGTCTCGTCGAGTTCGGTGGTGAAGACCTTGCAAGTCTCCGAGGTGGACTCGTTCAACTTTTTCAACGAGTCTCCCCATCCTATCGCGGACATGCCGACGTAACAGCCCAATTCGACCAACGTCTTCGGTGGAGGGTCGAGTTTCGACAACAGGTCGTTGCACTTGTCGATCTTGGCCCGGCCTAGAGTGATCATGCCCTTTTTGGCGTTGTGTTCGCTGATGGCGTCTATGACGGCTTGAGGGTCGTTGCGGAGTTTGGTTTCGACGTCGGGTCGGGAGAAGATGTAATCTCTCAGACCCACTTCGCGACCGTCGTTGAACTGGAACAGAAACGAAAGGGGGATAGAGTTAGTGTTGTGGTGACGACGGCAAGGAGGAAGATGAGGTTGTCAACGGTAGAGGAACAATACTTACACCAAAGGCATCCGATGTGAATGGTTGACGTGCACCAAAGGTATCAGAGGTGAATGTATTTGGTGGTGGCATTTTTGTTTTCCTTTGGGGAGTAGTGGTGGTATGATATGTTTTGGTATATCGAGCCTGTTGAACTCGTCCCGATGGTGGTGATATACTACTAGCAAAGTGATATGGTGAACGAGGATGGTCTTGGTGGTTTTTTACCTTTACAAACGACCAAGACGACACGATTCTTTTTGACGATGAAGGGTTTGGGAAAAAGGTTCTCATGGTCATGTTAGATCTGGTATGTTTTGTCTATTGTGATACATATATATATATTCTATACCTCTCAAATAGATTCAAGTTAAATGCGCTTTCGGCCGATATCCTCGAAAATAAAGCGAGGGACACCGAGGTCAGGATGAGATAGATATCCATACACACACACAAAGCATCCACTTTTATCACGATGATCATGGAGGATATTTGTCCACATTTCGATTGAGATGTCACACGGTAAAAATAGGCAACAATGATTCAGGAATCAGGTATTCGTATGCCATAATCCTAGTTCAAGAGATACGTAAATATCTTATCAATCTTCGGTCGAATCGGCCTCGGTGAAATTCGGTGTTATCGAGCTGACAGTTTCAACATCACCAGACTATGTCAAACTCATGTCCTTGTTTCCTTTCCCTTTTCAATTCAAAAATACAGTATATACGGTACCAACTAGGTAGTGCTTACCATCAGTAAACAGTCCTTTTTTTTTAATTTTTTTTTTACAAACGAGGCCGGGTCATAATATGAAGCTCCAGTTAAAAGGCATGAGAACATGACGAATCTGACACTCTTACCAATTCTACTCCTGGCCAACCCATCCATCATCCCACCCCTTCAAATCTATCTGGCTCAAAGGGGTCGACCGGAATGGCGAGACTGTCTACTGTTTTGCTTGGGTGCTCAAAAACCTTTGGTACCCACGAGTTTGAATCAAGGGGAATACCCTGCGTGTGCCGCCATGACTACAGGGGTAAGTTGGTTGACATTTTGACTGATTTTTCCTTCTCTCTCTCTCTCTCCCTCTCCCTGTGTATGGTTCAACTATTCTTCACAAAATGGTTCAAACACTTGTCCACGATGTATCATTTCACGTTGACGTTGTCACCGGTGGAATTGGAGAGTCATACCATGGTTTGCGAGAACTGTTTTCCTATCCATCCACCCCATTTAACGGGGTTCAAATCTTGATTTAATTCTTGACCTTGTCAACACACTCACTCATACCTCTTTGTTTTCGGTTCAAGTACGTTTTTCGTGTCGAGAATCAAGCCACGGTAATGTACCTACAAAGAATGTCAAAGACAGGACACCTCGTCACCATGGAGGTTTCGTCTTTCGACCAGAAATCATCATTCCCAAAACCTCGACCATGTACAACGACAATGACGGTACTCTACCTGCCGCATTTGTTATTGGTACATCACTTCCTCACCGCCCCGACATGGGACAAATACTTCTTGTCGACCTTGTCCATCCTGATCTTCTCTCGGATCCTATCGATCTTTGTTCTCGGCACCAAGATTTCACCGTCGTGGCACGGTGAATCGGAACCAGGGGTTCAAGGTGACCTGCTCATTCTACTTTCCGAGGATCGTTGGGTGAGGATGAAAGGTCCGGTCGACCATCTCAAGTCGATCACTTCGGGTGGTTGGTTGTCCAAACCACCGTCACGCCCGTCGACCTTGACGCACGACTTTCTCGACTCGACGTCTCAACTTCTTGTCCACGTCGCCGTCATCGTCTTGGCCAGCGCCCCAGACACGGAAAAGATCCTCGTCGTAACTTTCGCCCTACTTTCCCACGTCGTCCTGTCACTGTACAACGCCGTCACCACACGACCCTTGATCATGAACGGACGTCAGGTCAAATTGTCCTCTGACCAAACCAGTGTCAAAAAGTACTCTCGTAGACTCATCATGGCACGAGAATTGATACGAGAAATGGGTAGGAGTGACTTCGCTTTGAAATTGGGCTTGATCAATGCCGACGAAATAAACAGTTCCACGGGCAAACTGAAAGACGAGATAGTCACCATGTAAAAACAGATAGCGTTTGTGGGTGTTATAGGATTTGGACATTTTGGTTCCATCCAGTCATGTTCATAATTTCATACCAGACACAGCAAAAAAAGTGACCAAAGTTCCACGCCAAACCGACCCAATGCAATGCTATGCGTTCGTTGGTACTTCTCACGGAAAGGGCCGTACAGAGAGATATTTACAATGCTCATGCTCAATCTCAATTCTCAATCTGGAATGATGTTCGGACTCCCATGGCAGCCAATTCGACCTGTTGCACCCACAATCATTAGTTATCAAAATCAACGAAAAAGCGATGAAAAGGGGCGAAGGTAGTCAGGGGTGACTTACATCCAAATACCGCAAAACCCCAGGAACATTCACGACAGTGGTATCATCACCACCGACGTATTTCCTCCCGGCCCCATCTTCCCAGATGGTCATCTTGCTATCATCGAACGTCGCAGGTCGAGCACAAGCTCGACACCTAACGACGCCACTGGGTTCGACGCGACCACCTCTCTTTCCCACCGTGAACTGGTTCGGCACCATCATGGTACTCAAGAAGCTGCCGCAGGTCCGACACACCCACGCACGGCTCTTGTCACTGCAGTCCATCAGGCGATCTTGCAACAGGTACGCGCAACCGTGTGCAATCAGAGAATCTCTCTCCATTTCGCCCACACGGATACCACCACCTTTACTCCTACCCTTGATCGGCTGACCGTGGAGGGCGTTGACCGGACCCGTCGTACGGACCTGGAACTTGTCGCTAACCATGTGTCGCAACCTTTGGTAGTACACGACACCGATGTAAATATCGGCCGCGAATTCCTTGCCGGTGATACCACTGTACATGGGCTCGTTGCCGTAGAAATTGTAACCGGCCTCACGGAGCTGGTCGCCGAAGAAGTTGCCCGCCGTGTTATCCTCATCGAACGAGAATGGGGTACAATCTTGTGCCAGACCGTGAAGAGCACCGGACTTGCCTGCGAGTGACTCGACAAACATACCGATCGTCATCCGAGACGGGAAAGCGTGTGGGTTGATGATGACATCAGGCTGGATGCCCGTCTCACTGTACGGCATGTCCTCGCTAGGCCACAGCATCGAGCACACACCTTTCTGACCGTGACGGGACGAGAACTTGTCTCCAATGATCGGCCTTCGAGGAATCCGGTACTTGATGCTTATCGCTTGACATGGCTGATCGCCGCTTTCAGACCCAATTAGTCGGATCTGGTCGATGTATGCCTCCTCCGCGTCTTTGTATTTGAAGTAACTGGTCTTTCCGTCCAGGTTCTTCAATTTCCCCTGAGATGGATCGAACATGACAGTGTGGTATGCCAGAACGATGTCGCCTTCGGAGACCTTGGTGCCGATGGGGGGAAGACCATCCTCATCAAGTTTATTGATAGCTTCCTTAGAGATGTTCGAGTCGGCCTCGGCAAAGCCAAACAGTGATTTGATCTCTGTCTTGGATCGGGGGTTACGCGACTTTTCGTCTAGGTGGTACACTTTTGTCTTGTAAATAACACCATCACCAAACCCACGTTCATGGGCGGATTTGTTGATAATCATGGCGTCGTCCATGTCGTACCCTGTGTACGAAATGACGGCGACAACCGCGTTCATACCGTTGGGGAAGTTGTCGAGACCATATTCGTTGTACAAGGGTGGTCTGACGACAGGTGTCTGGCCCGTCTGAAGAAGATAGGCTTTGTTGTCGGTTCGACACATCAAATTCGATGAAGGCGTACCCATAGCTTGCTTGCTCATCTGGCATTGATACATGTTTCTGGGCGATTGATTGAAGTCGGAGAAAGGGGTCATGTTGGCGAGGATGGAGAGAATGTTCGTCGGCTTGTATTCGATGTGTGTAGTCAGGTTGGGGATGATGTCAGCATCAACGCATGCAATGTTCATGTATTGCTGTTCAAAAGGTCCAACATAGTCGAGCTTGTCTGCAGGAATGTATCTGACAGGCCGTAACATGCGAGAAGGATCGGTGAACAGGTAAAGTCCAGGATACAAACCCCCGTTTGAGGTAGGAACAAGTCCAATCTCGAGTTCATTCGGGATGTTGTGTTCACCGTTTACTTTCCAGTGTCGCAGGAGTTGAGAAATCTCTCGCGCTCGTTGTGCAGGGCAGTAACCGATAATTCGTCCGTCGAGCTGAATCGAGAGGCTATCCTTGACTTCTATATCGGGGACTGATGAAAGACCGAGTTGGACAACGGCTTTTTCAATACCAGAAGTATCGATTTTCTTGATTTGAACCATACATTGGTGGGCAAGGTGATTCAACAGACCACAGGGCGAACCATCCGGAGTATGCACAGGACATAAGAAACCCCAGCTTTCTGGCAACAGCTTCCGCACCGTCGTTGTTTTCAACTGTGCAAAGAAAGTACCTCGATGTATACATCTGAAATGACTAATGAATCGGTAGAAGTTGATTTTTTCGGCGACGATCGTGAAACCAGATGTTTGTGATAAATCCAAACCCGTTTGACTTACGAGATTTCCCGTGGACAGAAAATATTCCAGCTTTCCTCCTATATTCTCGTTGGTTCTTCGAACGATTTTGGGTAAGAAGTCTGCTTCAAAGCTCGGGTCGGTATATTTGGCATCGTTCTTGTTTCTCAACCACTCGCGAGCAGCTAGTCCGATGGACATCAGCCAATCATGAATACCCTCTTTCAAAATCATGCCGTACAAAAAGCCTCCGAGCAGAATTTCTTGGTTGGATACTGCATCAGGATTGTCTAGTACGCAATCACCAGCAGCCATGGCGTACAACTTTCGGATCATAAACAACATCATTTGAAATTTGTCGTTATTCTGGGCAGGTGTGACATCGACATTGCCGAGATGTGGTAGGACGACTTTTCTTAGAAAATCCTCTCCAACCTTTTCATCCGACATTGTAATAGGATTCCCTAGGACGGGCCGGAATTTCTCGCCCAGGTAGGCCAGCGTCTGTGCTTGCGTCTTGAGGTTATAGGCTTTGTATGTCCGCAGGAGTAATTCGGTTCTGTCGGTGACGAAGGAGTTTGCAGACTTGGTGGCCGATACGCCAATGATGCCCTCCGCGATTTCTCGGTCATTGGTTTCGACCAGGGCCTTGAGGATCATGACTGCCGGGACAAGGTATTCGTTTTTCCTCCATGAAAACCGGAAAGTGACATTGCCATCTGTGAGGTAGTGAAGGACATTGGTTTGAGAAGTCTGATCAGGTCTGGCCGAACGTATCTGGACACCGTATTTGGAGAAGGTAGGGCCCCTATTGGTGAAGGAGTTTCGTTCAATGGCCATCGGATAATTTCTTTTGGATGCTATAAGCATTCGTATGAGCTTCTCGTTGCCGTTCACGATGAAGTAACCCCCCATTTCCTCCGACTCTTCCTTATATCGAACCATTTCTGCCGGAGAGAACTTTTCCAGATGGCATTTATTCGAACGAAGCATGATGGGCATTTGTCCAACATCTCGTATTGACTCTTTCCAGTCGCCATTATTTATTCTGTATTGTAACCGCGCCCTCAGCTTGCCTCGGTACGTGGCATGTCGTTCCCGACACTCTGAAGGGTAGATGTTTCGATCTTGGAGGCTGAACTTGTTGGAGGGTGGGAGGACAGCCTTTTCCAGGATAACCTCGGTGACTCTTAAGTCTAGCTTGTTCCTTGGAATCGATCGATTGGGATTCCGTAAGTCGCCATCAACGACCGTATGTGTGCCAATATCTTTCAGCGCTTCGTCGATCAACTTTTCGCCCCATATCGCATTGAAGGATTCGATGTGCGGTTTTACTGCTGCTTGAAGGGCTGGAAATGCGCTCTGATCTTTCGGTGTGTTACGAAACAGCTTGTGTCTCTTGACAGTGTCGTATTCTACCGACCACTTCGGCCGAGTCTGCGTAACTGTGGTGGTGGACGACATGGCTGTCGCAAGCCCTGTAGGCTTCGTGGAAACGACAGAATTTGCGTAGAGTACAATCAGTTCGAGAGCTACGCTACAACTGGTAGAGCTCGACACCACCTCGAACGAGAGAAGTGACCATCGAACAAGAAGCGCACTCAAATCAGAAAATTTGTAGATGCGACCAGAGCGTCCGCAGCCTCAGAAAATTATTTCGTCCCTTATCGATAAGCAGCACCCATCTTCAAAGGGTTTAGTGTCAGTGGACCTGCAAGGCTGTACTACAAATCCACAAGGCTGCGTTCATTTTCTGATTAATTGGTTTCTAGTTGGATCTCAAGCTGTTCGTCAGGCTCATGTGATTTATCTGACCTGAAGAAGTACAGACATCATGCTCACTGTATACGCGATCTCGCTATGCCCCAATCGTTCTATCACGCATCAGTTGTGGAACGACCGTTTCCTCTGCTTCATCGAGGTCCAAAATGTCATACGATACAACACTGGCGCGCCAACCCGATTTCCGGTAGATGCTTACGGGTAACTGTGGGAAAAGGATAGGCAATGTCCTGACGAGAGCTGTGACGGCGTTCCTCTCCATTCGCAATAGCTGTGTGATTCTTGATGACTCCGACTGTACTCGCTGACCGTGTGCAATCAATTCACCTGGGGCGGCGACCCATGTGTTGTAGGATGCATCGGAAAGTGCCGTATGGCAGTAGAGGTCGACCCGGCTCACACCTGACAACTCATACAACCAGCCAAATTCACGCTTTAGAGCTTCATGGGGAGAATCTCGAGCTAATTGGCAGACTTTTGATGTGTAATGAGGCCCCATCTGAAGGTTGACGCCTGTGATCTTGACACTCCAGAATGAATCCATAACCAGACTAGGTAAAACACAAGTAGGACAGTTATAGTATCCGGAGGGGCTCTTTGGGAACAGAATACATATCGTCAGAGTTATGCCATGAAGGCCTGGAAATGTCGTTTTCATTTGCGAGGTCAAACGTTCCAGTAGCATGGGGATGTAAACTTCGAGGCCGGATCTGCGACTTCTTTTCGCAAGTACGGCAACGTTGAGTCGCCGAATCGACTTGCGGTATGACAGAGACAATGGCAAACTTTGCATACCTTCGCGCAAATGAAGGACGAAAGGGGTACGATGACCGGCCTGTAAAATATGCAGGCATTCTCGATGAATTTGTCGACAAGCAAGGAGAATTGATGGACAAGGTCTGATGGCAGCCTTCTGGTGTTCAATGTCATTCCAGGATTCTCGACGTCCTATGTATGCAGTCCATTTTGAGGGTTGCAAACTGAAGTCCAAGATGAGCTCTCGAATCTCAGGGGGTAGTGCTAAGAAGTGACAATGCTGCTGGCCCTGAGAGACACGAGTGGACTGACGTCTCTGCTTGGAAGTCATCGTTGATATTAAAGAAGCCTATCAAATGGATAGAGTGACATTCATTGCACATTGAGATACAGAAGACGAGGCGAGGCATGGAGTGAGTACAAACAAACACTTTAGTGCTTACAGAATTACAGTATTGAATTGTATCGTGTTGTATTTTATTTTCATTCACCCAGGACCTTGACCTCCTTGTCATCAACTTCACTATTATCAACACAAAGCCGTCTACAATGTATATTTGTTCGTGCCTTGTCGGAAACGTCGAAACAGCTAGCTAGGTAACCTAGCAAAGCGACTCTCTCCTACGAACTACGAGTACCACGTAATCTTCTACTTCAACGAGCAACCACCAATGAAGCTTTACGGACTGCTACTGTGGCTTTCCTCTAGCCTCGACGATCCTTGACTGGAGCTTCCATAACTGGCCTGGCGTCCTTTGTTTGTCGGTTGGATGTCTTATCGCTTGTTGTAACACGTGCGTCTTTATTGGTCTCCTGCTGGTCTGTCGAGGAAGTGCAAGGTTGTGGTGGGATGTCGCTTTTGATCCAGTTCCCGAGTTGCCCATTTCCTTTTGGTGCTGCAATGGCTCATACAAGTATAAAGCCTCGCCTGAGTCCCGCCGCGTTCCTGGACCTTGGCGAAGCTTGACAATAGCTTCTTTCTGTCGACCGAGGTATCTACTCGTACGGTGAAGTCGGCATCAGTCACGATGAAGTCCAGACTCACTTGTGCAACTTTCTATGGCCTGTTGGCGGCCGTTGTCAAAGCTGCCCCTACCGTCGACACCACCTACGCCTACACTGGCCCGGCGATCCCCGTGGGAGACTGGGTTGACCCCACGGTCAATGGCAATGGCAAAGGATTCCCAAGGCTTGTAGAGCCACCGGCTGTGAAACCCTCGACAAAGAACCCTTCCAACAATGTCAATGTCATCCAGCTCTCCTACCTACCAAATGGCATCAATGTTCATTATCAGACACCTTTTGGTCTGGGAGTGTCTCCGACCATCATGTGGGGTACCACGGCTGGAAAGTTGGACAGTACGGCCACTGGCTACACTCGCACGTCAGCATTCGATCCCACCCACCCGTGTCCCGAATGGATGTTTGTTGACATGAAGCCACTACAGGTACGATCGGACACCACCGTGTTCCCTGGTCGCCGTCACCCAGTGCAGCCAATTCTTTCACGACGTCCAGATCACGGGTCTCGACTCGGGCACGACGTATTACTACCAGATCCCCGCCGCCAACGGCACGACAACGTCCCAAGTCATGAATTTCACCACGGCCCTGGCGGCCGGCGACGACACTTCGTTCTCCATGGCCGTTCTCAACGACATGGGCTACACCAACGCCGCCGGCACGTTCAAGCACCTGACACAAGCCGTCGACGAGGGCGTCTCTTTCGCCTGGCACGGAGGGGACCTGAGTTACGCCGACGACTGGTACTCGGGGATCCTCCCGTGCGAAAGCTCCTGGCCGGTCTGCTACAACGGCACGTCGACTGAACTCCCCCCGGGAGACTACCCGCCCGACTACAACGACCCCCTACCGGCGGGGGAAGTCCCCAACCAAGGCAGCCCTCGAGGCGGCGACATGAGCGTCCTGTACGAGTCCAACTGGGATCTGTGGCAACAGTGGGTCGGCAAAGTCACCAACAAGATTCCATACATGGTGGTTCCGGGAAACCACGAAGCCGCCTGTGCAGAATTCGACGGCCCCGGCAACCTTCTGACGGCGTATCTAAACGACGATGAATCCGACACGACGGTCTCAAAGTCCAACCTGACATATTACAGTTGTCCACCGTCGCAGAGGTAATGTTTTTCCCTCGCTTCACTCCAGACCCTTCCCCAGCCTCTCCTCTTCCATCCCATGCTATTTCGTGGAACCCAAACTCAAAACTTTTGGTGGCTAGAAACTTCACCACGTACCAACATCGCTTCTACATGCCCGGCGACGAGACCGGGGGCGTCGGCAACTTTTGGTATTCGTTCGACTACGGCACCGTCCACTTCATCGCCATTGACGGGGAGACCGATTTCCCCAACAGTCCCGAATACCCGTTCGAAGCCGACCTCAAAGGCGACGAGACCCACCCGACCGAGTCCCAGACCTACATCACCGACAGTGGACCTTTTGGCGCCGTCGACGGACCCTACAGTAAAGTCCAATCGTACCAACAATACAAGTGGCTCGTCCGGGATCTCGAAAGTGTCGACCGCGCAAAGACACCCTGGGTCATCGCCATGAGTCACCGACCAATGTACAGTTCCGAAACGTCGAGTTATCAAAAATACGTCCGTGATGCCTTTGAGGCCTTGCTGCTTGAACATCAAGTCGACATGTATTTGTCGGGGTAAGAAAAACAGAGACCCCGGGAATTCGTCACTTCCCCCCTTTCCCCCTCCTCTCTCTAACTTTTGAGCCCATAGTCATATACATTGGTACGAACGTCTTTGGCCACTGGGGGCCAATGGAACAATCGACTCTTCATCTATCGTCGGGAACGACACCTACCTTACCAATCCAGGTACTTCGGTAAGTATCTTGTGCTTTCAAATCATCAGACACTTCACTACCCATGGGTTGCCAATCACTGACGACATCTTTCTCCTGTCGCTTCACGAGTAGATGACACACATCATCAACGGCATGGCGGGCAATATCGAGTCCCACAGCACCCTCGACGCCGACGAACCCATCAAGAACATCACGAACGTCCTGGATCAAGAACACTATGGCTTCAGCAAGTTGACCGTCTACAACGCCACCGCCCTCAAGTGGGAATTCATCCGAGGGGACGGCGCGGGAGTCGGGGATTCCTTGACGCTCTTGAAGAGGGGATGTTACAACTTGTAAAAGGTCTATAAAAGACCCACACCCACACAGAGCAGTACATACATACTACGCACCTCCAGCTAGGTTACCTATTCGCGACAAATAGTCCGTAAATGATAAATACCACCCCGTACATCTTAAATAATGTTTGATGTTTGAGAACTGCTATAGCTTAGCTTATCTAAAACAACTTCACCACAGACATAGAAACCAAGGTCGGGGGGTATAATCTCCATTTTACTTTTTCTTTACAGTACTTATCTGGAGAATAGTATATAACTCAACCAATCACAAACTCTCAATCAAGTGCAAACAAACGCCGATAAATCAATCAGTCCTCAACAGCCGAAAGAATCACCTCTTTCCCATCCCGTCTTGATTTAAACAAGGGTCTGCTTGCCTACCGGTAGCTCGCCGCTGACCTTGTTGAACAACAAGAAACAAAACCCGCTATCATGGTCAAATCAACATCCAATCAGATCACACTTCATGGTCCTGGGATTTTGTTCAAGACCCGGTCAGATACTTGACAAGTTGTTCCCTCTCACTTGTAGGCACAAGGCTCAAAACCTCACGCACACCCTTCAAACCACCTTCCTTGTTGCCCATCAGCAACTCAGACACCTTTTTGCTGATGGCTTCACTCTTGACAGCATCGATCTTTGCATAGACCTCCTTTCGGTGGCTCTCGTACCACTCGGCAACCTTACGATCGTCCTTTTCGAATTCGGCATCGAGCAGGCCAGACCAGTTCTTAAGCATGGCAAGGTTGCTCTCCTTTTGTGCCATGGCGTTGGGAGTAGTGGGCACAACACCACCAGCCGCCAAACTGGCATTCAATTTCTTGAGCAAAACCTCTTCGGACAATCTTCTTCGGAGACGCCAGTAGAAGAATCTTCGAGCGTTCTGCCACTTGAGTGGCATACGAATGGTACCCTTGGCTTCCATACGTCCAGCACGATCGTGAAGGTCGGCGAATTGAAGGGCGATTTGCTGGTAAATAGGTCCAAGCAGTTGCTCGCGTTCCGCCATCTTGACCTTGATCTCGTTCAATTGCTCAGATGTCAAGTCCTTAGCAAGAGACTGAGCCTTGAGCTGCCCGTAGGTGGGATCAAGACGGGCCATGGTCTCGAGTTGCTTCTCACGTCGATACTTGATACCAACGATACCCTCGGGCTCCAGGACACCACCACGAGACTCTTCGTCAGCATACATTTCCATCTGTTCGGGGTTGATGGTAGGGTCAACGACGACCTAATGGCAGGTTAGTTATCATCTCCAATCAGAAACCGAGTGTTTGGAACTTACCCAAGAACCACCACGGAGTTCGCCAAATGGAGGAATGTAGACGAACACCGGCTGCTCGTACTTGACGAGGCCGTCAACAATATACGAACCATATTTCAGGACTTCGTTGAACATATCTCGTTGACCACCAGAGAAACCACGCCAATTGGCCAAGATCATGACTGGAAGCTGTTCACCGTAGTTGAAATCCTTGAGGGCTTGTGCGGTCTTGAAAGCCGAGTTGGGGAACCACACACCACCCGGTTCCTGCACAACTTGTTCCATTGAATCGGCGTTGGCAGGATCAGCAGGGATGACGTTCTCGACAGTGCGCGTCTCTACTGCAATGACACCCATTGGGATGCCACCTAGGCGAGCACGACCGACCACAACAGTCTTCGCCCAGCCGCCAAGAGCCTCCTGGAAAGAGTCCTTGTCGAAGAGACCAGACACGAAGCCTTCGTCATCCGCCTTACCAGCAATGAGATGTCGCACATCATATGGTCCACGAGGTGGATAGAAGCTGATTTCACGATCCCAAGTGTCAGCGGCAATACCAACTGGCACTGGTTGCCCCTTCTTGTCGGGAATGAAAGACATCCATTCCACGATCTTTTCCACACCTTGGAAGTCATCGCTGGCAGTCATGTGGGACACACCGTTTCTGTACATGATCTGGGTGCCACCAAGTTGCAGGTTGGAAGTGTAAACCTCCTTACCCAACACCTTATTGAGCGCAGGAGCACCGGTGAGGATGATTGGCTGGCCCTCGATTTGAATTGCTCGCTGACCCAAGCGGACGAGGTAAGCACCAATACCAACAGATCGACAGGTGACGAGGGTAATCGTGAAGATGTCCTCATAAGCTTTGGAGGTAGCACCAGCAATGAGACCAGAACCACGCAGACATTCAACACCCAGACCATCTTTGTTACCGACAATGGTAGTGATCTTGTGTCGGGTCTCTCCGTCCTCCTGGATTTCCTCGGTGATGACTTCCTTCTCCGTGAGCTGCTTCCTCTTCTCGGGAGTAAGGTAGAGGTACTTGAAGCCAGACTCCGGCTTGCCTTCATCGTTCCAAGCAACAGAGAAATGTGGGATGAGCTCATCAGCCATGCCAATGCGAGCACCGGAGTTGGCAGACAAGTAAATGCGAGGAATGCCAAGCTTTCGGGCGTATTCCGTGCATTGGTTGAAGAACTTGTCTTCAGTAGGACCAAATGAACCAATCTGGAAGGTGATGTCGTTGGCGATGATGACGAATTTCCGGCCTCGAGGGTATTCGGGAGTCTTGGCTGTCACCACCCACGCAACCATACCACAATTATTGGTACCTGGCTCGCGAGAGACTTCGGTGATGTTGTCGCTGTCATCAAGGATCAACTCGTTGTAGTCAAGGCAGTGGCCAACTTCAGGTCTGGAATCGGCCATAGGGGCATGCTTGCCGATGGCCTTTGTCCAGCTGTTTGCAATTGCTTGTCTGAACAACTCAGGGAAGTCGTAAACATACTGAGTGCCCATAAGATGAGCCTTGTAACGCTTGGGTTGCAACCACTCCTTTGAGGCATAAGGAGTTGATACGGACCGAAGATGCATGGAGCCAACTTTAGTCGTACCGCCGATGCTTTCGAATACCCATTCGCCAGAGCGAGACTTCTTCTCGACGTAGCTTTCAACATTGACCACATAACCGGAGGTATTGCTGATGAACACGCGGAGGGGATATGGCATTCCAGTCTCAGGGTCCGTACAGAGAATTCGGATCTCTGCTCCAGTGATACGAAGTCGTAGGAATCTTCTGGCAGAACGTTCCAAGAAGCCAGCGATCCTTTCTTCGACATCTCTTGGCTGTAGGTTGAAGACGGGCGAGAAGTTGATGAAGATGTGGTTAAGATCGGAGTTGTTGTTGCCAATGATCTCAAGAGCGTCGCAGATATCGTTGACGAGACGATCGGTCTCAGTGATCAAGTATTCTGCAGTTGGGATTTCATCCTTCAGGCGACCTGGACGCACGACCGCACGAACGAAGTAACGTTTGTCCACGACCTTGTCTCTGTCCTCGCCCTTGCCAATAGCCTCGTAGATGTGGATGTTTCGGTTTTGTGTGAAGACAGGCTTGATCTTGAACTTGGACAACCTTCCGAGCTCAAGCTGGAAAGCAAGAGCAGGTTCATTGTGCCGAATGGTCACATCTTCTTCGTAGTTGGCTCCACGAAAAGTGAAGTACCCCGGGTATGATCCATCCTTGTGGCCGCAGATGAAAGTGACGCGACGAACGTTACGAGCAAGGAGTTCGGCCTTGTTTTCTGCGACCAAGCTCTGAACGCGGCTGAGAATCTCGGCGTCGGGGAGATTTTCAGTGTCGCGGATGGCAATGTTGCAGACATTGGTCAAGTCATCATCGACACTCTCAAGCTTTGGTTGAGGTTTGCGAACACTGTCGAGCGTTGGCATGAGATGTTGTTGATTAGGACTAGGACGCTTCTCCTTGGTTCCCTTAGGGAAAACCTCCAATGCGCGGGCCAGGCACTCATCGACCTCGTCCAGGTAGTGACATGGAGCGATAACACCCTTCCGTGTGGGTTCGTCTTCAGATTGCAATTTGTTCAGGTATGACAGATCGCTCACAGAAGTGATGCGCTTGAACGGGCTGCCCTGCTGGGACGGCGTGGCCTGTCCTGATGGATAGGAAGAGGCCAATGGAAGACCAAACTCGGATTGCCCAACCTTGCGGAGGACAAAATCCCATGACATGTAGAAAGGTGGTTCAACATCGTTGTGGTACTCGACTTCTCGCACAGTGTACGCACGGTAGGCACGTCGGATGTACACTTCGAGAGCCGCGAGTCCAACCCATGGATCATGATGGGCAAAGAACAGAGGAATGACATCGAAGACGGTGTAACGAGAGTCAACCACTTCCTTCAAGATCTCCAGGTCGGGCTCCCGGTGTTCCCAACCAGTCTCACCATATTTGGATTCGACAACTGAAGACTTGAGGATATGCTCCATTTGGGACACTCTCTCTTCCAAAGAAGGCATGGCACATAGGATGAGCAATTCACGAGCCTTCAGAGTAACCTTGGCAGTTGCTCGGGACTCGAGCTCTGTGAGACGACGCAGAGAAGTCTTGAAGTACTTTCCGACATTGCCAACATTGGGCTGGTCAGGTCGGTACATCTCCAGGATGGAGACAATCAAATTGTTCTTCGCAGACACACGGGTGTGTGACAGGACAGTGTAGCAGACAGAGAGAATATCATCTTTGTTCTCTTCTCTCAGCTTGAGAATGACATCCTCGTCTCTGTGGGACCCTGAAGCAAAGAGTTTCTCGACTTCATAGTACTGATCGAGCAACCCCGTGAAAACCGAGAACTCATGAACCTTCAGGCCTTCAGAGTATTGGGAGATGACCTCCTCCAAAGGTGCCAAAGTGGCGTGGAGCGTAACGCCATCGTTCTTGGACATGTTCTCCTCGATGAAACGGTTGATGGCCTTCTGGAGCTGCTTAGCTGGGAACTCGGCATGTCTGGCATGTGCACGTTCAACGATCTGAGAGAGCTGAGCGTCCAACCGTTGTGGAGTACGCGAGTGCAAGGCAGAAGATCTGGCTGACCATTCGCCATATGGCAGTTCAGGATCTCGAAGGACGGAGACGAGCTCCTTCAAGGTAGAGGCCATGATGACCTGGTTGTCAAAGCCCAGCAGGATGTTCTGCAAGATACCGATGAGGAGGGCGAATCGTTGAGGGGGCTTGTTTCCGACAACCTGAGGCGGCCCTAGGTCTGGAAGCTTGCCAGTGAAGGTCTCGGCTGTCTTGACTCTGGAAGGATCATCCAGAGCCAAGATACCCAGGATGTCACCAGCCTCAAGAGTTGCACCGGGCTGCTTGAGGAATTGAACCACACCATCCTCCTGTGCAATTAGAGGCATGTACATTTTCATGACTTCGACTTCCGCAAAGGCTTGACCAGCCTTGACATGTTCACCGTTCTCGACGGTGTACTTGACAAGCTTACCAGGAGACGGTGTTCGGAGCTGAGTAGGGTCATTTTCTTGTTCCAGCAAGCAAGTCTTGCTGTCAACGCTCAGGCGAATGGCAGTCGCCTCTTCCTTCCAATACAGACTGTGAGATCTTCCTGCAACAAGCATCAACAGACCACCGTCGGCCAGTGTTCGGACACCGACTAGGCACTTCGAACCGTTGATGAAGATATGGTAGCTGTCGAGACTTGCTCTGGTGGCGGTGAATTTGTATCGCTGGCCCTCATAGATGAATTCCACGGGGAAAACCGTCTTGAGAACATCCTTCGAAGGCACTTGACCCTTCTCCAGACCCTTGCGGTACTCGGAAATGCAGGCTTCGCTTGCCAGGTGGGCTTTCGTCAGCGCACCGGCAAGCACGGCGAGCATTGGGTCAGGTCGCTCAGCAGTCAGTTTGTTGGAGATCAACTGATCCAGCCAGCCAGTGGTGATGGTATTGTCTTCAAAGGCAGGAGTTTCCAAGAGCTTGATCAAATATTCAATGGTGGTTCGGAAATCACCACGAATGCTCAATTCCTTCAAGGCAACGACCATGTGTTTTCTGGAAGCCTGTCGGTTTTCGCCGTAGGCGAAGATATGACCAAACTGACTGTCAGAGAAACTGTGGATACTGGAAGCCGAGGACACGGAAAAGTAACCCCAGACGTTCGAGCTCGAACGGAAATTGAGATCGTGCATGGTACCGCTGGATGGCTTGAAACCCTCGCCAGGATCTTCGGACGTGATACGGCAAGCAGTGGTGTGGCCCTTTGGTCTGGGACGACGCTGAGTCTTCATGCTGGCCGGGTCCTTGAAATGGAAATCGATCTCGGTCGCGGTATGGGGGTCTACGCCGTACAACAAGCGAATGTCACGGATGCGGTGGAGAGGAATACCCATGGCGATTTGAAGCTGGGCAGCTGGCAAGTTGACACCGCTGACCATTTCGGTGGTGGGATGTTCCACCTGGAGACGGGGGTTCAACTCCAAAAAGTAGAATTTGTCGTCTGCATGAGAATAGAGATATTCCACAGTACCAGCCGATACATAGCCGACCAATTCACCCAGTCGGACGGCGGCATCTTCCATGGAGTGGAAGGTGTCTGGGTTTGCGATCGTGACAGGGGCCTCTTCAATGATTTTCTGGTGCCTTCGCTGGACGGAACAATCTCTGCCAAACAGGGAAATGTTATTTCCGTACTGATCGGCCAGCAACTGCACCTCCAAATGCCGGGCATTGCCTGCAAGCTTCATGATGAAGATGGGAGAACCGGGAATTTCGCTCGCCGCGGCGTTGTAGAGACTGGTGAACTCGGCTTCGTTCTCGACTTTTCGGATACCTTTGCCACCACCACCTTCGGAGGCTTTCACCATGACCGGGAAACCGATCTTCTTTGCAGCTTCCAGACCCTCTTCGGGTGAATGTACACAGCCCTTGTCATAGATATTATCGTGAACGGTGACGATTCCTTCGCTGTCAATTTCCACCTCGTCGACCCCTTCTCCTGACCAAGGAATACAGGGTACTTGTGCGTGCTGTGCGACGATTGTGGAGGAGATCTTGTCACCGAGCGACCGCATGGCGGAACCAGGTGGGCCGATGAAGATGATCTTCTTTGGTGAGGCTGCCAGCGATTCTGGCAACTTGGGGTTTTCGGAGGCGTGACCCCAGCCAGCCCAGACTGCGTGGACGTTCATTCTCTCGGCAACGTCGACAATCAGTTCTACGTTGGCATAGTTGTTGTTATTCGTGCCTCCAGGGACCTAGAAGAAAGCATTGTCAGTCGGAGTCCATTTCTCCTTCAGTAATGCTGCTAGCATCGCCACCTACTTCGACATATTGATCCGCCATACGGATGTAGTCTGCGTTCGCCTGCAAATCTTCGGGCGTGGCCATCACGGTGAACTGGATGGCCCGCTCGTCGCCGAATGTCTCGTAGGCCCATTTTCGTACTGAACGGATCTCTTTGACCGCTGCAATACCGTTGTTCGCGATGAGCACCTATAAGGGTCCCCGTGTCAGCTGCGCTTTCTTTTCCCCCGCACCAAAACCTTTTCATTCTCAGCGTTCAACGTACTGAAGTAATGACTGAATGCCCATCTTGAGCTTGTACAAAGTCTTTTACTTTGCTCGGAGCAGCTTTTTCTAATCTGTTTCCACCGATGAAATGTGGTGCAAGCTTGTGCTTCGACTGCCACTCGCTGGGTGTGCCATTGACCAGCGTGGAGCGGCGAGCTGAGGTGCCGTTGACCCCATTGACAGCATTGGTGCTGGGAGCCATGATTATAGGGAAGAAACTATCTCATGCAACTCGAGAGGGGGACCGAGTCTCGCGTCGGTGTCGATATGGTTTTGAGGAGGGTGTGAGGGAAAAGGAGAATCTGGAAAAACACGCCAATCAATGAAACCACAACTCGCCCAAACACAGACCCAGGAGAAAGTCTTTTGGTAAGGTAGGAAGGTAGGAAGAGGTAAGGAATGGACAGGTCAGGTTTTCTCGTGTTGTTGGCAGAAGAGAGGAGGAAGAGTAGGAAGAGTAGGAGCGGGAGGATTGTTGAAGTCAGCAAATGCAACAGCAGTAGCAAGTAGCACCACGATGCAAGGTATAATAATCTACTACTCCGTACTCGACGGTGATGTAGTTTTGTGTTTTAGTGAGACACAAGCCCGTCCGAGTACGATTGGATCTAAGTAAAAAAAGTGTCCTGTGCATTGAGCTGTTGAATGGAGGCGCGAAAAGGGGTCTAGCGTGGTGTCGCCAAAAAACAGGCGGGCCGGACAAGAAGCGCATCACCAATTTGTTCCCGTCAATCACAGTGTCTATTTTGCTCTCCTTCGGGGCACCGCACGCTCCTCACCACGCCTCCCATGCGTCCTCAGAGTGGAAACTGTCACAGAGGACCATTTCACCAGAAACTACTGACAGGAGGCCAACGGAGCACGAACGAGTGCAGGGTCAAACTCAGAGTGGGCATTTTTCAGTTGGGAGCACAGCTTCACTGAGTCGCCGGGGCTAACGAGCCAGGGTCAACAAACCCCCCTTCACCCAGGGTCTCCGGCTTCATCTGACTGGATGTCTCTCCCTTCAGGCTCGCCACCAGCCGTCGATCGATTCGCTGCCCGCCAAACACACCCAGGCATTTCCATTATTCCCGATTGAACTTTGAGCCCATCCCCATCTCCAACAATTTTTTTTACACTACAACAATCCTCTTTGTTGAGACCTTTGAGCGCCGGTGGGAAACAATGCCGTCACCTCCAGCTTTTCCCTTTCCCCTACCCGTAACTCGTCCGATCGAAATGTACCGAGGCTTGCTTCCCACCCGCCGCCACTGACGCCCTCCAAGCTACCAAGTACCCCAATGCATCTGCGGTCAGAAGGAGGAAGAGAAAGATCATCTGTCCCTCTCAACGCCCCATGCACGAGAAGCAGAGATGATCTCACCGGGTAAAGGCGGTCGCACAGATGGATCCCCTTCGTATGTCGTATATGGTGGCATCCGTCCCGTCAAAGAGAAAATCATCTGTTCAGCCTCATGGACCGCCTGATTTCCGAGATCGATAATGATCTTGTGGCGCTGCATGCGGACTCCGCCCCCTGTCAAGATACAATTTCGGAGTCCGGTGTTGGCTTCGTTCGATAGCAATTAATCCACCGATTCCAATAATCCCGATCCTTTTTTCATTTCTAGACAACGACCTGGGTTTTTTTTATCGGTTCTCTTGATCCCACACTCGTAGATAAGAAACGCGGAACGAGTACGAGCACGAGTACGAGGTCCCTTTCTTCGATCGCCGAAGCTGAAGCTATCGAGTACGATTGGTCTCTGATCTGCAACGGGCTGAAAGGTGAGATCTGGTACCAAACTTCTCAGGGGATACCCCGTTCGGCAGTACGAGTACGAGAACACTCGAGCATTTTTCGCACATTGTACAGTACTCTATTGTACCGTAGGTCCCAGTCACAAACCGACCGACAATTTTCAGCCCCAACTCTTCGTTGTCGATGGGCTGCGCGCTAGGCGCGCAGGAATTGGCACTAAATATAGTTGTTGGGCCCCCAGCGATGCAAGCTTCGGGCACTATTTTGGCTGGCATTGACAAGGGGGGCTTGATCTCATCAATCCATTTCTTTCGTATCGAAAAAAACTGAATAAAACGGGAAGAGGGTAAGTAGATCTGTAGACCACGCGGAGACTCGGCGATGGTGCTGGGTACACAGTAATGATACGAGTAATCTTAGGATCGAGGCGGACACTGTGCACCGTGCCTAGGTATACTAATTCTGATGCTTCTTGTATCGGAAGCGCAGGCGAGTCCAAATCCCCCCACCTACGCTCACGTGCAAGGCTGTCGCCCCTCGTTAGTAGGGGATTTCGATAATGGCATAAAGGTCATGATGATCGACAACAACGTATGAAGGGGACACAATAACACCTTCATTGTTAGAATCATAATGGCCGTCATTACAAGTCTCACATGGCTTGTCTAATAGGTGTAGAGTGCCACAGAAGGTCATCAGCGATGTGCATCGCGAAAGACGTTCGCCACGATATCATTTCGCGATGTGCCAATTGCTGATGGGTAAGGTGGCCAACATAATTCTATGGGCAATGTGCGTCGCAAAAGACGTTCGCCGCGACCTCATATCGCGATGTCACAACACTGGACATGTGAGGTGGTCGACACAATCATATCAATGATATGCCTTCGCATAAGACGTTCGCCGCGATGCCATGTCGCGATCTCCGATATCTTAATAGGATGTATACATGTCGCTAAGACTAACGAGTTACTGGAAACATGATGTTCACTTATTGCACAATGAGACACATGTGTTTTTTTTCATTTCATTTTTTCTATCTAGAATACTCCAACAACCAACCACACAACCACGCCCCGCCCAGCCACACAGACAACCACACACACCCTCCTCCTTCCTACAAAGACTCAGGAGCCAAATGCCAGACATGGACCAGCTTTTGCTGGCCATGTCGGCGGCAGCGGCCAACTGCCTGCTCCATCGTCGCGGCCCTCTCCTCTTTCGACATGCCCATCACCGGGCCCAAAAAAACCACGTGGTTGGCCACTTGCAGGTTGTGGCCCGCCGAGTCCTCCGAGTCCACCTTCAAGACGAGGACAGCCTGCCCTGCCCCCGCCGCCTGCTTGAACTCTTCAATCGAAGAGGTGCCACCTCTCCAGCCATCGCACACGGCGATGTTGGTTTGGTGGCACCCCTCGATAAAGAGGTCCTTTGTCCATGCAAACTGCATGAACACAACGACGGATTCCGCCGGGGGAATCCGCCCCTTGATGAGAGAGATGGCCTTTTGTGCCATCGTGCCTCTCACGAGGTCTGAGACCCCCTGGACCCCGGCGTCCAGTTGCCGGACAAACCGGCTCGCCCGGTCGACGTTGTCGGGGCGGAACAAGTGGCAGCACCCAGTTGGGTGCGAGGACCCCGAGGCACATCCTGAACAGGCCACGATGTGGCCGCACTTGACTGAGACTTGGACCAGGTCATAGTCCGTCTCTTGATGGCCACAGGCACTGCATCCCTGGAGTGCCTCTGCCTTAACGACAGAGGACACCAGGTTCAGGAACCTCATTCGCCCCATGCCCTCTGAGAGGGATGGGATGAGGTCCCGGACGCGAGTCGTCCGGGTGTCAACCTCCTTCTCCTTTGAGGAGGGAGTAAGGCTGTCCCAATTCTTCTTGGGCACCACGGGGTTTGCCTCTGCATATTGTGAGAGTTGTCTTAGCAGAGGGACGACATCGATCTCGTCGATGTCTGCACGTTTCATCTCTTCGATGAGCGTGTCAAAGACTTTGGTGGCCGCATGATCCTTGTCGCCGTACCACAAATTCTGCAGCTTCTCAAGAAGCTCGCTTGCCATCTGGAGGAGACTTGTCTCAAATTCTTGTTTCAAGATCGACAAAGCTTCCTCCTCGTACTCCTGTGCTCCATTCTGATGGAGATCAAGGATGGTGTGGAGGTATGACGAGACACAAAGACGTGCAGCTTCGGGACTTCCACAACTCTCGGCTGCTGCTCTGATCTGACCCTGTAGGCCGTCCTTCGCATGTCTGGGGCTTGGAGTCTTCCGTGTAAAATCACAGATACTCCGATCTATGGCATTGTTCACCATGTCCAACACCAGTGTCTCTGAAGGCGAAAGAGCAAAAGAGCGCTTGTGAGATTTCACTTTGATTCCATTAGTTGGTGGTTTGTTTTTGCGGACGAATGTGTTCAAGAAGGCCTCTGCGTGCTCATATACACTCTTCTTGTAGCCGGCAGACACGACATTCTGTAAAGCTCTGAACTCTTGAGATTCGGATTTGTCTTTGACCATTTTATTGCCGTCTTTTCCGAATCCAAACTTGCCTTCTTGCTCGTTAAAGATAGCCACACGGGTGCCCAGGAGTTTGGCCATAGTGTTGACACTATCATAGTCATGGATCGGAGGCGTACCGGAAAGCAACCACTTTGCCTGTGCGCTAATCTTGAGCAGAGAAAGGAGACTCTTTCCAGAAACATAAGTAAATTCATCCACAATGACTCTTGAGAAGTGGAACAAATGAAAAAGCGGCTCAAACTTGTCCTTGTCTCGGAAGGCTTGTAGCTTATTCTCAAAATCTTTTCGGAAATCTTCGTCTGAGGTTTCGTCGGTCTTATCATCGGCAGCAGCAGTCTTTGAACGTCCAGCATTCTGTGTTTTCTTGATTTTACGATTCAAAGGTTCAGGAAATCGGTCATAAGCCGGGATCTCGGAGCGTAATTTGTCCCAATCCGCCCATGCTTTTGGAATTTCAGATGGCAGGGATTCACAGACAGAACGCAAGCCCTGTATCGCTTGATCTAACCATTGTTTGAAAGCACGACCGGGAATTGTTGGCACGTGCGGCGCACAAGCCAGATCTTGCATATGTTCGTAGTATTGATCTTCTTCCAAGATGTTGAACGGGACGAGTATTAGAGCGGCGTTTTGGAAATCTTCGATGGAATAGGAGAGGAGTTCTGATGTCTTCGTGACCACAATGTAGTAGGGTGAGAATGGTTTCTGGTCGCATGGCTTAGCCGTTCTGTCTTTCTTATTCCGAGTCAACACAGTCCACGACGGGATGCATTCGTTAAGCTCTTTCACCCACTGTGCCAAGATATTTTTAGGAACAAGTACCAATGTGGCATCGCTATCAACAAGACCAGATGAATCATGCGCTGTGGCATCCATAGTTGGTCGTGCTCGTGCTCGTGTGTAGTTATGGTAGATGTGTGCCAGAGAGCTGGTGGTCTTGCCACCTCCAACATTGTCTGCGATGATGCCGCCTCGAACAACTTTCTCAGAAAAAGCTCTGACTTCAACGTTCAGGCTAAGAGAAGGGAGTCGACACTCGATCTGACATAGCTCTTTCCACGTCTCAGGTTTGTCTTCCATGTTTCGCATCCAAGATAAGATCTGCCGTTGGGAGTGCCATAAGGTCCGCTTTCCGATGGTTCTGTACGAGATTGGGACATCACTATCGTTTGAACCAAGGCCGAAAGGGCCAAAATTTGGATGAAGGGCAAAGCGGTTGTAATGGATGATGCGCCATTCGGCAGTCGACATCAGCTCCAGTTTGCCAGGTTTGTACAGGAGGGATGAAGCACGATGTGCCAAAGTCTTCAGGTTGACCTTGATGGTAAGGAGAGCTGTATCCGTACTTCTTGCCACTATAGCCGTGGCCGCTTTCGGGCGTGTTTCTAGCGCGTGCTCGAAATCTGTTGCTTGCTTTGGATTCTCAATGGCTGTGAGAACCTTGTCTTTGATCACCCATTCAAGGTCGGGAGGTTTTGGAAGACACGTGCGACAGATCCAACCCCCTGCAACACTTATCTTGCTCCATTCTGCAGAAGAGTCAAGGAGGTTGGTAGCATGATTCAGAAACGCGACAAAGTCTTTCAGCGCCTCAGGCTTGTCTTCGAGCTCAACGGAGATGGCTTTCTCAAGAGCCCACTGATCTTTGTACGCCATATCCAGGGGTATGGTTAAACTCAAAATTGTCATTCCTGCGTCATCGCAACTCTTCCGTGTATATTCTGGTGGTGGAAGAATACTGGGGCGTGATATCTTGATTTCGTTTTCCTGATCAGCAGTGCCCATATGGAGGTCGGGAAAATCTGTCCAGTTGCTGAACACATCACATTCAACTTCTTGCTCTGATGGCAAAAGAGCTTGGTCAGGTCCATGGGGAAAACTCCACCCGGGACGAAGCTTTATTAAGGTTGAGCGTTCATCTGGCATGTCTCGATGAGCTGGCTGTTCTGAAATCACAACGGAGTCCCACCGAGCATCTTGTAAAGGACCTGGTTTCAGGTACATGAAAACTGGAATGTCGGACTCATTGGACAAGACTTTCTTGTGCAGGGTCTGACCTGCAGCAGGGCAGTCGGGCAGCAGCATGTAGTTTCCGCAAATCGAAGTCGGCAGGTATTCCTCTTTATTGTTTGAAGGTTTGACTTCCAGCTGCGTGAAGACACGGTCGTCGGTATTTGCTTCATATTCAAGACCAAGATGATTTCTCCATGACGGCACCCTGGATCCAAATGCTCGGATTGTGACCTTCTGCTTGTGGATGCCATTCCAGAACGCCCAAGTGCCTGAAAATAGGCTGGTATCCACTGACATCTCCGCGATATGATGTTGGAAGAGGCTTCTTAGCTTACTCTTTACCGGCTCCGTGTTCATGGGCTTCGCAAAAAGTCGCCATACAGGTTGCAGGGTAGACGAGATCATGCTGGTGCCATCACAAAGGGGTCCGGGAACAAATTCCAGTTCAAGTTTTGCAAATCTCGAATCGTAAATGGCCCTCCATGTGCGGTCGAATCTTGTCCCTTGAAAGCGAACCGTCTCGTTCAGTGCGGCGAAAAGGAGATATCGAACTTGTTCAGCAAATTTGTCGTTGTGGGATGTCCACTCTCCACATGAAAACTGAGGAAGGTCGTTTATGCTACATGCCAGCTTCAGAGCAAGGACTGCAGGCAGCATCAGAGTAAGTTCACGTGCGAATTCACTCATTGGGCGCCTGTCATCGACCACGAGATTATCCATGCCACCATGAGGTCTTCTGCAGCAATGAGTGCAGACAGTGTAGAAACAGTCGGGACAGAACGTCAATTCTGCTGCAGTATGCTGACCGAGGCTCTCGCAACGGCAGTACGGAGTTGACTTGTGCACTGCGTCGACAAGATGTTCAAGCGACGGAGTGGTAAGAGCACCTGCTTGTTGAGAGATATGGGTGAAATTTTCATTTTCCGGAGCATTTTGTTGCCATGTCAAATGCATGACCTCCGATATTTGCTTGGAATTTGTGTCATTCGAACGCACTGCTTGGACGTACTCATCGAAGAACCCAACTTTCTGCTTCTCCTGCTTCCGGAAAGCAAGAACTGCGCTCATCACTGCTGCGCCGATCACGGTTGTCGTCATTGCATTGCCACTTAAATCTTGAAGCATTGAAGACGTCTCCCTGTTAACATTGAGGTCCCCAATGGGCAACCCTGTCAAGGAAAAGGTTTCACTACCAACTAGGGGTCGCCCTAGAAGGGTGTCGTAGAGGTCTCCTCGTGGGGTTATGCAGCCCACGATGCCCCATTTTCGAGAATCTGTATCTCGATCAACATTTTGGGTGACATTGATATTTCGGTGTTTGAATCGCATATCATAATTCGTTGTCTTTTTCCGTCGCTGAGCACTCATGGCATTTTTCAGGTAGTGGATATCAAGAAGGTCTAACACCCGCTCTGTTTGGCTCATGGCCCATGTTTGCGACACGTAGTTGTCCATGTTACAAGGAGGATGCTCTTTCAACTGGGTGTAAGGGTTTTCATAACCAAGCTGGAGCTCAGTCCGCTTGACATAGTGACGCTTGCGACCAGCCTCCCACTCCGGAGAGCCTGCTATTGACGCGACGGAGGCATCCTTGGCCTTTTCCAAGATGAGGCGTGGATCCGAGTCGTCAAGTAGGAAAGACGGATAGGGCGATGTTGCGCGTTTCTGGAAATAGGCAAATAGTTGGACCCAGTTCGCGATTGCTTGTCCGAGCTTGAGATCGACCCGCGCAGCTTGATCCATATCGACGACGATGCAGTAGGATCGGTTACGTGTTTGTGGGACGTAGAAATTGATGCTGTCCAGTTTGACGACCTGGCATTGATACCGTATCTCTTGAAATCGCTCCAAAATGGTTTGCCACTCTGTTGCTTCAACGTTCTCCAAGATGACCAAGTTAGGCCGGTAAACTTCAACATAAGCAAAGACCCCTGCAAAGGTCGATGAAGATTCACCGCCTTGCTGACCTGTAGGATCAAACTCTGGTCGAGTCTCGTTATTTCGAAGACTTGAGAAGTCTACACAGGATGCCCCTGCCACGAGAATGTTCACATTATTCGGTGGATGAGCTGGTGCTCCGTATGCTGTCCGCGGCAGGTATCTGTCATCCTTGGGGTTTTCGGCATGCTTGATGAAGTCGGTAACATCTCGGAACAAAACGTTGGGATGGAAGTTTCTTTCCAAAAAGGCCTGTTTGCTAGGCTCGATCTCGCAGCTTCCCACATGATTGACATTGAAATTGTTCATGCCCAATTGCTTCAAAGCTCGGCTAATGAGAGATGTCGCAACAACAGGAGAATCTGTGCCAGAGCACAAGGTGAACACCGACAACTCGTTCCCTTCGAAAATACTGCAGGCTTCCTCGAAATCGCGCGTAAGCGCTTTTTCTGCCATGTCGAGGAACATATCATAGATATCGTGGAGCGGAGGTTTGGTATGGTCTAGCCCATTGTACGAAGGGGTGTATCCTCGAAAATATTGGCGAGCCCTGGCCGATTTATTCTTGACAGGTTCCTTGTAAGTCGACTTTTGGATCTTTTGAGGGTCAAATCCTGCTCCAAGGGCAGCACTGAGCTCTTGAAAATTGTCCTGGTTACCACTGAGCGAGGCCAATGCCAGAAACAACTCAGAAGCTTGCGGCAAAGGTACAACATTTACGGCAACGTTGGCTTTCGTGAAAACCGAGTCGCGTATCTCTTGAGGGCGACGTACAGGGCGAGGCCGAAGCTGGGGCCTTCTGCGAGATCTGACATTGGTAGAGCCGCCCGAAGGTTTCGTTGATATCCTGCAGTCTAATACACCTCCAGTAGTTACAGCAAGGCTGTTGTCACTATTTGGAATGGTATTACAGTGGTCGGGAATGTCTTCCACCAGGTCTTCTCCTTTGGCTTTTTCCTTTTCCTTCCCCATCGTAAAATTGGGAAGTCGTTGACGCAATGGGTTTGGAAGACGAGACTAGGTTCTGGAGTGTAATTTGAGGCACGTTGCTTCGGACCACCGCGATAGCGCAGATGATTCTCCAATCAGTGTTGTAATATTTTGAGATTGAAGAGCGATGTTGGTCAACGAAATTTTGGAAGCCGAGTGTTTGAAGCGCCAGCAGGTCAAGACCAATCTCTGATTCTAGAGACTAGGTCTTCAGTTGTTTTCTGCACAATCTTGTCGTGAGGAGAGTCGTCCAGAGGTTTTGAGGCTGTCCCTCAATTCGCGTTGACTCCTGAATTACGCGCAGAGATGATTCGGAGCGTCAAGACCAGAGCCGGCGATAGTCTGCCAACTCGCAATGGCCAGCAGGATAGTGAGACTGGAGGATGTCCAAGGAACCACTATTGAAGATGTCGAATTTGGATTCGTACTTGCTGTTGACGTGGTGGGCTGAAGTTGAGGGAAGGCTCTGAGAGAAGAATTGAGGAGGAGGCGTCGCCGCTGCGCTGGAGGATGATGTCTTTTGAGGTTTTGCAATGTCGCCAATGGCCTGATTGCCAGTGTCCAATTTGTCCAAGAAGAAAGGCCTGAAAGCAGAATAAGTGGTGAGGTTTGTGTGTTGCTTGTGCAGCCAGGAATTAAATTGGATGGGAGGATAATGGGAATATCGCAGCTCCTTGCTCTGCGATCCTCCCCAGTCCCTGATTGTGTGAAGGCATGGCTCGGCGCTCATCAGAACGCCAGCATCAAATTCATTATTTGATGTTACCCCTTTCCTGATTTCCCATTGTTCTTGTGAAAAGTGCTGCGAGACAAGAACGCTAAGAATGGGCCTTGGATATTGATATCATATGAATCTCAGCTTTGATCTCATGACATCTTTACACTCGGCAGATTGAGTGCCGGCCTCAAAGTCGACAGAGGACTGTTCGCCACCACCTTTCCAATGCATCCGAAGAAGGCCCCTCTTCAGCAATCTCGCCTTGAGGCGACTTCATGCATGCCTGTACTTCGATGCCAGTGGAGCACATGGACCGCAGCAGCCCCTTAGAAAGAGCTAGGAACCATCATATGATCACCATTTTGCGACTTTATACGGCTGCTGCAGACCAGTGCACGAATAAATATGGGCAAATAACAGTGCCATTGGAGCATTCCGTTGTTCCTATGTCATGCTTGGAGCAATAGATGAGGGCGAGGCCAGAGTTCCAACACTCAAGAGCATTGATAGTGACTGCCCACAGGAACAAGGAGGATCGGGCCCAATATACACCACTGACTTAGTCAGATCATTCAGGAAACTTCCATGAAGCTGATCCTTTGAAGACAAATGGTTCTCACTGCCACCCTGCTTCAGCCTTGAGATGAATATCGATATCTGTCAGATCTGTTGCAGACTGGGCCACAAGACTTGATGGGTCACTTGGAAAAAGGCTAAGTGAACTCCGACGGGTTGTGTACTTTCCCTCATGTAGGCACGAGACAGGGAATTCGAGTGACAGTGGTATCCTGCTTCTCCAGGAAAGTCATTCCTGTGCCTGGATTGCTAGGCCCTTTTACATCAGGTGGTGCTATTGGCAGCAAGATGATCTTCTTGGAGGGTGAGATCTCGTGGGCATCAATCCTGAGAGACGGGAAGAACGTCTCTCAATCACCATTGCCTACCTGTCCAGCCTGATGAAGCCGGGTCGTGGGCCCCTTGGATCTCCTGAGAAGTCCAAAGCAGAAAGATCTTCCACTTGGAGGAGGTTGCCATTTCCTGCTCCTACCATGCCTTTCATCCGTGTTGCTTCAATCTCAGGAGGAAGCCTTCCGGTTGTTGTCCCTCTGGACATAGAGTTGTGTGCCTCTTGAGCTCTCCAGGATTCTCTGTGCATCTGCACCATCTGACTGTAAGGTGACGTTTGACGAAGTATTTCTGGTCGTGTCTTTGCCACAGGAGTAGGATTTTTTAACTTTGATCACTGTCAGTAAGTCATACAAAGCCATACAAAGCCATACAATGTACCCATTATTCTGAAAAGCACAATACACGCCTAGGACGGGGCATCTTGGGACAAGAAACTCTTCATCGCATTGAAAGAATGGTCTGTTGGATTTGTTGTGCTTTGACTATTTAGCGCCTCGGCTGGATTTCCTTTTAGAGAAGTCGCTGCTTTACGGCGGCAAGAATACTTCATGCTCTCAACAGCCTCACATCCAAGAATGCCTTTTTCTCTGGTGGCTAGGGATCATGATATGTCCCTGTGTGTTGATTGTTTCTACAAGGTTTTGTTGCCAGTTATGCAAAGATAAACAAGGAAATATTCTGAGCATGGGGGATGGCTGAGAGTTCACGTCAATCTGATGTCGTGACTTCGACTTTGTATCTGTATGCCATCCAGATCTCTTCAAGACTACCAAAATCGAGATGCAGTCTAATGCAAGGTATATACTTGGAAGGAGAAGGATCGTTGGATCAAACTGACTCTCCAATTCTGTATGTTGAGGAGCGTTTCAAGGTCCATACTGATGCTGTTCACCCGTCATTCGTAACTTTACTGAGAGTCTGCTTCTTGACTGAAAATGGAGTACTATACGCCATAGTGGTATACAGAGATCATGAAGCCCCTGTCGTGGTCCTTTAACTCAAGGTAAGAGAATGGTAAATCATCTGCAAAGATCATAGCCAAAGTTTTCGAGTGAAGAATTGTTACATTGGTAGTATCGATCGCTAACAGAAGGCTAGAAAGAAGTAGCCTTTTCGAGATTTCTGCCCTAGTAGAATACATATGACCATATTGATGCACGCCCGTTTACTTCTTCGAGACGCTGTCCTCGCCGGCATGGACATTGAGGCCAAGACCCTGAGCATCGAGATAGAGTTTGTTCTTGCCTCCCGCTTCTTGCAGAATGCTTGCAATGTTGCGAGCATTCTCTATTTGCCTCAATTCGACATAACTTCTGCTCTTCTTGATAGCATCGCCAATCAATTCGGCGGATCTGGCTTCACCCTGAGCCCGAACGACCGTTGCCTGTTTCTCCTGTCTCGCCTTGTCAACAATGAAGGCTGCTCTCTGAGCCTCTTGTTGTGCAACTTGCTTCGCCTCGACGGCAGCGGTGAACTCAGGCGAGAAAGAGAGGTGCGTCAGCGAGACATCGTCAAGCATGATATTGAATCTTGCAGCTCTTCTCGTAAGGTTATCCCGGACTAATCTGGCAACATTTTCTCGCTGTGTGATCAATTGACTGGCGTTGAACTGCGCCACCACGCTTTTGAGAACTTCGTTGACGATTGACGGCAGTACTCGCTCGTCGTAGTCAGTACCAAGGGTACGGTAGATCTGAGGTAGTGCTTCAACTCGAGGTCTGGACAATACACGGCATGTGATGTTGACCATCTGGAGATCCTTCGTTCCGGTCAAGGATGCGACGTTTCTCGGCTTCGCTCGTACATCGTAATCGATAGGTGTTTCGAACCAAGGTATCCGTAGATGTGTGCCTGAAAGTCTGTCAGTTACCGCCATACATGGTCCGTAACTACTTACCTTCGTTATAGATCTCTTTTGACACTCCAGATACCCTAGTGTACTTGATCGCGCGGTGACCACCGTCAACTGTTTCTGTCAGACAGGCTCATACAGAGGTCCCCGGGGCATAAATACCGTTGAATATGGAGTTGGACAAGACCACTCCGGCAACGCCCAAACCGATCAAAGCAATAAGACCTCGACCTGCAGCACCGCCTCCCGGAACTCCTCCGAAGCCTTGACCACGACGCTGCTGCAGCGTCCTCTGGATCTGTTGAAAGTGTTCTCTAGGATCGTACGACATGACTGGCGGTCGAGGTTGAGAGATGCAGTGGTGGACAAGCTGCTCTGGAAAGGCGTTCGGCAGGCAAACGTCGATGATGATCCACGACTTTATTACGAGCTAGTCAATACTTCTTCTGCGGAGTCGCTACTTGCCGCTGCTGGCTGGCAAGCTTGGCAGCTAAAATGGATTAGAAACATGCTGCTTTTTCAGCCCGTTTTCACGCTCGGGGGTCAACCGAATAACATTAAGCAAAACCCTTGAGTGATTGTGATCAAAGATCATTCAGGTTGGAGGACGCCATTACAGACATACCTCGGAGCAATTTACGAGATGTTCAATTCCGGAGGAAAAATGCCTCTGTGGTAACCCGTCGCGTCCCATGTATTTCGGTCGACAAGAGCGGCATCATTCTTGTCCCTTTTCATCCGTAGGCCTAACATTATTCTAGTCGACATCTCCATCTCCATCTCCGTTACAGGCATGCGCAGGCCGTAGTCAAATTGTCCCATTCATACGATTACTTGCGAATTGCTGGATCCCATTGCATATTTCTGGATAGAGCGTCCCTCGGTCACTCCCTCAAGATGGCGCCTGGTCAAAGTCGCAGTGTCTTCGTGGGCAACATCCCTTTCAGTGAGTCGCATAAACCTCGCGCCGCTTCTCAAGGCCTATGCTAATACTGTCTAGATTTGAGCGAGGAGTACATTATCAAGATACTCAACTATGCAGGCACTGTCGTCAAGTTTCGCCTGATGACCAATCCGGACACTGGCAAATCAAAAGGCTTCGGTTTCGCAGATTTCCAAGACGCAGATTCCGCAGCCAACGCAGTCCGAAATTTGAACGACTTCGAAATTGAAGGGCGCAAAATACGAGTGGATTGGCCTCACAACAACGAGAAAGACTCGGTGCCGGCAAACTATGATCAGACAACTGCGCCAGGTGCAGACGGCTTCCAACATCCTGGGCCAAATGCGCTTCCTCCTCTGCCAGCCGGTGTTGACCTTCCACCAAACCTCAGAGCCACCGATGCCATTTCACAAACGCTCTCGAATCTCTCTCCTCCGCAGCTTCTTGATGTCCTCACACAAATGAAGGCTTTGGCCATCTCGGATTCTGCGAGGGCAACGTCCCTCCTCAAAACCGCTCCACAACTTTCCTTTGCAATATTTCAAGCCCTGATCTTGATGAATCTGGTCGACCCCAAAGTCCTGGCCCAGGTCGTCGAACAAGCTGCGAGACCAGCCCAGCCCGCTGCTGTCCCTCCTCCGCAGCCTACTCCTCAACAGTATCCTCCACCCATGATGCCGGGTCAAGTCCCGGCTAGACCACAGCCGCCACCACAACAGTATGCTCCTCCACCAGCCCAGCAGCAGCCTCCGCCACAGGCACAACCCCAACTATCTCAACAAGAGATGATTCAGCAGATTCTAGCGATGGACCAGCGGACCATTGACTCGTTCTCGCCTACCGAGAGGGCGCAAATCATGCAAATCCGAGCACAGATGGGAATTCGATGAACAAGCAAGTCCTCATCATCACAACAGACGATGGTTGGCCAGTCTTTGGAATACCCTGTCTCCTCGTTCACGCCATATTAATGGCCGCTATGAACAGCAGCGCCGTGTCATGGATGTAAACAAGGCTCGATTCGCGTGCTGACAACATCCGAGCTGCAACATGCTGGCCGACTTTTCGACAGGTGGAGTCGCAACATTTAAACGAACGAACTAGCGATCTCGCGTAACGACCACACGGCTCGACATTCAGCGCGGATTCATCGCCTATCAATCATTGCAACGCCCACGATCGGCACTACTGCAGATGAGCGTGAGAAGGAAGCATGACCGCCTTTGTAGTCCTCGACACTGAAGGATGGATAGTGTCTATATGATTTTCGACCAGGGGATCTCCGCCCCGTTGGTTGAGGCTGGAATAGTCAAGCGTATAATATCAAGGTCTCCCTTGAGTTGATAGATACTTGTAAACCTGCATCACGTTCAAAGACAAGGAACATCATATGCAGCTGAAATCCAATTGATCTGTCTCCAAGCGAACAACGTCTTCAAGGGGGGGTATCACAGTTTTGTCAGTACCTAAAATTATCCACACCTCACGCACTCCATTACTCGCCCGCGAATTCGCTTTGAACTTGCTCGTCTCGTAAAACCCCGCGCCCAACGTGAAACTAAATACACAACACTCTTGCGCAAGTCTCGTCATGGAAGCACACACACTCTGCGACCCCCCAACGTCAAATGTCTCCCTTGCTAGCCGGGCTCGTCCCGATGCCTTCGTCTGTATGCGCGGTGGACGGCCTCAGCGGACTGCCCTTCCTGCCGATACTACCCGCACCATCACCCTGCCGCCTCAGCCACGACGCTCGGCCACCGCCGCCGCCGCGACCACTCCTCTCCCTGTCGACGAGCGGCGATCCCAGCGGTGACGACGCGAGCCCGGGCGCATCCCTCGGACTCCCGGGACTCCCCGCCGCCCAGCCACCTTCGTCCGCGGCGCCGGAGGGAGTCATCGCCGGGCTGCCACCGCCGCCCGCGTAGTACTGGTACTCCTCGCCGCGTCTCTTCATGGGGCTCTCGTCGTACGGGTCCCAGCCGACCCTCCTCCTCGCCTCGGCGCGGAGGGCCTGCCTGTAATGCTCGTCGCCGCCGGCCCCCGTCGTCGCGCTCTCCTCGAGGAAGAAGTTGAGCAGTTCGTCCGTGATGCTCAGGTGCGACTGCTGCTGGAACTGTTGGAGTGAAGTCAGGCGCAGCAAGAGCTCGAGCAGGGACAGCGAAGTCTTGATCCCGTTCACCCAGGGCGGGGACCGGTCTGCCGTGGTGTCCTGCTGTCGCAGCGTCGTCTGGAGCTGCTGCGAGCCGGGACTGCCGCTGCCGTTGATGCGCATGTTCGACATTAAATTGGAAAGCCGTGAGGGTTCGACATCCGCATCCGCGCGGGGGTTGTCGCCTTCTTCGAGTTCGGATTCCGAGTCTTCAGGCTCGGATTCGGTGTACACTTCGAACGCGATCCACTCTGGATCTAGAGACGGTGGAAAACGCCACGGGTCCCGTCGACCGTTGTTGTATTCATCATTCACGGATGCTTTTACAGGTTGGTCTTGATCAGACGGTGAGTCGTCGTCGTCGTCGTCGTCGTCAGGATTATCCTTCTCCATCATTCGTCGTGGCGGAACCGCGTTCAAATCGCGCTTTAGGAGTAAGACCGGATGATTGCTTTCTGCATCAGACCCAATATTCAGAACTTTACTCGTGTCGGCGTAGAAGATCTTGGAGATTTCGTGGACAGGGATCGTCTCACGGATTCCGGCGAGCAAGACGTCGTCAAAAGGCCCCGGGCGTGCTTGATCGTCTTCGAAATCGTGTACGCGATCGTCATCAAAGTCCTCGATTATCATGATTTGGTACGCATATTCATCAGCACGATTGTTGGCTGGTATGATTCGTGATCGTGAGAATGGTGATGACGTGGGAATCTCATCGGAAGACATGTTGTCAGTTCCCGATGTTAAATTCGTGACGGTGTCGAGAGGGACACGGCGCAGTTTGACCCGAGCTTTGTGAATGACTTCTTTCCACGTCGTCTCTCGAATTTCTTCTTCGTTTTGTGGGCGATCGTGCCCGGCAAAAAGCATGTACACGGTCAACGTGAAGGTCGGTCCAATTTGTACGGCTCGCTGTGGAGTGATTGAGTATTGTGTGTCGCCGGCCGTGAGGAATGTGCTGGCCTGTAACAGGCGGGACGGCGAGACGGTGTGAGGGAGGCTTGTCGACAGGCTTGCGCCGGAAGTAGTGATGGCCAAGTTGATCAGAGGAATGGCGTCCTCGAGTCGTCTGAGCAGTTGTTTGATGTCAGCGACGATTAGCTTGAGTTCATACTCGCTTTGAGCTCTGGCTTGACTGCTGAGTTTGCTTTTGTTTGCAGTCTCAGATGCATCTGCCGCCTGTGCGAGTCGCTGACCGAGGGACTGGATTTCCAAACGCAATTCTTTCGTCAATGAGACTGCTGACTCTAGCGATGTGTTTCCTCTGGCTGCTATCAATTCGATCATGTCAATCGCGGGTGAAATGATACGAATCTTGTGCTGAAGTTGCTGCTGTGCCACCAGTAGCTCGTCCTTCGCGTTGCTCTTCGGCGCGTTGCTCAGAAGTTTGTTTGACTGTCTGATGGCATAAGACGCCGTCAAGGCCACTCCGGAGCGGATGGCATAGTTCATTGCCTGCTGGGTCACTTTTCCCAGGAAGTAATCCATATTGCTTGCAAAAGGTACCGAGATCAACAGGGGTTGGGTTGGTGTTTTCAAAAAGAGCCTCTCAAATTGAAGTCTTAGCGACAAAAACAAGCAATATCAACTGGAAGGACGCTCTTCACCCTCACTTACAGAAGGCTGTTATCGCCCACCTTTGTCACCTTGCCGAATGTTGGTCATCTCATAACATGTTGGCGGGAAATATTTGTTCAATGCCTAGTATTTCCGTTCAGTGTGCCGTTTGCCCTTTACGCGGTGACGCCTTCAGCTTTAAACGACCTTTTATCCTCTCAAGTATTGTAGACCCTAGTTGGAGTAGTTGATCAAATTCGATAGCCAAATTCTAGTAGCTCCCTCGTTGAAACCGTCTAGTAGGACTCATACTGATAAATATGGTACTTGTAAACAACCAAATTGTTTGAGGGCGCGTCATTCAAGCGACTACGTCATTTGAAAAGCAGCGGCATTATATATGAATGGCTTGACAGACAGCACAAGCACCGCCACCGGAGTGGAAGGTCAGCCGAGGGAAGGACAAAGCCTCAAGGCTGATATGGACTCGGCGAGGCTGAGACTCCCGACCAAGGCCAGTATGGACCAGTACTCCTAGGCGCCGTCTAACAATTTGTATTAAGCAAAAACCTCGGTACGAAGTGCAATTCCTACAGTATTGTATATTCCTTGTTACTTTCCCAAAGCAGGTTATGATCCATCGAACTATAGTACAATAGAGAACGTAACTGGTCTTTAAAGAGTGTAGTTGAACACCTTTGATTTCCCGACAATAATTACCTCAATTTTGATAGTACTCTAGGTACTTTGTTCCTCCGGACAGATTGATGAACCGATACAGAAATGAAACCTGATCAGATAGAGATACAAAGTACTGAGTATGGAGTACGGATTTGTCAGAAATACTACCTATCCTCTTCAAGGATCCATCGCTTCAGTCCGTCACACGCAGGCTTCGAGTGGCTTGCCTTGCTATTGTAATTCCTCCACACGTCCGCCGGCTGAGCTCAAATCGACCAGATTAGACGCCACCTCCTTCTTACCTGAGCCCTCCCAGTTCAATCAATACAAGACATTCTTTCCGGGCCTACGGAGTAAAGGCAAGAGGAGTAAAAGTCTGCGCGGCCTACCCTCTCACTCGTTGGACCGTGTTCTCCATTTCCATAGGTTCATCATCCGCCTCCTTGGCCTGAGCAGTCTGCCGGGCGGTTTTACCAATCACCATACCGTCGTAATCTCTGCTCTTGTCGACGGTGCGCAAATCCAGGTCCTTCAACAACGACACGGTGAGCAACTCGACGCTCGCCAGCACGAGCGCGACAATGATCAAGATCCGCATCGTGTCGTCGTATGCCGCGTTGATGGCGGTGCGTTCAGCAGTGCCCCATGGGTATTGGATCGCGATGACGGCGGAGCCATAAATCTGCGGGATCTCTGCCTGTAGGCTCGTCGGCAGCCTTGCGACAAGGCGGTTGGGAAGTACGTCTGTGGACAGAGAGAATATGTTAGTGAAAAAAATGATTAACAGCAAAGAACTACCGGAGTCAGAAGCTGTCGGGGGTTGGCACTCAACTGGTCCAGATGCCGCCTCCTATGGCGCTGCCGATGGCTCCTCCCAGACCACAGAAAGTAACAAACGCTGCAACTATCGATGCGAGCACTGCCCATAAAGGTTTGTAAAAGTTAGCAATGCTCAAGCTTTTTCCTTTGGAAACGCGTCGCAGCACACGCCCCGAAAACGAGTGCCGTTAGCAAGGAGGGAGAGGGAGGGTACACGACTCACACTTCTCGGTGACAGAGGCTTGCATGCCCGTTATGATGGTGTTGAAAACGCCCTCCCCGAGACCCTGGAGAACTTGTGCTACGGCCAACGACGCCAGTGGGGACTCTTCTCGGTACCGCAGCATCAAGCCCAGGCCCAGCACTTTCATTCCCACCCCAAAGATGGAGATCCATTTGTATCGACCAAAGTACTTGGCGGCGACGCCGGCTCCCAACTGCCCGATGACGGCGCAGAACGGTATGATGATTGACACGTTGGTCGCGGCTCGGACACTCAAGTTCCGCACAACCAGGAGATACGTGTAAAGATATGCGGAGGTGGTGTACCAGGAGCCGTAATCGAAGATGCACGCTTTGTCCAGTATCAGTACCTGCAGGATCAAATATTCGCTTGACCTGAAGTATTATCGCAACACTTACCAATGACACCAAATGACACTGTCCGTTCTCTCAATATGCCGACGGGAATGACGGGCCATTGTGCCCACTTGCACTCCCAGCAGATGAAGGCCACCAGCAAACACACCCCGAGGACTATCATTGCGATGATGTGTCCGCTCTTCCAGGCGTTCGTGGCAGACGATGCCAGCGTAATGGGGACGAGGATGAGTGCCATTGCCGCGATGAAGAGGATCAGGCCAATAGGGTCGAGTTGCCGCAGGACATGCAGGTGATGCTGGAGTCTCCTTCCGGATGCTGTCTCAATATTGTGAGACTTTGCTGCCTTTCTCTGGTTGTACAACAGTGTTCCGAGTAGAGGGATAGATATCACAGGAATCTATGTCCGATAATTTTAGCCGATAGTCCTAACAAAAACCCTGGATATGGATGGAGGAAAGATTTACGATGATTGCAAACACGCCATAACCCCACCGCCATGTGGTGTCGTTGAGGACTGCAGAGGTCACGCTACTGGCTGTCTGTACATGCTTTGGTTAACCACAATCTTCGAGGTTGAAAGCAATGCAATGAGAGACCAACCCAGGCTGTAACGAGGCCAGGAGCATAAGGCACCACATTCATCAGAGCACGATGCCGGAGATCACTGGAATCTGTTCATATGTTAGGTTGAAGACATCCTGCCGTGTTGTCAGACACAGGGACACATACCTCCAGCTAAGATCACCAGGAGGAGATGTAAGCCTATATGGCGTGAAGGAAGAAACATCAGCCACCACTCTACCGTTAATCCAGCCGCTTATCTGAGTAAGGCTTACCAACAATACCGATCGTGAAGAACACTTGTGCACCTGCAAAGGTCTGCATGTTGTGAGCCGAGGCTAGCAGGATCTCACCAAGTGTCGCAAGTAAAACACACGCGCACAGCAGCGGCAATCGCCTACGACAATCTTGTTAGACAAGGGTGAAGACTTGCGCTGCCGACTCTTTCAACCTACCCATACACATCTGCAAGCTTTGCCAAGGGCTGCTGGATGACTGGCCGTACATGTCAGTCTGGATCCCGTTGCTTGTGCTTTGAAAAGGTGAGTACTCACCTGCGACGACATTCTGCACGACGGCCACCGAGCTGAGAAGACCCAAGTGTCCAAATTCGCTGGCGGCATAAGGCTGGTACGTGGAGAACGTCTGTTGGTCATAGCTGATGGCAAAGCTGACCAAGACGGCACTGGTCCATAGAAGCCAGATGGTCTTGACACTCCAAGTCTTCTTCACTGCCCCAATCGTGGAGAGGCCGGCGAGTTGCCCCTGCTGCGAACCACTTTTCTGAGATGACTGGAGCTCCAGTTGCTCTGGTGTTGCGCGAGGCAAGTCTTTCAGATCCCCGTGGTCTGTAGAAGCCATGGCGTGAGGCGAGTTGCTCTTCTCCTGTTCTCGGCAGATTTGGTCCAAGTGACGGGTCTGGGAGTGACCGATGAATGGACGGACGACGCTTTCGGTCTCTTATACCCTGGGGTTCTCTGTTATCTGGGGGTTGGCCTCCCGTCCCAACCGAGCGTTCTAGACACACGCAGAGATAAGAACGGTGCCGACACCGTCGACCGACCAAGCCATCGAGTCTAGGGATGCAGCACTTGAGTCGCATCTTCCCTTGCCATCCTTGATCTTATTGATAGCCCGTAAGAGCGTGTCGTCGGAAATCATGCACATCTCGTCGTTCCCGCTTTCCTAATGTGTCTAGCGTCGTCGCTTTGATCAAACCAGTCTCCACCGCTTGTACCTCCACATGAAGACTTCCGTTCTAGAGACTGCGATTGGTGGCGTTGCTCGCCCACCCATCGGAGTGTCTCTCGCACCATGCAGAACAAGACTTGAGCGTGGAGACAGATCCGATACCAGGCAACAGCGACTTCGGAAAGGAGGATAGAAGGCCTGGCCGCGGAGCCATGTACTTAAGTATCACCGGGCTCTAGGCGGGCCTCGTAAATTGACAGCAGCTGCTACTATCATCCGATAATAATGGCAGTTGGAAAGGATACTCTTTGGACCGACACCGTAGTTGCGGACAGTGCCAAATCCCTCACGGACTCCCATGTCGAACATGAGCCTGCAATCACTGCTGGCAGTCATGTCATCAGCGACGAAGTTGTAGGATCTTTTGAATGCCCTTTCACAAGAGACTTCGACACTCTCGTCCAGAACACGCTTGACCAATGGCACATTCAGGGTATGTCGATTGCGGTCGTGCATGGCGACAAGACTTGGACCAAGGTAACTTGCATTGACTTTCCTTGAAGAAGACGAGAAAAGATGGGCCGTTATTTCGCCGGTTTGACTGACATAACATACTTATTACGCAGGGTTACGGCCATTCCATTCTGCCCGACGAGCCCGTGCAGCCGACCACGCTCTTCTACACCGGGAGCACCACGAAGTCATTCCTAGCCGCAGCGGTATCGACCTTGGTTCACGACAACGACAAATTCGGCGAGATTCAATGGGACACTCCCCTCAATCAGCTTATTCGAGATGACTTTGTGCTGCAGGACCACTATGCCACCTCTCACGTGACGATTGAAGACGCCCTTTCCCACCGCACTGGGATGCCGGGCCACACACTGACATTCGGCGGCAGTACCCTGAAAGAGTCGGTCCGGAGTCTACGCCATCTGTACATGAACAAGCCCATCAGGACGACGTGGCAATACTGCAATCTGATGTACATGGCTGTGTCTCACATGGTTGAGGTGGTGACAGGATCGTGGCTGGGCGACTTTATGAAGAAGCGCATCTGGGAGCCTCTGGGCATGAAGCAGACCTTTTTCAAGCTAGCCGACGCCGAAGAGTACGTGCGCCAGCACCACCCAGAGTGCCAGATCGCCGTGGGATATTCCTGGGACAAGACCAATGAGGTGGCCAAAGCGGTACCCTGTTGGCGCGACATGGTTGTTTCTGGCGCTGGAGCAATCATTTCTTCTGCCGAAGACTATGCCAAGTACCTCCGAATGATGATCGAACAGCCTCAGGATGGCCCGCTGCCCAATCAATCGTACACAGACGTGACGAGTCCGCGGACAATCATGCCACCCTTTGACCCGCACTATTCACAAACTCTCTTGTATGCTCTGGGCTGGATCATCGGGGTGTATAACGGCGAAACCGTCGTATCCCACGGAGGCGGCCTCGAGGGGTTTTCCACTGGTATGCTGTACCTCCCAGCGCGGAAATTCGGAGTGGCAATCCTGGCGAATACGCAAAGTCGAGGCACCGAAGTGCCTGCGTGGCATCTGATTGATAATCTGCTAAATGTCCCCCTGGAGAAACGAGTCGACATGTTTGAGTGGTAAGGAACAGACACAACTTGATACCTGAGTTTTGAAGACGGGTCGATTGCAAGTTCGGCGAAAGCTAGCTAACTGGGAGCCTACTAGGAATGAGAATGCCGAAGCCGAGAATAAGAAGCAGATCGCCTCAGCCCCTGCTCGTCTCTACCCATCGGTGCCTTCACCGGGATTGTCGTTGACGTTGCCCCTGTCAGCATACACTGGAACATATACCAATGATGCATACAGACCCTTTGTCATCTCTCTCACAGATGAGCCAGATGCCAAACTTCGTGCAGTCACCGAAGGACCTGTCCAAGTGGTCTTAAGTCTCGTACACGTTACTGGGGAGCATTTTGTGGCAAACATGTTCTTATTCACCCATGCTACGGAACCTTTGGCGGCATTGAAGGCCCAGTTCAAGATAGGCATTCAGGGAAAAGTCAGCGAATTTGGAGCCGAGCTGGACTTCTTATCTGGTGGTGGAGCCATGATATGGTTTAAGCGGATAGAAGAGTAATTGAGCACACGTATAACAGCCATGGGAGGTGCTCGCTGGATTGCGCATTTAAAGACTAGTTGCGTAGTTTTGCCAGGCACCCTACGTATTCGCTCTCGATCTTAATAGAATGTAGTAGCGCCAGGGGCAGAGAGTGGTGGGAATGTCTTGACATATTCAGCTTCTCCTTTCGGAATGTATGAGAGAGTGATAATGGCTTCGGACAGCGCTCGTATTCGCAAGGTCGGACCTAGCTCAAAAGTATTAAGGGGACAAGCAGGTTCTGCAGGTCTATACTCGGGACTATCGCAAGATATCTCCCAAAGGTATAATTGAAATAGCTCGCGAGAACGCTTTTGATCTCGCCAACTGTCAATCGTACGAGGGCCTGACGACGCCGAGGTCAATACGGCCTCAGTGAGTGTATTGAAAACGAGCGTGCATTGTTATCTCGAGCGGTGTAGCAACCGAGGCAAACCGAAACAGCCGGACGTGTTTTGAGGATCCATTGTTGTCCATTCTCCCCCACAAATTCCACGAGTGATTCTAGCCGTGGTGCTCTTGTTGTGCAAAGGGTCAGCAGTTTTCGAATGTACAAGATAACTGAACAGGGCGTAAACTAGCCTAGGGAGTGTTCTTGGTACCGACTTTGCGATAGTGGTAGAGGAGAAGGAGGAGCGAGCGGTTGTCCTCGGATAGACAGACTGCCAGGAGCTAGCTGCTGGTGCCATATGCGGAAAGCGGGAACGACGACGCCAGTGTCTCATGCGAATTTTTCTCGACTCACAATTGAATGGTCTATGGGAGATCTCGATCATGAAAGATAAAAAGGCTTGCGCAAATACCGCCCTTGCAACGTCACGTTCCAGGTCCTCTTCCCGCCTTCCCGGGACTTCGACACTTGCTCTCACAGGCTTGTACCACGGACACGGATCGATATGGCGGCGGAAGGACGAATCAGGGAAGCGGCGTATGGGACATGGGACAGCCCAATCTCTCCAGAACTCGTGTCAAATGCCGTGCTCCGTTTCGATGCGGTGTCCGTCCACGTAGGTTGTGTTCTGGGCGGCAGACGACACGAGTCTCAAGTAGCCGATGCAAAAGTGATCGATTTTGCTAATATTTGATAGGAAGCCACGGGCAAGGTGTACCTGACCGAGATGCGTCCATCAGAGAGCGGGCGAGCCTGCATTGTCGAATTTGACCTCTCTACGGGAGTTCAGCGAGATGTTCTCCCCGCAGAGTTGAGCGCCAGATCCTGCGTCCATGGGTACGGAGGTGGTGCTGTCAGTGTGGATCAGAGACTTGGGAGACTCATCATCACCGATTTCAAGACTCACGGCGTCTTCTCAGTTGACCCCGCGTCTGGAGTTGTGGAATCGCTGATCGGAGGTGATCCAAAAGTGTTCTTTGGCGATTTCGACGCGAGCCTGAAGGACCCGAACTGGGTTCTGGCCATCCAGGAGGATCACAGAATTGCTCCCACTAGCAACAAGGTCGTCGCCATCAATATATCCAACAAAGAGTTTATTGTTCTCGCACAAGGAGCTGATTTCTATACCCATCCAAAGTTCAGTCCTGATGGATCCTCAATCTGCTGGTTACAGTGGAATTTCCCAAATATGCCGTGGGACAGCGCCGAACTGCACGTTGCTAACTTTGACGACGGTGCCCTCAGCGAGGAATATGTAGTGGCGGGAAAGCAAGGCAACGAGAGCATCCAGCAGCCTCGCTGGAATTCTGATGGTACTCTGCTGTTCTGTGGTGATCGTACTGGCTACTGGCAGTTATACCGTCATGACCCACGGACCAATAAGACGTTGCACATCAATCTGCCGACATTGCAAAATGCCGAGTTTGCATGGCCTGAGTTCTTCCTAGGAAGGTATGTTAGAGAAGAGATGTTGGAGAGATTTGTGGGCTGACACTATTAACTCTGTAGTAAATCATATGCATGCTTGACATCAAACCTTGTCGTAGCCATGTATATGCTTAACGGTCAATTCGGAATGTGCCTCATCGACCTGCTTCAGCAGACCTGTTGTGACCTTGATTCCAGTTACACCAGCCCAGGCTTCCAGACTGATGCTCTCCACCGCATCTCTGGGACCGAGTTCGTCGCAATAGTCAGCAGCGAAGACGGACCTATGAGTCTTACAGTCCACCGATTGTCTAATGCCGGTTCTCTTGTGGACGTTCATTGCTTGAAAACTGTCGTCGCTTGGGATATGTTGCCACCCAAAGAGTGGATTTCCAAACCACAATTCATATCATTTCCCCGAGTTGGGACAGCTTTCACCGGCAACTCTCACGCAATCTTTTGGCCGCCAACAACCCCCTTCTTCCAGGCTCCGGCCGGCTCTTTGCCTCCTTTGATTGTTTCTGTGCACGGGGGACCAACCCACGATGCCAAGGCTTCACTGTCAATGGAAATCCAATATTGGACAACCAGAGGCTTCGCGTGGGTCGATGTGAACTATGCCGGCTCGAGCGGTTATGGACGAGAGTACCGCGAGCTTCTCAAGGGTAATTGGGGAGTCATAGACGCCGAGGACGTGGTTAGCTGTGTACACTACCTTGCTTCACGGTCTATTATTGACCGGTCCCGTGTCGGCATTCGAGGTGGCAGTGCCGGAGGATATGCTGTTTTACGATGCATGACGGAATATCCTGAAGTATGGGCAGGTGGCATCTCGTTATTTGGGGTCTGTTGTTTGCAGACATTGGAAAAGACAACTCACAAGTTCGAATCGCGATATCTCGAAGGACTACTGCTCCCCCGGTCTCCAGTGAGTGCAGAAGAGAAGGAACGTCTTTATCAGGAGCGCAGCCCGCTATACCACGCTCAGCAGATCAAGGCACCTGTATTGCTCCTGCAAGGTAGGGAGGACATAGTTGTGCCGCCTGACCAGGCGGAGATGATGGAAAGTGCCATCAAGGAGGCTATAAGAGAGAGGGACAATTCCATGGTTCCGGAAGACCTGGTCAAGGTTGTCATATACGAAGGAGAAGGACATGGCTTCATCAAAGCCCACACCCTGATCAGCCAAAAGGCAGAGGAAGTTGCCTGGTGGAGCAAGACGCTGCTGAGGCCCACCTAGAGAGAATTGTCCAAGGTTTTGTCTCTCTTTAAAGAGAGAGGACTAACACCGAGTTCCACAGAAGACCTGTGTTCCAATCCTTTCCACACATTGCGACTCCAAAGTGTGCTCCAGGTCTGTAAATCTCATCTCGATCCAAATTCGTGGGCTCTAGGAGACTAAGGATGTAGCAATCTCGGCTTTGTTGTTTCATGGCGATAACCTCTTGCAAATTCCTTAGAACAATTGAATTCGGAAAAGTTCCATCAATCTCTATGCCAAAATTGTCAAGACGCCGGATGTAACTCTCCACCCAGTTTCCCACAGCCCGGTCAGGACACCAACCAGCACAAAAACCGAGGAGGGAGCCAATCCCGATTGCGGAAGACTTCGACGTTGGGTCGCAGTCTTGGAAGGAAAGACCTGCTGCTATACGTAGGATGAGCAGTTCCCATTCGGTAATCGAGGGTAGGGAGGTCGTTGCTGAAGTTTGATCATCTACAATTCTTTCCCAGAAGTCGGTCGAGCAGAGCAGCCGGGCAGCCGCGTAATATGCATAATCCATGGCCGAGTTGTGCGTGCGTAGTTTCAAGGCCGGGACAAGAAGAGCGCCACCGATCGTCCTTGAGTGCTGTGGGCGAGAAGGGGAACAGGCGATGGGGAGCTCGGCATCATCGAGCTGTGAGTACCAGTGTTCTAGCCTTCCTCTCTGGTCGGACAAAGAGTTCTGGTAGGCCTCGCTGATGGCAGCCAACTCAGGCTGCGAGACCCCGCTTCTTGACATTGGTAGCCCTGCATGTTTCAGCATTGAGCAGAAATTTGGATGTCGGTTCCCTTCTTGGGCGAATGCTATATCCCGACAGACGGCAAAATCTAGGATGATCTTGCGTGAGAGCTCTATTCCCTCGCAGAGAATCATGATGATTGTATCACTCGTTGTGTGGAGGGCAGTCAGGGTATCTTCCACGGCATCCACTGTCCTCAACCTCCAGAGTGATGGTACCTCGTGCCTTGCGTCAGCAAAAGCAAGGGAGATCCTTCGATTCACAACAAGCGATCGGCATGTCAGCCACGTGGAAAGAAGTCTCTTGCCCAGTTGCGTTGAAGTTAGCTGGTCTCGAAAGAAAGGAAGCACTTTGTCCATCCCATCCATGTGAGTGAGGACTCCGGAGAAGGACCCAATGTCTAGTTCAACGAAATGAAACAATAGTAAAGTGGCAAATACATCCTGTGCTTGATCGGCTGATGCTGTAGGCATCACATCCGCCAAAAGTCTCATGGCGGTACTGTAATAGTTCAAGCTGCGAAGGCGGTGTTCGTTCTTCATGAAGGCTTCTCTGCGTGGCTGTAATCCGGGTTCACCAACAGCTGATGACACCGACCGAGCAAAGTGTATGCTGGAGACAGCTAGTAAGACGTTCTTGAGAGGAATAAATTGCGGTGGCGTAGCAGTGATATGGTCGAATACTTGGGGCAAGAACTCGACAACTCTCGTTCGCCAATGATGCCAGTAGATCTCGTCCATGCATTTCGAATTATTCGATGCGAGTGAGGTTGGAAACAAGGTGGTGGGATGAGCTAGGTCCAAGAGATAAGACTTCTCACCAACGCACGACGGCTCCTTGTCATAAAGGGTGGCCGAAGCACAATTGAAGACAGAAGCAATGCCTTTGAGCCTGAAGCATTCGATTTCAGCACTATTCTCAAAGGTCTCCGGGGTTGATGGAGCGTTGACAACAATATCTGGATAAGGGGTAAAGAAAACGGAAGATAGTACTGGCGAGGCGGCATGCGTCGGTGTTCTCGTCTTCGAGGGCGGGCTTCCACCTGACCTCGAGCCAGGAACATAGATAGGGCCCCATTCCGCAAACCTGACGGTCTGTTCGACAGGCTTGCCCGTCTGAGCGTGGAATTGGAACCTCGGTCGAGTATTGTATCCTTCACAATCAAGGGCCAGTCTAACGCAAGCATTGCAATGCGGTCGCCTTTGATCACACTGCTTACGGTAAGAAGAGTACCATGAGAGATAGCAGGTACATCAGATTTGGAATTGACATACTCACCTTCACTCGCCGTCGACGGCAATTGTGGCATCCATTGCGGGTGCGGGTTATGCTTGTTTTCTTCGGCCGCGAGCTGAGATTGGGCATGCTTCAACGGCCATGGGCATCCTGGGGTGCAAGTCTAGGCAACTGGTAATATGTGATCGGTAGAGATTAGATGGTTGTTCCAAGCAGGGAGTTTGGCTCAACGTTGTAAGCCTTTGTAGAGGGCAATCGATAGGGAAGAACCAGATAGACTGGTATCGTCTAGGTGACCTTTGGTGTCCCGCCAGGATTTGCGAGTTGGTGGTGAGCAAGGCGGCATCACCTGGTTTCCTAATTGGGGGGGAGCAGTTCGGCCAAACCTTGGCAAAGTTCAAAAACTCGGGCCCCTCCAATGTCCATTGCTGCGCCCATCAGTCGATTGAGGCCCAACTCGACAAGCCAACGATTTCCCTCACTGACTCACTCACTACTGGATCGTGAGATTGTCCGTACGAGGACCCTAGAATTTGCGTCTCAACGCTGCTCAGTCAATCGACACTCCACCACTCTCAAAATGTCGGGCAACTTCGATTCCTGGGAAGACGCTGCGGCGCAAGATGAGGATCTTTCAAGACAGACACAAAACATGAACATCAACGCCAACGCTTTCAGGCCTGGGGCCTCTTCATTTCAGCCTGGGGCTAACTCTTTCCAACCGGGCCAGCAGTACCAACAGAATGGCTATCAGAGCTATGGCTACGGCCAACAGCAGGGATACAACCAATTTGCACAATACGGGCAAGGCTACAACAATCAATACCCCCAATATCAACAACAGCAACAGCAACAGCCACAGCAAGGCTACAACCAACAATATAACGGACAGTTTGCTGCATATAATCAAACCCCCGGCGGCTTTCAGCCACGACAGGGCGCCCCGGTAAGCATCGCCAGACGATCAGATGCACCACCTGCCGCAGCACCAAAGCCAGCACCTCAATCTCAACCAGCTCCTGCTCCAGCTGCTGAGAAAGCCCCCACACCAAAGCCTGCTGCAGCACCTCCGAAGGCTAAAGTCCTATCGATTGGTGTTCCTACCTCCGCATCAGCCTCCCCGAAGAAACCCGCCTCTCCTACCGCCAAAGATGCTCCGTCCAAAGTTGAGACCAAGGCAGATACTAAACCAGAAGCTGGTTCGAAGAAGGTCGCAGCGAAGGCTGTTGAGAAGACTGGTGAAAGAGCATCAGGCAAGACCTCTCCAACACCGTCCTCAGGCAAGTCATCCCCTACTCCAGGGGACTCGAAGAAGGGACGCAATGCCGAAGAAATTGCCGCAGAACAAACAGCCGATGTCGATGCATCTGTGCTCGAAGAGATGTACGGAAAGGAACACGTCAACATCATCTTCATCGGTCACGTTGATGCCGGAAAATCTACCCTAGGCGGTCAAGTCCTCATTCAGACTGGTATGGTGGACGAGCGGACACTGGACAAGTACAAGAGGGACGCGAAAGATGCTGGTCGTGAAACCTGGTATATCTCCTGGGTGCTCGATCTGAACAAGGAAGAACGAGCCAAGGGTAAAACCGTCGAAGTCGGACGAGGGTTTTTCGAGACCGAGAAACGACGATACACAATCCTCGACGCACCCGGTCACAAAACATATGTACCAAACATGCTGAGCGGTGCCGCTCAAGCCGATGTCGCCATTCTTGTCATTTCGGCACGAAAGGGTGAATTTGAGACTGGTTTCGAGAAGGGTGGTCAGACACAAGAACACGCTATGCTGATCAAGACAACCGGCGCAAAGGAACTAGTCGTGGCCGTGAACAAGATGGACGATATTACCGTAGAGTGGTCGAAGGAACGCTACGACGAGATCGTCGGCAAGCTCAAGCCATACCTCAAGAAGCGAATGGGTCTCGAATCGACCTTTATGCCTATCTCGGCGCAGACCGGCATGGGCGTCAAGGACAGAATCCCGAAGAACCTGGCCGGCTGGTACACTGGCCCCTCTCTCCTCGAGTTCCTTGATGGCATGGCGAAGATCCAACGCAACCTCAACGCGCCGTTCATGATGCCCATCGGCGCCAAATACAGAGACATGGGCACCATGGTCGAAGGCCGTGTCGAGGCCGGCGTGATTCAAAAGTCGGCCAACTACATAATGATGCCGAACAAGGAAGAGGTAGGCATCGCCGCCTTGTACGGCGAGACGGAAGAAGAAATCCCCCACGCGGCGTGCGGTGACCAAGTGCGCATGCGACTCCGTGGTATCGAAGAAGAAGACATCCTGCCCGGCTTCGTGCTGTGCTCGCCGAAACGACTCGTGCACTGCGTGCGCGAGTTCGAGGCGCAGATCAACATTGTCGAGCTCAAGTCGATCCTCTCGGCCGGCTTCAACTGCGTGCTGCACGTCCACGCGGCCACGGAAGAGGTCACGTTCGCGGCGCTGTTGCACAAGTTGGAGCCGAGGACGGGTCGCAAGAGCAAGAAGCCCCCTCCGTTCGCGGCAAAGGGTCAGAACATCATCGCCCGCCTGCAGGTCACCAGCGGCGCCGGTCGCATCTGCGTGGAGCGGTTCGAGGACTACCCGCAGCTCGGTCGGTTCACCCTCCGTGACCAAGGTCAGACCATCGCCGTGGGCAAGATCACAAAGTTGATCCTGGACGACGAGTAGCTTGTACTCCCGTATGACCTACGAGGCTTCTTCGACAGGCGCCAGGATATGGTCCTTCGTCAGGCTTCCTCCAACCAAGCCCACGCGTGCGTGGTATGATCCAAAAAGAATTTAACGAACATAAGATGTTTCATAATGTGCATTCGGCGTGTTATGAAGACGGCAGAAGAGGCCTCGAGGGGGTGGGAGTCAGGCCGGAGATCAACACCCATAGAGCAGCAGGTAGAGAAGAAGTGCAAAAACGCACAAACGCAGATGTTTGACCAAGCACTTTTGTCACGTCCATAATGGCTGACCGGCCGACCCTAGTTGCGAATGACCTTGTTTTGTATTCAAGTTTTCAGTCCTGTTACAGTATCAACTAGTCCCATATCCCGTATGATCGCCATTGACTCTTTTTTTCCCCGCCCGAGGCAGGCAGAAATCCGAATCCAAAGTTTCGACTTCGACGGGATCCTCTCGGGTTTCCCACACACCCTGTCTGTGTCTTCCGCTCCCTTCCCTGCTTGATTTTCTTTCCCCTTTGCCTGGGAACAACCAAATCGCGTGACGGGAGAAAACAAAAAGCTCCCAACAAACTACTGTATATCCAGCTTCCTGGCGAGTCCTAAAAGTACATTGAAGTGTGGAGGAAAAGAAACCAGTGGATGTCGTTTTCAAGAGATCAGGACTCGGACCGTGCATTGGGTGGCATCGCCAGGCGGTCCCGGCAAGATCGCACATGGTTTCGAAGGCAGTGATTGACCAGGAACGCGCGAGTGAATGGGTCGGATTTGACCCACAAAGACTGATGATCCTCATTAACAACACAAGATCAAGTCTCGCCGGAATATTTTGAGAAAGTCACAGAATCCGGCGCCGGCCCGGCGATGGATCAGTATTGTGGCACAGGAACGATTTGTGACACCAAGCTTGTGTCGATCCTCATCTTCGGATACCGCCCCAATATCCTTTGTGGAATGCCATGACAACCACATTTACCAGGCGCTCACGTCGAAACTTGCCTAGAAGAAAAAGGAGTCGGGTCAGTATTCTCATTCCCAAGAAGACGCTTTCCAGCTTGACTTACCTCATCAAAGTAAGTAGTAACAACAGTTCGGTCGGCGAATTTCCTGCCCGCCAGAGCCTGCAGTGCTTTCTTGGCTGATTCAGCATCTTCGTACTTGATAAAGATCTTGCCCACACCAGCAGATTGTCTGCTACCTCCTGACGGACGGGGAATCTTCATGGCAACGATAGTGCCGTACTTGGAGCACTCTTCCATGACATCTTCGCAGATTTCTAATTAACAAGTCAGTGAAACGTATTTTGATTAGTCGACCCAACCCGGGAGCTTACCTTCGTAGTCATCGTTGTCGATGAGCTCCTCGGCAGTGACCATGTTGAGCAGCTGAAGAACGCGACCGTCTTCAAAGCTATCTGAAGTGGTGCCTGCGAACATCGACATTGCGTTCACACCCATGTCCAGCCCAGCAGCCTGCGTGAATCCAATACTGGCTCTGGTGACTTTGATAGAATTGCCTGCAAGGTCCATACCGTTCAGGCCCTCCAAAGCCACGCTGGTCACCGTTGGGTCAGAGTACTCGCAGAATGCAATACCCTGCATTTCGTTAGCAAGTGATGGAAATAGTCCATGAATGAGAACTTACCCTTGATTCGGGAGCATCAGCATCTCTGACCAACACAAAGGCTTTCAATTCACCAAAAGCTTTCAATAGTTCCAACACTTGATCGTCAGTCAGGAATGGTGGGAGGTTGGTGATCGATAGTTTGTTGGATGTATCTGGTACTTCGGATGAGATCTCGCCCTCGGTGTATGCATCCTCATCTGCCGACGGAACAATGTAATCTTTCGGCCGTTTAATCTCTAAGCCTTTAGGCGTGCCGTTGCCATTGCCATTCATCTCAGTGTGATGTTCCTCCATCGTGATCCCGTCCATGGCCAGGGCCACGGTTGCGTCAGATGGAGACTTGAACTCAACAAGGGCGAAGGTCCGGTCTTCAGCAATGTTGGCCTGAATGCATGGATCGCTGTTTTGGGTTACATTCAGGCCGTTCAGCTGCAGGTTAAAGAACTGCTGAAGGCTGTCTTCTGTCGCAGTTGCTGGCACATTTGAAACAAAAAGCCTCTTTGATTGACGCGCAGTAGACGGCTTCAAGGCTGTAGTCACAGCACCACCACCTGCGGGCTGCTTCATGAAATCTTGCAGTCTGCTGGGGTCCATCTGTTGTTGACGGGGTGCGCCAGGCAGAGGAAACATGCCTGACATCTTTGCTTGTTCGGCCGTGACATTCTCATAACCTGGTGGCTTGATATCCCATTGTGTCATTCTTCTCTTGCGCTCCAGGATGGGAACCACATCTGTTAGGTCTGGCGTGGGTTCTCTCTTCTTTGGAGGAGGACTGCTTTTCCTGCCTCGCGCTTGCGCAGCAAATTCATCACGATCTTCGCGTCCACCACGATCACGATCTCGTCCACCTCCACCTCCACCCCCGCGCCTGTCGTCAAAAAGATCTCGGTCTCGTCGTCGGTCATCATCCCGGCGTCTCGGGCCCCTGTCTCGATCCCGATCGCGGTCATCACGTCGGGACCCGTATCTGTCTTCTCGTTCTCTGGCACGATAGTCTCGACTGGAGGAGTATGAGTCTTCGTAATCGCCGCGTCGCGAAGATCGATGGTGCGGGGATCTTGAACGTCTTCGATCACCTCTGCCTCGGTTCCTATCGCGATCACGATCTCTTCGGTCGTCTCGGTCATACCGCGAACCCTGCAAATTCGTTAATGACGACCTCGCTGTAAGTGCTTCATGGCAGCGTACATGATGATCTCTCGTGCGCCCCGAGTCTGCGCAAGTCAGCAATAGATACTCAATAGCTTGCAATGGCCTTACCTCTCGAGGAGTAATTGTCGCCGTTCATCGCTGCAACTCGGCTAGAAATTTGGAACGGGACTTTTTCCTGCTGCGCAAGAGGAGATAACAAGGAGCCGAAGGAAAGATCAGGACACTCAGACACTGACAGTCACAATAGTCCTGGCCCTATTTTGCTGATCTTTGGAAGGTATTTTGAAGTAGTTCAAATTGCTGCAGCTACAAAGTCGCGCATGCATCCAACATCTCTGCGTCTGGACTTTGGACTTTGGCGACTCCAGAGCCTTGATCTTGGCGGAAAACATGATCACGCCGCTTTAACGACTCTACTCAAGAACCTGTTCAGCACCGTGAAGTCCACCACAGACGATGTCTGTGAAGAGTATGGCCTACATAGTACAAGGAATATAGTTGTCTCTCAAAGATGATGCTTTTTGTTAACTCCGTAGCCAAATTGTGAACGAACCTCCTCATCCTGCAACATGGACTTATTCCCGTCGACTCCACATGGCATTTCGCGCGAGTTTCGCCTCATTCGGCCTAGTCAATTTGATCTTTACAGTGACATTGCTTCACAGGGAAGCAGTTGAAGCTCCTTGTCTACCCCAAAAGTGCTTCTGTATGATGCTATGGCCATGGAGATAAGGTCCGGGTTCCTCAAGCACCAAGGTGTCTTTATCTCCTGGTAAAGTGGTATAAGAAGGCAGGTAGGTCTGCGTTTCCTAACCTTGACAAGTTCATCCCCAGAAGCAACAGCAGAGTCTGAACACCTCATTAACCTCCCATCACTATGGCATCTCGTGTTATTGCTTTCGTCTCTGGTATGCCATCACAGGCCTCCCTGACCTGGTTGCTGTCTTCCTAACGTCTTCGTAGGTGGAAATGGTGGTATTGGGTACGAAGCGGTCAAGGCACTTTTGCAATCCCCCAAGCCGTACCACGTTTTGATGGGCAGTCGCTCGCTGGACAAGGCCAAGACTGCCATCGAGAATCTGAAGAAAGAATGCCCTGAATCGAACAATACTGTTGAGGCCTTGCAGTTAGATCTTACCAGTGACGATTCCATCGAGAAGGCATTCAAGCATGTGGAAAAGACCCAAGGACTGCTTGATGTCCTGATCAACAATGCAGGTGTATATAGCTGGATCGAGCAACATACCCACGAGACTGGGCCTGACAGTTCGCAGGAGCCACATTTGACCTGGAATTCCTTGGTGGCAAGGTCTCCCTTCGCGAAGCGTTCAACAAGGCTTACGATGTCAACGTAGCGGGCACAAACGTATTGACTTGGACATTCATACCACTCTTGCTCAAATCTTCCGATCCCCGTCTGATCTTTGTGAGTGGCCTCTCGGCCATTACCAAGGCCGCTGAAGGACCGTACTTTCCTACGCCTCCTCAGCCCGCTGGTTGGCCCAAGCAGATATCATTCGAAACCATCGGTTATCGATGCAGCAAGTGTGCCTTGAACATGCTCATGGTGGACTGGAATCACAAATTGAAAGAGGACAAGGTCAAGGTATGGGCTCTTGGACCTGGTATGCTGGCAACGAATCTTGGTGGTATGGGTCCAGAGAAAGCAGCCGAGATGGGGGCCAAGCACCCAAGTATTGGAGGTCAGCTCATCAGAACTGTTGTTGAGGGTGAGAGAGATGCCGACGTCGGAAAGATGGTGATTCGAGATGGTATCATGACATGGTAAAGAAGAGGCATTCCGTCGCTTGTGCTGGTGACTTTGGATAGTCGTCGTAATTTCCAAGAACACTAGCACAGCCTTTTCGACCATTCATCTTCGTCCTTGTGCTATGTGAAGGTGTATAATCATGATTCCCCTTTCATCCCGTCAGCTGGTTCAACACACCACACTCATCGTTCCCTATACAACGCGTCACCATCGCGGCGCAGGCAACAGCGAAATGGTGTTGAAAAACATGATCATGCTGTTCTAATGTATTTCAGGCCCAGAGAGGGATCCAGGACGCCGCTAAGCGAAGCGAGGCGGTCCGAGTTGCAAGGTACTGAACTCATCAGTCTACCCCGACAGCATCGACCGGCAAATGCCCGGAATCACCACAAGGCGTACTCGTTCTCTGATGCTTATAACCGGCTTGACTACGTAGGTGTCAAGGCTGTCTCCCAGATGCTCCATACTCCATACTCCGAACAAGCGGTACAATAGCGCCTCCGCCTCCGGTGCTTGTCTCACTTGACACCCCGAGTCGGAGATGGCGACATGGGAAAAGACAGCCGATCGTCCACAGTCGAAATCACCATCAAGGCACCATCAACCTCGATTTTTGTGTCAAAATCCTGCCGTCTTTACGGAGTAGGATGCCTTATTGTCTCATCTGCCCTTTTTTTGTCTAGTTTCGCGCGTCGACAAAATCATGACCGTCCCGGACGAATTTCTGCACACCATTACTACTCCGTAGGAAAAACCCGACCAGCCGAAAAAGCTGCTGACTACAAGATCCTATTGTAGCCGGTCATATTTCATCATCGTCGTCGTCAGCAACCAGCTTCGTCAAGGTCCTTTTGTATGATTGTTTTCGTACACATCCTCGTCAAGAGCACTTGGCATGAAATCTCGTTTCATCATCCCCCAGATTCGTGCTTTTTAGCGACACCCACCATCGTCAAAGGCGCGTCTCTTAGTGGTGAGCATGACATCCCTGTTCGAACAAGCGTATCTGATCTGCACTCTCACGACAACAACGTGGGATTTCGCGAACGGGCCCCCAAGGCTCTCCCAAAGCATTCATTGTAACACGGGACGCATAAATGCACTTGGATCCCGCCCACGGATGATATCTATTTCTCTGGACATGTCCTGATCCATGGTATAATCTTCACCGACTACCGGACACAATGGGCGTTGCTGCTGTGCTATTGACCTCTCTTGCAGTTCTGAGCAATGTCTCAGCGAGGTACGTACCGAATCTAGCTGTCCTCTACTTGGATAAATTGAAACTGACACACCTGCCCAGGACCCCTGCAGCCTCGCGCTTCCTCGAAAAGAGGCAAAGCGGAGGGGGAGGAGATCTAAGTGATCTATACTCGTGAGTCCAGCTGCATCAGTGTGTTCCCATGCCATACACCTCCAAACACATACATGCAATCCTCAAAAGATATCCAAAAGCTAGACGGTGGAATCTTATGCAAAGGATAGGACGCAAAACTTCACCATGCCACTCGATCATTTCCACAATGAATCCCGCTACGCACCTCACACGAACGACACGTTCCAGCAACAATATTGGGTAGATACGAGCAACTACGTCGACGGAGGACCTGTCATCATTCATGCAATGGGAGAGGATCCGTCCTCATACGACCTTCAATGGCTTCAAAGCGGCCTCCCACATCAGATCGCAAATGCCACAGGGGGTGTAGCAGTCCTCTGGGGTCAACGGTCAGTTTCTTGTCTCCTGCCTAAACCCCTTCCCTCTCCAAACCAGGTTCAAAGTTCCATCGCGGCGTGCCACCACAGTCCCTTTGGCGAGAAGAACCACTCCGGGCTCACTTTCAGCTGATGAGTTTTTCCCCCAGATACTACCAAAATATCCCCATCGTCCCAGCCGGAGAGCCATACACCACAGAAAATCTTCGATTTCACAGTACCCAACAGGCCATGGCCGATCTCGCGTACTTTTCCCAACGGGTCCAGTTTCCGGGTCTCGAGCACAAGAACCTCACGGCCCCAAGCACTCCCTGGATCATCATCGGAGGTTCCTACGCAGGGGTCATCTCGGCCTTCACTCGAATCCAATACCCCGATCTCTTCTGGGGAGGCATTTCCTCCTCCGGGGTGACCACGGCTGTTATCGACAATTGGCAGATGACCGACGTGGTTCGTCGTTACGGCCCCGACAAGTGCATCAGTACGATGCAACAACTGATGGCTTTGATGGACAATGTTTTTGAGAGTGGCAACAAGACGGCCATGGACGACCTCATGACCGGGTTCAACGTGTCCACCTCGTCAAGTTATCCTGACCTCCAAGTGCTCTTGACTGGTACAGTTGCCGCGTGGGAACAAGTTTGGAACCAACAAACCACCAAATTTGACGGTCAGTTTGATTGATGTGACTTGATCTTCATTTCCAAGCCGGGGGCGTCCTCCCCTCGACGTCTCCCTCTCTGTCTGTCCTTTTTTTTCCGTTGCAGTCTCTTCCCTATCCATCAACCACCTGCCTCACTCACTCACTCATTCGCGTTTCGTCTGACCATCCGACCATCTATCCACAGGTCCAACGTCATACTGCTCCGCCATCCTGAACAAAACCTACGCCACCGACGCCCCTGCATCCCTTCAAGCCACGACCCGAGCCTTGTTACCCTTTGCCAACCACAGTGCGACCCCTGACCGGGAAGCGTTGTATTCGCCTTTGCTCAACGCCTTTATCTACGTCAGCAAGACGAACACCTTCTGTGCGGGGAAGGTCGTCCAGCAGTGTTTGTTACTTGACGAACCCAGTCCCTTTGATTTTTTGAGCTGTACCGAATCGGGAGGGTTTGCCACCGGTTACACCCCCGGAACCAAGGGTCACCCTTCAGCGTTACCCCTGGCCTCTCGCAGCTTGACCCCCGAATATTACTTGGACGCCTGTCACAAGAGGTACAACATCACGTACGACCCTCGGATCGAATGGTACCAGCAGTACGGAGGGGTCAACATGTCCTACCCGCGCCTCGCACTTTCCACAGGCCAGTACGATTTTTACCGTCCCATAGGTCCACTGGCGGAGTACGTCCCCGGCGACGGACATCCTCCGTACGTGCCAAACAACCGGATCAAGAGTAACGGTACGGACTCTGAACCTCAAATCGTCATCGCTGGTGGTTATCACGAGTGGGATTTTCCAGGGTTTTTGGCAAACGAGACCGACCACCCGGCCGTCCCGTCGGCGGTCCAGAATGCCAAAAACCGAGAAATCAAGGCTGTCAAATTATGGTTGGAAGAATTCAACAAGACTCACGCTCATTCTTAGCAACCGGTATTAATGAAGCTCAACCTAGTCGAGTACAACTCGAAGCGCTTCAGAGCTCTACTTGGCTCCTACCTGTACTACCGTCTACGTGCTGCACACTTTTTTTTTAGTATTTGGTACTTGCACAGAATCATTACCCAAAGTACACGGGTTACCTTGGTTTCTATATAAATCTCATTGTCGCTTGTTTTCTCTAATTCTGTCTCTCTATCTCTCTCCCCATCCAAATGTCCCTGTGTAGTCAACCGTACAATTATTTCGGCAGATTGAGAGCTGGTGGGAGGATGTGGCAGCAACAACGTGAGCGAAAATCCTCGACTCGACCATTTTTTTTCTCGACAGCATTATTAGCATGATCCATGAACACTTCTACCGAGAGTACGCGGCATGCCATTTTGCAGACAGAAGTCGACAGTCGACGTTCACACTTCGACCCAACTTGTGCCGTGTCAATGCCTTCAGAGATCGGCGTGTGTCCCGTCAATTCGGCTGGTGAGCGGATGGTGCTGCTTTCGACGAGCATGAGAGGCCGAGCACAACTTCAATACAGTATCGAGATGATTCAGATTGTCTTCCACAGATGTACAGATAGTGAGCAGTGAGCACTGAAATGTCGGAATAATCCAGCCTCAGCACGCTTTTCGATTTATCGTTTGTGTGTGTGGGTGTGGGTGTGGGTGTGGGTGTGTGTATGTTTTGTGAGTCAGGAGCAACGATGATATTTCTATCGAATCACCTTCTCACTTCATCCATCACCCTAATGAATTCGTGATAAAACTTGACCATTTCCAAAAGACCCGCGACCGGCATTCTTTCGTCGACCGTGTGCATACGGGTACCTCTAGGGTCATGGCTCGCTCGCCACGGGGACATGCGGTATATCTGTGGCGACAAGTCCCAGTAGTATCGCGTGTCAGTGTTGCCTGGATTCGGTCAGCTGATCTTGTATCAAACTAGACACCGTTGACGGAGATGGGAGGGTGGGAAAACTTACCACTGAGTAATTCAGGAGCCACGACTACATTCTCGCCGAATACACCTCTGATTGTGCCTGACAACCACCTGAAACATGCGTCGTCAGTGTCAGACACGGGTGAAGGGTCGAGCTCATAGGAGGCCACGAGTGTGAGGTCGCCGCAGTCGTTGGTCCCGTCCGTTCGCGTGGCGCCGTCCTCGTGGTTTTTGTGCATCCTCGCCCCAAAGGCGTTCAGGTTGAAGTTCCATCTTCGAGCCCACGGTGATAGTAACGAGACATAATGGTCTTTGACCACGTGTACCGAATCCTGGATCGCGATGCGATGGTTGACGAGGACCGTGGCATTCTCGGGTAAAGAATTGACTTTTGACGACAAAAACTGGGTCAGCGAAAAGAGACCGCAACATCTTGACCAGACCGTCCCGACCAGGACCACTTACCTTTATCCCCACCTTGGACCACGTCGATCGCAGTCGACGTCCTCACCATGGCCCGCCTTTCACGATCGTTGTCCAAGTACTCGAGCAACTTCCTAGATGACTGAGAACCGAGTATAGCCTCTCGCAGGTCGTCGGGCATGTTCTTGGATAAGAGTGCTGCTTGCCGCAGATAAATCAAAGTCGGGTTGTGACGAATAAGTTGGGACGGAAATGGATGGTCTTCAATCAACCTGATGGTCTGAGCCAAGAAGCCAACTATCGAAAGGGTTAGAAACTTGAGACTTGATCCATGTTGCGTGTTGGCATATTGACGACAACGTACTCGCTGTATGATCCGGAGGAGTCGAAGAATGACCACCAGGCACGCTGACTTTGATGGTAACGTCCACATACCCCTTTTCGGCGGTCGCAGGTAGGGCAAAGTCAGTGCCGAAACGCTTTTCAATTCCAGCGATACCTTCATCGAACTAGGGTTGTGTTAGTGGTTTGGGATGCGACAATGTTTGCGTCCGTAACTTACGATAAGCTCCATGCTGTCTTTGCCGTATCTTGCCAGTAGTGTGTCTGCAAGACAACGAGCACCGTAACTCTGATCTGCTCCACCTTCTTCATCGAAGCCGACCGAGACGATCAACGTACGCTGAGGTTTGAAGTCGCAAGCGAGTAGACAATCGACGGCAGTGAGCATTGCGATGAGGTTGGACTTGTCGTCTTCTGATCCTCGACCCCAAATGAACTCTCCATCGTAGTAACCTGAAAAGGGAGGATAAGACCATTCACTTGTGGCTGATTGACCAGCAGGAACAACCTGAAGCCGTTACCAACAGTACCGGAGTGAGGAGCAAAGTCATATGTACTCACATCCGAATGGGCCATGAGAAGCATCGGCTTTAGGGTCTCATCCCAGCCTTGCCAAGTGTACAGCAACGCATGTGTGCTGACAGTCTCGACGGTGAGAGCTTTATATCTTGAACGAGTAAGCATGTCAGTCGTTCATTCAGCACACACTCGAGAGTCAAGACCCTTACACTCTAGGAAATGTCCTTTCGAGATAGTCCGAGAATTGATAGAAGATATCCCACCGAGGGTCCTCGCCGACCGGATCCATACCATCATATGCTATGGTCGGTATTTGCACTGCACCGGATAGTCGATGAGCAACCTCGTTTTGGAAGTCTTTTGAGTTGAACAGTGTACCGACATTGTGCTGTGTGATATCTTGACGCCTCCTCGGGTGCATGACCGGAGGCTGCAAGGAACGTCTTTTCAAAACCATGTTGCCGACTTTGTGATGTGATGCTCCAGGTTCAATTCCAGGTACTTTTGAAACAGAATGTATATATTCAAGTGGTGAGATGATTGCGTATGATATGGTGAATCTCGAAAGGCGGGGTGTTTATCGATTTCATGGTCAGGCTGGAGGTGCTACGTGAGGTGAGGAAGTGGGAATGAGACCGTTGACAGGATTGTCAGGACACCAATACAACAGAGAAACAAATGAGAGACAGGAGCAGGAACAGGAAAAATCCGACTTCATCCAAACCGGCTCGAGAAGCTCAAAAGGCGGAACGGTTGATCGAATCATCACTGTGGGAGGATGTGGTGCTTTCACTCGCCTGCAAACAACATCGTTCGACTTTGACTACCTTTTGGGTATCTAATCCCATCGGGCAGCATTCCAGTTCGTGTAGGTGAGTCGGCAATTGGCTCTGTAAAGTCTGAAGTGGAGAGAGAGAAAAGAGCATCCATCGTAGGATCCAGCTGTGCATAATTAATTATTCTAGTGCGAGGAGAGTTTTATGTATAGGAAAAAGAAAGAGAAGCCAAATAACGACTGAACTACTCGATATCGGTTAGTTACACCATTCCATCCCTCAGACGTCTGTCGCACAATTCTCCCATGAAATACCCGATCGGGCAGGTGGCGACACATAGTACCATAGCTTCATGTTGAATCTTTGATCCTGATTCCGGCCTTGCGGACTTTGGTGCTGGGACTCTCTTCACAATGTCCTGTTCAAGTCTAGTCTCGTTCATTCGAAAGCGGCCCCATTTCACCAAATGCTCCACGTCTGCCGTGTCAAGGATATGCTTGCAACACCCTGGCAAGACCAACATGTGTGTGATCTGCCACATGAAGAGAACGCCGCGTTCATCGAGATGCATACGCAGGTTCTCAGACCTACCCAGTAACTGTCTCGGCGAGGATGCTGGCAGAACATGAACAAGTACGAGGGAGGTAGTTCTGCTCAATGCTGGATAGTAAGTGCATCGAAATCAAGTCTTCGGCCCGGCCTTGTTGTGCCAGCCGAAAGGGCGAGATGATACCGCACCATTGAAGCCCAAGAGAATCTTACGGGCCAATTGCCGCAGACGTGCTGCATGTTGACAATGATTTGTATTATCGAACGTAACCAGCGAGGATCTTGAATACCTCATCTAGCGACCTGCCCGACACTAAGCACTCTCAACCCGATAAGAAGTGCATTTGTACCCTCGAGTCAGTGTAAAGGGCATGTTTGAAGCCATGCGAGAAGCAGTAAGACTCTGACATCCACTGGACAGCACACACGCTCCAGGGCATGCACATCGCGGACTGGGACGTGGGTATTCACATGTCATCGGTTGTCGCCATCTAGCTTCGAATCCCGCCAAAGCGCGTTCATAGATGACAGAGTAATATGCAATAGCATACTTGTACAAGGTGATCCCGACATGTAGCACTTCATACGTGCTCAAAATACCCTCAGACGGACACAGAAAGGGAATAGACAATGAAGGTCCAATTGTGATAACACCATTCCGTCCTCCCAAAACGCAGCAGGATTGGCACCAAATCATGTCGCTCTCCACACATCAGCCAGCGAGTGGCATGTTCAGGCCATGCATGAAGAACCGCACCCTGTTACCCCACCACTTTGACCCTCGGGTCCACGAGCCGGTTTGCAGCCGGGCAATCCCCTGCCGAAATGGTGTATAGATTGACGGCTGTAGCGATTGAGGCGTCCAGGAGACCAGCGCAGCATCACTTCCAAAGTCAAGAAAGATGTCTGCGCACCTCACACGGCCACGATTTGTTTCCCGTTGGCGCTGTACTGACGCGCCAGCTGGAGCCAATCGCCATGTCCGTTCGACCAAAGGTCTTTCAAGAAATGAAGCACTTCTAGATAGTGCTTGAAGCCCATGTCTTTAGCAATGTCTTCGTACAAGCTTGCTATGAATACTTCTCTTTCTTGGTTGCCACCACACTCTGTGCCGGCAATTAGCACTGGCCACGGCAAATTTTGCATGCATGAATGCCGGTTTTCTAGCTGATGTAATCGCTCGAACAACATGTTGGTAGATATGGAGATATCTAAAGCATCAACTTTCCCTCTGAAAATGCTTCTGTAAGTGTACAACAGGGCAGCATGATGATATATGTCCACAATCCGGACAAAATCGTGTCTTCTCTCGTCCCATGCCAATTCGAGAAGTCCGGCAGCCATGAGTGTTGAGCCCCGAGCTAACTCGAACCTTGCACGAGCCTCAACCGGCGTGATGGGAGGCTCGATCAAGCTGGATATTTTCGATGGCCCAGAATCATCAATTTGACGCGAAAAAACTGTTACCTGGTGCAAAAGACCGAGATATTCGGAGAAGATGAGGTTGGCATGGCTAGGAGCAGGTCGTATCACCTCACGAGTACTCATAAACGAGGTGGTGCAGGCAAGAATGTCGTAAATGGAAAGCTGGTTGCGCAGAAAATTGAACAGATCGTTGCTCTCCCGATTTGTAGTTGCGAGCGCGTTCACCAAGGTACGAGCGGCCTGCCTATGTGAGTCGGCAGCTGTGGCGCCGGTCTCCGACTCGGCCATTTCATAAGATGCAAGTGTGAGCATGGAGGCGAGCATCCACACCGCGGTGTCCACGTCGATTTCGCTGTTCAAATCATACCCAGCAGCCAAGCGGCTGGTGACCTGCCGAATCTGGGTTGAAATCATCGAGACGGCTGCATCGCGTGCTCTAGCCGAGAAGCTAGATTCTATATTAGTGGTGACGGCAAGATGCTGTGCTGAAATGGCGAGGATGGCCAAGAGGAGAACTGGCTGGCGGTTAGCCAAAGGGAGGACCAGCTTTCGATATTCGTTTCGCTCGGAATCTATCCACACCATCAATCCTGCAATGTTCTTGTCATAGTGATACAGAAGTCGAGCCCTTGTAGCAGGGTCAGGGAAGTCTGGAAATAGCATCTCCAGCGGATCTATCCCTGATATGCCACGGAAAATGCCATCTGCTTCAGGGGATTTGGTGGAAGTGGGTGAGACTGAAGCCTTGAGAGTACTGGACTTGGTCGGCCTTTCGATATCTGGTGCTGTTCGACCTTTGAGATGGCCACGAACTGCAATGCCATTGGCCCAACGCCAACGAGGTCCATAACCAGGACAAGTTAGACCTTTTTTCGAGCATTTGGCGCATGTAGGCAGGGATCTATCGCATCGGATTCTCCGCCTGACCTGGAAATCGGCACACAGTTAGGCTAAGAACGAACCCGAATTGGCCACACTGGGGCGTCTCATCAAAACTATTGCTTACACAAGTTGGGCAATCTTGGACAAGTCAGTGACTGAGGACACGAATCCTGCGTTTACGATTACCTTGTGACCCAGTGCCTGAAGAGTTCGGCTGTTTGGGTGGCGTAATCTCTTCCCGCGAAGTTTCCAGGTTTGATGGCGATGGATTAGTTGCCATAGCGCAAGAAACGTGGCTTCATACCGACACTGCGAAGGACAGTGAGCTCTCAGACAATATTGGACTGCGGCAAGGTGGAGGATGATGAAGATGATGTCGTCATGATCTGTGACCAGGTGGCACAGTTCATCGCCGCCATTGTCAACGTGCTGTTCCTTCAGCTGAGTCGAAGCATGGTGGGCAAGAAGCGAATCGACAACACACGCGCGCGGGATGGAACAAGGATAATCCGAGAGGGGTAGATGACTAATGCCGGTGCTCCAGGTCATTGAGTGCGCTGTCGCGAATTGAGGTTTGTTCTGTTTGACGTCCGATGTCAAGCCTAATGGTTCTGTCCATTCCTCTTATTTCCAACGGAGTCGTTGGGACACGCTCGGGAAGTCGGATGCTTGAGGTTATCGCGACACATCCGTTCTGGACCCAACACGCTCTATTTTTCCCGGACAATCTTGCTCGAGGAAGATAGTATGTTCACAGAATGGATCATACTAACACCAAAAGAAGGCATTGCCGCGAGAGAAATGTTGCTTGCCTCGCGCGGACTGAAAAAGATGCCACTAATGATATCAATCGATATTTCTTTACTTTCCAGTGGAAGCCATTCGCTGTCTTTGACAGAAATTCCCGTCTTGCAAAATGATCTCGCAAGATGGCCCGTCGCTGTGGTACTAACGAGGAAATGCTGCTTCTGTGGACCGAAGCCGCTAATCCCATATTGGTTGTAGGATTGAGATACGGGCTCAGCCGTCAGAATCATCTCACGGCTTGTGGTGCAGAACTTCGAGAAGTTTGGTACTTCTACTCGGGTTTTCCTGGAGCCAATATCTCTGAGGCTTGTCTTCTTCCTTCTCTGATGAAGGAGACTCTCTTGTTCATGTATTGCTGCCATCGTTGTTCTCTATTGTAGGAGAACGGAAACGACACCCGGTCTTACCTCAGCAATCCTCTGTTCTCTAACATCGACATGGAAACCAAGGACGAAAGCTCAAATCATGGCAGTGATGAGGACCGACTCATCAGCCTCGGGCACAAGCCTGAGCTCAGAAGGACATACACCTTCTGGAGTCGTAAGCCATGCTACGATTGGCCTCCACGGTGATCAGACTAACCAGTCCCCTTAGTGATGGCATATCAGACGACAATTTTATGTTCCTGGTCATGTAACATTGTGATGTTTTATTATATATTCACTTTGGGAGGTCCTGTCAGCCTCGTTTGGGGAACGTAAGTTCTGAAGGTTGATCTGCATTATGGAACGATGCTGACTGTTGCAATCTTTCAGTGTTGTCGTGACCACCGGACAGATCTTTGTCATGGCATCGCTGGCCGAGTACTGCTCAATATGGCCTACGGCCGGAGGACAGCAGTTCTACACCCAAGTATGACTTCTGTCGAGTTCTAGACAACGCAACTAACAGTAGAATAGGTTGTTGCACCAGAGAAATTCCGACGATTCCTGTCCTATGTGGTTGGCTGGTGCGTCTTGGTGGGCGAGATCTCGACAAGCAGCAGCTGCGCCTTGAACAGCGCAGAAATAGTGTCCGCACTCGTGGAGATAATTCATCCAGAGGTTGACTGGAAGGTGATGAGCAGAAAGTTTTCATGTAGGCCGTTCATGTGACTGACATTTCTAGCCCTACATGACATGGTTGATATACACAGGCTTCCTTGTGGCTCCTGCCGTGTCCAATCTGATGCCCCGATACCTTCCAGCCTTGCAAATTTTCGGTGCCGCTTTCAACATCGGCAATGGACTGATCTGGGCCATCGTTTTCTTGGTGATGGCCGACAAGAACAGCGCAAAGTTTGTCTTCACAGAATTCCTCAATACATCGGGGTGGAAATCCACCGGCTGGGTCTTCATCTTGTCGATGTATGTTCCAATCTATGGATTGTACGGAACAGATGGTGTAATGCATTGTAAGGACGCCGGCGAAAAGTCTCGCAACGTTGATTCTAGCTAACTCGGGGGTAGTGGTTGAAGAAATGAAGAATGCTTCTCGTGATGCTCCCGTAAGTTTGCACATGGACACTCTTTTTTCGCCAAACTAAACATGACCTAGCGGGTGATGGTATGGTCGATGGTTTGGGCTGGTGTTACCGCATGGCTTTCAGCTATCGTTATGTGCTTGACCGTCGGTCCTCATTGGGAAGATTATCTTCAGGCCACCTCTTCCTACGTTGTGAGTATGATCCTGTGCAAGCTTATCTAGGTGTTCTGACTATCCCGCAGGCTTGGTTCATGGATGTCTTGGATTCAACGTACGGTGGCGGTATTTGGTGTGCCATCATGATGATGGGTCTGAATGTGAGTGGTTCTTATACGAGTTTCTCACCATGACTGACTCAGAATCTAGTATCTCATCATCGTGAACATGAACACGGCTGGGTCTCGATTGGCATGGTCCATGGCTCGAGATCGTGCCTTCCCCTTCTCAGAATACTTCGCTCAAGTCAGCAAACGATTCGCAATGCCACTACGAGCTATGGTGGGCGTCATTGTACTGAACCTTCTGGCCGGGTTGCTGGTTCTTGGGAGCAAATTGGCTTTCTACGCCATCATCTCAGGTGGTGGTGTTGCACTTCAGGTCTCATACTGCGTACCAATATTGTGCGTGGTGTTGAGAGGACGAAAGATTCTCCCTCCCCGGCCCTACTTTGACCTTGGACGGTGGGGCTACACTGTGAACATTGTTTCTTTACTGTGGAGCGTTGTTGTAATCTTGTTCTATATCTTCCCACAATATGTGCCCGTGGCTGGAGATATTGCAAATATGAACTGGGCCATTGCAATCCTCGGCGGGATAGTGTTGCTGTGTGGGCTTTACTGGGTTTGGAAAGGGAGACATGAGTACCTGGTCTTCAGCAACTCCGTTCTCGATGACAATGTGATTATCCATGGGAGTGCTGCGGTAAGCGGCCGGAATGCAGTTGATGCCTTTGGACAGCCGGCCCAGGACACCAAGAATCCCTGATGGTCTACTCGCTTAAGACCAGACGCAGCAGAGGCGGCATGTACAAATGCATTATTGTTGATGCAACTTATCGAAAATAGCTAGAAGTAAACAAGGGTTTTCATGTTCCTATTGGGCTCGCCTGAAAGAGGCTGCCTTGCTGTTTTGACTACACTCTGCTCCGTGCGCCTGAGCCGACCCTTACCAGCACATACTTGTACGTGTAAATAGTCACCAGGTACGGAGTACCTCTACGATGCTCTAGGCACCTTTTAGTTCTCGTCGCGTAATTAACGCGTGCGGGACAAGTCGACGCGGGGAAGTGGCCAAGGGGCAATTCATGGAATTTCGGGGCATTTCACTTAATGGCAATTAGATTTTAAGCCTGAGAATCCCAACTCGCTTTCTAGAGGCATAAATGAAAGCCCGCCGTGTTTCAATACTGAACAAGAATTAAAAATGACGAGGATAACAGAGTGGCGGAAGCTGCCTATCTCCCTGAATGAGTTATGCATTGCAACCACTCTTCGATGCGGGCAGTCCTTTCGATGGCGGCAATGCGAGGACGACAGTTGGGCCTGTACACTTCGCGGTCGCATTGTCCAATTGTCGCAAGATACAAGTCACGTACAATACCGATCGATATGGCCTGCTGCCATGGATACTCCTCCGACACCTCCTGCTTCGATACCCCCGACCGTCTCAGATGAGGACGAAACGGACGACACAAAAGACCTTCTCCAACACTACCTGAACCTAGAACCCAACCTTGAGACGTTATACACGCAGTGGTCGGCCTCAGATCCAAATTTTAGAAAGAAGGCACCGAAATTTACTGGCGTACGAATATTACGGCAAGACGCATGGGAAGCGCTGATCGGGTTCATTTGCAGCAGTAACAACAATATCATTCGAATATCACAGATGGTAGAGAAGCTATGCACGCACTACGGGCCATACATTGGGACGTTAGACGGCCGGCGGTATCACGACTTCCCACACCCATCGTCTTTGACGGGCAAGAATGTCGAAGCTCACCTCCGAGAGCTAGGCTTTGGCTATCGGGCAAAGTACATCTACCAGACGGCGAAGATGATAGCCGAAGATCACGAGGAAGGCTGGCTGGAAAACCTGCGCAACCCTGAAAGCCCAGCTTATGGTGGAAAGGCGTCGCCTGCGGGAGAAATGAAACCTGAAGGACGAGATGGGTATCGGGAGGCGCACGAACAGCTTCTTAGTTTACAAGGGGTCGGTCCCAAAGTCGCAGACTGTGTCTGTCTGATGGGACTAGGCTGGGGAGAGGCTGTGCCCGTGGACACCCATGTCTGGCAGATTGCGCAACGGGACTACAAATTTGGAAAGGGGAAGCACAGCAGCTTGACGAAAGCGACCTATGATGCCGTAGCCAACCATTTCCGCAAACTCTGGGGTAAAGAGGCTGGATGGGCGCACAGTGTACTCTTCACAGCCGACTTGAGGACATTTGCCGAGCGGCTGACCACCAAGGTCGAAACAAGCATAAAAGAAGGTTCGCCAAACGGAAAGGAGCCTTTGGTCGATCGGAAAGAGACTGTGCAACGCGTCACAGTCAAGCGCGAACTTGAAGATGAAGATGAACCGCAGACCAAAGTTGAGATTGAGGAGGAGGTGGTGGTGGTGGTGAAGGTGACGAGTGGGAGTGGGAGGGTCAAACGTAGGAGGCGAGGGTGAAACAGTCCTCCGAGACCTTAGGTTTGAATATACAAAACTGCGATTATCTCAGACACAAGCAATCCCGGTCGAGACTCGTCAATACTGTACCATTGATAATAAGACTTGCGTCAGCGTTTCAGGCTCACGTGTTTTACTCATCATTGAGGTGCGGATGCGACATCTGTCAACACTTGAGGATGTACCCGCCATAATAGATGAGGCGTCGCGCCCCTGGAGTCTGACGGACACTGAAGGACGTTCTAGCGATGATGAAGGAAGTGAAAGGAGGGTACGGATTGTAAAAATCGGATTAATACCGATGCTCTGAACTGATGTGGAAGCAACTGTATCTGTACAGCACTCGTACGCGCGATCGAGAGATGACAACGGACCAACATGGACCAGGGTCTCTAAGCGGACTCGCATGATGTCAAGTAACAAGCATCAGGTCTTGCTTGAGACGTGTACATTGTGTTTTCTCGAGACGAAAACTTGAAGTCGTCTTTTCCGGCCTCTGCGATGACTCGACGTGTTTGAAGTCGCTTATGCACGTTGCCGTAAGGGCAGATGTAGAGTATGTAGGATCTGTAGAAGAATTGGTCGAGGTATCCGGCCTCCGTCATCCGTAAAGGGTCAAGCACTGCCAGCCCAGCCACGACATTTCCGGTGGACCTCTTGCTCTCACAACGGGAAATTGCATACTTACCGTTGAGTTTTGGCGGTCGAATCTCGTGTATGTAGACAGCCTATCTGGACTTGGGGGTCTCATCTGAGGAATATGGGCACAAATCTTCAGGTGTGAGGAACGAGGGGCTCTGAGTAACCCGTCGCGAGATGCGTAGAATATTCTGTGGCCGTTCGTTGTCCAGTTGATCCATGACCCTCTGTTACGAAATGTTTTTCAAACCGTGCTTGGAGCAGAATGATTGGTGAGGCGCAGGGGGGAAAAACATGGGTGGATAGAGTGGAGGAATGCAAGATTGCATTGCTGCGACATGAGTGGGTGTCATGGGTGTCGGGGGCAACAAGAAGGCACCCCTAGCAATGCCTGGAGAGTCCCACAGTCCTAACAATATCGCCCGTCGCGGGCTGGTGTAATAGGCTTCGGCTGCCCGTGGTGATTGTTCCTTGTGCCTGTCAGCGACCCGGAAGCTCCTCATGCTTGGAGTGGGCTTACCAGGTCTGATTACACCCCCCGTCGTCCAATTGCCAGCCATGCTGTACCAGGCCATGGCCGTTGGTGGCTGGTTAGCGGGCTCGAAGGTGGATTGCAAGAGCGTTGAGTCGCGAGGTTGTTGTCTCCAGTGACTTTCTGACCTGCGCAAGTCGATGGATGCACACCACACACCAGAGTCCGAGTCCAGCTAAACCAACTTTCCCTGCTTCTTGCTTCTGCATCTTCCACACTACTGTTGCCGCTACGGACAATCCAATCGATTCCTCTTCGTCACTCTTGCAACAGCTCCTCCGGATCTTCGTCTTCGCAACCTCATTTCGCGACTGTCGCTCTTTCCTTGTCCGTCGTTCACAAACTCACCTCACACACACCTCTCAACTTCACCTCTTCAACCCATTCTCCTAATCACCTGTTGCTGACACGAATTCGTACCTCCTCTCTCTCTCTCGTCGCGACCATCATTTCAACAGACCCCTGCTTCACAAAGCCCTCTCCACGCGTTAATTCGTGATCACACAAAGATCTCACCCACACGACCGACCGCCCGACCTCCGATCCCGAGTTTGGAAATCAGCTCAGAAGAATCACTCTAGGTTTTTCACTTCCTACACAAACCCACACACATGTCTTTATCACGGTCAAGGCAATAACAGAACATCTCTGGTCCGTCGCTGCGGCGCAGACGCATCAACCACATGCATCTGTTGTCGCGGTTCGGCCCACGGGCAACGGCCGCTCTGTTATTGCTCTCAAAGCAAGGAGTGTGCCAATCAATACCTCCGCCCAATCTCGATCTAGGCTCCCTGGGCCAGGTAACGCTCGCGGGCAACTTTGATGCAATCCAAGTCTATTCGGGTCAACAGGAAGGATTTATTAACAATGGCTCACAATCACTGTTGTCACAACTACCTGGTGGAGCCTTTGAAATTCTGTCGTCTACGGACGCCAGCATTGAAGCTGTCTGTCCACTCTTGCTGCAGGATGGCTCGTTATCGGGGGTGGTAGTAGGAGGAAATTTCACAAGTATTGGCGGTGTAGCAGCAAGATCTGCCGCGCTCCTAAACACAACTACCCTGGAGGTTCAAGCCCTTGATGGGATACAAGGAACGGTGTCGGCTCTGTATTGCGATCAGGACAACGGAACCGTTTATCTGGGTGGTGCTTTTGAAGCTGGAAATTCAAGCAATGCCATCGCTTGGAAAGATGGAAACTGGTCAACCCTGCCATTTGCCGGCTTCGATGCTCCAGTGTCATCGATCACGAAAGCTCCCAATGGACACATTGTGTTTGGAGGCTCATTCACAGGCCTAGGCAATGTGACAACAACCAATACCCTGAACAATCGACCACCGCAGATCATCAATCTAGGTTCGGCCAGTATTACATCGCAGGGAAACTCGACCCAAGCGGGCGTGGGCGATCCTCGAAACGTGGTGTGCCCGTCCAACAGCTCGACCGCCGACACGACATTCCTTCTCGCCGACAACACACCGGGCTCGTGGCGTGCGGATTTCGGGTTTGGTTTCCAACCTACCAAACTACGATTATGGAATGCAAATCAGGACGGGCGAGGCACCAAGACATGGCGTTTCACAGCTCATCCGATTAACGGAATTATGAATTTCACGTTCATCGACCCTGAGACTGGCAACCGCGAACACTGTGACGCTACATGCCCACTTGCGCTGAACGCGTCGCAACCCTTTCAAGATTTTGAATTTGTCAATTTGGTGGGAATGAACAGCTTCACCATTGATATTTCAGCCTGGTACGGTGACGGAGGAGGCTTGGCCGGTATCGAAATCTTCCAAGGAGACATCCTCTCATATGCCATTGATGGTTTCAACGAGCCACAATGCTTAACGGGTGGCTTGCGCTCACAGGCCACTGCCACCGGCCCATGGTACACCACTCCGTCTCGACAAAGTGTAGCCAACTACCTTACCGTCGTCGTCGGCCCTACAACCGTCAATAGTACTTCTATTGTCTTCGAACCAAATGTCCAAGCCAGTGGTAATTATTCGGTCATTGTGTACACTCCAGGCTGTCAACAAGATAGCTCTTGTTCTGCACGCGCTATTGTTAATGTCTCTGGCACGTTGACGAGTGATGGCGGTCAAGCTTTTAGTAGCTTGATCTACCAGACAAATGATTTTGACAAGTATGATCAAGTCTACCAAGGACGCATCGACGCGACCACTTCGAGTTTTCGACCTGCCATCACCATTACTCCATCTGGACTCCAGAATGACCAGCTCATCGTTGCCTCTCGTGTCAAGTTTGGATTTATCTCAAGCACCGGAGGCCTCAATGGCTTATTCGACTACGACCCAGAGAGTCCCTTTGTCAATAATGACTTTTCACAGTCTGCCATCAATAATGCTGGAACCATGTTGCACTCGGGTGCGCAGATGTCAGCTCTGACGACGCGAGATGATACAATCTACGTCGGCGGCCGATTCTCCGATGATTCTTTTGAGAATATCATGGCCTTCCATGATAACAATGCCACCTCGTTACCAGGTGGTGGTCTAAATGCCGCTGTCTCGGCTCTGTACAGTCTGGACGACTTTTTGTATGTTGGAGGCAACTTCACCAACACCAAGCAAGGTGGAGTGGATGGATTGAACAACGTTGCTGCTTATCAATACTCCAAGAACGCCTGGACTTCTCTCTCTGCTGGCTTAAATGGACAAGTAGAAGCTGTGGTCCCAATGTTGTTGAATGTTTCCGGATCGAAGCCAGAGACAGTCATCGCATTCAGCGGTGCCTTTGATCAAATCCAAGCCTCCGGCTCAGCTGCATCTAGCCGTGCGAACGGTATGGCAATTTGGGTACCATCGCAAAAAGCATGGCTCCAGAACTTGAATATAGAAAAGCAGTCTCTCCAAGGACAACTTTTCGCCGCGACTTTCCTTCCCAACAACACCTGGATCGGAGCCGGTACAATTCATTCACTAGGCTTGGCCATTAGTGGTGCGGCAGGCATGAGATCGAGCTCCGGGGGTGTTTCTCTTCAACAACTTCCTATCGACATAGGCTCGGGATCTTCCCAGTCAAATTCTAGGAAGCGGGCTATCTCACCATCACAGAACGTGGACGGTGTAACTAGTGTCGCGTACTACGATGACAACGGACAGAATGTGACCATCTTTGGAGGTCACTTCAGCGCGACCGCCACGAACGGCTCAATGATTGAGAATCTCATGTTCTTGAACAATTCCGATAACAATGCTGTGACTGGTCCTCCTGCAGGGCTCGATTCCAATTCGACCATCGCTACGCTTCTTGTATCTGGCAACCTTCTTTTCGCGGGAGGTCGACTCTCGGGTCGTTTCGACGACGACAATGTTCAAGGTGTGGTCTTGTTGGATATGACCACCGCTGGTTACCGCACTATTCAACCGGCGTCTCTTCGTGGCCCGAATGTACTAGTCAATGCTATTGTTTCTCAATCGGGCACATCAGCTATTTACGTCGGTGGAGCTTTCGATCAGACTTCGCAAGGTTTGTCTTGCCCTTCGGTATGCATGTACGACACAGCCACAAACCAATGGAACACGGTTGGAACTGAACTTTCTGGCACGGTCATGTCTCTATTCTGGACCTCTAGTTCGACACTTCTCGCAACTGGCAACCTTAGTGTTGCCGGCAATCAAACCTCGTTGGCGTTGTACAACTCCAAGAAACAAACCTGGACCGCGACCACTCCTCCGGGCGTGCCTGGTGTTGTGACGGCCTTTTGTCCTGCCACCGACAATGCGGATCACATGTGGGTCGCCGGCACGGCAAACAACGGCTCGACGTTCTTGATCGAGCTTGATGGAGACAATACTCGACCAGTTCCCAATGTTTTTGGCAGCGGGACCACGATCGAAGGTCTACAAATTATGCCATTGTCCAAGAGTCATGATTCGTCCCAGTATCTTGACAATGATCAGGCATTACTGGTCAGTGGTCAACTGAATGTGACCAACTTTGGGACTGCAGCAGCAGCTCTCTTCAATGGCACAACAATGACGCCCTTGATTCTCGCCAGCAAGTCGAACGGTAACCCTGGCAGCATTAGTCAAGTCTTTACATCCAACAACAATAATCTCAAATCAAGTCGTAAGTTTTGTGTTCGAATGTCGTGCTCTTCAAATGCTTACATGTCACAGGCAAATTTGGGCACTCCAAAGGCATTGCGGTCCTGGTTGCGCTCTGCGCAGCATTAGGTACAATTTTCCTCATAATACTAATTGGCATTATCCTCAATCGCATTCAGCGGCGACGAGCAGGTTACAAGACGGTGCCCAGCGTCCCATACGCGGATAAGAATTCGAATATACAGCGAGTACCACCGGAAGCACTTTTTGGCAGCATGGGAAACAAACCCAATGTACCAAAAGTGTGATTTGAGGATGTGCCAGAAACAAACAACAAACACCAAAGGAAAAGAAACGATGCCATGAATGATACCCATGATGCTTTTTATGACTTGTAAAAAAAGGGATTCGATCGAAACGAAGTGGTCAGAGGTTGAACCGAGTTTACATCCTGGATTGATACCAGGACTTTACCCCATAATTAATATGCGGGCAGGATTTTATCGTTGATTATGGCTTCTTTTTTTTTGCATGGCGCTCTGGCGCTGAGCTTGATTTCATGTATTGTTGAGAATTTTCTACGGCAGTGACTGAGAGATGGGATAAAGAGAGGTCAAAGAGATGGTCTCGACAGATACACACAACAGGAGTTGGCCTCTTTTTTTATACAGAGTATGAGGATTGCAGATAGGAGAAAGAAAGATGAGCCAAAAAGCTTTGAGCGAGCGTAAATAAAATCCTTGAGCTATAGACTCGGGTGTGCGCTGTTAATGTTAATTGATTGATCCAAGTTGTTGTTTTTTCTGCTGTGTGTTATGTACTGAGTACGGAGGACATTTGCATAACTTCTCATTATTTTGTACAAAGTATGTACATACCTACCTGGGTACGACGGAGTAAAGGTCATGTTGTTCAACTTGTACAGAGTATTGTATGGAGTATGGAGTACTCCGTGATAAGTACTAAGTAGGTATATTGGCAATCAAAGAGCCGAGGTACAATTTCTCATTCCTCGATGGGAACATGGAATTAACGGCATCTCGGTCACTCACAATACTTGTCAAAGTACTTGTTGTTATTTGCCCTCTATTGCTAACGATATCTGCTGTCTTACAGAGTATGTGTTGTTCGGAATGAGAATTTTGTTCATCGTAAAAGGGATAGATTAGCCTTCCAAACACGACACTTTGTGTGTTTACTTCAAAAGGCCAAAGAGAGGCCAAAGGGGGTTTACCGTACGATTAGTTGGGATCTACAGGGTACAAGTTACCCGTTGATCCAGCCAGGTGGTATATATATTGATATCAGCACATCAAAGTCCACCGGAAAAACAAAAAGAAACGAATAAGAAGGGGAGAAAAGAAATGTGTTCATCATCATCAGAATCCTCTTCTTCTTCTTCAACACCATCGACATCAATGTCTCAATCATCATCATCATCCACATCCACATCCTCACGATCCTCCCTCGACCGGAAAATCCATCCCGACTTTTCATGTCTAGAATGGTGCAAAGTTTTACTTTCGGACCCCGACGTCGAAAACATCACCACACCGACGGATATGACTCATACTCCGACCGATCCCAAATGGACGGATGAAGTTTCGAATTCAATGTTTGTAGAAACATTGTACACACCGAGAGCCATACGGGCACAGATCTCATTCACCCGACCTAGACCTAAGAGTGAGGTCGATGCGGTCGGTCCTACTGTTGTGGACACTGTCGGCGCCAGTGACGACGGGGCTGTGGAATACTGTTCATTGTTTTCTCTAGGACCTGGCGTCGATGGTAAAACGGGGAGAGCTCATGGTGGATTGAACGCGTTACTTCTCGACCAACTCACCGGTGGGACCGCCGCTGCCGTGTCCAAAACAACCGCCCCGGCCACCGCGACCATGACGGTCGATTATAAAAATCCCATCTCGACCCCCGGAGTCGTGTTCGGGAGGGCTTGGGCCGTGGAAAGGTCGGGAAGGAAAACTTGGGTGAAGGCGGTGATTGAAGACGGAAAAGGTAAAGTTCTCGCGGCGGCGAAAGCTTTGTTCATCGATCCTAGACCTGTCAAGACGGTCACGACCGACGCCAAGTTGTAATAATAGGAGGAGGAGGAGGAGGAGGAAGAAGAAGAAGAAGAAGGAGAAGAAGGAGAAGAAGAAGAAGAAGAAGAAGAAGAAGAAGAAGAAGAAGAAGAAGAAGAAGAAGAAGAAGAAGAAGAAGAAGAAGAAGAAGGGTGCAAGATAACTCATAGATATATATACACATCTCATACTCATACTCTTTATATACCTTTATCATCATCATCATCAAATCAATTTCATAACTGCCTCCTCTACCCTTTCAACACCCCATTCCAAACATTCCTTCATGGTACCCTGACCGACTTTTTGTCCGTCTTGTTGTAAAAACAATTCCACCCCTTGTCGTCTACACTTTTCCTCGTCAAATTCTTCGTCTTCCTTCTCCTGCTCTTGATCCTTTTCGGTGTCGTGGTCTCGATACATCCAACCGTGATACCTTTTATAATTCACCCAGACCAAATCTTCGACGTAACCGGGAGGATCCTTCCAGAAACCTTCCAGGGTGACGTAACCCGTCCTCCTTTCCCTCCTTTCCATCATTTGTCTCTTCGTACAAGGTAAAAACAATTTCGAGTTCAAAATCCCACTCATCAGATCAGAAAGTCGGGCAAGATCGACGGTCTCATCGCCGGCCAGGCCGCTCGTCGCTGCGGTGGTGAAATCCTTTGCCGGAGTGGCCGTGGGAGATGGAGGGAACAATAAAAACCCTTCCAATAGACAAATTCGAATTTCCCTCGGGAATTCCTTCGTGGTGGTGGTGGTACCACCACCACCAGTAGTCCGACTCTCCCTGATCAATCTTTCAAACCACGACTTGACTCTCTTCTGGAGACCTTCCACTTGGTCCGTCGTGACGTGCACGTCGCCCACGGAATTTTGATCTTCCATGCTGACATTGTCAGGTGGTAGGGTACCGAAATCACGTACGTGGGTCAATGTACGTCGAAACAGTGGCAGGTCGAGTGACCCTACACAATCCCAGTCTTGATCTTTCCGGACCCCGTATTTGGTCGACGATATGGTCACCCATGGTACACTGTTTTTTTTGGGGGGGGGAGGGGTCGTCAGCATTTTCCAAACAGACACACAGAGAAACAAAAAGGGGGCCGCGAAAGGGGAGATTTACTCTTTATCGGTCTTGTAAAAATCATCTTGGTGCAAAATAAACAGACTCAATCTGTACTCTCTTTTGTTTTGCTCGTCTTCGCTTTGCTGCCCGGTTCCAGCCCCTTCCGGTCCAACGACGACGACGACATTGAATATACTTCTCAATAATCTCCCCAGTGTGGTTTTCCCACTACTGGAAGGTCCCGAGAGACCTATGATGGTGGTCTTGGAAGGTGAAAGAGGTGGTTGTGACGCCGTGGTCTGGGCGACATTTTCTGGAGGGGTCACCACGTCCGAAGGGAGCGTGTGCATCTTGGTCTTTCGTTTCGCTTCCTCTGGCCCACCACGGAGATGATTCTTGTGGTGTATGGATGTGGTGATGGATCAAATCGACAAAATAATCATGGGAGAAGGACCAATGTGCTTATCCGGATTTCTCTCTATATGATTTTCGTCTGACATGTATTTACATCCACATATACCAGTAACATCCGGACTAGTCTGCGTGTCTGACCAACTCTCGAGTGAATCAGGCTGAACTTTCCCACCTCAGGTACTCCAGTTAGTGACAAGGCTGATCAACAATGCCTTCCTTATTTACGGAGTACCAGATACTGTAAATACTGTAAGGCAAGGACCGACATTCCTTCATCTTCTCAATCATTACAGGACAGTACAGAAACGGTCAAATTGTCTTTGGTTTTTTTGTTTGTAGAGTTAAATTCCAAATTCTAATCGGCAAGCATTCAATCGAGCTCACTACTTGAGTACTTCAGTACTGTCATCTCATCAACCCACGGAATGCTCCCATCTCCATGCCCTCATTCATCTTCCCCCCTCTCAGGTATCTCGTGATGCCTGCTTGAAACACATGCCGGCCATTAATCTGCATCTTCACGTATCGATGGCAACGCAATAGAAAAGGAAAAAAAAGCAAGACCACACTGCTGCATGTCGGGAAGAAACAATCCCAATCCCAACTAAACAAGACTCAAAGTCTCGTATGCAAAATTGCTCCAGGGAATCACGACCCTTCATATCCAGAAAAGCATATGATACAAATCAAAAGAGGACCGACCCAAGGAGCCTGGACCACCCACAAAGTTTCTTTCATTTCAAAACTCGCTCTAATTCCCTTGTCACCAGGCCGAGAAACTTTGCACCGGTGAGAGAGACTTGTTGAGACACCGGCTCTCTCCTCGACGCGCCTGTCCTTTGCATATCTAGACACCCCAGTCCAAGAAAAACGAGATTTTATGCATAAATCCAATAAACTCCCATTTCAGATCATAAGACTTGAGGCTGAACACCATGCTTAGTGATCAAAAACATAAAAACATTCGAGCCCGTCTTCAGGCTTCCGAAAAAACGCCTAGAGGTACGCCATGTGTACTGAAAGAAGTCGTACATCTTTGTCCTTAAGAAGCATTTCAAGCAACTCATGATGCCTTTTGCCTCTTTCCGCCGATTTTTGGACTGGGCTTCACCTTGTTGGCTCCGCTTTGTTCTTGTCCAGCATTGTCATCTTCGACCTTGACGGCGCTCGCTCGTCTCCTTTTGTTGGAAACATTAGGGCTGGTATTAGTGCTTGGACCTTGACTGCCACTAAGGTTTGATCCCTGAGCGCTCATCTGGTGCATCATGGCGACGCCGCCGGTCCCTGCATTTTGTGCAGGACTAGGGGTATGTACAGGACCTCCCATCATGGGAGAGCCTTGGGCTTGTGGTACTCCGAGGTGACCCATGGCCGGTGAGTTCATCATGGTTGGGCCATTCATTTGGTTACCGAAGGGCACTTGCCCATTAGCCGCTCTCGCCATTTGATTTTGTAATCGAGCATTGTTCATCTGAGCCATGTTCTGTGCGTTCTCTTGGGTGACTCGTAGTAATGAGTCTCTCGGACCGATACCCGGATGGCTGTGAAAGTATTCCATCAGGGGGGCCATTGCTGTCATAACTTCCGTAATCTATATACCGGATTAGTGCCGTCCACAAAAACCATCATTCAGAACCACAAACCTCTAAGAACTGAAAGATGTGACTTGGCACGCCCCATTCACCCACTCCTGAAGTCGGGATTATCATTTGCGCCGGAGCGTTGGCCTTGCCTTGAGCTCGTTTGAGATTTTTATTGATCTTGGGACTGCTCTTGGTTTCTTCTGGAGACGCAGGCTGCGTGAGAGCACTCCTAGGAATGTACTCCTGCCAACCAGACGTGCTAATATTCAAGTGCTCGATTTTGGTAAACTCATCAAAAATGACTCGTAATTGTCCCGTCGTAGTAACTCGAATGTCGTTGTTGAAGACGTAGGTCAAGCTTGCGTTCGTACTCCATATGTGAACACCTCCATTGGGAAGTTTATTCTGATTGTGATCAAAGGATTGTAAAAGGATCTGTTTTACCCCAGCAACAAAATGCGTGTGGTAGTAACGCGCAAGAGTGGGGAATTGCAGCTGGAAAGATTTGTCGATCCCGTTCTTGTTACTAAAAAGCTGTTGTCTCATCGATCCGAGCGGCGAAAAATACCGTGCTATCGTGTGCTCCCAGTAATCCAAGTCGTTGGGTCGGTCTGGGTTGGCCAAAGTGTCCTGATACATGATCAATTGTAGAATACACTGACCACCGAGAATGTCTTGTTTCGGTAAATCGTTCATCATCAAAGCCGCAGGCAGATCCGGCTGTTGTTTAATCTGAGGTTGTTCTTCTTCAGCTTCTGTGGTCTTTGCTGGCTGACTAGGCTGGCCCTGTGGCTGGGTGGTGGGGGTTTGCTGTTGGGGTGGTTGTGGTTTAGGCTGTGGAGGTGGTTGTTGTTGTTGTTGATGTTGTTGAGGTTGAGGTTGTGATGTTGGTGGCGCTTGCTGAGGCGCTGGAGGCTGGGGAGCCGGTGTCGGTTGCGACTGAGGAGGTTGCGTTGTTTGTTCTTGAGACCTAGACATCTGCATCTGCTGCGCGGCTGCTCTTTGGTTGGCAGCTAGTTGTGCAGCATGATGCGCGGCTTGGGCCTGGGCTTGTTGAGCTTGCATTAATCGTTGTTGATGTTGTTGCTGTTGATAGTTTTGCATCTGTGGGTTGTTTGGGTTCATAGGCATCTGCATCTGAGGGTGCATTCCCATCTTCATCTGGGCCAGTTGCGCTTGGTTAAAGCCACCAGGCCCATTAGGCATGGCCATTGGCATACCCTGCTGTTGCTGCGCCTGCATTTGTTGCATCATTCGTTGCCGAGCCAGCATTTGTTGATGCTGAGGAGTCATCTGCATCGGCCCAAAGTTCATCTGCGGGTTATGCTGAGGGAACATTGCTTGTTGCGGCCCCAAATGTGCCATTGCCATATTATTGTGCATAGGGCCTGGAGCTGGAGTTCCTGCGCCCGGGGGCATGCCTGACACCATAGGGCCTTGGGTGACTTGTGGACCAGATACTCCTGGGTGCATTCCTTGCATCATACCGCCGGGTTGTCCTCCCATATGACCACCAGGATGTTGCATTCCTGCCATGGGATGGCCATGAGACATGCCTGGATGTCCAGGAGCCATACCTGCATGGGTGGGAAAAGGCTGGGCCATCATCTTCGGAGGATGATCTAGGCTGTGTGTTTGTACGCGGTGTTCAGACTGCGCAGTAAGCGCAAATGGTCTCGGTGAGATCTTTTGTGATTACTGGATGATTCCCTCCTCTTGACAACTCCGAATCCTATTGGCCCCACTCTTACCGAATTCGCTGGTAATATTCGCAAACTGATAGAGGTATCGTTACATCTGCGTGCAGGAGAATCATGCGCATCGAAGAAGAATGTATGTGCAGTCGTAGAAGCGATGTCGCGCGATACTGGCGTGTACTCGTAGCAAAAGCTGGTAGCCAGAATTCCCGAGCCGGAAAGATATGGAGCTGGATCAACGTCGCGACAAGTGTAGGTCAGAGAAACCATTCATCTGCCACGTGAATCATTGGAAGGTGTCGCACAAAGATTTCATGATCGAGAGGCGAGGCGACCAGGAAGACGACTGATGCGTTGGGATCAGGTGAGTGATGAACTGAGGTGTCGTGTTCCGGGAGTGTTATGGGGCGACTGCTGGCGGTGCCGGGGCAGAAATGACGGGGGCAAGGACCCGAGATATGATTTGGACGGAAATTCGAGAGAATGATGTTGCAGATAGCGAATGAGCGACACAGCGATCCAAGCGTGAAGGCAAGATAGATTGCTGTTTGATGCCGCAGGATGCACGATGGATAGAGATGGGATGAAGTCTCTCTCAGGGCAAAGGGTGCAGGATGCAGGCAGGATCGGCAAAAAGATGGCGCTGAGGGACGAAAGACAGCAGCAGCAGCAGCGAAGGACGGAGGCCCAAACTCGCTCGACTTCGGGATCAGAACAAGCAACTTGGGGGGCTTTGCCGTATTAACGCTCACTCGCCAGATCATCCGCGCCAAGCCGGCACCCTAGTTTTTCCATCTCCGGGCTCGGCCGCTAGTGGCTCTTTGCTTCGTCTATCATTTTCTCTGATCAAACAATTTACCTGCACCTTAAGAATTTAATTATTTTACTTCTACGAGGTACTCGTACCGTTCATCATCTTTCCTCTGATCACACAGAGTCATGTTCTATTCCTCTACATTCTGCCGCTCTTGTAGAGAATATTCCTGGTAAGTCTCAGTACCCTTCCCCCTTCTCTTCCTCCCAACAGCTCAAAGATGACAACAACTTCAACACTTCTTTCTATCCTGATTCGCCTTTGAAGAAACATTCGGACCATCAACGCTGAATGGTCTGCTACTAGCCAGTATCACATGTCTGATTGTCTATTCTGCTCTCAAAATATACACACCAAGACCCTGGATTCGCATTGCTAACGGCGTGTACAGATGAATCCCTCGTGTCTGTCTTCGTGGTGTCAATGCCCGGTGACTTATCTTTCGTGGTATGTCCAGTCCTCCCACGCTACACCCTGTTTCCCCATTCTATGATGAAAATCTTTTCCACATTCGCAGTTTCCACGTTAGCCCTGGCAGCGAACCTACATAAGTCCAGGTGTCGGTGAACGTTGCAATCTTCCTTGGATGTCTGATTGGCACTCGCTCTCATTCTATTCACTTGCTGCACTTTGTCTTGACCGATGTGCTAACATCTTGATGTATAGATACTCTTCGGCCTACTCGTCCTGTCATGCTCATCATAGCAGTCCTAACGATACCTCATGAGAATCACGTAGAAATCTTATGTCAAAAGGAGGGTTCAAGCTGGAGATATTTGTAGAAAAAGAATAAAAACTCGTGTTGACAGTTGCAATTTATCTGCTAGTTATCCATGAAAAATCTTTCTCACGAGGTCGTGAGTTTTAGAATACACGTTCTTGCTGTAATTCACTTGTCGTCTACTCGCTCTTCGCCCCAATCTTCCAGATCGCATGATCTGACGCCGGCAGTCCTGGTATAGTAATGTGGTACACCTCCGGTGCAGCTGTCTTGGGTCAGGATCGATCAATGGCGGAAAAGCGCTTGCTGATAGTACCAAGTATTTGGCCATATCAGGAAGGGCTTTTACCTTCAGCGAGAGCGACGGCGTTCGAGAGAAGCATTCTTTTTCTCGAAAAGAACAAGATCTCATAATCACTTGTACATCTCATCTTCAGCTTATGAATCCCGTTCCAGTCTCAACAACTTTTGCACTTCTTCTCGCGTCGATGAATAAGTCTTCGCACTCGGCCACATCTTCGGGTGCGATCTCCTGTCTGCCGTTGACCTTGGCTAGGATACTGCTGGGCGTCAACAGTTGCAGAGCGTAACGTAGCGACACGCTTGTTCCATGCTGAGCGACTTTCTGCAGTGCTGAATCGGAGATGGCCAGGCCTTCTGTTTTTGCGCGCAATCGAACAATTGTCTGAACTTCGGACTCGTTGTAGGGGTGGGTGGGGATGATCAACAGACGCGCCAATAGATCCGGAGGAACACCATGTGCCCCGGTGATATCTTGCGTGCCTCGGATCACAGTGTTGCCTCGATTTGAGGCCAGGATGACGATTGGTGAGATAGGTGATTCAAGAGCGCGGTTAAGATAGGTGAAGCACTCGATATCAAGCATGTGTACCTAATGCCCTGTCAACATTTTGTCCTTTTGCGGACGGTGCGAGAACACTTACCTCGTCAATGAACAGCACACCAGGCACAAGTTCGGCAACGCCCTGATCAATGTACTTGCTGACAACCTTGTTGATCTCTGCTCTCAGCTTGTCTGTGATCTCTGTCTTCTTCGGCTTCATCAGCTGGCCCATCATGCTCATAACATCCTGGCCACCTTGCGGTCTGGCGTTGGCGATATCGAGATCATGTAGCGTCACATCCTGAACTACTTCCTTCTTCTTGTGAACGTCTCCCTTGGGCACTGGCACATACTCTTCAGCCTCGAGATCGAATTCTGTCGCATATGCATCTGAGCGACCAACTCTCTTGCATGCGCCGGTGTTTGCTTCGATGTAAATCACATCTCCCACGCTCACTCTTTCTTTTTGGATTGCCTCGTAGATACTTGGATCTAAACGGAGTTTCTTCGTGCCTCGAGCCGATTTGAGGGTAAGTATGAGGTGAGAAATCGTGCGCCCGTAACCTCCCAGTGGATTCTCCGCTTCTTCGGGGATGAGTTCGGTGACTTCGCCTTCGTAGACTTCTTTCATTTCTCGTACTCGCAGGCCTTCACGTCTGTTGTCAGCATTTTTTGATTGAGATAACACATATTCTGTCGCACGTACCAATCGCTCTTCTGAAATTTTCCATCAATGCCTCAGTCTTCTTGACCTCCGTAGAATAAACTTCACTGCCCACAATGGGACAGAACGGGACTTTTGTTCCGAGTTCTTGAGAGACTGCTAATGCTAGAGCGGTCTTGCCTGTGCCTGGGCCTCCCGCTAACAGTACCGCTCGTCCAGACATCTTCTTCGCTTTGATAAGATCGACAACCACACCGCAAGCCTACTTCAAGTCAGCATTCATGTCGCCACTTTATTCGAAACATCGCTTGCTAACCTCTCGGGCTGCAGTCTGCCCAACGAAGCCATGGCCAGAAGACTCTGCTGTACCGTCTGGCCGTAAACCTAGTCCTTTGATATGTGTATGCGCCGCGGTCCTGTTTTCGCGCGTGTTGCCTTTGACTTCACTGATGTTGACCATTTTTGCGCCGAAATTGATGTCGAAAATAGCAAGAGGAGACGAGGAAGATGGGGAGATGCGCGTTTAGAGGTATTTGAGATGTAGAGAAAACGAGCGACCCTGGCGACTTTCGTGTCTGGAACGTCCGTGATGCGCAGGAGGATTTCGCGCTAAAAAGTTGGAGCTACAATTAAATGCCCTGTCCAAGTCTCCCATGCATTTCACCTCAATCCTCACGTACAACAACCACCACCACCACCACCGTCCTGCTCAGAGATGCACTCTGTCCAGTAATTGCATTCCCATCCATCACAACCGCAATGGCCGCTGCAATAACCAAGCTGCCGCCTGTGCGGCGCAGTCCCACCACCCTCCAGTACCTCGAGTACAAGCACAAAGTAAAATTAGACAAGCCCTATTTCAAGCCCCGGTTTACGTTCAAGATCGAGGATAGAAAGCATACACTATTACGACCAGAATTCCGATTCACGGATCCGTTGATGCCGCCGTATCCCTACGGCAAGAATGCTGCGTTCAGAGAAGCAAATTTTGGATTGTACGGAGGAGCGACGTTACAGTCAGGAAACAAAATCTCGAAAGGGCGGAACAAGGGCAAGACACTGCGCAAATGGTTTCCCAATGTCAGAATTGAAACGTTCAGAAGCGAAGCACTGGACACAGAACTCAAAATCCCGGTCACAGCCCGTGTGGTGCGAACGATACGCAAATGTGGTGGTATTGATGAGTATGTGATGGGCACAAAACCTGCGCGGATAAAGGAACTGGGGATGCTAGGCTGGAAGCTCAGATGGCTCGTAATGACCTCTCCCAAGATGCTCGCGAGATTCGACAAGGAGAGAGCCGAACTGGGCCTGCCCCAGGCGACTTCACTTAGGGCAGCTTTCGAGGATGTATGGAATGACAATGAGCAGAGAACGAAACTCCTCGAGCAACAAGAACTCGCCTGGTCAGACTTGCGCCAGGCTGCCAGCAGATTTGAAGAGCATGTACGGAAACATTGGATCGAAAATGGCGAAGAGGTTGATTACACAATCCCGGAAATGCACACACTACAGAGGAGGAGGCCTACTTCCTATCCCCTGCCAGAATACCTGGAAGGAAATCTCACCAAGGACTTGAACAAAATGACTTTGAAGGAGCCGACAGCGCAGACCAATTGAATTTGGGAGATGAAGGGCCCCAAGATTTCTGACCATGAGCAGGCAACACCTGACGTTGTATGAAGAATTGGTCTGCACTGCTATCAGTTCTTATAAGTCTCTGCATTGAGGCTGATATCACAGCAAGCTGGCCGTGACCATCACCAAATTCCAGTAACAACGATGAACAGCCCCAGCGTTTAATGGCTACTTTTGCCCGCTGACCGAAGAACCTGTTGGTATATCTGGTCGAAACCTGTCCACTCGAACAATGGAAATGCGGACTTTGAGAAATGTAGATTGTTATTCAAGGCAGGATAGGACGTGGTATCAGTTCATCCCACACTATTTATTGTACAAAAGAAAATTGCAGAGTATATTTACGGCCGTCGAAGGCTAATATTCATCCCTATACCAATTTCAACTCGTTCTCCCTGCTTGCTGAGTATGTTGAAACACAGATATCGCTCTTCTACAAACATCCATTTCCATTCGCTGTCTTCCCATCGTTGCCACCAACCTGTCCTTTGCTCTCCATATCCTTCCATCTCGAGAACAGTCGTTTGAACGCCAGAGGCTCTTGCGCACCACTGACCTCCCACGTGTCATTGATCTCATAATTCGGGACGCCGCTGATGCCCTTCATCCTCGCCTCGTCGGCGATTCGATCAACTTCCTCCCCATCCTTTCCACTTTCCAGGTACGCCTTGATTTCCTCCTTGGTGCCCAGGCCAGCTTCGAGGCCAACCTCGATCAAAGTTTCGAGCGTGGTGATGTCGACCTCTTGCTCGAAATATCGTCTCCACAAGCCGAGCATGACATCGTTCTGTGCCTCCTCGCCACCACGGTTTTGGGCCCAGTGGACCAATCTGTGTCCGTTTCGCGAGACGCCTGTCATGCCGCCAAACTTGAAATCGAGACCTTCGCCGGCGGCCGTTTGGATCATCATCTGCTCGATCTGTTTGGCGCGCTCGGGTCCGAACTTCGCGGCATAGTGCTCGCGGCGGGGACGCGAGGTTGCTGGAAACGGTGGCGGTGCAGGGCCACTGGCTGTGAGCTGCGGTGGTGGCTGGAGATAGAATGGAAGATATTTCATGTGGAATTTGTCCTCTGGATAGGTCTTTTTGTGTTCGGCGATGGCCTTGGATAGCCGGGTGTGTCCTATGTAGCACCACGGGCAGACGATGTCGCTGGTGATGGTGATGTTGTAGTTCGTCATGGCTGCGAGAAGACGCTGGGTTGGTTTCAACAGCATTAGCGTGTACGACTACGGTCCGATGATGTGTTTTGTTGGTTGACTTATACTCGTCTCATTAATCGATAATGAACATTTGTAACCCGCGGGTTTTGAGGTGCGGAGGCGGTTCAATTTTGTATTTGTCAGCCGGCAACGAGGGAACATGAGGGCAGACCTTTCCGCGATACAGGCGGCAGTAATGTACAATAGGTGCATTGTTCTCGATATTTCTAGCTTGCATATCTGTTGTGAGTGTTACTCGGTGCGATACAGGGCACATTTCTGGTCGATTTGTTCATGTAGAGCCCATGTTTTATCGGTGACATATGATGAAGAGGAGTATGAGTGACCGAAGGATGAAAGGAGGACATCGACTCCTGTAGACACATGCTAGATACTCCGTCAAGACAACAGATATGTCTATTATACCTCTAGAAGAGTTTCAGCCTCGTCGTTGACTCTGTAGCTGGTTATTTCATTACCCCCTGATCAGGCTCCAGTCGCCGCCAAGTTTAGCCACGGTTACGTATTTGGTCTGACAATATACAACAGCGGCTTTTCGACCAGAAAGTTCTTGGAAACTCTGTCAGACAACATTCTTCAAGATTAATCCGTGATATCGCCTTCACGTCACCTCCAAGTTACTTCATGTGCTTGAGATAGTGAATGGTAGTGCCTTCACCATGTCTCAACTCGACCAATGCACGGGTCAGCCATCTGATGATGTCGATGAGCCTTTTGACGATGAAGATTTCTACATTGGCTGCTCGAATATTGATAGTCAAACCTCAACGTCCGCAACACAACAGACGTTGTCAAGGACCATTCTTCAGCACGTTTGTTCATCCCTAAGCAACCCGCTGTCACCCTTTACTGACCATGCATAGGGTACTCAGCCACTTTTGAAGCATTTCTGGGCCAATTCAAAACAATCAGATCAGGGACCCCGGTGTCAGCCACAAAAGCATTCGCCAATGTCCGAGAAATATGTGGCTCTTGGGGCCATCAGACTCTATCAGCATGACGAAGATACACACACGGGACGCTGGACTATGATCGGTCCGAAACGCGAACACCTCTACCCTGCTCACAATTCTCCTCTAGATCTGGGAGAAAAACGGCAGTGGCTGAGAACCGAGATAGTCGCTCATGCAGATGATAAGCATTGTGCTTGCCTGAGGATATATGCTCTTCCCGAGGATGTCAACCGCAGCAGCCGCGGCTCTATCAAAGATCTTAGAAAGGTCTTGAAGTTCGTGACTGAGTTCGTTGATACCTCCCCACAGACCTGGACAGGCAGCTACAAGCCAAATGCTCCAATCCAGACTTATCACCGCCCTCCTTCCTCGGAAGAAGAATCCCTTTTCTACATCTTCAACACTTTGTCATCGCCAAAAGCATCGTACGATGATGTCGGAGCTTGTCCATATAGCCAGCAGTCTATGGCTGCGGTTTTGGACGATACCATCGACGGCCTCAAAACACCTTTGTATCCTTACCAGAAACGCTCAGTTGCTGCTATGCTTCAGAAGGAATCGAATCCGGCGAAATTAATGGACCCAAGAAAAGCACGCTTTTCAGATTGTCACGGTAAAGATTTTTACTTAGATGTGCTGGAAGGCATCCTTCTCGTCCACCCTCAGTACTACAGCGAGCCTCGAGGTGGCATTCTGGCAGAGACCATGGGTTACGGAAAGACGTTGATATGCGTTGCCCTTATTCTTGCAACTAGAGGTCACTACCCGACCCTTCCTGAAGGCAGGCTTGACACTCTATCGGAAACCAAGAACCCGCGAACTCCTAGCTTACTGGACTTGGCAGCTAAGAAGTTAAAGCATGCTGGTGTGCCTTGGAAGGCTCAATTTGCTGCTTTTGCAAAGGAAGGCTATCAGTATGATCAATGTACTCAGGCCATTGACAGATATGACGCGAAGTTTGCGGAACCGATATTCCACCCGATAACACCGAGTCGAATACACAAAAAACGCGAAGAGTTCAGAGTCTTGCGTCTGTGTTACAGTACTTTGTTGATTGTACCGCCGAACCTGTTGATACAGTGGCAGAACGAGATCCAAAAGCATACGAATGAAAACTCCCTGGATGTTCTTGTGCTCGACTCATCTACGACAGAGATTCCTTCATATAAGACGCTCATGAAGTACGATATCGTACTAATCACAAAGTCTCGCTTTGACCAAGAATATCGCGATGACGACTTGAACCAGGGCAGACGAATGTATGGTAAGGAGAAATTCCGTTCACCTTTGACCGAAGTACGCTGGCTTCGAGTGATCTGTGATGAAGGTCATAGCTTTGCAGGCTCAAGCTATAGAACTCATGCGATGGCTATGCTGGACAAAATGTCAATCGAGAGACGCTGGGTAGTTTCCGGTACCCCGTCGCAATCTCTTCATGGCGTGGAGGTCAATCTCGCGCTGAATGAAAGTGACCATAGCCTTGAGTCCTCTCGGAGTGTCTCAATTCAGAATTCATTGGAGCGCAGAAAGATGAAGGACTCGGCTGCAGAAGAGATCAAAGACATGGAGCGACTGCGTGTCATGGTGGTCAAGTTCCTCAAACTTCAACCCTGGGCTAATCAAAAAGGTTCTGACTATGCGGACTGGAAGAAGTATCTCGCCCCATTTGATGTCGATGGTAAGCGACGATTTGCACCTGCGCTGAGAGATATTTTACAGTCTCTTATTGTGCGGCATCGTATCGAGGACATCGATGCAGATCTCTGCCTACCTCCGCTGCACAACACTACAGTCTATCTTGAACCATCGTACTATGACAAGCTCAGTATGAACATGTTTCGAATGCAACTGAGCTCAAATGCTATCACTTCTGAACGAGTGGACGAGGACTATATGTTTCATCCCAAGAACAGAAAGCATCTGGACGATCTGGTCAACAATCTTCGCCACTCAAGCTTCCATTGGGTAGGCTTTACCGAACATGAGGTGACTGAGACTATCCGCGTGAGCAACACATATCTGGATAAAAATCTGGAAACCATCACAGATAGTGATGGTCGCTTGCTTGCTGAAGCCATCCTGAATGGTGAGCGCGCCTTGAACGATCTAACTTGGCGTGCATTCTCATTCTTTCATGAAATTGGAGTCTATGTTGAAGAATTTCCCGAACACGCGAGACAAGCGTGGGCATTGCACGGCGAAGAAACGAACCCGCTACTGCTTGGTACTGTTCAGGCTCGAGAGGCACAACAGTACGTTCTGAAGAGGCTCGATTCAGACTCTCCCACCGACGGATTGACGGGTGCCGGGCTGCGAGCAATGCTTGCTGCCAGAGAACGGGCTACTGAGCAGCAGCAAGAAAGAAACAAGAAGTCTAATAGCACCAGCACCTCAAAATCACCCACTGCCGGTACAAGCGAGGAACCCAAAGTGAAAAATCAATCGACATCATCCATGTCTTCTTCCTCTACCCAAGGCCCGACGGGAAAGGGGAAAATGTCAGACATTTTATCCACAGCTCAAAAAAGGCCACGATCATTATCAGATGCCAAATTTCCCTCGTCGCTGCCGCAGGCCAAAATCCTCGGCTTTACGTCCGCCAAGTTGAATTATCTCTGCTCTAGGATCCTCGAGCTGCAGCAGGACGAGAAGATGATCATATTCTACGACTCCAACAATATAGCGTTCTGGATTGCCGAAGCCCTGGAACTTTTATCGGTACACTTCTTGATCTACGCCAACACCCTCTCCGTCACGCGAAGAGCAGCCTACTTGGCCACGTTCAACCAGTCGGATGTTTTTCGAGTCTTGTTAATGGACCTCAAGCAAGCGTCACACGGACTCCATGTGGCGGCGGCAAGCCGGGTTTTCATAGTGTCACCGATATGGCAACCAAACATTGAATCTCAAGCCATCAAGCGTGCTCACCGTATCGGCCAAACTAAACCCGTGTACGTGGAGACACTCATCCTGAAGGACACCCTGGAGGAGAAGATCCTCCAGCGTCGCCGACAAATGAGCAACGCCGAACTTGTCAAGGCCGAAAAGAGTCTGCTCGACGATGGCACCATGAACGGCATCATCCGTGCCGAAGGATTTCTCACATTCGTCGAGGGTGAAAAGGAGAGGATGATTGGTGGAAAGCTGGATTCGCCGGTGCCTTTGTTCGAGAGGAGAAATGCGATGGGGAATATCGATGGCGGTAGTGGTAATGGTGGGCAAGATGGCCTTATCCTCGGCCTCGAAGACGAGCACGTTTCCAAAAGGGCCAAGAAAGGCAAGGGAAAGGAGAAGCAGAAGACAGTTGCGGTTGGCGGCGGTAAGGTTATTGTCGCGGCGCCTCACGGTCCACAGCTCCCTGATATTTCGGTAGAGATTCCAAGGTCGACGAAATTCGATGATGGGCCTGTTCATTCTGAGCAGACGAAGAAAAAGAAGAGCGTCAGGATAGTGGTGGATGCTTCGTTGAGTGCTTGAGACTCCCACGACAATTCTCGATTCTGTACGGAGCACGAACAAGTCGTTCTTAGAAACAAACGTATCAAATTGCACAATATTCATTCAGGACCAAATCTGTCCCCCTAATAAATAAGAGAAATTAAATATCATGATGGAAATACCCTGGATTCTCCACATACACATAAACACAAACGTCGACAAAACCACAACACCACCACCACTCGTCGTCTTTCAGAGAACCAAAACCCTAGATCGATACGAAGAAACTCTTCTCTCCCTCCCTGGGCTCAACGACGCACCTCTTCAAGATTGGATCGGCGCACGAGATCCTGATGCGCTCGGGGGTCGCCGGACTCCTCAGGCTCAAGACCTCGTCCTCGCCGAACTGCTTCCTCGCGGCCTTGAGGGCGTCGCGGATGGCGAAGAAGACCGCGCTGCCCATGAACAGGGGCGGTTCCCCGACGCCCCGGCTGCGCTGGATGGTGCGGAGGTTCTTCCACTCGACGTCCTTGAGCAGGCTGACGTTGAACACCTGCGGGATGTCCCTGAACCCGGGGATCTTGTACGCGCCGGGCCCGCGGGTGAAGATCTGCCCGCTCGCCCGGTGCCACAGACTCTCCTCGGTGGTGAAGAGACCTTGGCCTTGGACGTACGCGCCCTCGATCTGGCCGTAGTCGATGGCCGGGTTGATACTCCGACCCACGTCCATCTTGATGTCGGTCCTCAGCGGGGTCCAGTCGCCCGTCAAGGTGTCGATCAAAACCTCGGACGCCGTCACGCCCTGAGTGAAGTAGAAGAACATCTTGCCCGTGTTTTCGAGCGACGGGTCGGCCGGGTTCGGACCCCACACGTATCCGATCTCGGGAGTCTTGTAGAACCCGTTGGCACTGAGGTTGACACGGTCAAAGTAGGCCGCGTGCGCGATCTCCTTCATGGTCGCACCCGCGCCGAGCTCCTTCCGGTAGGGCGCGAGACGCTCGTTGATCTGCATGCAAGCGTTGTACGCGGCGTACCCGTTCAAGTCCGAGGACGCAGAGGCCGCCGTGGATGACGTGTTGGCGACGGTGTTGGTCGCAGTCTCCGAAATGTGGACGTCGGACAGGGGCACCTGTAGGGCCTCTGCGACAATCATGCAAATCTTCGTGTGTAGACCTTGGCCCATTTCCGTACCGCCATGGGCCACCAACACGGACCCGTCGTGATAGATGTGCACTAGAGCGCCCGCTTGGTTCAAGAATAGCGCAGTGAAGGAAATGCCGAATTTTGTGGGAATCATAGCAAGGCCTTTCTTCTGCCATTTGTGCGTGGCGTTGAATTCATCGACCGCCTTGCGACGGGCTTCATAGTCTGCGGATTCTTTGACTTGCTGCCACATCAGCGGGACGTGGAAGTCTTCGAGAGCTTGGTTGAAGTGAGTTTCCTCGCCTTCCTTGTAGAAATTGATCTCGCGTAGCTTGTCAACAGACATACCGAGGTGGTCGGCGACTTCAGACATATACGACTCTGCAATGAACATGCCTTGAGGTCCACCAAAGCCACGGAATGCACTATTGGAGACCGTGTTGGTTTTGCAGATACGACCGTCGACGTCGACGTTGGGAATGTTGTAACAGCCATCGATGTGAGAGAGGGCTCGATCAACGACGGCAGCGGACAAGTCTTGTGACCAACCGCCGTTGTTGAATACCTTGGCTTGAAGTGCCTGGATCTTACCATCCTTGTTGACACCCACTTTCCAGATGCCGAGGAACGGATGTCTCTGACCAGAAGTCATGATATCTTCATCTCTGTTAAGCATGCATCTAACCGGTCGTCGAACCTTGTTGGCTGCAACGGCGCATATAGTGGACAGCTGGACCGATCGCGTTTCCTTGCCACCGAAGCCACCACCCAAACGTTTGACTTTGGATACAATCTTGTTGTTCTGTACGCCGAGCGCTTTAGCTACGTAGGCTTGCGTTTCGGTTGGGTTCTGTGTGCTTGACCATATCTCCATCTCACCATCCTCAGGCTTGGGAATGGCAACGGTTGCGTTAGTTTCGAGATAGAAGTGCTCTTGACCGCCCATCCTGGCGGTGCCTTCAAACACGTAATCACAGTCCTTGAAGGCTTTGTCAACATCTCCCCTGCGAATATACCTGTAGTGCTCGAAAAAGCTTTGCTTCTCTATGGCTTCTTCAATAGTATAGATGGCTGGCAGCTCATCGTATTGTATCAAAACGGCACGTGCGCCCGCGGAGGCCTGAGCAGCAGTGTTCGCTAACACCATACCAATTGGTTGGCCAGCTGTGAAAACTTCATCCTCGGCAAAGAAGACTTCATCGCAAACTGGAGCACCCCACCAGTTGGCCTGAGGATTGACAACATCATTTTTGTCGACCCAAGCGACAACGCCGGGAAGGTCCAGGGCAGGACTGGCATCAACCTTGATCTTAGCATGAGCCTTGGTCGACAGGACAAGGCATCCTATCAACTCATTTTTCTGTGATGGAATATCATCGGTATACTGAGCTTCTCCTGTGCATTGCTTGAGGGCGGCGACATGTGGATTAGCCTTGCCGAGCACCTTTTGTGTGTAAGCGGCAGTTGCATCGAGATCTTTCTGGCCTCGAGAAATCTCTCTTTCGATTTCCTCGATGACTTCCTTGTCAGCTTGCTTGCTTACTTCTTCGATATTAGTAAGCACATCCTGGTAGAACCGATAGAAGAATCCAAGAGCAAGAGACTTTCGATATGTGGCCATGCCACCCGGAACACCGAAGGGGAGACTGAAGTCCTTTTCAAGGGCATTCATCACACCTTCAAGCGTGTGCGGGTCTGCGAACGTCTTCCCAACGATGAATTCGGAGGCATTCTTGGCTACGATAGTGACCGGAGCCATGCCACCGTATACCAAACTAGCGCTTTCGACCTTGTACGAATCATCAAGGGTCACTCTGAGACAAGCATTCACGATGGCGATATCGTCATCTTTCCTCTTTGCCTGCTTGTAAGTTCTAATATACTCTCTCTTTTCTGCGGCAATAGGCACCCTCATTGCCGCGATGACGGCATCTTCAGGCAATGCTGTTACTCTGTAGCTCTTGAAGAAGCTCGCCATGGGGATTTCAGTTGTCTTCTTCAACGACTTAGCGATCAATGTCGAATTTGTGGCGACGAAGACTGGGTTAAGATCAGATATAGGTGATGCTGTTGCGAGATTGCCAGCCGGAGTTCCGACGTTTCTGATTTGGCGGCCAGCAAAATATCTAATTGCCTTCTTGATTGCTGTGAAAGGCTGTGCCTTGGGTAGGCCGTAATGCTCAACGGCCTCGTCGCAGATATTTTCTAGATCGGTCAAAGCAACATTACCACCAATCTCAAGATAGTCGTCATGGAAAGAATATTTGCGAAGCTCTGCAATGTCGCCCACGTACACCGAAGCAGGATACGACATGGCTTTGAACTTGATCTCGATTTGCGTCTCGGTACTGCCACCAATGAGCTTGGCCTGAGGATACGCGTTTTTGATCTCGAGAAGTTGGTCGAGAGTAACCGGCCTGTACCACTTCTTCCTCTTATTGCCAATGGCCAGAGGCTTAAATTCGTGCTTCTTGAGAGTTGGAGGGTAGATCAATTCAGTCGACTTATCGTAATGTATAAACGACGGGGGTGTAAACTTCTTTTCGGCAGCGCCATTAAGTTCAGTGGATTTATCAGAGCCATTGCATGAGCCGCCGTTCTCCATGCAGCAGCCCGAACCGCCGTTCGCAATTGAGCGTCCGCATTTCTTATTGAAACTTTGGGCTGCGTCGAGGATGGGCCTGTAGCCGGTACAACGACACAAATTGCCATCAAATGCTTCTTCCACCTCTTCTTCCGACGGTTCTGAGCTGTTGTTTCTCAAAAGAGCGTACAAGCTCATTACTATGCCCGGCGTACAAAACCCACATTGGCTACCGCTGGCCATGGCAATTCGTTGTTGTGCCGGGTGTGGGCTCTTCGTGTTCCCAATGCCTTCAATTGTAATAACGTGCTTGCCATCTACGCTGACCAAAGGTGCCAGACAGGCATTGACAGAAGCATGATAGATCTTGCCAGTTGTAGGATTCATCTGCGACACGACGACTGTGCAGGCACCACAACCACCTTCTGCGCAGCCAAGTTTTGTGCCCGTCAACCCAATACCTCTCAAGTATTCCAGCAGAGTGATTTCTGGATCAACGGCATCCACCTCGACCTTGGTGCCATTGAGATAGAAGCGGATGGTATCGTCGTAACTCTCAGTCAAGGAGGATAGCGAGACGACCTTTTCGCCGGTCGCGGCTGGGTCAAGAAGACCAGGAGCCATATTGCAAGGATTGTGCGAGACGTCCAACGAGGGACAGGAGGGAGGGTGTCAATCTATATTATCAGCATTCCAAAGTCTGCTTCTGTGTGGCAACCGCCCAGTGCGTGTGAGTACGAGAAGCGGAGGAGAGGCAGTCTACACAGCGGGGAACAGCAGAAAAGACCAGTTGTACTCGTACAAGCAACGAAACTGGCGGCCGAACGAGGACCAGGGAAAACAGAATGACCTTATCAGGATCTACGTGAAACTCTCACCTCATCGCAAAAGGAATTTGTGCCTGGAGTCGATAGGAGCGGCCATGAATGAGGAGGATGCACGAATCAGAGGCGGGTCAGCGCTGTAGAACGATCTAATAGAGGAGTGATCGAGGGAGAGACAACGAATGGGACGAGCTGTAATTACTCGAACTGCCCCTCCATCGCGTCGCATATCTCCATGTCGCCCCCATATCGTAGTCACGTGAATTCGGAGGGCGCCGACGACCTCTACTTAAACGAGTACGAGGCGCTGTGCAACGGGAAGGAGCGCGGCGAGAGTCATCGATACTTCGTACTCGTACAATAAGCCATCAGATTTTGTGTGAAACTCTGCCATTATTTCTATGCTATCCAAACAACGAGTGTCAAAACCAACCCAATCTCTCAGTGTGCAAGCCGCAAGAGAATCACAGAGTCAAGGTGTCGGTGGCAGTGTGCCCTGTGTCTGCCACGCCAAATTTGCTTCTCCGACATTGTAAAAGCTTTCTGGAACTTTGAAGCCACCCCATTCTCCCGCAACCTGTAAGCACAACAAGTCCAGCGCCTGTTCGGTCCAATTACCTGATAGGATCAATGACTCCCGGATTAGATGCAAAGCACGTAGGCAGCTCTTTGCTGCTCGAGGACCCCCAAATCCTAGACACTCGAAGATGTCGGTGTTGAACACATGTCGCATGGACTGATCCGTCATGTCGTCAGGGAAGAATAACTGGAGGACGCATGGGCCTGTTCCGCGCTTGATATTCCATTCTTCTCGTGTTGGCTCAATGAAATCTGGTTTAAGTAGACCGGCATCGTCGAATAGGAAGAAGTCACCTGGTTCCAGTGATCGATACACTGCTTGTCGATGTCTTTCGATTGAGTTGAAGCCTTCGTTAACGATATATGGACGAGGAGGATTTTGATAAAGGCGGATCGTAGTGCGATCGATCGTATCGGTAATGCCGTGTTTTCCACAATGATAAACCCAGTGATATTGAATGTCGTCGTAGAGATGTTGACTGCTGCAATATCTCACGTAGCTATCCGGCCCACACCCGGGGCAGATGACAACAGAACAATCCCAGCAACTTGTCATTTTGCCGCAGTCTGGTTTCCAACAACGCAGGCGGAGATCATAGTCGTCAAACCTGAAGGGTCGGGTTCCCAGTTCACTCTTGACCACCAAAGTCTAGCATCATATCAGTCCTTGCGATTATCCGATTTGGCTCAGAGTTTCCGTACCTGCGTCTGCTTGTCATGTTTCCCCTTGCTTCTGCCAGTTGAATCTCTCTGAGTCGAACCCGGGGTGTCGTCAGAGCGAGCCGTATCTCGGACCCAGCAGCCCGGCTCTGAAATTCCAACTGATTCGCGCCTGGAAGTAGAGCGTTGATAGGGAGTGGTTGTCGACTTAGGAAGAGGAAAGTCGCGCCAATCTTCCTCCGATGTTGAAATCTCCTTTCCCCGAAATTCACTGGTTTGACGTCTATTAACATACACATCGCCATGATTCTGTCTTCCGTACTGCACGGTAGTTTTGTCCCCATCGATTCCGCCAGACTTGGTGATTGACAAGTTCGAAGCCTTTCCAGACACTACGTCTGAGAAATTCCGAGGATGAGCACGCGTGGATCTTTGAGAAGAAATATGGACATGGTCCTGTGGCTCAGGCTGTCCTCCACCATTCCCGCTGTTTTGGATAGGATCCCGTATCTTCTTTGATCTTGTTCCATTTTTCTTGATCTTGAGACCATTCTCTCCTCCCTTTGGTGTGCGGACCACTCTGTGATTGGAATTATTCATACTTGCAGGTGTGCGCGTACTGAAGAGTAAAGAAGGACGAGATTAAAATTGAACTTAACCTTGCTCTAGTACATTAATACTGAGACGCGGTGCCAGTAAAGAATGGCGGTACAAATAGCGCACATATTTTGCAGATTCATTTGATAGTCTTTAGGTTTACATTGGATTGTGTTGCCGGAATAAAGCATGCAGAAAATACCATCAGAACAGAAAGGTCTTCAAGGACAAGCAACGATGGACCTGGTAAGGAAGGCAATGAGAAAGGTGACTTTCCTAGTGTTAGTCCAGCATCGCCTTCCTTTGCAAAGCTCTTGCTGCCAAACAAAAGGAAACAACATTGGGTATTCCGCTTCATGCATGCATATTGCCCTTCCAAACAAACACCAAACAAGTCTTACCAATAAAGACAGCATGGAGATTGTTTGGTCGTGAGTGACTTGCAGTCGCCATCTCTTCCTGTATTTCTTCGCATCTTTGACGTCGCACCTATGACAAAGTATGGGCTGTGGTGGGACAAGGTTGTGATGGTGCACGCCGCTGTGATCAGTGCCTCCCGCCTTCATTAGGTGTTGAAGCTCAACTCTGCTGGATCATTCTTGTGGATGCCATATCATTTCGTATTCATACCAAGAATAAAAAGGTCGCGATGGAGAGTCAGATGGTTGAAATTGACCGCCTTCTCCTCCAAGCTTAGCCCGACAAAATCCAAAATCCAAAATCACGTGATGCACCCTGAAATTTGCACTGAGCCCCACGGTTCGGCGGCGCCTGCACGAAGACGGTTCATTCTTGTTGTACATAGAGAACTCGTAGTTGATCTCAGCTTCACTCTTGTCTCTTTCCTTTTTTTCCACTTGCCTCTATTCCCTTTTGCCTACTAATTGACATTGCCATGTCAGATCTGAGCAACATCCTTGCTGCTCTCGCTGCGCAACAGCGACAGGGAGGAACACCATCACAAGCTCCTCCACCATTACCAGGAGCTGGCTTCCCACCACCACAATATGCAACTCCTCCCGGTGGTGCGCCGGCATCTTATGGCCTGCCTCCACCCATCAGCTCAGGTAGTGTCGATTTGGGTGGCATAAAACCCATCAGTTCAGGTTCTGTCAGCATTGCAGACGCCATTGCCAAAGCCCATGGTATCGCTGCTGAAAAAGGCGTCCCTTATGACCCTAGTAGACGTAGGTATCTTACAACTCCCTCTCCGGATTATGCTTACAAACACACAGCCCCGATCAACCCAGATCTGCGTTCAGGCAGCCGAGGCTATCGACGTTCGAGGTCGCCCTCGAGGTCGCCGCCCCGGATGAACCGAGACGCTTACCGCGACAGCTATAACCCCTACCGCGATGAGCGACGTGCAAATGACCGCGCTTACACGAGGGAGAGATCGCTTTCCCCGAGAGGTCGATACTCCCCCGGCAGATTTAGAGATGACAGATCTCCTGGACGTGAACGAGGTGCCGAAGGCGAATCAGAAGTTCTCCCTCTAGACAAAGGAGTCGTGGGTTTAGTTATTGGACGGTCAGGAGAAAACTTGCGAAGAATTGAGAACACTACCGGCGCCCGCGTCCAATTTCTGGATGGTCCTGAGGTAGCTGGTACACAGAGACACTGCAGAATCTCGGGCAGTCGAGCAGCACGATCTGCTGCGAAGGCAGAGATATTCAGAGTCATTGATGACAACGATGCAGCTAAAAGAGGAGGTGGAGAGAAGCCACGGGGACAGAGTAAACCTGCGGTCTCCACCAGCAAAGAGGGTGACAGCCTTCAGATGATGGTTCCTGACCGCACTGTCGGCTTAATCATCGGTCGAGGGGGAGAGACGATCCGTGACCTGCAAGACCGCAGCGGATGCCATGTCAACATCCTCGGCGAGAACAAAAGCATAAATGGATTTCGGCCTGTCAATCTTATTGGTAGTGCCTCAGCTCAACAGTACGCCAGAGACCTCATCTTGGAAATTGTCGAAAGTGATCAGAAGGGTATCAGTATCAAAGACCTCCACCGAGAGCGAGAAGAAACCCAAGGCAAGATCTCTGAAACGGTTTACGTTCCCGGCGAGGCCGTCGGTATGATTATCGGAAAGGGTATGTTACGTGCGCATGTGTTTGTGAGTTTCTGCTAACATTATTGGTAGGGGGTGAGTCGATTCGTGACATGCAGAATCAAACAGGATGCAAAATCAATGTCTCGCCTGCTTCTGGTCGGGACGTCGAACGTGAAATCGGTCTGGTTGGCAGTCGCCATGCCATTGACGCTGCCAAACGTGCTATCATGGACAAGGTCGACACAGTAGTGAGTCACTCCAGCGTTGTTACGCTAAACACCAGCACTAACACTTTCACAGCGTGCTCGATCCCAAGCTCGCGAAGGCCGTGATGACTACACCGACCGTTACACGTCACAGCAGCAACCTAGCTACCCGCCACCTGGCGCCCCAGCTCCTGCTCAGCCAGCTGCACCACCCCCTGCCGGCGGAGCTGCCGATCCCTATGCTGCTTACGGTGGCTACCAGAATTATCTCCAGATGTGGTATGCCGCAATGGCAGCACAGCAACAGCAACAAGGTGGTCAAGGTCAAGGTGAGCAACGATAAGGCCTGTGGGGTGACCGTGACCTGGCTCGTGATTGGAATCTCTGATTTTATATTGGTGGATGATCTTGAACCACTCGACGACTTGATTCGCCTTGCTTGGAAACCTGGCCACCACACACCACTCACGCTTTACGCCATTGCTTTTCGATAACGTGCCTTGTGACCATTGCCGCGATCCGATGACGGGACCTAACGCCTGACGACGATGACTATCATCCTGCTGCACGACCCGCCAAGACCTGAGCGTGAACCGAATCGCTTGACCATGACTCTTCGTCGTGTCTCCTTGCAATACTGAGAAGCTGCTTTGTAGCAGACTCATCGGCTTCAAGACCTTGAAGTACTCGCTCTCATGACTTGCGGGCCATCATACTTGAGCATCCTTTGTGTGGCTACTTTGCATCTCCTTTGCGTGAAACGAATTGCTGAGAGAATGGAATGGAAAAGGCCGATGCTTAGCATCAAATCCCAGCTTGAAGCCACGGTGCTAACAGATTCATAAATGTCGGATATATTATCTTCCTGGCTAGGTAGCAATATCGTACCTGCGCAATTCGTCTGCACTCGTACTCGTAGCCGTGCTAGAGCGTTGAGATTGGACAGGGCATTCCTCCGAGATAGGAGTATTGAAACTAGACCAGAAAAGGTATGCCAAGGCGAGGCTACCAGGATTAAATCAAGGAATGACGAAACTCTAGCAGGAGCTTATTGCGATGACCGAGTTGACGCCACAAAGTTGGTGGTGGCTGAAATAATCATCACTTAATATCCTGCTTCCACCATCTTGTTGTTCTTCTGTAGACACTCAGTCAGGACATCGGATTGCTTCATAGTGTCTGCCGTTCCAGTCTCTCGTGGGTGATCTTGTTCCTGCGGTCGTCCCTCTTCATATAACAACGACACCAGACCGCAAATCTGATATCGTTCCGACCGGGCCACGCTTAATGAGGACATCCACGAGAGTGCTGGGAAGGTAGTGAAGCAAACTGGAGGAGCGCCGCTACTGAGATCTCTCGCTGTCTCAACTCAACTCGCACGTGAGACCGCGTGTCTGGCGTGCGAGAACAAAGGAAGCGATGGTTGGTGGGCGCTTCTTCAGCCTGGTCGGGCTATTTCTGGATTACGCGCCGATATCATCTGGAAACATCACGGCCAGCCGATGTTCTCGGTCCACAACTTGCGCAACCCTCTTGAAACTTCATCGACTTCGCGGTGCTCAAGATGTCCTTTGCGCAAAATGTTGCTGGACCCCTGCGGCGGGGAGTGGAGGTTGATTGGAAACGCGGTACGTATGGCAGACTTCACTATTGTCAGCTCTTATTGTTCTTATTGTACTGCTCCGCCAACGTCTTTTGTCAACTGCCTTTGTCACTACTCTTGCTATTGTCGAGTACATCACTTCTTTTCTCGAGTGACGAATTTCCTTTGTTTGATTTAAAATAGTCCTTTGTTCGAGCCTTGACGGCTTGGTCTTCTTTGTCCTTTGTACCATATCCAATCTTTCCTTTCACTTTCAGATTCTCTTTACAACAGACAGCAGACAACCGACTGCATAATTCATCGCAAAACAGATCTCGGTCAAGAAATTTCCCAACTAACTCGAAACAACATTCAGATAATTTCCAGTCAATCTCTACACCATGTCCGCACCGTCAGCCTTTACGGCTGGCATTCCTCCATCCATGCCTGCCGGCAGTCATGAGATACAAGACTACTACTCCGACCAAGGCCCACCTCGGTCATTGTCACACACTGCACCATCCATCACACCCTACCTTGGCCTCCGGGCTCGTTTATCACAAATATGGCTCAATCGATGGACCATCTTACTCCTACTTGTCCTTGCTCGCACCCTTATCGCAATCTCTGGGCTCGACAATAGTCTAGGATCAGCACGACGTGAGGCTCTCTCTGCGTGTTCAGACGTTGAATCCATGGGTTCCACTATGGCATCCATGCCGCATTACATGTCCCAAGGGCTGAATGAACTAGCTGCCACTGGCGTCGAGAAATCCGTCAGCGGTCTGATGCAGACGACTACCTTGAGTGTTACAGCTGTTGAAGAAATAGTGGTGTTTGTGATCGGAATGATGACAAACACCTATCTTTGCCTGATCACCCTAGCCGTCAGCGGAAGTTTACACACAGTCATCGGGACACTCGACTCTGCCCAGAAGAGCCTCAACGGTTTAACCAAAAATCTTGGAGGCGACATGTCCGACGCTCTGGGCGACTTTGAGTCTGCCTACAACAAATTCCTGGACGCTTTGAAAGGTTTCACGGCGTTTGGGGTATCAGTTCCCACACCACCTCCGCTAAATCTTACCCAACAGGTGAATACCCTCGAAGGCCTCAAATTACCGGGCAACCTTACAGCAGATCTTCAAAAGCTCAACAATTCAATTCCTACCTTTGACGAAGTGAAAAACCTTACTGAAGGTGTCATCCGCCTTCCCTTTGACGAAGTCAAACAACTCATCAATCAGTCTTTGGGAACGTACACGTTCAACCGATCGTTGTTTCCGGTTCCGCAGAAAGAGCAACTCACTTTCTGCAGTGACAACAACGGGATCAATGACTTCTTCGATGGCCTGGTTGACCTGATCTCAGCCGCAAAGAAAGTGGCTATCGGCGTCCTTTTAGTCCTTGCTATCCTGGCAATGATCCCAATGGCATGGCGTGAGATCCGACGCTGGCGCATCATGCAAGAACGAAGCCAGATCGTCAAAGCGAACGACCGTGATCCTATGGACGTGGTGTATATTGTCAGCAGGCCTTACACATCCTCCACAGGATTGAAAATGTCACAACATTTCGAGTCACAACGAAAGAAGAGCTTGACTCGCTGGGTCGTCGCATATGCCACTACCGACGCGGCATTGTTCGTCCTCGCCTTAGCTTTCACAGGTCTGCTTGCATGTGCTTGCCAAGCCATTCTCCTTCGCTCGATGGCGAAAGAGGTCCCCAATCTGACGAACCAAGTCACCTCCTTCTCCGATAAAGTCGTCGCGCAACTAAACAATGCATCTGAGCAATGGGCTGACGGTACTAATGCAGCCATTGCATCGGTCAGCAACGATATCAACAAGGACATGCTGGGATGGGTCAACACTACCACGACCGCAGTCAATGATACTCTCAATACTTTCGTGGACAAAACTAGTGATGTTCTCAACGCCACCTTCGGAAACACACCGCTGTATGAGCCCATTATGGAAGTTCTGAATTGTCTTCTTCTCCTGAAGATTGCAGGCATTCAGAAAGGCTTGACATGGGTTCATGATAATGCACATGTTGACTTTCCAACTCTTGCAAACGATACCTTCAGCTTGGGTGCTGTTGCGAGTCTTGCTTCGACAGGCAATCCGGACGACTCATTCCTAGCCAGTCCTGGCGATGCAGCGAGCAACAAAATCTCAAGCGCCGTAGCAAGAGTTGTGGACGAAGTTGAAAGTGGTATCCGCACAGAGGCGCTCATCTCAACCGTGCTCCTACTTGTCTGGGTCATGATCTTATTGATTGCAATAATCAGAGCATTGATGCAATGGTCAGGCCGAGACAAAGTGAGAGGTGACGGTGGTCCCGCCGCGCCAAACACCGACTTCCGTTCTGACAATCAAGATCGGTATACTGGATTTGTGGACGTCCCTTTGGCCGACATCAATTCTAGGAGGCCAATGTCTCCTGCACCCAAGTACACCCCTTCCAAGGATATTGAAATCACGGCCTTGGAGCAATTTGATTCAAAACTTGGCTACGCGGGCCATCGAGGCTATGAACAGACACGGATGACAAGGATTGACAGCAAACGAGGAAGTATCTGGAACGGTGATTGAAAATTTTCTTGCTCCTTTTTTACCTTTTGAAGCGTTTTGGAAATGTCACTTTGGATCTGCGACAACTGTTTCCAAGGTTAATGATACGGGCCTTTTTGTAGGAATGCAAACAACTCAAGCATCGTATTAGTATGGCAACAGCAAGCCTAGATTCACGATACAGCGGAGAGTAATGGAACATTTGTGGAGAGGATGGAATTCCGATAATGAGTATGAGATGTGATAGACGCAGCCAATGGGTGGCATTGCGTTTTGTGCGTGTGCATGTTGAGCGTTGATATGCTTTGTGGAGGAAACCTCTGTCGATTTTGAGGACCGACCGAACCAATCAGTCAAGGAACGAACGAACAACACCCGGTCATTGTTCTCACGTCGACAAAGAATTTCCCGCGACAACAACCGAGGGACCAGAGTTCCTTCCCTGCCCCTTCTCCAGTGGCGCAGACAGTCTTTCTTCCTCTGGTGGAAAGACTATGCCATTTCTCCGCCAATCTTTCGATAGCCCTCGACCCCGACAGTGGCTGTCGCGCCTCTCCACTCGTGAGGGGTGTCAAGCAAGACGTGGTGTTTTCCGAGTTTTGGCACTGTGCCAATTATCGCAACTGGGGTCGCGTGATGGAGTGGAATCATAAATCCTTTCGATCATATACCCTCGTCATTTTACGACGTGTTTGGTATCTCGAGGATGAAGCAGGTCTTGCGTATCTTTTTTCGTTTGGAACAAGTTGGTGTGAGCCCCCTTCGACCCTTTTGGGTCGTCGCTGTGTAGGCTCTCCAACCCAGACACTTTTTTCTGTTGTTGAGCTATGGTCTTGAGGGATATCTCATGATGGTCGTTGATGTGCGCATGGATGTTGAGGCCCTCATTTGTCGTCTTGGTCAGACCTCCAGACTTTGCTGTTCAGGGACTTCGAGTCTCGGCTTGTGGTCATCGTCTCTTCACTGATCTTCGGAGAAAGTCGAAAGCGGCGACTACTGGTGAGCAGTCTGGTCTGGAGGACCCTGGCTCCGACAGCAATGAGTTTCGCCTTCGGAGAGGCGTTGGCGGATTGGTTCTTGACAATTTCGGCTTGCATGGAAAGTCTGGTCTGCTTCTCAACGCATGTACCACGCAACAGATCAAAAGCCGGTGATTGTTAAGCATCAATTCACCATGGTCCCTCTTCGGAGAAGGTCCTTTTTCGACATGCTCCTGGTGGCTTGAAGTTCAGCATGCAGGCTTCAGGTTCGCCGGTATGCAGGAACGTGTTGATTAGTGGACGGACTTGTGTAGCCTTGCTCCGAGTCAACCCCTTTACTTATTAAAAAAAAAGCCGTGGGCCAGATGCTTGATACTGGACCTCTGGGTGGACATTTTATCTCTTGGGCCCGTTTGTGCTTGGTACGAAAGGCACAGAGATTGGGTCTCTGGACAATGCAATAGGTAGATGGACATTCCGGTCTAGACGTAAAATCAAGATCTGGTCTGACAATTCTTTTTCTTCGAGGGTTTAGAGATTGGCTCGTAGTCTCCTCGTAAAACCAAGACAGTGGTTGGTCTAATGTAAGTAAGCAGCATATGCCTAAATCGTGAATGAATGTCGTTTCAACTGTCTAGTATTCAATTCTCGGTCAACATGCAAAATGAGTCGGCGGAACATTGTTCCACGGCCCCGTGTTGAGCCTCGTTCCACGTGATGACATTCGTTCTTTCTTCTCCGTTGTCATTTTTCTCTTCTTTCCTTTGCTCGATGTACATCCGATTATTTCACGACCTCCAAACCGCAGTATGTCTGGCTGCTGCCACCATGCGCTTGGATTGAGTGTCTACATGGCGCTATTCTCGTGCGGCGAGGAAGCGTTGAAGTCTGCCGGCTGGAGCGACGAGGAAATCGAGAAGCTTCCCGTCTCCAAAGCCTTGCTGTATGAAACCTATTCAAGGTATCATGCGAAGGACCGGACGCATGTTCTGAAAGTGGATGGAGGTTCTCTTGTGCTGAAATACTCAGGGGAGGAGGATCCTTGTGGTTTATTACGACGTGAGCAGTTTGTCCCTGATGACGACACGAAAGATGTTGCGAACTGAGAGGAGACGGCAAAGGGTACATGAGCCAGAAAGACCATGATTGGATATTGACAAGTGTTCGTGTATATAATTTTCTAGAGAGCATATCGGCGAGATACTGTCATCATGTCGTCTCATGGGGAGTCGGTCACTATTTCGAACTGGCCTGACGCATATCTAGGGATCTCCTTCTACCGCCATCTCTGTCGGATCAATTTCACTTTTTCGTCGTCGTCGCCGCCGCCGCCGCCTTTGCCCTCTCCATGATCAAATCAATCTGCCTCTTCAACCTCCACGGCACATCCATCCTGTCCATAAATACTTCGATCAGTCGAAGCGTGTCTTGTCCCCGCTTTTGCGGTGCCGGGCTTTCTTCCAACACGGCCTCCATTTCTGCCTTTGATCGGACCTGTGTTGTTCTCTTGTCGCCGTCATTCGCCCCGAAGAACTGAAGCATGTGCGTGTGATCCCAGGTAGTGATGTCGTTGTACGATTCTTGAGGCCCGTGAATGGCTCTTTCGATGGTGTAACCGTCATTGTTGATCAGGAAACTGAGGACATCGTGACAGCCGTCAGCGTTAGTTTCAAGACTTATTGACTTCACCTCACATCACCTCACCTCACCTCGCCATATCAGGTAGGAGAGAGGGGATAAGGGGATCAGGGATCATGTATGGGTAAGGGTAAGATTGCGGATAGGGTTAGGATGTTCGTACATTATTGGATTCAGACCATGTTTGATAATACTTCCCATCTCTTGTACCGTCAATTGTAAACTTCCATCACCAACGATGAGAATCAGACGGCCACCACTTGACGGGGACGGTGGTGATGCGTTCCCATCATTGGCTTCTGCTTCGGCTCGCTTCGTCATCTCTCTTTGAGCCAGGCCAACCCCCAGGCAAGAAGGGACAGAATAACCTATGCTCCCAAAGTAGAGTTGAGTCACGTAAGTCGAGCCGGAAGAGAAGGTGGCTTCGGACATGCCGAATTGTGCGGTGCCGCAGTCCACCACCAAAATGTCTCCTGGACGAGAAAACCTTCCCAGTCGCTTCCAGACGTAGTTTTGTTTGATGATCTCTGGTGTGGCGGTTGTCATGTCGAGAGGTTGAGGTTCAGGAGGGAACTTTGGGTTCGGACGTCTTGGAAAATCGACATCTTTGAAAGCCAGCAAGAGTTTACTCAGGACTGTGGTCCAAGAACCACAAAATATCAGCGTGAACCCGACTTTTTGTATCACAAAATCATGTGGTGATTCAAACACAAAAAGAAAAGGCGAAGGGAAAAACTCACGTGGACGTAAATAGACGTTGGTATATTTCTTCCCAAACACCTTTTCACACTTGTGTGTCAGCTGATCATAAATGTACCTTGAGATTCAAAGCAGAAGATGATGTCCTGGGTTGGTTTGTTTGTAACTTACTGTAGCACTTGAAGGTTCAACGAGTATGACACTCCCCGAATCAATCTCACGGCTGTGACCACCGGTATTGCTGTCCGAAAGTAATGGACCAAGATTCAACACACAATCACTTCCTTCGACCTCGTCCTTGATCCCCGGGTACGACACGGTACCGTTGTAGACCCCACAAAAACGAGGATGGGATTCGTCGATGATGGTTTTGCCCATTGGTGTTGTGAACGTGGGTATGTCGAGCAACTCGAAAAGTCTTCTCGCTTGCTTCGTCGCCTCGTGACGAGCCACCAGACAATCAACGAGGAGGATTGGTCTTGTGGAGTTCAAGATGGCTTCCTTGATTTTCTGTACCACGGCGTCCTCGTTAGAGATGTCTGAAGGGTATGAGACGTCGACTGCAGTGTCCAGAGCAGTGACAGGCACCGGCACTCGGACCATGTCCATGGGTACAAAAATGTACGCTGGCAAGGAGTCGATCCAACATTGTCGTATCACTCTCTAGATGGGATAGACAGGCTGTAAGTCAGCAAGTCAGACTCAAGACCGTGGAATAGTTGTTACCCCTTGAACCACCAAGGTGGCACGGCACATACATCGATCTCGTCGACTGCAGTCTTTTCATCATCCAACCAAGCATGGGTACATCGAACGTGGGCCGACATCTTTTCGTAAACCTAGTAGTAGTCGGTCAGGGAGACTTAAACTACGGACTTTAAAAGAACAAGACTTACCCTATGATCCGGATTGGGTCCCAAACAGTGATGTATCATTAAATGTTTTTCTTGCATTGCTCTCGATGTAGTTCCCACGATGTGTATGATTTTCACTTGTTCCGTGTAGGATCCAGCAAGGCCATTGATGGCAGATAGTTCTCCTACCCCCATTGTCGTCACAACTATAACCAATTTAGATGATGAGATGGAAAAAAAGACACAGGTTCGGTCTTCACTTCAAAAAACTTACGGACACCAGGACAACCCTTGACACGAGCGTAGCCATCGGCGGCATATGCAGCGTTTAACTCATTGGCATTTCCAACTATGACCCAATGCTTGTCAGCCAACACAGGCATTCATATTGACGCTGATGATACTGGTGGGAAACCCCCGTCCAGACGTACCCCATTTCAATCCAGGTACTTCTTTGACATAATCCAACAATTCCAAATTCATATCACCAGGTACGCCCATGATGGACTCTGTACCTTGTTGGTATATTCTATCGAGACACACAAAAGTCACACAAAAGTCAGCAAAGGGGGGGGGGGGTTTCGGTGGCCTCATCATTGTTGGACGCGCTCCCACAAGAGTAGTATTCGCTCACCTCTTCCATAGGTACAGGGCCAAGGGAATCGTTTCGGTTGTCATTTTGTCTTATCTTGAAACAGGACACTCGGTTATTTGATGAACTCAAACGTAAGAACACTTGAAATAGAAATCTGACTTTTTCAAAAATGCCGTGTAACAACAAAAAACTCGCCCATACATGTACTGTAGGGGAAATACCTACTCCAGGTGGTTTCGGCAATTGTGGTATTCACTCCCCCCCCCCCACCAACAACAAATCCTTATCCACTTGATGTACTCCGTACACCTTCACGGAAAAGGTGCCGCAGGCGTCCAGGATCCCCCATCACGATTGGGATCTCATCTTCCCCACGACACACCCAGCACGTCTCCAGATTGAACTCGGTTGGAAACGATGATATATCAAGCAACCACTCTGGTCGAACGAATCAAAAGCGCCAAAACGCTCCGACGTAGTGCTTACCCAAGTCAGAATTTGGGCAATGACCATATCACTCTGACTTTTCTCGCAAGGATCTTCTCTTTTATCCCGCAGTCGGATTCATCCTTTTTCACCTTGACTTTGTATTTTGAGGAATGAGATGAGAAGAACGATGCAAGGGTCCCTGTCCCCTGTGGTGGATGATCATGTCGAGGGGAGAAGAACTTACTTCATGAGCTCCGTGCTTACTATCCCTGAAAGCAATGCGACTCTTCGAGGATGGGGCTGCATTTTACCGTGCAGAATGGAATCCGTGCGGCATGATTCTGGCAAAACCTGACGGGTAGAAAATAGACAAATATACTCTCTCCTCCGTATCCATGAGGATCTGGGTAAGTTTACAGTCGCCAAACTCGCTGCTGTACCTCCCGTAACAGAGATTCATCCGAAAGAGGCAAGTCAGCTACTGTTTCCGGCAAAGTCGTACCATAAACTCAGGCGAGTGAGTTGTACCCAGGTAGGTTAATGAAGCTGCTCGTTTCTTTCGAAAACATCAGTCATTACACTCAGCCGTTCAGTCAACAGTTTGTCCCAGCACATGGGCGTCCTGTTGCACACTGTCCTTGCACGAATCCAAAAACAGGATCCGTACTGTCACTCCTGATTCCAGAAGTTCAATATCAGTATGAGAGGCACTCCCCGACCACTTTATTCTCTGTACTCTTCTGCGAACGTCGGCCGTCAACATTATTGTCGATGGGTTTCCCTGGCCTTTGATTCTCTTTCGTCTTTGTCTCGTCTTGAGGTGGGCACCTACGATCTGGACGACCTGATCTTCCGTGGAACAACTCCCACACGTTTTGCTTTTACGAGAATGAGCACCAATATTTAGTATATCTCCTCAAGCCGGGTTCATTCTGGACTCGACATCAACCAAACCCCATTCAACATGTCGACACATGACCTTTGTGTTTGGAAGGCGACCTGGCAAGGATGACACCCGATAAAGATATGGGCTTTGTAAAGGGTAGTTGTTACGGTAGCATACTGATGGACACAGGCACACAGGCGCAGCAGATCGAAAGTCTGATAGTAATTGTGATTGTTTTTAACTATTACCTGTGCAGCACTCAATGAGGCGTCACTGTTGTTTGGTTGAGGCAGATTTCTGAGCAGTCTCATCCAACGATTTACCACTGGATGCTGGGCATCTGTCACCTTTGGCTGCAACTTTCTCATGATATAAGCTCCCATCAAGCAACCTCCTGACGTCTTCTTTTCTCAGTATCCCATCCTCAGGCCAGATGAGAACCCAAGCAAACCCCCACTCGAACATTGCAGACACTTGACCAAAGAAATCAAACGCAAGCCTTGACCTCCTCAGTCCATGCCATAGTTCCCATTTAGTCAGTCCTCCTTTACCATCTCGATCGAACTTCTCAAAAAAGTCCTCGAAAGGTTGAGGACGAAACCGCCCTTCTGAGTCGAATGTGCCGGTTCCACTCCCGTGTTTATTCATGTATGCTCTTTTGACGTAGAGCCTGAAGAATGGATCAGGTATAAGGCTCGGTGCAGTGTTGTAGGACTGAACGCTGTGTAAAAATGCCGTGAAAAACAGCGAGGTGATGATCTTCCATTCAAAGGATCGACATACACGGTAGGTATCGCTGGGCCAGATAACCCCATCACCGTCGGGGTCGAAGAACGAGCAGTGTTGCTCGAGAACCTGCAGACAACATGTTAGTCTGTGCCCTTTACTGGGAGCATCAGGCTCGATAACTCACGGTTTGATGCTGATGTTGTTTAGCCCAATCATCTTTCTCTGTCCCGTAAGGTGCGTCTGCGGTCGGGGCGAAAGTGGCCTGCACAAGACCTGAATTCACAAGTTTGGAGTCCGCAGGAGGAGTATGTGCCTTGTATTGCTCGGTGATGGGGGCTTCGGGTATTGAGATCCGATGTTGTGGCCCTGCTGAAATCTCGACATAGGTTGACATGGCTCAAGTTGGACTCGATCTGCTGAGAGAGGCGGGCCGTACGAAGAGAGGGCCATTGTTATAACAGGAGCGTCTTTGTGGCTGCGCATGGTACAGTCCGCACATGGCCGTTATGTAGTGGTGGATCGCACTTAGCGAAGCCCAAGCCTCTTCAGACGACAAGTCTCGAGTGTTGACATCATGGACTTGTGACGCTAGGTTTTGGAGGCAGTTTGGTCCGAATCAATCCATTCAAGACTTGCAGAGTGTTCACTGGCAAATTGGAAGCCGAATCACCTCCAATATGTGAAAGAAGATGGTGTGACATAGTTGCGGGAATGGATTCATGATCTGTGCCACGATATTTGTATCTGTCGACAAAGAGTTCGTACGAATACGAGTACAAGGTAGATGATGGACCAATGATACACCGCGTCTTTCTGTGTTAAGCCTAGTGAGGCTGATGAACAGGAGAGCGGAACGAGCCGCATATCAACAACGACCTCCGCAACTTGTTCAGTCACAGCAATATAAAACCAGACGGCTATCACTTGAATCAATCTTTCTTTCTCATTCAGGTATCCGCTCATGCGTGGACTTTGGTGCCATCTACACATTGCTCTTCTCATGGTTGAATACCGTTGTTCTCTCCCTTGGGAATATGGCTGACCTCTGTCACATCAAACTCAGGAATGTAAAGATTTAGCGCAGCTGGCCGTCGTGTCAAATTTGTTGGATGGAGTCTTTCTCGTGACAGACCCTTTGCAGTGCTCTGTTGAAAACTGCCCTCACTCGGAGCCGAAAACGGTGATAGGAACGGCGACGGTATGTTATTTCGGTTTGGGGGAAAGGGGGGCGAGGTTTTTTTCTTTCTCTTTTTCTCTCCAATCGTTGCCCCTAGAAAATGGTTAACTGAGATCGACAAATCCGACGAAGAGCGAAAGACTCACCCCCTCCCCCCTGCCCAGTGCCTACCGCCATGGTCATTGCTGCGTGGATGTGAAAGGCGACCACCAACAGGTCGATTTGGCCCATAATGACTATGATGGAGCATCAGCCCTGCTTGAGATTGCGATCTCGAGCAGAGCCATCCTAGTCTCATGTGCTACCCGGGCCATGAAGAGATGCTCTTCCCTAGCAGCCCTACAGCCAATGTTAGTCAAACCCATCCTGCACGATGGCAATACTCACTTCTCCTTCCGCACCCACGCGACTCCGATGGCGGTACACTAATACCGCCAAAAAACGAAAGAAAGTCTTGAGTAATCAAATTTTTCATATTGAAGAATCGAATAAAAGAATATTGAATTAAAACATTGTGTTAATCAATTCTGGAGACTGGAGACCGGAAAGGAGAAAAGAAGGGAGACAGACGGGCACTCGCGATATAAGTAGACGACACATTGTGGAAGGAGTGCGTTGCTGCTATTAACCAGGAACAAGATAGAAGCAAGGCAGCCACAGATCAAGTCCAGGCGCCAACCATAGAAGCATTTCGATGGAGCTTTATCGATCAGGTGAATTCAGGCCGCAGTATCAGCGACTATTCAAAATCAAGGTTTAATCGCACACTGGTTGTAAGAGAAAAGCATATCTACCTGAATGGACAGGCGTTATGTGAAACATTTCATGAGATTTTGCGTCCTAGAAAGGCGCCAGTGGTATAAAGGTCGTTAGAGTTGAGGACGTGTAGGATTTGTGAGCATCAGTGGAGAACAACTTTTATTGTGAGAAGGTCCTCAGGAGTCCACAACATATAAAGCTTCACTTCGTTCGCTTCTGCAATACCGTTCACACGCAATCCAGTCCCCTAGCCAGGTCACCTCACACAATACCAGCATCCTCCACAGCCTATTTTGTCTAATTCTTCTCTCGATACTCTACCATCGCTTACGGCAACACAAATCTCTCTCGAAATTCGCCCAAGATGTCCGGTCCAGAGATTTCTTTGCCGCAAATTTCTTTGGTACTCTTGGGCTTTGCGCTGGTCTTGTGGGGGTTATTTTAACCCCCTTTGCTATACTTCTATGGGCGGATCGGGTGTCTTATGAAAAGATCCTCCAACAATTCGACCAACGAGACGACCGATTCTACACGTTTCTCGAAAGGAGAGCAAGGATTGATCGTCAGAGATTGAACGAATCAGGGCTTCAGAAGATGGATTACCCTCAACTCGGGGCCATTCCTGCAGCGGCAGCGAACGAAATCCAGAGAGGAAAGGCGCAAGCAGAGGCTGCACTGTGGCATGTCAACGAGATGGATCATATTCGGGAGGACTGATTGAAGCCGGCAACCATTCCAGGTTGGGTTAATATAATGACACCCACAACAACTTCGATTTAGGACGAATGGAGGTACAGGGATGGCGAGAGAGCTTCGGGAGAGTTTATTAAAGAGTAAATGTATGGGAACATGGTTACGCGCAGCTGATGTTCGTATATTTTGATACAGCAAAAGTCAAGGGAATAGTCGTGATTTTGGAAGCACATCGTTCCTCCTCGATGACCAGTGTTTTAGGATACCTTTAAAACCAGTCGCCCTGCAATTTTCCTTTGATGCATCAAATCAAAGTATTTGTCAACGTCAGCAAGCGTGCCATTGGTCAAGATCGGGTGAACCAGTCCTCTCGCGGTGAAATCAAGAGCTTCTTCGACGTCTTTCAGCGTTCCAGTCACACTCCCAACGATGTTCAAGCGATCAAGAACCATCTGCTTAGGTCTAGCCCCTGCAAGCACCGACTCGTCGTGAGGCAAGCCGACCACAACGACAGTCCCGCCAGGTCGCACGAGCGGTGGTGCTAATGCGTAAGCTTCCTTCGAAGGAGGCAGAACAAGCACTGCATGTGCCCCATATTTGGTGATACGGGGGGAATGTCTTTGCAAAGTTCACGGTCGATGAACTCTTCTGCTCCCAACTGCTTGCAGAGGTCTCTTTTCTGGTCGCTTCTGTCAATCGCAATGACGCGCATACCCTGGCAAAGTCAGTACTTTGATCTGCAAAGATACAAACAGGGGTAGACTCGTAATATCTACCATGACTCGAGCGTATTGCAAGGCGAACTGTCCGAGACCTCCGCCGGCCCCTTGCACTACAAGCCACTGCCCCGACCTGAGACCACTTCGTTTACAGGCTGTATACGCAGTCACTCCCGCACACATGATAGGCCCAGCTTCGGGGTTTTCAGCGGCGTTGCGACACCAAGGTTATTGAGATGCCGTCTTACCTTCTTCATCCTTGATGCCATCGGGGAGTTTCGTTGTGTAGTTACCATCAGTCACAACATACTGCTGAAAGGTTCCTGGAACGGTGACCGCGGATATCTTCTGGTAAGGACAGTGCAGCTCGTCTGTTCCATTGGTACAGAATTCGCAGATTCCGCAGATGCTCCAGACCCATTTGACCCCGGCTCGATCTCCTACCTTCCACTTATGCCGCACGCCATCACCGACAGCCACCACGACACCCGCACCTTCGTGTCCGGCGATGCCTTTGGTTTCGGGTCCCATATCAACACCGACTCCATGCCACCCGTCATGAATGAGTGCATCATCTGAACTGCATATACCGGACCTGTCCTGAAGTTAGACACGACGGGGATGATCTAGGTTTGGTACGGTTCAAACCAGTTAATCTTCACGAGCAGTTCATTAGGTCCAGGAAGGCCTACATCGATCTCCTTCAGTGGGGCCCTGGCATCATTACCGTCGCCAACGCGTACCGCAGCCGTCTGCCGTTTGGGGATTTGAGCTTCTGTCATATTGATGGCTGATGTCGATATATTTACAGAAGGAGAAAAATGCAACATCATCATCCGAGAGGACAACCAAGCTTTATACGCCAACCTCGCCCAAAGCTCGCACATACTCTTAGTGAGGTTAGGTCCTACAAATGCACGACCGAAGACCATCGTATCTCCCCTCCATGTTTCAAACTTTCATAACATCATTCTGCAGCATCAGACCGAGGGGATTTTGGAGGCATCGTCCGATCTGCATGAGACTGGCACAACAATGCTCCTCGATCCCTCACGAGGTTTGCTGATCGAGAGCGACGTCTGGGCAGTGCGCCCTGATTACAAAGCCCTGGCATTGCATTCATCGTTGATAAAGACAGAAGTTTTATCATGAGAAAGTGAATTACCATGTGTGTGGGCCATGAGGGTGTTTGAAGCCAAAGCAAGCAGCTTGGCACATATTGGCCTGATCAATGACAACAATACAGTAATGACTGCATGAAGTATAGTTGCGAAGCACCAAAGTCCAAGTCTCAAACTTTGGCCAGAGTTTCTATCACAAATGTGCAAGCGAAGTGAAGAAGACCTTCGCCTTCTTGTGTTACGGCCAAGAATTGTCTAAGCTGGATTCAGAATATTTTCCTTGCATTCCGATTGCTTCAAAATCGACCCCCCATCACTAGCATGCTCTTTCGCTCTCATGGACCATGCCTTGTCCTGATATCAGCCCATCTTCCCTCGGGTTCACTTTATGTCATCAAAGCATCGGCCAGACCTGAGGTTTGCCCAACCTCATTTGGTGGAGACTGTCGAAATTAGTGTGCATTTCCCGCCACCAAGGTCATGACTAGTGTAGGAACTCCGCCTCTCGAAGCATTTGGCAATTTGTTCTGTAAGTCTGCGGTGGAGAGCTGTTGTCGATACTCGACAAGGAGTTGAGCCCATGTGCTCGGTAACGGTCTCTTTTGTCAGGCTGCTACCAGGGAGAACTTTGTATACCCAAGGGTTTAGACCCGCATTGCAAGTTTGCGCATTCGCAAGCTGCTGATCGTATAACTATACGATATCAATTCGGCACACCGAGGCTTGATTTGTTTCATTCACAAGGCCGTGTCGCCGGCGGCGGCCAATAAACACCCATGTCTGGCCGGAAAGCTAGCGAAGGCACAACGCGACCAACGAGAGGCGACTTCTTGTTCATCGAGCATCGTCCCAAGGCACCCCAAACCAATCGAGTCGTCTTCGTCCAGGTTGCAGACCTTCACGGTAACGAGCTTGCAGCCCACCTCTGGCCTTCGTACGGACCCTTTCAACTCTCTGCCTGTGGATCAGAGTACGGAAGTGATGTTTGTCGCGGACTACTGTACGTATTCAACTCAGATCAGTATTTTGCCTTGTTGATAACTTATCAAGGTTGTTAGTTATTCACGTCTGGGCGCCATTGGCAGTCACCCATTTTGACACCTTTGTTGGGTATGTTGTCAGGCGATTGGGTGTAGTTTTCGTCTAGTCGGATGTGCTGATGATATGGACAAAGCTATAACACGTATCTCAGTCTCTGCTGGCCACTAGCATTACAGGATGACATGTTATTTAGTGCCACACTGGCCTGCACTAGAGCTGCATGGTGCCTCTCGCAGGATCTCTTGCCCGAGAATGACCGTCTTCACTTGCAATACCGCGGCCTGGCCATGTCAAAACTGCGTCTCAGGCTCTCTGATAGCTCACCAATCAATACACAGAGTTTCCTATTCACCGTGGACTACATGCTGAGCGTCTCCTACATGTGGAAGGACGACAAAGCACTCAACATCCATCTGGCGGCATTCAGGAGCCTTGCGCAGGGATACCTCGCTACCAACGAGGCCAACGATGTGATGAGTAGCGTTGTCACGCACCGAATGAAAAGCTGGCAGGCTCTCGACAACTATCGAAAGCAAACCGACCTATTTCGACAAAGGTTGCAGACGCAGTCATCCCACCAAGGCGTACCGCCCCCATACATATGGAAGACCATCCCATTGCGACATCTTGAGACTGTTGCCAAATCATCTCCGGCCTTACGTCAGCTCAGTGACCTCGGCCTGCTCAGCATTGAACTGTTTGACGTACTCGCGTGCCTACGACATATCATAGACAATGCTTCTGAGGGTTTGGAAGGCCACGCTATCGCTTCCATTACTAGGCAGCTGAAAATCGCCTTGTTAGCAGAGCCCGTATCCGACCTCGACATCCAGGTCGGTTATGCCCTCATTAGTCTTTGCTATTATCTTGGTCCAGCGTTTTCGACCAAGACTTCACGTCATGACGGTAATTTACCGTATCCTCAGTCCAATAGTTCTGATGAACACCGCGACCTGGATGATGTAGCACAGGCGTACATCAACAGGAAGCTGACCAGGTGTGTCCATGACTCTCATATCGGACGAAACTGCGCCCTATGGTCGTCAATCCTGCTCGGTAGCATCTTGCTCCAGATTGGGCGTGGTATCGACACCAACAGGCCATTGTCCAGCGGCATGTTATCTGAGCAAGGCTTGAAGAGCAAGGGACACATCATTTTGGCCGCGACTGCTACAAGACTGGCATCCGATACCGGCATCGCCGCACGTTCTCAGCACTCAGCTGAGCCGCGCAAAGGACAACGGCCACCTCCAGAACCAGATTTCGAACAACTCGGACGAGAGCTTGTTGGCACTGCAGGTCTCTGCGATATGTGGCGACGCAGCTGGCGCAACACCTTGAGGAGGCAGCGGGAGTGGAAAGAGCAGGGACAGCTGCGGGTAGGTAACCCGGCAGGCCTGGACGATGACGAAGATAAGAAGATATCGACTGAGATCGAGTATATGGTTTTGATGGAGGCAAGGCAAAGCTTCCCAGTCATTACCCCTCTAGACCATCCAGGCGTTGAGGTGGGAGAGGAACGAGAGATCGTACCATCCTCCGTGGAAAAGCGAGACGTTCACCTTTCGAGTGATTCCTAGCCCCTTATGCAGTCGTCTGTTGACGCCCTGACGATATCGAAGGGCTAAGATTAGGCACATGCCTCAGCCAAAAGGAAAAAGGTGTTGTCACGGGCCAGAATCCGCCGCTGTGATCTGGAATCAATTCCAAGATCGGCCAGCGACATCCCACATGTCCAACATGCACTAGCTTCGGGTCATGATCTTGCGAAAGAAGATGACAATGAATTTCTGGACCGAATGATGGGCATCACTCGTCGATCCCATGGACATTCCACATTCATCTCGCAGATGTGTATTTTCTGCTCTACTTCATCTCTTTTATCATATCCCATGTCCTTGAACTCTCGTCTCGATTTCTTGCAGCCTATCGAGGAGGTCAAATACGGTCGCATCTCCTTGTGTAAGGATTCGTTCAACGCTGGCAATATGACCGTCAAGGCCGATGACTGCCGCCTTTTCGATCTTGCCTTGGTCCGTAATCTTGATGCGACCGACACTGTCGTCCGACCAGAGGATGCGTACTTGTCGAGCGTCAACGCCAACCGCTTCAAACTCTCGGATGCCAAATCTACCGGCTGGTGCGTCAATGTCTAACAAGGAGCTGTCTTCATCACTTTCACGTCCGACTTCTTGGCCACTTGGTCGGTGTTTGTACCTCACGACGGGAATCTCAAGTTTGTCCCTCATCCATTCAATTGCGTCCTGTCTTGACCTCCAAGCCACAAGGTCATGGCGCACTCTCGAAACCAAGCCGTGTAGGTCCTGCTTTCTCTGGTTCCCCTCGGAGCTCAGCAAAGAGTCCTCCGATCCACCATACCCTTCATCTGACAATGGTAGATATTGCTTCTCGTACTCTTCCAGCGGGACGAGTGCGGGAATGGTGTGACGGTGAATGCGAAGTTCCTGGATGGATGGCCCTTCTTCCCCGCCGACTTTGATGCAGAACAGATAATATGGGTTGTCAAAATGGCCATTGCGATCGCATAAATCCATTCGAATGCCCAGCAAGGGGTTTTTCGATTGTACTTCTGGGCTTGGATCATGGAAAGGAAATGAGGTCACGCCGAAGCTCAGATGGTGGAGATTCGATGAGGATTGTTGGAACGCAGACTCAAATTGTGATGGGTTTGAGTTGCTCGATGGGTCACGGCCTGTCTGTGTGGAGACTTGATTCTGTATCTTCGTCGAGGACAGGACGGACGAGGTCAACAGCTTGCGACGTTTGGTGAGCTTCTCGACTGTTAATCTGTTTAGCCAGGTTTCTCCGTAGCAGTTCGTTGTGGGGCCGGGGAGTGCATACTCTCCGCTCGTACTTGGGCAATATCTTCATCGAGAGATGAGCTCAGACTCTCAAAAGATGCAGAATCTATCTCGGGTACAGGAGACGCAGCGACGGCCGCCATGGTGAGTCGGTTTGCCAGATGTTGTGTGTGCTTTTCTTATTACTGTACGCGCTCAACTCGCCAACATTGAATTTATTATCCTCGGCTCGTCATTCAGACGCGTCTGCGATAACGCGTCGCTTATCTCAAGATCACGTGCCAGGGGTTTCACGAGAATCCAGGCTAAATGAAATGCCAGAAGAAGACCATCTGGCATCTGGAGGGGCCACCTTTTCGCATTCTAGATTTCTCGGGATCCAAAGGGGAGGGAATGCCATGGCCACCTCATCATGCGCACTGATTACGAGAAGGAGGACATGCTTATGACTCTCCTTCTCACTTTGTTTGCAGATCGATGACTTCACACGATCTGTGCCTGACTAACAAATAAAAAAATACGTGGTCCACTTGTAAAGGACAGAGAGTCCTTTCTGCTCCAACCACTCAACACGCTCCTTCGCCGCGTGTATGCCTGATTCAATCGCCGAACCTCTTGTACATCCACTTTTTCATGCCCGCTCCATATCGATAGACCAGCATCTTCCCTCTCACCACACTTCTGCCCCATACCAGGAACGAGCAGAGAACGCCCTTGAACTAGTAGACTTTGACGACCAAGAAAAGTCTCGAAATCCACATTTGGCGTCCGAACAAGAGGAGGAAGGAGACGACCAGCATCCCGAGTCTGAAGATTCCGAAAGAGACCACCTCGTCCCCGCAGAAGGCTCCGAGTCACAGATGAAACGCAACAAGGCCAAAAAGAACAAGGACAAACAATCACCTTCGCGGCCGAACCTACGGATAGACACCGACAGTAACGGGTTTGCGAATGGCCACGCAAACGGCACGATGGACAAACATATCGAGATGAGGCGAAAACACGTCTCGAACGATTCGACGCCAAATGCCACGAGGATCATGAGCCGAGAGGATTTTAGCCTCGACAATGAGCCGCTGCCACCTCCGACGCCGCAAACCCCAGGCATGGTCAATACCAGTTTCTCAAACTTGCCAGTGAAAGACAAGCGAAATTTCCTCCTCCTATGCCTTCTCTACTTCCTCCAGGGTATTCCTATGGGCCTCGCGTCCGGGTCCGTCCCTTTTCTCCTCAAGAGCTACCTTTCTTACGGCCAAATCGGCATTTTCTCTTTGGCTATATACCCGTACTCACTGAAACTGTTGTGGAGTCCCATCGTGGATGCCGTATGGAGTCGACGCTTCGGCCGAAGAAAGAGTTGGATTACTCCCATACAAACAATATCTGGATTGTCGATGATCTACCTTGGAGGAAGGATCGACGAGCTTATGAAAAAGGCCGGCGAAAGAGATGGTGCAGGAGTATGGGGTTTCACTGGCTGGTGGTTTCTTTTGGTCTTCCTCTGTGCCACTCAGGACATCGCCGTGGATGGGTGGGCTATTTCGCTTCTGTCGATGCAAAACATCTCGTATGCATCCACGGCGCAGACAGTTGGACTGACGGCAGGCTCCTTCTTGTCCCATACCGTTTTCTTGGCTCTACAAGCACCAGATTTCGCCAACAAATGGTTCAGAACTGTGCCTCAAGATTATGGTTTGTTCACCCTGGGTGGCTACATGGCTTTCTGGGGCTGGGTGTACCTCCTAGTGACACTGGCGATTGCCGTGATGAAGAAAGAGGACAAAACCAACGAGCGTGAAGGTATCATGGAGGTGTATCGCAGCATGATAGCCGTTATGAAATTACCCAACATCATTACCATCGTGATCATTCACTTGGTTGGAAAATTGGGATTTGTGACCAACGATGCGGTCACGAACCTGAAATTACTCGACAAGGGATTCGGCCAAGCAAACATGGCTCTGGTCGTTTTGATTGATTTTCCATTCGAGCTGGGTCTGGGATATTACGCAGGGAAGTGGTCTACCGAGTATACGCCTCTCAAGTTATGGTGCTGGGCATACGTCGCACGACTTCTTGCGGCAGTTTTCGCTCAATTCACCATCATGATCTATCCGACCGGTGTCAATGAGGCTGTTCCCCTCTGGTACATGCTCGTGGTTATTACTGAGCACGTCTATTCGACATTCATGAACACAGTCATGTTTGTCGCCGTGTCTGCGTTTCATGCTCGGATTGCCGATCCTGCAATTGGCGGAACGTACATGACTCTCCTAGCTACGTGAGCTTGCTCTTTTTATTTCTCGTCACACGTCGCATACTTTTACTAATTTATGATTTCTAGTGTTTCCAACCTCGGCGGAACATTTCCCAAATTCTTCATACTCAAATTCGTTGATATGTTTACGAAAGCAACATGTATACCTCCCACTGACGTGGATGCTTTTAGCAAAGCTCATCCGGACGTCACACCGATCACGAGTCAGTTTAGTTGTGCCCTCGAGGCAGAAAAGAATCTGTGTCTGAAGGGTGGTGGGACCTGTCTCATGCAACGAGATGGATATTATATTACGAACATCGTCTTTGTTCTCATTGGTGCTGCCCTCTTTTGGATGTACATAGAGAAGAAAGCGTTGGCGTTGCAGGGTCTACCATTACGAGCATGGCGAGTTCAGACTGATTCATCATCATATCACCGGGTGGCGACTTAGGGGATGTATGTCAACGAAATTGTATTATTGTAGGGCGAAAGATAGACAGCCAAAAGTCATCTTTTTGGAAATTTGAGAGAAATTTATCCGTATCGAAAGACTACATGAATTGTTAGGTAGTACCTTTGGGACGAGTACTCTATGACAATGCCTCATTACTGTTGGTATTCGATTGCCCTCTGCTCGTAAAAGGGGCACGAGCTTTTGGAGGGGCACGTGATATCAGAAATTTACTTCCAGGTCGAAATCGGGAGCCATTCTGCAAATTAAGCAAAGACTTCAAGAACTTTTCTTGTCAAGTAATTTCTACCCGCCACAATTTTGGGCAAAACATATTCTCCTCATGTCAAACCGAAACAAGAAGAGGGAGAAGTAAAAATTTAAAGCACAATGGAACATACAATGTCACGGTCGCCTCAGTCCCATCACACGGCATCATCACCATCACCCGCCGCTTCGACCACAGTGACCACTCCTGACCAATCTTCCGGGGATGATGGTGACATTTGGGACGATACGACATCCGAGCATGGTGACGATCATGGTCGATACGACGGTGATGTTGGTGATGTTTTTGATGGTTCAAGACAAAACCACACCACCACCACCACCGACGACAACAACAACAACAACGACAACGGCGGCGGCGGTGGTATCGAAACCAACCGTCGGCCGCAGCAAAGACAAATTCTGAGTGAGGTACCTCAATTGAGACGTCAACACGTGACCGACGGTTACCGTGAAGGTTTGTCCGTGGGAAAGGCAAACGTCATGCAAAGGGGTTTCGATTCCGGTTACCCTTTTGGGGTCGAGATTGGTTCGAGAGTCGGCAAGGTATTTGGTGTGTTGGAAGGTATATTGGAGGGTTTGGGCCACAACGACAACAACAACAACAAAAAAACTTGGGCTCAAAAGAGGTCGGACAGAAAAGGTGCCGAGGATAAGAGTGAAGGTGAAAGAATAAACCTCCAAACCGAAATCGAAACCGTCGTCAAAGATGATACCGTCATTCGTAATGTATGTCCTCTCGAACCGGAGGGGTCACCATTCATGACGGTTCAAAAATTATACGAAGAAGCAAAAGTCGAATTGAAAATTTCGGAATTGATGAAAAATTTGGATGATTCAATGCTTGACAGGATGGGTCAATTTGACGTCGACGAGGATGACAACAACAACAACAATGCGAGTACGGAAACGAAACCACAGGTCACATCACCACTACCAAAAGAAATCGATCAAGTCATTACAAAATGGGAAGATTTGGTTTTGAAAAGTCTACGGTAGACGCGAGACTCGAGGAAGAAGAAGAAGAAAGAAAGAAAAAAGAAAAAAGAAAAAAGAACAGAACGAATCTACGAGATGAGACCAAACCCCAAAAGAAAGGTTCTGGGCCCCGTTACGAGTACAACAATCGATGAACAAAGGCATCCCCCCTCCCGATGATGCATTTCATGTTTTGACGAACAAAAAAACAACAACGACGACGACCCTACGATTACTCACTCCTCAGATACCCAAATTTACAAGTTTGACTACCCGCCTTCAACTCTGAATGAGAAGAGTTTGGACTTTTTGGGGGGAAACCAAACAACCAACATTTCACGAAAACTGACCACTTACAGAGTAGGCAGCCTACACAAGGCCGTCAGTCGATCCTCTCTCTCTCTCTCTCTCTCCCCCCGTGATATCCTCTCCATGGCTTGTCGGCACCGACTCTGATGGTCCCTTTTTTTTTGGATTGGACTCGTCCTTTCTCGGACAGACTTCTAGACGGTCAACAATGACACGCCCTCCCTCGTCTTATACTTGCCTGACTTGGTAACACCAGGCATTATCAGTCAAGCTTCTCTTCTTCTCACCCTTTAGAGAAACAAGACAGAGTATGAGATAAGACTGTCTCATTACAAAACATTTGGTTTTTTTGATAATGAGAAGAAAAGAACAAAATAATCATTCTGTTCTTGCTTTTCTTTCCCGCCCCGTTTTCGGTGCACTGCTTGATCACTTCACACCCCTATTTGTCCTGGTGTTAGTGCAGTCTATTCCAACCTCGCATACCGTTCTCGTGCCCCTTCCCTCGTCTTTTCGGCAAAATCCTCGTACCGTCCTTTCGTGTTCCGTTCAGCCTCTTCTACCGCATCGCCGACTTTGCCACCTTGAGCACCTAAGCCGACACCGGCAACGTACACGCTCTGCGCGATAGGAGCAGTCATGCCTTCCCCACTAGCCCCCAAACCTTGACCGGCCGTGTATCCCATCTTACTCAACAACGACGCTCCCTTGGATCGAACAACGGGCCGGTCATCACCTCCTTCATCCCCGTCACCCTCGTCTGACGTTTTCACCTTGGAGACTCCCATTCCGACTTGTTCACCCTTTTTGTTGATGACACCGTAGATCTTCCTTCGCTCCTTGGCTCGATCACGGTATTGAGGCGTCGAATCAGTAGTCTCGTCGTTGGTGGCGGCAGCAGCAGAAGAAACATGGTGTTGAATACCGTGCTTCTCTAATTTCGCCGTCGCTTTCTTGACTTTACTCTCGTCCCGGAGATTTTGTCGGTGAAAGTCGCTCAGTCGTTCGTGCTTGTTGACTTCGGCGACGTCGTTGAATTGGCGCATGCAAAGGTAACAGCAATGTCGATTTGGGTCGGCAAAAGATTGAATTGACGGTGCACTGCCGCCGTCCGAGGAGTTCGCTTCGCTGCCGTCTTTTGATGGCTGATCGATGCCATGCAACTCGGCGTGACGATTACTCCAGAATTGTAGATGTGACGGAGCAGGTTTCTTTGCACTACCATCCTCAGCATTGGCTGATGTCTGGGCTTTCCGCTTCTTGGTCTTCTCGGCCTCTTTGGTTTTGGATCCTCCAACATCTTTCGGGACCGATTTTCCTTCAGAACCGACAACGGGCATTGACACGGCCAACTCAGTCACATACGCGGCTTCATCCCAGTACGCCAGTTTCATTGAAGGGTTACCGATTGGGCTGAATGTGAATCGCTCAATCTCTGGTGACGGGTTCAATACCGGCACAAAGACTCCAGCGTGGATATAACTGACGAGAACCTGCTTGGAAGCGATCGTGAATCGGTCAAAGGAATTATACCTCTTTAGTGCAGCCTGTGCATCTTCCATCGAGGCATATTCCGCGAATCCATATCTCCAGCTCTCGTTGCTCCTTCGATCTCGAACAAGCAGAATCCGTCGTAATGTACCTTCTCTGGCGCCAAGATTCGCATCACCAGTGGTCGAAGCGACTTTCGCTACCTTCTTGCCAGGGACTTCATCTTTTTGTGCCGCCGTCGAACTCGGCTTGTTCAGTTTTGACACTCCTTTGACCAGTACTTCTTCGGTGACCGAAGGCTCCAGTCCACGCAGAAGTAAAAATTGTGACGGAGTATTGTCGGTCGACGTATCGTTGTCGCCAACATTTACCGCTTTCACCGGAGCTTCAAAGCCAGGTTCTACAAGATGTAAGTAAAGAACTGCATCACGATGAGGTTTTACACATACCTGGTCTCGACGCTTGACATCTGAAGCACCTGTTCCGCGTTGAGAAGTTGTTGACGTTGCACTTTCCGTCTTGTCAGCCGCGTTCGCGGGGGCAAAAAAAAAACACAACACCAAAAAAGTGCCCTACATTTGGACATATCCAATCCGCATCTTCTGTACGATGGGCCTCTTTCCGCTCACGACCAAAGGTAATTCGGACTTTCGAAGCATCTCCAGTAGACAGTTCGTCATTGCCGTAAAGATAGAGAACGGGATAGTTGCGGTCCATGAACTCTTCCGCGTCCTGAACGGTCGGGAAGCGTAAAAAGCCGAATTGTCTCGATTGTTCTGCGTGTCCGAGTCGGTCAGTAATCACACACTGGGCCCTCCCCCGACCATCTCGGTACATCCGGACAACTCACTCGTCTGTCGATCGCGGATGACCCGCACGTCGTCCAGGTGTTGGACGTGATAGTAATGTTTCAACTCTGAAGAAATCTGTTCCAATAAAAACCCAGATTTTAGCCACAGGTCTCTCCATATAACAAGCAACGGAGTTCATCATCACGGGTCGGGAAATGTGTCAACAAGGATAATCGCGAACATCGTTCTCGGTCAGGTGCCTCGCCAGGCCTTCCATCATGATCTCCTTGCTCGGCTGGCCTCGACTGAGAGCTCTCTCTTCTTCCGGAGGCGTCCTCCGTCGTCGACTGCGACTGCGACTGCTTCGGCTGAGGCTTCGACTGGACCCACCACCATTCTCTTGCGAGTAGGGTCGGTCTCGGTCATAGTATCTTCTTCTACCACGGCGAGGGGAAGGAGATCTGTGACGACGATCGTCGTCTTCGTCATGGTAGTCTCGTCTGTCACGAGGACGGCGGTCGTTGTTGGCGTTGGAGTTGCGATCGGAACTCCGCGTACTGCGACCGCGAATGTGAAACTCGCCTCGGTTGTTTGATCTCGAAATATCTTGTTTGACAAGGAGCCATCAGTATGTTCTCATCTAACACATCTTTCAACCTTGATCTTGTATGGTTTACCATGCGGAGGACTTCGTCTGTGAGGAGAACTGTATCTGCGGTGTGGTGATCTTGATCTTGGTCGATCGTCGTAAAAGTCGTCACTTTGGACTGGCGGATGTCGATACGATTCGTTAGCGGGATAACCCCCGCGAGTACGATATGAAGACATCTTGCCGTGCCTGTCGGTTGCGTGTAAGTGAGTGTTTGTAGTCAAAGGAGCGAGAGTTTCATATACCAAAAGGTGCAGAGAACATCTCGCGGCTAACTTTCCGCAAACAGAAAAGGCAGATGTGCTGCATAATGCCCCCTATTCTTCATATCCATCTACTTGGCTACGAGTACCATTGATCAAGGTGAGGTATCATAACTAATCAATTCGCATACCGAGATAGAGATGACAAGAGCAGTTTCTCTCGCCAGTATGCATGTACTTGCGCTTTGCTTTGGCAGTCCTTCATGTAACCCTCCAAGTTCACTGGCTGTCTCGTTACCATTCCCAGCTTTGGTTGAACAAGCGTCCATCAACCTTCAGCCATTGATGACAAGAAAATCTTGAGCTGCAGGCTAATGACCTCAACCCGTTCGTATGGCATGTACCCAAATCTCAGTCCTCCGAGACCAATCACTTCAATCTGCACCAATTCTTCTGCCGAGAAAGCCCATCAATCTCTTTCCTCCTCTCTCAGCACGGGTAGTTTTCTCAGCCTTTTTCTCGAGCTTTGCAGTTGTGTTTGTCTTGGAACTGAGACTGGCTCTGACCTCTTCGTCGATGGTTGGACCAAACTCAGTAACTGCAGCTGGGGCCGTTTGAGGGAGCGCTTTCCTAAGCACTCCACCACTCGTGAACGGACTCAGAGGACCTTTTCTTCGCTCAATGTCAAAGTCGGCACCGTTGATATTGACTACGAGTTTCTTCTTCAAGCGTTGACGAGTATCTCGCGGGGATTTCGATGGCGATTTCGTCATCTCAGAGCTCGCACTGTCAGAGTCATCTTCTTCCGTCTTCGTTGTCAGTCGAGGTGACTTGGGAGATCGTGGAACCGATGACTGAAGCTCTTCAATACTGTCCTTCGTCTTGATGGACAAGGAGTCATTTGGTGTGGCCACTCGTCCGACACTACCATTGTCCGAATCAGCCATTTGAACCTTTCCTTTGCTTCGGTGTGTTTCAGGGTCTCCATTCTTGATAGGTGATTTGTTTGGCGTCACGTCTGCTGCCGGCTTGCGGAGAGGAGAGATAGGCACTTGCCCCATTTGTCGAGGTGGCGACGCCTCACCTGCATGATCCAGGGTCGCTTCCGAGAAGGCTGTAGATGACGTGCTGCTGGGTACGGTCGAGACACTCCGATGAACAAGTCCATTCGATTCGAGATACTCTGATGTATGTCAGCAACGTATTCATTCTTGCCGCAGAACATGGACTAACCGTATGGTCTACAATAGAACCGAAACGCCGCGTAGGGCATGTCGAGAGGATCAAGGAGTTGATACTTGTAGCGTCGAGGACGGAAACCAGGTTCGAGGAGACCACTGTTTGTCAGACTAAGATTGTCAGCAGAACTCCAATGAGATAGTGTTGAGACAGTCGCACCGCAAGCCCTCTGCACTGGTTGTGTCAATGCTGACTGCCCCAAATCCCTCTGGAAGGTCTCTGAGGCGTTTGCGATGCTCGACACGATAGACGTTGATCTGGATCATGTCATCGTCCAAGTCAGTTCTGTCACGATCACGGTCTTCGAGCCCATCTCCGAAACGAAAGGCCTCTCTTCTGACTAGATTCTCGCCAGTCACGGCATCGTCACCTTCATTGACCAGATTGTACATCATCTTGCCATGGAAGTCATGCTTTCCAGTACAGTCCCACGAGATGACCATTCTTCCGTTGACCAAGAGTTTGAAGAAGTAGGCCGCTCCAGGCGGGTGAGGACCGTCAACGGTGTATTCGAACCAAACTTGACAGCCGGGGTAGATTGGGACGTGGCAAGATGCGGTCGGAAATGCTGAATCACTCGGCTTTTGAGGTTGTTGCTGGTCGACTTGGAATGGATCAGCTGGCTGAGAGGGAGAATTGTATTTGAACTCAGGCAATTTGCGAATGTCGAATTGTGAGATCATGCAAATCTCAATACCCCGAAACTTGACCATGATTGATTTGTTTTTGGTTTTGGTTTTCCCGACTTTTTGGATAGAAGATGAAGAAAAAGATTGAAGGATGTCGAAATGGACAGGTTGGTGTGCCGGTACAGGCTCTTGCTATTGTTGTAGAAATGGATAGGAAAGGGTCGCCACTTCACTGTACTTTCGTCGTATTCACTGAGCTTGGGAAGGAATGAGGTAAAAAGCCACCATTGAGGAGGCGTTATTGAAGTCGGAGGTAAATTTTCTCAATAGGGCTTCTTGTGAATAGATCGAAATCTCAGCCCTTCTGCTATTGAAACCCTTGACCGCCCAAGTCGTAGAGCAGGTGTCGATACGCGTCTTTAATACTGGGCTTTTATGGTCGCTTGTGGAAATTGCAATTCAGGTCATCATAATATCAATTCATTTCATGCCTCCAATAGAAGCAATGTATGAGTGTTTGTCATATCATCGTACCGTCGTTGCCAGCACCAGGCATTAATCAGACTCATCTGCTCCTGTCTATCTCGAGGACAAGATTAGCTCACCATCCCAGCTTTACTTCTTCTGCTCCTTCGCCGTCGTCCACGTCGAATGGAACCTCTTCGAACTGCGGGTCAGCGTACAGCCGGTCGAACCAGTCCAGGATGCTTCTCCAGCTTCTCACTATCGCGTTCTCCTGGTAGTACTCTTCTCCACTCGCGTAGCAGTTGCATCCATAGTCGTTCCGTCCAGACATTGGCATTTCTAGTTTCTCGGGAGCCACGAAATAGGCTCTAGTCCTCAAGGATAAGAACTTTTCGAAGTCGGGAGATGCATCCAGGTCTTTGATCTTGTGCTGCGGAGCCACCAAGGCGATGCCTGTAATTCTCTTCGACCACTTATCCCCTGCACGCGCGTGTTAGCACAGATGTCCGTTTGGTTTCTTCCCCTAAAAGCACTCACAATGGGAGGCAAGATACTCGACAGCCGCACTCCCAGGAAACTCGATACCCACAATGTCAATGCTTGCGTCCTTGTTGACCAAGTTCGACAGTACCTCCTCAAACATAAACTTCACGTGAGCCTCGAAAGTATCGTTTCCGGGCACTCGATTCTGTACCGGGTCAATCTTCATCGCCTCACTCACTGCGGTCGGTCGCGGCAACTGCAGCCACTCGGCGTCACCGACAGCGCGTCCTCCCCCTCTGTACCAAAGCAACTGACATGGATTTGCAATGACAATCCCTGGAGCAGAATGTTCAGGCGAAGGTCTGAGACCGGTCAAAGCTGAAGTTACAAAGTCGACACCTGAACCAACGTTGATTCCTTCCTCCCCTAGGACTCGCCACGAGAAAATGCCCGGCGTCAGACTCCGCTCGCCGAACAAGACTATCACCCGGTCTTTCTTCGCAATGTCCTTGGACACGAGAATCGGAATGTGCTTTTCGTCTTTGGTGGCTCCCAACGGCAATCTCACTGTCTCCAGATCAAGTTTCCCCAGCCGATCTTGAACGATTTTTTGGATAGCAGCTAAACCCCAAAGATCATGTCAGTGAACCGCAGTCATGTGAAGGAGGCCCCTCTTGGCTCTGAAGAACAAAAAGCCAACGTTACAGATGGAAGATCAGTTGTCCATTCATAGATGTAGATTATGACTTACCATTGGAAGCGTCCCTATAGGCGTAATTTATCCTATCGTTCTTGTTGATGCCGAAGAAGTATTTTGCTTCCGGATTCTTGATCATGCGGATCTGATCATGTTCAGTGACGAAGAAACCTAACTTTCCCAAGTCCGGCTCGAACACCGGGTCTGGAGGAAGCGTATTTGGGCGACGGCGGAACATTTTTTCGAAGTCAGGGTCGGGCAATCCCAGTGCTGCTGTTGGTTTCCCGTAAGTGGTGAGGTAGATGGAAGGTTTTTGGTAATTAAAAGCAATGGTGAAACGACGAATTTTATACGAGTGGCTAAGAAAAAAGCGTGTTAGATTCGAAGAGTGAGAGGTGAACAAGGTGACGAGCCAGCCGATGTACAGAAAAGGCTTGCAAAGTTGAATTTACCATGGCCGCAAGCGAGAGCAAGTCCCGCCCAGAATGGATAAGAACGATTGAAACCCAATTGTGAGGTGAAGTGCGCCCAAAAACGCCAAAATCCACCAAGTGAATGATGCAAATAGAAGATGGAATTGAGTGACAAGTGTGCTCGTGAGGATAGTTGAAGGGGTCATGAGAGACACACAGGAAGGTGAAAATAAGTCTACGTACAGACTCCTTGGGGAGGTCTTGGATTTGGGCGGCGTCAAATCTACCCATTGTCCTGCGTTACACAACCACAACGATTTCAACGAGTTTGCAATAGGGATCAATGGAATAGACATAGCAAATAGAAACCACTGTTCACGAATGTGGGATTGTCAGTATTGTACTGTTAGGCCATGATACAATCTCAACAACTAAGGTATTTGGCAATCCAATTCGTGAAGCCCAGACCCTTTGGGCTAGCAAACATTGATTCATAAAGACATTTCTCTCAGAAGCCTGAAATCCAAACCATGCAATGCTGTCGAGCGTGTCCCTCCCATGTACACCTAATATGCGCAAAAGCAAGGCAAACACATCCAATCAGTTTCCCTAATGTTCAAAACGCCGTGATCACAACAAAAGCATAGTTAGCGAGTGCTTGTCACACACGCAACCCCCCAGAAATTCGTAATTGTACACAATTGTGGCTCAGGAGCATGGCCATGGCCATGGAAACTCATCAGCCGTCACCATCCAACCAAAATCAAGGGTATTTCGTACACATTCGACGGTGCATCTGATCCCGAAGGAAGTCTGGATCTCTCTAAGATCCAGCTCGAACACTACTACTGCGTTGTGAAGGGAAACTGCCCCCTGCAATAGGAGCAAATCCCTTTGCAAGGTCGAAGCCACCATCTCCATCGTCATCGTCATCATCATTGTTGTCTCGCACTTCCGTGGTAGTGGAGTTGAATTTCACTGGTGGAACTGCCGAGGTGCTGCGACCAGACCTTGTCTCATTCTCGGCACTCTCGGTCTCTCGTACGGGCACTGCAGGCGTGGCTTCTTTCTTGATACTGGAGCTCGAGCCAGCTGGCATCTGGCTGCTCCTCGCTGGCTTGCTAGGGCTGCCAACGCCCCCATCCATAGGCGGCGGACTAGAACTCATCACCTGTCGATCAAGTCCGTTGGCCCTGGGATCTTCATCCTTGACTGGGGATATGTCTGGCAAAGCCTGGCCTGGAGTGACTGCCATTAGGCCTTTCCAGAATAGACTCGGGCCCGCAGGAGACGACTCAGGCATGAACTTGCTGGGAGCTACCAGTGTACTGGGAGGAGCCAGCCTGGGATTCTGCCTGAGCGGTGCGGGAGTGACAATGCTATGTTGCGAGTGGTGAAATGGGGTGTCAAGATAGGATGACGAAAGAGTCGGGTTAGCAGGCGAATGATGCGACGGTGGTACAGACGACGGTAAAGTGTAAGCAGGTAGACCATTGCCAAGACGAGGCGTTGGGCCTGGGCGATGTGGAAGTGGTGACTCTTCCAACTCCAGATCCGGGAGGGTGTTCTGCGTACCTGTCCTTCGTCTCTGAGGCGTGATGGCTTCCCGAGCATTCGCAGGCGGTGCCAGAGTTGGCCCTGGCGGGAATGGACCTGGAGGACCTGGGGGTCCTGGATTGAACGCAGGAAACTGTAGACCAATATTCGGAGGCGGAGGACCAGGTCGATCACTCCCATCTCGGGCAGAGAATTGGCTGACCATGCTCGTGTCGTAACCTAGATTCTGCCCATTTGGGCCTCTGAAATTGGGATTGACATCTTTACCTGCTGCGGGCGAAGACGGGACAGAGCCTCCACGGCGGGCCTGCTTCTTCCAATATTCCTGACGAAATTCAGGGGCAATCTGCCACTTCATACCCTTCCCTGGCTCATCGGTACGTCTGGGTACTTTTTGAAATGCTTTGTTGAGTGACAAATTATGCCGTATCGAGTTCTGTGGAAGTTAGCAAGAGACCAAGACAACAAATAGTGTGAGGATACTGACCTGCCAACCACTATTTGAGTGGCGATAAAAGGCATACTTTTCGGCAATGAAAGAGTAGATGTTGCTTAGGGTCAGCTTTTCCTCCTCGCTAGAGAAGATGGCCTGGGCGATCATGGTAGCATAACTGAACGGTGGCTTGAGATCCTTAGCACTGTCCCGACTGTAGTCGATTTCCTGGTTGCTCTGCATCAGCATTCCACGGCCATACATAGGCGAGATGGGTGCTTTGCTATCGAAAACACCTCGCTGTTGCTTTCCCGAATCGTTCGAAGGCGGAGTGGTTTCTCGTTTGAAATCTGGCGGAGCCGGGGCGAGTGATGGAAATGCTTGAGATCCATATGAGATGCTGCTATGCCTGGCCGACTCAACTTGGACCTCGAGCTGAGGAACCTCTTCGCCCGCAGCTAATGCTTTGGCTCGATCGATGAAGTATTGGTCGATTTCGGCCTTGTCTCCTGGGGTCACAAACATCATTTGCGTGCCAGCGATTTCTATAATGTCACCAGATCTGATCTGCTTCCGTAACCCTTTCTTGACCAAGACATTGTTGACCCGCACACCATTTCGCCCATTAACCCTGACATGCCAGCCGCCCTTATCGACGGGGTAATCAGCATCGTAGTATATTGAGGCGTGGTGCCGCGACACGATCTTGCTGGGCCCGAGATCGATGTGTACAGGTAGGACTTCTTTCAGATCCGCAATCGGACTCGAAGCGCCACTTACTGTTGGACGTTCATCTGGTGGTCTGCCAAAGTTCACAGACTGTTCGCGCACAAAATACGTCCAATCTCTTCCAGCAATCTTTGCATATGCGGACACTTTTTGTGGGCTGTTGTTTTGTGGCTTGTCGTTGGAATATTCTGCTGCAGCAACAATAGGTTCTTTCGAGACTTGCAGGTAGGAGACAACAGAATCTATGAGGTCGGTCTGCGACAGCTCTTCCGTTTCATCGCCAGAGTCTTGGGCGGGGGAAAGTTCAGGTTCGGGAGATGTGGATTTTCGTCTGGCTACGGCGCGCCCTCCATTACCCTATTTTACAGTCAACGAAACCGGGATTTCTGAAACAAGATGACCAGGAAGGGCCTACCTTGCGTTTCTTTGCCGATGGCCGCGTAGGCGAAGAATCGGGAAGATCAAGTTCAGAAGACTCGAGGATATCTGCCTGCTTGCGACGGGGTTTGCGTTTTGATGGCGGCATCTTGGATCCACGGCGACACGAAAAATGCTTCACAAATTGGAGAGGTAGCGGGGGATTTCAGAGACAGAGGTTGAATGAATGTCGGAGGTTTTGTGAATGAGGGCGAACGCAGATGGTCGTGACCGGTGGTTTGCGACGTCAATGTTTATTTCTGACGCAAGGATTTTCGCGGGAGGGAATCTGCGCGGAATCGTGGGATGGAATGAGGGCGGGACGGAAGGGCGCAGGCGACATGGACATGAATCCCAGCGTTTGTCATTAAAGGTTGGTGGTGAACGAGCAAGGCGCGTGAAGGGGTGACAAGGGACTGCGAATTCTTCCAACAATGATGTTGTTAGATGCTTTGTACGGGAGATGTAGAGGAGTGAGAAGGTAACTTGAATTAATGGTTGACCGTGGTTTGAACGCACCGGGAGCAAAGACTGCAGCAAACTGGATCTTAGTTCGCGTAATTCATTGGATGGTGGAACGCGTTGACCTGATGGTTTGGGCTTAATAAATAGGTACCACAGGTGGTCGGTGCTGCACCTAGTGAGGACGATACGGAGTAAATAGTCTACGGGAGTCCTCTACAGTCTTCAGTGTCTACGTCTACTCTGTACCTAGTCTGCCTGTCTTTTCCGCACTGGAAAAACCCTTTCTGTCACCATCATAAATCTTCGCACTGTCATCGTTTACCTCTGTACCGCTCGCAACCTGAGCCTAAAGAGATGTATCTTCACGGTCAAGAAGAGAAATTTACAGCTTGGACTCTGTTTGTAGGCATACAAAGTATCCTCGACAATAAGCAGTACATTTCATCGGGTATTGTATGGCTACCTCCTGTCTTATGTCCATCCCTTGAATTCAACCGCAAATGTAAACAATGGACATGTCATGGGCAATTATGACACTTGGATCCATGGCCATTCCTCTGTGTGACAGGTGCCTGATTTACATTTGAGCCTCAGTCGGCTGTTTGCGCCTTTAAGACCTTCTTCACTGTCAACCTGTTGCTCCTATTCTCCATGGGCATGGTTACAAATAATTCCTCTGGTATCCGCCTAGATGAATGTAATGCAGGGCGGGTCAGTGGCCTCGTGCGCACCATTTCTCTCGCTCTCGCTTACCGACTGCTACCGATTGGGCGGAATTCCGAGGTAAACAATGATGACGTCGCTGGCTCGCCACACTTGCTAACTGCCCGGATTAAGTCTACTCCGTATCCGTACTCTCAGTCGAGCCCATCGCCATTGGGTACACCTGTTTATGGTATATACCAATCAGTACAAGTCTTCTGGTTTCGTCTATGGCAAATGTCTGCAACTGTGTCGTCAACATGGCCTGCCATTCTTCAACTCGATATAAAGTACAAGTATTAGATATCTACAGTACACATCTCGCCTTTGCCAGACAGACAGCTCGTCGCTGACAGGGACTTGGAACACCCCAAACGTCTCCTGAAGCCACTCCCTGCATTAGCCCCGAGTCTCGCCCCCTGTCTTCTTATCGGCCTTCTGTCAGCCCTGAGTCTGTATGAGACACCAGTACGAGACCCAAACAATAGCAAATCTTGAAGCCACAAATACCATGCAACCGTTGTCCTTGTCTAAGAGTGTCCTGACACCTTGCAAACCCTTCTTTTTGGAATACACATCCCAACTTTGTGCTGTCCGCCAACACCTTGCAATGTAAAATAAACATAGGAGAAAAAGCTCCTTCCATCCAGACCTGTTGAAAACAGTGCGCAGTAGAATGCCTTCCAATCTTTTTATCCTCTCCAATAGTCGTAGCTTCGTAATGCCCTGATCCAACGTGAATCGTACAAACGCCTATTGAGATTTTTAGGCCTCGACCAAGTCAACGCCTTCAATACCATAACCAAAATCGATGATCACCACGCGCCCATCTTGGCTCGTGCAAACGATTTTGCGATAATTACTCTTCGCCGCTAATATCCAACTCGACGTCCATCCATCAAAGTTGATCTTGAGCCCACCATCATCTGCGGATTCCCCATTGTTTGCATCCCACACCTTGATCGAATGGTCGTAACTACCACTGATGATGCGCGAATTGGCCGAGTCGAGATGGAGGGACCTGACCAGGTTTCGGTGACCCTTGAGTTCCCTGATCCTGTTCCCGGTGATCGTGTCGTACTCATAAATGACCTGATCATTTCCGCCCGCAAAGATGGTCCGGCCATTCTCCGAGAACTCGACACAGGCTAGGCCTCGGTCCTTGGATTGAAATTCTTTGATGCAGACCCCATCCTCGAGTCGCCACAGCTTCGACAGACCGTCGCCACTAGCGCTGGCCAGAAGGTTGCCTCTGACTTGAACTGCATTCACCGGGCCACGATGTCCGACCAATGTCTTCAGGAGCCGACCCGAGGATCTGTCCCACACCTTGATCGTGGTATCCTTGGAGCATGTAATGATTCGACTCTTGTCAATGCATACATCAAGAACTCCAGCGTGATGGCCAACGAGCCGGTAAATGGGCTTGTAGTTGTCTTTGATGGACCAAACAATGCAGGAGAAATCTGATGAACCAGTGACCAGAATTTCATCGTCGTATTGTAGACACAATACCGAAGCCTGATGCCACATTGGGATTTCCGATGAGGCGAGGTCTGAAGAGCACACATCTGCCTTGAAGAATGGAAGTACTCCCTTTGGCTCGACCGCGACCGAGGCCAGTTGCTGTCTCTCCCGAGGATTGTTGGGGGGACCAAGCTTGTGAATGCATTGGTACGTATGGGCGTCCCATACCCGAATGGTGTTGTCGCGCGACCCGGTAATGATTTTGTGCTCGTCAAACTGCGCACAATAGACACTGTCTTTGTGTCCATTGAGGTAGATGGCTGCAGCCTCACCGTTGCGCCAGCGCTTATCGATCAGGGTCCGCACTTTGAAAAGCTTTCGGAAGTCTTGGCCTGGCACGCTTTTACCTAGTCCAGCTGCTGGAGGGAAATGGGAGACACCGGTCTGCACCTTACATCCGTACTCTTGGTAGAAGATTCTTCTCCAGACAGCCTGTGATTTGCACAAGTCGTACCATTTCTGAGACACGAGTGAAGCACTGATCAAGGATTCCACGTCGAGGAAGGATAAAATGTTCTCAACAAGCTCTGTCGCCAGGACCGAAGCAGGATCTCGACATGGAACATGTGGGCTGGCTGGAGAAGATCCTCTACGGTCACGACCATCGAGAATGATACCAATTCCACTTTCTGCATCTCCATCGGGTTTACTCGAGCTTTCTCGAGGTTCGTATGGGGGCAGAGGAGGAGTCCTGGAAGCGTGGAAACGTTCGTTCTGGGCAGCTGCGGAAGCCCTTGCCTCAGCTCCACCATAGACGAGGTCAGAGAGGAGTGGCTGCCCTCTGCCCCGTGCGAATGGTGCCTCTGCAGTGACTGGCGGATGGTATGAATTTAGAAGTGGAAGAGATGGGCGGCGTCGCGCACTTGGGTTTCTGAGAAGTCGTCCTCGGGATTTGGGCCTTGCAGATGCGACCTCGGTCAGATCTAACATCTGGTCTGTAGTCTTGACAGATCTCAAGGGTGGTGTCTTGGGCTCTAACCATTCCTCCTTTTGTTTGGGTTGTTTGCTCCTGACAGTGAGCGACATGCGTCGAGTTAACGACCTGAGCTCTGATATTCCATTCTTAAAGGACTGGGTGATGGTTGAGTAGCGTCGCTGATGCATCGGTTCTCGACCTCTAGGCTCGGCAGAAAAGTTCGCAAAGGGATCTGCGAAGGGTGAACTGTGATGGACTCCCCCAACTTCCTCTTGATTTGGGCTGAAGCTGGACCAGTCCAGCATATCATGAGAGGCAGCAGGCATCAGAGCAGATATAGGGCGTCTGGAGAATGAGCGCTGATCGGGCGCATGCTCGAACGCGGTTTTGGGTCGAGATAGAACTAGAAGGGAAGTCCTCCGGCGTGGAGCGATCGAGGAGGGAGCCTCGTTATGTGACATGGTCGCCAGAGTAGGTGTGCCTGGTCGCCTTTTGCCCCCAAAAAAGAAAGTGCCAGCCTTTTCGGCCTATTCAAAACTTGCAAAGTTCAGAATCTTTGAAGGAAGCGATACTTGTGGCGTTGAGCCCGCGCCGGGGAAGGAAAAGCGATCCTAATTGTTGTTGTCGACGCGAAGTGAAGAAAGAAAAGAAGGCGAAAAAGGAGCGACAGCAACTGCGAATCCAGCAGCGACTAGATAGAGAGGATGCGACTATTGGAAAAAGAGTGTAGGGAAAGGGCGACTGCGAGAAAATTCTCGATTTTGGGGATCCGAGCGTTCGTATAAAACTCAGAACGGGAAGAAAAAGAGAGTCCGGAGTTGTTTATGGGCAGTGGGAATGGATAGCGCCGGGGAGACCCAGAGGCCCAGGGATGCCAGGGATATCAATTTTCTGTGGAGGTTTCAGCATTCAACGAACCCTTATTGCCTTCCAGAGGTCCACCGTGTGATTGTTGCATTGTACTCCGTACATACGGAGTACAGTTGTATACTGTACAGATTCTCCATGCGGATAGTACAGAGACAAGTTCCCGGTAGAGAGGAAGCCAGGCAGGGCCCGTTGCCCCCCGACGCCCCCCGTAGTGATTAAGCGGGCTAGTGAGGCTTCGGGCTTCAGATCTAAGGAATCAGTTCGGTGTTTCAGCATGCCCATGACGTTCAAGACCATAATTTCCTTCAGTGTGGCTGTCTAGACCGGGATCTGACACTTTTGACATTCTTCAGGCCCTGTCACTCTATCACTGGTTCGCTTGTTATCAGCAGTTTGAGAAAGTACAAGTACGTGGAGATCGACGCTACACGGCGCCAACTCGCAAACGCACGAACTAGCTAGCACGAGGATTTGTTACTGTGTACTCCGTACTCCGTAATCAGTACCTGGTCTAGGGACCTAGTTCGCCGCGGGACAACAACCAGACTTCTTTCGAGTACCCCGAACTGACCGCCTTCAGGCTCCCCGACTCCTGGCTCCTTGTTCCCTGCACCTCCTGTTCAACCATCGACGCCTTCGTCAGGCACGCGCAAACATCATCCCCCTCCGCAAGCGATTTGTACAACTCCTGTGTTCCTCACACCGACTTCAACCCCTTGCTGACGCCCCCTCCATTTGCCCTCAGGCCACTTATCGCATACACTCAGGCACGCGACTCACCATGGCCGCTATCCCTCTCCCATACATCGCCTTCTTCCAATGGATTGAACCATTCTCGACGCTCGTAGGAGCATTCTATGCTTGGTTGAAGCCTGCGACGTACTTGGAACTGACGCATGCTCAGTCGGCCCCGGGGATACTAGGCGTGCCGGTCTCGACCGAAATCGTGCTGCGCCAGCTTGGGAATCTCTACATCGCGTTCGCCATCAATGAGGCACTGGTCTTGAGGGCTACGGCCGATCTCAAAGTGTGGAAGGCCCTCCTCCTTGGTCTCTTGATAGCGGATTTTGGGCATTTATTCAGTTGCTATCCCCTCGGTCTCACTTACTACTACGATGTCAGGAGTTGGAATTCAATGGCCTACGGCAACATACTATTTGTCTACTGCGGTGCCATGACAAGAATCTGCTTTTTACTTGGTGTCGGTCTTGGAGGCCCCAAGAAGGCAAAACCGAGAGCCAGAAAGTCTGTGAGGATGATCACCGAGAACGATGCGCCTCCAGTGACGCCGACTCAAATGAACAAAACTCCGGCGCAAAGCACGCGGAGAAAGAAGCAGAACAGGTCGGCTTAGACAGGACAATGGCTGCGATATATGCCCCAAGAAAGAAGAATACGGAGTACAGTGGAAGGTTACAATCGCCCAGCAACGAACTCGACTCGGTTACATCACCTTGTCTCGCGTTAACCAGCGCCACGTTATTCTGTGTCGCAGCGCTTATCGCATACTCCTATCCTGCCTGTTCGATTGTCCTTCAGCGTCAAAACCTACTTCGGTGATGTCAAGCAAGCATCCAAACGCAAGCGCAGCCATGATCACTTTGGTATGAAGTGATCAGAAATGATGCGCTGTGCTATCTTGCTGCTTGAAAAGCGGCCATAGTCGTTATGGGAAACAGATATATCTCGTCTCTTTCCTTTTCTGTAACCACCAAATTGTTCACGGATTCAGCACCTCATATTCGACGCCCAAGCACTTGCCAGCATTCACGCCTTTGATCAAATCATTCGGACAAGCACTCATGACGGCGATCACGTCCCTCTCGGCCCGCAGAACGAGATATTCGCCGGGTTTGCTCTGCGGTGGCACGCACCCGATGCGCCCGCCTCCCGATTCGCGATCCAACCCAGACAGGACAGGCACATTCATAAACACATTCAGCGGATCGGGTGTCCACTCTGTAGTCACGCTGCCGGGCAGGAAACACCCATCCTCGGCCGCCCGCGCAAGAGCTAGATGCATGTTTTCCGCACAACTGCCGTGGTCGTAATCCGGATGGCCCAGGTTATGCATGCGAAACCTGTCGCAGCAGCCGAAGAGCGTGTCGTGGATCCCGGACGTGGTGTCCTCGACCAGCGAGAACAGCGGAAGCGATTTGTTGGTGTAGAGAACGTCGCGCGTCGTCGCCGAAGGGATCAATTTGGATAGAATGCTCCTCGTCCGCGAGGCGGAGAAGTATTGGATCCCGGAGGTAAAAGGGTACGGTGCCGTCGCGGTGGACCTGGCCGGTTTGGCATCGGAACGTATGAAGCTCGTCGGCGTGTTGTGATCCGTGTCGCCCCCGGTCTCGATTCTGGGAAAACAAAAGGCCCAGAAATCAATCACCTGTGTGCCGTGTGGATTGATCAATTTGAGGCGCTGGCCGGATCTGAGGGAGACGTAGGCGCCTGTTCGGGCGGGGATCTCGACCGGTGCCATTTTTTTTGGCCTCGTTGTGTCTGTCTCCGAGTTCGTCTGAAGAGTGTGGTAAGTATTGATTACCTCGGTGTCCTGTTGTATATGCGTGGATTGTTCGTTTCGTACTCTCTTTTTCTTTCTTTTTTCACAATCTCTCCGAATGGAGTTTTGTCACAACTAATGGACAAACTTGTATCGTACTCAGAAGAGGCAGCGACGGGGATTGAAATTGAAATTGGATGAATGTTTCCTATTCTCTACACACATCCTAGACCCGGAAGATATTGGCGGCCATCTCCTTTGACGAGGAACAAGGACGAGGCCATCCAGAGCAGAGTAGCTCAACTCCGTCTATTGCGCTTGGTATCCCTACCATGACGGAGTACAGTACGGAGTACGGCCTTGATCAATTGACTACCTAGGTATGAGTATCAAAACCGAGCCTGTCAAGAATGTCTACTCGTAAGGAGTGACCCGAGCCAGATCGGGTACATACTTTGATAACTAGAGTGTTGGTATTGCGGGGAGTGTCGACACAGCAAGGCAATGCTAGTTACCTGATTCATCGGTTTCAACGAGGTTAGGATTTGTATTTGATAAACTGTGGGAATCTAACACGATCAATCTCTTTCCTTCTCTTCTTCTTTCCACCACCGTGATTCTTGGAACCCTCATTCTTCGCATATCCTACATATAGAACTCAAATCACAATCGCAACAACGCTCCATGCACCCGCCCACGCCTCCCATCTACCCTGGCATTCCATTAGAGCGCCCCTGAGTAGCATATATAGCCACACTTTTCGTACCTGTGCCTCTGATCCGCAAAGGCCCAACGCCGAACGCGGGAAAAATCCCCAAGTGATGATTAATCCTTGCCACATTGTTCAACACGAAATCAACATCAATCAAAATCAATCACTCGGTCCGCCGACCCAATCCAACGCTGCTCCAACCAGTACGACTCCCGCACCCCAAATACCAGCGTAACCAGCAGCACCTGGGAAGTCGATTCCTTTGAGTGTGCCCCACAGGAGAATGATCGTCTCGGCGACAATGAGGTAGGCCAAAAGTCCAGCTCGGCTGATGAGGGACTTTTGACGCGGCGAGTACCACCCCCACGCGTTGTGGTAGACGTGGCCTACGAAGCCAGCTGTCTTGGGGTCGAACTCCGGCGCCGGTGGCACTGTGCTCGTCGCAGCCGTCGGCGGAGCAAACAAGTATTCCATGGCCGCCACGCCAGCAGGGATCAACGCCAGCAATAAGATCGGGAGGCCTCCTGCTCCGAGGTGCGCCTTTTCGAGAGACCGCAGTCCCGAGAAGTGGGTGACCAGCCATCTCGGGAGGAACGTCGCAAAACTAGCCTCCAGAAGCACAGCGAATATCGCGGTTGCTAGGAGAGATGTGGCGATCGTGGTGTACGGGTCGGTCAAGATGGGTCGGTTACGGAGGGTCGTCTTTGGCGCCGCATTGGGTTTGTGGGACGGAGACAGTGATCGGAAGAGGAAGTATGGTACGGAGTTGGCCACGATAGAGGAGAGTGTGGTCACCACCAGTGAGGATGGGTGGATGTCGTAGAATAGACCGAGAAGAATCGACTGGGGGGTCGAGAGGAGCAGCGTCATAGAGGCGACGTCGTAGGCTTGATTCAGTCAGTCGGTGAATCGCAAGAAGAGCACCAAACCATTGTGACCTTACCGTCAAATCCTGCTGTCCAGTACATGCCTAATTTCAAGATCTTCCAGGCCAATAACCCTAGTATTTCAGGCCACGCATCGGCTGTTTTCGAGATGGCAGCAAAATCACCTGGTCCAACCATGGACCCGGCTGTCTGGAGCCCCGTTTCGAGTAAGACGCTGAGAATGACCGTTCCCACAAGTTTCGCATAGTGACGTTGTCTCTGCGGTGCAGGGTGACTCTCGGGCTTTCTCGTGGCCGGAATCACGACAACGGGAGAGGTGGGAGGAGATGTGGTCGAGCGCGACGCACGCCGTTTGCGCGTCGTTGTCGTCGCGCGATCTGACGCACTCGCAGGAGGGAGCATACCGCCATTGACAGAATCTGCTCCCTTGGCCGCTGCGGTGGCATCACTGCTGGATGCGACACTCGCGGACTTGGAGTGCCGGCTTCGTGGAGGCATATCGTCTGTTGCTGAATCCGATGTTCCGCCGTCTCCTGGGGTTTGCTCACGGTCCGAGTGGATGAGGGTGGTTGTGAGTGCGAGAAGGTCGTCGAGCATGGAAGGACTGAGCGAGGGGGTCTGGCGGATACCTTGGGTTTCAAGAGCCACGCGGGAGGGAGAGGGAAGGCTTTCAGGAAACGATGCAGGGAAAAAGCAGTGGCTGGTGAGAAGAAGCGAGAGGTGCAAAGTGGGAGAAGGACAATGGCACGGACGCGATCGTGACGTGATTGGTTCGGAGCCGGATTGGGACACGCTACGTCACCGTCACAATATTGAATACACAGACACACAGACTTACCAGAGACTCGGTCAAAGGGTAGAGGTGTGTACCATCTACTGTATCCACGAAAAGCTATACCACTGCACCTAAAGCGCAAAAAGCGATGCTCTACATAAACCCATAGGACACCATTCAAAAGCCAGCCGAGGTATACTGGACAGTGCTGGCAATCTCTTTATGTACACAACAATGTACGCTACCTTTCTCCAGCAGTTCAGGTCATTGTTGGCTACATTGCAACAAAAATCGTTGGTTACGCTTGCACCAATACATCTGACAAGGTCAAACCAACATGCTCAAAGGGCGAAGAACACAAATGCCAAAGAGTACAATGATGGTTTGTCTCAAGATCGTTGTTGTCCAGGTTGATGGGTAATGCTCATTGTCCTGGTGGACCGACTACTTCTCATAAAGGTGAGTGCTCGGCCGGCAAGTGGGTTTGACAGTAGAAATTTCTAGACAACCCAGCAACAAGATGGAGCTACAGAAGAGAAAGCTCTGTGACTCAATTTGTACCGAGGAAGCTGCCGGTAAGCGCCCTTGTTTGGTTCTCGCCGCTCACACCCTCGCAGAGTATTCGACGACTTCCGACAAGTCAAAAGCACCGCAGACACCCATATTTTCCAAGTTCCAGGCCAAGTTCACCAGTTTGTTTGTTCACATTCCCCCATTTCGAGACGGGTTGAGAGAGGTTGGCGGATTATCGGAATTTGACTATACAAGACTGAGACTGACTTCTCATGCAGTTGCTGATTTGTGGAAACCATTCCCACACAAGCGGCCTTACCCAGAGGCACTAGATCCATATTTCTCAGGCCTCGCGGAGACCAAATGTGGTGACTGCAAACAACCCTCGACCCAGGTCTCGATCCGTCCTTGCACGAGCAAGTATAAAGCCATTTTCTCCGGGTGCAAGAAATTTGTATGCGGCACCTGTGTTGTGGAATCCCAGCAGCACTATGATCGCTACCAAGATCCTGCAACTGAGCTCTACTACTGCAAACTTTGTAGCAGCAACAAAAGTATTCGCTCAAGTCTCGCACCCTGCTTGTGTGGCCTTGGACAGCCCAATACTGCTTTCCATCAATCTTGCACTGGATGGCAGTGCTCGCTTTGTAGGGGTGATCAATACCAGTTACAAACGATGCAAGCTCGATCGAACCTTCAGCGTATGGAAGTCAATGGAGTGCTAGAACCTCGCAGCATCCACACAGACAGTTCAGTATTGCACAGATGGATCTTGCACAAGCCAGATGAGCGCGTAAGAAACTACTGTCCAGGCTGTGGTTGGGCATGCAGATCCTTGCAAGGCGCCTTTGCAACTCGATGTGGTGGCATTCCGCCCTTGCCAACCAGAATGATTCGACAATGCGCGGTTTGTTTAGGACGACGACCTTGAGGGAAGACTCCGGTGGGTATTTATGTTGTAAGCACACGGTAAGATATTGTCTCGATAGTAGTATTCTTAATCATCTTCTTCAGGCGTTTTATCAGGCTGTACCCGCATTTCAGTCGTACCAATCTCACGACCCTTGTTGTCCTTGTTGACAAATACGTATTTCCCTCTTTGTTCTCCCTTTTGTTCTATCCATAGATCTTTGAATGAGAGCTCCTTGGTTCTGTTGAGGCTCTCAATGGCCGAGATGCGATCAAGAGTAGCCTCGAGATAGTCATCAAATCCCTCTTCAGCGCAAATTTCTTTGAAAGCGTTCATCATCGGGACACTATCCGCGCGCACCATTGCGGTGCTGTCAATCGTAAAGATGTTATCATGGTCGTAACTCTGGATGAAATCGGCCCTAGTCATAATTTGTCGAGCAATGTATAGTGGAATTTGCGGCAAGATATGCCCAATATCATCGTTATAGCTCGACTCCATCTTCTCCTGTTTCTCGACGAGCGCTCTCGCCAGGACCATGGCGGCACTGGCGTACTTTTGCTGGTCCATCACATCGTCATCCATATCTTCTCCCAAGATGCCGCACTGGTTGAGGAACCACGTCTTTTCGGCCTGGTTGATTTGGTGACACATGTTCATCATGTCGGTGGATTTGGCAACCCGGCTGAGGAAGTTCAAGCGGCCCCCGACCAATTCATACACTTGCCTGAGAATCTCGGGATCACGCTTCTGTTCGGGGAAGTATTTCGCTCGATAAGCATCCAGTGCGGCGATGGCAAGGCGTTTGGGTAAATCGAAGATCTGAATAACCTCCATTCTCGTAGCAAAGCGCTTCAGTCGTTCATAGACCCAATAATCGTCGGAGTTGAACACCATGGTGATGAGATTCGCTGCTGCCCACTGCTCCGCGCGCTGTTGCATGAGCTCTATCAGATCATTGCCATCCTCATCGTTTCTTATCAGGTGAGCACTGTTGACCACGAGCACAAGCGGGCCTTTGCGAGTGGTCTTCAGGCGAGAACCATCTCGGTGGCACAAGGCGATCTTCTCAAGCTTGTTAAATGCTCGCTCGATGTCCAAGATAGCCGTCGTATCACGTGGGCCTCTTATTGAGAACAGAGACCCGATATAGTCTTCGTGGTAATCGTAGTTGAGGGCCTTGCCCAGGCGGATGCGAAAGATCTCTGGGTCTGAGTGGGCTTCGAACATGGAGACCCCGTCGCCATTCGTCTTACGCATGGCTTCAAGGATCATGGATGACTTTCCCGTGCCCTTCTCGCCCACCAGCAGATAGTAGCGGCCTTTGGACTCGCCATTGATGATTCTATCGATCCTGGTCTGCTCAGGCCTCTCCACCCAGTGATCAGAATCTTCTTCGGACTGGTCTTCAGGAGAAACAGGAGCTGAAGGAGGCGTGGCAAGGTCCAGCATGGGGTCGCCCGGAGTGAAGGCTTCTTCCATTTTGCGTAGCACGAGAGACTTGTAGTATATGTGATAGGAATAGCCTGCGAGCCCGAGGATGATAATGGAAGCGAACGTGGTTGCGGCGGACTCGAAGACTTTGGCGGCCGTTTGACCGAAGGGCGACTGCTGTTGCCTTTGGGACCGCTTTGAATTCGCCTTGACTTCTCCATCCTCTTCATCTTGGTCCTGACCTGGGAAGTTGCCCATCGGGCCGAGTAGTGAGGCATGTCGAACAATGTTGATGCTGTTTGGACTTCGGCCTCCACCAATGTACAGGCGACTGGTTCGCGCATTTGCGCAAAGCCTTGCGATGTTTGATTTCATTATGACTTTTGTTCGCGCGCGCGCCACAAGATTACCCAGTGATCACTTTTACATGTGGTTGCGCATTGAGGCGCATAGGTCAGAGCGCTTTTGATATATCCAAAAACAAGAAAAAAACACGAATGATTAGAGCGACGCAGAATAAAGTAATGAGCGACTTTAAGACATGGGAGCTCGAAAATATCAAAGAGTACTGAATTAAGTACTGTTTTGTCAATGTAAATAAGGGATGAGAGACTAGAGCTGAAGCTCTCGGTGAGATAATCTTGGGTGTTCCTTAGAGGCAGCCCACGTGCTCCAGCCAAGCATCCTTGATCTGGTGCTTTGCAGAGCACTCGCACTGTACTCACCCGTCGCCATTACTAGATGATATCTGCTTGTTTGAACATTCAAGGCATGAGGAGTAGGGATTGGCAAGATAATTATTAATATTTCAAAAGATCAAGGACGAGGTCATGATGAAGTAATGGGTCGCTCGAGGTATGTGAAGTCGCGTGACTGGAGTGTCTAGAGTGCCAGGTTAGGGGGTAATTCGTACTCCGTATTACTGCTAAGGAGAACTGGAGCAATCAATGTACTGTAGGACCAATATCTCTTGATACAGTATGGCTTACATGTCCCCATAGCTCCTCGTGCGGTCGGCGAGCTATTCCCGGGCAATGAGGCTTTTACCTGGGTCGTTACCCGTATCTGTGCCGTAGCTACTCCATACTCCCCGTTCTGCTCCTTACCATAGCCCTAGCCGGGTAAGAGTGCTCGTACAGTATTCGTGGTGATTTCATCTGCTCTTCTCCCCGTGAAATTTTCTTCGCCTCGGGCTCTGCTTCCTGACCTCCGAGCGACCAATCACACCCTGTCCATGTTTCTCCGCGCCAAAATGCTAAACAACTGCATTATTTGCTTCATTTTGTTCTACTCGATTGCTAGAAAATTAATCTCTTCGAGTCAACTTTGCCAGTTCCTCGTTTTTCTGTCTTGTACATTATTCCCCTCGTCGTCACCGTCCTGTGTATATTACTGTTTCCTTGTCATTCATTTCCCCTTGGCAGCATCTTTCCCTTCGTCTCGGTCTATCCGCTACTATACCTATTCTCCAAAAATTCCTCATGGCTTCCAATGGTGACGTGCAGGCCAAACAAGGTCCGCCAGCCCTGCCAAAGACTTGCGGATATGATTCTTACCTGCTCGATAGATGTAACAGATGCAACAAAATCCGGAGACGCCTCCCTCCCTCTGACCAACGGCACCAACGGCCACGATCATGACCATGCTCACCACGATGATCCCAATGCCGGTGCATTGTTCCAGGTCACCGTCAAGCTACCACACAGACCATACCAGCAAGATATCATGGTAACGCATCAAGAGCAAGTTCAAGATGTCCGTCAATCGATCGTCGAAACTCCAGATACATTCCAGTATACCTGCTTCCACCTCGAGCACAAGGGTCAGCGGATCAATGACTTTGTGGAGCTCTCCGAGATCAAGGACCTCAAACCCAACGACGAGTTGACACTGGTGGAGGATCCTTATACCGAGAAAGAGGCAAGATTGCATGTCATCCGAATAAGAGAGCTCATCGGGGCCACCGGAGATCGATCCGACCAGCTTCATGGTATCTGTGCAGGGCTCTCTTTGCACGACGACAAGTTTGGCTCGGCCCAGGCACCTGTGGCGAACCCAGAGGATAATCCATTAGCTGGTTACGAGGTGGACGGACGGCCGTCCTTGGATGCCGTTCTCCCCACAAAGGAAGACGGCCTGCCCAAGACTATCAAGTCTCTTTCTGTGTCACAGTGGAATCCACCCCCATACCATCTGCGGCAAAGAGGGCATTTGCTGTATTTGCAGCTTACGACCAACGAAGGCGAGCAATACCAAATAACCGCGAGCGCATCCGGCTTCTTCGTGAATAAATCGTCAAGCAACAAGTTCGATCCATTCCCTAAGTCTGCACCGAAAAACCACAGTGCACATTCACTGCTCACCTTAATCTCTATCCTGTCACCGTCCTTCAATGACACATTTGTCGAGCTGCAAAAGATCAATGGCAGGAAGGATCTGCTGACCACATTTCCGTTCCAAAATGCCATTCCAGCCAACCCGTGGCTTGTACCGGCATCATACGCTCAGAGCACACATCATCAAGCAGATCCTACCCGGTCGCAGGAAGCATACCTTATTGGCGGAGCTGATGGAGCCGAGAATCTCCGCGACTGGAATGAAGAATTTCAGACGACACGGGAATTGCCACGTGAGAACCTGCAAGACCGTGTATTCCGTGAACGTCTGACCTCGAAATTGTTCGCCGACTACAACGACGCCGCTGCCCGGGGTGCTGTTTTGGTCGCCCGAGGCGAGGTTGCACCGTTAAATCCCACTGAAGGACGAGATGCTCAAATCTTCATCTACAACAACATCTTCTACTCTTTCGGCGCCGACGGAGTCCAAACTTTCGCCAGCGAGGGCGGAGATGAGGCCGCTAGGGTGGCTGTAGGTAAGGACGTAGCCGGCGTCAAAGCTGTCAACCAGCTAGACATCAACGGGCTATTCACTCCTGGTACTGTGGTGGTTGATTACCTCGGCAAACGTATAGTCGGACAAAGCATCGTTCCAGGAATCTTCAAACAGCGGGAGCCGGGAGAGCATCAGATTGACTACGGTGGCGTTGAGGGTCGGGACATTGTCACTGAAAATGAGGCTTTCGTGCCAGTATTCGAAAAACTATCCAAATCACTTCACGTCAAGAAGCATGCCGTCTGGGATAAGGAGGGTAAGCGTCACGATCTCGAAGGCAGCGTGGAGACAAAAGGTCTTGTGGGTACCGATGGTCGTAAATACGTCCTCGATCTCTACCGTATCACCCCGTTGGATGTCGCTTGGTCAGAGGAAGTGGGGACCGAGGGCGACAACAAATACCCACATCGCATGTCTGTTCTCAGGCTGGAGCTTGTGGAGGCATATTGGCGGATGAAGATGCAGGAGTATGTCCGTGCAGAGGTTGAAAAGAGACGCAACAACCAAGCCAACGGCCACAGCGACGAGCAGAAGAAGCTAGAGTCCGCACAATCTAACGGACATGCTGTGGAGGGTGAGGCTAAAGAGGAGGGAAACACCGCAGCAGAAGGCGACAGCAAAAAGGAAACCCCCGCTTTGGAGCAGGAAAGGGTCGACATTTCAAACTTCAACTTCGGCCTCAATCCAGACGTCTGCAGCGGACAGGAACCACAAGCTGATGAGGAGAAACAGGAATACGCTGACGATGAGAAAGATGTCCGCGCAGTCTGTGCTTTCCTCCGCAGTAAGATTATTCCCGATCTCATCACTGATTTGCATGACGGTGATGTTGGTTTCCCGATGGACGGACGGTCTCTGTGCCAGTTACTGCACAAGCGTGGCATTAACATAAGATATTTGGGCAGACTGGCCACTGCTGCAACGGAGAAGGGTGCCCGTCTTCAAGCGTTTTCTCGGGTGGTACTACAGGAAATGGTTGCCAGAGCTGCTAAGCATGTTATCAATGGATATTTGCGACATCTGCCCGTGGTGTTCGCCGCTCCGTGTATTTCACATCTTCTGAACTGCCTGCTTGGCGCAGAGATGAACTCCAATCCTCGACCTGAGATCGAGGAGGATCTACGAGCATTGTACCCGGAAGGTGATTTCTCTTTCGAGAAGATGAACCCTTCCAAGCTGCAAGCCGAAATCGAGAAGCAAGTGAAGATGAGGTATAGATATGATCTTGAAGCAGGGTGGCAATCATCGATTCAACCGCTACCCCTACTAAGGGAAGTGAGCTTGAAGCTTGGCTTGCAACTTGTTGCACGAGAATATTCATTCAGCAAAAGCGTGCACTTGTCACTTGAGGCATCACCTGCTCGAAGCAGCAGTGACACTCGCTCCAATGACGGCGCGACACAAGAGACGGCAAGCAAGAAAAAGAAGAAGAACAAGGGCGGCGAACCCGCGCAGCCTAACGGTGCTGTCTCGAAACCAAACACTACATTTGTTCCAGACGACATTTTGAATATCGCGCCTGTCGTCAAAGATTCCACCCCAAGAAGTTCCCTTGCCGAGGAAGCATTGGAAGCGGGTAAGATCTCTTTGGCGCAGGGACAAAAGCAGCTGGGCCAGGAGCTGGTCCTCGAGTCCCTGTCCTTGCACGAGCAGATCTACGGCATCTTGCACCCCGAAGTTGCCAAGATGTATCACTCTTTGTCGACGATTTATTACCAGACAGACGAGAAAGAGGCCGCAGTCGAGCTCGCCCGCAAGGCTGTCATCGTCACTGAAAGGACATTGGGCGTAGATTCACACGATGCGATTTTGGCGTACTTGAATCTCTCCCTTTTTGAGCATCATGTCGGTAATACCAAGCAGGCCCTGAGATATGTCAGGCATGCGCTGGACGTGTGGAAGATTATTTTCGGGCCAAACCATCCCGATTCGATCACTACGATGAACAATGCGGCTGTCATGCTTCAAGCCTTGAAAGAATATTCTGAATCTCGCAAGTGGTTTGAAGCTTGTTTTACAGTCTGCGAGGGACTGTTTGGACGACAGTCCATCAATGCAGCCACAATCTTGTACCAACTGGCACAGGCATTGGCGCTAGACGGAGACGCCAAAGCTGCCGTGAACAAGATGCGTGAATCATACAACATCTTTTTGGCAGAGCTCGGACCCAGCGATCGTAACACCAAGGAGGCAGAAAGCTGGCTCGAGCAGTTGACTCAAAATGCGGTGTCCCTTGCTAAACAGGCCAGAGCTTTACAGAGCCGGAAACTGGCCGGCATTCGCCACCTCCCTCGGATGGGTTTGGGAACTCGACTTCAACCCCAAAATGCCAATAGCGCTGCACCAAACACAAGCACACATACCGCAGCTGCCGAATCCAATGTCCGCACAGGTACCGGCAACGTTGCGCTCGACTCTAGGAGCATTGATGAGCTGTTGAGATATATCGAAGGTAGCGACACTTCAAACAGCCCTCGGTCGAAGCAGAAGAAGTCGATGAATCCCAAAGCAAGAACAGCCAGAAAATCAACGGCAGCATAGATGAGAAATCTTGAGGGTTGAGTGCCACATTAGCCCTTGACGTTTCTCTGGATTGCCTTTTGGGACCTGCAGATGATTATTTTTGTCTTCTTGTCACTATATTCATTCAGACCGGCCTTTTCTTTTTGTTGAAGGAGCAAAAGTATTCTGAAGACTGACGACATATACATCTCCGTCCTTGTCTTACTACTGACAGTGAACCATGTATGAGTATTGTACAGCGCAACCGGTCACCGACGATGAGAAAGTATTTACCAGGCGTGTTCGACGCCTGCATAAAAGTTTCGGGTGGCCAGAGATCTGGCCAGGTATAGGATATACCAAAAACCTCTCCTCCTACCATACCTAGGTATCGTGAGTGAGCATGTTCGATGGAGGATCGAAGTCAGGTAGACGTGAGTGGATGTAATAACAAGTTTTCTCAACTCCTCAATGCCCTATGGACTTTTATGTCTTTCCATCTCATATTATATTTTCTTCTCGGACATCGGACATCCCTCTCGGCCTTATGTGCTTTCTCGTCGAGTCTCCAGATCCTGCAAGAGACAAGGACTGCCCAGAAGTGGCCTGTGTCCGACAAAAACCCGAGAGTGTCTTACAGTAAAATGGTTGAGTTGAAGGTGGTGCAGAGTTGGACGTCGATTGGTCAGCACCAAATGTGGAGAAATGGCTTTGTCAGCGTCGTAAAGCGGTAATCGACAGATCCTCCATCGATTGATTACGAGGTGGTTTGCAAATGCCCCTCTCTCCCAAAGGAGGGAAAACTGACTGATGTCGACCTCACACAAGCTGACTTGAGACTTTCTCTCCTATGATTGTTGTCATTTTCCCATCACTGCGCTTTCGACTCGATATCTGCCTAAAAAGACCAGCCTGGACCCTGGATCGCAACAACCCCTTGGTACTGTACAGCATATCTCGAACAAGGGCTCACCACGGCACGTGCTTTTTACTTGAAAGGGACAAAACGAACAACTTCATACCTTGGTTTCGGGGAAACCGTGCGGCTGAAGCTGAACCGGTCGTCGGTCGTCGGGCTATTATTGAATTTCTCAACTTCTTCAAGGTGACTTTGTTTTGTCATTCTTATCAGGCCCGTCCAGCACTTGAGCTCCCGCTTCTCAACACTACTCCGCTGTCGTCCGCCTCTCACTGAGACGACGCTTTGAATAACGAAATATCATCAAGAGAGATTCCGGCAGTCGTGTGACGAACCCCCAAAAATACCCGTTCTCTTATCATCATCTGGCTGATCCCAAAAATGGCCACCGCTACGGCGGCAATGCCTACTATGCGTACGAATGTGCCTTCCAGCAGGCCAAAACCACCGGCACGGGTAAACACCTCGTCGACGTACACCCTCGCCCATACGGCACAATGTAAGCTCAAACTGGCGGCGAAGCGAACCGATCGGGACCTGCGATTCGTCCTGGGCCACGCATTCACTCTGGACAATCTCATGCTGAGGATCGTGGAGATTGAGAATCGAGAGGCGAAAAGTGCCTTCACCGAAGGTGGCGGTAAGAGGTCTTCCAAGGACGTCAGTGATGCCGAAGGTGAACACTTTGACTGTTCGCTGGCCCAACCCCAGACGGCGCCGACTTCCAAGGAACATCACGACGACGACGACGGCGACTTTGACTGTACCAAGGCACCCCCACCGTCCGAAAGCAACAAGGCACAACAAAATGTGTCTGGTGAGGCAGTCGGAGGTGGGAGAAGGATCAGTTTCCAAGACAATAATGCGAGACCTTCCAAGAACGGGTACGGGTCAGCTGGGTCACGGTCGCCGAAAAAGAGACGCTCACCCTCGCCTCAACTCGTACTCCCGGCCGGTCTGAGTGACGACTCGTCGGACGACGAGATAGCGGGCACCTCGAGCGACGACTACGAAGAACCCGAACTCATGGCCTACGATTGCGAAGCCGCCCCCACCGTGCCCGAGGACAAAAAGGCACTCAAGAAGGCCAACCTGCTCAGGTCCAGAAGCGGTAGGACGGGAAAGTACGCCCGGGATGACACCTATGTCGACGAAGAAGATGCCGAACTGGAATTGGCGGATGACGAGTTGGACACCAACACCGACGTCGACACGGATAAGCTGGGGGATGACGTCGACGGCCTGGGACTGGACGACGACGACGGCGACGGTGACGGCATGGGTTTGACTAGGTTCGAAAGTGCCAGTGCCAGACCACCCAGGATGGTCGAGGACGTCGAGGGTGACGAGTACGACGTCGATGACGACGGCACGGGACCGGAATCACCACCACAGTTGCCCGTCGACGTCGACGTCCGTGAAATCATCGGAGGGGAAAAGGACGAAGAACTGACGGACCTCTACGAGAAGGTCAGGAGGTGTTACTGTCACGGTAACCGGGACGTCGTCGGTGGGAAGCCCGAGGGTATATGGGACGTCCCCGTCGAGAAGACGGGTGGTAAAAGGTTGGCCGTCGTCGCCGTCACCGCTTGAGAGAGAGAGAGAGAGAGAGGGAGTGCCTTTTTGATTTATTTTATTTTTCCCACCGCAACGACACGATATGATTATGAAAGAAGTCGAGGGTATAATTGATGCTCAAGGGTTCTCATGTTGGAGTCGACCGCGGAAAGCACACCAAATCAGACCCAAAAAAAACCAAAAAAACCAAAAAAACAGAGCAACAGAGTCAAAAGCAAGGCATGCCACGAGAATACGACATCTCTTCAAAGGCCTTTGAAGGCTTACAGTACTGATCCGTACGAAACCCGGACACACGGACAAGGTCATGCCTATGTGGTGCGGTGTATGGCTCACCAAGGTACAAGGATCCCGAGCGGTCAATATTGGACGGGACCATGGGGCGCCGGTGGTTTGTCCCATCTATTCTATTTATCAGTACACTTTGTTGTTGTTTTTTGCTTTGCAAAGTTTTTCGAGTGCTTTGCCATCGGTAGTGGTCTATTCCAGACTATTTTTCTTGCCAAATTTTCGAACATCAATATGGCACGTTGATATAAACATATCCGTATCAGTCGTTTTACGATTTATGAGAGGCTCGAGTTGGAATCAAGTCACGCCTGGACATAATTCGTACACTGTACCTCGATTCTCATGGTGGTTTCCGTCTTCAAGATTGGTAAGCGCAAGGGAAAAGAGAAATACAAACGATGGACTCGACAGTGTAGAGAAAAAAAGTATACTATAAGAAAATCGTCGTAGTAGCACGCAGTTCATCAAGGTCATCCAGCTAGCCCCAGCACGTCGATCCTCCACACAAGGACAGAAATCTTGTCCAGGATGCACGAGATATGGCTTCGTGGACTTCCATCTGACCAAGTCACTATATCGCCCAGTTTGACACGTCGGTAGAGTAAGGCGCCAAAACAGAAGAGTCCACTGTCTATTTTGCGTCGTCGACACAAGTAAACCTCAACGGCAACATATGCGTGCGAATAGCTTCCCCTGGTCTGTTTGTCTGGCTGTCTGTGCTCCATTTATCCAATTCCAGCAATGCCCGACTTTGCCAGAAAGCTCGCAGCAGTTGTCCAGAATCTTCCCACCAAGAAAATTGCAACAGCTCATCTTTTCCGTCATAGTTGTCGTGGGAATGTGTCATGATTTCGTTGTCCGCACCCATGCATATGCCATTCCCGATTTAGCACCCAAAGGCACTTGGGCCAAAACTCCTGCTTGACCATGCGATCCACATAAAACCCCTCTGACCTAAATCAACAACTCACGTGAAAGACAATTCAAGATGTTTCGGTGTTTCGTCTTCCACGGGTACGGCTTCCGCCCTTCAAACTCTTGACTCGACTCAGGAAACCACCTCCTGTCTTATTGTCCTCACCACTAGGACTGTCACCAGTCAACTTTCTCTCCAGACCAAGCCCGCGTCGTGGACTGCTGGGCGCACGAGTTCGACTTGGCTTCTGCTGTTCCTCGGCAAAAGCAATTTGAGCTCCCTTTTTCTCATACTCTTTGTCATAGTCTTTGAAGAAGGGGTTTGCATTATTCTCTGAATGGGCTGTCCCCAACGGGCTATTTGGACCGCCGGCAGGTTCTGGCGAGGCCATGCGGCCACCATCACCGAAATTCGGTCGAGGTTGACGGACAGACTTGATTCTCTGGGCCAAGCTCTTCTTTCGAGACAGACCATTTGCCTGTGCTTGCTGTTGGGCCTCGAACTCGCTCTCCCGGCGCTGTATGGCAGCTCGACTTGCTGGTGCACCCTCTAGAAAAGTGCTGGTGCCGAGACCTGCAGATTCACTTCCGTGCACAGGCTCAATACGGGCAGTCGGGTTGAAGCCGGCACTTCTTTCTGGTTGTGGTCGGCGAAAGTAATCAGCATCTTCTTCCTGGATTGCCGCTTCATTGTAATCGACGTGAGCTTCTTGTCCTGTGCCGTTGTATTGGTCAAGATTGAGCGACTTATTGAGAGGTCCGGCACCCCCAAGTTGCATGTTGACAGAATCCTTGGGAAAAGCCTGCATCGGAGCTTGTCTGGAACCTTTTCTGTTGCGGTGAGGGTTACAGGCATCAAATGGGCCGTCGTGATGGAATACTACAAATAGTCAGAGAAATTCTGCGTGGAGTGACGAGCATCAGCTTACATCCTGTGCCATAGATACTAGTGACATCGAGCTTGTCGATAACATCCAGTTTCCTGTTCGGCTTCTTAGACCGATGAGAGCTTGTGCCATCTTTCTCGCGGAGCTTTCTTTCTCTGCGTTTCTTCTCGGCCTCAGGATCCAAGTCTCTGGGCTTGTCGCGGATGGAAGACTCCGAGTTGCGGCGCTGAGTGCGTCTTTCACGAGGACGGATGTCAGATGGATCTGCAAAGATGTCTAGCTCGTTTGGAGGGCCTCGGTTTTTCGATTGCTGCCTCCGACGTTCTTCCTCCGAATTGCTCGGCCTGTGGCGGCCAGAAGGGCCTCGAGATGGGTGTGGCTTCGGTGGCATATTCTCGCGTCGAGAGCTTCCATTTTGAAGAGGTCTCTGTGAGCGTTTTGTGGTGTCATTGATGTCGAGAGATGCCTTGAACAAAATTAGCGATCAATGATCCCTAACACCGATGCACGTACAAAAATATCTACAGTGTTATCTGTAGGCCTGCTAGGCTTTGTGCTGTCACTCGTTGCCCCTTTGTTTCTGTTTGGAAGCGCAACCTCGCTGCTATCCAGGAAGGGATTCGTAGAGGCAGGTTTGACAGGTCCTAAGTTGGGACTGGTGGCACTATCAGGCATCCGATTACGAAAAGGATTGTTTGAGGCCAGAGGTGAAGGACCCCTTTCTGCACAGCAAAGTCAGTCGCGTCGTGTAAGAGAGAACGCCACGTGAAGAGGACGAAGGAACCAAGAGGCAATGAACAAAGTATATTATGTCAAGCGTGAGACTGATATGCACGTACCTGGCATGGTTGCAGTCTGCGCCATCATGGCTTTAAATTTGGTTCTTCACTGCCTGAGCCTCAATAGTACTCTGATTGTCCTGTATTAATGGCTGCACAGCGCGTGGAGTTTGTGTTGTTTCTGCCGGCTTCTGACAAAATGATGAAAGAGGGAGAGATGGACAGGCGGCACAGAGACCAAGGGGGATATGATGAAAGAGGAGCGACGCGAAGCGGGATAAGGAGTCGGTTTGTTTGGACCCAATGCGGACGTGTGAGGACCGTGTGAGGCCGTTCTAGGAACGTGCGCCGAGGGGGGAAAGCGGGTGGGCACAATGAATTATGGCTGTTCGTGGAAGAGCATACAGAGATATCGTATGCTTGACTGTTGTACTCTGGGTAGGTTGAGAATGAGGATGAGGATGCTGAGGGTGAATGAAGGTCGGTTGCGAGGATAGTAGGTGACTGTAGATGAATAAAAGGGATTGGAAAGGAGAGAGGGAGAGGGGGGAGAATCCGGGCGCAGGCAGGAACCCAATGCTTTTTGGCGGTTCCACAAGGGCCTCAGTCACTCCGTGTTATTTACAGTACAAGTGTACAGAGGGTCGCGAGATAGTATGAATACCAGGTATCCGTAACTTGTGATTATTCTCCGTAAATTGGGGAAGTCAAAGAGAAGTAAAGGGGAAGATCGGGGGCTTCACCACCTACACTATAATATGCATACAAGTGCGCGATGTACTACTCCGTATACCTGTAATTGTACGCTACGACTATCCGTCACGCACACTCTCTTACTCCTTGGTCACTCACCACTCACCATTGACCACGCCACACACCCTCGCTACAGAGAGAGATCCTTGTCTCTAGACATTGAGCAAGCATTACGGTGTCAGCCATATTCGCCTCAAGTGAATTGCTAACTCCAAGTCATCTTTGCTACAACCACATGGACCGACCCTGATTGAGAACCTCTTGCAGCATTGAGTGCTTGATCGACTACGACAATCCTCCACAGTCGCCACTGACATTGACAGCAGGTTGATCAGGTTTTGTCAGTTGACGAGTGATCACCATCCCTGCTAACTTCCTCTTTGTCGACGGTCAGGGTCTCTAGTGCCACTTGTTTGGCCAGCTGCAAATCGATCGCCATCTTCGCTTGTTTACTGACACAAGTTGATTCAGGGCACAGCCTCTTGCAGCGAGTTTGAGACTGCCCACCCGACGCGTTCTCGCCCCTACCGGACTCTATCGTTCTCCATCTGCATGGGAACACTCGTACCCTTGGTCTAGATTTTGTGGGTGTCATTATTATCATTGTCCATCGTCTGGAATGTACAAGGACTCAACGTCCTGGCCTGTCGCGACAGCTGTCAGTTGAGAACCCGATTCTATACCAATTTGGGCCATCACCACACAGATCGAACCTGTTTCTCCGGTTTTCTCGCGCCCCTGGACTCAACTCTAATCTACACACGAAGGATCCCGCCGTCCGAGCCGGAACTTGAAGTAAAACGTTCTTGCATCTTCAATAATAGCATACGAATACGAGTACTGGACCTTGGGACGCCGCCTCGCGAGTGCGCCAATTATCCGATATACTCCGCTTGGCTGTGGCACCACCCGACGCGTACTGAATCAAGTCGCACAGTCCGGGGCATTTGAGGTGCGAATTATAATCAACATCTACCTACTAAGATAGGTAGTTTTGTTTTGTTATTTCGTCGGCTGCCAGCACCGCTGTCTTTACCATTGTATTCTCAGACCACAAGGGAGAGAAGCTATGGAACCGACCACACCGCCAACACCGCTGTCTCATCGATTTACCTTGGAGCTAGAGTTTGTTCTCTGCCTGTCCAATCCTCTTTACCTTCAATATCTGGCAGTAAATTATCCTCATCTCCTCAACAAGCCAGCAGCCAGCCACAATAATGCAGATCTCGAAAACTCCGATGCAGCTCGATTTGCACGATATCTGAAATATCTCTCTGAATATTGGCGCAGACCAGAATATGCCAAATACTTGACCCACCCTGGCGCTACTCTGCGGAATCTGGAACTCCTACAACAAGAGCAGTTCCGGAAGGACATAATCAGACCTGATGTCATTGCCAAATTATTTGAGACCGAGGCTGGACAGCCAGCTGTGCAACCTGATATTGAAAATTCAGCCTTACAGAATCCTGACGAGTCAATCCAGACCGTTGCCTGAAAAATTAGCGTTGAAGATCTAGCATCAGGTCCCGCAACAATTCGCAACGAGAAACTTCTATTTGTGTCGCAACACAACATATGCTCCAATGCCAGCGACTCATGGTCATGGCGATGTGGCGAAGCTTTGCGACCCGAGACAATTGGCGCCGCAAGTTGAGACCGAAACCACTCATTGAGAAATCAGCCGCAGAACATTCAGCACGGTGCTTACTGTGCACTCTGTGCGCGAGCAGCCTTGACATGCATTCAACGTTGTCACTATGTATCTTGGCCGTGAAACCAACAGTCGATTAGAAAGCGAAGACTTCATGCCACAAGAAGGGTCACGAGCGCGTTTCGCAGAGCTTGGCAGCGTTGTCACAGGCATTACCTGGCAGACTTGCACTCGGGATATCCTTGCATGTCTAGTGTTTATTCACGATCGCTTTCTTTCTCGTCACGAAGTACAATTTCCAACGGTGCTATGGAAAGAAGAATAGGATGATGATGATGATGCTCCGATTTCGGAACAATATCTGCGCGACTGGCCACCTCGACGCAGAAATACATTTGTTACAAATTGGCACCAGAATGGATGAAGTCGATTGCGCCGTGGATTTGGGACCGCCAACAACTATCACTTTTATTCAAAGAAAAGCTTCACGTATCCAAACAATTAGTCAAAATACAGAATCTCTATCCGCGTACGGGGATAGTTTCGCGTCATATATTTGCATGTCTTAAGTACTCGTACTTAATAAGTAGATCATTCGAGGGTATACGGATCCAGGGGCGTGTAAGGCCGCACAAGGCTCGCAGTACTGCATTGTTCTCGGAATGGGGACATTTCAGGAACATAGTAATTAAGGCTTGGGACATGCAGGTACCACGGCGCCAACAGCGCGTATTCTTCATGGGGCGCAGCACATCAGACGGCAAGTCTTTTACTTTTTTCGATATTTACGGGCGACCTCGCAAGGAATTTGAAAACAGAGGGGGAAATCAATAATGGGCGCGGACCTTTATCACTAGTGTACGAAATACGCGATGCGTACTTCTGAATTAGCGGCATTCGTCCTTCGCTGCGCCATTGTGGTCGCTGTCGGATTGAGGTGAGCCGAGGGAGTTATTAGAAGTACCCCAGCTGCGTCACCGTCATCCCCTCTACGGTGACTGCCTCCCTATATATCGTGCTAAAGCCATGCGCCCAGGTGTTTTCATGTCAACTTGAATTCTACCACAATCTCTCTAACGCTGTGATTCCTGCGCGACTACGCGAACCGAGAACTCCTCCCTTCACCGACCAATTGACCAAAGTATCGCTTCAAGCACGTCCATTGTTTCCCCAGGCACGATCGCACGATTTCGATTACTTGGAGCATTGAAACAATCCGAAGAACGCAAGCATACGCAAAAAGACCAGAGATATACCATCCTAGAAGGACTTTTGTCGCAGAGATACACCAAAACACTAGTTGCGCAACCACTCGGAAAAAGGATACGATCAGACATACCTGTGACAGTCTTGTTGTCCAGCCAGAGAGAGGCCTTTGGAACCACTGAAGCCATCATCCGAAGACTCGGAACGGTCCCGCTCAACTTGACGAATCCGACATTAGACTTCACCGTTCAATATGGTATCAACGAGGCACCACCCAAAATCCTTTCCAGCCCCGGCAACGTCGACCGGAACCTCTCCCTCGCCGCCTCCCGATAGTCCGATCTCTGTGGTCGTTCCAAGCCCCCAGAAACGCAAAGCAAATCGCTCAGGCACCAAACAGAGCGATGTGACTCAGCATACCTACTCACACAAGATCGCTCCCCTGCTCATGATATGGCTGTTTGTATCACTACCCCTGGTGACATGGGACACAGGGTACATGCTCATGCGCCCGCACACGATGCCCGGTGGAAAGTTGCATTCGCCCATCTGGACACCGTATGCTCTTTACGGCACTGTCGACTATATATATGGGTGGCCCGCGTGGGATAATCATGTCGGTTTCTCAGCTGCACAGGCATCCTTGAATGCCGTGGAGAACGTCATGTATATCTATTATCTTATCACCATCCTTGGAAATGGTGCTCAGAACTTTTTCGCCGCCGGGACTATGGGAGAATTCTTTGTTGGCTCCAAGTCCAATACGGTATCTGGCCCCGGAGTCGCTAAAGCAGTATTGCTGTTGTTTGCAGCGACGGTAATGACCTTGAGCAAGACTGTTTTGTATTGTGAGTACTATTCAGATATGAGTGAATCCAGGTTGGGGCCGTGGCTGACTAACGTATGGAACAGGGCTCAATGAGTACTTCAGCGGATATTCAAACATCGGACACAACACAGTCTATCGCCTTATAGTGCTGTGGATCCTTCCCAATGGCCTCTGGTTGATATTCCCAACATACATGATCTGGGTGTTAGGAAAAGAAATTGTGGCTCACATGGACTCAGTGGATGCCGAATGAAGCCCGAGGACCTTTCTTCTTAAGACAGCATCATACTGCTTCTGTCTGGAACGGAGATATCTTGCTTCCAATAATGTCAATCTAGCTCGATCAGAGTCGACACGGAACAAGAACTCCCAGCTGCCTACGGTCTACGGTAGACCTTGGCCTGAGGAAAATCATATTGTACTGACTACGCTGCTATGGAGCCACTCGGTGAACCATGCCGCCAACTGGGATACGAGCTTACCTTTTGTCCCAAAATGGCGCGCATCATATCGTCAGGCAAATGCTGCTGCTGGTATGCCTCACCTCGAATGCCGACCTGGATGTAGACATGAACCTTTTCTCTGACAGCTTGACAGATGCCATGGCGAATGATATCACCTCCAGAACTATGCGAACAATGTACGAAAATGAATCGGTTTGAGTTCAGAGGAATATACAGTGTGCAGATGGATTTCAAGCCCCGTCATCTACTCTCACTATACTCATCATGACGGTGATGTTTGATTTATACCTTATCTCGATGCGCAGTCAAGGTGGATATATAATGTCGGATACAAGACCATTAAACATTGTCGGTGTTAAACTTGTCAATTTTTGGGTAGAAGATGCGGCGAAGGAGACCAACACGAGAATAGTCCACATGATATCTAGATGATCTAATCAATTGGTGTGCAAAGAACGAATGTTGGACATTGTTAACGTGACAGCAGGCACGCATGTGCAAGCGAGGCGAAAAGTCTTTTTGGTCATAAGATCTACGAGAGCTTTCCCCGCGATCGAGGCTTGTACTTGTAGTTGATGAAGATCTGCGGACACTATTCGTGAGAGCACAAAGTCACCATGCGGAGTGCCGGGCAGGTAAGCAATTCACGGCCTTCGTATTCAGGCTGGGTAAAGGTCACCCAAGGAAAGTCACATACCTTAGTCCATGGATTGATGACGATAGCAGCTTCCTTGGGTTACAGTGACCAGAAGAAGTGAAGATGTACCACGAGAGATTCCTCGGCTTCTCGACACGATTACACCAGTTCGGGAGGGGAAGCTTTCCATCCGCGTCATGTTGCAGCGTCCTGAGGCTGGACCATTGTAGCCGATGCTGGACACTTGGACACTTCCCTGTGTGACACGAGGTAAATCGGCACGGGTGCATGCTGGCGAGCTGGATTGCCGAGCTATTGCTCCGTATCCAGGGCACTTACTGCGAGCACAGCCAGAGTAATGCCGTGAAGCTGGGGCTCCTGCATAGACGAAGAAACGTTGCAGTCGACAATGCAGGCAGGTGTTGGTTGAACAGAAAGTGATTGGAGAGAGCAGCGGTCCGGGAGGGTCCTAGCATGGATGCGTATGTCCGGAGGGCACGACAAGGACGATGATGATTTACCTCCCACAGGAGCCTTTACATTCAGCTCCAGCAAATGGGAAAAACGTCGGGCGGCAAGGAGGATCCCTGTTGCTTGGTGATATGGGGCCGAAGCGGGGATGGACCAGGGCCGACATGGACACACTTGTACCCGTACAGGATCATGAGCGGAGAATATGCCTAAAAGATGAAGTCGTTTACGGTACAAGGGAATATGCAGAGTGGCTGGCAGAGGTGGTGGTGAGAACACCAGCCATGATGCTGACATGCCGCCATCAGTTCAGTTCCTCTCCATACAAAATACTAAGTCTCATCGCTCTCTTGTTGACCAGTGCGAAGTAGACGGAGAAACAGGGCTGCGAACTCCCACGTCAAGGTCGAGGTTGAGACTTGACTGGTCAATTTCGCTTGAGATAATGAAAACCATGTTAGCTCTACAAAGTGTCAAGGTCGTACGGGGGACTCATGGTGAGTTGCTTGCACTATGCCACTGTAAGCAAATGAATTACGGACTACGAGTGCTGGGTACTTGGTCGTTGCGGGGAACAGCTTCTTCAGGCGGTCAGGGCGACTCTAGTCTAGATTTTTGACGAGGGATTGTCATTGTGATTATGGAGCATTCATTGTGGTCTACAATGCCGATGCCGGTGGCGGTGGTAGTCGTAATGGGTGTCGAGACGGCAATACGAACACAGATTCAATTGCGTGAGGGTTCGATGGAACCCATCAGCATCACAAGGAACAATCGTCGCGGGTGAAGAGGAATGCAACCTCAAGAAATGTTTTTGGCTTTTCACTCCGCCTTCATGCAAGGAGCAGGTGATGTGATTAGTTTGTTGGTCAGACCCTGTTATACTACAGAGTGACCTGTGTGTCTGTATTCTCTCGCCCTCTCTTGTCTCGAACAAGTGCGGAAGTAGCACAAGATTGTGTCTTTAGTCAAACACCAGTGTGTGCCATTGACAGCCGTTGAGAAGGAGGCTAAAGAATGTGACTGTTCGTTCGGTACTTCGTACGTGTAAAGACGTCAGAACCGGGGGAAGAAGGAAATGTCTCTTGGTGACAGAATATCTACCAAAGTAAATAGGTCAAGTCAGATGTTCGGTAGCTCGCTGTTATTCACCTGCCTCTTCTCCATAAGTCTTGGTTGAGATGAAGTGTCAAGGGTCCCGTCCCATACCAAAGTTGACAAGGTCTAAAAAGCAAGTACTGTACGTAGAGCCCATCAAACTACTTACCTAGTGCCCCCCCAGCGTCACCTCCACAAAATACGACATATCCAGGCATCATCACCATCATCAATTGCCATCTTGCACATCCCCGTACCCATATGAGCCTTTTGAGTGGCAGGCCCAAGTAAATGTACCCATGCCTCCTCCCTCCGGACGGATACTCATCCTCCGTATAACGGCTACAAATATCCCCTTCAGCGATCTCTTCCTTCCAAGATTGTCCTCCCTTTCACCCTTTGCTCCTTCTCTTTTGTCGGGCACTCGTTTCGTCCCCCGAAACCAATCCTCACCCCTAAAACAAAAGAAGAATTTACTGTCGGGGGCCAGTCAGTTTTAGTTGTGTTGTTGTTGTCGTCGTCGTCAAGTGAACCGACCGGGGAAAAGACTCTACTGCTGTCCTACCCAGACTTGACCACTCCCCAACCACCAAATATTCTCCCGACGGAGGGATTATTGTCCTTGTACACACCCAATACTCTGTACTGTACGGAGTGCCTACAAGGGATTACCCTGTTGACGTCAATCGCCCAGAAACAAGCTTCGATCCAGGCGTCCGCCAAACCCCAAGATGTGGCTTACGACGGCGGTTGTGGCGGCCATCGTTGCTCTTCCCCCCCAGATCTTGGCCGGTGTAAGTGCCAGACCAAGCCCAAGCCGATGCTTATCCTCATCCCCATCCAACCCACAACGGCAACGCCCCGGTCCCTCTTAGCAGCCCTTGATTCCCGAGTAGACTAATTTCGGTTGCCCATTCTTCCCTTCCTGCAATCATGTCGCCGTTGTTGAGCTCGGTCGTATCTGTTCTCAACGTCACTCTTTCTTTGAATGCTTACTCACAATACATTTTCCAGCCCGTTGAATCTGCAGATGTGCTCAACAAACGCCAATCCGCACAACCGTTCAACAGTGACTACAATGGACCAAAGTTTTCTTCACCACCGAGCTACCCTTCACCGTGGGGTTCTGGAGCCGGCAACTGGTCGGCCGCCTACGAAAAAGCTCGAGCTTTCGTGAGCCAACTGACTCTACTCGAAAAAGTCAACCTCACCACCGGTGTAGGGTACGTTGTGGTTTTCTTCCTTCCCGGACAGTGGAGCTGATTGTGTGGTTTAGCTGGGAAAGTGAGAGATGTGTCGGAAATGTGGGAGAAATCCCTCGGTTGGGATTTCCGAGTCTATGCTTGCAAGATAGTCCTCTCGGTGTCAGAGATGGTATGTCGGCACCCACGACCCGCGAATCTCTCTTTTGACTTGAAACAAGCCGATTATGTTTCCGCCTTCCCGGGTGGTGTGAATGTCGCTGCGACATGGGATCGAAATTTGGCTCGCGCTCGTGGAGTGGCAATGGGTGAAGAGCACAGAGGTAAAGGCGTGGATGTTCAGCTTGGTCCAGTGTGCGGCCCCTTGGGTCGATCGCCCGAGGGCGGAAGGAATTGGGTAGGATACATTCCACGGCATGGTCGGCTTGACGGCGTACTGACTCCTTGTAGGAAGGATTCAGCCCTGATCCCTATCTCACCGGCGCTCTGGTCGCCCCGACTATTCAGGGCATTCAGAGTGCAGGTGTCATTGCCTGCACCAAGCACTTCATTACCAACGAACAAGAGCACTTCCGTCAGGTGGGAGAATCTCAGAACTATGGATACAACATTACCGAAACGCTCAGCTCCAATCTCGACGACAAGACCATGCACGAGCTCTACCTCTGGCCTTTCGCCGACGCTGTAAGAGCAGGAACGGGAGCAGGTAGGCTAAGGTGTGTCCTTTATTCGGCCACAAGCTAATGGCCACGACAGTCATGTGCTCTTACAACCAGATCAACAACTCGTATGCTTGTGCCAACTCTTACACTTTGAACCATTTGTTGAAGAACGAGCTCAATTTCCAGGGCTTTGTCATGTCTGATTGGCAAGCTCAGCATGCTGGAATGGCAACTGCCTTGGCAGGCCTTGACATGACCATGCCCGGTGACACTCTCTTCAACACGGGTCGAAGCTATTGGGGTACCAATATGACAATTGCTGTGATCAATGGAACTTTCCCCGAATGGCGTCTCGATGATATGGCAACTCGTATCATGGCAGCTTACTACTATGTTGGTCGTGACACTCACTACGTTCCCACCAACTTCTACGCTGTGAGTATTGTTTGTCTTCGATGGGAACCTCAATTGACATAGCTTTAGTGGAGCGAAAACACCAATGACAAGATTCACGCCGCAGACCCGCAATCGCCCATTGGTCTCGTCAATGAGCATGTAAATGTTCAGGATGAACATCGCAATGTCATCCGACAAGTTGCTCAGTCTTCGAATGTACTCCTCAAGAACACTGGAGGTCTTCCACTCACCGGCAAGGAGAAACAAGTTGGCATCTTTGGATATGATGCTGGCAGCAACCCATGGGGTGCCAACGGCTGCCCTAACAGACAGTGCGACAACGGAACCCTTGCCATGGGCTACGGAAGCGGTACAGCAGAGTTCCCATACTTGGTCACCCCTGAGCAGGCTATCCAACAATACGTCTTGACTCAGACCGATGGTGAAGTGTTTGCGATCCTCGACAACTATGCCGACACTCAGATGCAGCTCCTTGCGTCACAGACCGATGTGGCCATCGTATTTGGCAATGCTGACTCTGGCGAAGGTTTCATCACCATTGACGGAAATACTGGCGATCGAAACAACCTAACCCTATGGGGTGGCGCAGAGCGATTGATCAACAATGTGACCAAATATTGCAACAACACCATCGTGGTTCTGCACACCGTTGGACCTGTCAATGTTTCCTCTTGGTATGACAATGAAAACGTCACCGCTATCATTTGGGCTGGTCTTCCTGGTCAGGAGAGCGGCAATGCCATTGTGGACGCGCTGTACGGTTTCATCAACCCTGGCGGCAAGCTACCTTTCACGATCGCCCGCAATCGTGACGACTACGGCACCGATGTTATCTACGAACCCAACAACGGACAGTTTGGTGCTCCACAGGATTACTTCTCTGAAGGGGTCTTCCTTGAATACCGCTGGCTTGATGAACATAACATCACGCCCATTTACGAGTTTGGCTTTGGCATGAGCTACACCACATTCGAATACTCGAACCTCGTCATTACACCAGCAAGCCCGGCTCCATACACACCTAGCAGTGGAGAGACCGGGCCTGCTCCGGTATTGGGAAATTTCAGCACCAATCCCGCCGACTATCTGTTCCCCAACAACACCATTACATATCGTCCTTATCTGTACATCTATCCTTACCTGAACTCCACCGATCTCAAAGCATCTTCTGACGACACTGATTATGGTCTACCCTCGGATCAATACATTCCCCCTGGGGCTACTGACGGCTCTTCCCAACCACTGCTACCGGCTGGCGGTGCTCCCGGTGGCAACCCGGGACTTTACGAGACTGTGGCCACGGTGACCGCGACGATCACCAACACCGGTGATATTGCGGGTGACGAAGTTGCCCAATTGTACGTCGGGCTGGGAGATGGCGAACCGCCCAAGGTTCTTCGCGGCTTTGACAGACTCACCATTGCCGCCGGGGCCTCGGCAACATTCACGGCTGAATTGACTCGTCGCGACGTATCGGTTTGGGACACTGCTTCGCAAAATTGGATTCAAGTTGAGAACCCCATCATCTACGTCGGTGCATCCAGCAGAAATCTTCCTCTCTCTGGAACCCTGTCTGGTGGTAGTAGTTCAGGCGGCGGCGGTTCTGGCCCATCTGGAAACCCGAGCGGAGGTTGGGGACCTTCCGCGAGTGCCAGTGGTGGATATCCTGTAACTCAGATCTCGGACGGTCAACCACAGGCACCAACAGGACCTCCTGTTTCTCAGATCTCGGACGGGCAGCCACAGGCACCAACGGGAGCTCCTGTCTCTCAGATCTCGGACGGGCAGCCACAGGCACCAACGGGAGCTCCCGTCTCGCAAATCTCGGACGGGCAACCCCAAGCACCTACCTCGACGTGGTAGTCGAAGCCAGTCCTTCGAAAAATAAAAAAAAAGAGAAGGAAGACAAAGGAAACGAAAGGCTACGACGTCAGTATATAGTCAACGTAATGTTTTGATCCTTATGCACACACAAGGCACGCCCAATTACAGGTTGTGAGCGTGTCTTCTCTCGTAGACAAGGTAATGATGAAACGAAGCCTTAAAGGTGTCAACGGAAGCAGATTCCTAATTTATATCCTCCAAAACAAAGAATAAAATCACTTTATTGTAAGAATGGTACAGTTCGAGTATACGTACGGAGTAGTTATGCAGGTATTTATTTCCAAGTTGTGAGAGGGGACTGGATCATTCGTAACCTCAACAAGGCTGAAGACATCCGGCCTATGGGCGAAGGGAGGGTTAAGGAGGTCCAAAAAGGACGAGGCTGTGGATCAATGTCGTCATGGATTTTTGTTCTCGATGGTCCCGGCTTCAACCACGAGGGACCATCTTTTCGGCATGAAATGAAACATTATAGTTCTTCTCTCGTTTTCCATTTCTTTTCTCTCTTACTCTTTCCGAGTAGCAAAAACGAAAAAGGGCACTTGGTGCAGAAAAAACTTCTAGTCATTGAATAATCATTCCTTTACCGAAATATTGACCTAAACTCGGATAAGGAGATTAGACCGGAAGACTCTTAACAAAAACTACGGCATACGGCAACGAACCGAAAAGTTGGATTTCTTTCTTTCCTTTGGCCTATTCGTGCAGTGGTGATCTCTTCGAGTCAACCTGTTACACACCTCTTCGAGTGAAAGGAAAGGAAAGGAAACGAAAAGGGCTGAGAGCCGGGACGATCAAACACAAGAAGGCCCGAGAGCTCGAGAGCCGAGTCAAAACATTCATGGCGCGTCCGAAATTCAAAACTACCCATGATGCACCCAAATCCGGAGGCCCGAGGGTGGTGTACTGGTTCCGTACGGACCTGCGTCTTCACGACTCACCTGCCCTGGCGCACGCCCTGTCCCTGAACCCGTCACGCCTGATCCCGCTGTGGACGTGGGATCCGCACTACGTGTACCGCCAGCGCGGGTCGGCGAACCGCTGGGCGTTCCTGGTCGCGTGCATGAGCGACGTGTCGGGTTCACTCGCGAAGCTGAACCCGAACCAAAAGCTGCACGTCGTGCGCGCGGCGCCGACCCAGGTGATGGGGCCGTTGTTGAGGAGGTGGAAGATCGACGTGCTCGTGTTCGAGCGGGACACGGACGCGTACGCCCGCGCGCGCGACGCCGAGGTCACGCGCATCGCCGAGGAGGCGGGCGTCAGGGTCGTGAGCTTGAGCGGGAGGACGTTGTTCGACAGCGACGAGATCGTCAAGGCGAACGGCGGGCGTCCCACCATGAGCATGAGTCAGATCGTCAAGGCCGCCGAGAAGCTTGGAGGAGGAGGAGGAGGAGGAGGAGGAGGAGGAGGAGGAGGCGAGCCCGCGCGGCCCGTCGATGCGCCGAAAGAGTTACCGGACCCTTTGGACGCCGCGGACATGGACCTCGGCGGGATCGAGAAAGAAATGGAGGGCGACGTGGAAGAGCAGAAGCCGAGTTTCGCCGGCGCCGGACAGGGTGATTTCAATGCCGTCCAGCGGACCTCGAGCCCCGGAAAAATCACACAGTACAGCGTCGGTCTGATGGGGCCGGACGGAACGTTCAGCGTGCCGACACTCGAAGAGATGGGCATCGACCCGGCCGACGTGACGACGCCTCACGTCGGTGGGGAAACCGCCGGGTTGGCAGTGTTGAAGAAGTACATCGACGACGAAGAGTACGTGGGCACGTTTGAGAAGCCTGCGACGGCGCCCACGGATTTTGAACCTCAGGCAACGACACTTCTTTCACCGCACATGCATTTCGGGAGCGTGAGTGTGCGCAAGTTCTGGTGGGACGTGCAGGATGTTTTGGCAAGGAGGAAAAAGGAAAAGAAGCACAACAGCAGCGAGCCGGTGAATCTACCGGGACAGTTGTTGTTCAGGGACATGTACTTTGCGGCGCACGCCAAGGTTGGCGTCGCGTTTGGACAGGCGGTCGGGAATCCCGTTGCAAGATTCATCCCCTGGCATTTGCAGAGCAAGTACTCTGTCAACGAGCGGGGGGAGTATCGGTCGGAAGGGACGTATCTCGTCGACGACCCCCAAGCGGAGGAGTACTTTCGCCGGTGGAAGGAAGGGCGCACCGGGTTCCCCTGGATCGATGCATTAATGAGACAGCTCAGGCGAGAAGGGTGGATTCATCACCTGGGAAGACACGCCGTCGCCTGCTTCTTGACCCGAGGAGGGTGTTATGTTTCGTGGGAGCGCGGGGCCGAGGTGTTTGAAGAGTGGTTGATTGACCACGAGGTCGCGTGCAACGCGGGCAACTGGATGTGGTTGTCGTGTACGGCATTCTTCTCACAATTCTACCGCTGCTATTCACCGGTGGCTTTCCCCAAGAAGTGGGACCCCGAAGGACACTTTGTGAGGAGGTACGTGCCGGAGTTGGCGCGGTTCGACAAGAAGTACATCTATGAGCCGCACAAGGCACCCATAGCGGATCAGAAGAAGTGGGGGTGTCTGGTGAGAGGTGACGGGTCGAAGAAGGACGACAAGGGTGAGGGAGGGGAAGGGCGAATGTACCCAAAACCCATGTTCGATTTCAACGAGAGGAGGCAATTTTGTATCGACAAGGTCAAGGAGGCATATGATGTGGGACTGTATGGAGATGATGAGAAGGTCAGGACGGGTGAGTGGAAGAAACTATTCAAGTTTAATGATCGAGGAGCAAAGACAAAGGAGGAAGCGAATGGAACGGTTGAAAGAGGCGTGAAGAGGTCGAGAGATGACGAAGAGGATGAAGATGATATGGGTGAAGATGCGGATGATGGGCACGACAGCGATGATCGCAACGCAGCAGCAGCAGCAGCAGCAGCGAAGAGGGGTCAGAAAACGAGAGGCGAGAAGAGAGGTCAGAAGACGTTGGATACGATGGTGAGTAGGAAGAAAGTGAAGTAAGTGTCTCTGAGGTGGTTTGTTCGTTTATGACATCGGATGAAGAGAAAGAAAAACATTGTAGAATGCAGTGGGATATCAACATCTGAAGAGATTGACAGAAGTAAATGAATATGTAATGCTCATGAATATTCTGCTTCTTTCTCGTTACATCCTATACTCTGACCCTTGTCAGACCAGCATCCTCAATTCCTTTTGGCCAGTGAAATGCTTACTTATGAACTTGACATCTGTGAAGCTGCGACCTGTTTTCTGCAATCAACCATCGTCAATAATACTTGAATATTCATCAAGTGATAGTCTAACATGCGATCAAGCAGGTCAGATATTACTTGCAGACACAATTCAGCAGAACAAGAACAAGATTAAATTAGCAAATGCGCACATCTGTCCGCGCGGTTTGATCATCTCAGCAAGGTGGTACTGACAAGAGAACATGAAATCCATTCCGCAGCCCTTCCTCTGGGAGACTTTGGATGAGAGCTGTGCGCTTTTGATCCCATTGGTCACTTGCACAATTTGATAGGCGCATGCTCGCATTTTGACAACCAATTTCCCAGAGGAATTCCGCCGGCACATTGCCGCTGCACGAGATATAAAGCAAAGAGGAGCGACACGCATGCATCTCAAGCACCACAGCTGCCTCGACTCGACGATTCTTCTCTCTTTGATTGAGGATGGTATTCGAACCCTTTGTCTCTCGGATACCTCGGGCCTCCTAAGAGACTGAGAGGCGTCTGAAAGTGGACGGTCGTGGATGACCACTAGCGGGTGAATCCAGGCACTTGGCAACAAACGCCCGATTTTCCCCCCATCATCCACCTCTCTCTAAATAGGGGCAAGAATGAAGTCAAGATCTGGAGAAGAAAGAGATCCCTTATCTTTGGATTATGGTCTCTAAAGTTCCGCACCCACAGCTGACTGTTATTATGGGGACGGCTCGGTCAGGATTACCCGCACAGTCATGGAAAGGCCCAGGATACTATCCGAGGACTGCTATCACATGTCGAATTCTATCTCCAAGGCATGCCGAGATGATCATACCTATTGTATAATGGAGTTTCTGGACTATATTGCGCGTACTGCCGGCGTCAGCGGAGTTATGCGCATTCCATACAAGACCTTCGCACATTGCGATAATGACACACACATCGCAAGGTATAACAAAGGCCGAGAAAGATACGGAGCAATAAGTATCCCGTGTATGTTGTACGAGCATCCAGGACCTATCCGTTGAGGCGTCTTCGATCAAGGTCTACCGAATGAATCTGTCCGTTTCAACGAGGTTTGGGACCAGCCAGTGGTGACAGAGCTGTGAGAGAGCACATCCCTTTATGAAGATCCCCAGGCTCCTTCTAGCCTTGCTTCGACAATATCCTGCTCCTCCAGATACTGCACTGGCTCAATTTCGCAAAAGAACAGCCGACCCAACTACAAGTATTCGTACCCCTATCAAATCCTCGGCCATTGTTCCGATGCGGGTGCAGTTCCTTTGAGTAGTCGGAGATCCACACCTATTCCGCAGATCCCTACCAATCACGCCATTTGGAGCCCCTTGTAGTCCCAGCCTTGTGGATATTGCTGTGGGTTACTCCGTGCAGACTATTGTATACTATATGGCCATGACGGCAGGCCCAAGGGTCCTCCAACAAACAAAAGGTCCCCAATAGCTACGATTCGTACCGCCGCTGGCCAATGTCCTGCCTCTGATAAGGACAACATGCTTTGGACCACCACATTCCGCCCCGACTCCATATGGGGTGCGCACTTAATTAGACCTCACCACTACGATTAGCTTGGTCCTCCTGGATCGCTGTCATGATAACGAACACCTCCGTGCCTGCGTTGGGTGGTTGCAAACTAAGATCAAGATTAGGCCAAAGTTTCGACACTACATGGACATTCCTTGCTGCCGAAGGAACGATAATGCTAGAAGGCTCGCTAGCTGCGTTTGGATGACTGATCATGCTGCAAGATAACACTCGAATATGTTTTGGGCCGTACCCTGGAAATTATCAGCAATCATCTCACTTATACATCAATGCCGTCTGCCCGTCTTAGGTTCCGTCCCCGGCACAAGTATACATGCTGGCTGGCTGACTGGCTGCTCGAACAACGAGTTTCAAAGGCACGTCTAAGAGCGCATTTGAAATCGGGTCAATGGTGGAGCTTCGAGCTACTACTATCAATTTGCCTGATATTACACCGCAAGTCGTTCAAAGGCGATGGATTTACATGCATCCCTCATCTCCAAGCTCTTCAAGCAATACTATCAGCTGCTTTGAGCTTCATATAGTCATCAAAGTTCAGCACCGACTTGCCCAGTACCAGCGCGCTCTCGGCACAATCCTCCTTTGATGTCCACTCCTTTGGTGAATGACTGATGCCGTCCTTGGCACGTGCAAACACCATGGCTGTTGGGCACAGCAACTGCGTCATGGTCGAATCGTGCCCGGTGCCTGTGCGAGAAGCGATACCCTTGTCACCGCAGGCAAGTCTGACGCAGTCAATCGCTTCTGGCCAGAAGTTTCCAGGCAGGAGATGGACTGTTCTGTCCGTCTCGGTTTCCAGTCCATGTAACGAAGCAATTGACTTGACGCGCTCCATGATGATCTTGCCCATATCCTCCAATCCTTCGGCCTCCTTGTGCATCAAGCAGAAGGTGACCTTGCATTTGGACTGGATGTTGCAGGCACCCCACGGACGGCTATGAATTCCTGTCACCGTGGAAGCACCGTTCTTCTCATAGGCCAATTTCTCAAGTTCACATATCAGCTTGGCTGCGCCAGTCAAGGCGTCTCGTCGCCCGTACATCGGATAAGTGTTCGCATGACCATCCTCTCCGTGGAAGATGACATCGTACCAGGTCATACCCTGCCAGCCTTCGACCCAACCGACAGGCTTCCCAGCCTTTTCGAGATCTGTCGACTGCTCGCAGTGGATTTCAAAATGCGCTGAAATGGGGAATTCTTTGAACGTGTTTGGTCCGTCTCCAACATATCCGATCTTGGCCAGCTCGCTGCCCATGGTCAATTCTGAGGCGTCGTTGGATGCCGCAGCATGTGCTTGTTCAACGGTAGAGCGGCCAGCATATACGATGGACGAGCCCAGTAGAGGAAAGAATCTTGCACCTTCCTCGTTGGTCCAGTTGATGAGCACCACTGGTGCGCGAGTTTTGACTCCTTGTTCCTTGAAACTTCTCATGACTTCCAAGGCACCAAGAACCTGTCCTCGTGTCAGAATTTGTTTGTTCCTTGCAACAAGTTACGTACACCTAGTGGTCCATCGAATCTTCCGCCTGTAGCGACTGTGTCCAGGTGACTACCCATTGCAATAGGAGGAATGCTGTTGTCTTCGCCGGGGAACAAGCCAAATTGGGTTCCTGTTGCGTTAACCTATCCTTGTTCAGCATCTTCTCTGCTTAGTGGTCGTCTTCTTACTGACCTTATAATCGGCCCCAAGCTCAAGGAGTTGATCCCTAAACCAGTCCCGGACTTTCTTGTCATTCTCATCGGCACACAGACGGGTCACCCCTCCAGGAGAAGGTGCACTCCATTGCGCTGTGTAGTGGATGTCGTGCCTGAAGTGGGTGATCAGCATGCAACTTTTGTCTTGCTTCATCACTCCCTTCACTCACCATAACCGCTCACCATTGATCGAGAACTTGTCCGACAGTGGTGAGTTCCGTACTGTCGCATATGCACGAGTGGCAGTGAGTCTAATGGCTGCCTTGCTGATAGGTTTCACAGCGCCTGCTCCGAGGACTGCACGACAAACGGTGCGAGTGAGCATGTTGCTTTTCCAAGGTATGGCTTTTGTATTCAACGCGATCGTAAATTCTACAAAAGGTAGGTAAAGTTGAAGAGATCGTTCCTTTGCCTGGGGAGTGTTCTGTTTACATGACTTTCATAACAATACGCTAGACGACTCACCCGCGTCCGTCTGGAGACTTCCCCATGCCGTGTTATCTTCAGCATGACGCGTTCGGGTTTCTATAACTTGGAGCCGAAGTCCTCTACCGGACACATGCCTCTGCAGCTTACCCCACTACAGAACACAGTCCGCAGTTTGTCCAAGTTCAACTTCGGACCCAACTGGGGCAAAACGCGATAACAATCAGTATACTGGACCCACTTTCGAGGATATTCAGCAGTCCTCATGCAGATCCTGACCATCAACTGCCCCTTGCATTATCTAGCCTTATTAGAAAGAGTCCTCGAGAAAGAGGCAGGCCACCTCGAGCATCTACCTAGCTGGATGTCCTCCACGTGCTGAGGTGAGCCTTGTGCCGGCGAAATGAGGTGTATCGGTATTTGATGCACATCGTCGTAAGTTACCTCTTTCTACAACTGTAGTTCTTTGATAACAAGGGATCACCACTTGTTGCACCCACTTCTCGGGTGCTTATCATCCTCTCTACACTTTACCATCAAGGAGCCCGTACCAGGCAGACTTTGGTCCACTTCGAGATTGGGACACTCTCCCGGGGCGAATTGATGACCACGAGTGATTCTCTCCCTCGAGACTGAGACTGATAGCGACTCGCACAGCAAAGACTACTATGGATTCATTGGAGACGGGTACTTGTGATGCACTGACGTATAGGCTCGACGTATCATCCGCTAATGTATCTTCCACGCGTTGAATCCCTGAAGTACCCGATCCTTTATCTATATAAGTCTTTCTCCCGGGAGAAGCTGCTGCGCGCACCTGACTTGTGTGGTTTTCTCCTCAAACCCAACTGCATCACACAATACTCAGCTGCTGGCTATTCGCATCGGTCATCATCATGTCCAGCACAATTCAACCTGTCCTGCCTCAGGGCGCCGGTTATGGCGTCGTGATTGGGATTGGGTTCTTTTTTGCCCTGCTCATGGCTGGCGTATCATACCTGCAGGTAAATAAGGGGTAGTACTATTTCCTAGTTCTGCGTCGCTGACAATCGTGGCAGAACCGATACACGAAATACTCGACCAAAATGAGCGAGGAATTCAACACTGCCAGTCGAAGTGTCAAGCCTGGTCTGATTGCAAGTGGCGTTGTTTCTGCCTGGACCTGGGCTGCCACTCTGCTGCAGTCCAGTACTGTCACCTATGAATATGGCGTGTCGGGTCCGTTCTGGTACGCTGCCGGGGCCACCGTGCAGATATTCATGTTCTCAGTACTTGCGTGCAAGGTCAAGCAAAACGCTCCTCGGTGCCACACGTTTCTCGAAATCATCTACTATCGCTATGGCAAAGTCACGCATATAGTCTTTATCTTCTTTGCTCTCATGACCAACATTCTCGTTGCATCACAGTTGCTCCTTGGAGGCAGTGCTGTTGTGACTTCATTGACCGGGATGAATGTCTACGCGGCGGTGTTCCTCATTCCTTTGGGAGTGAGCGTCTATGTTGTGCTTGGTGGTCTCCGAGCGACTTTTCTGTGCGACTACTCTCATACAGTGATCGTCATGATCATTATTTTGTACTTCATGTTCAACGTAAGTATTTTCTGACACTTTAGAGCATGTGCCGGCTTGCTGACGGTGAGAAAATTCAAAGGTCTACACATCAAACGATCTCATTGGCTCTCCTGGAAAGATGTACGATCTGCTCGTGCATGCTGGCGAGGTGCGTCCAGTCGAAGGCAACGTGAAAGGCTCCTACTTGACTCAAAAATCGAACTTTGGTCTAATATTTGGTGTCATTCAACTATGCTCCGGCATGGGGACGGTCTTCCTGGATCAGGGTTACTGGCAACGCGCCATCGCCAGCCGTCCCACCACAGCAGTCCGAGGCTATATAATGGGTGGTTTCGCCTGGTACGCCATTCCATTTGGCTTTGCGACCACTCTTGGTCTGGCCGCAGTCGCCCTCACAGACAATCCGGCTTATCCCACCTATCCACACAACATGACCACGTCGCAGGTCTCTTCTGGATTATCTGCTCCGTTTGGCGCTGCAGCTCTGCTTGGAAAGAACGGGGCTATTGCATTGCTACTCACACTGTTCATGGCGGTCACATCCTCATCCTCGTCTGAGCTCATTGCGGTTTCCTCCATCCTCACCTTTGACGTCTACAAAGTCTACATCAAGCCATCCGCATCTCCAAAAGACTTGATATTTGTCTCCCACGTCATGATCTGCTTTTTTGGCCTCGTCATGGCCGCCTTTGCATGTATCTGGAATGCCATCGGCATCGACCTCGGTTGGCTTTTCCTCGTCATGGGTCTTCTCATTGGGGGTGCGGTTTTCCCAGCCGCCTTTGCTGTCACGTGGAAAGGCCAGACCCGCGCGGGTGCAATTTCTGGCGCTGTTTGCGGACTCTGTGCCGGTTTGACGGCGTGGCTTGTCGAAGCCAAAGTGCACTATGGCGAGCTTACGGTGTCTACCACTGGCGCCTCGTACCCTACTCTGGCCGGAAACATGGCAGGTGTGCTGACGGGACTCATCGTGACCTGCGCTGTCTCGTTGCTCAAGCCCGATAATTTTGACTGGGCCGCCACACGGGATATTAATGCGCCTTCGTCATTGTATGGCGATGTCGTCCCTAATGCCAATGCCAGCGTTCTGGGAGAGACTCGACCTGTCACTCCCACGGAGGGTCAACGTGGTTCTGTCGAGGGGCCTGCTGGAAAGCACGGAGACAATCAAGCAGAAGAAGAACCTAAGAATCCGAATCACAATGCCGAGCTGCAGACGGTCCTCGACGAGGAGAAGGAAGAAGCCGAAGACCGCGCCGTCCTTGAAAATCCTCAATCGTTACAGCGCACCTATATTTTCGCCCTCGTCCTCTCCGCGGTACTCTCTTTGAGTATGGATGTCATTATTCCTGTCCCGATGTTCCTCAGTCACTATATCTACTCCAAGGGCTTCTTCACCTTCTACGTGGTTGTCAGCTTTATCTGGGTGTTTGCGGCCCTCTTCATGTGCGGCATCTTACCCATTTGGGAGACTCGCACATTCTGGCGCGAGTTTATCGGCGAGATTCTGGGACGTAAGAAAGTCCTCTCCGGTGCATCACCGGATACAGAAATGTCTTCCTCACAGTCATCGGGAACTCTGTCACCAACCGAGGCGAAGGAGCCTGCTGATCAAATCAAGACATGATAGACCATCGCCGTTCGAGAGGAATGACAGACATATTATGATCCGAGTGAACAATGAGAACAAATGTAGGAAACGGAGGGACAGGGGTTGATAGTGGTTTTGGAGTTGATGACTTCAAATGAGAGCTTGGAATATGGAAAGTTTGCGAGAGCGTCCATCCATAGTGGTGCGATTTTGTCATCACATACCAGGTGTCTTGATATACTCCGCCATAGTCATTCTTGTAATTCATCTGAACCAATGGTATGCTGAAAAATTGGTATCTCTTGGCCATGGCCCTCCATGATATGTTCTTCCCCAGTCTGGGAATGGAGTGAAGTCACATACTTACAGCTGAAACGAACCACGGTCATCGCGGTCATCACGGTGTCAGCAGTGACGAATCACGTGGGTCAGAAACCCCTCAGTGCAAGAATGTCAACAAGCTTCTGGCCTTTTGCCGCACTGCATTACTCTCACTTGACTGCAACTGCTCGACTTCTAGGTCGATAACGATGATCAAAGAGCCAACTCTGGCATTGGAAGACATACCATGTATCCGCCGACGGTGAATCGGGCTTGCCAAAGATGCAGCAGGTACGTGACACCCATTCCTGTTCTGATGGTGTCTTACCGACCATTCCGTAGGAAGAAAGTCAAATGTAAGTAGCCGAATTGCAACAATATTCAGGGAAGACGCAATCGCCCCTAAAGCAAGACACAGGTGATATGACGCGACCTGGCAGCAGCCTTTGCAGGCGCCTCGGAATGTCGTGCACATTTCCGCTCAGACAAAAGCCTCGTCTCCGGAGCCACAGCTCTCCAGATACGCCAAAACGTAAAACTCGGCGCTTGCAGACCTCACACTCCGTTGGTGAAGATGTTTTGCCTGGTCATGAAAACAATGGTGATGGCTGTGATCGCCTTACAGCGACCCTGTTCCAAGTGTTGGACTCGAATGCAACGTCGGACGAGTCACAAGACCATTACGCTCGCGAGCCCACGCTGAACAACAATCCCACTTCCTCCTTCGAAGAGGCTACACGGCTCCGAGCAGATGGATTAGGTAATGGCCACGTTCAAGATTCTTCTAGTAGCCAGGGCGAGGACGCTTCCTTCGAACTCCCGGATCTCAGATTGTTGATAAATTCAGAAAACGAGGACCCTACAGACGTGCGGCCGTCCACACTGGATTTTGGTTCAGGCATGAATGACCAAAGCTCAGCAGTCAGCGGGCGCGACGGTTGGGGCATCCCTAATGAAGTAGCCGTGGACCTGTGAGCGTTCCCGGACTATCTTATGAGCAGATTAAAAAAGTCTTACAAAGCATACTAGGATCGAACATTATTTTTCTAAGATTCAACCCTGGCTGGCCATTCTGCACCGGCCACTCTTCTACAATGAGTACATGGTTGCGGGAGATTCGGAAGCACAGTGTCTTCGACCGTCTGCAGAACTCAGACAAGACGTCGTCTTCATGATCAACGGTATTTCGCATTGTCGGCCAGGTTTTCGACCAATCGTATCAATGCATACAACTACAACCATCTACTTGACTCTGAGTAGGTTACCTACATGTAGGTAAACATGTGTGTATCGGAGTGTTCTTCAATTGGGGCCATTACATCGTATTCGTGTGGAGACCCGGGAACGCCAAGCTTTTCTCTCTGCTGGCGTCATTTTGGCCGAAGCCGGAAATTTGCCTAATCTGGTCATGCCTGGATCTCCTCCTGTGTAGTAGAAAAGGGAAACAGGGCAACCAGGGTTGTATCTTGCCGAGAAACAAGTAGAGAATCTCAAGGGACAAAAGAGATGGAGCGAATTTTCAAAACAACGGAATCGCATACCATCTGTGAGGGTTTTCCAGCGGCCAATATTTTTGCAACAGAGCCACCCGACGACGATGCCGTTCAAGAAGATCGACGTTCATCACCACTTGGTGACACCGGCATACAAGACAGTAGGTGATCGCGTCTTGACTCTCTGTTACGTGAGTACTATGGGTTAATTAATTTTATGGATATAAGGACGATAGGCACTGGAACAAAACGGAGGAGACCCGTCCGGCTCCTGGACGCCCGAGGGGTCCATTTCCGCAGACGAAAAGTCTTGTGAAGAGTCGGGTGTCGGGGTGACCATTTTCTCCTTGACCGTCCCCGGGGCGGGAATCGCCCAAGGACAATCAGATCGAGCGGCTGCCGCCCTCGCCCGGGAGACGAACGAGTACCTCGCCTCGTTGCGCGACGAGAGCCCTCGAACCCGAGGGTTCTTCGCCTGCGTCCTCCCCCCCTTGACGGACACGCCGGCGGCACTGGAGGGGATCGCCCACGCCCTGGACGTGTTGAAGGCCGACGGGGTCACCCTGTTTTCTCGGTACGGCGCCCCTGGCAGCCCGAACAAATACCTGGGTCACGCCGATTTTGGGTCCGCGTGGCAGGCCCTGAACGAGAGGCGGGCCGTGGTTTTTGTGCACCCCACCCACGCGGCCAACACCGACCTCATCGACCCGTCACTGCCTCAGCCGATCGTCGACTATCCTCACGAGACGACCCGGACGGCCTCGGGCATGATCGTAGCCGGCACCGTGGACGCCCACCCGGACTGCAAGATCATCCTGGCTCACGCCGGTGGCACGCTGCCGTACCTGGCCGACCGACTGTTGGCGCTCGCCGACACGGGCCTCGCTTCCAAGACGGCCCGAGACATCAAAAACGCCGTGCGGTCCTCTTACCACGACGTGGCCTGGTCGAGTTCGAAGAAGGTTGTAGACGTGTTGTTGAAAGTCACCACCCCGGACCACATCTTGTTCGGCACCGATTATCCGTACGCGCCGCCCGCGACGATCCGCTCCTTTCCAAGCAGATTCAACGATGCAGAACTCAAGGAAGACTTCAAGTACGCCATCAGTCGGGGCAACGCGTTGAAATTGTTCCCTCGTCTGGCTGCGTACGAAGAGGGGAAGATGGAGAAGACGTAGTTTGGAGATCTTTTTTTGTCAGATAGAGTATCCATTTTTTCATGCTCGGACCGTGTTTAACGCTGGTGATCGATGGTGATGCAAACATAAGTATAAGTATTCCTCAATGATGTGAGTCTCAAACCTATCATCCACTGGCTGATCGATGCGGTGGAGAGAACACATACGATCAGGAAAGATCTAGCCTGAAATGTCAATTCTCCATGAACGGGGAAGCACCCATTGTACGTCACCCCGGGTTTCACGGAGAAAGACAGAGGAGGTCATGACTACCGGCTACAAGGGTGTGGTCCGGAATCTCCACATTGGACGAAACAAGGTGGTTACTCGTAGGGATGGAGCCGCTCCTCTCGCGGGGAACGAAAAGTATCAATCGACCGTGGTACCGCCGACTGAGTACAATGCCGTGATAAAGAAGAACTTGGCCATCTTTTGAGGCTTGTTTCTGGGTATACGACCTTGGTCAAGTAGTATATATTCATTCTTATCGTAATGTCGATCGAACCATCATGGATTGTTGGCCTGGCCACACTCAGCATTTTCTTGTACGCTCTTTGCACTGTAGGGAGAAGAGGCAAGAACTATCCACCAGGTAAGTACCAAAGAAGAAGCCAATGGTAATTTACCGGTCCATCACACTCACATCTCGTGTAGGACCACTGACACTACCATTATTGGGGAACCTTCATCAAATTCCATTAAAGGGCGCTCATTTCAAGTAGGTCTCCAACACAAACAGAAAGAGAGAGAAAGAGAAACACCTTAGGGGCACCGTGGCAGATTCACAGAGTTACAAAGTTAACCCGTGCGATAGATTTACCGAGTGGGCAAAAGTGTACGGAGGAATCTTCTCCCTCAAACTGGGACCTGGCACGGCCGTCGTCGTCACCGACCGTCGCGTGGTGCGTGAGCTTTTGGACAAACAGAGCGCCATCTCGAGCTTCAGACCGCCGTCGTACGTCGGCAATTTGATCACAGGCGGAGATCATGTCCTCGTCATGGATCCCGGTCCCAAGTGGAGGACGATGCGGAAAGTGATCGTACAGGAATTTACAGAGACCATGTGTGACAAGAAACATGTCAACGTGGTGAATGCGGAAGCGATTCAGATGTTGAGGGACAACGTCGTCGATCCGAAAGGTTTGATGAAACATCCAAAACGATTTGCAAACAGCATCATCATGAGTCTAGGTATGAGATTCAGAAACCCCGAAAAATTCAGGAGTAGAGATAAGAACTGACCACCCCCATCCCCGTAACGATAGTCTTTGGAGTTCGTACACCCGACATAACAACGTCGCATATGAGACGCATGTTTGAGCTCATGGAGCATTGGTCACTGGTCATGGAGCTGGGCAGCACACCTCCGGTCGACTTTTATCCTTTTCTCAAATGGATCCCTCAGCGATTCCTGGGCAACTGGATTTCTCGTGCAAATCAGGTCAAGGAAGAAATGTATTCTCTCTATCGAGACCTTGTGGAGGATGTAATCAGACGAAGAGATGCCTTGGGCCCGCGAGATTCGATGATGGATCGAGTTCTGGATCAACTAGACTCGGGAAAGCTAACGCTAACGAAACATCAGCTGTACTTCCTTGCGGGGATCGTGATTGAGGGCGGCTCGGACACGACAGCGTCAGGTATCCTGGCGTTTCTCAAGGCCATGACATGTCTTCCAGAAGTGCAGAAGAAGGCACAGGCTGAAATTGATGCCGTGGTTGGACAAGACAGGACGCCTCAATGGTCCGACTATGAGAAGCTTCCATACGTGAGTCAGGTCTTGAAGGAATCCATGAGATGGCGGCCTGTGGGTGGTGCCGGCGTTCCGCATGCTCTTTCTGTAGGTAAAGTGTATTCTCGTTCCTCTTGGTATCCACTCAACCTGACGTCGTGAAGACGAAGAATGGAAACCATCGTGCGAGAATTCGACCAGGTCAAATGCGATAGATTTCCAAAGCATTCATAGTTCGGTATTCAGAGTAACACCATTTCGATATGTCGTCGACCGCGGAGACGTTCAAGCCACCGCTTCCACCGAATCGGGGTAGATCATGATGCCGGCATACAGTGCAATAGAGTACAATAGTGATCTTACCTTGTCATGAAGCTGAGCTACAGATCTTGGGCACCCCATTGAGGTTGTTTGTTCATCCCAATCCAATCTTCATTGTGATTTTCCCGGTTCCCAGTTCTATAGGTGAAGACGGCTGCCCCCGCAACAGTCGGTAGAAGTGAGAGGTTTTGGAACATCGCGAAGGGGGCAAAGAGAGAGCAGAGGAGTCGGTCGATTCGGCAATAATGATGTAGAGTGAACAGCAGCAGTGGCCAGCAGAGAGAACTCGCGGAACAGGATCTCGATTACGATCCCGGCTCAAGTGCTTTTGACCGTAGAGAGAGGAATTTGACAAGTCCATCTCGCATCAATGGCTGAACAACGATAAGGACAAGGACACCGGCGGCAATTGTATGGGTATATGAGTAGGAAATAAGGCTGGTCAAAGCAATAGAGTGAGAGAGAGATGTGACTGCGTTGGCGCGTCATAAAAGCGGCGCTCATTATCGATACGTCTTGGCACTAACCATATATCAGCGTTTAGATGGCAGCAACCTCTCTTCACGTTCCTTCATGTTTGCTCAATATTTCCCATTCCTTACTTCAAATATCCGTGATCGACCTCATATGTGGCAATGGCGTCCTTTCGGGCGCGGGTGGAGGAGGTTTACCGCAATGATGACTCGAAGAAAACTCTTTTAGAGGTATACCTTTTGTTGCATTGATGGACATCATTGACACCTCCATAGGACATGTTGGCCGAACTCGAGGAGCGTACCCGAGAACGAGATGCTGCGAAAGGCGAACTTGACATGGCCAAAGATACTGCCCGCACCTACTACCAACGTATGGTCCAAGCGGAAGCAGACAAATCTCATGTCCAGACATCAACGGTTACTTGTCTCTCATACCGCTACTGGCTCTAGACTAATGTACACCAGGAGTGCGACAGGTTCCTGCTTGTCCTGATAGATGGCGATAGCATGCCGGTGAGGCCATGAGTGCCGACGGGGTTTCGCAAGAGGAACACCGTCTTTAATGATGTTTGCTGACCTGGACAGTTTCTCGATGAATTTCTTCCAAGAGGCATGGAAGGTGGCGAGGACGCTGGAAAGCATCTCCGATCTTCAATTCTCGATTATTACAAAACAAACCCCAAATTCCACGCTGACGATCGTATTATCATCCGTGTATATGCTAATGTGCGTGGTTTTGCTCGTGCTCTCAAAGCTGCCAAGATCATCTCCGAAGAGTCGACGTTTGATCAATTCATCGCTGGCTTCAATAAGAGCCACCTGCTGTCCGACTACATCGACGCTGGTCCAAACAAGGAAGCTGCAGATTCCAAGTTGAAAGGTATGTCAACTTAAATTTTCCTCGATTCGATTGATTTGACAGGTCTACCCAAAGCAAACTTCGAGCTCTTCTATCGAAACCGCCATTGTCAGCATATTGTATTTGGAGGATCTGCAGACAACAGCTACGCAGGCTTTCTCGGCCCGTATGCGCTTCCTGGGGGCATCAATGATCGCGTAACCCTGATTGAAGGGCCGCCGTTCGCTTCTGATCTCCGAAAAGTAGCGCAAGGGTTCAATCGAGTGGCGTTGACGACCGTCTTCAGGACGACAAAGATTCAAGTGATCAATGGTAACCAAATTGTTGCGGGAGTCAAGAGACCTGCCCCTGCAAGCTACATCTCTGGCCGACCGACGACAGGTGCAGCTCTGACGCCAGCAGACAAAAAGCCTTCACATCCTCCGACAGTGCCTATTCCCTCGCCGGTCATATACCAGAATCAATATGGCCAGCGTCTTGATACACCATTGACCTACGATAAGGAATACCTCAAGCTTCTTTACGACAAGAATTCGAGGCTGTGCAACAACTTTTATTTGCGTGGCCACTGTCTCTTCGGGAATACCTGTGCATGGGACCACTCCCAACAGTTGACCCAAACCCAACTCGACACAATGCGATACAAAGCCAGGACCTCGAATTGCTTCAACCCCTTCTGTGCGGATCCGGCCTGTTGCTTGGGCCACATGTGTCCGAGGGGAAGTGCCTGCAATAACCCAGCATGCAAATTTCTCCCTGAGATGCACAATATTGACGTCAGCCACGTGTACGAATACAACACTGTAACGCAGGAGAAGAAAGAGTTGAAGCCTTCCTAGGAGGAAATGCACCAGCAAACTCCCACCTCATCCAACGCTGCGTCAGAGGCTTCCAAATTGACATTGGCCATATCGCCAGCAGCCCCCAGTTCTATACTCGGCGCTGCGATTGCCGGCCTATCCGCACGGAAGCGGCCGTCGTAGCGTCGACGGTCATCTCGGACATCCTGATCTTCAAAGAGGATGTCTAAAAGACTCGTGCCCTCCTCGCTCCCAATTCAACCCATGTCAGAAGGTATCCATCAAGCGCTGACATAGATGACCCTCCCCTTTCTTTCAGTACAAAGCGAACATTCCCTTGCAATTGCTTGCCTGAGAAATACCCCTTTAGATTGTACCGTTTCTCCAACTGCTAGTCCGCTCAATGGCACGCTCTGTTGGGTCGGGCCATTTCCTCCTGGGCATCCAGCATGCTTCCGAGCATACAGATCACGACTTTTGCTTTTTGGATTTTCAAAACCCATGAAACTGTGATAGCAATGAAAACAAGTTTAAACTTATGATCATTTCTCTGGTGTGACTCGCTGTATCTGGCTTCCAGCGGTGATGTGTGAGATCAATCGCGTTCGATATGCTGTTGTAGTGCGGGTGTCATGACTTGTAGACCTGGTCGGCGGGCCGGTCGATTGTTCAGGGTATTTTCAAACGGGCTTTAAAAGACATGGCTGGCGTGGTCGAATGCAGTATCATGCATTGCGAGATGATGTCTTTTTTTCAATCTTGGACAATTGCCATGCTCTTTCTGAGTTCTCGCTCGCGTTGCTTGCTCTGCAGTTCCAGTCTCTCAATGGCATATTGTAGCCGCTCTTTCTTCTGCTGCATACGTTTCATCTCTAGCATCTTGGTGTCGCTGAGACCGGGGGTACGGGACGACGACCTGTCGTTGCGGATTGGCTGGTCGATGGCACCGCCGAAGCTCGAGCTTCGTCTGTTGTTATTGTTGTTGTTCAATCGTCCTTCGAGCAACTCCGACCGCGCCTTCAGGCTTTCTTCCTTCCTACCCAATTGATTCACGTAGTTGTCCACCGTCGACAGCAATTGGTGTATGGCAGGCACGATCTCGTCGACCAGCGACTGTTGCGCCTCTCGCAGAGTGGGCTCGGGCAGGAGTTCGAAATGTTGTTGCGTCTGCAGGACCTTGCACAGGCGGGGAAAGTCGGACACGCCTTCGTCGAGAATGGAGATACTCGAGTCGAGTAGAGACAGCGAGGACCGCAGTGACGAGACGGCGGGGCCGAGGGATGCCATGGTAGAACTTTTCTTTCTTCAGACTCTTCAACACATGGCTCCAAGCACCAATTTCTGGGAGAGAGTCCGCATTCGACGACGGGTAAACAACATTTGCGATCGCGAACCGCAACGCAAACTCGTCAAATACGCCAAGACAGTCCTGATTGGGTTTAGCTCGGTCTCGAGCTCGGGAACATTGAAGCAAAGCAAAGCTCACTTTTGACCAGCAGCAACCCCCCTCCCAACACTCTTTCACGGAATCAACACCTCTCAAACCCTCAACCAGACCCGTCCTCAAAATGCCTGGCTGGATCCCCAAGAAGTTTCCCGGCAAAGTTGGTGAGTTTTGTCCCGCAACAAAAGACCTTTGATCTCGAGAGACAGAGAACTTCCACTGACCACAAACCCCCGAGCGCAGCCGAACCCATGATCCCTTTCTACGCGGCGGGCGTCATCGTTCTGTACGCAATCAATGCCGGCGCCAACGCCATGATGGCTTGTGAGTGACTCTCCTGTCCAAATCCATCCGACGACGAAGCTCCGAAACCCCCGGAGGAGCGAACTTTGTCGCGACAACTCAAGAGACTGACGTGTAACCCCGAAAAACCTGCAGCGGACGAGTACAAGAACGATCCTCGGAACCCAAACGCAAAGCCTAACCCGAAGGCGACGTAAAGAACCGACCATTGAAAACGTCGTTGGTTCTACATCATCTGTGCTACCCTATGCCGATTCAAACGATGGGTCGATCGGGAATGCGGTGGTGGAGGTATACAAAGCTGCCCGAATCAAAGTGTACATATTACAAGCATAGAAGAGATCCGTCCAGTGGAACAATGGAATGAAAAAGTCGGAAAACCAAAAATCACAGTTTCTGTCTGCGAGTGTTTTGTTTGTTCGCCATTTCGTTCCTTGTGAAATTGACACTCGCTCCGGCAGAACGAATGTTGGATTGGAATGAGGCTGGTTTCGGCCGACTGATACAACATTTCGAAAATCACTTCAAGCTTACAGAATGGTTGGTCGCCATATCCAGCAATATATTCGTCTAGTTCCGGAAGATCACCGATGTTTAATTCTATGACGACGCCCTCATCGAGGAGAAGCCAGCTTCTTCCTCCTCTAACTGGTAAGGACAACGAGTCATATATCCGTGGTAAATGACACCTTCAGTGCCCACTACTCCAAGAAAGCTTACTTGTGAAGCCGGAATGCTCATAAGGCCTCAACGGTGGCAAGTCATTACATCCACTGATCGCACGCTCAGGCGAAAATGCACAGCCCCCCCTCCGGATTTCCCTTTTCCAAGTGAGACACCAAAGGATATCGTGATGCTTGTCGACTGCTGGCGCTAGCCTTCAACTTTACCTGCTCTTTCCACCCAGGACAAAAAGGGTGAATCCTGGAGAACTCTGAGGCAACTGGCGAGCGTCGTGGCCAGGCAAAAGTGACCACCATAGATCTTTTCGGGACCCAGACCCAACAATAATTTCATCTTTCCATCATATCCCTTCTTTGTTGGGAGGCGAGAGTCGGCGCTGGCCAATGTCGCGGTGAGTTTTCTCGACCTCGAAAGGCGTGTCGATACTTGGAACTCGAGGCAGTGGACATGATTATACTTGAAAATGGGTTCATGTATAGGATATCGACACCCATACCAGTGTGAATGGGTTGTCGATTACGAGATGTCTGATCTGTGCTCATGGCATCTTGACTCAACCCACGGCCGTAGGGCGTCATGTTTTGGAAGCGAACGCTAAGGAAAGATTGACAGTTGTCGCTCGTGTAGATCTATGATTTATTGGGCAATAGTTTTCGCTCAATGGTTGGTCTGCTGGAATTCCTGTAGGCTGTCGGCGAAGAAGTTGACGGTGCTCCTTTTTTTTGTTGGTAGTATCTCGACAACAAGGGAATCATTCACCAGTCTTCTTGTAAGAATGGCAAGAGACTCGTAGGTGCCGATGGTAGGTTTTCGGTCTGATCAGGTAAATCCATTACCGGAATCGATGCGTCACCCTCTGCCACAGGTAAGTCTTGGTCCGCGTGTATATTGTGATGTATCGACGCAGGATTCACATCGTTGGCCCAGGCCGGTTGTAGGCTTTCCTGCTGGGTGGTGGTGCTGGCGGTGATGTGAAACTGGTGATTGGGTGGTGGAAGTGCCGTGCTCGATGCGGCCAACAACAGCAGTAGTAGCACAAAGGTCGGAAAGAACAACAACGCCGTCATGGTCACGACGAATCAACGACGACGACGGGAAGAAGTCGACCAGACGAAAGGCACTGTCAATACGGAGTAGGAGAAGCAGAAAAAAGAAAGAGAATAATATGAATGCATGATCTACGAGAGTTTCACTGACTTTGCCCATTTCTTTAAGTGGGCATGGCTAAGTGATCCTAGAGCGAGCATGAGAGAAGGAGGAGTGACAAAACCTAGTTGGGGGGTGGTTGGTGGTATGGAGATTGCCAATCATGTCGAGGCAGTGTGAACGTGCACACGAAGGGAGGGTGTTTGGTGAGACGGTAAAAGAGGAGGTGGTTTGTCACTAGGTACGGGATATTCTCTACTCGTATTATCACTCCTTACGGAGTATGTACTCGTATGAATGAGGATCTTATATGGAGTATGTAATATGCAGTACGGAGTACCTCAACGCCAGATGTGACTTTTGATGGTTTGTAGTACGCGTAGTACTCTAGAATATTGTTGGTGTTGGCCGTTCTCCTCACTCCCGATCCAGCTAAGATACCCTGATAGTACTACTAATACGGAGTACGACCTATTTTTTTTTTGTTTGACACTGGTGACACACTTGCGCGCTATTAAAGTCCCAAGAAAAGAATAAGGAAAAGATGACGTGAAACAATTTACTCCGTACTGTAGAATTTCTTCACCTCGGACCATTGGAGTCGAGGTAATAAGCACTCTGGTTCAAAGTAAGTAAAGGCTAATGAAGCTCTCGTGAAACTGACCTAGTACCTAGTTAGGTATCCTCCTTTTCACTTTTCAACAGCCAAGCTCGGCACCACTTGTCGCTCACGATATTTTCTGTATAGACTGCGAATTTCAACAGACACATTGCGACAGACAGCTTGGCATCATTGTCCTGACGCGCTCTGTTGATGAGCGACGCTGGCCTACCGCCTACTCCTTACAAACAACGCCAGACTCGATCATCTTGCTGTTGTTTGCCTTGTGAGCCTCGCTCCTTCACGTCTTCTTGCCGGGGCCAAGAAACGTAATGGCTTGAAGCTGGAACATTTGTAACTCTTTATGGTCTTGTTCTGCCAGGCAAAATGCCCTCAATTGACATGACAGGGTCCTATACTTCCACGGGAATCCGGTTTCATTTTTCCCTTTCTCTTTGACCAGTCTCTCACGCGCCGGTGGACGTTATACTTCTAGCCCCCAGAGGCTGGCTGATGGGAGACGTCACCCTCTTATGGAGCCCCCTTACTTAGGTGACAACTCAACCTATCATCAACCTTTAGTGAGTCAACGACGAGGCATCCATACAACAGAATACGAGTACGAAGTATGTACATCCACTCGTGCCTACTTACCTGGTCTGGATGCGGGATCTTCAACAATACCCCCGGATCGAATGGCCAAAACCCAATGCTCGTATTGAAACGGGTAGCACGGGAAATGATCGTCTCGGGAGCTATATTAACAGTGAAGTGTACTTGTACAACAGCTTCCCGCCGTCTCATTTATGCTGTACAGGGTCAAGGCTCAAACTTTGATCTTGATCGAAACGGTTGTCGCGAAAAGTTACTGTCTATTTTTGTTGCGGGCACTTGCCATAACTTTTGAGACCCGACATTTGGCCACCGGTCATGGGTACATATGACTTTCTCAATACTCGGGCAGGCACAACCACAACCACAAGAGCAAAGATTCCCAACTATACGGAATACAAAGCCAAATTAACAGTCCGCGACTTCACGTCAAAAGAACTTCCACCTGTCGACGACGATGTGACGATGTGACGATGTGACGATGTGACGATGTGACGATGTGGGGGAGAAGCGAAGTCGCGTGCCGCCTTCTCAACTTCCAGACGCGCGTTTCTACTTATAAGTCCCTGCTACCGTTGTGTCAAAAGGTTCTTGCCTCGCTCCACACTGTTCCCGTCTGTTCTAAATCGGGCCTGACGAGCGGCTGTATGGTTATCGGTACGAGCACAAAATCGTGCATGAAGTCACGGTCGGGAGAAAGTGTTTCTAAACTCGATCCATCGATCTCCTTGGCGGTGCTTGATGAGAAATTGGCATTCACAACTTCCCTTGGCGACGATAATTCCAGTTTCAACACGGGCCCCGAATACTGTACTGTACATCTTTGCGCGAGAACACCAGACGTGCAAGCGAAAGGTGGACGGCAGGGCGATCAGTCCTTTGATGTCGACCAATCTCTAGGCCGCCGCGGAAGCCGATATTCATGACGTGCGCCTAGTCCATCATTCCGGTCGACGACAATGTCTTGTGGCGACATATCCAGAGTCTTGGGCCGTTGCCTGCGTCGACGTACTTTCCCACCATGAAGGCCGTATTGCGCTGACTGCATCCATTGCTCGGAGGGCTTCTTCTTTGGTGGTTCCTCCGAATATGTGAAGTCCATGAATGATAACGCACTCTCAGTTTCTGAAAGCGCGGGATTAGCCTCTGCAGTTTCAATCTCTCCAGGCACACTTGGTCCTTCCTCAATGAACTTCTCATCCATCGATCGTTGGGAAGCACGGCTTGTATGTTCTTCGCGGACACTCGGTCCTTCCTCAACCACCCCATCATCTATCGACTGTCGGGAATCGTGGCTTGTAGATGCTCCGCCGTCACTTTCTTCACGAACTTCCCTCGCCATTTCTTCCACGACCACTTCGGAGTCTTGACTTCTGAAGCTTCGCTCAATGACTTCTTCTACAGAGTCCCCACCCTCCCATACGATGTCGATTAGTTCGCCGTCGTCATCATCATCAATGATACTGGGGGTTTCTGATCCTCCAGGCGAGCCATTCTCGACTATGAGGCTGTTTTCTACTATGGAATTTCGAGATTGCGTAGGATTTCCCTCCTCAGAAGGGCCGACTGTGCCTCCTGATTCCATATTGCTCACCTGGGGAGATGTCGGTGGGGTATCGGTCGTCAAAACGGCTTTGATCTCCTCGTGTGTGTTGACATAACTTTCCACAATATGTTGAGTTGTCTCAGCCAGAAGTATGTTTACCTGCACAGCAGTTCGATCTTCTGTGCGGAGCTCTAGGCGCTGGAATTTGTTCTTCAACTTTTTAACACTCCTACGAAGCGCTTTGATGGCTTTCCTGCTGACCTCCCTGTTGTGGCCAGGTTAGCAAACTGACTTCCTTCGACGCGGATCATTGATTACGTACAGCTCCTGTTGCAAATCCTCTGGAACTTCCCTATGGCTAATCTCGAGTGCCTTTTTGTGGTTGATAAGGGCCTCGAGGCCTATTATCGATATGAGCAACTCTGCATCTAGTTTTGTGGAAACGAGAAACAGGTGGATCTGTGACCATTCTTCCTTCCAACTGGACCACTTTAGGAGAGTGAGCCATCTTTTGATCTGGGAGTATTCTGGCTTGTCAAGTCGGAGAGGTTCCGACTTTTTAAGTAGATGTCGAATCTTCTTCCCGATGACTTGCGATGCCTGCACGATTTTTTCGGATATATGGTTGGAACCCATATCCATCAGGAACCCTCCTTCAGGTGAGTCAGCCGTCCGCATCGTCTTTCCGAATCGCTGCAACAGTAGAAAAAATGTCTCTGCCTCGTGGGCGATGACTTCGACATCATTGTGAGCATGTTTTACATTTTTGATGAATCGATTCAGCTTTTTACAAATATGCTGGAATTCAATTGCTATGGTCAGAATCGCAGTTGCCGCGCCGACCGCTTCCATGGCGGAAATGAGGTGTCAAAATCGAGGATGCCATGGGATTTTGTTTCGAGAATCATGATAAAGAAGCGCCGCAATGTGATATGAACAAGAGTGAAAGATGCTCGCGTAGAATGCTGCCAATCAAACAGCAGGTGCTGATCGACTGCGCCTTGACCGGTGTAAGTGCTCGAGGCTGACAGTGGGATCCTACAGGCCTAGGTTCTATCACTGGGAAACCAATGCAAGCCTACTGCGAACCACCAGAAGCAAGAAGACGAACCAAGCAAGTCATGGATGCAGGATGGCTCTTGATCGGGCTAAACCAGTTGAAATTCTTCTCTCGTTTACAGCCATAGCCCTCGGAAGAGAACGCTAGGGACGGGCCTTTTTGTTCCCCAGGGTTAGGGGTCAAGATCCTGGCGAGAATATCGACGCAGGTGTGTTGGCAATGCAAGGAAGCGATGAGGGGGAAGGGTGCATGTAGTTGAAATGCAATTGGATGATATGGAGCATGGAATGCAGGTGTGACGCGGGTGGGAGGAGTGATTTGATACAGAAACTATTACTTGTAGAATGTAGTGTTGAGAGTATGCATGTATATAGCAACCATGACTATTTACATACAGCTGAGGCCAAGGAGAGAGATTAACAACACCAAGGAACGAAGCATCCTAAGAAGCACACAAGTGCTTGTAGAGGAGAGCATTGATGAGTGATCACTGGGTGACGTCATACTCCACGCCAAGTCACACATACTGAGCACAAAGTTATCGAGGAATCTACAATCCGCTGTGGGGTGCGGCCTGAGAAAGTGACATATATTCGACACGGCAAAAACCGGTGTAAAATGTTCGCCGAACAGACACACAGGGCGTCTTCTTAACCGGGGCACGCACTTCACGTGCTCTGCTGGCGCAATGGTAGCGCGCCAGACTTCTATTTATGAAATCTGGAGGGTAAGAGAACTCTCCTTCAACGCGTTACCATGAACACAAAACTAATATCCAAATTTAGTTGTGGGTTCGAGTCCCACGCAGAGTGGTTTTATTTTTTTTCATTTCGTTCCTAGTCTCTTTGGTATTACTTTTTGTTCATAATGACGAGAGAGAGAGAGAGAGAAATTATGTCCTACCATGATTAAGAGAGAAATATTTCATACCGTGGGTGAAAGTGGTAGGGGGAAAAAAGGGACCCCGCAATCATCAGAGTCGAACCGATTCCCAAGGAACAACTCCGAGTCCAACCGCAATACTTGTAAAGATACCCAGGATATTCACCTACCTATTCTCCCTAGGTACCTAGGTAATATCGACGTGATAGTCGTTTGAATTTTCTTTTTGCCAGTCTGCTCAATATCATTTACGATCACCAAAAGTCACCTATCAAGAAATTCTTCCGAAACTCCTCTTGCACTCTCCTTTGGCGAATCTCCTTGATCTCAAATCCATATTCGGTTGAAGTTTCAATATGAGACTTCAAGATCAAATTGTCCTCGTGACAGGTAAGTCATAGCCATTTACTTGACCGCAGTCGGCGGTTACCCAAACCCCTAAAATACCCATTACCCTTCAAATCTTTCACTGTTTTTCGCACATGCCAACCACTCCCCAAAACCCTCAGGTTCGTCACGAGGAGTTGGATTGGCCATCGCCAAAGCATTTCGAGCCCAAGGGGCACAAGTGGTACTCAATTACCACTCATCCGACCCGGAGACCGTTGCGGGTGTCGCCAAAGACATGGGTGGTGCTTTCCCCTTTCGAGCGGACGTTACGGACCCAGACCAGGTCAAGGCCTTGTTCGACGCGGCGGAAAAACATTTCCAAAGACCCATCACGACGGTCGTGAACAACGCCATCACCGGTGGGTTCGAGTTCAACGGCGAGTCGGGCCGTCGCAAAATCCCCGACATTTCCTGGTCGGATTTCGACGGTCAACTCCAGGGGTTTCTCAGAGGTACTTTGAACACGACCCGAGCCGCTTTACCCGGGTTCGAAAAGTTTGCTGGCGGCGGCGGCGGCGGTGGTGGTGGTGGTAGGATCATCAACATTGGTAGTAACTTGTTTCACAACCCCGTGGTCCCTTACCACGATTACACCGCCGCCAAAGGAGCCCTCTTGGGTTTCACCAGGACCTGCGCGGCTGAACTCGGACCCAAGGGGGTCACGGTCAACATGGTTTCCGGTGGATTATTGGAAACGACGGACGCGAGCGCGTCGACCCCCGAGGAAGTGTTTGAGCAAATCAAAGCCATCACACCTTTGAGGAGAGTGACCACCCCCGAAGACCTCGCCGGGGCGGTATTGTTCTTTGCCGGTCCTTGGGCGGACGCCATAACCGGACAGGAATTGATTGTCGACGGTGGATTGGTGATGAGATAGAGCCTTGTTGAAAAGAGAAGATTCGTGACACGGTTGTACATTTTATAGCTTTGCACCCGTCTTGGTGTCGACGACCGACAAAGGGGACCGAATCTCAATGACGGCCTTGCCCCAAACCTTTCTCGACGCCAGGTCGTCCAAAGCTTTCGGGACGCTTTCTAGACCTCGATACGTGCCGTAGATGACGGGTTTGATCTTGTTGCCCTGGAGCATCGAGTTCAATCCCTTCCAGACCTCTTCGTTTTCACCGGGGTTGCGTCGTCCGGTCTCTCCGTATCTCTTATTTGTGCCGTGTGTCAGTTCTCATGACACATGAACAGGTTTTGCGTCACGACAAACAAGAAAGAAAAAAAAACACTCACATATCCCAGCAATTTTGCTCCCTTGAGCAAAACCCTATTCATGGACAACGTCTCCATTTTCCCACCGAGGCCCGCGAATCCCGCGACGACGACACTCCCGCCGAACTTGAGGCAACGGATACTTTTGCCCACCAGTCCGACGGTGTCGTATACGACGTCGACGCCCCCTGGAACCAGATCCAAAACCTGCTTCTCCCACCCATCCAGGTCGTACCGCACCACCCCGAGAACGCCGTCCAACTTGCGGACGACGGCCGCCTTTTGTTCACCCCCCACCGTGCCCACGACCTTGGCGCCCAGGGCGTGGGCGATCTGCACGGCGAACACACCCAACCCGCCGGCGGCGGCGTGGACCAGGACCGTCTGGCCCTCCCGGAGGCGGGCGAGGCGGACCAGGGCGCCGTAACTCACGGGGGCCGTGGCGGCACCCAGGCCCGCGACGTCGTGGAGGGTCCAACCCCGGGGGAGACGGTGGACCGACGAGACCGGGACGGCGATCCGTTCGGCGTAACCTCCCACGCTCGCCCCCCAGACCTCGTCGCCGACCTCGAATCCCGACCGCGGCGGCGCCGACGCCACGACGCCGGCGAATTCCAAACCCAGCACGAACGGAGGCTTGACCAGCCCGCCGTGGTTGTTCTGGTGTAGACCTTTGGCGTAAAGTAAATCGACGTGGTTCAGAGCGCTGTGCGTGACCGTCACCAGCACCTCGTCCGCTTTGGGGACCGGGTTGGGTACGTCTGTGACTCGTAGGTCCGAGTGTGACTTGACGTATTCTGATATTTGTATCGCCTTCATTTTTGTGTGTTTTTGTGTGTGTGTGTGTGTGTGCGCGCGCGCGGCGTCCCTCGGTCGGACGAGTAGAGGCTTTGCTGTTGACGTGACGAAAGCCCTGGTGTTATTCTGTAGTTGAAAAAAAAAAGTGTTGGATGTGTCGTCGAGAGGTGTACAGTACAATTAGATCGATATCAAGTCACGTTGCAGCGCGGACAACAGATCAGGTCAAAGGTACTGGCAAATCGAGCCGGGCGATGAATCGGTGTTCCTATCTTCTATACACCAAGACGAAACAGTTGTACTGTCAAAAGATCATTGATGGTGCGGATGACGAAGTACATGAATGGTTCAAGAACGAATCAAAAGTGAAGCCATCGACGACGTTCTATTGACATGGTTTGGCATGCTTTTCTAAGCCGAGGTTACCGAGGTACACTTCGTATTGAGTATTCAACCGATATATTGTGCTTTGCAAAATTCCGTAAAAACCTTATTTTTTTGCAACATGCAAAACATTCAACAATCATAAAAGCGGTGAGAACATAACGCCATATTTCTCAACAACCACCCTATAATTTCATAAATATTATATGATAATCTTACTCCGGAGTAAATTCTCTATCTAAGTATCTAAATTTTACTATATAAAAAGGCGTGGTTATAATGCCGTCACAGCCAAAGTTTGATCCTGCGGTAAAAGTGGCCGTGTTAATTACACTTTAGGCAGGAGTGAAAGGCACAGCCATTGCAAAGGCTTAAGGGGTTTTTAATGTCTATATTTCCAAAGTTTAACGAGATCTACGCTATTAAGACATTAAAATAAATAATATAGTACCTATTAAAGGTTGTTCAAAGTTAATTCATTATACTGTAATGAAAGGACTTCGTGATTTTATGCTAGATTAGCTAATAGCGCGGCTAGATAAGTGCTGCGATTTTCTCCACAATAAGTTTAGTATTAACGCTCATATATTAATAGTCTTCTGGGCACTTAACTCTATAAATATTATATATAAATAAGTAACCAGAGTTAATACTAGGTAAGACAATAAACTTATCACTTCCTATATAGTATAGATAGCTAATTACACTAGTAACTAACTAGTAACACTTAATGAAAGCGCCGTAAATAATAGAACTATAGATAGAAAGTTTGGCTGGTCGGCCCATAACACTCCATACTGAGTGTAACTACTAAGTAGCCAATCTACTAGTTAGAGCATTTTACCTATGATGACAACAGATAGATAGCTCACTTATAAGGTCTATTAAGGCTCTTTTAACGCCGAACAATTCAAAACATTTCTCTAAGGAGTGCTTAATAAGATAAACCCCTTCTTAGGAGATTATTCCGTTCTAATCATGAACAATATAACTATTCATCAATCTGATAGAGTTAAGTGAATATGCAAGAAGTAGGGCGTCATTCTTAAGTACTTACCTCTATATACTCTAAAGCTTAATTTAATTAAGATATTATTTCACGAGTTAAAGGAGTGAATACAAAAGAATAGAGAACTAGGCTATTATTATGAGAATAGCTTTAATACCTTTATTTATTTAGTAATGACTAATGTCTATAAGGCTAAAATAGCTCATAATTACTTCTATAGATGCGGCTATATTTAATAAGGTATAGTAACTAGCAGAGAATAGATAAAAAAAGAAGGGGCTATAGATATTTTATTCTGCAATAATAAGCCTAGTCTATATACCTTAATCTATCTATTCTTAAGGTTATGTAAATATAGCTATTATATGATTACGCTAACTATAATTAGCTAAGCTATATGCTATAATAAGTATAGTGTGAGATAATAACACGCAAAATAATTCTAATACCATACTAAGTTATATAATAAGCCCTTATTAACTGCTATTCCCTAATAATATAATACTCACTAAACGTCCATTTATATTATCATTAAAACCGTCTCCACTTATTATAGCTAAACGCGCAAATTCCTTAAGGTTATTACGGATTTTAGTCATAAAACTAGTTAGAATAGTTATAGCCTTCTAATGTTTATCTATACATATTCGTAGATTAGAGAAGCCCTATTTATAATCCGTAACAGAGAGCTTAATCTCTAGTAACTTAGACACATAAATAGAATATTTAGTCGCTAGCTAATTAAAGTACTCCTATATATTCTAATTATCATCACCCTCTCGTTATGGAGGGCTTAATTAAGGCCTAGTGACAGCGGCGGCAGCGGTAGCTATTAATGGCGGAGGTTAATAGATATGTGCGGAAGGTTATGCTAGGTAACTTATCAACAGGATTTCTTTAATATTAAGCACGAATAGATACATATAGTTTAGTGAGTAAATAGGTAGAGGTTAATGCATAGTATTATAGCGTTTCTCGTTCCTATTCCGTTCTGAGAGAAGGGCCACTATGATCACGTCTAGTACCTAGTTAGCTATCACACTAGAAGCCTTCTTTATAATTATATCGCTTTAACGCTAAACTAATAACGTGAATAGAGAAAAATACTATCCTCTATAATTAACATATAGATAAGAGTAATTCTTACAATTCTTTAACTTATAATAATGTCTCTTTAAGATATTAAGAAAGCTTACTTCGGCGGCGACCTCTTTTTATGTCTAGAGTTATTTTTCTTCTCACTATTATTATGTTATAGAGATTACCTTACCCTTTAACCTTTTATTCTTAGCCTTTTCCTTGTGATAGCGACATATTTAGGTTAAGTTAAGATAATAGCTTAAGAAGACATTATCATGAGATAATAACGATATTAAAACGTCCTCACTAAATAAGCTATATTAACTAGTTAGTTAACGTCATTTTAGCTTCTTAATAATTAAGTATACTAGTGCTAAATACGCACTAAGTTCAGTCCTACTCTTATAGCTATCTTTTCGAGCATAATAAAGCTCTTACCACTTTTAATAGGCCTTCTTAAAGTGTTCCTAAGTCTTCATAGTTAAGGAATAAAGCTTTTTATTACCTTATTTAATTATGAACTCACTCCTAAAGATAGGGAGGCGTAATTTATGAGTCTTTTAATTGTAGTTATTATATTAATACTTAAGTTGACCTTTATACTTAAGGAGTGTATTAACAATATTAAAACCCTAATATAATACTTCCGTACTAAGGATCTTAACCTTCTTAATAAAGATTTCTATGGCGATATCATAGAAAAGTTTATTAATCTTAAATACTAATTTAATAGAGTTTATATTAGTTAGACTTAAGTCATTCTCTGCGGTATGCGGCGAAGTATTCAATTAATAACTAGGTTACGCCGACAGAGAGGCTTACATTAATATCTCCCCCTTCTCTTTATCGTCTTCTCTAGCATTACTAGATATAGATAAAACTTTATTATCCTCATTAAGAAGATTTAACACTTTCTATACTTATAACATAATGTCCTCCTCAATACTTAGTCTCGGCGGCAACTCTAGTGACTCTAATAACTCTGGCAGGTCAGGACTAGCTGTTCGAGAGAGATGAGGGCTTAGAGACATAGCGCGACGCTTTGAACTTGCCCTATTAGCCCTCGTTGCAAGGCTATCGCCGTCACTTTTGCGCTTCATGCGAGCGTTACAAGTAACAAGGGTCTCGCGGAGTGATTGAGAGGCCAATGACTCCTGGAGTCGACGGGATAGAGTTATTGTGCGCCTTGTACGATTCGACATCATGTTTATATGTAGTTACGATATATTGCAGTAAATTACAGTGCTATCTAGGGCTATTGCGGCTGCAGGATGAGTTTGTTGATACAGGCCATATGGCGGTGTGCAGATTTCATACAACTTGCAAAAAAATAAGGTTTTTACGGAATTTTGCAAAGCACAATACATACACCTGATTGAGCTGTAGCATTTTACAATTAATTTGTCCTCAGCTTTCAAGAAAGGAGAAGTGGAAAATGGCATGACTACAATCTACCTGATATACAACACGTGCATGTTCCCACTCATATCATGACAAAACTTGGACTATTCGAGCAAAATCCGGACTTCATCCTTGGTACTCGACGCATATTTTCAACCGAGACTACTTCCCCGAACATCTCTCTCCTCGGCATACATTTAATATTGTCCATCGATGGTCAAAGTACCCGTCTTGGAAATCAAATATTCATTGACCGCAACGTCCTTGCCCGACTCCTTACCGTATCCACTTTCCTTGATACCACCGAACGGAGACTCTGCCGCGGACGAGTTGCCAGTGTTCTGTGAAGATGACAAAGTCAGTTCAGTCATTATATCAACGAAACATCTGTTGACGAGGAAGACAACAACAAACAGTAGGAGGTCACTCACCAATCCAATCATGCCAGCCTCCAAGTTCTCCAACATCCTCCACACCCGGTCGACGCTCTTTGTGAAGGCATAACTGGCCAATCCCATACTCGTGTCGTTGGCCCAGCGGACCGCCTCTTCTTCCTTTTCGAACTTGAAGATGCCCGTGACGGGGGCAAAGGTCTCCTCCTTGCTCAGCAGCATGCCGTCCTTCATGTCCCCCAGGATGGTGGGGTCCATGAAGTAACCTCCCACGCCCTTTCCGAGCCCGGCACCCTCCTTGTCGGTCGCGCCCTTGTGCGCCTTGCCCGACCCCAAAAGCAACTTGGCGCCGTTCTTGATGGCGTCGGCCGCCTGCTCCTCGGCCTTGGCGAGGCCCCGAGGCGTCGTGACGGGTCCCATGGTCGTGCCCTTTTCGGCGCCGTGTCCGACCTTCAACTGCCGCGTCTTCTCGACCAGCATGTTTGTGAACTTTTCGTACACGCCCGCCTGGACGTAGAGTCGGTTGGCGGTGATGCAAGCCTGGCCGGCGTGCCGCCACTTCAGGGCCATGAACTGGGCCAGGGCCTGGTCGAGGTCGGCGTCGTCGAAGACGATAAAGGGGCAGTTGCCGCCCAGCTCGAGCGTGCACTTCTTGAGGTTCTTGGCGCACAGGCCGGCGACGACCTTGCCGACGCGCGTGCTCCCCGTGAACGTGACCTTCTTGACCAGGGGGTGGAGGATCATGGCCTCGCTGAGGCTCGGCGTGTTCTCGAGGCTCGTGGTGAGCACGTTGAAGACGCCCGGGGCGAAGCCGGCGCGGCTCGCGAGGTTCGCCAGCGACAGGCACGTCAGGGGGGTCTCGGGGCTGGGCTTGACGACCATGGTGCAGCCGGCGGCGAAGGCGGCGCCCGCCTTGCGGAGGATCATCGCGATGGGGAAATTCCAGGGCACGAGGGCGACGGCGACGCCGATGGGCTGCTTGACGACGAAGACACGTCGGTTGGGGGCCGCCGGGACGGCGACGGTCCCCTGGATGCGCTCGGCCTCACCGGCGAACCACCACGTGAACCCCAGGGAGTAGTCGAGCTCCCCGTACGCTTCGGCCAGGGGTTTGCCGGTCTCGTAGGTCAAGATCTTGGCCAGGTCGTCCCTGGCCGCCGTGATGAGCTCGTGCCACTTCATGAGGAGCTGTGCGCGCTTGCGCGGGTTGACGATGCTGTATTCCTGGAACGCCTTGTACGAGGACTGGATGGCCCCGTCGACATCTTCGACGGCATTGTCCGGGCAGGACGCCCAGGTCTTGTCGGAGCCAGGGTCGATGATGTCGAAGCGCTTGCCGGATTTGGCTCCGACCCATTTGCCGTCGACGTACGACTCCTGGTGTAGGAGGTCGGGGTCGTTCAACTCGAAAGGGAGAGACGGTGCCATTATGGGTGGTGGTAGTAAGTAAACTGGTGGGTATGTCCTGATGAGATGTCCTGTGGCCGGTGTCACTTTGAGTTCCTGATCTGTTACCAAGTAAAGATGAGGAAGGAAGCAGCAAAAAAAACCACCAGCTATACAAGCGGAGTAGAATTGGTCGTCGAGGATACAGTACAATAATATGTAAATATCTGTAAGCAACAATATCAAGACCTCCTTCGAGGCGGACCTGCGCGCCGTAACCGAGGGAGGAAGAGCGTAACTAGAAAGTCATCAATTGGCTCCGACCCCGCAGCAGAATCTCCTCCTCCAACCCCTCTATCCTCCTGCTTGTCCCTCCGTCCATCTCCTGCCTACGGAATTATCGTATTGTATCACCGGTGCCACAGCCTTAAGCTACACTCCCCTCCCCACGCCACCGAGAAATACGCTGCTTGTTTGAATTCGAGATCAAAATTTGGAGTCGGCTATCAACCACAGTCAACGACCATGTCTTCTTCCTCCAGAAGAAACCCCCCTTGCAATTGCCCAATGGGGACTAGCCCTCAGATCCATCGCCGTCCATTTCCGATTGCTTGGCCGATGCCGGACGAAAAAAAACGTACAAGCAGTAGTGAAAGGGCGTCGAGGTGACGGAGTGTCCCGCAGACATGTCCTTGGTCAAGAGAAAGTACTTGTAAAGGGTGAGAAACATCGAGTAAGATCAGCAGACAAGACATCATACACATTATTCGGTACCTGTTCTACTACGCCCATACATACCGCCACCAGTAAGCACGGGTTTGGCTGGATCCCATGGCCCAATGACTACATTTTTATACCGCTGTAGTCCGATCAACCACCATGAACAACCTCCCATGACGAATGCCGTTCCAAACCCTCCAATGGCGAATCCAATGGTGCACCGCTTGATGACATGCCAGATCCAGCCCAGACAGAAGCCACAATCACCATATGTGTGGGTGTAGGACTTGGACAGAATCAATCCTAAACCACAGGTCGACATAGTGACGAGAGCAAAGGTAAGAAGTAGATGGTAGTTGAAGGACTTGTGGCGAAGATGGCGTCGAAATACTGGAAACAATCCAAACACCTGAATCGAAAAGAGGGTGAGACTGAACACGGCCGTCGTGGTAAGTAGTCGGGATGCCAATACCGTACTCGCCATCAAAGCGGCATTCGTCGACAAGGACGATGGAAACGCAGGAGCACGAAATGATGCTTTGGGAGGTGGTCTCGTTGTCTCGCCCGGGGTGGATTTGGGAATGTCTGGTGAGGTCGCGGCTGAGTGTGGTTTTGTAGGGACGTACAAGCTGCTGTAGTCGAATCCGAAAATATTGACCATGAGAAGCCACGTGGCAAGGGCCCAGATAGAATCAGAAGAAGTCGATCTCGTCAGAGATTTGAGGATCGGGGACAAGCCGATGAGGGCAAAGTAAATCAATCCGGCCGACTTGAGAGTCTTTAGGCGTGCTTGGTTGCGAGGTGAAATGGAGGCGGGTAGGGTCGTCGGCGAGTATACGATGCTAGGAGATTTGGGTTCCTGCGGTCGAGATGTGGTGGGCCGAAGATCTGGAAACGGTTCCATCTGTGAATCACCCAGTGCGTCAATGGGTGAAATTGACTGGAAGGATGACTTTGATAGAGACTGGCCATGCTTCCCAGAGAATCTTGACTCATTGTCATTGACTGCCAAATTCGTGGTTGATAATTTCAGGCTGAGCCCACGACCGCCGATGCTGCCGTTCGCGTGTCCATTGGCATGACCATTGCCATTCATCATTAGTTTCGACGAACCCGTAGAACTTGTGCTCGAACCGTCGTCGACGTCGACAGACAATCGGTTGGCCTTTTTTGCTGCTGCCATCTCTTCTGCCTCTTCCTGACCCATCCAATAGTCCCACACGATCCAACAAGCCATTGTCGCGACGGTACCGCAAGTCACCACCGAAACCGGGGACAGACGACCCTGATAAATCCCTGCGTAGGCACAGACGAAGATGGCGACCGAACATACATGCTGCACAATGACGGCCGAGTCTGCTACCAGAGGCCAAAAATCGTACGGCTGCAACCTCGGGTTTCTCTGCAGATGATCCAAGAATGTTTCCGTGTCTGTGTAATTGTCCGGGAACCCATGCTGTTTGATCCAGAGCAGTTTCTTCCACACATGCGGTTGCCTACGTCTCCTGCTCGCCGCGCGTCGTTTCTCTTCCGCTAGCCTGGCTGCGACCGGAGGGATGGCCGGGGGTGCTCGCAGCGATGCGACTGCAGGTCGAAGGGCCGCCGCCGCCGCAGACGCAGCTGCCGAGCCAGCGATCTCTGGGACAGGTCGCAGACGTGGTGGAGAGAATGTTCTGAATGCATCTTCGGGCGCGAGACGTGTGGGATCCGAGGGGAGCCGGTTCGCTTGTGGTTTTGCACGGTTGGGATGGGTCTCGACCGGGACGGGAGGTGGGATAGGAGAAGGAGTAGGGGTTGGTGTCGGGGTCGTGGTGTTGGTCGGACTGGTGGGTGGTGATGATGATGATGATGATGATGATGAATCAGGCGGCGCCATATTGCGCCTCGTATTGTTACCGTGAGATCATTGTATGTTGTATGTTTACCTCAGAAAGGGTTCGTCGAAATGGCGAAACAAACACAAGTTTTTGTAGATGGTCGACACGACAAGCGAGCATGGAGTACGGAGTACGGAGTAATAGAGAAGCCGCCAATAGGCTTGTGCAGGTACAGTATGACGACGCCCGGCAAACCTTCCGTAGACCGTAGTAGCCCGAAATATGCGATTTAGCAAGAGCTTCCAGGCACTCCGTACTCCCTAGGTACAATATCTACGGAGAGCATTTGTTATAGCAGTAGGTCCTTGATGAGTGCCAATGAAGCCTGTAGTGAAGTCTGTAAAGACTTTAAGGAGTTTCAATCAGTACATCTTTTTGATTCTATGATTAAAGTGCCTAACTTCTCAACGACACTAATCCGTACACCCTTTACATTCGGAGTACTAGTAAATGTATTTTCTTCATTCTGTTGATGAACCTCATTCACAGATATTGCGGATGATGCAATACAAATTCCATGGTCCTGCAATTTACAATAACAAGGGAGCTTCCCCCAAACGTCCCTCCCTTACAATATTAGGTACAGTACAGAATCCTCCGTACAGCGTAAATCGTACCCAACTCTCCGTTTCTGTCAAAGTTCTCCCAACCGAGCCGCACTAGTGAAAAGCCCACTCCATAGCCGTTCCTCTGGCCCCCCACCATAGTTGCTTCTTCAGGAGCGTGACTTACCCCTTTGAGCAAAATTGAACGGTTTTCATGAACCAACAACGACTTTTGACAGACGCCACAACTTGTCGTCAAGCGGTACATACGAGGACTTGGTACGGAGTTACTTACATTTTTACTCGATACTCGTACTGTACAAAAGTAAAGCTCCACAGCATTCGTGGACACGTTTCCCGAGTACAGAGTGCTGAGTAGGTACAACACGTCTGAGACAGTCTTGACTCGTATAGAATATTGGTCGATGTGCTGGAATATTGTATCATTACAAAACTGGCCGACTTACCTACACTCACTCTGATTCTCTTTTCTTCCTTGATCGAAAAAGTTCTGCAAGCCCCCCCTCCCCCCCACACGGGACAGGACAGTAAGCGATTCATCTTCATCTGGGGTTTTTGTTCATTCCCTTCGATAACGATTTCCTAATCTGATCAGAATCGAACCGAGTCGATATTTCATAGTGTCAGGAGACTAGAAATCTCACTAATGATCGTACAGAGTATAACAAGGGTATGAAGTAGTACTTTCGTATCGCACTCGTGGGTGCCCGCTCTGATTCGACAAGGCAAGATGATCAAAATCTCAGGCCCTCCCCTCTTTCTTCGGGATCGAAAACCACTTGCAAGTGCAGGCAGAACATTCGGCCGTATCATACCTATTCACATACTCCACAGCAGTGCTACAGTACTCCTTCGCATCATCAACAACGGTTTTTTCTTTCCCTCAATCCCTCAAAAGACCACCAGTGTTCATGTCCTATACCGAGTATCGTACGGAGTAAACTCCCTCATAGACATGCAATCAGACGGGGGCAGACACGACATACTGATCCCAGTGGCACGAATAGTAGAACACCCACCCGTGGTATTTCTCATCGAGGTCGATATCAGGCATGCCAGGGACGAAAGAGTCATGCTCCACCCTCGATATCTCTACTCGTACTTCGTACTACTCCGTCTAATGAACAACTAGAGTTAGGCGAGTCTGACCTAATCTCTTCCCTTCCCTGTTGGCCCTCCCTGTCGAGTTTTTTTGTCGGCCTTTGGATCCCCAACCCTTGAACAGAACCCCTTTAGTCGTATCCAGTTGGAGCGTATTCGTCTCGTTCATTTCTGTCCTAAGCATTTGGATAGTCTTTCGATTTGCCTTGTTAGTCTGAACTGCCGATCTCTACTGGTACAATCACCGCTAAGACCATAAGGACTTTCAAGCACGACTTTCGATAATCAACCATTGCTTGTTGTAGTAATAGCCTACGAGCTCCATAACATTTACACATATATGCAGGTCAGAATCTTATTTGTAAAAGTGACTACACCCTGTACAGTCAGTCACCAGCTATATCCTCGGACGATCAAAGCAGCTAGGTAGGTAAAAGGTGGCAAAGTGGTCGAGTATTGATGCCACCACGATCGATCGGAACGGAAGCGCTGATGTACTCGGACTTGTGCGTCAAAGTCAAGACTCGGTACTTCTTTCTCTTAAGCTTCATAAAACATAAGGCCCTCCTCCATGGTTTTGGAAGACCAGTTTTTGTTTGCTGATATGACGTGCGTCGGCGCATTTCTTTCTTTCAGCAAGGGTGAACATGGTCATAAGACATGACTTTCGTTTCATTTGGAATTCCCAATTGCTCTTGGCCCCTGACGTGTATGTTCGGGCACAAACTACGCATGGAAGCCTTTCTCTCGTCGATAACTCGGACATTGGAATATCTCGGGGACATTAGACATCACTTTTTTGCTCTGCTGACGGTTGGAAGCCTCGTCTTCAGACAATTGCCGTTAGAGCCATTTCATCTTGCTCGTTGTTGTGAGTCAAGCCACGGCCCCTGGACGTACCATTCTCATTGGAATCATGGAGTTCTCGACCAGATGAATCAAATCGAAATCTGAAGTTCCAGTATCTTGATAGGTTCACTGTAGCAAAACTTCGTAAACAATCCCGAGGTGTCCTACGAAGCCCAGATAATTCACGACCTAGGATCGTATAGTGATGATTCTTTGCATGTTGCTCTCACACTTGCCAGAGTTGCCTATTCAGTACCTTGGGATAGACATCGTCGGGTGAAGATAGCCGCACATCTGTAGATGGTCCTGTATAATACGCCGCCGCCGTGGGTAGTCCATAAATATTCTGCAGTCGTTGCATCTGCCCTCTGATCCAGTCTAGTTGTCCAGGACGTATACTGCTCACGAGCGGCCCCGGTTTAGCAGGAGGCCCTCTCAAGATAGGCGACTTCAGGAACCCGGTAAGGGGTGTCATGACAAACCACCCACCTATTGCGGCGGCGGCGCGGATGTGATCTTCTTGAGTCATCTCGACTGGGTTGCCAAAAGGATCGACATAGTTGGCCAATTTGCGAAGCTCCTCGGGTACATGGGGATACTCGCTGTGCTCGTGTGGAAACCGCAGGGTCGTTCGATTGCCGAGGTGGTACGGTACGGAGGCGCAGAAGCGGTCTATGACCTCCTGAGCACGGGTCGTGAGGTGTGAGCCTAATCTGGGATCAACATCAACACCGAGTGCTTCGAGTTCTCGTTTGCAAAGCGCCATGAGTCGGAGCGCGCCCACTTGGGAACTGCGAGAGGCATTGTTCACATGTGAGACGGTCAGGGATGAGTATACATCAACTGTATCGCCGTAGACCCCAGCTGCTCGGATCGAAGGATGAAGTTCCGAGGACGGTACGGCCACGGGCTGCCAGGACTTGGGGAGAGACTGTCGCCATGCCCCAAGCTTCTTGTCGATCGCCAAGGCTTTCCTGATGATTGTCTTGTAGAATTCGATTGATGTCAGGTTCATGGCTTTGGCACCTTCAGAAGCCAGCACATGCAGATCCGCAAGTTCGGCGTTGATCAAGTCAAGCTTGGCTGAGGGAAGAACGGCGGTCTCCTCAGCCAAAAGCTCTTCGTTCAATGCGATCCTTTGGCCAGCTTGCATCGAGTAGCTGATATGTCGGCTTCTTAGCGCTGTGAATAGGCGTTGAGAAGTCGGCGTTTTGAAATTTTCCTTGCCTCTATGCCGCAGAAGCGCGACAGCTCCTTGCTGGTGTGTGCCATTGTCAATAAAGCCAACAAATCGTTTGTTAAGGGAGTCGTAGAAGTCGAGCAGGAATACTGCGGCGAGAGTATCGTCACTTTTGGATTCCACCGGGTCCGCCAAAGCAGTTTTTAACAGACCGACAGCATTGGCATAGGTTTGCCGGGCTAAGTATGAGTCGGTATATCTGGACATCCACATTTGCGTGATGTTGATCGCAACAGCATTGACGGATTGTGCCAGGGCCGAGTTGGCAGGCGCGTTCAAGTACAGCGGAAGAATATGTTCGATGAAGATGTTTGTGCTTGGATCTCGTGGAATATTGACATAATTCGAAAAGAAGTATGCCAGACACTCTGCTTGAGCATCTCGAGACGGCTCAATCAGGATCAGCGCATTCCCCGTGGGTGTAGGCGGCACCGACGGGGCCTTGATCATTTGACGCAAGTCGACGTCGTCCTTGATAGATATGGGTGAGTCAACTACTTCGGTCTTGGGGATCTTTTTCGGTGGCTTCTTATTCTGCGCCACTGTTGGCGTCTCATCTTTGTGCAGTGTATCGAACAGGTCACGGTAGCCTGGACAATGTTGTCTGCAACTTGTCAGAAGACTGTACCTCACCGCAAAACGACATGTGAATAACACGATGAAGCCCCGTGTACAACGAAGCATCAGTTACGTACTTGCGCTTCTTGCAATTTCCGCATTCCGGCCGTTGCTCGTCGCACTGCTTGAATCAGCATTGCTGTTGAATTAAGATTCGCGACAGGCTAGACCACTGACCTTCACCCGCCGCTTGCGACATGTATAACACCCTCGGCTAGGACCTTTGTAAACCATTGCTTGCGAAGATTGAAGATCAAAATTGTCGGATGCGAATTGGCGAGCGTGGAGGGGGGGCTCGTTACGTTTGCTGAATCAGGAGTTCTGACTTCGCAAGCCATCCGCTTCTGAGGAACCTCACCGTGGAGTCAAGAATAGGGAAGACCTTGACCTCATATGCAATTATTGTACTCCGTATCCTGACTTTTCCAGGGCCTGTAGGGCACACCACGCCTACAAAATAGTAAGGGAACGCATTGAACTTCGGGCCCGGTCAACGGGATAGCGTCCGACTTGGCGAGGGGGGCTGTGTTTAGTGGACAGATGAACCCGGTCGTCGCGTGTACTGTGGTGCTTTAACACCGCGCATGCTAACTTGATCTGGATTGTGAGGGTCGGAGGATAAGGTGAGCATGAGCCGGGTCCCCATGTCGACTTGGTGTTCTTTTGTGTGCGAATACGCTCGGTACGCGTAATTGAGTGGCTAAGGCGCTTCGACGACATCAATCGTTGCTGCTGGTCTCCCGCCCTCAGGCGGAGTTTAGCTTAACTCATTGGACGGCGAGCTGCCTAAGGTGCACAGATTCGTATGCTTTTGTCCATCATCTCGGCAAAGCGGCTCAGTTCTCCTCCTGACTAAACACCCATGGTTGCAGCGGGATTTCCCACTTTCTAGAAGAATTTTGTTGGAGCAAAGGGGGCTCCAAGACCATGGAATTTAGTCATCAGCCCTGATACAAGCATTTGCTGCATGAGAACGAAACACTGGTGAACCGATTCGTCGACATATCCGCCTCACAATTTGAGGCTCTGGTTATGGTTGTTCTTCCTGGTTGGCCGACTCGGTCTTACTAGTACAGGAGACAGAGGCCGTCATTGAATGTGGGTATTAACAGTATGTCATACTCGTACGCTTCCCAGAATTTTGAGCCAAGCATCGTTGATAGTAGTGGGCCTACCAAATTGCATCCCCAACTAGAAATCGCCGACCTCTCGCCAGTCGACATGCTTTGTAGTCATAGGAAGCTTCCCTTGGCTGAATGACACCGCTGCTTGCTAGTGCCCAGCCAGTCGAAAGAGACAAATTGTAGACCTGGACTGCTGCTGTCAGCAGAGGTCGTTCTGACAAGCAAGTTTAGTCTTGCACTCTGCTCGTTGTGAATGGTATGGAACAGGAAAATACCAGGACGATCATCGACGCCGTCAAGTTGTGACACGCGACTTAGGCGGTACCCAGTATATAAGTGTTCGTATTTCGAGTTCGATGCTGAATCATTGGTGGCTGGCGAGGACATCTCCGATTCAGCAATAGACCATGCTGTGGAGCATGAACGAATCTGACCCTTCGCTTGCGAATCTGGAGACATTCGCGAGTATCGCATATCCTGGTGGTGGCCTAAAAGACACAACCAGCCTTACATGGCCGACCGCAAATCTGGAGAACGCCTTTCGGGCAACTACGGACATGATTGGCCCTGAACCCGAATTTGTTCACGCTGATCAGCGGTCAGGGGAACTTGTAGCCATCAGGTACGGCCCGGAAACATCAAAGGCTGGATGAGCGAATGACTCTGCTACCTCAAGCACGGAACGGCTCTGAACATATTGTTCACTTGACCCAGGCATAATTTTGACGTATATATGAAGGTACAGTACTCCGTACTTCACCGAAGACATCTGGATGCGATGCTTTACAGTGATAGGGAGAACAAGCTGTTGTGGGTGATGATGTCTAACTTCGCTACATACACCACGCTCGATTTTGGAGAGCTCCATCATTTGCTCACTGCGTTCTCGGTTCCGCTATCGCTGTCGGCCTCACTCTCGATCTCTCGACTAGACATGGAGTGTCTCACCATGGCATCTGCGTTCCAGTTTGGTCCCAAAACTTCCCACTGTATGTCTCCTTGTTGGCCTTATCGAACAACGACATCAGTCCACTCACACTCTCATCGAGAGTGACCGGGACGTCTTCGGGATTCATACCCGCATATGAAGCGGCCTTATTTCCCATTTCTGTCTGGACCCAGCCTGGCTGAACGGCCACAATAGTTATACGATTCTCCTCTCGGTGGATACGACTAGCGGCGTAGTTAGCTGCGGCTTTGGACATGCCGTAAGCAATCATCGGCAAAGGGTAATTGTCTTGTAAGCCATTGCTGCCAATGTTGGAAGAGATGATGAAAAACTTCGGGGCATGACGTGAAGCATCCAACACAGATTGAGTGGCCTGATACAACAGAATGGGAGCCAGAGTGTTGATCTCGAAGTGCTCGAGAATGTTGACTGGCGAAGCCTCCCTAGCAGGACCAAAGTGCTTCAAGATGCCTGCATTGGCAATGACCACGTCGAGGCTGTCGAGGTTGTGTGATATCTGAAGATATTTGACAAGATCCGTGGCTGCTGTTTGGGAGCTTGCATCGTACTTCGCCACGATGACTTTGCTGCCTGGTCCGACTGACATACTTGTCAATGAGGAAGCAGGAGCAGAGTCGGGGCCGTCTCTGATTGCAGCAATGGCGAGCGTGTTCGGCCTGGCAGCATATGCTGTAAGCAGGCCTCGTCCGATTCCAGACTTGCAACCCGTGATGAGCACGGTGGTATCGTATGCCATTTCGGTGCCTGAATATCTGGTTATCTCTGTCGAACGATGAATTCTGCTTTCTGTTGTCACTGAACTTCGTTGTTTGCTTCACAGTCCATGGCGACGGATGAGTTCTAGGTACTGCAACGACGTATATGAGCTTCTAGGCCAGTTGCCTCTCAGGGTAATATGTTCTCATGGCTTCTGTTCAACAATGTCCAGCGACCATAATTTCCTCATCAAGATCATGGTCAGTCGCCGTACGAGGGATTGGTGACAAAGCACAACGTGCGAAACCCATGGGTGTCAACTTAACTCATCAGGTTTCTGATTGGTCCAAATGGTCATTGCCTGATTGGGATGTTGGTTGCTTTGAAGATTGTGAGTCTGGCTTCGACACGAGGCAAGCCATTTTACCACTTTGTTACTACATGATAGGGACATGCTTGATTAGTATAGTACGTCGGTCTGAAAATAGCTAAAACATCGGCTGTGGCAGCATTGATAGGCGTTCGAATCGCATCGAGAACCCAAAAAACAAGGCAGGTGTTTTTTCAATCAGCAAAACTCTAGCCTGGCAGGCAACCACACGCTGGGTGGTTACCGGCCAGGCCGAGGGAAATCCCAGGCGGGGGATTTTTTCCGATGGTCGTCACGTTATCTCCTAACTAGTGCACTCACGCATAGAGGCCATGTATGCTAGGAACCGACCAGTGATTCGAGTCACCACTGGCGTCTGGATAGATAAATACCCAAGATAAAGTGCCTCGTCTCTGGTGGATACCAGGCTGGTCTTCGCCGTCAGAAGTCATTAAACCACTGAGCTAGTGAAGCCATAGGTAGATTGAGGAATTGTGAAAGGAATTGCGCCTGTCACAGATATAGCCCTTTATTTCCCTCAGAGACCCGAATTTCCTAAGGCGGGGGCCTCATTAAGGTCAGTGAATGGTACGCTCACCATGGCTTCAGTCGTTGTTCACGCGTGAAGCGTTGCGGGAGCGCGTCAATTGGATGTTCATATTGAGTTTGACTCGGTCTCGAGACCAGTGGCCACAGTTGCACACAACAGAAATGGAGGAGGCTTTACTCGTGAAGAACTTCGAGTTACACGTGTACTTAATTGTCAGTCTGCTCTTGAATGTTTTATCTAGAACTCATCGCGAGGAAAGAAGGATTGTTGTGTAGACAGAAGATGTGATGTTCAAGGGTTAGATAATCAGATCACGTGCTGGCTTATGTAACAAAATCGCCAAACAAGTTGGAGTAAGAACATCACCTTTTCTTTGGTCACAGCTAAGGCTTTTGTTCGCAGCGACTTGCTTTTGACGTCGATCAAGTCAAGTGATTCCAGCTCAGATGATGTCGTGGTTCACATCGCTCTTCTCCTCAGGGCAGCCGGCTACAAGCTCTACACCTGCCGAGGCCTCCACGCTAGACAACCGACTGCTGGAGGAGCCTGCGCCGAAGCCTCAGCCCGCCGTCGAAACTCCGAGCCCAGTGAGGACTCCCGCACCTGCTGAGCGACAGGATAGAGGCAAGGTGATTCTAGGCGCCGGAATCGCTTTCTTCGCCGTCTCTCTCCTAATCACACGAAGAGCGTTCGCTCGAAAACGTCTAGCCGCAAATCCTGCCTTCTATGCGAACTCGCCAGCTCATCAAGCAGACCAGGCGAAAAAAGTTAGTGGCGCCATGGAAGCTTTGGAAGCACTGAACATTGCCACCATCAACGTTCTAAGCACGTCGATGATAGCAACTGGAGGGGCAATGTGGTACTTTGGCATCAACAACATGGCCGATGCACGACGCGTGCTAAGAGGAGGCTTGGGCGTCGATGGCACGGGGAAGTCTGAAAAGGAGGCCGAGGAAGACTTTGAGGAATGGATGGCAACTGTACTTGCCAGGAAAGAGTCGAAAGGTCCACAGCAGCCACAGACCAACGAAAGAGGCCAGCCCAGATAATGTGTACAAATCCAACAGCGACACATGGATGTATGGCATAAGCCAACACCCCGCAACATCTACGAGCGCTGCTCGAGGGTGGCCTTGAGCGAAAGCTGGTCTTCCAGGAGTGGAGTAGACTTTTCGTCTCGACTGCCCTACAAATCACTTGCACATGCGTGCCAGCGGTGCTCACTGCATGTATTATTAATGACTTCTTCTTGACGATGCGAAAGGTCATCGATCAAGTCAACACAAACACGCCGGGACATGACATGTTCTTTATACCTCAGATGACTCGAGCTCTAAAGCCCAAAGTCACACACCCTTTCTTTTAGTCAACAGTACGAAGAGCCTGGATGATTTGGCGGATCAGAGATCTGGAAATGAACAACACCTTCAACAATTCCTACAACGATTCGACGGTAAAAAGCGTTCAACCTCTGGAATACCTTTCACTCACAGATTCAGCCGTCCCCCTTTGTCATACTAACGATCAACAATCTCCCCTCAACCTACAGTAAGCGTACTACCTTCGGTTGTACAACAAATCAGCGACTTGACGATTGTTCGAGTCAACTCATCCTCCCTCATCTTAACGCTCCCCTGAGCATCTAAGACGACAATGCATTCCGCGGTTGACTACTCCAAGGGCAGCAGCCGGAATTTTTACATTGACGGTGCAGCGATTTCCGTCCGCAGTCTCATTATGGTTGGGATGGTCGTTCTGGGATTTCCCATATGGTTTCAAAGATGTTGCGGACCAGACTGTGAATTCTGCTACAGATACCACCAGATGAGTTTTGAACGGCGTCTGCTAATGGAAGACGATGTATTCCAACACATGCTGGCGAGTGATGAGAGAGAGTAGATGGAAAAGAGAAGCGATATCAAAAGGTGATTTGGTAATCACGACATTTTTCATATCAAGACAAGATGAGGAGATTCATATAATCACACCCTTGACAACAGATTCGCGACAAGCCGAGGAAATACAAAAAGTAATCGTTCAGCCAAAGGGCAGTGTATAATCAAGAGAGAAGTTGATGCAATCCTCGATAATTCAATGTTCGGTGTCTTTGATTTTGTTAAATCGCCCCCCCTTGATAACTCACCAAGACACCCTGCTTTTGACATGCTATACAAAACGGACATGACCATGAACCTGTTTTCGTTGATACGCCCATGGAGATTTTCCCTCTCCTCTCCCGTGACTGTTCGACTACAACTTCGCCATGGTCTGTTCCGTCGTGACAGGTATGTCGGTCCACTCGGTCACGGTGGCCAAGTCCATGATCGTGTTTGGCCCACCGAATCGAGACTGGGTGTCTTCCCAGTTTCGATTCACCGCCGTCTCTGGCCGCCACCTGAAGCTCTTTCGTAGACGGCCGTCCAGGTTTCCCTCCATGACGTCGGCGATGAAGCCCCCGATGGTCGGGATGTGCATGAATCCGTGTCCGGAGCCACCGCAACCCACCACGAGACTTTTGTAGGTCGGGTGTCGATCGATCAGGAAGGACCGGTTGGGCGTGTCGGCGCACCAGCACAGGCGCGCGAAACAAAACGGACGGTCCGCGAGTTGAGGCATCGTCTCCCTCAGAAACCCACGGCACCTGCGTTCCGCGTCGACCGGAATTTGGTCGATCGCCAACGGTGCACTCGCGCGACTCCCGTCGGCCTTGGTGGGCGACGACCAGTTGCAATAGCCGGGGTGTTCGTCGCACATTTTGAGTTGATGCCTGTCCTCGTCCGGTTCCATGAAGAAGCCCTTTTCGATGTGGAAGAGCACGGGGAGATTTTTGAACAGCCGCGCCTCCTCCGGGGTCATCTGAATGTGAGCCAGGGTCCAAGCCGTGGGTCTCAATTGCCCCTTGAAATCCAAAAGTTGATCGCAGTTCGCACCGGCACATAGAATGGTCGTGTCGGCGGTCAAGGTTTTTCCTTCTTGTGTCTTGACTCCCTTGACGTCGCCGGTTTGGATCAGCAATTCCGTCACTTTGGCAACGACGAACTCGGCACCCAACCTCTCGGCCTCTTTGGCACAGCTCACCAGGGCCTTGCGGGCGTGGACCCACCCGGCTCCCGTGGACTTGTACAGACCCTTCCACTCTGGGAAGTCACCGGTCAATACGCCCTCGGGCATGGTCTTTCGAAAAGACTCGGCGTCTTCCAGCCTCGTGAAGTCTTTGTTCAAGTCCGGTCGTTCACGGTCAAACAGCTGTTTGAGACCCTCTTTGCTGCTCGCCGCCACAATGTAACCGGTGTCGTGGTAGTATGGAGAAAAGACCGGATCCGAAGTCCAACCCTGGGTCGCGGTGGACAGGAGTTTCTTGGCCACCCAAGCCTCCTCGTCCCCCTCGGAGAATTGTCCCTGTTCGACGATCTTGTTGACGTCGTTGCCGGCCGAGATGGGAGAAGGTACGGCGTAGGCGTCGACGACGGTGACGTCCGTGTAGCCGCGCCGCAAGAGGTGCAAGGCCGTGCTGCAACCCCACGTGCCGGCTCCCACGATCAGGATCGATGAGTCTTTGGAAGGTGACATTGTGGTTTTTTTCCCCTCCAAAGATTTGGACGAGCGAGTCGAGAAAGAACACGCAGCGGAGAAGGAAAATCAAAGTGTCGTCCTTTTCTTCTTATTCTTATATGCCGGGTCACTTGGTTTCCGCGATGCGTGCGAGTCGAAAGGAGAAACAGGTCGGGAGAAAGTACAAGCGTCACCTCTTTCTTATCATTAAATAAATATTCCAGTAGTCTCACAGAAACCTTTCCACTACTCTTCATGGATATCCATCTTGGAGGAGTTGATTAATTGTTCCGCCGACCACACAGATCCTTTGGTATGGAGTATTCAATCGGAGGAGAGTGGCCGAAGAGATTCTAGATTGGACCCTTGTGGTGGGTACCTCACCACTCCGTCGACGAACCATCACATTTGCCGGGACAGCGATCAATCATCGCTTCGAGCGAAAAGAAGGTCCAGCCGCAGCGAATGATGATGCGTTTTCTTCTCTGTCATTTTAGCCCGTGGCCTGATGGCCGGTCCGTCATTGACGAGTCACAACAACGCCTGGTCCTTGTATCTCAAGGACCAATTCGGCTGACTGATAAACGTCTGAAAATGTCCTCGACAATTCAATACAGCTAAAAATTTCTGATGGATTTACGAGGACACTCGGACAGGAAATTGTCGTCTGATTGATCACGCCACGCAGATATTTTACTCGCACTCGCTCACGATTTACGATACGTCGCTTCAACCTCGCCCAAAACCATACGAGATTGTCCACCCCTTGTTACTTACAGCCTGATCCCGGCAAAGTCCCTATTTCCTATCAAGTACCTACCTCGATCTCCCACACAAGATCAAACACAAATCCTACGAATTCACTGCACAGCGCTACTCTTCCTACTCTTACAACACATATCTGAACGCTTTGTTCTCCATATCAGTCTTGTCATAGAAACCTTCCAGCTCTCCATCGACATTCTGAATCTCACCACTCGCAAACGCTCCATCTCTCTTCCTATTCTCGTTCCACATGTAGGTGCGCAGGCCAAGATTGAAGCTGATCTACAATCACTATGTCAGCAGTCATTCGACATTGCCCGCTGCATGAAACTTACACTCAATCCAAAACAGACCAGCAGCCCAGTAATGGCGGACTCGTACACTGGTGCCTCCGAAGGGAAGAAGATGTGAGGTCCGATCAAATTGCCGACGCCAAAGCACGCAAATACCGCTGCATTGACAAATGATCTTTTACTGTGACCCGCAAAGTTGGAAGCTGCGAGTGTCCAGCTGAACAAGTTTGTCACGCCGAAGATGAATTGCAGCCAAGTGCAGCCCAAAAGCGCCCATTTGTGGTTTTCGGTCCGAGAGATGAAGCGGATGCCGAAGAGCCCCGCGACGTTGGGGATGTTTGCGGCAATCGAGATCCAGATGACGGTGTTGGCCGTCTTGGTGGCAATGTAGCCCAAAATCGGTTCGATCACAGCGACAAATGCACCAGTTGGCATCTGGAGAAGGACTGTCTGGAGCGCATTGAACCCAAAGCCCTCGATCAAGGGCGAAGCAAACGCAGAGACGCTGGAGTTGCCTCGTCGATGTTAGCCAGGGCGACTGAGTCGCAGCAAAGCCACTGTACTTACAGATACCGTTCGTGATTTGGAAGGCGCAAAGAAGCCACAGCTTGGGGTCGCGAAGTGCCTCTTTGATCTGGTAAGGCTTGATCTTCTTGTCCTTGATTCCAATCTTGTTGGTTGAGATCCGGTGAATGACGACCAACTTTTGACGACGGGTAAGCCACCGAGTCTCGGTGGGAGTATTGGGGACGAAATAGTAAAACACAGCGGCCCAGGCTGTCGTGATGGCTCCGACGAACTGTTGATGATCAGACAAGGCTTCCGACATGGACCTAGACACTACCACTCACCAAGAAGACGAGTTTCCAATTTGAGATGTTGCTGTGGCTATTTCCGAGCCCGTACGACACGATCGAAAGGACCACCACGCCACTGCCGAACGATGACTGCCAGAAACTGTTTCGCACGGGCGTCTCTTCACGCTTGTAAAATGAGGAGGTGATGACCATCATGGTGGGCGTGATGCCGACTTCCAGGCAACCTGGCACTAGTTTAGCTGATATGTCTCGCGTCTCGCGGTGACAACGACGTTGTTTTGCTTACCGAGAAGGAAACGGAGAACGGCAAAGCCTGCAAAGGAATTGGCAACGCAACACATGAAGGTCAGAACACCCCAAAGGAGGATCAAGACAGTTGTATAGGTCGCCACCGGGAGTTTCTGGAGAAGAAGGGTCGAAGGGTACGCCCACTATAAGACAAGGTCAGCATCGGCTCCATCCACAAAACCAACCCTCGACTCACAAATAGATAGCCAAAGTAGTAGATGCTAGCTAACCAGTTATAGTCGCCCGGAGTCATGCCCTAGGCCAACGGTTAGTTGTTGCCCGTGGACATTAGAATGGAACTCCTGTACAGTATCCTCAAGGATGCCGTATGCATACGCATATCCAAGCACAGCATTGTCCAAGAACTGAAGAGCATATGTAATGCAGATTATGGGCATCAAGATCCAGTCACATCGATGCCGAACAGCGGTGCTCTCTGCATCAAGCTCCTCGACGGGAATAGTTCGCATCTCCTCGAACCAACCCAGAGCTATGTCGACACCTTCTGGCACAACCTGCTCTATACTTACTTGGTCAGACGCCGTATTGGAAACATCGGTGGCAGCAGCCTTTGCTTCTACGTTCTCGGGTTTTTCGGACATGTTGAAGAGAGTCGAGGCGAGGAACGTGAACGGCTGTTGCAAGAATGATGAGTCAAGTCCGACCTGTGTCCGTAGGGTCAGGAGAGATGAGTGGTCATCTGTAGCTTTATAGATCGCACCTCGCACTGCCCATGAGCTCTCGTTGACCGTCAGTCTTATCTCGGCGACATCTGAACAGCTTTTTGATACCCCAGACGCTCCGATTGATAAGCCGTGTCACACGGCGCTAGAGAACGCTAGAAAGCCAGAAGTTCAACGATATCAGGTCCAAGCGACCTCTCCTATCTTTCGAGGCTGTTAACGAGTATGTGGCTTTCGGCTTGCGCTTTGTCAATAGACGATCTTTGATTTGAGCCCGCTCGAAGGGTTGGCCCCGGGCAGGTATCCGTAGAGCTTCCCCGGAAAGACAGTGGGCATGGAAGGTCGAAAGTGGCAAGAAGGCTTCTGTCTGGATTCCATTCGGGAGTGTGGAAATGGAGCATCAAGCACAGATCATGGGTTTCTTCGCAGTGGATGATTTAGTGGGCGGCCGAGGATGCTCTGTGGAGCTGTTTTCATGCAAAGGGACCAAGAAAGCAGAAGTTTCGAAGGTACACCCGAACTCCACCAACGTTCACGCCGACCATGGAAGAAACCTCTAATATCCACTAGGCTTCGATTTTGGACGGCTCGCTAGGATGGATTGGGTTCCGCCAACACGGTTGACGGCATCTCAAGCGCAAAAGGACCGTTTGAAGGTACAACCGAGCTGGTGACCCTCTTATCATGAGGCGTCTTCGGAGTTGATCGAGGCATCCTTGGGAGGTTTCGGATGCTAGGCATCCACGCGACACCCTTCTGGAACCGTCAGGTCCCTTACCAGGTAGCAAACACGACGAATAGTTTGGGGAGGATGACTCTACCTGTGTGCCCGCTGTAGGATCCGTAACAAGAGCGAGCCCCTTGTACGTGCCTCGAAGCGACGAGCACTCACAGATTTCCTTGGTAAGTGCTCCAAACAGCAGTCAAAAGGTAACAAAATTTGCTTGCGCTCTTCACGATGCTGGAAATCTATTGCAGTGGGAGCTCTTTTGAGGTCAGTGATATGTTTAAAACGGACTTATGATTGCAGACCTCAGTCTAATCACCATGGCCTCAACATACAGATCGGTCTTGAACATGGCACAAACGCAAAGCCTCAAATCCAGAGCACCATCGCATTCTATACAGACCTATTCCTGCGAAAGTGCAACTTGACCTGGCAGGCGGCGTGCAATGAAGCTGATAAGTTCACACCGCATATCCACGAGCGATACCCTCATCTTGAGAATGAGATGCAGGGGATCGCAAAAGGTGCAGGCCTTGGGTACAATGAAATTCTAGCGTTGAATGTCAGATCGGAGCTGTTCTTTGGTGCTGCGCTGGACGGGTGTACGAGTCTATCATGGAAGACTGGCAAGGCGTCATTTGTGGCACAAAACTGGGATGTGAGTCGAGGCAGTGGACGAAATTCTCGACGGACTTGCTAATAGTGATGACCAGTGGATGAAAGAACAGAAGGAGAATCTTGTTCTTCTGAAAATCGATCAAGTCGGACAGCCTTCAATCCAGATGCTCACTGAGGCAGGCATGATTGGCAAGATAGGTAGTTGATATAAATCCGCCAGCCAAAGACGTGTTGTACTGATTTTCAACGACAGGCCTCAACTCAGCAGGTCTAGGGCTTTGCGTCAATGCGATACGGTGTGCTGGTAGTGATCCCACACGTACTCCTATCCACATCATGTGGCGTGTCGTCTTGGGATGTACCTCGATCAGCTCCGCTCTTGAAGCGATCGACGCCACTGGATGCGCGAGCGCCTGCAATATGCTAATTGCCGATCCATCAGGCAGCATAGGGGTGGAAGTAACGCATCAAACGATTCTCAAACTCGAGCCAGATTCGGAGGGACGAATCTTCCACAGTAATCATATGCTGGAGAAACACCCGGGGACAGAGATGCTGTGGGTCGAAGACAGCCTGAGTCGCGTTGCTAGAATTCGGGAACTGGCTACGCAAATATCTGGTGATGTCACTAAAGAGTCGATTCAGGCTTTACTTTGCGACGAAGACAATTACCCATGCTCTATCAACAGAGCTCAAACGGGCGAAAGTGATACTGCAAGTGTGTTCAGCATCAGTATGAATCTGACGACAGTTGAAGCCAGGGTGCTGTTGGGAAGACCGAGTGACCCCGAGAAGATTTTTCTGCTTCGACCAAAACAAAAGCACAGGGTATAAACCTTTTCCATATGTCGTGTCAGATATATATTATTTGTTGAGCTCCATTTTCAGGGCTTGTCTATCGATACTGCTTGAAGACCTCGTCGTCCCAGAAGAGGATCGAACCACTGAGATTACGAGGTGCCGACAATGCCAGGTTAGCAACAACATTTCCTGGCTGTTGAGCCTCGACGAGTCTGGGATGTACCATATCCTTGTAGGTCTGTAGCTCTTGCTTGCTCATGCCTGAATTGTCTTCATGATAACCAGTCAGCCCAAGAACCGCGCAAAACCCTAGTTACTTACAATCTCCTCTGAATATACCTTGCACCAGTGGCGTGTTCACGACACCAGGATAGAGTCCCACGGCCGTGATCTCGGGCTCTTCTAAAGCCAGAACCCTGATGAGGTAGTTCACCGCAGCTTTAGTGGCACCGTAAGCTCCCCAGGCTGCAAAACTCGGCTTCTCTCCAGCATCAGACGAGGTGAAGACGACTCTACCCTTTGTCTTCCGCAGGTGAGGAATAACCTCAGCGAGCTTTCAGAGTAAGGTGTCAGCGTATAATTTTCAGCAAATTTGTCTCATCCGTGAAACTTACCATAGAAACCTGAGAAACGACGTTGATGTTGAATATCCTAGTCCATTCCGTTGAGTCGACATTGCAGAGTCTCTTGACGGGCGACATGACACCAGCATTCAATGCCAAAGCATCGACCTTGCCCCAGGCATCCAAAGCTGCCTTTACGGCAAGGTGGTTGGTTCGGTTGGTCGAGACATCACCAACAACGTACTGAACTCTTTCATGGCCGTACTCCTTCTGTCGCCTTTCCAGAGGTTCTTCGGTGATATCAATGAGAACCACCTTCGCCTTCTCCAACAACAACTTATCTACGATGGCAGCACCAATTCCCGCACTGGCTCCCGTAACAATAACCACTGGTGCGCTAGACATGTTGCTGGAAATCTGATCTGCTCGGTGGTAGATGATCCTGTGCAGCTACTTATTCCAGATTCTCAATGAACCGACCCAATAGCATGATGGACGAGTATTGGGTTAGCCGAGATTCTTGATAAGTTCGTGCAAAATATTCCCTGCCGTCGGAGGTGTCTTCCTCTGCTGGTTGTAGTTCAAGATAACACGTCCCACATCGGTAAATGCTTTGACATCGCCTCAGTCCCGATGCAGTAGAGGTGCTCCATCTATCACAGCACATAGCTTGTCTGTATTCGAACGTTAGAAGGATCTAGTAATCAACAAAGGGGGAGTATGGTCCAGCCGAGCAGCTCCACTTTCATCTGGAGCTAAAATTTGGACGGCATACAGTAGACCTATTACTGCGTCTGGCCAATGATCAAGCAACCTTTTGCATCAAATGTTCAAAATTCTCATCCTAGGTCGTTCTGCATAGCGCGACAGGTCCAACCGAGCTTCATGGTGCGGTATTTGAGCGGGCATCCCCGGCACTCCGTGGCTGTATTGGGGCCATCTAGATGGAGACTTCTCCTGAATCCCCGGAGAGGCGCTAGAGTGGCTCATCACCGTCACTGTGTCACCTCTGTCGTGGAGCATGCAGCCGCTTTGGTTTGGACGATCTGCCAGTGTGCATAGTTCCAAATCTTGGACTCCTGCTGCCGAGAACAGTACAGTACACTCAGGACAAAGTCCAGCCGATGGAGACAAAAAGAATATTGGATCCAGAACGCTGAACGAGTGGCTGCAGAGTTATGCGTGGAAGCTCGTCAGGACCTTCCACACCATCTGGCAGCCACATGATAGGCAACACGAAATCGCTTTGTCCAAGCCTTTATTTCATGAGAAGATAAAGATAAGAAACGGTGCCTTTCCTGTATCTCCAGCTTAGCAACTCAATAACAGTTCGTCCATCTTTCCCCTGTTTGATCTTTGTACGCTGCTAGAGACTTTAAACATGGCATCTCAAACTTCCACCTCTGATCACTTCCAATATCCAGTTCAGGAGCAAGGGGCTCCTCGTCTGTCGCTAAAGGCTGATGGAGGACAACAAGAGCGAGTTCGGTTCGACCCCAAGAAGCACCTGCGCTTCCAGATGCCCGACAAGACTTACACTTTAGAGGACCTCAAATACGAAACCAAACAGGCTGTTGGTAAGGTGGCTGCCACAGATCCATTTCCACTTTTCTCTCCCGAGGCCATTGTCGAGATGCGGCGGGAGCTTTTGAGCGAACGTACCATCAAAAACTGCATGACGTACACCAGGCCAGGCTCGGTGCAGATACGAGGTGCTGCTCCCCAGTACGCACCATTCGTATATGAAGCGTGGACACACCCGGAGACGATCAAGGCCGTGTCACAGGTTGTTGGACTTCCAGTCAAAATAAACATCCAACAAGAAATTGGGCATACAAATGTCCAACTTGGACCTGATGGCCTTGAAGGTCTCAAGAAGTTGACACCCGAACCATTGGAGCCAAAGGCCCCTGGTGAGGATGTCCAAGAGGAGGACATCATCCAGGATAAAGATACGGACGTCATTGAGTGGCATAACGACATGTACCCGTGGTCACTAGTCGTGTCTCTGTCACTTCCTCAAGGAAAGGGAGGCGAGACAGCATGCCTCTGTGGCGACGGATCCATTATTAAGGCTGCAAAACCCGACGTGGTAGGTCCCATGTTACATGATCGTAAGCGAGAGTACAATTCCTAACAAATCTTCAACAGGGATATGGAGTTCTTTTGCACGGAAACGTGGTCAAGCACAAGGCAGTTCGTGCCATTGGTGCCGAAGAGCGTATAACCATGGTTTGCTCCTGGTGGCCAGCCGATCCCTTGCTGTATGATGACTCCAAGATTTCTCACACCCGTGACGTCTCATACAAGCCGGAAATGTATTATCAATGGACCACATACCGACTTGAAGTCTTGGCCGCCAGATGCCTTGAAAAAGCAAAACAGCTTCACCAGAAGCACGAGAACAAGAAGGATTACTCAGAGGTTGTCGTCGAGCCGCAACAGTTTGCAGAATGGGCGAAGGAGCAGATCGCCTTCTTCGAGAGAACATATGACCATGTTAAATAGACAATTGAGAACTTTCGCTGTTCATGCTTAATTGGCTCATTCGATCCATGTAGAAATGGTCCTCATACCCTTTCTTAAACTAGATTGATATTTTCACTGATCGGGGCCACATACCTTTCCCAATCGTTTCTTGACCAGTGGTTGTTTGGCGCCTCCGGAAAAGCGTCTTCTTCCAAATCTCGTGCTTGCCATACTTGACTGATTATAGTCCGCATCCGGTCAATATTCGAAACGGTCGATGTCTCCATGGCCTGTAAAACCTTTAACACCAGTCGTCTGCCGTGTATTGGCGTTCCTGTTGCCTCGTCGAGCCAAAGCTCGTCGTTGTAGGGATTCAGCTCGACCGCTGCGACAAAGACAGGCCACGTCAGCCCCGTCACAAAACCTCGGTCTACGAAATCGGAAACCAGACGCATGATTTGTTCGACGAGTTTGACAACTAGCGGTGTTGTAGGGAGGGTATTGTATAGAGCGCAGTTCAAAAACAGGAGAGCAGCGAGTCGCTTTATTTCCGCGGAGATGACCAGAAATTCATCCTGATCATTCTCCACGATCTGTTCAAGGCTTTCCAGTTTGAATCTCGTGACGGCACAGGCGTTCACGAAAGAGTCGGTGATGGAAATGGAAGGATCGGCATAGGCAGCTCTGCTAAGCTCAGTAATGGTGCAAAGAAGAGCCACCAGTTCGGGAGAACATCCCATCCAGACATCAACGATAGTCTCGCCAAAGTTCCAGTAATCTCGCCCAAATAATGGCACCTGTCCGCACGCCGTGCGCCCTATGACATCGTGGAACGCGAAAAATCTCTCGGCAAATGCAGTCAAGTCGTTCACCTCGACGTCAGCGCCAGGAACTTTCTGCAGTTCCTTCCGGAATCGAACCATGTCGTGAGCACCCTTGAGGTGGATGACCCAGCTCGAGTCGCAATCTTGTATGATCTCGTAAAGGCAGAGGATGACCATTGTCACCAGGGTGTCCGAGCTTGAGGCGACTTTATCAGCGCCCTCGATGCTGAAGCGATCCTGGAGAACGCGCAAGACCTGCGACTTCAACTTCATTGCCGGAACTTTCCAGGCCGGCTCGCTTTTCGCTCTGTGGCATGCCGACAACGCAAGAATTGACAGAATTCCAGTGCTGGAGTTCATCAGAGTAAAAGGAAGGATCAGGGAAGCAAAAGGCGACTGGGATAGTTTGCTGGGAGTGGTGAGCGGGCAGAGTTTCTGGATGTAATAATCGAGAAGCATAGAATGATCGCCGTCCACCATGTGTGGTATGAGAGGAACGGAGCGAGAAGTAATGAGGGCATTCTTCTGAAAACGAGAAGATGAAAGGTTCATATCGTCCTCGAGACTCTCATTCAGGCGTGAAGCGAGGCGGTGTAACTCGGCATCCTCGTAGGCTGACGATTGCAATTTTAGAGGCGATGTCTGAGATTCCAGTCTCAACGGCTCCTCGAACGTTTTGGTAAAATAGTTGAGGAAGTGATGAGATTCGATCTCCGGAATCGTAGACCATTCTGCGGGATCCGGAGGTGTGCGAGGCAGAGTGCCTGTTTTGGACCATATGCCTTCTCTTCCAAAAGCCAGCCCTCGCGAGACGAAGTCCTCCTCCCACTTGATCTCGATGCCAAAGTCGCACCGCCGACTAGCGATTTGACAACGCCGACACTGAGGTCGAGTCTCATCACATTTGACTTTACGTGCTCTGCAGGTCAGACATCCTGCACGTGTCCGTGGCTTTGGTGGTAGTTGATCTGGTCTCCGTCGACGCCCCATCTGTACTTATTGACGGGCCATGGACAACAAGCATCGTGGTGAAGATTGATAGCAAGGTCCTTTTTGACAAGTGGTGTCAAACAGGTGTCGATAATGGGAGGAGACAAGATAGATGGTAAGGAATTGGCAGAGGCTGCACCATATAGACCCTAAACGCCAGGAGGATGCGAGAAGGGCCCGGCTTGACATGTTGCTGGTTCTGTACTTGTACTGTAGTCAGTGAGCCAAGTAAGTCTCACTAGCCCGTGGGCCTCCTCGCTCGATAAGCGAAGTTTCAATTGGGGAAGTCAAGAAGCACAGGGTTTTGGTTCAGTGGAGAAGACTGCGCCGACTTAGATACGAAGGGCGAATAGTGCATGGCATGCGGGAGCCACCAAGGCCAGACTTATGGGCGGAAGCAGCTCCCGTCGCAGTGCCCCTCGTTGTGCCTGGGAGTCGCCATGACTACTTATCACTGCCTACAATAACTGCCTAAATCAGGGAGTCTTCCAGGGACTTATTGTCGCCACGTGAGTACGGAATATTGTCTCAAAATCTAAGCGTCACCAGCGTCATGGGCGTCACAACCCTTCTACAGCACTTCATTTGCTTCCTCTCTGCTCATGGATTCTTTCCCTGGTATGCCATCTTGACATGATGGCTAGTCAGAGAGATGAGGAAAGGCCCTTACTGCACTCTGATGCGGATGGCGACGGGGGCAGTCGATTCAGTCAAGAAACGCGACGAGTACAGTTCGACGACGACGATGAAGAAAATCCGAAAGCCTGGACGAAGCGCAGGAAACTCGTCAACGTGGGAATCATTGCTCTGATGGCCATCTTGAGTCCGTTGGCAAGCTCGATGTTTACTCCTGGCATCTCCCAGATTGCTGAAGATCTGAACACCGACGAGCAAAGTGTGATCGCCACAACAACTGGCTTCGTCATCATGCTGGGATTTGGTCCCTTGATGTTGGCGCCCTTCTCGGAGACATTTGGGCGGCGCAGGCTGTACCTCTGGGGATTTTCGATATTTACGCTGCTTCAACTCGCTTCTGCCTTTAGCCCTAATATCGCCACACTTATTAGTCTACGCACTATTTCTGGCTTTTTTGGGAGTGAGTGTCTCCAAGACCAGATTCCAAGATCAATCAGATACTCACCAAGGACAGGCGTCGGCCTCGCCAATGGAGGCGGGACACTCTCAGACATGTACGACCCGTCAGAAAGAGCAGGTGTATTCGGATGGTACCTGCTAGGACCACTGCTCGGTAAATGTCCATGATAGAACGAGGTAAAACTGCGGCGAGTTGACTAAGATTGTTCCAGGACCAACCATAGGGCCTCTCTTTGGAGGCCTCATTGTCAGTCGACTTGGCTGGAGATGGATATACTGGGTAAGCTGTCGTCGAATACAAACGAAACCAGACTAACAATACCCAGATCCTCACCATTGTTTGTGGATTGAATACCGCTGTAGGATATTTGTTCCTTCGAGAGACATATGTGCCGGTGCTCCTCAGCCGGCGAAAAGTCAGCCTGCAGAATGACAATGATCGAGACATCAAATTTCATTTCGACGGCGAGGACGAGCGGCCGTTGTGGTTGAAACTTCGCAGCAGCCTGAAAAGACCGTTTGTGATATTCGTTCAACCAATCGTGTTGGTCATGAGCCTGTACCAAGCTCTCATTTTTGGCACGACATATAGCATATACACCAACATGCAGAGTATCTTCTCACAGCCGCCGTACAACTTCAACTCGGAGCAAATTGGACTTTTGTATCTGGGGCCTGGCCTTGGCTTCCTGACGTCCGTCTGGTTTCTGGTCCCTCGAATAGACACTGTGTTCAACACACTGACAAAAAGGAATGATGGCCAGGCGTTGCCGGAATTTCGCCTGCCGCTCGCCAATATCGGCAGTGTATTGATCCCTGTCAGCATATTTGCCTTTGCATGGCTGGTGGAGTTTCGCGTTCACTGGATTGCCAGTGTCATCGCCGCCTACTTCTATGGTATTGGCCAAGTGGTTGTGTTCAACGCAGTTCAAAACTACTACATTGATTCATTCTCGAAATACGCTGCATCTGCGATCGCCGGCGGATCGGTGTTTAGGAGTCTGTTGGGAGGGGTGACCCCTTTAATAGCCCCCTTGTTATTTCAGAAGCTGGGATATGGCCTCGGGATCAGCTGCTTCGGCTTCGTTGCGGTTCTTATCGCACCTAGTCCGTTGTTGTTCTATTATTATGGGGAACGCATCCGTCATAGGTTTCAAATCACTTTCTGATCACTTTCTGACTTGGGACTGGGTGGGATTGAACATCTGGTGTGGTAGCTGTGGGAGTCGCCCTGGTTTCATTGGATGCGAGGCGTTCATTCGAGTTGGTGGATACAAGGTGTTTGATTTGTGCTACCACACCAGACACAACCCAGCATGCATTTGGTGGAACGGTGGGCTCCCTCCTTTTCTCTCGGACCGGGGGATCATTGTGACAGTACAGAGTAGCACAATCTACGACTGTATCTGACGAAGGCCCAGATACACACTGCGTTGAGCTCTATGAAGCCGTGCACCTGTACTTCGTACACTGCTGCTGCCAGGGCATTAAAAATAATGATCTCATCCTGCATCGGCGCGAACCTTTCAGTGCCGTTGGAAACATCGGCCCATGGATCCTGAAGAAGTGGCTTGTTTGGGAGCCACGCGGCAAGAGTTGCAAATTCGCCAGGTGCCTAGAGTAGTGACTAGGAGGCTTCCGGATGCCTAGAGTACAAATAATAGGGAGTAGAACGGCCGTTGTGATCTGCTAGCGCTCTACCGGGCTCATTCTTAGCCTAGAGTAACAACCCCGTCAGCTAGAAGCCGGATTACTATTGTAGGCGTGAGTTCTAGCGCCGTTTCTTCACTGAACCTGCGCTTGTTACCGAAGCAACGTCCAAGGTTCGTGTTGTTTACACACTAACAACCCCAGCATCGCACAATCGCATCCGAGTATCACCACGCCCGCAGGATTCATCACATCCTCTCACCGCTCGCTTGGTGCTGTCGACGTGGTCACATCTAATGCATCATCATCCTCGACCGGTGTCCTTCGTTTCTGCATGAACAGGCCTCGAACTCCCCAAGCGCGTTGTTTTCTGAATGACTTCTGCCTATCAGCAACGTGAAGTCATTGGCTCCAAACATGATTTGCTCGCCTATGATTAATACGCTGCAGTCGGCGGCATCATCCTCCTGCAGTCTTTCCACACCATTGGATATGAGTAGCATTGTTTTGCAGCTGCAAGTCCATGGCTCCAGACCGTTCACTGTACTCGTAGAATGTTCAAGAGTGAATATATTTATCGGGTATCATGGGTGATGGGATCTGAAATTTTTGCTCCTTTAATCCTGCCTGGGAGTGAGGTGATAATGAAATCAAGATCATCTTGATAAGTCTTCATTCGCTTCCCACTGTCTCTTTTTCCCGGATATTTTCTGGCCAGTCTCATCATAGCCGTACGGAGTGTGAACTGAACCATCACACAGTCCGACTGGGTCTTGCTCTTTCCACCATCCTGGTTCCCCGGAAGATGGCCCTGAGCCTTTCGTCGGCCTGACTTTTTGTTCGTGCCCGCCTAGCGCCAGCCCAAACAACTGGCCCTGTCCTGCTTGCCTCCCTTGAACACATACAGTACAGCCATCGTCACCATACCATACACTCGCCAACACCCCCCCCCGGTTGATTGCATTCTTCGTGCTCCTGGAAAAACTCTGCCGCAAACTGTCCATACCTTTGCACCCTCTCCAAACACCAACGTCACAATCGATTCATGCAACATAGTCTCGTCGGTACATAATATCTACCTACCATCTTCTACGCTGCGGTGCTTCACGATTTCCAACCAAAGCTCGGACTCACTCTCACGTCCCCAATACTGCTCAGGGCGCAGTCGATCTTAATATGAAGAAGAAGGCTCCAACTCTTGGTCGACACTTTCTACACACTTGTTTACGGACATAATAGAACACACACCTCTTTCCCGAGGGCTTTGCTCTCATGGAGCCTCCTCCACCTCCGCCGCCGCCGCATGGCTCCAACCCTCAAGGCGGTGGCAGGTCGGGGGGTCTTCCTGATGGCAGGTATGACATCTTTGTCATTCCTCCGCATTCGTCGGGCTCCGGGTTCCTCTACCTACCCTCGTTGCAAACCCAACGGAACAGCTTCCTGGCTGGGGTCTTCTGCACGGCTGCGACGTTCTTCATCTACACAACTGCAGTGCCGGTCGTCAAAGAATGGCTTTTCACTACCATCAACAGTGGCGGTGGTGGTGTGTTCATGCTCATATGTGGTGTGGCAGTGGTTGCGTGGGCATTTGGCAAAACACAGAGCGAGTGGGCGCAGCCGGCCTCTTCTAGCGGACCAAGTACGTCCTCAGGCCCTGGAGGTTCTGCAGGGCCAGGCTACACAGGTTTCAATAATACTAGGGGCTATGCTCACGCACAACCAGGACCTCAACCGAGTGCACAGTCTCCTCCTCCACCGCCGCCAAACCATGGAGCGAATGCTCCTCCACCACAGTCGTCATGGCAGAGACCAACCCCTCAGGCCAACACAAAGGCGAACACAACAGGTGCCAAGTCCAGCTGGGAGAAGGCGAGAGAGGAAACGAGGAAACGAGAAGAAGAGCGGAAGCGTGCAGAGGACTTAAAGAGGAGGAGAGAAGAGCTCGAAAAGGAGCGACAGAAGCAAAGAGAAAAAGATACCCTCGAAAGACTCGAACGTGAACGTAGGGAGAAAAAAGAACGTGAAGATCGAGAACGCCAACAGAAGGAGAAGGATGCCGCTGCCAAAGCGGCCGTTGAAGCTGCAGAGAAGGAAAACGCACGAAAAGCGGCAGAAGCTGCAGCGAAACGGCCTCCGATGCCATCGGCAAGGACAGAGCGCGAAGACGATGCATATTCGTTTCGCCCATATGATCGGCCGAGAAGACCATACAAGGCCAACTCAGCTGCATCAATGTACTCGGAATCATCCTATGCACCATCAGAAAGTACCGCAAAGACTACTCCTCCAGCATCGGCACGAGGGCCATATTCAACAAAGGACCCCGACAAGATCATTATTAAGGGAGTCTTTTCTTTCAACAACGCTTTCATGCGGACCCCAATCTCACAACTCGTATCGGGACAAGGCAATGTCACTGATGGGCTCATCCTTCGCATTACTACTGAGGGCTTGTTCATCGACGATGATGTTCGCGGTGTCCCGCAACGTGAATGGGATGTGAAGGCTTGGACGATGAAATTAGCAGAGGTATGTGCATCGCTATGTGTTTGCGCACGATCCTTGCATGGATCGCAATCTCCCTTATAAATTCTCTCTTCTCGCGGTGATTTCAGAAGCGACGTTACTGATGAAATTCCTTCCAGAGCTGCGAATTGGATGGTATCCATGTCCTTCGAGCAAGCATTCGAGACCAAGAAGGAAAGAAATATGTCTTCATCCTCTCCCAGAGTGAAGGATGGAAAGTCGCGGTCGGTCTCCAACGTCTGCGAAGGGGCAGCCAGGTACGAGCATTGGGCGTAGCTGGACTCCCACACAACGAAGCCAAGGCCATCCTCGAGAATCTTGGATATGCTTAATCGACCGACCGACCGACCAGGGGCGAAGGACGACTTGAATTTTTTTTATTGTTGCCTGCTAAGTGATACCACCTAAAAGCCTTTGCACAGTCTTGAGCGAGATCTTGAGTTTTTCAGCATCGAAGTCGACATTTAGCGTGGCATCAGCGACGGAGTTGTGTACATTCATTGATGGTCTTGGTGATTGGGATCGACTGGATTTGCTCTGACCAAATTCACTAACAGCATCACCAGCCCATATGAGACCCTAGATACAGTTGGGCGTCTAGTGTCGTCAATGCGAATTAATAACATAAAATCCACGATAAAACCCAGTCCAGTACCAATGCCTTTTTACGGCGCCTCTTCACTCACTGCGTTCCTCTGTTTCTGAGCCTCATGATGATCTTCATTGAGATCGATATAGGTTGTCTTTTTCGTACAAGAATCAGTGCACCTCACCCTACTGTAGCAGGAACAGCCGTCTTATCAGTGGAAATATACCCATGACGTTTTTAACATGGCAGTCAGCATTGGAGCTATGTTGACGTATTCGGACCTGGGGCCAGTAAGGTTGTCTCTGTCTCATGACAAAGCGTGTCAGTGGATAACACGCTGCATTCCCGTCTGCCTATAGACGACTGTCGTCGGGCCCGAGATGCAGAGTGCGGAGATATCACTCAGCCCGAACATGAGGCCCTTGCAGGGATGATGCTCCCTGGCCCGCGAAGCTTGTCCTTGACCAGAGAGACCAGAGGACTGAGGGGATTTCAAGGAAGTCGTTCATTGCTGCCTGTGTTTCTCGCCCGCAACTTTCCCCCCCCTCAGTTCTAGGTGACATTCTGCCTCTCATAACGCCGGCCTCAGGTGACTCGCATCGCATTGTTTTCCCTTCCCACTACAATCAAAAAAGAAACTCCATCAACTCCTACGACCGCTACCAGTCCTGCAATATCTTTGCCTGGACGAGCCAAATACACATTCTCCGGCGAGCGCAACCATTTGACATCCCACTTCGCACGCTTCCTTTCATATCGATGACCTGATCCACCCTCAGTTCCACACAGACATTGGGTGATCATGACCATCCGCAAACAGTACCCTCCTCGTTCGTACGAGACGTTCTCCGAAGAAGGTGCAGCGTCCGAGTCTGCATCCCATACTCCATCCAGCTCAGACAAATCAAGGTCAGCCGCAGCAGAAGCCCAGAGGCTGGCTTCTGCAGGATCATGGGCAGACAATTTCGCAGGCGAGACACCCGCGACAAACCGGACGCCGACAGCATCGACCGTTGACGGTGAAGAGTCTCGAGATGTTCAATATCCGCAACTATCACAAGAAATAGATCCGTCCGATCCACCACCCATGTACACTCCTTCCGATACTACTCAATCTCAACCACCCACCACCTCTGCCTCTCCGAATGTGCAAAGAGCAGTGCCGGCACAACCAGAGATTGTAAGCGCCCCCAGTACACTTGGTTCTCCCTCAATTTCCCACGTGCAACGCCCTTTTCGAGACGACGAAGACGGCGCAAATCTTCCTGAACCAGTCCAATTTCCGTACCATACGTGCAGTCATCAGCGTCCAGACCGAAACTACGACAATAACGAGTCGGACGATGGAACCGCCTTCCTAGGCTCTAATGGTAGATGGGGCCGGGGGAGACGATGGTGGACGAGGCGCCATGGTGAAGGTCGAGGTCGAGGTCGAGGCTGCGGAGGCCGACGATGGGGTCGACGGCGGGAGTGCCACAAGGAACGCGCTCGTCGATTCAAGAAGATTTGCTGGTTTACATTCGCTCTCCTCCTGTGCTTGTGGTTGATGATCCCCGGCTTGTGCAAGTCGTTCTCGAAAGTACAGGGCCTCATTATCTGTCATCGTTCCTCAAAACAATCTTACTGACACGTGGGTGTACAGGATAACAAGAGGCAGTTCCCAGTCTTCAGCCCTGAACCTTCATCATCACCCTGGCCTCCTTTTCCGAAGCGCGAACATCGCGAACACGAGACTTCTCATTCCATCACTGGAACATACCAGCTGTACGACCTTCTCGACCTCTCGACGGTTAGTGGGAGCATTAATGTCAACATTCAGGTTCAGTCTGGAGACAAACCAGCTGTTCTTCGTCTGGCGACGAAATCGGGCAGCGTACATGTCAGATTCAGCTCTGGTGGCGGTCTCTTCCGCAAGCCCGTCATCCCAGAGATGGCCAATCACAGAACCTTGATCACAGATATCTCGACAAACTCTGGTAGCGTGTCGGGTGACTTGGTGCATGGAAATGGCGGGTCCACAACCATCTCCATGCACTCCGGCTCGCTGAACTTGTCCATACATACCGTCGGGGTATCGGAGAACGATTCTGTATCCAACATTTCCACCACAACGACCTCGGGGAGCCAGTATCTCAGAGTCATAAGCCCTCTAACTTCGACAGGGGCTGTGAGAGCCATTCAAGCACGACACGTTGTCCAAGGTAGTGGCAGTATGAACATCCACTATCCTCAAGAATGGGAGGGCATGGTCCATGTCAAAGTCAATGGGTCTGGAAGCGTCAGAGCGGACGGTCGAGATTTGACTGTTCAGAAAGAAAACTCCCGAGAGCTATATGGCTATAGAGGCATGAAGGAGGGGAGGATCGTGGAGATCTTGGAGGGCGGAAGTGGCAGTGCTCAGTTCAGGTGTTAGTTTCTACATGGCACGCACGAGTACTGTACCATAGAGACGTATTTTTTGTGTCGGGTGGTTGGGTGTATTGAAACAACGGCCTTCATCGGCCTTGTCAGTGGTCTGGAGCAATCGAAAGGTCATGGGAACATTCGTTTATCGAGGGATGGGAAGATTTCCAGGGTATAATCTGTATCTCAATCGCATAATAATCGGGCGATGAATGAGAGTCTTTCAGGTTTCCTATTTGTGTCGTCGAAGGGCATTGAGGTTTCACAAGAGGTTACGATGTTGTTGAAGCATTCAAGTAGGTGAGAAAACACATTGAATCGAGGTCGATGGGGAGTGAGGCTCCTTTTGATGTCTACAAGTATTGATCCGTACTGTGCAGTACTGTCTCGTAGTGTAGGAGATTTTTTGGCAAGACGTTACTGTGACATTGTGGTTGGTTACGGTCGGAAATAAAGATGATCCACTGTCAGCATGTTGCATGAGGCTTTTACACCTTGGGATAAGGGACCGTGCATCAGGCTGTTTCATTCGCCCCTTCATGTTCCAATCCTTCCACACCCAACGCCTGGACAGGCAGAATGGTTTCTCATGGTCATTCTCCGGCCGTAATAAATGCTGGAACGAATCTCTTCAATGCACCTTGTTAGTCGTCAGCAGAGTGCGTCTTGAGAGAAAGCAGTTCCCGAGTCCACTTGCTAATCTGAACACAACACACATATTTTCCACGTCCTTTGACGACTGACGAGGCAACCATGATGGACAGAGTGCCCGCCGTCCCCGCGATTCGCGCCGAATTAAAACTCCATCCTGACGTGCACTCCCTCGACGACGAGTGGTCGGGAATAACAGACCCGGCCATTCGTCGAAAGCTACAAAATAGACTGAACCAACGAGCCGCAAGTATGTCTCCATATCTTCATGTCTCTTAGTCCTGGGGAAAGGGGGGAAAGATTGGCTTTACTGATTGCTGCACGACGCTGACGCGACGAATTAGGACGACGCAAGGCTGCAGCACTGAAGAAAGCGGCCGACAGTCAGAGCGGCGACTCTTCTTTTTCTTCTTCTTCACCAGACCAAAACGGCATTAGTCCTCGCGCCGCGAGGATCAAGAGTAAACCCTTGCATGAGCGGGTCGACCTGAACGATTCGGTGGTCGTGGGAAGAAGGGATGTGACGAAGAGCCAATGGCATGTCACGGCCGAGGCGTTCGAGCCCGGCAAAGGATCTGCTTTCGTTTCCATCCGGAGCCGATTTTCCTGCCAGCAGTGGTTCCAAGTCACGTTTGAGAACAGGCTGTGTACCATCAAGGATCTCGTGCTGCGGTTGGAGGAGGAGAAGCGGAACAACGTCTCCTGGCAGACGCCTCTGTCGAGCGACCACCTCATCTCGTTGGTGTATTACAACGTGTACCGGGGTTTGATTTCCAACGTGGAGATGCTGGGCCTGGACATCAACCTCATGTACATGGACGAGTATCCATCACCGTTCTTGCCTCTCTCACAGAGTGCGTCGTCCAACATCCGGCACCTCCCACCGGGACTTCAACCCACCGAACTCCAAAAGACAATGGCACATCATCCGCAGTGGGACATTTTCCCCGATCCCGTTGTCAGGGACAACATTCTCCGTTACGGAGAGCAAAACATCAACGACTTGGAATTTTGTTTGGATCTGGTCGGTGACGGTCAGATAGAAGGGACGGACCAGTGCTACACCCAGGAGACAAACGGCCTGATCGTTTGGGGAGAACCCTGGGCCATGGATGGATGGGAGGTGACGGAGGCTTTTGCAAGAAAGTACCCGTTCTTCATCAAAGGTGCCCATGCATTTCAAGAAAATAGCAATCGCTGGAGGATACGGAGAGGTGAGGAACCTTTGGACTTTGAGAGAATATGCGAGATTGAGTAAATGACACATGAGGATTTCTCTCGATGCTCAATGCTCAAGGGCGTGGGCAGTGCTCCTGTCAAAGTCCGGACTCCGGAGTAAAGAAGAAATCCCCGGACGTCAAATCAGCTACAGAGAGAGGACAATAGTAGCTACGAATTTAATGAACCAACACTCCAATCCACAATACGAGCACTCTCCAGAGAGCACGAGCAAGCCCTCGAGGTGACACAAGATTTGATCTGGAAGGCGACTTTGTCGAATTCTTTGATGGATTAGTGATCAGAGGTTGGTACCCACGTCTGCGCGACTACTCCTCTGGGTATCGGCTGGTTTTTTTAAATCCCCTCAAAGCATCCGAAGGTGTCACACCCTCGATCAAAGATTTGACTTGATGATGGCGCATCCAGTTTCGAAGCGATCACAGGGAGTTAGGTAAGACAGCAGCGGAGTGGCCCACGGGATAATTTCAGCAAAGGGCAACAAAAGAGTCTCAACCACGACATGAAATAGTAAACAAAGTTGTTAGCTACGGCCGATATACGGTACGGAAGACTAATCAAGATCCTTTGATCTCGAATAATGCGATTTAAAATTTGGCAAATGGTCGTTGTCTTTTGGATTCACCAAGTGAGTTGTTCATCGATCAAGTTTTTGTCCTCTTGAACACATCATCCAAGCATGACTTCGCATCACCATACATCTTTTATCTTTGTCATTGGGGGAACTGGGGCTCAAGGCATCCCAGTGGTTCGAGGCCTTGTCAAGGACAAAAAGTACAAATGCCGAGTCTTGACTCGGGACGTCAACTCGGCCAGAGCGAAAGAGCTGTTGGCCTTGGGGAATGTCGAGTTGGTCGAAGGTACTTTTGCCAACGACGATGATCTTCGACGAGGGTTCCGTGGCTGTGACGGTGCATTTGTCAACATTGACGGCTTCAACTGTGGAGAGAAGACTGAAATATACTGGGCCATCCGGAGCTACGAGTTGGCTCTCGAGGAAGGCATCAAGTTTTATGTCTATGGCAATCTTGATTATGTCTACAAGAAGAGTGGTTACGATCCTAAATTCAGGACCGGACATTACGACGGCAAAGGAAGAGTGGGGGAATGGATCCTAACACAGAACAAAGTCAACAGTGACAAGATGGGAGTGGCTGTCTTTACCACCGGGTGAGTGAGAGCAATCGATTTACCCTTTATCATCATCGTCATCATCTTTGTCGTATCATGTCATGTCCACCGACTTACCATCAGGGGCTTCGAGGGGTATGGTTTAGGCCGTACATTGAGATGGCCATCGCTAAAGGTACCATCTTCACACCGAGCGTTGAGGAAGATGAAGGGATCGTGACTTGGAGAGTCCCATTGGGAAATGACGGAGGTGTCGTTCACGTGTCCTTGGACGATTGTGAATTTTATGGACGATGGCTTTTTGATCATCCGGAAAGATCAAACGGTATGGACCTGGAGGTGGCCATTGATCATATCAACTACGATGATTTGGCCAAAGCCTTTGAAAAGGTCACTGGTCACCCGGCAAGATATATCGAAACCGACCTGGACACTTACTGGAAGAGTGGAAACACGGCTAGAGCGGCCAACACCACGAGTGGTTACAATGCTGATCCCAAAGTAAGTCACGCCAAACGTGGAGTCGGATGGAAAAGCAACTGAACATTTTCCTCTTGTATAGGATCCTGCGGCCATGACATTTCGACAGAATTTTACAGGATTCTTCAACATGTGGAAATATTCAGGTCGCAATCAAGGTGTGATCCGTCGGGATTATAAATTGTTGGACGAGATTCATCCCAACAGAATCAAAAGTGCAGAACAGTTTTTCAGGATCGAAGATGCTCGAGGACAAACGGCGGGAATGGGGAGTCTCTGGGATCGTATCCAGCCAGAGAATCTTCGACCTGTTCTCAAGCTTGTAGAAGATGGAAGGAAAGGAAAGTTGTAGAAGAGTGTAGGACAAGTACATTGTAGAGGGTACAATCTCATAGACATCGGATACAACAGGTTAACGTATAGTTGTTGGACGACGATATCATATCTGTAGATTGATGTACGTAAGCTACCTTTGCATTAACAGCCGCCTCAGCTCGAATGCACTGGCCTTCCAGATGGTGGAGTTGAAAACGTCCTAGGCATACCATACGGACATCTAATAGGTGCTTCGGAGTGCAAGGGCCCCTCTGGAGTCCCTCTAAAATACGCCACCAGGGCAGCGATCTTAGCTTGCCTTAACAATCTGTAGGTGGCGCAGCCCCCAAGGGATGACGCTGCACGGTAATGAAAAAAGTTGGAGGCCTCGGATGTTGGCAGAACGCTTCACTTGTACACGCGTGTGGCGGCGCCATCGAAAACCAGTCAGGAATCCCCGGGGGGCTGCAACAAGCAATGCAAATCAACTCTCTGTACTGACAACTCCCCCGTCCCATCCCTTCGTTGCTTCAGAGTGTGCGATTCGGCGACACTCTTCCTCTTTCTCGTGTGACTTGTCGCACACCGTTTGCCTTGCAAGATCCAGGGCTTTAAAATCACAAACACTTCGACTTCCGCCTCCCCGCATTGGCCTTTTCATTGCGCAAAGCTATTCAGCGCCCTTTGAAGCATGGCTTCCGCTGTTGACTCCAGTGCGGCGCCTGCAAATGGCCCTCCAGGTCCGCCGAGGACTCCTGGTCAGAGTGACGCTCCGCTGCCTCCTGTGCCGGTCAGTGTGGGCGGCGCTCAGCTCAGTTCCGCAAACAAGGAACAAGTGCAACATGTTTTGTCTTCAGATGTAAGCAGAGAGGCCACTACTTTCGCGCAGTCACGAGCGCAGACAGACTGATTCAACTTGCCCAGATTGGTATCACCACGTTGTTGAACCGCTTGAAACAAAGCATAGCATCTACAAGAGTGCGCAAGCCCCAGATGGCCAGATTGAGGACCAACAGCTAACCGCGCGGACAGGATTTTGCGGGTTTCTTGAAAGAACGTGCCTCACTTGAAGAAAAACACGCAAATGGCATGAAACGACTTACTCGAAGTACGCACGAGTTGATCAGAAGACCGGAAAGTCGGCAAGGCTCCTTCGCGCAGCATTATGAAGAATTGACGCGAACCCACGAGCGCATGGCCGACCACGGCTCTCAATTTTCGAACGCGATCCTCCAAATGTCGGAAGAGCTATATGAGTTGGCGGCAAACTCGGACAAGGGAAGGAAACATCAGAAACAAATAGGTCTCTCCGCAGAGAAGCGGGTGCAGGACGCCGAGCATGCCATGGAGAAGGCAAAGGGCAAATACAATTCGTTGGCGGAGCAGTTTGACAGAGCAAGGACGGGCGAGCGACAATCCGGCAAACTGCCCGGGTTCAAAAAGTCGGCCGCACAGCAAGAGGAGGACCTACAACGCAAGGTTGAAGCTGCGGATGGTGACTATGCTCACAAGGTCCAGGCGGCGCAAACCATGCAGAATGAGCTGGTGACCATTCTAAGGCCCCAGACTGTTGCGGCTCTACAAGATTTGATCAAGGAGACGGATGCTGGCCTCACTGTGCAGATGCAGAGATATGCCGCCCAGACCGAGAAACTGCTCCTGGGTTACGGTCTGTCTGTCACGCCTATGAAGGGACAATCCGGTGGCACAACCAAGAGTCTCAGAGATGTGGCTGCGAGCATCGACAACGACAGAGACTTTGTGGACTATGTCCTGCAATTCACACACAAAGCGGGAACGAGAGGAGAGAACATCCGATATGAACAACACCCATCATTGTCACCCAAACAAGCTCAGCCGTCCTCTTCCTTTGCTCCTCCGCAACCAGATCCGTATGGAAACTACAACCCTGCCAACCACGGCAGGCAAGTATCCGGCGTGACTCCTTATCAAGGTGACGAGCAGGAAGAGCAGTTTGCACATCAAGGACCGGGGCCCAATTATGGCGGCCCACGACCAGGACCTCCTGGGCAGCAAAACAGTCCTGGTCTTTCTTCGAACCAACCTGGAACCCGATTGTCGGCATCTGGCGCCCCTCAACTGCCTCAAATCGAATCTGTTGGCGGTGATCAGTTTATTGGCAATACATCTGGTGGCGATTTGGCACCACTTCATACTCATTCTGCGTCGCAACCGGCGAATGGTACACCAGTCGACGGGCCATCTTCATTTCCTCGTCCTCCCCAAACACAAAGCCCTTTGAACAGCCCTGTGCAATCAGGACAGCCATCCTCTGAAGTCAACCGTCCACCACGAGGCGCCTCTCTAAGCCAGCCAGGCGCATTTCCCGGCAGTGGTCCAACAAGTCCGCAAAACATGGGAATACGGTCTCCCAACGCTGGCCCGCCATCTCAAATGCCACCCCAGAGCGAGCCTCGAGCTGGGGCTTATGGTTCGGCGCAAATGGGTCAAGGCCCTGGTGACTTCCGAGCAGAAATGGGTAGAGGTCAAGGTCCTCCAGGTCCTGGATACAACCCAGCGGTTCGAACGGCTAGCCCTGGTCTCGGACCACAACCAGGCATGCCACCTCAAGGAACAGGGAGAGAAAGTCTAGGGTCTCCTCCGCTGCAAGGTGGGCCCAATGGCGCGCCACGACCAGGACCAGGCATGAATGGAGGACCTCAAAATGGTCCACCACGACCTATGCAGCAAGGTCCTTCCAACGGCGCTGCTCGAGGGCCATACCCCGGTTCTGGTGGAAGCATCAACGCGCTGCCCTCGCGACACAATGGTCCGATGGCCGGTCCGCCAGTCAAGCCGGTCTTTGGAGTGTCATTGGACGACCTCTTTCAGAGGGATGGAACGGCGGTGCCGACGATCGTGTATCAGTGTGTGCAGGCCGTTGACCTGTACGGGCTTGACGTCGAGGGTGTCTACAGAACCTCGGGGTCTGCGCATCACATTATGGAACTGAGAAGGCTGTTCGATCAAGGTAAGAAGAAGTATTTGTGTTTTCCTTTTTGGGTGATTCTCGACACGACCAATGCTGACCGTTCACCACCAGACGCCAGTGCGGTCGACTTCCGCGACGCGACGAGCTTCTACAACGACATCGCGTCGGTCACGACGCTCCTCAAGCACTTCCTCCGCGACCTGCCCGACCCGCTGCTGACCGCGGAACAGTACCAGGCCTTCATCGAAGCCGCGAAGCTCGACGAGGACATTGTCCGTCGGGACTCCATCCACGCCCTCGTCAACTCCCTGCCCGACCCCAACTACGCCACCCTCCGGACCCTCGTCCTCCACCTGCACCGCGTCGCCTCGCACAGCGACAAGAACAAGATGACGCAGAGCAACCTGGCCATCGTGTTCGCGCCGACCTTGATGGGCCGCGCCGGCGGCACAAACGGCCAGGCACCCGGTGCCGGTGCCGACATTGCGGACGCCGGGTGGCAGGCCAAGGTCGTCGAGACGATCTTGAACAACACCTTTCAGATTTTTGACGACGATGAATGAAGCAAATCAGTGAAAAGGGGTTTTCCCCTTGTAATATCAATTTCTCTCTCTCTTTTTTAACATCTTCAACCTGGGGAATTTGTCTTCAGTGTTGATTTTCGGCATACATAAAGTACTCACTCGTCCGGTCTGTGACGAACATGGCTCAATGGGTGTGTTCATTTTGGTTGATGGCGCGATCGAGTGAGTGAGTGGGTCGCTGGGGGTTATTATTTTGTTCGTTTTTCTACAAGGGAAGCGGACGGGAAGGACGGACGGACGGCACGAAATGATTCATCGACACTACCAAACTTGCCTACCTGGTAGGTAGGTAGGTATCTACGAGTATACCTTGAGAAGTCGAAAATGTCATCACAGTAATCGGTGTCTTTTTGCGATCTGAGCATTGTTTCAGTGTTGGAATGTCAATCTACTTTTTTGTATTCTCCACTCATACGTGTACTTGCAGCTGTGTTACCCAACGCAACGGAGTACCCATGTACGGCACAAAACGCTGCCTGTACCAACAGATGAATATCACGAGGACCACAGCCGCTACGACCGCCACGACCTCAACGGATATCATGTAGATCGTTGCGCGTCAGCATCCACCCCTCCGAGTCCGGGAGGTAACTCGGCGGCGCGGTGAATCGTTTGATCTCGCTGCTGATCCTCCGCTGTCCGACCCAGACCTGCCGGTGCTGGTAGTTCCTCTCCCGGTGTTTCGTGGTCAGGATGGTCTTTTCGCCCCGCCTCCTCGCCACCCAGCACATGGTGTCGATCATGACGAAGGACGGGATGGCGGCGATGGACAGGACCTGCAACGACGGGCACTCGGTGCGCAGGTGCTCAAAGACCCGGATGGCCTGGTCGTCCGAGATGGGGACGCAGTGCGGCACGCTTCGGCTGAACCGGGGGGAGTCCCTCGGCACGAAGGGAGGGAACAGGCGGAGATGCCGCAGGCGCCGGAACTTGGAGATGGCGTTCAGGAACGAGTACTGCTCCACGTCCACGTCGACGCCGGGGATCGCCGTCGGGTGCCACAGGTTTTCGATGTACCCGATGTCCAGTTCGAGCCGCTCGAGGCCCGGGCAGATCTTCGTGGCCGCGATGATGTCCGCGGGCGACCGTTGACTCTCGGGGCTGTAGACCGACCACAGCGTGTCTTCGCGGTGCAGACGCAGACAGCGGAGTTTCGGTCCAATCAACGCCCGGATCGGGATGTGATTGCAGATGCCGTCGATCTCGAGTTCCCTCAGTCGCGCCATCTGTGTGTAGTTGATCTCGAAGGCGGGCACGATCGGCGTATCCGCGAACAAGCCGGTGGTCGGGACGTCGTACTTGCAAGCCGGATGATAGAGTCTTTGGTGGTCAGCCCGCAGCCGCAGCGCCTCGAGGTTTCCCAGTTTCGGGGCCACGTCGAATATGAATTGATTCATCGGCATTGCGTACTCCCACAAAATGGACAGCCTGAGAAGGTTGGCCCAAGGCACCAGCGTCAAATCGAGATCTCGTATGGAGTAAGTGGTTGTTCCACAAGCCCGTCTGATCAGAAGCCGCAATTCGGTCCAGGAAGGCGTGTCCTGTATACAAGCGCCCCCGTGCGTCGCTCGCGCCGATCCCTGGGCCTTTCGGTTGTCCTTTAGCAACCAGGCCATGTGTAGATCTACTGCGGCTGCCCGAGCTATCGCATCATACGTAGCCTGGCTATTTGTGGTGCGTTGCGACGGTGACAGTCCATAGGCCCCTAAGGCGAGGCGATGCCTCCGGGCGAATGTCGCTAGTTCGGTACTCGCCTCAATTAAGGTTGGCCAATGTGACGAGGTATAGATATGGTCAAAGATTATTTCGTACAAATGGTCACTCGGTAACACCTTGAGTATCTCGAGAGCAATAGCAGCTGAACAATCCATTCTGATGCGATGGAGGCGAGTCATCAACGGTAGGCTCTTCTTGATTACTTGCAGGTCGGCTCCTTTGTGTTCCTCTGCAAGGCATTGTGCACTAGCGGCGTCCAACGATGGTACAAACCCACGTATATCGGCAGGTCGTGCAATGTGGAGATCCTTGACGTGACGCAAGAGATGAGGATGGTTGAGGAAACGCCTCAGAGCTCCATGTTCTTGCTGGTCCAAACGATCCCTAACGACGTGACTGATGTTACTGAACAAGAAAGGCAGCGCCGACCGACGAAACTGTCGAGACACGAGCGAAAACGTCAGGAGCCCATCTGCAAGTCCAAAGCCGCCATCAAAGAGTTCGTTGGCAATAAGATCGACTATCTCAGAAGGCAATTCTTGGAATGTTGTCGCGTGCTCGGTTGCCAGAGACGGTACTCGCATGGATTTGAGAGCCAACATGGTTCTCGGTGGTGGTCTTCTCAGATTTCAAAACGGTAGGCGGTGCCAGACCAGCCATTATAGCCTGGAGAGAAGTCTCGCAATAAAAAGAGTGAAGCTGAGGATGGTGATGTTTCTCTGTTGACCACCATGTCCCCGCATGACGCCGTGATCGGAAGGCGAAACTGCGGGATCAGGCGCTGCGGAACATCATTTTTCCGCTATTGACCGGGGGTCGACAATGCTATGATCACTGGGCATGGATGTCTTAATTGTTGTGTTGGCCTTCAATTTGAGAATATCGATGCATATCCAGAGTGGCACATGATCTGAATGCCCGCGGTCTATAGCGTTGTCACAGATGTCAGTGTCAGTGACAGCATTCAACTCTTCCACAAGTTGGCGGCTGACAATACATAGGTCAACTCTGTCACCACTGTCTCCCCATTGTTTACCTCGTGGGCGATAAGAGTATTTCCTGGTGTCACCATGTATATGCCTGAAAACATCGATGCCACGTAATCCCGTCTCCTCAGTGAAGAACTTGGCATTAAAATCTGCTCGATTCGTGACATGCTGCACCGGGGTTGTTCGTAAATTGGGATAGCCGTCGATTCTTGCTCTTGCGATATTCATATCACCTATAAGAACAACATACTTACCTTCTTCTTCAAACTTACATGCCTCGGCGAGCATCATGTTATGGAAGCGTAGTTTGTGGTCATGTCTCGTGCCAACAACTTTGCCCGTCGCTGGATCACGATAGGGGTTTGTTGTTCCGTTAACCCAATAGCCGTTGATGATCACTAAACCTGGATTCAACTCATGAATCAGAACCCTTCCTTCCAGGTCCCAGTCAGGGCGTCGCGTGGCTCGTACATTTGCGACGACATCGTCACGTATCAAAGTGGCCACCCCATGCACTTTGCCGCCAAATCCTGTGGCATTGTATTTGTCTCTAGGCAGAGAAACGTGCAGGGTGTAACAGGGTTCGTCAGAGGTGACCCCTTCGTTCGCTGCTGACTGGAGACGACGTTGAGTGGCAGTGTCCTTGGAGTTCATTTTGACTTCTTGTAGACAAAGAAAATGCGGCCATGCGTGGCGCTTCAAGAATGTTCTCAACGGCGACAGGGCAGGGTCTGAGGAAAAGGACAATTGCTTCTGAAGTAATGGCCCGACGCCATTGACGTTCCAACTGAAAATTCGAAATTGATCTGCATCTGCATGAGCATGAGGAGTGACACTTCGCGTGTCAGCCACGTGTTTTGTAGAACGTGGAATTTTCCTTTGTATGGGTGGAGGACTGATCGACCTGTGGGTGCTGCTGAGCGTCCTCTTGAGCGAAGGCGACATGATACAATTCGATCAGTGCCGCATGGATGAAAATACCTTGTCCGTTGTGACCGACATGATTCTCGATCACATACAATGATGCTGATGGCTTTGGTGGTTTAGAAGGCGGAAGCTGTGATGGTCCTTGCAATGTGGAACGTCATCGTAAAAGTTGTGTTACTGTGCGCCCTCTTCGAAAGCAGCTGGTGATGCTCGTGCACTCAACATCGGACCGAGCCGAGGTTTGGGGGGACTTTAAGCCTCAAGGGGCTTGAACAACGCAAATCTCCAAGCTACGGACAGCCTATTGATCCCCAAATCCACCTCTAGCACGGCGCCCACTCGGGGCGGAAGCTCTTGAGTTTCAGGCGACGGGGGGCATGTACGTTCACTAACGACCTCCACCAACGCCTAGAGCGCCGGAGTGTGTCTTGACTCGATGGGGATACGGGTAGGGTTCCTCCCAGGCACACCAAACCCTGGATCCCTTCTTCCACGCCCCCCAAACGCTTGGGACTGTATGGAGTATGGAGTATCCGTACATACGAGTAGACGAGCACCCTGTCAGATTATTGTTGATGGTGGTGACGGACTCTCGAAACTCCAGTCGCCGTGAAGACGTCGATCACTTGCTCAATCCATCCTTCTAACAAGCGATTGACTGATAGCCCGTAAACCGTTTGACAGCTGTTCACATTGTTTCTCTTTTTCTCTCAGCGAAGCACGCCTCCCCATGATTCACCTATCTCGACATCTTCCTGCTTCACTCACCCAAGTTGCAGTACAGCAAAAGTACAGAAGCGTACTCGACCACCCGATAAGAGCCTCACTATCTTGCTTGCCTTTCTATTGCAGCACTCTCCACGTCGCCTATTCTCCTCCCTAGTCCGGTAAGCGATGTCGAGAGTTCACCTGATAATGTACTCATGATCATGCGCGCAGGTTGTTCCTCGCCCATAACCCCTCTTTGCGACACCGTCCTTGAAAACACTCTCGGCCCAAATCTACCACCAGCCATGGCTCCAATGCCGGAGCTTTACCCTACGCTTCATCAAGTGCGCGAGCTCGAGAGTGCAGGCATTCAGGATCTTCAAGAGATTATCCAAACTTTTCCCATAATAGACAACCATGCACATAACATGTTAACCGAGGACAACGCCTTTGGCAGCACGGAATATCCATTTGAATGCATCACATCAGAGGCGCAGGGCCATGCCTTGACCGACCACGTTCACACCAGCCTCGCGCACATACGCGGTATAAAGCACCTGGCCGAGTTCTACCAGTGCCCTGAGACGCTACAGGACGTCAAAGCTGCTAGGTATGAGTGGATTCGCAGAGACTATCCAGGTCTCATCAAGAGGTGCTTCGAGGGAACACATGCAATCATGATGGATGATGGGCTTATACCGGAGGTGATATACCCATTCAAGTGGCACAGGCAGTTCGTCCCTACAGTCTCTAGAATTGTACGCATCGAAGCCGTTGCGTCGGAGCTTCTGGAACACCTCGCTCATGCAGCCGGGTTTATGAGAGTGGGCCTGGACGCCGATTGGGATATCAGCCAGACTGAGAGCTTTCTTGTCCGTTTCAACACTGTCTTTCGCAACCAAATACGAACCATGGCCAATGATCCAGATGTACGAGGTTTCAAATCAGTCATCTGCTACCGGACAGGCCTAGATATCGGCATAGAAAGCCGGAAGAACTTTCGACCACACCAGTCATTGACCGACTCGGTCTTACTACGGTCTTTCCATCACTTTTTGCAAAAGGCCGTTCGTGACTCCAAATATCGCATCGAACAGAAGGAGGTCAATGATTTCTTGGTGGTTGCGGTGTGTGATGTGCTCGAGAAGCTTGTGGACACGGATGGTGAGAACCTTCCGTTCCAATTCCATACCGGACTTGGTGACAACGACATCAACCTGATAAAAGCAAACCCGGCCTATATGCAACCTCTCATTGAAGCCTTTCCACAGGTCGACTTCGTTATTCTCCATTCCTCGTACCCCTACACAAGAGAGGCAGGCTATTTGGCTGCCAACTTCTCCAACGCATGGCTTGACATCGGGGAGGTTTTCCCCATGCTTTCCAGAGATGGTGAAGAATCGGTTCTGAGACAGGCTCTGGAATTGACCCCTGCCTCCAAGATCCTGTGGAGCACCGATGGGCATTTTTATCCCGAGACATACTGGCTTGCAAACAAGCATTTCCGAGAAGCACTTGAAAAGGTACTGACGGCATACGTCGCGGCTGGCGATATCAGCGTACCTCAAGCTATTGATATTGCCGTGGATATCATGTTTTGGAACTCCAACTCACTGTACAAATTGGACGAGGAGCGTAAATTTCCCGAGCTCTTAAGAGCTTGTGGCAGAGAGACTGTGGACAGCATGCGGACCTTGGTCAATGGTGGCTCGAAAGCACCTTCATTCCGGTCAAACGCAAGCACCACCGTTGCAACACCCGGGATTCCATCAGCCCGTCCAGGGTTCTCTTCGTCCCCTGCCACATTGACGGCGACGAATCAAAACCTTGCCATCCGCTCCACAAGCATCAGCGCACCATCCGGGCAAAACGCGACGGCCATGTTCGCCCAGAACTTGACTCATTTCGATGCCTTCTTGCAAACGAACCCCGGCGTCAAGTATATCTGGAATCAATATCTCGACTACACGGGTACACTGCGCAACCGGATGGTCACGACGCAACAATTCCGAAAGCTCATCGCCACGGGCAAATACATGGGCTGTACAACCGCGATCTCACGTCTCCTTCAAGACGACAACGGTGCCTCTGGCGTGTCCGCGACGGGCCAGTTCATCCTCGCTCCAGATTTGTCTACGCTCTCCCTCAATAAAGGTATTCCCTCGCCCTCGGCGACGGTGCAGACATGGTGGATGCTCGAGTCGGACCACGACAATCTCAACCTGAGCCACTGGGACCGCTGCCCCCGTTGGCTCCTACAGGCCCAATGTGACGCGTTGAAGTCCGAGTTCAACATCTCCATCCTGATGGGCTTTGAGCTCGAGATCGTCTTCATGCGCCCGACCTACAACGAAGAGAGATCCGACTTTGCCGACTTTGCCCCCGTGCACATGGTCCACTCCTGGACGAACATGACGTTCATGCAACTCGACATGTTGCCCGTGATTGAAGAGATTGTCGAGATGCTGGCGGAACTGGACATCCACGTGCCGCAGTTCCACTCGGAAGCCGCCCCGGGACAATGGGAGTTCCCCCTGCCCGCCTTTGAGCCCGTCAAGGCCGTCGACACGATGTACAAGGCGAGGGACGTGATCCGCAACGTCGCGAAGAAGCACGGCCTCAAGGCGACGTGCTACCCCCGACCGTTCGCCTTCACCTGCGGGTCCGCGAACCACGCCCACTTCAGCATCAACGGGCCCGGGAACACGCTGGACCGGCACGAGGGTCCGTTCCTGGCCGGGGTCCTCGAGCACCTCCCGGCGATCCTGGCCTTCGCCATGCCGATCGAGGAGTCCTACCGGCGCATCGGGGCCGGCATCTGGGCCGGAGGCGAGTACGTGTGCTGGGGGAGCCAGAACAAGGAGGTGCCGCTGCGCAAGTGCGGGCCGGGGCACTACGAGCTCAAGACCATCGACGGCATCGGCAACTCGTACCTCTCCATGGCGGCCCTGCTGGCCTCCGGCCTGCACGGGCTGAGGCAGGACATGAAGCTCGAGCACCGCGACTGCGCGGGGGACCCGACGGAGATCGGGGAGGAGGAGAGGGCGAAGCTGGGCATCACCGTCAAGCTGCCGGACAGCCTGGAGAAGAGCCTGAGGGCCCTCGACCGGGACAAGACCCTCCGGCGCGGGCTGGGGTACGCCGCCGTGGACGACTACCTGGCGACGGCCGAGAGCCTGATGCAGAAGCTGAGGGGCTTCGGGGAGGAAAAGAGGCGGTTGTGGTTGATGGCGAGGTATTAGTCTCACACGGAGAACGTACACTTGAATATAGAGGGAGGAAGGAAGTCAGATACGGGCCCCGTCTTGTCATCGTGGTCGAGACGACGTTCTAGGTAATTGAGCGTGCATGTACAGCAGAGCGAGCGCTATATTTCCCTTTTGTTGTTGTTTGGAGCTGCCGGTCTGAGTGCCTGGGTTTGATTTGCTTCGAGCAAGAAGATCTGTACGTTGTGTAGGAAACGGCGTTTGCTTTGCCAGGTTTGAAGTATTTTCATTCACAAACTAGACCAGCTTTATTTCACGTCCCAAGCCCCTCGGGTCGTTCATCTAGGTCCCGGCGTACCACACAACATTTGCTCTCCAGCTTTACAAGTGTGTCGGACGGCGAGTTTCCAAACTCCGGAGCTCACAACCCTGCTGGCGTAGTAGACGCCACTGAGAAGCGTTTACCGATTGAGTCAGTCCCAATTCCGGGCCCATCTGACCGGATAGGAGCCATGTTCCTCGGTTTGGTCGAGCCACCAGAGAAGAAATTGGCCAGATCTTTGACAATCGACCTCCTGACAGGGACTGTGTCTTGCGACGGCGGCGCCGACTCAAGCGGCCGAGACGCAGTCCCAGAGTCTTTGGGTGTCATCGCAATGACCGACGCTGTTGTCGATGGTTTGCGTAGTGACCGTCGCCGCTTAGCAACCGAGTCCTCACACTTGACGGGTGTCGCAGTTCCAGTATCGACGAGGGCCTTGTCCTTTGGTTTGGTACCAGCGGCGGTCTCTTGAGAGCTGGTCTGACTCACTAAATCATCGGAGCGACGGTCAATGGACGATTGAACATTGGTGTCAGTGTCACCCGCTTCGAGAGCGTCGGCTTTGCCAGAGCCAATGGCAACTTCTTGTGCTGGAGTTGCAGGTGTGGCTTCAGCCGTCACGCTCCTGTCAGGCTTCGAGGATACTGATGACGGCTCGTGTATAACATGGTCTGCATTGTCTGAGAGTCGAAGAGAAGTAGATAAGGTTGCTGATGCTGTGCCGACTGCCGGCAACGTGGATCGTCGTCGTCTTAAATTGTTCTTCTCTCCATGGCCGGGTAATGATCTTTTGTCCAGCAGTCCCAACTAAGGAGGTACTAGCCTAGGGCCATTCTTCGAGTCTCCAACCGTGGTGACTTGAGGATCAAGTGGCCGACTCAATGAGATCATCGAGGGATGTCCGTCGACGATGTTTGCGGGGACTTTGATATTGTCCTTTTCTGACTGCGACTCTCTGACATGTTGTTCTAGTTTGTCCAAAGAATCGGGCTGGTCACTGCAGCGGGCACATACAGGTGGATTTTGTACCGTCATGCCGCGCTTGTGAGGTTTTCCGGTGCCATCCAGGTATGAGGGTGGAGGTAGCGGTGACTGCAAGAGAAAAAGAACCCTTTCAGCATTTGGCAGAATCAAATTCAAGATGTGTAGGTCTCACCGCACAGACGAGACATGAAAAACAACTCCAATGCCACTAGCACCATCCGAAGCTGACGGTATCGGTTTTCCTGTAGACTACTTCGCCACATCTCCAGCAGACGCTGAGGCTATGGATCCATCTCCAACAGTCTGTGCATACGATGCGACTTTCGAGACCAAAGGTGTGAGGAGGGGGATCATGTTCTGTCCGACAGACGGTGCAAGTAAAGGTATATGTCAGTTCTTGGTCGGTTTGCGATACTGGCTGGTCAGGAGAGATTTTGGTAGGAGGAGTAGAGGATGACAAGGTCTCGGATATGGAGCGGATGGGAGGTTGTGGTAGTGAGACGTTGGACCTTGAAGCCGCCAGGAAGTGCTGCGGATAGGCCATGAGAATAAAAAAACATTGATTATGAAGATGATGAAAACGAGAGTACAAGGTCAGGACTGAGCAGGAGAGACAATCCGAGAAGTCGGATTTCGAAGCGAAGTAAAAGAAACAAAGGTGGGTTTCATCGTGACTTCCGGAGTGTGTATAGGCATGGCTCTTTATGGAGTACAAGTACAGCTACTATTATCGCACCAGACTCACACACACACACACATGTATGCTACCGATAGACACACCAACCGTAGCTCCATCCCCCACGCTTAGAACCCCCAGTAGCTCTTGACCAAATACGCAGCATATGAGCTCATGCCAATGAGAAATCCAGTTGTTCCCACGTATCCCACTCGTCGACCCGAGCCGATGGCATTCTTCATCCTCATCCCCAACTCAACGTGCAAGATGCGGAACAATAGTAGAGCCGCCAATGAAGCGGTCATGACCCGACGGTTTGCTCCATTCAGCTCGGCGATGGCCGCCAGGATCAATGCGAACGGTACATTGTCCGCAAAGTTGCTCTGAGCTCGGCATGCGACAAAAAGGTCGCTGTGGCGTGAATGATCGGCCGACTTCCCTTCACTACCACCGGAAGATGTCTGAGGAGAATCACCTAGGGCCGTCTTCTCAGCCAGCCGGATGAGGCTGACGCGGAAATTGAGCACGGTGTAGTACACCGCGAATGCTTCACTCTAGTCAGTGACTGCCATCTTTTTTTTGGATAGGCCAATGCCCGGGACAACTGGAACAGACCTGGTGCGAATGTCCCTGTGACAGGAAGCAGTTTAGGTACTGTGATTCCCACTGTAAGGCCGTTAGTTGACGCGGAGCCGAGGAGGTGTTGATATTGTTGTTGTTGTTGTCCTACCTGGTACAGACATGGCTTTCTCAAGGAAGGTCGGACAAGTGGGTATGATCTATAGTCTAGGGATGTGTTGACCAAGGATGACAATAATCGGCTTTTCCAAAGGAATGGATAGAATAGATGGACACAACAATAAGAACGATGATTGTGATTAACCCTAGGTATATCCGCAAAGACCTCGGGACATATTGACACCTGGTCTTATTGTCTTAGGTCTGGCTGATATTGCCCGTCATTTGAACATTACCACGGATTATTTGCATTCCGCTCTCCGTGCCTCGGATGAATGTCTTTCTACGTCATACAGTGAACAGACCGCCTTACTGTTCATTCCTTACAAAAAAAATATTCAGTATTATGGCTGCAAGGTTCATTCATATGCTTATGCTTCTTCCGCACGAACAACCTTTCACCACCACTATGGGACGGTTGCCTTAGAGCGAATTCTTGGAATCGCCCTGACTAGGATTCCTCTTTCCTACGCTCTTGTCACCAGTCCTCTTCTGGTGCTGTCCGGCGTCGACCTGCACATTCTCCACACCACCGCTCACACCTCCGCAATTGACCACCATCGAGCAAGAATCACATGTGTTGCTGCCACGCTCCTTTCGCTTTTTGTCGTCGCTCTTCCAAAACATGTCACCAAAGTTCCCTACGCCTTCGAGCTCAGTAAGAACAAACGCTCATGATCGATCACGCGTACCATTTTCCTCGAGTAAGCTGGTGTATGGTTTGCCCTGTGGCTGGTTGGATGCCATGGTGTTTGGTTGATTTGCTTGCTGTCACTTGAAGCGGCTCTTCTAGCAATGACGGTTCTTCTTGGGTGGTCTTGACTTGGATATGACCTGCACATTCACCGGGGATGAAATGGATGCAAAACTTCCATCTCTGTGTCGCTCGACAAGAGCCATGGCTCTCTTTTTTATATGCTTCTATCCAGTCCTGGGTCTGGCGTTTTCCATGCCAGCTCTGCCCTGCGCAGACCAGGGCTCGCATCCAAAAAACAGTGTGCAGGGCCCTCATGCACCTACAATGTCCACAGTATCATCATTGGCGGATACCCCAGTATAGATAGATGAGATGGGATGATCTGAAGGTTCTGAGGTTGAATAATCCTGTTCCGACTTCAAAGGTGGCGCAAGACTAGCGTTCGGCTAGACTTCGAGTGGAGTAAGCAAGGATGTCTGCGCTGGATGTTTGGTGGACTCCAATGCGCGATGTGAGTGCATGGGTAGTCCTCCCGTCGCATGCTATAGGGACTGCCGGCTCGGCACCAGGTTGAAGGCCAAAAGGCCTCGCTTCAGTTAAACTAATCCTGGCCGCCTTTTTTTTTCAATGCAAAGGGCCTTTTTGGCCATTCACAATGCGGAAATTTGACCTCACTCTGTACTCCGTCCACCTCGTCCCTCCCTCGCATCTGACACATCGACGTCGTCCTTCCTCAGATGATGCCCACGCAAACCAATCAGTACCACGGGTCGTGATTTTGGACCAGACTATTACGCGAGTGTTTGTGGCTCTCATATACAGTGGAAACGGATGAACCCCTCACAACATGGTCTCCCGGAAGAAGTGACGAAAAGGACTAGAAGCCAAATTCCAAGGCCGAGACGAAAAGGGATGCCGCGCAAGTAGACGCGAGCCCGGGCAAAGTGCTGTCGGTGGTTCCAGTCCCAGGTGGGTCAAAACGTAGAGTCAACAGGGGTACAACTTGACAAGCATCGTTGGGAAGACCGTGAGCGAGACTGGGGCTTGACTTGATAAGTGTCACCTTTCTCGCGAGGCGCCAACTCCCCTCATTGGCGGCCTGGTCGGGAGCCTGGTCCGGATCCTGCAGCCGATCCTGCGGGCGTTACGAGTGGCACCCGGTGACACGCAGCGAGCGAGAATTCTCGTACGCGGGCGTTGAAACCGGCGAGGAAACTTCTTGATCGACTTACGCCGCCCACAATGACATGGGCAAAGAACAATGGGGCCCCAATGCGAGGGCAAACTAAATGGGTGTTTTTCGATACATGCGAACCCTGAATAGTAGAGAGAGCCTCGTTGGCCCCCTCTTTTCCCCTCTCAAAGGGCAAGGGTACCACTCGAGGTGTCCAGTATTGTTGGTATTGGATCATGAGTGTATAGCATGACCAGAACAGAGAGGGAAAAATTGAGAGGTGGAACATCTTTTTGTTGAATGTAATAGTGTAAAAGGAGTGTATTCAAATCGTGTCCAAAGCAAAACGAAAGTGATCATTATATACATGCCAGGCGAATCGCTGTTGCTTTTGCGTTCCCTCCTTCCCCCTTCCCCCTCCCACTGTTCTAAGCCCTTGGAACAAAACAAAACCCGGTCGCTATGCATAAAGAGAAGGCAAAAAGAGGGAAACCCATACAGTCAAGTTCATCCACGTGTTGACGAATTAGTTTTCTATTCTAGTAAGGGATGTTGCACCTGATCAAGCACTCCTCGACGCCCTTTGCCAGGCTGGCGGGGATGTTCTTCTTGAACTGGGCAAAGTTGTCGCCGTCGATCTGCTTGGGGAAGCCGAGGGTGGCGTCGACAACGTCCCCGTCCAGGTTGACGATGAAGTTTTGGGCGACGGAGCTGGCGCCCGGGTCCTCGGAGTTGAGGCCGGCGATGGCCACCGCGGGGTGGCAGTCGAGGTTCTGCTGGAAGTGGATGCTGCCCTGGGGGAAGACGGTGCCCTGGAACTGGGTCAGGGTGGTGTTGAACTCGGACGCCAGGCCGTTCTCCAGCACGAACCCCGTGAAGACGTTGCTGTCGGTCGCCACGGTCAGGAACTCGGCGGCCCGAGGGTGGACGTGGGGGGTGTTGAGGCCGCAGGGCTCGAAGAAGATGCCCGCCGCCGAGATGCCCAGGCCGGTCAGGATGGGGAAGTTGGCGCGCGAGGCCAGGTCGACCTGGCCCCCCTCGCCGGGCGTGACGGCCGGGTTGGCGGCCGGGTTGAAGTCGAACTTGAGGCTGGCGTCCCCCGCCGCGATTTCCTTCTGGATGTCCTTGAACCGGGCGACCGTGTTGTCGGCCGTGAGGAGCTCGGCGATGACGCCGCTGGTCGGGACCGGGTTGGGAACGGCCGTCGGGTTGCCCGGCATGCCCGTGGTGTAGCTGGCAGCGGCGCCGCCGGCGGGAGCACTCCCGTTCCAGTTACCACCGCCGGAATTCGACGGGCCGCCCATGGGGGAGGCATAGGCGGCAGCGGCGAAAGCAGCAGCGACAAAGAATGAAGTGGAATGCATGGTTTTTTTTCCGTTCGGAACTGGACCGGTCTCGATTGAATTATAGAGAATGTAAGTTGTTATTAGTTGGTTCGTTGTAGTCGAATTAAGTTTGTTGATGGTATTGATTGCTAGAGAGCGTGCGATAATTCTAGGGAAAAAAAAGAAAAAGGAAATCAAAAGGGAAACGACTGATTGGTTTGGTTTCTTGTTTGTTGCTTGTGTGATTGTGTATGAATGAGAGTATGGTCGGTTTTGAACCAAGGACAAGAGGATATATATGTACCTTTCTTTTACTTACCGTACATGTCTTACCTCGGTTGGTGTTCGATCTGCTTACTGTGGGATAGAGAGGGTCGTCGGACATGCAGTCGTTCAGTGGAGAGGAAGTGGTGCTTCTGTGTGGTGTATCGTAGCTGCGCATTATTCCTGGACGCACAGCCAAGTAGGGAAGTACAACGTACTCTCTCCCTCCACCGTCCATTGGGGGAGGAACGGAGCTGTGTTCCCTAGATTAGCAAAGGCGAAAGGCCGGATATAGAGATCCCATGGTGCAAAGTAATCGATAACAACGAAAGGTAAGCACCAATGGATGGGGAGTGGATGTCAGAGTCCGATACTCCGTACTTATTTGTCTCGCGTGGCTCATGCAGGCGAGCGAGGCAGAGGCGAAAGGTCGAAGAGGTCGGAACGAAGGGGGAAAAGAAGAGGAAGATTTTGTCCCACATGTTCTTTCGCTATTTCTCGCCTCACAGCCAAGTTCATTAAATCAGCATTACTGAGTAATTTAGCCAGCCACTAACCCGAGAAGAGAAAGGTGAGTTGAGGCTAATGCTTTAAGCACGTATGATGATTGGTTTGATCTGCCACAATCACTGCTTAGCCGGACTACAGTACATAAATACACACATAATACTCCGTACTGTAAGCGCCCAGGCTGGCTGAAAGGCCCAAGAGAAGTACACCCGGAAGGCTGTGCAGACCGCAGCTTTCGTTCTCAGTGGGCTGAAATCGTCAAAGCCTTCGCTCTTTCCTGGACGTTGAAGGATTTGGAATATCATGCTTCACTGTGAGTACAACATCGTAAACCTGCGGCCATTCCTCATCTCCAATCGAAATTTCGTATCAGTGTTGGTAACGGGTTATCGCAAATCTTGGTGGGTCATTGAATATCAAAAAAAGGTTGATATTTTGGGAGATTGTGGGATCATCTTCCAGAATAACTCACACCCAACCTTCCATTCGATTAACCACTGACTTGATCTCTCGCCTTCTCGGCGTCGGGACCGGTCGGTTGGCTTTGGGTTTGTTTATTGGATCGTAAGATGATTCGCAATGTTCTAATGCTGGAAATCAGAATGCCACTCCAATGGTGTTGAGTCAAGGTTTCCGTTACACTGAGCGCAACCACACTTTGATATTCTTTACCCCGGGAAGCCCTTACAACAGAGCACCCGCAGTCCACTCATAAACCCGGAAACTGAAAAAAGGTTCTCACATTTGCTCTGATATTCAGGCTCCATGAACTATTCTAATGTTTCCAAGCGTCCCAGGAAGAAGGCGCATCTGTAAGCAATCCTTCCCACTGCGAATACGCCGAGTGTCCGACCTTGCACTAACAACACAATAGCTCGAAAAAATGTCGGGTCTCTATTTCTGCAAGTTTTGAACAAAAGAGTCGAGATTGAACTCCTCTTCGTATTGTCGTTCATCCCAAAGTTCGCCAACATCGTCCAGCCATCCCTTTTCACCTTTCTTTTTGACTTCTCCGGTGGCCATATCCACCATGTCTTCGTCTTTTCCACCCGCCGGCCCCTCGGGACCATTCTCTGACGTCTCTCCAAGGTTGAACAGATCCAGAATCTGATCGGTCTCCATGCTACCCAAACCTGCATTTTGCTGATTGACGACTGTAGACGCCACGTCAATCTTGAATCGTTGCAGATTGAGGATCTTCTCTTCAAGTGTGCCACGGGTGATCAAACGGTACACATTGACAACCTTCTTCTGCCCGATACGGTGAGCACGATCCATGGCTTGGATATCTTTCTGCGGGTTCCAATCATGTTCAACAAAGATGACTGTGTCTGCGCCGGTAAGATTGAGTCCGAGGCCACCTACGCTGGTGGTCAAGAGCAAGCAATCGTAGCTGGGGTCGTTGTTGAATTGGTTGACAATGTTCTGGCGCTTAGTCGCTTCGACACTCCCATCAAGTCGCAGAAACTGGACGCTCGGGAGCAGTTTGCCGAGCACCTCATTTTGCACCATGTCGAGCATTTCCTTCATTTGGCAGAAAATCAGTGCTCGATGGGGAGACACATAATTCGAAGCAGACATATCGTTGGAGTCACCTGTAACACCAATCCCACAATCGACCAACAAGTCTCGCAACGCGCTTAGCTTTGGCGCATGGGCGACATCGCGTAAGCTTGATTTGGAGGTAGCGAGCTGTTTCTGAATTGTATCGTACTGTTTGTTACCTTCTTTGACCACGAGCGCCGGTGAATTGCACAACTTGCGCATGTATTGGAGTGCCTGGAAGATGTGCTGTTTGGCCTCCTTATCAGATGAACCCACGCTGTTTTCCACCGTCTTGCGTTCCTTCTTGAAAAAGTCTTCAAACAGTCGTTTCTGCAGATCACTCAGGTCGCAGTAGTAATTCTGTAGAATCTTGGGTGGCAGGTCGTTGAGAACTTCTTCTTTGAGCCGTCGCAGGAGGAAAGGAAGGACTTGTTTGTGGAGTGCTTCAATAGCCAGCGCGCCAGCTTCCTGCTCCTTTGATGATGATTTTGCATTGCGACTGGCAGCAATGGGTTTAGCAAACCGATCTTGGAAGACTTTTTCTGTGCCTAGGAACCCGGGCATAAGGAAATCGAAGAGTGACCAAAGCTCCAAAACGTTGTTCTGAATTGGCGTCCCCGAGAGTATGAGTCGATGATTGCTGATGATCTTCTTCACCGCCTGAGTGATCTTGGCTTTCGGGTTCTTGATGAGATGACCCTCATCAAGAACACAATAGTTCCATGTGATTGCCGTTAGCACGTCGTTGTCATTTCGACAAACATCATAAGAGGTGATTACAACATCTGCAGCCTCGAGAAGGTTGCGACGGCTATTCCTCTCGGCGGGTGAGCCCACATAGGCGACGCATTTCAAGAATGGCGCATATTGTTTTATTTCCTGCTGCCAATGACCAGAGAGTGTAGGTGGGCACACAATAAGTGAAGGAAGTCGTCTCATATCTGGGGCTTGTGTTTTGGCATACTCTTCAGCTCGGATGTGGTGATCACTCGCAACGATACAGAGTGTCTGTAGGGTTTTACCCAGACCCATATCGTCACAAAGCACGCCGTGAAGATTGTACTTGTTGAGGAAGGCCAACCAATTGACACCGTCTTGCTGATACGAACGCAATTCAGCTTTGATAGCGACCGGAATCTGGAAAGGTTCCACCTTTTTGGGGTCGAGCATCTGTGACATGAACTTGCGCTCTCTCTCTCTTCCTTGAAGCAGTGCTTCGGGCATTCCCGGAGGATCTGGAATGCCAGCCTCCAGCGGAACCAGCTTCACCAAGGTGGCAAAGGATGTCGTGGCAAGGAGACGAATTTCGTTATTAGCATCGCTCATTCTGCCCAATACCGGAACAATCAAGAAGATAACATATGGCAGGATCCTGTCTCCCATGACACTGATGAGATGGTAGACGCATTCTGTAATGCCTTGCCTGTCGCGAAGGTCAAGTGGGTTGCTGATGTTCGGCAGGATTTCCTGAACCAGGGTAGTCATGCCTTCGACAGGGATAACACTGCTTAAGGTCGCGAAACACTTGGCAGCACTGTATCTGATCACGGAGAGTCTGCTGCGCATGGCTTTGCCAATCAGAGGACTCAATGACAGAGCCCAAGGATATAACCCATGATCCAGCGTTGGCAGCAGAGTGCGGAGGGCAGATAAAGCGTCAACTAACGACTGTCCTTGTTCATCATCAACCGACAGAGTGGCTGGGTCTGCAGAATCCACAAGCTGACGTACGGGACCTTCGATGAGAGATTGTAGTACGGGCAATTTCTCGAGTAGCGCGGCTCCATATGATTGTGCCAACTCATCCAGAGCTCGCTTCGCTCCACGGCGCATGATCCTAGCTTCTTTGGCTTCTTGTTCAAACCGAGCGGCGTCCGGGTGATCCTTGCGATCTTCTTCTTTCCGCAAGGAGAGCACGACATCTTCGAAACTGCGGTTTGGAGGGAATTCGGGCGTTTCGGATGTGTCAACACATGTAAACTTGACAAGATTGGAGACCAGCTTGTCAACTGGACCTCGTTTAGGACTCGCAGTGTAGAAATCGATGAGACCTGCAACAGCGGAGGCAGACCGTGCCTGCAACTCCTCATATTCCTCACCCTTGATGCTGTCCATCATACACTTGATCAGTTGGCCAGGCTTCTTGGGAATCTCACCCAATCGAATAAAAACTGAGGCTATGGTGGCTCTGACAGCCATCTGCCGACTGTCCTTGGCTTTTCGTGCTTCGTCCACGGCTATCTTGGCGTTCGCGCGGGCATCGTTCAAATACTGTACGCCTGAGACTCTTTGTGCAGGAGTTAGGCCCTTGAGTAAACGGTCGAAATCTGTCGTGACAATCCTTTCGGCATCCTCAAGCGAAAATGCTTTAGGGCCCGCACCAGTGGTCCCCTGGCAGACTACAGCTATTGCTGGCAGACGATCCCGAGGTACATGGGCATTGTTCTGGAATGCGCTCACGAGAGCCTGACATTGACCTCTTGCAGCCTGTAAGGACGACACAATGTCGGAGTACCAGTTGCTGCCGTCGTCGTCCAGTGCCTTTTGTAACTCGGCTAGGATCGCAGGAGTATTGGGAGGCTTGGAGGGTTCATTCTTGGCAAGCTCTTCTAGGACCATTGCAGAAAAGAGCCTCGAGCTGGAATTCTCGGAGCTGGTAACTGGCACAAGACTTGCCCAATAGGTGGTGATCATAGATTGATCCTGTTTGCTCAGGAGGAGGCCGAGCGCTTCGGAGCAGGCTATTCTTGTTCGTAGCATGACTTCCATGCCCACCAGCTCAACATCGCCATGCAACATGTGACCATCCGTGTTGTGAGACTGCTGTTGGGCCGAGGCCGGCTCCGACTTTTCTAACTTTCTGCGCTTCTTTGGTTGTTGGTCTGATTCCGAAGTTCTTCGGTGCTTTGATGAAATTGCAGCCATCGTTGCACCTGAGGGCCTGATCAGAAGTGAAGTATCCATTGGAATCGGACTTCGTGGTTGACCGATAGGCTGGATCGCAGCCCTGATCATTGCCATAATGTGGGGCTCTAGACTCGAGACAAAATTCTGCAGTCCTTGACCGTCCATGAAAGCAACAAGTGCTCGCCATACTTCGAAAGACTTCCAGAGTACACCTTCGTTTCTCTCCAGCAGCATGTTCTGAAAGATAAGTCTAGTGACTCGGCCACCGACCCAGCCCATATTGCCAGAGTGTGAAAGATTCAGGAATGTCGCCAACGCCTTCAGCACCGCCATCCTCACGCTTGTTATAGTGTGCCTAAGGAAAAAGTAGAGACGTGGCACAAGTGATTCAAATGACTGCTCCGGGTCTTCTTCTGCATTCGAACGCATCGCGTCCACCACTTGTTCATATGAACAAAGCGTGGCTAAAAGGTCCATCACAGCACCTGTGCTGGCGCTGAGGTCGTCTTGCATGTCGAGTAAACAATCCCACACCACGCTGATGAGCTGTCCCAAAGATTGTGGTCGCATTGTCGTAAGTTCACCAGCGATAGGAACCAGTGTTGCGGCACTAACTGACTTCACATCGTCGTCAGGGTGAGCAAGACCCCGAACCACGGCGGAAACTACTCCATCAATGAGGTCAGGCTGCTGAAGGAGAAGATCTTTCCGGACTGCAACGAAGTAACGAAGGCCGATCATGCCTCCGTGGCAGACCTCCCAGATGGGTTGCTTCAGTCCGGTATCAGTCTGATTAATCATCTGCTGTAAAAACATGTAAACAGCAATAGCAGTCTCATCAGGCAGCTGAGTAAGTAGAGCACCCAGTGTCTGGCCTATCGACTCGCGAATTGGGGCGACGACGGTGTCGGAAACATAGTCACCAAAGCGGTCCAACATTAGGACGCATAGGAGACGACAGGCAAGATCATCCAGCCAGCGTTTGTTGGCAATATCATTTTCGGCTCTCGTCTTGCCGTAGCGTCGCCCAGCACCCTTGCCATGTACACGTAGCACTTCCCTAAGCCCCATTGCAGCACCATGCCGAATTTCCCAGTTGGGATCAAAGAGGTCGATGGAGAGAAAATCACACATGACATCGAATGGCCAGTCACGCGCATGTTCCTCATCTGGCTGTATCAATGGCTTCTCCGAGACATCTTCGCCTTTAAATTCGGAAACGAGTGCTGTGTCATCATCCGGCCCTTCTCGCTTGATGGAGAAATAGTCTGGGGTCGAATCTCCATTGGATTCGTCGTGCCCGTTCAACTTGACTGCGTGCGGTGTCGCAGAAACTGGAGTTTGACTGGGCTCTGACGTGCGACGTACCGAGAGGTCGACCACACGCATCTTACTGGCACCAGCTTTGGCAGCATATTTGTTCTTGCGTTTGAGTTGATTGAGTTGTCGTTTGCTCAATCCAGCCTCTTCAGACAGAGCATGTCCATTATTTTCTGAAGGCGAGAGTGCCGTGAAAGGAGATGCTGAGTTCAAGCTATCTTGTCGTGTAGCAGCACCAGACTTCGTGTCAACGCGGGGCAAACCGGGTGTCTGCGCTCCCTTGGCTTGGGAACCGGCCGCAAAGTCATGTTCATTCACCAGATCTTCCTCAATGTACTCACCGCCGAGACCTAGACGGGCAGTGAGATTCTGTTTCTGATGTGCCAGTCGTTGAGCGGGAGTCATGTTGGCCATGGAATACTCGTATTCTTTTCCAGCACTCCCAAGCAGCTTCTTGCCGTGTTTGAGAATCATCTTGATATCGAGGGTTGCCAGTTGAAGCAGGTCATCGGCTCCAGTGCCCGTGTCCTCAAGCTTAACGCTCGGGTCCTCGGGCTTAATCTCCTCTGACTTGGTATCTGCATCGTCGGAGTTGGGATCGAACTTTTCGGCATTTTCCACAATGCCACCAAGAGCTTTGGCGGCGGCTGTGCGGGTATCCCATGACTTGGACTGCAGGTACGGGAGCACTCTCCCAAGCAGAGCAAAGAGATTGTCTGGGTTTTGTTTCTGAACATCAGCCAATTGTTGAGCAGCAGTGTTTCGTATTAGTTGTGTGCTGCCCTTGTCCAGCAATCTAAAAAAGAGGGTTGTCAGTGATGGGATTGTAGTAAGGAGAACAGCCTATGCTGTGTTGTAGATGGTGTGTCTTAGAAGGGAGGCAACTCACGTGACTAGCCTATCGAGCCTGGACCAAAAGAGTTAGTCATCCTGGGGAGCAGAACGGATGGAAAAAGAAGTGTCAAACCTTGAAGCGGCCATGCTGGGCAGCGCGAAATCAATTCAGCCGCAACCAAATCAACTAACAATGCCGGCGCCATATAATGCAAGTATTATTCGCTGATCAAGTTACACTCGTTCGCGATGATGATGTCGTGATAGCGCACAGATGGCGAATGAAAATTGGGATGAGGGGAGGATGGAATAATCCAGTATCAATACGCGTGTGTTGCGGGCACAAAAGGCGACGTGCACGGGTGAAATTATATGGTATCGTGGTGAGGAATCGTGCCAGAGCCTCGCGAAAGGCGTTCAAGGGCTGCAGGCAGTTCGGGGTCGGAGCAAGTGGTTCAGAAAACTGGCGGCGTGTTGATTATGAGGAGGAGTCTGGTATGGCTTTAAATCCTCGCTTGCCCATGGGCCCCTGGCCTCTGATTGCTCCTGCCGCTGCTTGTTATCCACCCGCACCACGCTAATCCCAAACCAAGCTTTTTTCTCACAAGTGTCTGCTTGGCACGCTGGAAGGAGCCTGATACACCACATATGTAGAGTCCAGACATCTGGAGCAGCCAAAGTACCAAGTACAATCATCACTGCTGTTCCTTGTCGTCATCTATCATGTTCCTTGTTCACACTGCTTGCTACCATATGGGCCGTCCTGAATATCTAGAAAAGTGGCCAAGTCATCCTTTTTAAATGATCACCTACACCTGTCCTTTTCAAAATGCCACTATCAAGTCTCGGATTCACAGAGTTGCCTCAGCTAGTTCATTAATCTCTGACGCAGTACTCCGTATGAAATAAGAATACTTTGTGTGGACATCGCTCTCCTACTGCACACCCGATCACATTTTCACCGGCCAAGGGAGACTGCAAGAACATAAACACAAGGGATGGCCATCATGTTTCAAGTATGATGCGATAAATCCTTTAGAATGCTACCCTGGAAACTTGATCAGATACAGACGATTATGACACATGGCCTCGTCACCCTTCGTAGAGATCGATGCCCAAACAAGAAATCGTCTGATCCAGGTAGTTCCGTGATGGCAGTAGATGTCGCTAGTCGAGACCTGGGCCTATTGAAGGGGAGAAAGACTTTGCTCTGCCCTTGTGCACTGATAGGTGATGCCTAGCAGGCTGCGTTATCATCGCGCCCATCCCATTGATGCATAATTTCTTGTTCATTTGTTCGCCTGCCCGTTGTTCCATATGTACATATCGTAGTCTTTTCTCTACTCCACGACAATTGCCATTCGCCCCGGGATCGATCCCATCCAGAGTATTACCCTTCTGTTCATGATGCATTGGGTTGTAGTATAGCCTTTGTTTCGTCCTCCTTGCCGATTAAACCAAGACTCTGTATCTGCCCGACCTTGGGTGCATTCTCTCGAGGGCTTGCTGCTTGGGCTTTCCGGAGCGCTATTTGAATCGCCATTGCGCGTGCATACTGTGGAATAACCTAGTCAGCATTTCATCCATTCCCGTGCACTTATCATCATGCTACCAACCTCTTTCTTGTGGTGTAGGCATTCGTAATAATCTTCTAATCGCGGCGCACAGACACCCTGTTTCCTCGCTTCGGGATCATTCTGATTGATCACATAGCATGACATGTATTCTTGCCAGAAGGGAAAGCATCGTGAGACACCTGGGAAGAGAGACTGGTCAGTTCGACGAAGCTTCGGGATTGTTCAGGGCGGACTGCGGGTGAATTGCAACAGCAAGGGTTCAAGGTCCACATACCACCAGTCAAGCCGTAGCCAGACGCCATGTTGACAGATGAATTCGTGCTTTGCTTCAATCATGCACGGGAGGAGAATTGGTGCTCGTTGTTGTCACAATGGGTTGAACTGTAAAGTGATTGAAGGTCGTTGGAGCTGCGGCCAAGCTTGGATCTCCAACGCGGGCGAATGATTCGTACTCTTACCGTACATACTGTAGCAAGCCTCGCCAGCCTGCGCTGCGGAGAAACTTGACGTGTTTCCACGTAGCATCTTTACTTTATTTCCCCTTCCATCACTAGGTACAGCAACTGGATCATCGCAAAATGCTGCCACCATCTTGACAGTATGGCCAGTCTGAACAAGCTGTCAGACGCTCATGTTCTCCTTCTTGCCGTTGAACAGACCTCAAATGGAGATCTCCAGGCTCTCCAGGTCCTCCTCGCTCGGTTTCCAAACGTGCTCTCGCGAACTATAGTATACCGCCTCGTGCTATCCTTCTACCCCGTCGACTCACCGGACCAGACACCTCTTGTCGATTTCCTCAAGGGCTTAAATGGTGGACAGACGGATTCGGAAAGCCATCCAAGCATCAGCGTCAATCCCTTAATATCGTCACTTTCGCAAAACGATGCCATTCGACAGTGCCGAATCCTGAGGCTCCAATTTATTCCTGAACACGCTCCTCAAGACACTGATGACGGTCTAGCCAGCTTCGTAATTGAATGGGCCAGACGACTAGAAGGGCTGGGTGGCACGTTACAACCTCTCACGGCGTTTATTGAACAATTCGTCACGCTTAGTCCTGATCTCAAGTCCTGGTACGAGACCAACCTTGTCCCTATACTTCGACTTCAATATGACTTCTACCCGGAATCGGACGATGTTATACGACTCCAAGACCTCGAGAATATGACAGTCCAAGAAGGTGTGAGCTCACTTCTTCAGTGTGCCAGAAGAACACGTAATGCATTCGACATTGCAAGAGACCTGAATCATGTTGTCGCACCCTGGGTGGCAGGAGCCAGCCAAACAAAAAGAAGGCGGATCGATCATACAACTGAGGACTCAGATCAGGAGGAACAACCATGGGAGTACGTGAACGAGTGGTTGATCAATGAAGGCCTGAAGGATTTTGCGGTTGCAGCAAAGACATTCGTGGAATGGAATGGTCCTCCAGAAGAGCAAGAGGTGCCAGAGTCAATCGCCAATTATGCTCGAGCAGGTCTCGCCATCATCTATAGCTGCCCAGAAAGCTCCCGAGATACTCTCACGATATCTTGGGATGTTCTGTCGAAGGCTGTTAAGCTTACAGGACTCATGATGGCGAATCTGTCAACATCCAGACCGAATGTGTCATTGGACGAATCTTTTGTGCGGAATTTGCAAGATTTCGACCTGCTCCCTGCTTCCCTCTCCAAAAAGACGAATCATTTCACGCACGTTACAGAGTCCTCGACTCACTTTGTGGGAGGCGTGTTAGCTACAGCTTCGCTTCTGACGGAGTTAGGATTGGCGTCTTCATTTGGTGAAATTGCTCGAACGTCCATCTTCGGCTCAGAGCGGCGACACAAGGACGAACTCCGGCGTATCCTCCAGCAAATTCCCCGCCAGACTCGTAAGGAGATCGACTGGCGCTCTATGCGTCTTGACCTGCTCTGGTGCCAATCTTGGTCATGCAATCCAGTGACTACGCCTGACCAGGGTCCGGCATATCTCCGACAGCTATCCGTCAAGTACGTTGAAATGCAAGTCTTGGATGCTCTTCTCAACGCAGCACAATATACTATTGTTAAAGAGGTCTACATCAACTCTCACGCATCTCCATTAGCCACTTCGGACGTCGAGGCTCGCATAGTTGCTGCTATTTATGATGCTTACGACAATGCCAGTAATGGCAACAAGGACCGCGGTGGCATGAAGAGATCAAACGAGATCCTGCGAGCCTTTAGAACAGACTTCCCACAGTCTACCGCCATGGCTGATATTGAGCACTTGATTAGAGCGACACACAGTCTGTCATTCTACCACCTGACCTTACAACATGGCGTGCCTTTCAGACCTGTGGCTATCCGCGTGCAGAAGGATCCATTAACATTGTTGGAAAAGGTCTTGGAGCAAGATTCGAAAGCTTATACCAAGCTGGATGATTTGTTGGAGATTGGAAGGAACCTTGTTCGAGCTCACTTACCGAGTAGGGGATCGTTGGCACAAGAACTTGACCCTGTCGAACTTCGTGCGTCTGATGCTGAACAGAGAATTACCTATCATGCTATCATGGCCGCCCTTGCCGCCAACGACTTTGACACAGCCTACGCCTATATCACGACGCGTTTGTCATCTTCGACCGCATCTCCAATATCCAATGTTGCCGATGATGTCTCGTGGCGCGCTGCCTATGCGGCTGGAAAATTCCGACCCAGCGTATCCCCGAAGAATTTGAGCTCACAAATAGATAGTCTGGCTCAACGCATGGAACTTCTCTCTCGAGCTCTAATGCTAGCCCCTTCAGGGGAAGCATTGTCTGGTATTCTGGCCACCTGGCGGCGGTACGAGGAAGAGATGGAGGGGCTAAAGTCGCAGGCGGTGGAGGAAGAGCGTTCTTTTGATGCCAGAGCAGATGCAGCACTCCCTGGGGGTTTCGGACTCGAGGATCGTGATGCAGATAGGGATGAAACGAAGCGGACGATGGCGCGTCGGACGTGGCCAGCTTCCCGCGCCGGACCTTCGTACGAAGAAGAAGCACCAATGGGCTTGTTTGATGTTGCTAGAGGCGCAGCCACTGCTTTAAGGAAAAGCGCCGCCTTTCCACTTGGTGCTGGAGGTCTGAGAGATCTGAAAATCAGGGAAGGGGCTCAAGAATCGGAGGGTGGTTTTGGAGAGAGTACATCATCGGCCTCGGAACTCGAGGGTGGGAGGACAAGGAAACGAGACATGGTCGCCAACATGGTCACGAATAACTTGGTGAGCGGACTAGGATGGGTGCTCGGTGCACAACCACAGGATCGAGTGGACCGAGTGGATCAGGGACACGGATCTGAGTGAGGAAGGGAGGAGTTGTAACAACAACTTGAAGGGCTTGCAGATGGCCACGCTCATTGTGGTCATTGACTTCCCAATCTGAGATCAAGTGACATTGTGAGAAACAAATGAGAACTAAGAGGTGGTGAGAATCGTCAAAGACTAATATTTCTGTTCAACAATGTAAGAAAAAAGGAGCTGGATCAAAGATGTGCTGTCCCTTCCCATTGATGGTTTTGGTGCAGATGCAAACATTGTTGGGCAGTACTTCACTTGCGATTAAAGCTTCACTTGTCTCTCACTTCCTGTCGCGGTGCATCTTACCTCTGACCTCCCCCCAGTTTCTTGCTTATCCCACACCCTGACATGTTCTCACTTGCGCTGGCGACATCATCATCATTGACGACATAAGCGACGATATCACAGTGTCGCATCGCGCAGTCTGTGATGGTCTTCAAGCTCGCCGAGACCCAGCGATGGCTCCAGTAAATTCCAGGTCGTTGCAGCGACGCGACAACACAGGAATCAGCATTGCCATTATCTTGGGCGTGGTTACTGTCCTCGTTGTCCTCGGCATCCTCATCTGGGGCATTCTCCTGCCAAAATTGCGCAAGAAAAAGCCGGTTCAATACTCGGAGGACTATCTGCTTCATCTCCGCGAGAGAAGAAACAACCCTCACTTTCCGAGCCACCCTACACTCCTTCGCAGTATCGTCAAGAAACCGAAGAAAAGCGTGCCACGATATGATCCGAGAACCGAGTCACCTTTCCCCTCCCGCCCTACTCCTTTGAGAACATTCGGCTACGTGCCTATCCCATCTCCATACTCTCAGACATACCTTGTGGATCAGTCTGTCAATGGCAGCGATGGCTTGTTCACTCCGGCAAGAGTCCCTCTACCACCACGATGTGGCGTTGATAGCGGGTATAGTGAGGTTTATTGGAAGAATAAAGATATCCCGAACCAAAAGATTGCGACTGGGCTCAACGGCTTGCACGAGTACATCCTGCCTGTTCCAGAACCGATTCATCTGAAACCTCGGCCAGCTGGAAGACCACCACCGTTGACAAGACAATTGGAAAAGTTCCCGCTCCCTGCTCCAGGACTCAGCCGAAAAGGTGGACTCATACACCCCGGCAAACTCTTGCAGGAACTCGAGCAACGCGACTGCCGCTTGACTGCCGCCAAAATGTTCAATACCCGTTGTCCGAAACGTGGCACTACTGGAGGCCCTCTTTCCACAGAAGCACCTAGCTTGGGAACTACTCATGGCCACCCTTTCACCGAGGATTTGCACCAGGCTCAAGGGAATACTGAAGAATTGATGACTCTAAGCCGCACGGGCGAACCCATGTATGAGCGCAGTCACCAGTCCAATGAAGAACGAAAGTTTTTAAGTCATTATGCTGGTATGAATGCGAGAAACCAAGGCAGTCTTAGTCGATCCGCACCTCTTACAAGACCTGAAACCCCTGTCGCAGATATAAGGCAGCGTCTCGACCAGACCGCCAGCAATGAAGACTCTCAAGTTTGCCTTCCCAAAAGAGGCTGGACACCTGCTTCCAATCCTTTCACTACATCTGGCCATTCTTCAACTCCGCAAACTTCCCCTGTGGCTTCGATACCCTCGCCTCCGACTCTTACGTCTCAATTCGAAGCTGCAGATCATATGGGTGACCGACCGACTGCGAATCCAGGACTTCGAAGCCGCAGAAGAACTCCTAGCTCCTCCGCTCTTCCATCTCCAACCAAGCTCGTGTCATCCCAGCAGCTTGAACATTCCACAGCAATCAACCGTTTGAGTAAGAAGTTATCTCCTGCAAATGTCTTTGGCAAGCGCATGAACCCAATTCGCACTCTCGACGTGATGCCGGTGACGAAGAAACGGGACTTGATGCCGCGACAGTCCGCTTCTTCCCTATCTACAGTGTTCAAGCCGATGCTCGGAGGGACTCAGAGTAAGCAGAGTCATTATGCGAGCAGCACATATAGCCGCGAGACCAGAGGTATGAGCTCCGCTGGAAGTCCAGGCCTGGGTGGGATGTTCCCCGACTCAAACCATCTGACTGTGCCCAATCATCGTACCGATGCGTTGGTAGACAAGCAGAAGCACGGACGGAGCGGTTCTATGGATGATCTGAAGTCGAAAATTGACGAGTGGGATTTGCACACTGGGTATTTAGATGCGTCGTCCTTCAACTTGGTTCCACCACCACTCAAACGCACCTTTTCGGACTTTGGACCACGACGATCACCTGCATTCGACGCCAGTCGCAACTTCATGTCCAGTGAAGATGTTCAAGAGACTCGCAGCACCATATCCCCCACCATCAGACCCAAGATTCGTATTGAGCAATGGGACGACGATGTCTGGGACAATGACATGACATTGGTTCGCAATTCCGGTTTTGGTTCGACAAGCCAAGGTCAAGACACTACACGCCAGGTTAGTTCCGGACAAACACGGGAAGACTCGCCTTTGCCGGTGCCAGGAACAGGACCAGGTGGCAGTGACTGGATCTAGATGAAACTAAGAGAGAGAGGAGCAGGCAGATGACAGATTGATCTCAAACAGGAGGCGAAATGGATGTTACTTGTGTTGTGAGTTTGAAAACCAGAGAAGGAGAAGAAGAATATGCATGAAACCAGATTGTGATTTGGAGCTCATATCAGACTTGGGCTTGGGGATGTGCTTGGGACGTGCTTGAACAATACCTAGAAAGTGGATTGAAGGATCGACAATATGTAAGTAGGAGAAATGGGTCCTACTGATCGGTAGCTCATCATGAAATGAAGCCAACGAGAGTTTCTTCAAGGGAAAGACTGGTCGATGCAACTGGTCCATAGAGCGAAATAGAATTCAATGATATGAAAATTACACAAAAATATTTATCTGACCCTGGAGTCTCTACGCCGTACAATTTTGGGTAGATTGTGAGCACAGTACCAAAATCCACGTTGACCAGTGCACTGATGTTCCAGCCGTGGAACCTCGAAGCAGTATATGTACAACACGCTCCAGATATCTTTAGTCGACCGCCCCTTGCGACGCTCTGACGGTCCTCATATTGATTATAATCCGGTCTTCGTTTCTAGCGCTTTCAAATCCGTCAATACTTGCTCAGCAGATGCATGACCGTCCCTCCAACACCGTTGGACGATGGAGAAGCAGGGGTAAGAGATGTCAGGATACTCTTGTTCCGTTAAACAACCATAGATCTCGTCAACGATTGCATCGTCACCTTGATGAGGGGCAAGATCTGGAAAAACCTCTTGGCCAGTCATGAAAAATGCACTGTTGACCCGAAAGCGAAGAGATCAGTCTTCGTACTCACGCAGTCTCCATTGCGTGGCATGTAATACATCGAACTCTCTCAAGCCAGCCTATCGAGGATGATTGTACTCTCATGGGAGCTGAGTACACCTTGAATCTCTGCTATCTTAATACCAAAGTTCTCGTCAAGCAGTATATTGCCGGGCCGGGCCGGAGATTCCCATGATAGACATATTTACTATGGAGATGTACAAGGCCTTCGCGATTTGGACGCAGAGCCGATTACGTTGTGGAGTGCAGAGAGTGGTCTGTTGAGGGATGTAGTCGTGTAAAGTGCCGTTTTCAGCGTAGCGAAGTAGCAGTCCATCCTCCGTTAAGCCTTTTGACCGGATGATTCGTGGGTGTTGACCAAGATGTTTCAACAACTTCTGCTCGATCTTGAGATTCCCATTCATCTGGTAACAAGGGGTATTTCAAGACAAGGTTCGCTGTCAACAAGGCCAACAAAGCTGTAAGATCCTTGCCCGATGATGCTTTTCACGCCCGGTGGGGATCGATATACGATGTCTATGATCTCGCAGTTGATAGAATCCATGGCGATTTACATCTTTTGGTATTCTCTTGTCAGGTGCTTAGAAGTCCCACTCATACTTTGGTGATCGACTGGCAAGGTATTTTCATCCCAAAAGGGGCTTTGGAATGACATTGAGCTGACGTATCGGGATGGCAGCATAATCGGCCAATTGCTGTAGAACACGAAATCGCCCGTCCTCTTTTGTTCTTCCAAAGTCTTTAAGTACATTGCTCAATCTCCCTAAATCCTTTCCTTGCAAGTCCAGAAGGATAACGACAGACCAATTTGGCAGCTTCCATGGTGAGTCAAGTCAGATCTTACAGTACTGTATGCAGGGGTTATCGTAGTGGCGGCAGTTTGTCCACCATGTTTCCACTTTGCTACTTTAAAAAGTAGTTGATCTTGATCGCTATGGAATTGATCCGCACAGCATCCGAAAATCCTATGCCGCCTTTCCTTTCGAATCCAGTTGCATGGTGAGTCCTCGCAGGTGGGTATGACAGGTGAGGCAATGCTTCCCAAGGGTTCAGGCCGACCTCTCGCTGGTCACGGTGTTTGATGCTGTGGATAAGGCCCTGGGCGGCCTTGCAAACTCCTGCACGAGTATGCGATGATGATTTTGGCCTAACACTCTCTGACGCCTGAAACATCCCCATACAATCGGGCTGGCGTTGCTGCATGCCATTTTGGACTTTTACAACACTACCGGAGCGATCTTGATCTTTTCATCGTCTCTCCACCTTGTTCGCAGTTTCCACTTGTCCTTTTATTCTATCGGTCGTCTTGTGTTTGTGATCATCACATTGGCCTCGCTTGATATACGCTTGCTTTGAATTCGGGAGAGCCAAGGCTGTACTCCTCTAGAAGCATCACGAAAATGGGGATCACTGGTCTGGTAAGTAGAGACCTGTCGGATTTTCTGGATAGAGATTGACCTCGGTTCTGCAGGGATACTTGACGACCCTGCTCGCAGCTTCTACATTTGCCTCCCCTCTTGTCAAACGAGCCGAAGATGTTGTCCAGGGTACTCTGGGAACGGACGGCTATTGGAACGACTACGACGGTCCGTCATACAATTCCAACACATGAATGCCATGACTGATGACATGTTGAACAGGTGGATCGAATCATTACACACAATATGAAGGGAACGGTACAGTCGCCGCAGGATGGCCAGATCAGTTGACATGGGTTTCCTTCAACGACTTATGGGTTTCCAATCAACACACTATTAGCCGAAGCTGTGATCAGCTCTATGGAGCACCCAACAATTCAGATCAAGAGACACAGGATCTATACGACTCGATAAAACAAATTGCACATCAGACACGGGTAGATCACCGGTTCATTCTCGCTGCTGTCCTTCAAGAGACCAAGGGGTGTGTGCGAGCGAAGACTAGCACATCTCCCGACGGTATCAAAAACCCAGGCCTGCTCCAATCATTCAAAGGGACACACTCTTGCAATGATGGCAAAGTCCTCAATCCCTGCCCGAAGGACCAGATCCTAGGCATGATTGCCGATGGAGGTAAGTTCGCTGAGATCGCCTCAAAATGAGTGAGACTAATGGAGATAATCACAGTTGGTGGCACAGACGCTGGACATGGCTATGCTGCCGACATCAACGCCCAAAAAGACGTCGAGGGCATTGAGTACGCCGAGGCATATTACCGTGCTGCTCGCTTGTACAATTCCGGGGCTATTGACGCCTCGGGTGACCTGGGCAAAGGCTCTGCAACGCACTGTTATGCCAGCGACATTGCAAATATCTTGGTTGGTTGGACGGATAGTCAGTCGACTTGCACATTGGATGATAAGTAGGGGACAGACAGCATTGAAGACTGCGGCATTGTGTATTTTGTGGAGTTTGGATTCTTGCACAAATCGTGATCATTTGCAGGGCGTCCGGAGTCGTGAAAAAAGATTTCATTATGGAGGATAAAGGGATTTGTCAACTGCCAGTCATGGCTATCACTATCAGTAATCTTGACAATAGCCCTTGTACCCAACAAGATTTGTGTGAATGTAGCCCGGTCATTCTATCTGATGATTCTCGGTAAGGTAGGTCAATCCTGCCCTACTGCCTTTCTCCGTTTGTTCTGAGGGAGTCACCATACACGGTCCTGCTCGAAGCGCCTGTACAGTACTCGTAGTTGTATCCTCGGTGTGCGAAGGTGGGGAAAAGCAGTCAAGATAAATATAGTCGTCATTTTCTCGGAGATAAGCAATTACCATGCCGTGCCTTCCATGAGAAGCACGACATTACATGCAACACCGCACTCTCTTCGCAGCGCTTTGAACCATTCTTCACCACCTAGTGAAACGAGGTAGACATCTAGAGTCGAATCATCAACCATGTCCCAAAGAGACGAACGCGAAGGCTTGAGTCCTTCCCCGGCCAATATTCTGGACATCTTCACTGGCGACGATGACGACGACGATGATGATATGGACAGTTTCCACCCGAGCGAAGAACAGAGCACCGATGCAAGCCAGCAGGATGAAGAGGATAGTGACGCAGACTTCGCCGGTATGGTATTGTCGGAGCTCATTAAGCCAGTTGTACTTCTGCTGACATCCTCTAGATGCCCAGGAGTCTCTGAATGGCATTGAAATCGTGCTAGACACTGGTGACGATGATGACTACGAGGACGAGGATGGCGAGCAAACAGAGACTGAAAACACAGCACGGGCTGTTCACGGTATATGTACGCCACGTCTGCTCTCCATTTGCGCTGCTGCTGGACCCCCAGCTAACACTGTCGACACAGTAACGACGGCCGATATTCGTGGCCTGCTCAACGCCAGCGCTCCTCTGCGGCAACTGATACTATCCCGCTATCGACTCCTCGGTCCAAACGGCCGCGATCTCTTCGGCGACGATGATGACGACGATTACGAACCCGGATATGGCGGTTTCAGCGCCCGCCGAAGACGCCGCGGCCGTCCCAAGCCTGCTTCTGAAAGATTCCCCAAGATACCCAGTGACGCCGGTCGAGCCCTGATGAACAGTGGTATATATGGTAGCAAAGATTCACATATAGACATCCTCCGCAAGCGGAAACAGACAATCAGCGAGCGCTTACTCTGGCGACGACTCGGCCTGGATGCTAGAAGCAGCATGCGCAGACAGAATCGGTTGATTGCGCAGGACAGTGTCCCTACGAGTTCGATAGCGGACAAGATCATCCACTACGACAGTCGGGCATATAGTGGCCAGTTCTCAGACGACGGCAATTTCTTCTTCAGTTGTACCCAGAATTTCAAGGTCAGGATGTACGATACCAGCAACCCTTACGAGTGGAAGTACTACAAGACGGTGGATTATCCGTTCGGTCAATGGACAATCACAGATGCTACGCTCTCTCCGGATAACAAGTGGTTGGCGTACAGCAGTATCCGGCACACTGTGTGTCTCGCGCCCACAGACCCAACAGACCATTCGGAGCACACGTTATTGGATTTCACGAACTTCGCCCCGGGAGCTGGCCTGGGCCGCTCGACGTACGGCTACATGGGCCGACACGGCTTTGGGATCTGGTCCCTACGCTTCAGTGGTGACGGACGAGAAATTGTAGCCGGCACAAGTGACCACAGCGTCGTTGTATACGACCTTGAACGCCGGCAGAGTACGGTCCGCCTGACGAACCATGAAGACGATGTCAATGCTGTGTGCTTCGGCGATAAATCGTCGCCACACATCCTGTACAGCGGCAGTGATGACCAGACGTTGCGGGTGTGGGATCGACGGTCCATGGCGGATGGTCGACCGGCAGGCATATTCGTCGGACACACCGAGGGTTTGACATATGTCGACTCCAAGGGCGACGGAAGATATGTCTTGTCCAACGGCAAAGACCAGATGATGAAGCTGTGGGATTTGCGACGGATGATTTCTCCCAACGACTTCCAGAACATCGCCTTACACAATTACACGACGAATTTCGACTATCGATTCAGTCCTTACGACGAAGACGACTATGTACCCAACCCGCACGATTGCTCCGTCGTGACGTTCCGAGGACACAGCGTGCTCAAGACGTTGATACGGTGCCACTTTAGCCCTCCCGGAAGTTCCAACAGTCGTTACGTCTATTCGGGATCCGAGGACGGCAAGGTCTACATCTGGAACATGGACGGGACGCGCAAGGCGACCATCGACGTGTTCGCCGCGACCAAGTTCGCGCGCCCGCGCACTGACGGGGGTGACGGGTACGGGTACGAGTTGCACGGGCACCACAACAGCGTGTGGAAGACGTGCGTGCGCGACGCGAGTTGGAGCCCGACGGCCCCCGTGCTGGCCGCCACGAGCTGGAACGGCTGGGGCATGGCGACCGGCACGGTCAGCCTGCACTGCTGGAACGACGGGGCCGAGGACGACGAGGCGAGGCCGCCCATGGGGAGCAACTACAACGCGCGGCTCGACCCCAGGGCGGATTTCGACGCCGCCTCGAGGAAGGCCAGGAACGTCGACAAGTACACGCGGAGCAGGGCCGAGGGGAGGGGCCTACGGAGCAGCGTGGTCAGACCGCATAGGTACGGAGGGAACGACGGTGATGAGGACGACGAGGGGGGAGGTGGGATCTGGTGACAATCAATCAATGCGGTGCGACGTGGGTTGAGGCGGGTGAATTTGAGGCGGGGCGCATGGCCAGAGGCTTCATGACCTACCTTAAGAGGTACCTCAGCACCCAGGTCGCTGGTGGTTTCGAGATTTGTTTACCGAGGAACCAGCTCTCGTGTGTACCTGATTTTGAGGATGTCTAGAAGGAACTTGTAAGGAAGGGAATGAATGCTTCAAAAAAAAGGGGTGAAGCTTTTGCGTTGCTTGCACAAGAATTTACGAAGATACAATGTACGTTATGACACGAACTAGGCTACTACTGAGTACAGCCACGGGCGTTTTCGCAAATCCAATTATTTTACTCCGTATTGTTTTGAACAAAAGAGGAAGAGTGAAAACATCCAAGAAACATTTGAATCTGAAACCTGTTGGACCATCATGTCCCCTTTGTGCCTGCGGCGTTACCACGGATGGCACTGACAATCTCCCGGCTGATGACTCGAACTGTCATTTTTGTGGGTTCTCTTCACGCGCGAGATAATGTCGTGCCATGATGGACGTGGAAGTCGTTCATCGACAGGGAAAATTATTCCCGAAGATATAATAGACAAACTTGCGGCGAAGTGGTAAAACGTGTATGGGGGGGTGGAAAAACGTGTTGCCCAGGTAAGATGGTCTTCTGCCAGTGGTACAGGGAAAAAACAAAAGAAGAAAGTCTGTGGCATTGCGTTGCGATTTTTTTCAAAAGGGAATTGCCTCTCCCCGACTCTGTCTGGCTGGTATGGTATTGGTACAAAGAAACAAGGATTTTTGATCATTATAATTCCGCTCCTTCCTTTCGCTTTGGAACTCGTGTGGCTGCTGGAGCAAGAGCGTTGTCTGTACCGTATGTGTGGCTGGACGTACTCGGTCAATCAACCTACTAATACGTTGTTGACTGGGATGTGTACTGTGGTGGTGGTGGGTGGTCTGGTCAGTGACAGTGTTGTGGTGGGGAGGGTCGTTGAGTTCTCAGCCCTCGAAATGCAAACTCACTCAGCTTGATAAAGTAACCGATTGCTCCCATGATCAAGAATCCCATTCCCACGGCTTGCGAGATCTTGATGAATTCTCTTCGGTCGGCTGAGGAGAAAGGAAACAGTTAGCAAAAAGACTGCTTAACAACAACGGAACGCAAAGATTGTGGCGCGTTGTGCGAAATCTACGAAACCCACGCGTAAGGAGTTCTGAAGTTCTAGCGGAAGTCCCCAGCTTGTCTCAATGCTGTGTCTATTTCTTCCGTGACGATTGCCCCAAGACGTGCTGGAAGGGTACAAGCATGGATGCATCCCGGAATGATCTTTCCCTCTGTCTGCTTTTGCGCGGTCGCGTTGCGAGCACCCGTAGAGAGACGGACAAAGTGCATTTGGGATGTGCTCGAGATATGATCATGTTGCGGGCAGGTGGGAGCAGGTTCACGTACGCTTTGTGCATCTGTTGATGAACTGTGTTCCATCCTTGAAAAAGTCCTTTGGCACATCGGCCATCTCTTGCAGGAGATCAGACATTGTGTGTGCGTGTCTTGGAGGTCAGAGGTGCGATCGATGGAGATGATATGATTTCCCTTATGCGTTTGGGATTGTGGTAATTGGGTCGCGGGAGTGAACAAGAGTGTAGTCGACTTTTGCGAATATCAATCGACAGATCGTTGAAGAGGCGAGTTCGTCGCAGGGTTGGGTCGGAGTTATGAGGTGACAAAATATGGGGAAGACCTGGTGTAGGTAAAGGTGGCTTCAGTTGGAGGTCGAGAACGAGCACTACAGTTCAGCATGCATCCCCCCTGGCCATGCAGTCTCCATCGCGATGCTTGGCAAGGCCTGTGCTGCGCAGCTACAGGTGTCGGGTCCGGGTCCTTCGTATCCTGCGCAGCCTCTCCGTCCGAGTACTCCATATGAGGGAGTGTGATTCATCTTCGCAAAGAGTCTAATCCAACAGTATTACCTCGAATATCCGTTCCATCGCCTTCTTCAACACCTGTCCTTTGCGCGTTATTTCATATACCTTGTCTCAGATTCGGTATACCGGACTAGTGGCCTCTGACGGATTGGCAGCCAACTCCTCGATCGTCTAGATTGGCATAGGATATCTTGAGCCAGACGCCCAGCAACCCATCGCATCTTTAGATTCAAAGGCTCTGAACTGGATCAACAGACTCAGCACGTGGAAGGCAGCAGAGTCCGGAGAGGCCCATTGACTTACGCGGGCACACTCAATTTTTCGAACCCTGCTTGGTTGTTGAGGTCCTGGGCACTTGTATCTATTCACTTTCGGGAAGACAGCTGGACTGCTTCATGTATTATGACAAACCAAAGGTTCTGATGAAAGCGACTGGACCATCCGATTGAGTCCCCCTGTACGTATGTCTTGCTGGCACAGGAATAGAGCGGGAGTTGAGGACAGTCATTTGGGGCCTGTATCGCTGTCCTCTTCCTTATATTTTGGCTAATACAGCATGGATTTGCAGAACTCATCTTGTGCATAACTTTCAGACAGAAAAAATCGACTTCTTGTTGCGCCTCCACTTCTTTCAATATGGCTGCCGAGGAGGATAACTTTGACATTGATATTTATGGAGACGGAGAAGGTGAAATTGGGAATGGCGAACACATGGAATATAAAGAGGAAAATGAAGAGAACCTGTTTGCCATGGATGCAGAAAATGAGCAGCATATGCAAGCAGATGAAGACGTAAAACCTAAAAGCGACCCTGAGAACGAGCAGGTTCCTGCGCAAACATCCCAAGCCCACAGTGGACCAGAAGAAGCCACGCAGAAGCCCAATGATACAACGGATAAGCCCACACCAGTGCCACAGCAAGGTGTAAAACGGAAGGAAACGTCAGACGACAGACCCGTCGACCACGGCGCAACAAATGCCCTTATGATTTCGGATTTGAATTGGTGGACCACGGAAGATGACATTCGTGGCTGGGCTAATGAAGCAGGCGCAGAGGACGAGCTGAGAGACATTACCTTTAGCGAGCATAAGGTAAATGGCAAGAGCAAAGGGTTAGCGACTCTCTCAACTATTGCATGCATCCGTGTTTCTGATCGTGTCTCAGGCAAGTGTATGTCGAATTTTCTTCACCTCAAGCGGCAACCGCGGCAAAGCACACAATAGAAGCCCAGGGCGGCGCTCAACCAGCCGCCCGCAAACACTCTGTCGTTTTCACCAATGCCACCCATAACCCCTTCAAATCACTGCCCAAGGATGCGCCAACTCGGACGAGGGACGATAGACCCGTTCGCGGCGGTGGTTTCAGTTCTGGAGCACGTTCAGATAATAACTACGGAGGGAATCAAGGATTCCGTGGGGGTCGAGGCGGGAATTACAATCGTGGCGGCTATGGTGGACATGGCCAGTACAATCGCAATTTCTCTGGACCCATGGGAGGTTATAACAACAATAACATGGGCTTTCAAGGGAACATGGGCATGAATAACAATTACGGTGGTTTCAACCGAGGTGGCATGATGGGCGGACCCATGAGAGGCAACATGGGCGGCATGCGAGGAGGTCGGGGAGGCATGAACCCGATGATGGCAATGGGTGGTGCCATGGGAATGGGCAACATGGGCATGAATCCCATGATGGCTGGAATGGGGATGTCAGGTAAGCTCCTTCCATTACAGCGACTTGATTAAGAGTACTGAGTGTTTGGCAGGATTCCAAGGCAATCAATTCAACCCCGGCATGTTCAATGCAGGCCAAGCCCAAGGCTTTGGTGGTGGTGCTGGTGTCGATTGGAATCAACACGGGGCCAAGCGACAACGACAAGAATAGCCCACTGACTGGACAGAAGGAGGAATTCAAGAGAGAGCTCGACCACGACAAGGTCTTCGCTGGAACAGGACGTCGCCATTGACGGGTGGCAACCTCATTCTGTTATGCAATGTAGCATACTCCGGGAGTTCAGCCCATGAGATAAATTCTACAAAGCAATACCTCAGGCCGCGAACAATGCCACGAGACGCATATTGGGGGCCGACGAAGACAGGGCGTTAAGCAGCGCTCGAGCTGGTCCTAGCCTTGTCATGTCATGGCGAGCGAGGAGAGACTGGGAGCGACGATGGTTAGATCCAATGCCATGGGCTTCTGATCAGTGATCGTGGAAGATGTATGCCCAAGAGGATGCAAGGGAATGATACCTGAGCGATGAGGGTTTACTAAAGATTATCAAAAAGCCTGTTGGGGTTGTTGGTGCTTATGGCACACACTGTGATGATAGCCCATAATGGGTGGTTTGCTGCTTATTATTTGTTACCTCCAGTACTACTAATAGTACTTGACGTACCTGGCCAGACCTGCTCCATATACAGACTACCTTTTAGACTACTTGTAACAACTCCGTAACATCATTGAGCTCCATTGACCGGAAACTATTGCCATTTGATGTTATTGGGGGAAAAGACTCCCTCAAATATGAGGGGCGTTTTGAGTTACGGGAAGGCCAAAAAGCAGGATCATTTTGACAGAAGCCCTTGAATTAAATTGAATCGCACATACGGAATAAGATACACATCTTGTAACTGGGTCCACGATTCACATGCCTTTCGTTGTCTATCTATCTTCTTATTCCTACGCCTGGTCGGACACTTCTACCCCTCCATCTCTTCCATTACTGCGGTTAAGCGGACATGGTCTCTTCAGTACCCCATGAATTCCCAAACTCAAATCCAGTCTGATCTGCCACTCACAATTCTTGCCACTGCGCCATCCTCGTAATCACCATGTCGGAACAGCAGCATCAGTCTACTGCTGCTGATGGTGGTAGGAGTGGTGGCGGTGGTGCTGCGCGACCACAGCCTACGCTAGATCGCGCAAGTCCTTCGTTACACTCCCAGATTCCTACACGCTCAATCGAGTCGGCCAATCCTCCAGCGCCACCCTCCTCTACTTCCCAGACTCCGAGTACGACTGCGCAAGCCGGCTCCTTTCGGGTTCCTCAATCTCCCAGATCCGCGGCTGGTGAATCCTCTACCAATGCAGGAAAGGTTGCCATACCAAGACTTAAGAGGTCTATTGATGCTGTCGGCGAGGAGGGCAACCGGCAGGGCGGAAGGCATCGAGTTAATCATGCCTGTGAACCCTGCCGCCATAGGAAGACAAAATGTAGCGGCGAGCGACCGGTCTGCAGACATTGTCAAGATTTCAAAATAGCCTGTTTCTACGCAGATGGCAAAAGAGACAGAGTCAGAAAGTATTTGGAGACTTTCGCATTTGATGGAGATTTTGGGCTGACCGAGGAACAGACAATTTGGCACCATGACCGAGAAAGTGGCCGACTATGAAAAGCTTCTGAAAGACCTTATGAGTAGAGTCCCCGAGGCGGATGCGAAATTGATTCGCTCATCTCTAGATAGGGTAAGATTCCGGCCAGACCTGTTTCTCGTCAGTATGACTGAAAACTGCGCAGGGGGCCTACGACAACGAAGATACTGCAACAGACCCTGGAACTTTGGGAACGCCTTCTGCCATTCCGAGCATTGAGAGAGAGGATTCCCGATCAGGCGCTGAATCTGAAGTATCAGCCGGGGCCGGCTCGACCGGGGCGCTCGATAGAACCGAAGAAGATTTTACCCGCGAACAAGCTAGGGCCACTGGCTACATGGGAAAGAACTCGGAAGTCACCTGGTTGCAACGTCTGCGAGAAGAAAACTCATTGGGGGAGCAGCCAGCGAACGCTCTGGGTGACGAGCGACAGCGGAAGTTGGCGCAGTCTTCGATCACATCCTCCTCCTCTATGCGCCCACCAAAAGATGTGCAAGTTCCGCTGGCCGAAGCTGACAACAGCTATGCTATCAACGACTACAACTATCACCTCGACGACACTTCTATCTTCACATTTGAAGCTGTGGACCCCTACGAAATGCCGACTCCCGAGGCGGCTCATCAGCTGTTCAATGCATATATCAGCCGAGTGCATTCGACCTTCCCAGTCGTAGGCAAAATCAATCTAGGGTCCCAGTTCCGAAAGTTCATCAGTGGCACTGTACAAAGACCGCCTGAGAAATGGCTTGCTATTATCAACATGATCTTCGCCATTGGCGCGAGGTATTCTCATCTTGTCAAGGCGGACTGGCAAGGTGACGAGCGTGATCATCTCATCTACTTCACTCGAGCACGTCTGCTCACGATGAATTCCGAAACGTTGTTTCAGCACCCTGATCTCCAACAAATTCAGGTTCTCAGTTTGATGTCATTTTATTTGTTATGTGCTGGCCATGTAAATAGGTAGGCATCCTTCAAATTTGGTCTAGATGGTAACTAATTGAAACAGAGCCTGGCTTCTCACTGGTGTGGCTATTCGAGCTGCTACCTCACTCGGCATGAATCTACGGAATGATAGTGCCAACCTCGGAGATCCTCTCAAGGAAATTCGATATCGTGTCTGGTGGGCGTTGTACTGCTTAGAGCACCTTCTTTGTAACATGACGGGGAGAGTCAACTGCGTCCTCGATGACCATTGTACGACACCTCTCCCCATTCCTCTGGAAGAGGAGCAATTTGAGACTGAGGACGGCGCGAAATTGCTGAGCAAAGAGAGTCAGCAGGGCGATCGCGCTCCTTCCTCAAACCCCCAAACCCCTACCGGCTCGAATTCAACCCCGTCCACAGACCGTTCTCGCTCTCAGACCAAGATGAATTCGCGATCTCCATCAATGTCCACCGGCCAAGGAGATCTCGAATGGGCAAAGGATGTTCCCCTGAACAACTCTCTCTACTTTCTCCATCTTGTACAATTGAGCCGGCTATCCCAGGATATCTTCCACCGCCTCTACAACCCTACGTCCGTCACTGGTACCTGGTCAGACATACAGGCAAAAATAGGAGATCTCGACGATCAACTCGAGCGATGGTATAGGAAGCTCCCTCAGGCCTTTGCCTTTCGCCGCAAGCAACGTGAGCGTGGGTCTTACGAACACCGCTTGGATCTAGGCTTCGTGTACTACGGTGCCAAGATGACTATTCACCGTCCATGCCTCTGCCGTCTAGATCGCAAGATCCCAGACCAGTCCAACAAGTCGATGGAGTTCAACCGCAACTCTGCAGCTTCGTGTGTAAGGGCCGCCATGGAATTGCTGGCTATGATACCAGACGAACCAAACGCTGTTGGCCTCTTGAGAGTTGGGCCATGGTGGGGTATTCTGCACTGGCTCGTACAGTGTACATCAGTGCTGATGCTCGAAATAACATTTCGCTCCAATCACATGCCTGAGGAGGTCGACGCAATTCTGGAAGCAAGCAAGAAAGGTATTCGCTGGCTCCACGCTCTCGGCGAGGATAGTCCTTCGGCGAAACGAGCTTGGGCAATCTGTTTTCCGATGCTTCAAGCTTCTGCAAAGAAAGTTGGTCGGAATGCTGACGACGTTCCACAGCGGCCACCTGGGAAGTCGGAAACATCAATGCAAGATGCCTTGATGTCGGACTACCCTTATGGCGGCGGACCTGGCGACATGTTTACTACTGCTCCGAATTTGCCGTCAATGTACTCTTCGATGCCTCAGACGCTGCCTCAGCTGCCGACCTCGCAGGCATTTTCCATGTACGATCCAATGATGGCATTTGACCAATATTTCCCAGCGGAACTCCAAGGACAGGCGATGCAGTTTCCTCAGGGAAGTGGTTCAGGAATGGAGTATATGAACAACGCTTATCATGACCCTCGGCAGCAAAATTTTCAAAGTGGTGGTCAGAGCAGTCAAGGAGGTGGTCCTGGGTACAGTTAGGGATTTACTCACAACTATTCTCCCGATCTTTCTTCAGATAAAGGCAAACAACCAGCGACAAATTTTGGATATTACGATCCTTGCCTCCAAAATTGACGTATTGTGCGATGCAGAGCAGATGATCTACCCTTTGCAACATGGTGTGGCTAATTCCGGCAAACCTCAAAGCAAGGGTTTCCTCACCTCCGCCTGCCAATAACATGAACCACCGAGACGTCTGCTGCAAGGTGTGCAGATGTGAAGAATGACAGAATTTCGAATGCTGGAGCTCTTCACGAGTGACAGTCCGCAATACCTATTTCGGCATAAGTCGCGCTCCATGTGTATCGAAGTATAATTCTCGAAGTCCGGTTGACTGTGGGTTTGAGAGTGTGCGGCGGCACAATGCTTGGAACAGAATTCAGATCTAGGGAGGGCGGCTTCTCTAGCTGCTGGTAGTTTTCTTTTGTTCAAGGGGCTTGTGACACATCCCACATACCTGTTCCAAACCACGCGCACACCAAAAATTCCCGACATTCCAGCTAGACAGAGTCCATGAGGGGCTGGATCAAAAGATGTAAAGAAATGTACAAGAGTGCTATGCAAGCCACAACTTTCCTGCCATTCAGTTTCTTGTTATCTGTCTTTTTTCTTTTGTCCCTGGGGGTCACGAATCTTCGCTGGCGAGGATTTTCTCAAATGTGTTGAGCTTCGCCTTTTCACCCGTCCTGGTCACGTCGCACCCGAAAACAATGCATATCAACCTTTTGAGTAGTATCGCCGTCGTTGCGGTGCTTCTAACATCATCTGTCGGTGCATTCAGACACGACGGAAAGTCTCATAACCATCCCAACCGTCGCCTACTGCCTCGACAGGTTGGGCCAGATGGTCATTACGGAGGAGGACAACAAAGCCCGCCGTCGAGCCCACAGGTGTTTCCGATTCCCACGCCTCCACCTCCCGCGGGCACAATGTCCACCACTGTCGTGGCATCGAACTCGCCGGTCGTCCCGAAATATACTGTGGCGGTTGCTGCTGCCGCCTCTGGTGGGGCCAACGGGACCGACGCCGTAGGGTGGTCTTATGTGTTTCCGACGACGGTGATTCAAGTACCGGTGGCTACATTATGTCCTGGTGGTGGTGCCGAAGGTCCTCCTTTGTTCACCATGGCTCCGGCCTCGAATACGAGTGTCACGGAGATTGCGAACGAGGTAAACAACGCGGTGACGGACTACGTTCCTTTACAGGTCAACGCTACAGCCACTTTGCCAGGTGGGAAGACGACTGTGTTTCTGAGTACGAGTTCTTCTGCCGTTGTTAGGAGGGGAAGAAAGATGACGACGAGCTCGACCTCGATCTCGATCTCAACCCCTGATCCTGCCGCCGCAAGTGCTTCAGCTTCGGCTACGGCTTCGGCTTCGAATGATATGGCTAGAATCATACTAGACCCATCAGGTTGTCAAACTGTTTATTCTCCCCTGACGACTCAGTTGTGTAGTACGATCGTCAACCCCGGTGGAGGTATGCTCCCAGTCCAAATCACCGATTGTGATCAATGGGTGACATTTTCGAGTGAGAGGTTGAGTGGTGGTGGTGGTGGTCGGTGTTCAACAACAGTGACGATTGGCGCCCCCGACGACGAAGAAGAAGAAGAAGAAGCAGGAAATAGGGATGCCTCAGAGACGGGCATTGAATCGGTGGATGGTGGTGAAGCTACGACCTCAACCTCAGCCTGGACGGCGACCTTTACAGATCCAACGGCATTTTATGCGGCTCATTGGTATGATTTGGTGGTCGCATCAGCAGCGGCATCGCCGGCATCGACGGCAACGGCAGCGGGAGCAGCAGTGGCGACAACGATGGTACCTTCTTCGTCTGCGGCTCCCATACCCACTCTAGTTAGAGTTGAGAATTGTTTTCCATTCACGACGGGATCGACGACAGAATGTATGACTAGCAGTGAGAGGTGGAGTGTTACCAGTACGACCAGGACGACAACAGAAAGTAAACTCGTCACTTTTGAAGGGGTAAGCCGTCGTCCCGATCAGGATGTTCGTGTTATTAAAGCTCTCTTTTTTGCCTCTGATACTTATTGACCATGGCTAATTTGTTTTGTTCTTGATACAGCTCGCGGCCATCACGTCGGGAACGATCAGGACGACAACAACATTATCACTCAGTACGATTCTCACCATGACGTCTGTAGTTACAGACTCGAGCATCGTACGTAGTAGGATTGGCGAGTCGACGTCAGTCACATCAACAGCAGCAGCAGTTGACAGTACCGTGACCATAGCCATGTCTACACCCACTACCAAGACGTGGTTCGTAGAGGCCGTGTCACACACCCCGTCTACCGATTCCATGAAACCAACAGCCACCGCCGACCCAAATTTGCGTTTGGTTTCGACTTCGGCGGGTCAAGATGACCTAGAAACGACGACGACGGTGGTAGTCAAACAGACGATGACCACGATGTTACAGGTCACGGAAACAAAAACCCATTCGGTCCCTACTGCTGCTATCACACCTACCATGGAGAAGAACTGAAACATGATATCCAAAATGATCCAAAAAAGGAAAAACAAAAGATCAGGGGATCGCGTCACAGACCAGTAGTGGCAGTGTGGTGGTTGGAATGATATTGCTTCAGGGGGTCAGATTTTTGGGGTTTCTTGGTTCTCTGGTAAAAAAAAAGGAGAAGAATCTAGCATTAAAACGAATTCGTTTTGACGACCAGATAGACAAGAGCTTGGAATGAAAGCGACGCTCATTATTTAGCCTGGGATAGAATATAACAGCGCATCAAAGTGCCTTCGTAACGAGACTTGCTATTCATGGTCAACTCAAGGCCACATACAAGACTCTAGCCCATTGGGACCCATGGCCTCGCGTTGACAACCACCCTCGATTTAATCTCACAATACACACCATAGGGAAATCCAGCTCTATGCTGAAGTAGTCGTCACCATCAATCGATCGTCAAGTCATGATTCGTTATTGCAGCAAACCGAGCAATACTCAAGTGTTGTTACGTCTTCACAACTCCCATTCTTCTTCTTCTTCCTCCTTTCCGTTTTCTTCCTCGACCAAGTTCTTGGGGTCCAATCGCTCTGTCATTGCACTCACGTCGTCAGAATCGTCCAGTCTAAGTCCACCCGACCAATCTGATGTACTGCTCAAAGCTTGATCCGCAGGAATACCATCGCCCTTTTTACCAGAAGTTTTCGTATCTTCCAACAATCGTGCCTGGATTGCCAGGGCGACCAAAGCTTCCAAAGTATACCTAGCATCGTTGCCTCCGTTGTGCAAAAAGAAGCATTGCAAGCCCAGATTGGATGCTATGGACCCAAGGTTGCGAGGTTGACTCTCACTCTTGAAGGCCTTGTACAGAGGCGCAGTATCGAGAGCCTCAACGATAGAAGACAGAGTTTGAACAATATCGCTGCCATCGTTCACCGCCTCCATCGCTGCAACAGGATAAGTACCACGCGACGGCTTGAAAATCTTGCTTCCCAGAACTCGAAGATATTGAAGGTCACTACGAATATCATGTCCCACAAGGATGACATTGCGATGTTTCGGACCTCGCTGGAGGAGTTGTGGGTCCTGGCCAGCATCCACGGAATCATCTGCAACAACAGGCTTTCCATCCCTAGCTTGTGGTGACTTGGAACTGGTGCTCGTAGTATCTGACGTTCTCCAGGGGTCCTCAAGCCCCACATGCTTGAACTGTACAGAGAATGGCCACTTGAAACAGTTGTCGACCTCAGTAGGAGCTTGTTGGAGTGTAATCCATTCCGACCGACCAAATTGAAATGCATCTGGGTTACCCACACAGAAATCACGGTTGACCAGGTGTGCATGGTCTCTAATTCTGAAATGGCGTGAGCGAATACAGTTGATCCAGTTCTTGCCGTTTTCTCCCGGGGGAGTATCGATAAGATCAAGTGTATCAAGGGTGCTTATGCCGACTTCGGTGATTAGCTCGTGAGCTCTTTCGTATGACTCAATGTCAACTGAGACGAAGACCGGCTCTTTCTCAAACGCGTAAGGTGCAACGTCACCAACTTTCAGATGGCCCATGACTATTTTATCCTGCTGAACCTGATGTACTTCCTGCTCTGATGTCCAGGACGAGTGTACATCAGGATGTGGGGACTTGGACGATTTCGCACGTAGCCCAAAGTATCGTTGCAGTCTTCTCAGCTGTGCGTTAAAGTCACGAACGGATAGCAGCCGATCATCCTCTTTCTTCTTGCTTGTGGTGCTTTTGCCTCCGGACTTTTTGTTGGCAGCAAGCGCATCTTGACACTTTTTCCTGAAAGCTGATAATTGCTGTTTCTCACACAATGATGCTTTCGCAGGGCATTCACCATGGCTCTCGGAAGGCATTTCGATTGAGTTCTGTAAGTTTGTAAATTGGTCTCTTGACTTAGAGGTTCCGAGAAATTGCGGTTGAGGGGTGTTATCATCGAAAAACTTGAGGGTAAAGGGAAAATCTGGTACTGAGACTTCGATCTTAAAGGCCTCGCCGATCTCGGTGATGAGTTTTTGCACCTGGGCAAATGGAAGAAGAATGATTGGTTTTGAGCTCAGACTGACGGGTGGATGAACATAATAGCTGAGACAAATAGTTAGGACCTGCAAGGCTGATGAAGAAATCATAGAAAAAGCAAGCGATGATTGCTAACACTCACATGTCCCAGTCGCGGTTGTAGAATTTGTTCGCGGCGAAGAAACGTTTGGAAACTTTGTCATCACCATCATTCATGTACTTGTATGGAAACTTAGCAGTAAGAAAAAATTGGCAAAACTCTCCGGTAACCTTTCCTTGTTGCTCATTGGAGTCTAGGACACTCTTGACATTATCATGAGCTGCTGGCTCAAGCATCGAGGGATTGCTGCTCTTGTAAATGGAGGCACCCGATGACTTGGCTATGGTAGAGACATGCTCAGACTCCTTTGTGGGCTGCTGATTTTGCGCCTTCATAGATGGTTTCGATTTGAAGGCAGCCACATAATCATCCTCATCCTCAGAACTACTCCAGACATCTGCTGCTGGAGTAGGCTGAGATGTTGGGAGAGTAGGGACGTTTTGCGGACATTGTTCTGCTGCAGGTGTCTGACAGGGTTTTTGGCTGATCTCTTTGAGTTCCTTCTCGGAGAAATGAAGTTCGCCTGGGACTGGAGGAGTTGGTAAAGGCTTTCCGGCAAACAGCCTGTCGAGACGACTCTGAGGTGAGGTACTCATAACGATGAAGCGAGCCAATGGCAGAGAGTTAGAGAGGTAGCGGCCCAGGCGGTAGTGGGGTTTGCTGGATATGTTCTTGTTTTGGTAAAGGTCGGTCTGAGGATGGAGCGTGAAGTACGGATATGCAAATGATCATGAAATAGTGGTATCTTTGAGAAGATCTGCAAGGATGACAGTCAAGACTTAATATTTCCTGTTGAATGATTTCAATTCGTGTGAACTGGGAGTGAATGTTGGTACCCATTCACGAAATGTACGTGGCTGTCACGTGATGCGGCGCATATATTCTGCCGTTTTTGACCGCCTTTGAACCACCGCGCATGGAAAGTCGCAGTCGCGTCCACTTGAAGTCGCAAGATGTGAAAACACATCATCAGCGGCATTTCATCATCTGAGTACTGTACGTTGTTCCCTTCCTATCCCGATGTGAGGAATAGTTCAACGTATGCCCTGCGCGACATTAGCCACGAACTCAGGCACCGCAAGCATAGCCGCCAGCCTCATTTACGTTGCCCAACCTATGCGTCTGCGACGATAACAGTTCGCCTCGATGGTGACAATGGCGGATCTTGAGCGCGATGGCTCTGTGGACCCTGATGCGCAGGCCGCCGTCACCGACTTTCTGGATTATACAGAATATCTTCCTGCGGACCTCATTCGATCTTTCACCTTGATTCGCGGCCTCGACGAGACATACCTCACCAACACCTCTTCTTTAAACGATCTGACGAGGTTATATGCCTCTCAGCCCTCACTCCCGCCCAACGAACGCCCAGATCCTCAAGAACTGCGTGCTCAGATCTCTTCACATCTTGACTATGCTCTCAACGCTCGAGAATCAGCCTATGCGGAGGCCTGTCGGCTTTACGATGTTGTAGATCGGCACCAAAACAGATTAAAGAGCATTCTTGCCAAATTGAATGCTATCCCGAAACCCCCGTCTCGCGATCCTACTCCTCCGCCGCCGACTTCACCCCACGTCAAACGCTCGAGAAGCGGACGAAAGCTCGAAAATAGCACACGCTTAACATTGCACCCTCCACGTGGCAATGCGGTTGCATCAGCAATACTCAAGAGGCCTCGCGGTCGGCGGGTAACGGTCCCTGGCGAGGTAATGCCACCTTATGACCCAGATTCCCCCATTGCAAGCACCGAGGTCTCCGACTGGGAGTCCCCTCCGCCGTCGCCTCCGCGTCCCGTTCTTAAGCTCAAACAACCGAAAGCACCAGCTCCGCCGTCGCAGCAGAAAGAGAAGACGAAACGACGGGAGGATGCGCCGCCTCGAGTCACCCGAGAAGTGACTGAACCGTTTCACAAGCCTACCCCCCCTCCTGAAGACGCACCTATTGGCAGTAAATACCGGCCTTGGACACATTTGACGGAATTCGAGTTGTATAAACTCAGGAAGAGAATGAAGAAAAATAACGTCTGGGAGCCAAGTGAGATCATGATCCGACGTGAATTAGCTGAACGTGGGAGAGGCTGGGAAAACTACTATCGAGCCAAAGCTGAGGCTGAGGCCAATGGGACGGTGTTCTATGACCTCGATAGCACCGAGAGATCACTTCCAGACACTTTGCAGAGTCCTGAGAAGGATGATATCGTGGCAAACACGGTGGAAACGACGGTGGAAACGACGGTGGAAACGACGGTGGAAAAGAAGGAAGAGCCAGAGAAAAATGAGAAGCTCAGCAATATTGTCGGTGAAGCAAACGACGAAACGCAAGACATTGTCCTCACCTCTAGTACAGCAGCTACTCCGACTCAGACGCAGGCTCCGAAGCCCAGGACGGCCAGAAAGTCGGAGTCGAGGAAGGAAAAGAGACCAGACCCGGCACGTTCGCAAGCTGCATTGGCTGCCCAGGAAGCTGAACTTGCAGCTCGAAGACTGGGAGACATGGGGAGCAAGATCAGAAATTTATTTACTGCCCCGTTTGCATCTGCGCTTGCATCGTTAAATCGAAGTACAACCACGCCTAGCGGGAGCCGTGTAGCTAGTCCGGCGCAGAAGGTGGTCGAGAAGACGTCCAAGAAGAGAAAGGCGGAACACACGCCTACATCATCTCTTTCACCATCAGCAGAGCCAGATGCGGCAAGGAAAAAGCAAAAGACAGTGCCAAAACCGTCTCCTTTAGCGACAAGTCCTCAGGCCTCTGCTATTACAACAGCAAACAGTGAAACTCCGGGTCCAGCTACAAGGGCAGATGCTCCTAGTCCAGTGCCAGTGGAAGTGCCAATCCAAGGTCCAGCCCCGGCGCCAAGCGCAGGAACCATCAAAATCCCCCTAAAACTGACTGTCTCAACACCCGCTGCAGCACGGTCCAATACACCAACACCAGCTCCAACAACACGCGCCGCAAGCGTGCAGCGGACATCAGTAGCCCCGAAAACCGAATCGACGCCTCCGATTCCTTCACGACCGCCCTCTCGTCGATCAACAGCCGCGTCTGTTGAACCGCAACAACCCGCGAGGTCGAGTCACCGTGCCAGCATGACACCGTCCGTGGCAGGACGTAAGACGCCTGCCGTGGAAGCTTCCCCGAAATCCACCGCCGCCAGCCGTCGCAGTAAGCGCGACGCACCGGGCACGGTGATGCAGTCCAGTCAGGATGGTGGCGCCGCCGTTAGTGTCAGCAAACGCAAAACCAAACCAGGCAAGCACTCGCATCAGAAGACTACGCCCAAAGCGGCGGCGGCGACGACAACGGAGACGGTGCCACAGATCCGAATCGACACCGACGGGAGACAGGAGATTATTGATCCGGACGAAGAGCGGTACTGTGTTTGTGGCGATGTGAGTTGGGGAGAAATGATATGCTGCGAGCTGGACGAAAAGGTACGTTTCATCCTACATCACCAATCGGACTTGCAGGACTTATACGCTAACGTTGGATGTGTAGTGCGACTTTGGACAATGGTTTCATATGGAGTGTGTAAGTCTAGTGGAGCTTCCACCACGAACCGTGAAATGGTTCTGTCCAGGTGACAGAAAGAAGCTTCACAAGGGCGAGAATAGCAATGGACTCGTAGGGAGGGGAATCAAATAAAGTCGATGGACCGCGGTGTGTTGCTCAACGGCGACGACGACTATGGCGGAATACGAAGAAAGGGGTATCGAGGTATTGATCATGGAGGAGGCCTACCATGAGTGATAGCAATGTGAAAAAAGATTGCCGATGCCCTTCGTATGAAACGTGTCTTGTGTATGCCTGGCCACTGTCTACAAGGTCTAGTCTAGCCCTGATGTGGACGCAGTAAGAACTTGTGTCAATGGTGGCCCCGATAGTAGATGATATGGCCCAAGTAAGTTCTCTCGGTCATGGCCATCTAACCATTTCAGACCAAGTATCGTGAACGACGAGATGATTTCCAGGAGCACCAGAACCGTATCTGATCAAGTTCTGGAACCTTGCAGGGCAGGTTGGATGCTTGTCCCCATGCTTGATCGTGGTTGTGTGCAATGTCAGTCAGTACGCGAGTCTCTTTCGCACGCAACCCAGGGAGGGTTGCTTGTGCGCCAGTAGCCATTTACGCCCACGGCGAGATGCTGAATTTGCGATCGTCAAGGGAGTAATACCGGATGACAAAGAGAAACTCGGCGTCAGTTGATGCCAGAAGACTTCCCACGTCCGAAAAAGGAAATCAGTAGCATCGTCGTCTTGGTGTGCGTGTCTCTCTCTCCCTGAGAACATGAACGAATGTCAGTGGTGCAGGTGCCTACCGAGTTTGGGAGTACTTTTGAACTGGTGCCATGAGCCAGCACCTCAGGACACAGGGATGAGGACACGGGATATTCATACCATTGTCGGATCGAATGTCAGGTAGTCAACGTGCCGAATGCCCCGTGGCCATGGCTTGCAGATGCTCCCCAGAAAGAGCCAATCTGTTGCGACAAAGCGACAAAACAGAACAATTGGAACGTGTCAAGTCACTCTCAGGTACCTCGACAGCCAAATTGCCACTGTCAGGTACTCGTCGCTTCCAAATCATCTTGAGAGAGTCTTTTGTGCAACCAAATGACACCCAGACGAATGGATCTGTACTCCGTAAACTGTCTTCGAATGATTGATGTCCTTCCGGTCCCCTCGAAACCCAAAAAGAAACTGTGAATTTTATTCCTGTAGTAACTCGCAGCCGAGAATTCGGTTGAAACCAATATTAACTCTGTTTCACAGACGTGTGGATTTCGAGGCGAGTTGTTCCGCAACCCGCTCGCCTAGATAGGACATGGGTGGGTGATGGATGCAATTCGCCGCGATATTTCTCAGGACCTGCAATTGAGAGCCAGAAAGATGGTGGAATATAGCGAGGTGTCCATTGACTAACGCGCCTCATCGGAAGCTCATCCGGATTGTGATGAAGCTGGTAGCGCTGATAGCGCAATGTTACCGAGGAGCCCAGATTACTGGCGCCAGGGTCAAAACACTTGTATAATCCTTCCCAGTATTACGAGGCATGGAGCACGCAGTCCCAGGATCGATCAAAGCAAGGGTTGTCCTCAAAAGTCCTATTACACGATAGGCTTGCTGAGAAGTAGTTACGGGTGGCAACGTAGCCACCGCGCTTTTGGTTAAAAGCGGGATGAGCGCCCCATTGGCGGAGCGCGCATGCAAGTCGATCTGCCGGACGCACAAGCCCTGTCCTTCCGGCTGCAGGTACAACGGTGCTGGGCCGTTTTAGGTAGGCCGCTAGGCTCGCCATACAATTTCGGAGCCCAAAGGGATGTGCGATGGGCGGTGGGAATGAAGCATCCCAGTAAACCGTAGCCACTTCAAGGGCACATGGCCGATCCAAAAAATCCTCGCAGAGAACAAGACAAGGTCCCCCTGGCTTCGCCAAGGCAACAGTTCGACCAGAGGCGGATGAGGGCCCTGACCTCCCCGTGTGAGTGTTTGATACATTCTGACACACAACGCACATTTCCTGGTTTCCGAAATGTGATATCCGAAAATGTCAATCTGAAGAGGGGACCAGGAGGTCCCAGCGAAGGGGGACAATGTTGGGCCTCATCAGCTCGTGTCAATGGGTAACAAGATCCTGAAGCGGAATCGATATGCCGATCGAGTGGTATTGTACAACCATACTTGCATCTTGTACCTTTGACGTGCCCTCCTCTTTGCTCGCCAGGTCACCCTCTCAACACTTTTCGATGGTGGAGTGCATTTAAATGTGTGTGCGGAAGCGGGGAGAGGTTTCCTTGTGGCACCGTTAAATTGAACGGCGTCAGGGATCAGGGAAAGAGGCTTGTCATATCTACAATAGATGCCTGGCGCTCGTTAAGTATGCCCAATGCATGGAGTAGGTCCTCCGTACGGATACATTAGGGTAGATTGGTGCAGTACCTGGCTAATAATCCGCTCGCCGCCACATGGTTGATTGTCTTTAATTTCGACCCAGGGGTGCTGTTTATCATTCCGGCTCCGAGGCAAGCTAGGAAGGATTTCATGCAACAGCCGAATGTGACTGCGCACGAGGATGGTTGGGATGTGGAACGTGTCACCGCCATCTTCCTCGTCATACTCCGTACAAGGACTGAGATGGAGGCGAACAAGATTGTGTGACCTTTCCGAGCGGAGTAGTGAAGCTGAGAGTTGCGTAGAGAAGCCTTATCGTCTGTCTCTGTCGACTTTATTTTCCGGAGTACTTTGTCAGGCTGCAGGAGGATGGAGATGATGTTTGCCGGATTTCTAGCTGCATTCTAGCGTTCGCAGTGGGCTTTTGACGGCATTGCGGAAGCGGGAGATGCAAGATTTGGTGGACAGACTGGAGGTACGGAGCATATGTACTCTGTACCCATCAGACATTGGATGGTCGACCTTCACAGCCATAATGAACACTCACTCGTACTGGAAGGGTTGTTGTTGGGATAGAACGAATGTGGTATTAGTAGAGGGTAATCTCAGCGTTAGATACTGTCAGGCCTAGAGCTGCCCTGGTGTTCGTACGCCTCATCATTCTACATAAACACAGACCGAGGTTCAAGATCAAAGCCAACCTCACTATCGATGTTCCCGTCATCATTGATGATGAAACTTGTCTGTGTTGGTCAAGCTTTCAACATGGTTCACGCAGCGTTATCATTTCCCTTCAGATATGCAGCAAAAGATCCATGTGACGAGCACTTATTGTCGGGCGCGGAAAGCGGCTTACTGCTGCCATGCGATCTGCACATCCATAAGGTACACAAACCCGAGATTTCGCACCTGAATCAATGTCGAGTTCCACGATCCGAAGTCTTGAAAGGCCCGTCCATTGAGGTGTGACATGTCGACGGCAGTGAGAGGCTTGAGCTACTGCACTCCGCAGTGGCCACACAACGGTCGCAGTCCACTGCTTTCCGCACCATAACCGAACTTCTTTGACTGCTGTGCTTCATGTGTCGACATGTCAGTGACCTGTCAAATCCGTTGACTTCAGCTTGAATCTTTTATGCACCAATTCAATGGAGTTGTGGTGCGATCGACATTAGTGGAACTGCTGCAGGTACGAGTTCGTACCGTCCATTCAGGTACCGGGAGACTAAGGCCCAAAAGATGGCGGAAGCGCAGGTACTGATACTCCTACAGGTAAGCGAAAGCGTCCTGTGGTTGCAGGGACCAGGTACATACTGTATCCGTAAGTCTACCTAGGTAGGTAAGCTACCAGCATAAGCCGGCAGAGAGAGTCACTATCATATTGTAGCTTGACGCCCAACGACAACAAGAGGGTGCCGGGCCATTGGCACCAGCTCCTTATTATTAACTCCCTCTCGCCTCGCTAGCTGATGCCTAAGCCACCAACGGTATCGATTAGCAGGGGCACCCCTACCAGCACGCCCCCAGCTGTTTGATTGTTCGCTTCCAACTTTTTTTTTTATTTACAGTACGGAGTATTTTGAATTTTTTTTTTTTGGCGCGCGTGCTGACAGCCGCCATGCTTGGGATAAGAAGGTGATGGGCGTGCGAAGGATGGTGAAAAGAACCGAGCACCAAGCGCAATGCAAGGGACGAACGCCTGCTCTCTACCATCTGAGTCAGTCACCTCACTCATTTCTCGCGCCTGTTTTAATGTGTTGCTTCGTCTTCAAGCCACAACTGGCGGGTGTTTCGTTTCAGGCCCTGGCTACTCATAGGACACAGCCTGGTAGGTTGGCTTGGTGAGCCCCATTGCTGGTGCTGGTGGGTTTGGGCACGATACTCCGTATGCTTCCAACGTTTCTAGTCTCTCGTCTACGTCCTTCCGCGCGTTGATGCAACCCACTCTGCTCACTTCTATCTTCCCCGGCCACACACCCCGTCACTAGAGCCTGCATAATTGCCTGGTATGGTTAGTCGTCCTTCCCGAAGCTCTGGGAGCCGGCTTGAGACCATCTCCCCCCCTGGTGGCCCCCTTGCCTCGAACCCCTGGCGACCAGCTAGGATCCTAGACTCAAATCCCACTTCGGATGCGTCATTAGAGCTGTCACTTCAAATCGAACAAAGAAACGAGAGCTACCTTGACGCTACGATCTCGGAGACCCAGTTGCCAGACCAGGCCACCGAAATAATTTCATGTCCCAGATTGATGGCAAACAAGCACAGTCCAGCTCTCCAGACGGATATGCGCACTCATCACCCATGAGAGACTGGCACTCAGCTTTCTACACGAGTCCAGTATCCTGTTTCGGACGAATAGCTGTCGCTTCATGAATGAAATGGTTGGTCCAGGTCACCGCGCCTGTGCCCAGTCGCGGCGCAGAGACACTCTCAGCTTCTGTCACCCATCGTCTGTCTCGTCTCGTCTCGTCGTCGACCCCGTTGACTAGTCTAGAGTCCATTCCTTAGCCCGCGGTGTAGACTCTCGGGTCCCACCATCCGCCCTTCAGGCACGGATATCCACTCTCTGGTTTCCTGGTTCCCGTTCCTAGGGAGCCTTGTGGACTTGTGGGCGTGTGGGTGACTGTCCGAAAACGAAATGCCTGGAGCTAATCCAACGTACCGCGGCGCGCCGACCCCTTTCGAAAAAAAGAGAGCAGAGCTGCGACTTTGCGACGGTGATATAACTGTTAGATTTCCTACCTGCCACACCGTTACACGTTCCTTTTTCGCTTTCTCATACTGCGTTTGCATTCTTTGTCTTGTCGATATTCTTGTCTTGCATTTATTCCGTTTGCTACACTCCCCAAGAGCTAGGCCCAGGCCAATAACGAATTTCACAACCGTAAACCCGTCATTCGATACATCACCCCTTTAATCGAGCCCAGCCGGCTGCGTACAAAATCTGTCCGCAATCTCTCACCACCCGAGACTCGATATTCTACGTGTACTATGTACCGTATACGTCGATAGTCTATTTCCAGACCTGTCGTCCACCAAGCCAGACCGTCATCATCTCGGCCTCTTCTGACAGCGCGACAAATCTCAAATTCTTTTGACGCGCCTCCTGCCATCATCCCTCATCCCTCAGGTCCTCCCTTGACTCGAGTACCTCTCTTACACAGAGACGCCATCAGTCAACGCGGTATCTCTGTACAACTCGAGGTCTCCTCTCTCTCACCCTATTGGGAAGAAGGAAAGCAGTCCAAGTACTGTTCTATCATACCGTGAGTCAGCCAGTAATGCCTATATAAGACCCCATGCTTCCGCGCCTTCTGGACTTTTGTCCCAAAAAGTAAACCTCTCTTCTGACAGCCTTTCGATTCCAGACACAATGCATTCAACCACATCAACATCAAATTCGGCGCCTTGCGACATGGGTCGCGGAGGATATGACACGACTGGCGTGCCCAAGCCCAAACCGCCTGCCAAATGAGACTAGCCACGAAGACACAACCTCCAAACCTCTCTAGATCGACGAGACCATCGTCGCACACTTTTACTTCACTTGCCGGCCGACACGAAACCATCCAGGCCACCGAGTCGACAGCTTGGTGGACCAGCAACGGCGCATGTACACCAGCGCGTTTCCTCCGTTGATTTCGACCGAGCATTTTGTCTCTTGTCCACGATTTTCTAATCCCCATGTGCGTTTTGACTACCCTGTACAAGTACTGTCTCAAAAAAATTGTTTTGAGCGTTTTCGGCGACAGTTATTTCAGGCATCAACGGCGCAACCTTTATTTTTCTTTGGGGATTTCCAACACCATACGACTATCCTGTACAACTTATACTGTATCAAAAAGTCCTTGTATTATCCGGCGTTTCAACATAGACGGGAATTGGATTCTGGGAGGTTAGGGCCACAAAAAATGGACGAGGATGTTTTTGCTGAATAGATCGTATGACTCAGGTCACATTTCTTTGGGGGAGTTATTTGGGCTTCTGGGGTGCATAACGAGCAAGCAGGACAGACGGCATTGGCGGAACTATCGTCAGTCAAATTTCTGCCTGGTCGCAATGAAGCATCACAGAGAATGGGGCCTGGATGATGTAGCAGGTCATAGGCACTGCTTCGAGTCATCAATAGACGCCGATGGATAGGAAGGCTCGATACTGTGTCACTTAGTATGAAGATCGAATAATATCATTTTCTGATGCGCAGAACCCCGTTCACGTCATCTGGTACCTGTATCGCCTGTGACATCCAAGTAGGACGTCGGCAGCGTCATGGGAAGTAGTACGAGGCTTCAGCCACTAGGGGTCACGGTAGTTGAAGCTATTCGATCGATGGGTCGGACATTAGAAGGCTGCAGTCAATAAAATAGAATACGTGGAGAAATGAAGACCTGAAAATGCATGCGCTACTCAGTAATTGGCGCTGGCGTCGTCACGGACTCGGCCTGCAACTGCCCCAAGAAAGACTCTTTGCGCAACCAACCATCATCTCCATCTCACCCATCAAACCATCTCACCCATCAAACCACCTCACACCATTGCATCGCAACAACCGACAAACCACACGACTTGCGTTGATGATCATCGAACACCATATTTGAGGTCCATCATCCACAACATCCCCTTTCCTACAGACCTCCGACTACGTCCTCGAACCAATCCGCATCCGATCCCTCCATCCTACCCTTGTCGGCACTCGGACCCATTTCTGGCATAACACATTGGAAAAAGCAGAGGTTGAAACTGTTGGCAGCTGAACAGTGCATATCGAGAAACTATCCATCACAAAAGACTCCCTCATAGTTGAAAATCAGTGCAACTCTCAACACATTACTCAATGGCCGACACTTCATCCGCACCCAAGCCTAGTAGCAGCGTCAAGCTTGTGCTGCTCGGGGAAGCAGCTGTTGGAAAGGTGGGTTGCGCACACTGTTACCCCGATATCAATAGCCCCAGATCACTCCGCGCCACGCCGCGGCATGACATTTGATGCGGTCGCTGTGGGAAGCGCAAGGTGGTTGCACGGTTGGGATCGCGATACCTTATCCTCACGTCGATCAGGATAGAGTTTGATGTTTCGGAGATCCCTCAAAATACAGGAAAAGGATTGTCGCTGACAGAATCGAGCAGTCATCTTTAGTCCTACGGTTTGTCAACAATGACTTCCAGGAGAACAAGGAGCCGACGATTGGTGGTATGTCATATCTTCGAGTGCCATCCACTGCAGCCACGAGTGCTAACATTGGAATAGCCGCATTCTTGACACAGAAGATCTCTTTGCCCAACCGAATCATCAAATTCGAGATCTGGGACACCGCTGGTCAAGAGCGTTTCGCCTCTCTAGCACCTATGTACTACCGAAATGCACAAGCTGCGCTTGTTGTCTACGACCTGACCAAGCCTACCTCTCTCACAAAAGCTAAACATTGGGTGGCAGAGCTACAAAGGCAAGCTTCACCAGGCATTGTGATTGCTTTGGTCGGCAACAAACTCGACCTTTGCGCGGAAGCATCAGGTGACTCTGAAGCTTCGCCAGAGGATGGCGAAGACAACGAGTCCAACACGGAAGCCGAGCCTACTGACGATGGAGACGCGCGCAAAATCTCGACAAGAGAAGCTAAATCATATGCCGAAGAAGAAAACTTGCTGTTCTTCGAGACGTCTGCAAAGACAGGCACAAACGTGGCTGAAGTGTTCTCAGCAATCGCCAACGCTATCCCAGAGACATCACTAAAGGGTGCGAGGGGAGCCAATAGCGGCGGCACCCAAGCTGCGTTGTCTGGTGCCGCCAACCGAGCAGATGAAGCTAGAGTCAATTTGGCGGATCGGGCGAAGCAAAAGAGCAATGACTGTGCTTGTTAATTGGGAGGAGACAGTTACGGTCATCGACATATCAGCAGCCAGTGTGCACCACAGGAGCTGGTTCACATCGACTCCAGTCGGTGGTATGATTTGGTCCGGAAATGGAACAGGCAGGCCAGCCTGACAGCATGGAGGACGACGAGGATGTGTGCAAGGGATTCTGATTATGCGTCTCAATACTTGAGTTGGAGTCTGTGTATAGCGAACATTGAAAATCAACCGATTCAGGTATCTCAGGAATGTCATCCGAAGCAAGAAGCAAGATCAATCCTCACGATTGTGCAGAGTCTGTGATGCTCGACCATGTTAAACTCCTACTTGACCCATCATTATCCATGCCTAAATCTATATTAGTATCAGCTATTCTGTATGAGGACGTTAGTTCTAGAGACGCTCCCTGCGTGGAGTAAATATTCTCTATTCTTATTCTCTCGTCACCCAAGCATGTGCGCCCATGACGTTGTGACGTCACTTATTCATCATGTTTCTTGCAGGACTTTCCTTCACATTATCCCAACAACTGCGGTATGTGAAAATACAAATTCTCATCTCATGGAACCATGATATCCTACGCGCCTCTCGTTCTCTCTACACCAATTTCCTGTCCGTGACCCTCGACCAACTTCGAGCCCGACCGCTTCTCCCTTCATTGCCCATTTTCAATCCCAATACATCACCGTCACGATGAGCGAACGAGTCAAGCAAGTTGCTGCCGAAGAGGCTGAGCGAGTCAAGGTTATGACCAGAGAAGCGGTCGAATCTCGTGCCTATCTGTATCCTTTCAAGGTGCGCAGCCTCCTCCTAAACACGGCGCAATCTTCAGCTAATCCGCAGCAGGGTATCTTCTATTTCATCATGCACAAGGATCTTTGGCGCCCGTTGTTGTCAAAGCTAGCACCTACTATCACCCTCGGCATTGGAGTCACCACGTTCATGTTCCTCATTGCCTATGTTCCACAAGCTGCTGTCATGGCCTTTACCTCTGGTCCAGTTGCTGCCGTGTCTGCGGCCCTCCTCACTTTGAGCGAGAGTTCGACTTTGGTCAATCTCCTTTCCCGAACCTTCCTCATTGAGGGGGCACTCACGGATACATTTGACGGCGTTTTGTTATCTCGTGACTGCGTCAACTTGGTGGAAGGCGGCAGACAGATCTCCAACTCGGGGGACAATATCGCTCGACTCGGAAAATTGATCAAGAAGCCGTTCGCCAAATTCACCCCGAACGCAATAATCAGATACCTATTGTACCTACCACTCAACTTCATCCCGGTGGTGGGAACCTTGATATTCATCATATTGCAAGGAAAGAGATCAGGTCCGGCGGCACATATGAGGTACTTTCAGCTCAAGGAGTGGTCGAAGAGGCAGAGAGAAGTCCACATTTCAGAACACCGGGGAGGGTACACGTCATTTGGCGTTGCAGCGTTTGTCTTGGAAATGATCCCCTTTGTCAACCTCATCTTTGCATTCACCAACACTGTCGGAGCAGCTCTATGGGCGGCGGATCTTGAGAAGAATGCAACCACTTCTCCAAAGGTGCGGGAGCTCGCTAAGAAGGCAGAATAGCTCCAAAGGATGTCGTTGTTCGACAATAGAGGTGGCTGCGCTGTGATGTCCAAGCCGAAAACAGTCTTGACAGCGGACATAGAATGACATGAGTGTTTGGAATATACTTGATCACAGTGTAGGTATCGTGGATACTTGCTGATATGCACCTTTTGCTTTCTACCTTGTAGGACTCCCAGGAGGTTTCCTTCCTCTGGCACATTACTTTTGAGACCGTATGCTTAACTACAGGGATATTTACTTTCACCGCCTTGTGCATATATGTGCCTCCTTACCGCCCAGGGCCGCCGCACCCTCTCATTCACGTATTCATGCTATGTCAACAAAACAACAAAGTCGCGACCTTGTTCCTCCTCGTTCTCCTTCTCTCTCATCTCCCACCCATCTATTACTCACATCGCCAACAGCATTCTCTCAACAACGCGACACACCCGGACTGTACATATCCTTTGCCTCAATCCTTTCAACTGACCCAATACACTCCTTTAATAGGTATTGACCTTTCGCCGTGCGTGCTGCTGGTGAGTTCAAGCGACGGGAATCAACTAGTGATGCCGAACAACTAACACCTATCACCAGGCAATGGGACTTCACAGTCTCGGCTTCGGCATCTTCTTGATGCTATGCATCTCGACTCTCTTCAGCCTTGTGGCAGCTCACCCTGGCGATTACCTTCGTCATACGCGGTATCATCTTCTCGGAGAGGATATGGACATTCCAACCCCAACCATTCACGCTCCCGTCTTGGCTAAAGATGTCACCTCCAGCACTCCTGTCTTTCCTTGTCTCAATGATCCCTGCGCCACAGATGTTCCACCTTCTGAGAACCTCTCCTGCTATGCTGTCAATGGAACAACCTTCGTCAACAGCGCAGCAAACTACACTCTTCTCTGCGACATTGACTTTCCTGCTCAGAACATCTATCCCTTTGTCCGGGCCGGCTCCTTCAATGAGTGCTTGGAGCAGTGCGAGTCCTACAATCGGAAGAATGTCGCTGGCAGTCGCTGTGCAGGATTTGTTTTCGCGCCAGACCGAATTCACGACGCCGATGACTGTTACCTCAAGTCGTCGTTGAATGAACCTATCCCGGCAACTCTCCATCTGGTCGGTGCTACCATTACCACACCTACATCAACTTGCACTACCACTCCTAACTCCAAGCCTACGCCCCGCTCTGATCTTACCAGTTCAGCATCAGCTTTGACAGTCAAAGATGTCAAAGTACTTGGAAGTTCGACCAACAAGCCAACAACTCAATACGTCAGTCATCTTCCAGCAACTCCGGAGAAGCTTGCGAGCAACGTCCTCGTCCCTGGAATCAATATTGACTTGATTACAAAGTATCCGATGGCGGGCGACACTGGTGTCTGGTCTGAGGAAAATACACCCTTGGACGTGGATGTGGCAGACATGAAGGTCGTACCACACATGTCAAGAGATGGTGGAAAGGGTGGAACCATCAACGGAACTCACATCTTTGTGTTTTGTGACACTGCCAGTTATCAGATCGACGGTGCTTCCAACCCACTCGTGGGGTTCGTCTCTAGCTCCGTTGCAACAGATGTTGGCATGAAGGCACTATATGGCCAACCTCTCGATCTTGTCGACAATCTCGGCGAATGGCAGGATGATGTTGGAAGAATGCGTGGCTTTGCACCCATGACAACTGGAGAGGAGTCCTTCAACATTGCTCTTTCGGGCAATGGCTACCGTTATGCCGTGTGGCCTGAGTCATCCCTCATTCCCATGAATACCAGCCACGCACTCCTGTACCCTGCACTGGTGTACGATGTGGTCAACATGAAGAATCAAGCGGCGGTCTTCCATGATCTGGGCAACTCCATTCTCCTTGTTTCGGTGGATGAGAAATATGGTCCAACCGCCCAACGCTTGGTACCACAGCTCTTCAAACAAGACCAAGTCACCTTTGGAACCTTGGGAGGTATCCGTTCTTGGGGTTCATCGGGCGTTGGCGGCAATGATGGAATCATCTATCTGTTCGGTGAGACCAATCATGGTGTCCTTGTTGCACGAACCACTCCCGCTGACTTCACCAATCTTTCATCTTACACGTACTGGGACGGCAATTCTTGGTCCAACGACATGCCGTCACCAAAGTCCACAGCAACCATGATCGACGTGCCCGTGCAGGATTTGGATGTCTTTCATGTGCCAGCTCTTCGCAGTTTCGCCATGGTCTACCTCAACACCGTCGCCGACAATACTTTCTACTATCGATACCTGCCACTAGACCTGAATGTCGATGAGAACGCAGATTACGAAGACGTCGTCACCAGCCAATGGTCAGACGAGAAGGTGCTGGCCAAGATTGACTCTCCTGCCGAAGGATACATCTACGCAGGTGGGATGCACGCAGGTTACTTTGGCGGCGACGACATTACCAACGGTGGTTGGAAGATGTTGATAACCTGGACCGAGCATACTGGAAAAGATGCAGCTAGTCCGGAATCCGGATACGCACACAAGTCAGCCTACGTCGAGTTTGGACTTGCTTGACACTGAGATGGCCAACACTCAAACTCTCACACCTTACGGGCGAATCAACAATCCTGGATAATTGTTACTCGTACGGAGTCGGATCATCAAAAAAACAAACCTTAACGACCACAACTCTTATCGGGGCATTGTTCTTTTGTTCTACATCACCTCCAGGCGAGAGTGGACAGTTCATCACACATGGGCATATCTTCGGTCTTGCATTCGATGACCACACTTGTGTCACAAACAGTTTTCTTGGTAGCTTTTTGATTTCTTTTTTTTCTTTGCTGGTGGATGGATGTGATATGAAACCTCGTCTTCTTCTTCTTTACTCAAATCTGTTTTGATCCAGATCATGATTGATGTACCAGGAAGACAATGAGCTTTATTCTTGCTCCGACGATGACGGATGACCAGGATGGACATGAGCAATGGAAACATGACGGTACGATAGTACGTTAAGTACTCCGTACGGTTGCCAGCCATACTAGAATACTCGGACTTCTTTTCTCTTAGCTGAGAGAGATAAACCCTACAGAAATACCCACGTAATTGAACACTGAGGCCTGGTCTATACATAGTCATCGTGCGAATTCCCTCCCCTCTTCTGCTTCTTCCTGTAGACTCCCCGTTCCTCCGCCTTCAAACGACCCCCCATGTGGGATCTTCATTGTCACGTACGAGTACTTGTTCCGAACAGTGGTACTGTGCGAGTACTCGTAATGTCTTCATCCACATGCTCCCCCCGCCTTCGTCCACTTCTTCCGACATTGGGCTAGTCGTAGCGATGGGCCCCCTTGTCATCAATTTCTTCCCCGCGTTAACCGGGTCCCTCTGGAGAACGATGTCCATGTATGAGGGGTAAAGACGTATCAGAGTACTTGTGCCGATGTACAAACGGCAAATTTCAGGCATAAGAAAGATGATGGTGGAAGCGTAAAGAAGGCAAAAACAGACATGCGGCGAACTGGAGGGGGCGCCGGTTGGTATGACAATGCATGATCACGGAGGTCCTTGCGAGGGGTACTTTACACATGTGAGGGTTACATACGTACACGCGTGGGTGTGTGTGTGTGTGTGTGTGTATATAGATAGATATACACCCCTACACAAGGTAATAGGGAATATGTAACGTCCATCTTCCCGACGACCGAAAGTGGTATTTGTTTATTTTGGTCTCGTTTCTGTTTCTTATTTTACAATCCATCGCTTTGCTACCAATACAACCATCATCATCATCATCATCACTATTCTGTTAAGGAGCCCGAGCTAAGCTCTGAAGGTGTCATACGGTACATATTACCCCGAACGGCGAGCTGGACTCTATCAGACGCCAAAAGCGAACGGACGACAACCACAACACTCACAATACTTTGTTCCTTTAGACCTGTGTGTGCCTCATACAAGTCGAATCAAATTGAAAACCAAGTCAACTCCTCTCGTCGAAACAATGGCGACAGCTCAAGCGGGAGATGGAGAAAGCTACCCATTGGCGGCACAGATCCCCTTGAAGGAATTTGTACTTCCAGACTTCCCACCTCAAGCCTCTCGACTCCGGGAACTTACCTTGACCGCCGACATCAAACTAGACGAGTACCAGAGTCTCCTTCAGGAGAAACCACTCACTCAACCCGAGTTGCCCAACGTCCCCAAGTCCGTGACCCATTTGACCTTGGAGTTGTTCGGCTTGGGCTTCCCCGGCACCCCGGCCTTCTTGGGACGACTGGCCAAATGTCTACCCAATCTACAATCCTTGACCTTTTTCAGTTGTCTGATCGATGGGCTCGACGACTCCAGTCGTAAAGACGCCGAGAGGTTGTTCGAGACTTGCACTCAACTACAAGAGATTCATATCATTGATTCTTTTGCCCGACCCGGGTTTTTCAAATCCGTCGGTTCCATACTCGAAAAAAGAGCCCGAGAGAATGCGAGCAAATCGAAGAAGAAGGCCGACAACGACGCCCTGGGCCTGACCGAAGAAGAAAATCAAGGTGGCCTCAAAGTCATTGACGTCAGTTATACCTTTCGTGGTCACGAAGACAGTGACTTTTTGGCCAGAGTCGCCGGGGAAGAACTATCTTCGTTGATCGTACCCGGGCTGATGGGGTTGAGTTTTGATTTTGTTCCCGTACCTAGAAGGGATGAACTCGAGGAAGAGGAGCAGTCGTCGGAGGAAAACAAAAAAATGCCAGAAGGTGTTTTGCCTTTTGCCAGTGACGGTAGAGCACCGACGGCGATCAAGAAGAGGTTCGAAAACCTTTCTGCTGGCGGCGGCGGCGGCGGCGGCGACTTGACTTCGATCAAGGTGTTGAATTTGGGAATGTTTTCACTACGACCGGCAGAGGTCGGTGAGATTGTTTACGCTTGTGCTGGTGGTGGAGGCGACCGACAGGCTGGACTGGTCGATTTGACGGTCGCGGTCCTTCTCGAGGATGGATGGACAGACTCACTCGTGGCGGGATTCGGACATAAAGAGGTCGGGAAAACCTTGGAAGGTATCGAGATCATAGGGGTGCCTGACAACGACGACAAATCGGAAGAAGAAGCGGCAGCGACATCCCAGGATGATCAATCACACCACGACATAAAACTAATCGAACAGGCCGATATCGAAAAGCTGGAAAAAGCTTGTCCGAACCTTGGAAAAGTCGGAATGAGCATTTTGAAAGTCAGGAGTGCCCCCAACGTGGTTTTTCTCAAGGAAGACGACGGGTGGAGGTCGATGTGAGGAAACAACACCGTACATGGATCGATGAACACGGACCGGACGAGGATGTCGAGGCCGTAATTCAACTATGCTTGGATGAAGAGAACAAAACCAACGAGTGAAAATCGGTGATCTAATGATAGGTAGGTGAGGTATTGTGGCTACGAAATCTCATAGATGGATTTTGGTATCGCGTGCTGAATTGCACTTCCAGAAAGAATAATCATGACAGCTTTCAACAAAAACAAAACCACCCAAGAATTGTGATACCACTAAACCCAGCCTTGTGTTGAGATGCTCAAAAGGTCCCTTGAAGAGTCTTCAGGAACTTGACAACTCCAGAAGCACCCTTTTACAGTTGTGATTCGGTCGCCAATCCTTTGAGTCTTGCCTTGCCAGAGCCATCAGAAGTATCATATCCCACACCATTCAATATCTCTCACGCCCCTTCTGGGACGGCCTTTGTCATGTATCGATGTTCAAGCCCCTGATTTGGGTTTCCCACACACATTGATCGAGCAACTCATCGAAATTCAGTTCGTTCGTGTGCTAGTCACTCACTCTCACACACACACATCGGAAAGCCTTTCTTGACCATTGTTGAGGTCTAGGATCTTCCATCCCTAGGCTTTGACGTATCACCACCATCATTTCCCCCCACCGTGAGTCTGATCGTGATACCTGTTGGAAGTAGTGGTTTGCGTGGACTTGGACACTATCACAGGTCCCGCTCGATTATACCCACCGCCGGATACACCAGATCCTGAATTGTAACCGCCGGTGGATGTCGACGAGTTTGATTTGGGGTCAGGTTTCGAGTGCGAATCTGTTTTCGAGCCTGTAACCGATCCAGAAGACTTCTTCTCACAACCGCAGTTGTAACCGTCGAAATTGTTGCCGCAATAAATACACCTGCGTACCATCTTGGGGAAGACGGTCGACTGATCGATATGTATTTAGACTCGTGGGATTTGGGGGGTTTGTCAAGTCAATGTTTCGTTTCCAAAAATGTGTGGATCGTACCAGGTTGACATGCAGCGAGTTCCCCTTTTTTCCAGTCGTACGTTGCTATATGGACGGGAAAAGCAAAAAAAGAGAAAAACAAAGACATTCAAATTCGCAAAGAATTTAAACGTTTGTGGGATTCACAACAGCTAGTCAGGTCTCAGTCTTCACAAACGAAGCCGTTTTGTCCCTGTTCTGCTTGGACCATACGATCGGATGGTGATTGCTGGTGACGTTTTGACGTTGGGAGGTTACAGGGAAGTAACTTTCTCGAGATCGGTTTGGCCTGGTTCTGGTCCTCACGGTTGGAGGTGAAATAAGCAGGAAAACTCTCAGTTACTCAGAAAACGTTTGGTACCAAGGTTTGTGTGAAGAATGCCGTTTGGAATGGCTCAAACCTAGAAGATACGTGAAGACTGTCGTTGCTGTATGCACCCGTGAGATGTTTCATGGTCCATGCCGGACGGAATTGGAATTGCCACCAGAAAGAAGTGTCGAACAAAAATCGGATTTGAACACGAGCTGCACCCAGAAAGAACTTGCCACCGAAGGATTGTGCTTTGCTGTGCTGTGCTGTGCAGAACAACAGCAGAAAAAAATCCCTCTCAAGGGTACACGAACTCAAGGCACCGGAAGTGCGACGTTGTTCAAACCAATTGCCCTTTCGTTTCGTAATATGCAGTCGGGCTCACCACACATTTCTCTTTTGCTTCTCGAATGGCTTCTGGAAAACTCCGCAGCAGCGCAAACGCAACGCAACATGCCATGGCTTCGTGTAACATTGACTTATGGAGGACCTTCGTCGGGTAAGAAATTCAATCTTCGATGACAATGGGAAGTCTGGGATTACTTGCTCCGCGTGCGTGAGACGAGGTAAGAAGAGACACGTGTCGCCAGTGAGGACCGTTGCGTAGGTAGGTAGTATTTTATTGAATCCGACGAAAAGTACCAAACATGCTTTCAGTGCGTCGCCATTTGGGGAATGAAGTCCAGAAATCACGCTGCCGAGGAAATGATTGATCACTCAACTTAGAACCGCCCAGGGCTTAATCACATGGTGTGCCTGTTTTGCATCAAGGCAGCATTGCTGTGGTTCGGAATATTGGGGGCTGTTGAACATGAAACATCCTTTTGATTTTGGTCGATGACTGGCACAAGGTAGGGTAAGGTTACCATTTGTTTCAGGATGCGACAAACAATCGCCTCACTGCTGCTGCTGCTGCTGCTGCTGCACAACTCGTCACCTCCGACCAGCCCAACTTTCATTCCCATCTCATCAATGCATTACTGTACCAAGGGCAGGGGAGGGAAACAAATTGCCGAATCTAGAAAGATTGGTTACCAAAAGTAGATTTTGATTCACCGACAAACGGAAGAGCAATCATCCGTAGAAACACGAAGGGACACGGATCAACCCTTTTCTCACCCCGACACGGCACTTTCCAATCCCGGCAGGCGACTAGCCATCTTGGGCATTTTCACCAACCAACATGATCCTGGGATGACTGCCCTGATAGCCTGGGCACAATTTCACACCTCGGCCTTCATAACCTGACTCCATCTACGGAGTACTTCAACCTGTCATGTTGGGCTTGGCCCTTGTCTCTCAGTTGTCATATGTATTTGTCGGATACCATCTGGACCGACTCTTGCTGCCTGGAACCTTTTGAAACTCGCCCAAATCTAGATATCGGACTTCCGAGCACAAAATCGGACCTGAGGCTGACTTCCTCAACCAATCGGCGACGAGCGCACCGATACTCATTTCATCCAGTAATGTCCAAAGCGACATCGCTGTGCTGAAGCAAAGCGTCAGGGGGAGGGAGGGGATGAGAAGGACCATCGGACTGTATACGGCACTCTGTGAACTCTCTGACTTCTCCGACTGGGATTTTTTGGCCAAGCCTGACGAGCAGAGATGCCGTTCTAGAGAGAGATTCGGTACTTTGCGCGTGGCCAGTGGCAGTCGGCCCAGGACAGATTGTGCGAGCATGTCGCCATGGGTAGAGGCGTACCTTCCGACCACGGAGCCTTCTATCTGGCTTGCCCTGATTACTATCTGAGCACAAAGGTGGACGTGGAAGGAGACCGCATTTGTAGAGATACCCCATACAATAGGGGCGCATTGAAGAAATCGTGAGTATCTACAAACGCAATCATCACCAATCCATCTTCGTCTGATTCTTGCCGCCCCCCTCATCCTGCAAGACATTCAGAACAGAAGTCCGTTCCGTCTTGCTCTGCGTAAAGTTCTCCCAGATAGCCTTTCCAAACTTCTTGTACGAGTCGGTCATGCCGTTGTTGACAGTAAGGTTATACTCCATGTCGGAAAGAGCAAAAGGGTAAGCATGACCGGCCACCGTTGCGGTTCTGCTTGGAATATCCAAAGTGATGTCTTCGCCCTCTTTGGCAGCTTGGAAAAATGCGTCATCTGAAATGGTGACCCCGAGAAGGCCCAGACTAGGCTGGTTTCGACCATAAATGAATGCGAAGGAACGGGCAATGACGGCTTGGACACCAACACCTGATGACCATCAGTATACCGAATAGGAAAACATTCCAAGAGAATATGGTGTTGAACCCCTAACCTTTTAAAGCCGAGACAGCCACTTCACGACTTGACCCCACGCCAAAAGCATGTCCTGCCACGACGATCTGCTGGCCACCACGGACTTTGGATCGGAAGTCTGGATGGGTATACTCGAGAACATGTTCACCGAATTCTTCGTCGGTGACGCACGTCGTTAGCGTCGGCCCAGGAGCCAGCTGTTATTGTTGTACGATTAGCCTTTTGGGTTTGTCTCAGGGGATTGGCTAGTGGTAACACCTACCGCATCTGTATCGATAAAGTCACCTAGAGTCACGATCTTGCTGGATATCTTGTCCAACTTCTTGACCGTGCCCTCTTCAACCGCCTCAGATTCTTTGGTCGTCGTCGCGGCACCTCTCTGAGATAACGTGTCGGTTCTCGAAGTCAAGTCGGGCTCCACATATTCGACAGATGTGTAGCTGATGTGCTGCAGGGGGCTGTATTTCGCGAAAAAGTCCATGTCAATCTCTTTGAGAAATTCCGCCGGACTCGTGATCGTCATGCTGAAACTCGAAGCCGCACATACGATGGCTGACGTAACGTGGCCGAATGCACCTGATTGTAACACTCGTTTGTTAGCCGGTGCAGCGGGGGAGAGTCAAGCACGTTGTCAAACATTCTAAGCAACTCACCTTTACCCATGCGATTCTGAAAATTGCGATTCTGAGAACTTAGCCACGTCTCGCCCTCGCTGGCTTTCTCTGCGGATAGACCGACGCAGAACGAACATCCGGGAGGCCCACGTGTGAACCCGGCTGCCTCATAGACTTCTAGGAGTTTTAGTTCCTTTAGTTTCTCAACGACCGGTAACGACCCAGGGACATAATGTCGTTGGCCCTTGGCGATGGGGAAGCCCTTGGCCAGGCCGACCTTTAACACTAGCGCGGCGAGAACCAATTCTTCCTCGGTGGTCGTGCACGCTCCAATAAAGACACCGTCGAGTGGTAGACCAGCCTTTGCGGACACGGGCACTACGTCGTCCGGATTGGGATAGACAGCCACCGAAGCTTCGACCTTGGACAGATCAAACGTGTACTTCCCCGCATAGATCGCGTCGGCGTCGGGTCGGAAATACAACGAATTCTGGCGGTTTGTCTTTCGTCTCCTCTTGGCGACGTAGTCTCTCGTGATACTATCAGGCACAAAAATGCCCGTGATGGCGCCGAACTCGGTACACATGTTGCAGATGGCGAAGCGGGCGTCACAGGACAGGTGTCTGAGTCCATCGCCGCTGAACTCGACGATGCGTTCCGCGGCGACTGTGTTGCGTTTGAGCTCTCCGAGTATGTGAAGAATAACGTCCTTGCCGGACATGCCGACCGCTGGTTCACCGACCAGTTCAATGAGGATGGACTCGGGAATCTTGAACCACGTCTCGCCAAGCGCCAGAGCCATCATAACGTCCGCCGTGCCCAAACCGAGCGACAAAGACCCGACCGCTCCGCCTGAGCAGGTGTGCGAATCGGACCCGATGGCGAGCATGCCGGGTTCCACTCGTTCCCGCACAAACTCGGTATGCATGATGGTGTAATTCATGCCTTGGTACTCTGTCATTTTGAATTCATTTTTAGCCGCCTCCGCCACCTGGAGCAACTTTTGGATCTTGGGATTGGTCGAGACGGCGGGGTGGTAGACGTGGTCGCCGGCCAGCCAGAACCTGTCGTTTCGCCAGATCCCGGGAGATCCCATTTCCTTGTGTGTTCTGTCCATTGCCTAGAAGAGACCGAAAATAAGTGTCAACGGGGTTCGTACACATGTTTTTGCTGTGCGATTCGACGGGATCGTTGTGCAACAGGAAAGGAAGAATATGAGAAGACTTGCTTACCGCCCATGATAGTTCAGATGCCAGGATCCAGTCCACACCGACTCTCACCACATCACCTGCTACGAGCCCCTGTGCCGGCTTGTCACCAATGACGTGCTGTGCAAAGATCTTTTGAGCCAATGTCATGGGCTTTGTGCCCGGCGCGGCAGATGGCAAGTAAGACAAGAACCCCTTTGCCCTTTCCGCTGAAGTCACCGAGTCAAGCCATGCCTCGACGAGGAAAAGACTCTCAGACACCTGTTGAGGCGTAGCTTCAGTAGTTCGACTACTACCTAACCCTAGACCCCCAAAGTTCGGACTGTCGATGACTTTTTCAAGTACTTGTGCTAAAGCCTCTGATTCGGGGACCTTGCCTGCCTGTTTCAACGCCCCGATATACCTAGAGAGGGCACTAGGTATTGAAGGGACAGAATCAGATGATACCAGAGGTAAGGATTTCGAGTCGATGTTTCTGCATCGAGACAGAAGCCCTTGAAGTTGACTCTCGAAATTGTCGGTTGGCTGATCTGCTGCCGATGCGCTTGATGTTTCTGTAGTGGCCGTCGCCATTGGTGGCTTTTATGATCCCTTTCGAAGTATTCGGTATCTTTGACAGCGAGTAAGGAGATATTCGTACGTGGCGCGATGATGACCTTCTCACGTAAACTTTGTCTCTACACTATCATTATAGAAGAACAAACATACGAATAGCACATAATATACCTTGATTAACGAATAGTTAATCGAGTATTATGAATAAACACCCAACCATGGACTTCGGAGTGATAGGATCGGTCTTCGGCGGGTCTGACTCCGCATATCGGTGCGAGTATCGGACAAAGCTTGTCGATGTCGGCCGTGCGCCATTCAAATGTGGAGGCGGGGAACGTCCAGGGATGTATTGAAAACAGACTTGTGTCGTTCTGGACTTCATATTGAGGACACAGAGATATAGTCTCTCGGGCCGAGGGTAAAAGGATCAAAAAAAAGAGTCTCAGTCCTCAAGCCTCGACTTTTTTACTATCATCATCAAATAGCAGTCCGCAACACACACATCTTTTCTCTCCCGGTACGAACCTAAAATGGGCTCAGTCGATACATCACGCAAGCCAAAGGCCTGCTCACCCTTCACCGGTGCTGCACGTCTCCGCGAGTTACTGAATGATCGCTCCAAGATTGTTGTCTGTCCCGGTGTCTATGACGGACTTACGGCCCGTCTGGCACTCGAGGCGGGATTTGATGCCCTTTACATGGTCAGTAGACGTCTTGAGGAAAGGACTACGACTGACGTGCCCCTTCGTAGACTGGCGCTGGGACGTCCATATCGAAACTTGGCTGGGCAGACCTTGGCATGGCGCATTTGAATGACATGGCAGGTAATGCCGGCATGATTGCCTCCCTCGATCCTTCAGTCCCCGTGATTGCAGACGCCGATACTGGTTATGGCGGACCAATCATGGTGACAAGGACAGTCACTCAATATGCTCGTGCTGGTGTCGCGGCGCTCCACATCGAGGATCAAGTACGTGGCTTTGGCGACAAACTTCTCAAAACTGGCTGACGGTGGACTAGGTACAAGAGAAGCGATGCGGACATCTTTTGGGAAAACAGATCGTCGATCGGGACATCTATTATAGTAGACTCCGAGCTGCAGTGGCGGCACGCGACGCACTGCACTCCGACATAGTAATCATTGCTCGCACGGACTCGCTGCAAACATATGGTCTTGACGAGGCCATAGAGCGATTGAAGGAAGCTGTCAAGATCGGCGTCGATGTTGTATTCCTCGAGGCCCTTCGAGACAGGGAAGAGATGGAGAAAGTCTGCAAGGTTATGGGAGACACGCCAGTATTACTGAACAGCGTACCGCACGGAACCACGCCAGAAATCTCAGCTCAAGAGGCCCAGGAGATTGGGTTTCGCATAATGATTCACCCAGGAGCCTGCCTGGGGCCTGTCGCAAAGATACTGAGACAAGAACTGCAGGTATTGAAAAAGACCGGAAAAGCCACTCCAGCGGATGCCGAATCAAGTCCTAAGGAGTTGTTCAATCTTGCTGGCTTGCAGGAATGTATTGAGATTGATCGGCTCGCTGGAGGCAAGGCTTATGCCAGTCTGACCAAGTAGAACAATCATTTTAACAGGTCAAGGATGGGCGACAGTCAGTTGATCTCGGATGGTTCCATCAACCTCATAGCAGAATTATACATACCTTTCATGGCGGAATGAGGAGTCAGAGCTGTTTGTAACTTTGGGAATGGATTAACGTGTCTGCTTGACTTTCGAAAGTGTAGTTATTGAGCCATCTTTTGTCTAGTATATGTACATTGTAACGCTGGTCACAAACCCTTCTCTTGAATATTCGTACAGACTACCAGCTCGCTTTCTTAACACCGGGTATAGATCCTTCGAGTGCGTGCATTCGGAACATGAACTAAGAGGAGAATTCGAATCAGCCACTCTTGAACGTATTGCAGCTATAGGCTATCACAGCAACCCAGGAGGCCGGTCGACTTCGCGGAGCTGGCCTCGACTGACAACAACAACATGTACTTACGCGACCCATCTTAAAATCTCTCAAGACACTCCTTGACACACCTCCCATTACGCATCTGTTCTTGATTTGCGTCGGTCTGGTGTAGCAGTGCATTTTCTGGAGTTCGAGCTGTGCTTGTGTTCGCATCCATTGCGGAAGGGATGTATTACGGATGACGTATCGTAGAGCTTGCCTATACGAACGAAGCATGTGTCAGTCGGTCTTCTCTCGCGGAACTTGATATGCAGTGCATGGTGAAGAGCATGAAATGGATCGATGATACCTTTGGGGTTCGAATCTCTCGTAGGCTTTTCGCTTGCTGTGATCTCGGATGATCTTGATGTTGATGAAACCGCCTAAATCGAGCTTCTTCGCTCGCCATTGTGCCGCCATTGTGGTCGGTCGACACTGTCGGCTTCTTGTGCTTGTCTCGAGGATGTCTTTGTGCAATGGCTTTTCGAAGCGCAGCGGACAGTTGAATTTGGGACGGCACGTGACTAAATATTTGACTAAGCCATTTCGGGCCAACGCCTCGGTTTCGGACTTTCAGGGTGCAGGATCGATCAATGCGAACACCAACGAACCACTACGATCTCTCGGCCCTTGACTCGTCTGCACGACTAGGAACTGGCCAGCTTGTAGTGGCTGCCGCAGTGACTCATTCTCATTGAAGGCGTCAAAGGAAGACTAATCGATATCACAGTAAATACGGGATCACCTACGTCGAATGGGTACAGTGCTACGTGCTTTCAGCCACTGCCGAGACCTTCTGTGAGTCACGATCGGCATTCTGGTGGTATTGGCTTCCTTTGACTTTGCCGAGTTTTCCTTGTTTGGCATCTCCGAACAGTGTCGCATGCTTTGAAAAGCTGCACTGTATCTCTAAAGACATGGATCTGACAAGGCTTAAGATGTCGGCCAGGTCTTCAGTGTCGTCTCATCGCCAACTTCTTCTCGCGTTGACCATTTTCAACGATGCCTAGGCCTTCAAAAGCCTCCAAAAATGCCAGCGCAGGTGCAAGCACAGGCGATGGAACTCTTGTGGTCACAAGCCAACAAAGTCGCTATGCTTTGGACGCCGTAGATGCTCCAACTTCAAAAGACATTGACATAAAAGACCTTACTCTCTCTATTGGTGGCAGAGATTTGCTCGATCACGTTGAGCTTCGATTCCTTGAAGGTGTTCATTATGTGCTTGCAGGTAGAAACGGGACGGGGAAGAGCTCACTCCTGCGGTCACTCGCAGAACGACGCGTACCTGGAGTGCCGAGCAATCTGCGACTGCTGCTACTTGGGCAAACTCGTGTGAGCTCCGACGTTTTAAGCCAGGAGCCTACGGAAGCAGAAAACCTGTCGCAAGATGTCCTAGACTATGTCACAAGCAGTGATAGAAGAAGAGAAATTGCTCTCAAGACTGCGAATCGTAAGTTGATTTTGTTCTGCTGATTACGAGAGCTCATAAGCTTGAAGGTCTATCGGTCGCTTTGGAGGAAAAGACAGATATCAACAATCTTGTCAAGACAGTACAATCTCTCCAATTAGAGCAAGCAAAACAGGATCTGGCCGAGGCTCAATTGATAGCGGAACGAAGGAGTGGTGCAAGAGGGTCCAAATCAAGACAGGTTTTGATTGAGAGAGAGGTTGCTCTCAAGGAGAGTCAGGCTCGGTAAGTGGCTTGTTTGCTAGGAGATGTTTCTAACCGTGTCAAGCTATGATGACCCTGTTAAGCCAGAAGATGAGCACGAGGCCACAAAAATCGGCATTGAGATGCTCGAATCCACTCGTCTAACACTAGAAGCCATGGATGCCGGAAGCACTGAGAGTAAGGCTCGAAAAGTCCTTCTTGGTCTTGGCTTTTCAGAGAAACAAATTAAGCAGCCGGTCTCATCGCTGTCGGGTGGCTGGAGGACACGGTGTGATTTGGCATGTGCCTTGATACAGCAGACTGATGTTTTGATGCTCGATGAACCAACTAATTTCTTGGACCTACCGGCAATTGTCTGGTTGGAGCGGTTTATCAAGCACTCACTGGTAGACACTACCGTCGTCGTCACCACTCACGATCGAGATTTTGCCGACGCTGTTGCTCAAGAATTGGTATTGGTCCGTTTGACGCCAGAAAAGTCCCTGGAGGTTTTCAAGGGAAGTTTGACTGAATACGAAAATGAGAAACGACGCCAGATTCGAAGGATGACAAAGATGTCCGAAGCACAGGACAAAAAGACCAAGCATATGGAGGATACAATCACGAAAAGTATCAAGGCTGCAAAACGTACAGGTGACGACAAGAAGCTGAAACAGGCAGCCTCTCGTAGAAAGAAGATTGATGAGAGGACCGGGCTTGAGGTCGGTCACCATGGCGGACGGTTCAAACTCAACAGAGATCTCCCGGGATACCATCTCAAGGCCCGGGCTGACATTGAAATTCCTGGCTTTGATCCTGCTGTTACTATAACTTTACCTGAGCAGCCTACGTCTCTTCGACATCCTGGACCCCTCTTCAGCTTCGAAGGGGTATCTTATACTTACCCTAAATCTGGCGTTTGGACCCTCAAGGACGTTAACCTAGTCATGCACCCGGGAGAGCGCGTCGGTCTAGCCGGTCTCAATGGCAGTGGAAAGTCCACTTTGGTCAACCTTCTGATGGCAGCTGCGACGAATGAAAATCCAAGACCGACCAAAGGCAATATCACTGTTCATTCCAAGGCACGTTTTTCTTGCTACTCCCAGCATGCTGTTGAAGAGCTTGAAGCGATCGGGCGCCGCGACCCAAGTCAAACAGCTCTATCTCATCTCATGAGTCTCAACGGTTGGACCGGGGACGAGCAGACCGCTCGGGGGACACTTGCTAAACTAGGCCTTCGGGGCAGCGCTGTCTCAGACGTTTCCTTGGCTACTTTGTCAGGCGGTCAACGTGTACGCCTCGCTTTGGCGGCAGCATTCCTTGACTCTCCCCACTTGGTCATTCTGGATGAAGTGACAACTCATCTCGATGCAGATACCGTTGACGCCTTGATTGAGGCTTTGGGTTCTTGGCAAGGAGCTTTACTCGTCGTCACTCACGACAGACATTTTATGCGCTGCGTGGTCGATGCTGAGAAGCTCGACAAAGGTGGGGACGAAGACGACTCAGGTAGCGATGATGACGATGACTCCGAAACTCGGACACCTGGCGTAGTCTACCACGTGCGCAAAGCTGGACTGCGGAAACTCGAGAGAGGAATGCAACAGTATGAAGAGATTGTCTCGAAGACGATTGACAAATTAGGAGTTTGAGCTGCCTGATCCTAGATACTAGTCAACCACTTCGGCATTTTTCCAAGAACGGGACCTTCACACCACCGATTCCACTGCAACCGAAGTCTTTTTCGTATGTGCCAGTAAGCTCCACGAAGCCGATCACAAGCTGTGGCTTCCTGAGCTTTGCAATGCTTGGCCTACATATGCTTCTTTAACTACAACGACTTGGATGGGGGTGGGCGTCGACACTACGCCGGCCCTTGCTAGGCACGTGGTAGATCGGTGCCCCTTATTGGACAGCCTCGGCATGTCATTGGCTTGCCATCATCATCGCATTTTCTTCCATGCGACAGTCGATCAGGAACTCCCGAGCTCTCGACGTTGCTTTTATAGAACAAGGCAATTCGCCAACATGCTTCATATCATCCTATCTACGTCGTATGCTCTCTGTCTAGCCTCTGATCTGGTTGCGGCTGTTAATCCACCATGTATTGCCATCGGTCGTTACTATTGTCAGCGTTGAGTGGCTGTTTGTGCCAGCTTGCTCACGCGCAATCATCCAGTTCTCAACTACTCGCGTTTACAGTTCCTGCTGGCTTTCCTACCAGTCTATTCTCGGCATACTACATTCCGCCGTCACCAACCGAAGAGGTAAAGTCCGAGTGAACAAGGCCACGTCGGCCACGAAACTGACATAACTTCAGCCTCAACCAATCATTCACGATTTGACATTGAATTACACCTATCCTCTTGAATTGACCAACCCCAAAACCATTCCTGAAGAGGACGAAGACCCTGTCTATTATCCAGCACCGCTTTACTCTGTCAACAACGGTTCCGCCATTGTCGCCGACGCCATCAGCCAAGTGAAGTCGATCATCTCTGGCAGCGGGTCTAATTGCTCCAAATGCATTTCGGCGCTGGAGGTGGGCAAATATGTAGCCCAGCGGGTGCCCTCTATGGTGCCGGACATGCTTGTCGAGCTTTGCACCAGCACTGGTTTCAAGTCCAACACCACCTGTAAGGAGAGTTACGAGGCCACGATTTTCGGCGCAATCTGGACTCAAGTGCTTGCATTGGCCGACGTGTCTGGCTCCGATGGACAATACATCTGCAACTCAGTCAGCAGTACATTTTGCAAGATGCCGTCGACTCTATCTTCCAACACCACAAGCTTTTTTGGTCCAAAACCCGCCAACGTCACTGTCCCAAAAGCGAGCGGGAAACGGGTTAAGGTCTTGCACATGAGTGACATGCACATTGATCCTCGTTACTCTGTTGGCTCGGACGCCAACTGTTCAAGTGGTCTTTGCTGCCGTGCAAACGCGGGAAGCACTTCTGGCAAGATTGGACTGCCGGCACCACTCTATGGAGCTTTCAAATGTGACAGTCCTTATTTCCTCCTGACTTCAGCACTAGAGTCGATCTCACCTTTGACCGGAACCACTCACGACAACAAGTCTGATCACGACCAATTCGCTTGGGGTATCTATACTGGTGACCTGGTTTCGCACGAGGGCCAGAATGAACTCTCCAGGAACTATACCATGTATGCAGAATGGTCAATCTATCATATGCTCAAGGCGTATATTCCCAGTGGTCCCATCTTTGCAGCTTTGGGAAATCACGACAGCAATCCCGGTAAGGAGGTCTTTCCATGTCTATCATGACTCTTGTCAGTGTCAGTGTCACTGATTTGTGGACTTTGTAGAAGCTATTGATGCTCCCCACTCGTTACCTGGAAACTTGGGACAGCAACAGTAAGTTTTCAAGACCAAAATGATAAGAAGTCTGCTGACGTGCGCCTCTCAGGTCTTGGAATTATGATCACGTCGCCTCACTTTGGCAACAGAACAACTGGATCTCCGCGGAAGCTGCAAACGAAGCTCGTATGCATTATGCGGCTTATAGCATCAACCATCCGGCATATCCCAAGTTGAGAATCATTACTCTCAATACTGATTTTTGGTACAAAGCCAACTTTTTGAATTTCATGTAGGTCAATGATTCTTTTCTTGAAACGATGCAGGATCATGACTAATGTATGTGGCAGCAACACCACAAACCCCGACAACAGTGGCAATCTCAAGTTCCTTGCCGACGAACTTCAAGATGCCGAAAACAAAAAAGAGCGAGTCTGGATCGTTGGACATGTGTTGACTGGTTGGGATGGATCGAACCCTATGCCAAATCCAACAGGTATTTTCATCACTGTCTTCCCCAGTGTGTGTGTGTGTGTGTGAGAGAGAGAGATGACATCTGACTTGGGATTCTGTTAGACCTCTTTTACCAGATCGTCGACCGTTTCTCGCCACACGTAATTGCAGGCATCTTCTTCGGCCACACCCACGAAGATCAATTGATGATCTATTACGCCAACAACGGTACCGTCCAAAACGCCGCAAACGCCTTGAACGTCGGTTGGATCGGACCCAGCGTGACTCCCTTGACGAACCTCAACAGTGGATACAGGATGTACGAAGTCGACACTGGGGATTTTTCGGTTTACGAGGCCTACACTTATTATAGCAACGTCAGTGCCTTCGGAGGGATCAACGCCAGCGAAACAGGTCCGGTGTGGAAGTTTGAATATTCGACCCGAGATGCATACAGACTCCGAGATTGGCCTCCGACCGCTCCCTTGAACGCCACTTACTGGCACAAGGTGACGGAAGCAATGACCCACAATCACACTTTGGTCGGCATGCACAACACCTTTGAGGGTAAGATGAGTGTCAAGACCCCCAATTGTACCAGCGACGCTTGCGCCGAGGCCAAGATCTGTTACATGAGAAGTGGGAGTGTCGCCCTCGGGAAACAATGTCCCCAAGGGTAAGTACTCCTGTCCCTTTTACCGTCAATGTGACCGAAACTGACATTTCCCTAATCAACAGGTTCGGTTCGGTCCAGAGTGCCTTTACAGGCAAAAACTTTTGATCGAGACCTAGTATCGGAGGGAAACTCTTGTAAATACTTGCCCCTTCAGGAGTGGAGACGAAAAATCAGAAATGCTGTTGGTCGTTTCACGCCTGAGATGTCGAGAAGATGAAAGAACCTAGTCACGAATAATATTATTGTTACCTTTCCGGAGAGCAGGGAGTAGTCACGAATATGAAGATAAATACGGATACATTCTTCATTACATCCACGATCCCTCCATAAATTCCGAGTACCGTTCCAAAAAAAGAATCTCACTGAAACATGGATTTCATTATTTTTGTATCCTCCAACCAGCCAAAAACAAAGAACTAGACATGAATCCTCCCCTCATGCAACAGTTCATTTTTCACCAAGCTCTTGTTTGGAAGGAGTGTCGTGAAATATCATTGTCATTCTCTTCATGGATTATCGGTCATCATCACTCTGGATATTGCACTGCTATCCCGACTTCGTCCTCGTCCTGGATCACCACCGTGACTACAGCGTACGATTACCTTTGTCTTCACCTTGCCCTATATTCTCTTCCATCGACAAACTTCTCGTCCTAGGAGGCAACGCCGACGATTGATCCAGACCAGGCGAAGGGATGGACACCCCGCTACTGACGCTCGAGTTGTGTCGGTTGTGCACGGGTCGCCTTTGTTGTTTGTTGGTCAAGGGGGAGACGGGATCCAACGCCCCCAGAACGGCCGCACCGCCGGGTCCAGACTCTGTCCCGTTGTCGCTACTGTCGAGGGTCGTCGCGGCGCCGTCTTCGGGAATGGTAGGTACGCCCCTCGGTGAACTCATGTTCGTCGCGGACGCGGTACGGGGAGACGACGGCGCCGCAGCACCCGCAGCAGACACGGACTCTGACTCGTCGGCGTTCGAGATGGTCGCGCTCTGGGGTGCTGCGATGTTGTGGTGGCCGGTACTCACCACGCTGGGAGGGTACATGGCCATGTTGCGGAATTGATAGTTGATGCCATCCGGCTTCTCGGACATGGGAGACCCGGAAACTTCATGGATCGGTGTGATCCCCGTGTCCTGTGCCTCGGCGGGGCCTTCCCAGTCCGCGCGCGGGGACCTGACGGCCGTCGAAGACGACCACCGAGGTTGGCTCCCTCCAAAGTAGTCGTTTCTGTTCCTGCTGTCGATCTCGTGCGGGCCCGGGGCCATGACCGGAGGTGAACCTGCAGGCTCGACTTCGGTGATGGTGTCGGACCCTACATCTTTGGGCGCGCCAGCGGAGCTGGTCGAGAAGATCCATGGGAGGATAAAGCTCGTACGGTTGCCTGCGGCTATGGAGTTTTCGCGCTCTCGGAGGACCCTGCGGCGGTGCTCGAGGATGCGCTTGCGGAAGCACAAGAACAGCAAGCATCCCAAAAGAATCAGGCCACCAACCACCGACACCACCACGGCGACGGGGACAACCCAGCCCCGGTTATGGTGATGCGGCGCTGGAGTCGGTGTGGATGTTCCATTGGAGCTTGTTGTTGCAGGTTGTTGTTTCTTGTAAGGTCCGAAGTTGGTGATTTTGCTCATGTCGTATTTGTTGTCGAACCAGCTGGCGATGTTGGATGGCATGCCACTGGCTGTTGGCGTTGCAGAGATGACGTTGAGAACGACTTGGTTTGGCTTGTAGTCATCATGGACGTCTGGATCGTAGGACCCCGTCCATTCCAGCGTGTTGAGATTGTACACGTCCACAGTTCGACTTGTCGTCAAAGGCTGCTCGCTTATCGTAGTGCCTCCGATAGCAATCATCTGATCGGGGTAGGGAGTGACACACACATGACCTATCCTTGGATCCCCTTGGCGCCCAGTAGTATCCGCCTTGATCCATGTGAACGAGGGGATGGACAAGATCCAGACATCTCTGCTCGCGACGGTGTCGTTGTTACTGTCCCATCCTCCGTAGACGAAGATCTCATGGTGTGAACCGTCAGATGCCGATGCCACCGCCGTACAAAACTGCGCCATCGGCTTGTTGGGGAACGGTGAGCCTTCACTGAGTGGCTGAAGGCTCCAAGTGCTTGACCCGATATCAAAGACGGGGAAATTCTTCAAAAAGGTCATCGAAGTGGTGACATTGTCTCGGGCGACATAAAAGTCGGTATCGGCAGGCTTGACAACCCCTCCGAGGGCAACCAGTATCCCCTGAGTCGAGGTCGGAATCCAGACAAGGCCGCCTTCCGCACGCCACGGGATCGATCCATCGTCGGGAGGAGAAACAATCGCCCAGTCTGCAAAACTAATCTCATCCATCGTCACCCTGATAAGGAAATTGGCTTCATCTGTGGGCGGGTTGAAGTAATCATATTTCGCGCCGTCCGAATTGTACAAGCCGCCGAAATAGAAACTTATATTCTCACTTGGTGCATTGGCGCCAGCACCGTTTGTCACGCCGTGCGGGAAGTTGGAGTTTTGAGGATCGTAGCCCGTATTAGGGATTCCGAGATCAGCATCACTCTTGCCGGCAGGCTCGTCATATAGCACATCGTGCACAGTTCGGAGCACGGAGTTCAGAGCGTTCAACAACATGCCACTAGATGGATTTCCATTAACGATTGCCGTTAAATGATAGTCCCAGGGTACTCACCCCCATGCGTAGAATTCGTTATAGCTTGCAAACATGAAACCATCAAGATAGAAGTTGTCCACACCAGCCTCCGGGATACTTTGGAAATTGGCGGGATCATCTCCTTCGTTCACGCCAAAAGCTTCGTGCAGACTGAGATTGAACAACGCTCCCTGTGTAACGCTGACGGTTTGAGGATTCACCCATTGACCAGTGTTGTCGTTCCAGGCTCCGGTTTGAATCTTTCCTCCTTCCAGATACACATAGTCGCGTATCAAGGCGGCACGAGGCCTATCCCAACCAGCTATTTGTTTGGCAGTGTAGTCGCAACTGGCAAGAACTGCCAGTGACAATATCCATGATACGCATCGAAGCATGAGGAACATGGCTGCTGGATGTCTGGAAGCTTGGGTAGATGCAGTGGGGGCAGGTTCTTGAGGCAGTCGAGTTTAGCATATAACGGGTTTGTACTCGGTTCGCAGCCTTTGGCCACAACCCACACTGTCGGAAAAATCGACCTCGATGAACGGGCGAGGGGTATATGCGCCCTGCCACACTGAGGGAGGGTCTGGCGGCATGTTGCCGGCTAGAAGCATCTAGCTTGTGGCGATGTCATGAGAACAGTCCGTGTTTTCGCCCCCGTATAGTAGGACTGTCGGCAGCAGTTTCGACGCTAGTCTGGAAATTCTGTTCTGGGTTCCTATCCAGTAAGCATTTTATAGGATGGATCATCGCTCCATGTTGCATTTGGACATTGCAGGTTACTGCAACCGTGAAGCGAGAAGAGGCAGCGCTCATGTGCACGCGCGGGAAGTTGGGTTGTGGTGGAAAGCTCCTGGATGAGGGGCAGGTGTATCCATCTCGCTCTCTTCCTGAACAGGCACTGGAGGGAATGAAGCCAGGGCATGTTGTGTAACAATGTGTGGACTGGCTAGACTCACTGGTCAAAGGTCCGTCGGCCAACATTGGCGGACATTCGTCAAGTGTAGATCAGAAGACTGTGATCCAGACACTGATGGGTGGCATCACTAGTTACTCAGTCTCAGACTTAGTGAGTCTCCATCGATGTGAAGCTGCACAGTCAAATCATAGCACAGCCATCCTGATGGAATATGCATGTTTGTGGAAGTAGAAGCTTCACCGAGCCTAAAGGATGACTTCGCCCACGCTAAACATAGAAGAACCTCGGGCGGGGACAAGGAAAAACCGTGGAGGACGTCGACTTCAGCCTTATCCAGATAGTTCTGCTCATACTGCGCTCAAAGTCGCCCAGGATGGTTTTGACTTGTGAAGATAAGTCCTGATCAAGCGGAGCACTCTCTCCTTCTCATTAATCGATCAAAATCTGATATTGGTGGCTGTGGAAGGGTTGAAAGCGCCCTCCGACATTCTTCAGCCTGATCCTGAAGCCGTTGACTGATCTTCAGGGTATCCTGGCGCCCGGGGCGGATGTGTCCGCAAAATTGTGGAGGATGCGCTGGCTTGGTCGCTGCATGCAGGATGGAAGGGGAAAGATTTGTGCCCCAGGAAGACGTAAGCTATTCATTAGTGGCTCACATGTCGGTGTGATACAGAGCAGCCGGCGTTCGGTTACAGTAGCTCATCTGCCGGCAAGCTAAGACTGGTGGCCTGAGGTGTCTTAGTAATGAGACAGGTGTGCGGCTCTCGTTGGCGCCAGCATTTTCCCAGTTATCGCTACAGTCTTTCGGTCCTGTAGCGGTCTTTCATATATCGAGAGTGCCGCAGCTCTGAGACATGGAACCAGGCAGACACTGTAAGACTCCAGAGATAGCCACAAGGATGTATGGTCGTGACTTGTTGAGGGACTCTTGGTAGAAGCAGGACTCAAAGAGCGGTCATGGTGTGACCATTGTCTTGACCGCGGTGTGATTGTTCTTGCTTGACACCCATGTCTGTGAGCCGTGTTACAGGGATAAAGGAGCTCTTCAATCAATTGGTCGCGTCCTCAGTGTTACCTCACAGCTCATTGTCCCGAGGCTTCAAGGCGCACCTGTAAAGGGCATAGATCAGCGGTAGTTGCATGGTGAGAGAGAGGAGCCCTGGGGAAGAATGAGCTAGATTCTCCGGCGTGGACTTACGAAGACTCTCTGTATCGACCTCAAGGTGCATGATGTGTATCCACCATGAGGATCCATTTGTACAGCCTGCTCTACAGCCACCAGCAGCCAAGAGATACTACGGCAAAAAGGAGGAGACTTACAAAGAGACCTTCCTCTAATGCCCTAGAATACCAGCACAATATATTCTCTTACCAGACCTCATCTGGTAATTGAGCCTCATAATCATCACTTGACCAGCTCATAGTCCCGAAGCTTCCTGTTCTTGCAGACGCGAACGATGCCCGAGTGCGCGGGGAAAGTCCTTTTCTTTCTGCTCACGCCGTGGGTCATTTTACTTACTCCTGGTGTGATGCCGCGCTGATTTTCCATGCATCCGGCAGCTTTCTTGTTATTCTTGGGATATTCCTAGCCGCGTCTCCAGCCTTGAAGAAATAGTGTAGCCACAATACGGCCCCTTCTGCCGCCATTCGGTCTTGTCAGCACGGCGGATGGTGATTAATTTCCCCGACCCATACGGAGTACAGCATATCCTAGCCCTGTGCAACATAGTACCATCATAATGTCCGTCGTCCGTGAGGCTGGGTGAGCCATATCGGGATCGGCTGGGCTGCCCTGACAATCACCCATCAAGGCACCGAGAGCTACTAACGCCCTGACGGACTTTCGCATGCTCCTGGTCAGTCTAGTGGTCTTGTTCAAGTCCTCTCCCAACAAGCGAGCACGCTAAGTCGAAGGCCTTTCAAGGCTACTCTAGACACGTCTAGTACCATTGCGGAGGGTATGCCTAAGTCCTGCAAGCCACTGGCGCAATGGTAGCATCGGCTCCATGGGAGGTGCGGGCTCTTCTTCCAAGGCTGGTGACGACAAATAAAAATTGTGCTCGCATGGCCGTGGCATTGAAAGCTTCAATCCCATATATCAGGTCGAGGGAGTCGCCTTTCGCTTTCCTCTCGTCTCATCCCTCCTCCGACATAACTGCACAGCCTTGTTGTTGTTTTTTTGATACCCAAGTCCTTCGTTGTGTGCACATAGATACTCATGATCTACAAGATCGGCGTCATGAGGATGAGTATTGCCGCCCTTCTGGGCCCCCTCCTTGTCACTCTCGCTCAAGCTGGCACCGACGGATGGGAAACCACTACCAGCAGTGCTCCTGCCGCTGGCTGGGTAGACTGGTCAACCAGCTATGTCACTGTTTCGACGACAATCTACTCGACCGTGTACTCGACTGAGACCGACTATGTCACTGTCACCACCACCTCTGTCGAGATCAAGCCGACGACCATTGTCGACACGAGCGTCGAGACCAGCTACATCAGTGTGCCAGTGACTGTCCCCACGACTGTCGTTGCTCCTACCACAATCGTTAGCCCGACCACTGTTGTCAGTGAAAAGACCATTACGAGTGTTGGCGTGAGCACAGTAACTGATGTTGCCACCACCACTGTCGTCTCCACGACTTGCCCATCGGCGCCTCTGACTGGCCTGGTGACTTGTACTTCCAGAATCGTCAACCCAACATACACTCCCAAGGCTCCCTTACCAAGCAACTACCTCTGGGGCTGTCCTCCTGGCACCGTCTGCACACCACCTCAGATCGACTGCAACTGGGAACAGAACCCACCTGCGGATGGCTATGTCTGCGCTCCGGACGAGTGCAAGCCACTGCCTCCCCTTGACGTCCCCACGGACTGGAACGCTACATGGCCGACGCCCACCGAGGCCGACTGTGCGTGGGATAAGCCAGCTCTAGGATACTTCCATCTGAACCCCATGCTCTTTGATCTTTCATTCGCCATCTTCGACGTGTACGGTCAACCAGTCTGCCCGCCGGCTGCCGCCCCGCCGACTCCGACAACGACCACGGGTTGGGGTGACTGGACCAAGCCAACAGCGACCTGGACACCCAGGTTCCCTCGACGAGGCAGCAAGAATATCATTGCTGAAATCGTCAGTCGGCAATCTCTCGGAATTGCCCCAGCCGCCTGCTATGGCGTCTTTGACAACACTCAGACCGTCGGACAGAATACTGGTTTCGTATATAACCAGCTTTGCCCCGACCCTGTACCTTTTATGCTAGGTGTCAGCGCTTGCAAGGCCTGTGCCACAGCGAACGGTGGCTCGTCCGCCACCACGAGTGACTTTCCAAAGCTCCAGACATATTTCAACTGGTGTCAGAGCCATGCCCCGACGAAATGAAGGAGGTTTTGGTTGGGGAGGTCTGATGATGAATTTGGCCTGGTTACTGCTTCTACGGAGTCGGCCAACACTCATATTTCTGGGGTCTGACCTATGTTAGTACATATGCAGTCATCGTCGCCTTATGATGGAATGTTGAGGGTTAATATTTTCATTTTTGTCATTGACGGCGAAGTATAACTTGGGCTGTCATCGCATGAGGAAAAGACAAGGCTCGAGTAGCATTCCTTTGATATGAGATATGAGAATAATGAGATGTATTAATGATGAACACCGATAAATAGTAGAGATGAGTCTGAGTCGAGATAAATATACGAGTACGAATGCGGATACGAGTACGACTCAAATAACTTGGCATTATTTTACTCGATCATGACTCTTTTACTGTCATGATCTTATCCAGCATACATACCAATTTCCTCCCTCTTTTTTTTGTTCTTAAAGTAATTGTTATTAAGTAGAATGGGTCATCCCCGTGTTTTACACCTGCCTGTCCGCTCAAACGGCGAAAGTGATGACACGCAGTAACGTTTTTTTTAAACAAAGAACGACGTGTTTGAGTTGTCGACATGTAAAGATGGTGAAAAACAAACAACAAACACTGGATTGGATGAGAGTGTCTTGTTTGCCTCTTGGTCTGGCGTCACCATGTTGATGCACTTCAAGAAAGGTAAGATCTCTCCATCTCTCTATACATATATCTACGATTTTTTGGTCGCTCATGGTAAGATTGTTCCCCAAGGGTAAGGTTTTTTTACCTTGATCTACATGATTACCGAGTCATTGTTACCTTGATACCCTACAATTCTTGGAGGAAGCACCATACAATACTTCTTACGGAGATAATTACGGTACCTACTTGGACAAGCGGCGAACCATTTTCCTTTTCCGTTCTAGGATCAGAAAGGGGGAAAGAAAAATGTGTTTCAAAGGACCCATATCTCGTCACTGTACTCATTGCCGTCGGCACGTCCGTGACGACAAAAATTACCGGTCCTTTTGTTATGGTATGGTCTTGACGGGTCGATGTGAGGAACAAATCATCAAACGTTCGGACGACTGGACCAGGGTATACAACAATACCTGTGCAGGGTGCAAAGCTTTGAAAAGACCTTTGACCAGGTACGATGTTGTCGAACAAGGGGACGCAAACGGACCGAACGGACCAGTGTCAACGTTGGCCGACACAAGAACCAGAACACCCATGCCTGTCGGGAGACCCAACCCACTTGTTCGGGAACAATGAAGAATCCACAACTCCTTCCTCCACCTTGATGGGTGATGAGGCAACCACGAAAATGATGAGTGATGATACAACTACTCAAACAACCGGCGAGGATGATGGTGATACCACATCCGGCGGCGGGGAAGATGTCGAGGATGTCATCAGCGACCATGACGACGACAACGACGACAATGATAGTGACGCCCCGTACTGTGAAAATTGGGATGCCTTTGTGGTTTATTATACTTGGACACAAATGATCATGAGGATTTATCATTTCGAACATTGGACCTTGATCGGATTGTCGGCAGTTGTGTTCCTGTTGTGTTATGGATCATTGGATTTGGGAAGATTGTAATGAAAGAGTGTTTCAGTACAGACGAAGGCATGGCCAATGTTGGACTTTACACTACCATACAAGTGTCCATCTAAAAAAGCCCGTCTCGTCTCATCACATCACGTCATATGACAAGCCATACACATTTCTAGTCGTATCTACCTTTCCGCTGTTTCATTCAAAAGTTGCTACTCCATCATTCTGACTTTGTCTACAACATGACAACACCAGCCAAAGCTGCAGCTCCCAAAATACCCCATCCGACACTCATCATGGGAGCACCATTTCCTTGACCAGACCCCGAAGACGTAGCAGCAGTGGCACTTGCAGAGCTGCTTGCTGTCCCGGACGCGGTTCCAGACGTGCTGCTTGACCCGTGTCCATCTCCGTGGCTACTTGACTCGTTGGCAAAAGTATAACTGCTCCCTGAGAGAGGCGTGGCACTGATTCCAGTCCCGTTCGTGCACGACGACGGTGTCTCTGGGTTTGTCGTTGTGAATGTGATGTCTGCACACTGCTCATTTCAACCCATTCATTAGCGATTCAGTAGTCACAGTATCGCAAGGCTCACTGTTCGACCATTGTAAGGGGATAAAAACCTACGTTGTAAAGACCACTCCCGTCATGACTGTTTGTAATGACTTGGATGGTGGCATTGGTGCCGTCGGTAATGTTCAGGTTGCTGGGAACAGGAATGCTCGAAAGACAAAAATCGCCAGGACCCATTTCGCGAATGGTCGGGAGGAGTTCATAGTTGAATGAGCTTCCCACGTCGTCGCCAATTGCCAACAGAATTTGGAATAGGTTCTCAGTATGTCCTAGCTTCACAGACACGGGCACTTCGGTCGACGAGACACGCGTGCGGTTCTGGGTCTGTGAATAGCCACCACAAGGGAAGGTTGCCTGGTTCTCATCGTTGCTTCCACGTGATGGTGGGAAGTTCAGTTCAAAATGCGCCAACGTCAGGACAGGCAGACATAGCAGGAGGAGTGAGTTGGAAAACATCTTGACCGTGAGGTTTGTAGTGTTATGGGTGATGGTGAGAGATAATAATTCTGGATGGCGAGGATGGGAAAAGAAGAAATGAATACTCTGAAAGGCAACGCCCCCCTAATCTTTATACCAACCGTTTTCTGATCACATTCGAAATGACTTGACCCCGTATAGTGCTCACAAACCACAAGCCACCAGAAGATTTGATCCTAGCTTTTCGGGAGCGATCATGACAGCTATGTGGGATGACCTTGGCAGATCCACCATCTCTCATACCCAAATTGAACGAAATACAACCGTGGTTCGCGCCGGGAATTGGGTTTTGGTCGTAAGGGACTCGTGAAACATGGAAGAGGTCTTTGCTAGAAGATACAAGCAGAAGAACTCACCGCCATTGGTATTTGTTTGGTCTTGTTCTTTGTATTCGAACATCATTCAGAAATACAACATCTGAGAAAATGTGCTCAAAGTTGGAGTCAAGAAGCGTCTGCCGAGGAACGAGGCGGCCTGGGCGACAGTGGAATGTCTTGGCGATCTCGGCATGAGCAAGTTTCGACGACTCCGCTGTTGGGCCTAGATTCCTTTTGATCGCTGTCAAAAAAAGAAAGAGCCCCAAGAACAATCCTGCAGTCGTAGGTATAGATATGACATGTTTCTCATGGCGGAAGATGATTGAGGAGGGCATCAAGTCGGGTCAAAGCCAGGCTCATCAATGAATGTCCCCAGCCTCCATTGCCAGCTCCGACGCGTATGGCACGTTTCCAACGCGACACGAGCTCGAGAACTTCAGATGTCATGTCCTGTTGCATGTCTTGCGACTTGCTCACGGAAAGCAATTGTACAAAGAATGTACTAATAATTGCAAAGTTGCCCTGGGACCAGGAATGCCAAAATGAATTCCACGGTCCAACCACTGACACCATGTTCTCCAGTATACGAACTGCTTCTCTCGCAGAGTTGAGAGAGCCGGCCAAAACAGCACTGGCAGCAGACCTTTGGCCCTCCAAGGATGAAGAGAATGTCAGATCGCTATTCTGGATCGGTCGAATAAGAGCTCGAAAAAGGGTGATCGACACCACCGAGCTAGCGATATGAATCGATGCGTGAACACCAGTCTCGTTACCACTGGTGAATGACAATCCGCTGTTCAACTGCTGGTGACATTCAACCAGTTCTGCACGTATGGGTCGCGCTAGGTCTAAGGATCTGAAGAGGTTTCCGCTGGTGTCTTTCGCAGCACGTACAGTGTAATACGTGGTTTGAATCTGTGACAATAGCCGGCTCAAGGTAACTAATTGGCAGAAATGATTGAGCTCTTGCCCGGCCAGATGAGGTCCACTTATCGCATCATCGCTCAGTCGCAGTGGAGGGACATCATAGTCATCAGGATTGATCGAGCGTCCTCCCGGTGAATCCAGACTTACCCAGGTGTCCATCACAAATGTCGCCCACCAAAGTCGCGTACGGGTCTGCTTCTCGGCTTCAGGTATATTGCATGAGCTACAGTCATATTGTAGACCAAGACTTTTCGCCATCGTGACCGCGAAGGAGGTCAGCCAGGCATATGCAGGGGTCAATCCATAATGCTGAGCAGTCGGGCCTTTCTGTAGCAATAGTAAAGAAGCCTGCAGGAGCTCCATGGAGGGTCGGTGAGCTTCTTCGAGGATGCTTGTAACAGCAATCGAATAAAGTTGTTCCCTCCTGGACGAGGTATTAGTTAGCGTGGCACATAGATGATCGTCGTGCATGGCAAACGGTATTGCTGTTGCGTAAAGAGAAGCTGCCAGTGCCAGCGAGGCTTTTGACGATGTGCCATGGTCTTGGTCGTTCCAAAACTGGATATCTTCCTGCAATACCGGGAAGGCTGCGTGGATGAATTGAAAGTAGAGACACTTCAACTGATCACATTGTTTAACAGACAACAAGTCGTTGATGTCTGACCAGGAAACCGATCGATCACTGAAATGTGGTAACGGTGAAGGAGGGTGCTGATCAGGATATAACAAAATAGGCATGCTTGCCTTGAGATTACGGCCCAACATGTCATCTGCATCTATGCTCTGTAAAGTAATCTGTGGTATCTTGATGCGTCCAGCTTCTGCAGGGAGACCATCAACAACATGACGGCTGAGATGGCCAGTATCTGGTGGCATGTGAGCGCCATGAAGCACAAGTCCTTCCCGTATGAGGTGCTCCCGTTCTTTGGCTCTCTGTTGCTCTGGGCTGCGAACATTTCCATTTGTGTTGCTTTGGGCTTTGCCATTCAAGCCTGTAATTGACGAGTCACTTTGGTCTGCGGATTCGGGGCTCGCATCTTCGAACAGAGCGAGATCGCCAAAGATGGTGCTATCGAATTCTAATGGTGGTGCATCATTCCAGTTCCAGGTAAAAGTGGTTGAAAGTGCTGACGATGGTGCGGTATCGTTCGTTATAGGATCTGTTGACAATGCTCGCCTTCTTTTGACCGGAGGCTTTTCTCTAAAAGTACAATCGCTCCCGCGGTTTTGACAAAATGAACATGGTGGTGAGGAATCAATGCGACAAGCGATCTTTCGTGTTCTACAGAGATCACACGGTCGATTGCGTCGAGATTTGTAGGCTCGAGGGCCTTGATCTCGGGCCAGTCCTTCCATGAGTCGTCATTACCGTTATTGTTGCTGTGCCATGGCTTGTGTGTCATTGTCTGGAATGCCCGGAGAAGTTGCGATCAACAAGGAGACCGCGAGAGACAGAACTGTTGATAAGGAGGGAAAGAATTTCTGTTTCCGTCCAAGTCTGGCGGTTGGTGCCGCTAGTTATTAAGACAGAAGATGACTACAAGACCAACCACGATTGAGTCAAACATCAGTCAGTATCGATCTATTCGGTGCGATAAGACTTTATATATACGTATACGTACTCACTTGAAAACTAGCATGTCATCGCCCCAAGGGTTTAGAGCAACTCGAGCAGTATGCCTTACTTCTGGAGTCACTCCGAGTCAAGATAGGTAGGTACACGTCTAACATAACCAAGATACAGTACACTTGATGACAGTCACTCAATATTGAGAGCCTGGATTGCCGTCACCCGTCATCTCCACCGCAGTATGTTGCATATAAGCGAATTGCTCCTCGTTCCATTTGCTCATCATCTCTGCTACCTGAGGGCCGGTAGGAGATCCTCGAGCAATTTCCTCTCTCAACAGTTGTGCTCGCTTCTCGATAACTTTCAGGCGGTATATTGACCACTGTTTGAAGAGCTGATCCCAATTGCTACTCTTCTTGACGTTGCCTAGGTTGGAAACATCGGAAAGAGTTGGATCGCGAGGACGGAATGAGGTGACCATGGTGACACGCTCCCCAGTACCGACAGACTTTAGAGCAATATGTTCAATACAACCTCCTTGCATCATGACAGCCCAACCAACTTGAGGCCCTCTGACCTTGGCAATGGACCCGTCACCTTTCCTGAGTCCTGTCTCTCCACCGACCATATTACTAGGATCAGAGAGCATACAGACGCAGACCCAAGGGTATGAGTCTTTGTGCCATAATCCGACCGAGGCCAACTCATCTGCATGATCGACGGGCGCTGCCTTTGGAAGAGAAGATTGGCTCGGAGGAAATGCAGGGGGGAGGGCGTCACCCAGCTGCATGTCATCCTCGAGCGCATCCACTTGGACATTGATATGTGCAATCTCGTAGTCGAAGACAACCTCAAGATCGACGCCAGCAGCCTGCGAACATGCTTGAAGCACTTCTTCGCTTCGCCAAACCGAGTCCACAAAGGGAGTGTCTTTGGAATACCCTCTCATTTTATAGCAATGTGGCAATGTCCTGTTTCCATGTTTCTCGACCACCTCCTTCCGAAACAGGTCTGCCCGCATTTGCTTGACGCCTTCAATCGTGAACAGAGGAAAGGGCTCTGTGATCGCAACTGGCGATATAGCATCTTTCTCGGAAAGCAGGAGTTCTTTCAGAGTAACGAGGGCCTTGGGCGGCTCGAAGCAGAGATGTGTAGAGGGGTCGAAGCGAGGCGGAGGAGGAACTTCGACAAAGGGTTCGACCTTGGTAAAGGCATGTTCTGTGTTTGGTAGAGGGAGAACTAATGTTTCGGACGCCATCGTGACAATTGCGTGCTGGGAGTTGCTATTTCATTGAGCAGACAGAGATTCTCACCTTGAGTTTATAATCAAATCCACGGGCGACACGAGAGTACACAGGGCCATGATTGACGACTGATTCGACTGATCGAGGCTCGCCATCACCCGCATGAAGGACACGTGCATCTGAAGGATATCGATTGTAGCGACGGCAGAGACGCAGGGAGTGACAGTTGGTGATGCCCGAAAAACACGGGGCAATTACGGGCAAGCGGGCTTCTCCATAAGCCCCCGTATCGAAAGCTGATTATCCACCAAAGAGGCGCCTAAATTACCCTTAGAGTGTTCGCTCCGGATGCTCATCTCCACGGCCAGCTGCCCCCTAACAAGGCCTACGACTTTCTTCCAACCCCCGTGTCAATCTTGCCCGCAATATTGGCGGCTCTGCCGGCGAATTCCCGTTATCTACAAAGATACACTCCCAGCGTCCAATCATTGAATATGTATTTGCCCGTCTACCACATGGCTGGATATTTGGGCTCATGCATTCTCGATGCCCATACTTCTCTGATCGGCAATGGATCATCTATCGGTCTTGAAAGGACAGATACTCTTTCACCTTAGCGGTTCAGCAACACAGAGGTCAAGACCATGGATCGAAGCTAGATAAGCCGTGTCCGGCTACAAAAGCAATGGATATCCCTTCTCTAGGAGCTCGGGACCGCGACTCGCTTTCTCGAATAGAAACACGACGGCATACAATCGATCAAAGTCTTTCACCATGGGCTCGGACGAGCATACCAAGGTCGGAGCAACAAGCCCGCAAGTAGAACCAACAACCGAGCTTGGCTCTTTCCGAGAATACAAGTCTCTTCACGTCGATGGCATCGACCCCGTCTTTGAACATCAGGCACGGCTAGTCAACCATGCAGTACAGGCAATTGGAATGGGCAAGGTACGTCCGAGGGGTCTTTGCTACCTCAACACCTAAGCTGACTTGAATGGTACAGTACCAATGGGCTCTGTTCGTCCTTTGCGGTTATGGATGGCTTTGCGACCAGGTGGGTAGTCCAATACTTCTGGAGAAAGTCATCATGACTGAGGACGTCCTTAGCTTTGGCAAACAACTGTCTCCGACGCACTTGCACAAGTTGCAGTTGAATTCACTCCTAAGCATTCAGCCTTCTTGTCGCTAGCTCTGATCGCCGGCCTTGTTGTCGGTGCTTCCTTCTGGGGTTTGGGAGGTGAGTGGATCTCTACCTGGTACTCCGCGAGCCATCATTAACACAAACAAACAGCCGACCTTATCGGACGACGACTGGCTTTCAATTTAACGCTGCTGATTGCTGGAGTGTTCGGTACGGCTGCCGGTGCAGCACCCAACTTTGTGGGTTGTGCTGTTCTCGTGTCGCTCTGTGGTTTTGGAGTTGGAGGCAACTGTAAGTCTGGTGAGAATGTTACTGCCTCTTGACTTTGGCTGACGATTCACAGTGCCCGTTGACAGTGCAGTCTTTCTGGAATTCTTACCCGGAACCCACCAATACCTCCTCGAAATTCTAGCGGTGTGGTGGTCGTTTGGGCAAATGATTCCAGCCGGGGCCGCTTGGGGATTCTTGCCTCGCTATTCGTGCAGTGCTGATACTCCCGCTGGACAGTGCAAGAAGGCTGACAACATGGGCTGGCGGTATCTCATGTACTCGATGGGCGCGATCACGCTCGCCGCATTCTTCGCCCGCTTTCTCCTGTTCAAGTTGCGGGAAAGCCCACGGTACTTGATAGGCCAAGGACGATACCAGGAAGCGATCGAAGTCCTGAACGATGTGGCCAAGTACAACGGCACGACGCAGCCCCTGACCGTGGAAGACCTGGTGCAGGTCGAGCGGGATTTTGCAGAGAGTCACGGAATCGCCCCCGTCAACAAAAAGACGGCGATGAAAAGGACGTTGGCGCAGTTCCGCCCAGGAGGGCTCAAGCACGTTCGCGCGTTGTTCTCGACCAGGAAACTCGCCTTCAGCACTTCCCTGATCATCCTCGTCTGGGGCATGATCGGGCTGGCGTCTCCTCTCTACAGCAACTTCTTGCCCGAGTACCTGGCGGCCCACGGCGCCCAGAGCGGATCGAGCAGTATCAACATCACGTACCGGAACAACTTTATTATCATCGCCTGCTCGATCCCGGGAACTCTGCTTGCGGGATGGCTCATCGGTTTACCTTACATCGGGAGACGAGGCACATTGGGCTTGTCGTTGATCCTGACCTCGGTTTTCTTGTTCGCCTTCACCGCCGCGCGGACCCAGGCCCAGATCCTCGCCTTCAACTCCATCTCCAGCTTCGTGCAGTACATCATGTGGGGCGCACTCTACTGCTACACGCCCGAGGTGATTCCCAGCATCCACCGAGGCACGGGCACCGGAATGGCCGCGGCTTTCAACAGGATCTGCGGCTTGATGGCGCCCATCATCGCAACGTACGTCGGGTACACAAACACTCCAATCTTTGTCTCGGCGAGTCTGTACATCGTGGCTGGACTGTTGAGTTTTTGTTTCCCCTACGAGACGAGTGGGAAGGCGAGTTTGTAGGACCTTTCGCTTACAACAAAAACAAGAACAAGAAGGTCAACGTGTATCAGAGGCACCATGGCACAAGTGATGTATGTGCGTAGATTACAGTATCCCTCAAGGCACTCAAGGTAGATATTTCCTGGACAAATTTTCTTGTAGATTGTCATCGAAACCACCTTCGAATCATCTGAGACTTCGAGCCAGAGATGAAGTAGCCACGACTTGACTAGTGTGAGTAGATTGTCCTTGATGTTGGGACTCTCTGGTGATACATGATACATGATACACCTACATAACACCCACACCGACTGATTGCTCCCCAGACTCTACTGGTTCCCGAGTAATTCTGCTTCCTCACTTTCATGACTCGATCGTCTCCTTGCCAACGGTCTCTCCTCGACGACATCTGTACCGTTTCTCTGACCCGGGTAGTACGCACCGTCCAGTCGAGACCCAACCGGACTGACTCGACCAATCCCACTCTGACCATTCATGTCAGACTGCTCGGCCATGTCGACATGAAAAGCATTCAGTTGGGTCGTGGCAAACCTCCTCGCATCGACCCGTTTCGCGAACAGGACATCCAGTTCTTCGTAAGTCCGGCCCCTGGTCTCGGGAAGACGATAATAAGCCCAGACCCAGGTCAAGATGGCCGTCGTGCCCCATATGAAACCCGTGTAACCCCTGAAATTCAGCGCCTCGGGGTTGAGAAAGTAAGGTTGCAGCACGCCCGAGAGGACGGCAAAGACATAATACGCGTTCCTGGCGAGGCAGACCGTCTTTTGTCGGAGACGAGTCGACCCGACCTCGGCGGGGAACGACCAACCCAATTGTCCCACCGAAACTTGAAACGTGAAGGTCCAGATGAGAGTGAGGCTCGCCTGTGTCATGGCGACGAGCTTATGGTGAGTCCAGGCGTTTAGAACCCCGATCAAAAACAACTCGATGGCCATGACGAACATCCCAAGCAAGTACAGCGTGCGCCGGCCCATGCGGGGCATAAAGTAGAACCAGTTCACCAGAGTTCCAACAAACGCGAGGGCGGTCCCGACCAGGTTGAGTGAGTAGGTCGTCGAAGCCGACAGCCCCACCTGTTCGAAGAAGTACGAGGCGTTGTAGGCGAACGACAAACCAGACAGGACTTGACCTGCGAAACAGACGCACGCGATCTCGGTGCGCCGGAGCTCAAAGCCGGAAAAACAGTCCCAGTACGACGTGCCCACGCTGAGGGACTCTTCCAGACGGTTGGTGTGTATGATGTTGGCGAGGGTTTGGCCGACGTCGATGCGTGATGATGCGCGTTGCAGGCGTCGGAGGGACTTTTCGGCTTCGGCCAGACGGTTCTGTCGGACGAGGTGCCAGGGCGATTCAGGGGCGAAGCAGAGGAGAGGTATCAGGAATGCGGGCCAGATCTGTAAAATATATCAGTTAGCGATGACCTGTAGGTCATGACCCGGTGGTGAAGCGGGTATGCCAGTATGTGTCTATGTGCAGTTGAACCTACCCACTGAACAGAGAACGGGATGCGAAATGCCCATTCGTCATTACGTTCAAGACATGCTCTTAAGACCCCGGCACTGATGAGTTGTCCTATGAACCAGGTGTCAGTCAAAAAAGCGAGAGAGGTATGATTGAAGAGACCGAAAGGGTGATATGGTATGGCGTCGCGGAACGATCGGGCTCACCTATAATAAAACACATATTAACCCACGAAGTGCCAAATACTCTAAGAGACATGGGTAAAACCTCGCTTGAATACGCAGGTGCGGTTGTAGCAAAGACCGCCCAGGGGAAGCCGCACAGTAGTTGTCCGACCAGTAAAGTTTGGATGTTCGGAGCGAAGAATGTGAGAAAGATGAAACAGGACAGAAGAGCCAGAGCACCCAGAAGGACTCGCTTCTGCCCGAAGATTGCGACGAGGTAACCGTTGAGAAAAGTCCCCAGGAACGCTCCGAAGCCTGAAGCATTTCCAACGGCTGCCATCCACGCTGGGGATACCTGATAACCGGTCTGGGTCTGTTCGGAAACACCGACAAAGTTGCCGTCTAGAATATCATGTGTCAGAGAGACCCTGGCTTGTGTTACACCAACCGCGCGGAAGTGTGTAACTTACATTTGCGTTGGAATTGAGGGAATGCGAAAAAGTTGACAATCAAAATCGCATCGTAACCTTCCATGATGATACACATACTGACGGCAAAGGACCAGAATATGGCGGCAGGGTATGCTCTGATAGCTTCGCGTACCGTCAGGTTGTGCTCACCGTGGGGGCTGATCTTGCTGGTGGTTTCAAAAGGTCGGGGTCCGGAAACGTCGTCTCCCGTTCCAGCGTCAAAAAGGTCATGCTCGTCATTACCGCGCGCGAGTTCATCAGCGAGAAGAGGAAGGTCGGCTAGAGCGTATTCCTCGATGCTCGGTCTGGGCTGAGAAGCAGTTTCGGAGTCGGTGTCTGGATGGAGATTAGCTTACAAAAGTGTCTCCGGTCGAGGGGTATATATGGACAATTCATAGTGACCGAATCACTAGACGCGGAAGCGCCGTGTGCGAGTCGTGAAGTTTCTGAAGATGTCACATATCCGCGACGAGGACAGAATCAGAATGCAGGTGTTTGTGTTGTTTCTGAAGCACAATAACAGTCGGTCTCATTCGACTCGAGGTTGGTCAGCTCGACGTCGTTTGGAGTAGCGAAGGTCTCCAAATGGTAACAAAGGTCGATCAATGGCTGCCCTGTAAGAGAGCCTGGGTTGGCGAGATCATTTTTCCGTCAGGGAAGGACAGAACTATGGTGTAAGAGTGAAGCAGGGGAGGTCAAGAGAAAGTGTGTCTTGGGTCGCTGACCTTGTGGTACTTCCCAATCTGGTTAGTGGCTTGGGATGTGCCTCAGCCTTGCCACGACGAGGCTGGCACTAGTTCTATGTCCCCCGCAAATTTCTCTTACACCTGGATTTCTGTGTGGTTCTTTTGGCGCTTCGCAATATTTTGAATCCCCCTGCATCAATATCATTGTGATCTGGTTCCATGAATAAAGAATGACTTCTGCAACTGGTCAATGAAGTCTCACCGTGCTCCTTAGATGGGGCTCAGGAATTCAAGAGAACAACCCTCCGCATGTTGCTACTTCTCGATCGCCGCAAGCCTGGCGTTTATGGCTATTGGCTAGCCTCTCGATCCAAAGTCCATGAGCCTCATCATCGTTGATGTGAGACGCAAGACACCCGCCTTACAACAATAGTCGGTGCTATTTCCTGGACTCGAACTACCACTACACAAGCAGAATCTGGACTAAAAACCAGACTCGAAAGTCTCGTGATGCGCCCGTCCACGGCCTGTGTCGCATGTCGGTACGTTTGCTCGTCTTTGTCTCTTTGCCTCTCCACCAGACTAACCAAAACCCCTCAGGAACCGGCGACGCAAATGTGAAGTCTCGGCTCCCGGGGCACCATGCAACTGGTGCAGGCATAAAAACCTCCTGTGCTCAATCCTGTCACCGTCGGCCTTCAACGGGCTCTGGTCCAACCCTTCGGCGGAAGTCTCACCAAAGCCTAGCAGTGATTATGACCAGGATCGAGCCATGAGCCTCGGGGTCCAGTTACCACCAATGCAGCTCTGCCTCGAGTTGGTCGACTTGTACTTCCGATATATACACGACCTGTTCCACTCCTTGTTTCACCGACCAAGCTTGATGCAGGACGTGATCGACGGAACGATCCCGAAAGTTATCCTGTTCGCCATCATCAGTCTTTCCGCCCGCTTTTCGGACGACCCCATGTTCGTCGGAATCGACCCCAGACTCAGGGGCAGACAGTACGCCCAGGCAGCACAAGACCTGCTCGACCTGCGCGAGGTGTCGCTGTCGACGATCCAAGCGTGCGTCCTCTTGGGTGCATTCGCCATCACCGAAGGAGAAGCTTCGACCGAGGCGGTCTTTTACGGGATAGCCTGCCGGAATGCCCTCCTCCTGGATCTCCCCAACATGCAGGCGTCCTCACCTGTGGAGAAAGAAGTCAACCGTCGCGCTTGGTGGACGTTGTGCATGATCGACGTCTGGTCGTCGAACGGAGTGCGCATCCCTCGCGCGCTGACACCTCGCTCCGAGGTCCCGTACCCGATGGAAGAGACGGTGTTTCTCCGCCTGAGACGCGACGGCACCACGGCCCCCAACGACCACCTCCCCGATCCGACGACGATGCAGATGCAAGAAAGCGAGTCGTCCCTGCTGACGCAAATGGTCAAGCTCAACGCCATCCTGGTGGAGATCAGCACGGTCAACCAGATGGCGGCCGCGGCGTTCGCCCACAGCCCCGGCGTCAACGATTTCAACCACCAGGGCGCCGTCGAGAAACTCGCCCGCAGCCTCGACGAGTGGCACGAGTCCCTCCCCGTCGACCTCCGAGACACGGACGCCAACATGAAGCGGCACACCTCGATGGGGTTGGGCCCCATGTTCGTCGCCGTCTGGGTCGGGTACTACCACTACGGCCAACTGCTGTACTACCCTTACCTCCACGAGGACTCGTACGACGACGACGACGACGATGTCGGTGTCGACGACAAGGACGCCGTCTTCCGGGCCCCGGCGTCCACCGCCGCCCGGTACTACGCCAACAAGTGCAAGGCCAGCGCCATCGGCCTGTGCGAACTCTTGTACCGGGCCTACTCGACCCCCTGGTGCGAGGTGTACTACACCATGGTCGGGCACGTCCTGGTCATCGCCTCCACCGTCCAACTCCACACCCTGCTCTTCGGCGTCGACGACGCCCAGATCCGCTCCGCCCGCGGCCGGCTCGAGCAGAATTTCGAGATCCTCACCAAGCTCCAGACCTACTGGCCCACGCTGGACGTGTGCTTCACCCGCTTCCGCGAGTTCCACAAGGCCTGCCAGAACTACAAGCAGACCTCGTTCCGCATGGACCGGTGGATGTTGCAGTTCCTCTTCGAGTTCGCCAAGCCCGTCCGCGAAAAGGACCCGGATGACCTGGCCGAGTTGAGGCCTTGGTCCATGAAGGAGCTTGGATTTAGTCCATTCTAAAAAAAAATAAACACGGACGAGCAAACACTTGGATTTCAAGTCCATACTACTAAAGAGCCAAAAAAAAAAGAATATGGAAGCTAGGCACACCCTGGATCCAGCCTGTACAAAAGAACCCGGGCCGGGGGAAAACATGCATCCCTCGAGCAAGACACAAAACTGCATTGTTCAATTCCTCCTAGACTCAAAGAGACCACACCTGTCTCTCGTCTGGGGCGTCTTCGTCCGGGGCGTCTTCGTCCGGCTCACGAACTCAACATGAGAACATGAATACAATGCCGCAACAACGACTTGATGAGATCCATGTTGGGAAGAAGAACAACAATCTCACCATTGGAGCAAAACGTGTGTCGGCACTCTCACACACTCTAACATACATACATTCCGACGACATGGAATACATTGCCTATCTGGCCAACCAGTATACCCACCACTCACCTGGCCCGAAAAAAAGGTGAGATAGGGTCTTCTTATAGTACAACATGAATATATCTAATATACATAAGGCCAGCGCACTCTTCAACCTCACATCTAGGATCTTTCAAGCTGCTCTGGTAGAGGACCCAAGGTCTCGAGCTTTCGCGCGAAATTACGTAACCCTCAAGTCGCTCTCTTTCCCATATCATGCATTTTCGGTCTTTGCATCAGTTCTCATCTTCCCAGTTGATGTCTTCGACTTCGGCTTTGTAACCTTGAAAGATTTGGTCTACGTCTTAGTCGATTTTCGAGCCTTGTTGGTTTTTTGTGACGCTTTTGTCCGGACTTCGTCTGACCCTTCCACAGACTCGTCCATGGATACTACTGACCGTTCTTTCGCCTGCTTGGCGGTTCTTGACGTTGGCCTCGTAGCACCCTTCTTCTTGTTGCTCCTTACGACGTCTTTCCCTGGCTTGCTCTTCGGTGCTTTGGTTTTCTTGGTCATGGATCCGTGGACTGACGCTTTTGCCGAGTGGGACAGGCTGCCGTTCTCCTGCGTCTTCTCACCCGCTGGAGATGCTGAAGTCGTTGCATCGGGAGGTATTGCCTGAAGCACGACATCGTCACCTAGTTGAAGTGACGTTTTCTTCAAGGGATCATGACCCAGTCGCTCCACTAACACGAGGCCCGCTTGAGCGAGGAGGCGAACGTCGAGATGTTCAAGTGACGGCGGAGAGAAATATGATTGCCTGGCCAAGCGAAGCTCTTGTTTAGTCGCCGTCGAGCCTGTGAACGTGACATGCTCCAAGCATAGTTCATTCTTTCTGTCTGAACCTTGCTCGGACACGGAGATAGACTTTGAATCGACGTCGACAGCTTCCACACTCTGTAGCATGTATACAATCTTCTCGAACGGAGATTCCTGTTTACTCACAGTCGTCTCGGTCTCAGTTGGCTGCCTTGGAGTCTTGCCAGCAATACCTTGTTGGCTTACTAGAAGCGAGTCAGGAGAATGTTTAGGGAAACCCAGGTTAACAAAAGGCCCAAAGACCCAGTCAGCCCTGTTCGGGTTTTGCGCTCGGGTTATATAACTCCTCAGGTCTCGGAGCAACTTATCAAAATGTATGGGATCTTGTTTGCCCTGATACCAGATGTCTCGTTTGGACCGACCGACGACTTCCATATCAGCCTCTTGGCTTGGACAGAGAACCTTGAAGGATTTCTCGGAGAAAATAGCAGAAAGATTACTCAGTGACAAAGTTGTTTTCCCCTCTCGAGATTTCCCTGCGACGATTACAACCTCGAGTTTGGGATACTGCTTCGTCTTGGTGATGGGAACAAGGACCAGGCGTAAGGTCAGCAAGCCATCTCGGCCAATACCTCTAGTTTCGTGCTTCTGCGTTGGTTCCCAGAATTTCATTGGTGCGAGCTGCTGCGCCAAATATGGCACATCTTCGACAAAGCACGATTCGCCGTAGGCAGACAATTTATCGTGCTTTTCTTTCCCTTGATTTGCCTGAAGGAGCTTTTCTGAGGAGACATTCCCCTTTTGCGAGCTCATGGTCTTCGACTCTTCGTTAGGGTCTGCTATTGAACTGGCATTCGTAGGATCTCGGCATAAGGCTGTGCCAAACTTGACGGCGAGGTCGTAGTGCAAACTCTCTCGAGAAGTAGGGATGGTTGTAGATTTGTGTAGTGACTTTTCGATCTCACTAACGACCGCAGCCTCACCTTCGGCTTGAGGATGATCCACTTTTTGCGGCTGGGCAGACTTGTTTGATATCATGAGTCTCGCCCAAGGTAGTTGGTGCAGGCCCCACGGCAATTCAGCCGGTGTTGGGTAAGGTACCCAGGTCGTTTCATTCAATGAAGATTCAGGATGCAAGAAGACCCGTTGGCCTTCCTCGGAAAACTTCTCTGCAGCCAATCGAAGCTCTCTGTGAGCATGATCTGCCGCTTTGGGCCGATCGCGATGCACTATGTTGATGCAACTCGGGAACAAAATGATGCGTACGTGAAACTTTTGCTCGATGGATCTTAGAAAAGGCTTCACAAGAGGCTGCAAGGCGAGATTGGCGTACGTCTCGGTCAGAGACTTCTTCGTGAAAGGAATCGAGATTACGGTGAAGCTTCTCAAGAGACGAGCTATCATCGACGAGGCCAAGTTCACCCTTGCTGCTGTTCCGTGTACGCGGAGCCTTTGTTGTGATCGAAAGACGTCTATCTGGACCTGATGAGTTTCTGAAATCTTCTTCAATTGCTGGCCTTCATCATTCAAGAGATAGTCCATGATCTCGTCCCGTGCCCGAAATTCAGCCTTGACATTCTTCTTTGAATGATCTGAATCTGCGAAGACCGCAATCGGAATGGTGAAGCCCCAGATTTCCTCCACAATGAACTTTGTTAGAGGGAGTTTTCCCTTTTCGAGGACCCTGATATACGCGATTCCATCCTTGAAGCGGTCAGCGTGCGACATGACATAATGCTTCAAATGGTCTTTTGTGAACCCCTTCATTAGATGTGTCTTCAGCGTGCTCCACTCTCTGTGTTCCAATTGACCACGTTGTTTACCTAGCAGACGCATGACTTGTTCGATGTTTGTCTTCAACTCTTGTAATTGGAGAGGCTCCTTTTCAAAGTCAATGGCTTGCCTCATCATGGCTTTGACGGTCTTGTTGTCACCGTCATCCTTGGGGACCTGTGGTATCTTCCGGTCTGTTGATGGAAGGATCAGGATTTCAGCTGGTTTGCCTAGCGAATTGACGCCCAGTTCGGCTGTCCGTGTAGGTTTCCAATGCCGGATCGACTTTTGATAATGAGCCCTGGGTTGGGAGGTGGGTTTTGTACGAGAGGCATTCTTGTGGGGAGGCGACGAAGATTCGCGTTCGCGTCCATCATTGTCATCGTCTTGCTCGACAAGGGCTGGAGCAGTGGCGGCATTGCCCTGCCATCTTCTCGTTGGAAATATGATCGGTGCTCTGGTTGTGTTCGCAGGCAGTAGACTGTCTTCTATTTGTTTCCTTTGACATCTGAGACAGACGTGAGCCGATGCGCCCAGACGTTTCAACATGCCATGGACTTTAGAATGTGAACCCGCGACAGAACTTGGTGGTTCACGAAATGGCGGTGCAGGTAACAGTTGTAGCGGACAAAAGTATACGAGGTGCAACTGCGTAATCTCGAGTCTCCAAAAAATTATTTCTCACTTGGAGGCACTAATGCTCGGCCGTAGCATTCATACAACGCTGCCCATATCGAGTCGATTCCTTAGATACGTACCTTCTTCTGGCCTCCTTTCCAAAACGAATCACGCAGAGCAAAAGGACCATAGACGAATGTCATAGTAGATTATCGACCTGTTCTCGCGTTGTCGAGCAGCAGACTGAATTCACATGGAGGTTTTGGCACAACCCCATCAATCCCATACACATAATGGCAAGATCTTGGGCAGAAAAGGCGTTTATATATTCGTAGTTCGCAAAAACAGTGGCAAGAAAGACCAATTCTCCAGCCTTGTTCTATAGTCAACTGCAGATTTTGCTTCCATATACGCAAAATGTCCGTCCAACTGGTTAGACGAAGCCACCATATTTTACATGGCGAGGTAAATTCATGACTTCCCAGCACTCTCATGAAGTATTTGCCACTCAAAACTCATGCAGGTCCAATGCCAAACCAGCGGCTGGTGATATTTTGGTCCGCATACTGTACATGTTTGGACCACAGACCGAACTCCCAAAACTGATGAACATGGCCAGGAATTTCCGACTCTCTGTAGGCATAGCATTTAATAGCCATTGCCTCAGGGAAATTCGACCGCAAACCGACATGGATGTCTTTCTGCTTCCGAAGGTCGCAGTCAGCTCGATGAGCTGAAATGGAGCTTTGACTGCCTTTCGTGGAGTAGATCTGGCTGAGACGACTCCGGGAGCCTCGTTTCTTCAAGGATCTGCCATACTCGTACTCCATAAACACGGGGCGAACAGTGCTCAGCCATATATCGGACAGGGGGAGGCGTGTGGAAGGTATAGATCATCTCAATCACTTGACGCGTACCTGCCAACTTCTCAAGTCTTCTCTCAACTCAAACTCGCTGCGTATAGATCATCTCAATCACTTG